GAGGAACGCCGGCAGCTTTGTGGAGTTTCGACCTAATGTCGCGACTTGAGGTCTAGCGACAGGGGAAAACCTAAAAGAGCTGGGGGCGTCTGACTGATTCTCACCGAAGCGATGGTGAGCAGTGCTCAAACCTAAGGCTAGGGACAAGAAATGTATTAGTTAGTAAAGGTAAGTAAAGGATACAAATGAGAGCTTACTGACCTAGGGACAAGAGGTCGAAACTGAGGTCCCTAGGGCAGCAGAGGCTGGTTTATATACATGGGAAGATTTAGGGCAGGCTGTGCACGTTGGTCCGTGCGCAGCTGGTCTGTGCGCAGCATGCCGACGCGGCCCCGGGGGCCGGTGAGTCAAAGCGGCTGTGTCAGCGGGGCCTGAGCTGTGCCGTGCACTGCCGTCCTATCTAATCTGATCGTACAGTAGATAATGATGTGTCCGTATCGGGCAGGTAGTACAGAGGTCGCGGGTTCGAGCCCGCGAAAAGGAAAAATTAAAAAACGGCTAGGCGCCGTACCAACTCGTGACATGGGGCCTCTGGCCCTGGCTACTTGCATGCCTGAGCTTGTGAGCTCATTCTTGAATGCATGCTTCAACACATGTGTTGGAACAATGGTGCGACAGTGTGGCAAGTGTGTTTGTCCATGGGCATAGTCATGCCCATAAGGGACAATTGCATAGTGTACATACATTGCGCACAGTCATTATATACTATGATAGGGGCCTTTGGCCCCCAGCTACTCATGCACCCAAGCTTTCGAGCTCATTCCTGACCACATGGGTCAGTGTGTTTCAACATGTTTGTTCATGGGTGCAGCGATGCCCAGAAGTGACAAATGTGTACTATACATGTTGGAACAATAGTGTGATGATGTGGCAAGCATGTTTGTCCACAGGCATAGCATGTTGTTGAAACATGCTGACCATGTGGTCAGGAACAAGCTCGAAAGCTCGGGTGCATGAGTAGCTGGTGTTGAAACATGCTGACCCGCATGGTCAGGAATGAGCTTCAAAGCTCGGGCGTGCGAGTAACCAGGGGCTGAGGCCCCTATCGTAGTATATAATGACTACATGCAATGTATGTACACTACACAATTGTCCCTTATGGGCATTACTACACCCGTGGACAAATGTGCTCACTGCACCGTTGCACCATTGTTCCAACAAAACACACTTACCAACTGTTTCCCTTTTGTTCCAATACTAGATGCCTTCCTGCAGGATCCAAATAGCCTGCAGATACAAGCCAAAGTCTGAAATAAACCTGTTTTGTCAACCCATTGATGAAACAACAGGGCAACAGTGTGGCAAGCACATTTGTTCACAGGTATAGCAATGCTCATAAGGAACAATCATGTACTAGTATGTACATCACAACAATCATTTTATACTACAAATATACTACAAGGAGGGGGGCCTCTGGCCCCTACTAGCATGCCCAAGCTTGCAAGCTCATTCCTGAACATGTGCTTCAACAACCATGCCAGAAAAAAGTACCCAGAGCTGTTAACAGCTGTTTACAAAAACTTACCACAAATGATGAATGAGGGTAGGCATGAAAGAGGCAAGCAGGTTAATTGTGTTTGAGCCAATGAGAGCAGAGCAGAGCTAACAACAATATCTGCAATGTTTGGTCTCGCCTGGAAGAGGGGGGGACAGGAAATTCGGCATCTAACAATGTAGCAACAGTCATTGTCATTTTCGAGGCCAGCCAGATCAACCACTTTGCCAAGACTTAGAGGTCAATTCTATTCTGCGATCACATCCATACCTCTGTGAGAAGGTGTTTAATGATACCAGATATATCCTTGACACAGTAGACCGAAAGAACGAAAGTCTGTGACATGTCCGATGGTCGCAGTGTGACCATGGTACCAGGACCGCTCAAGATCGTAGCAGGAGTATGAATGTTTTCGATTATCAAAAGCTCTCTTTATGCAATGAAGTTTTGAGATTCGGGAAAGGAGCTACTGTGATGCCCGATTGCTTCCTAAACCATTGCATCACGCGAATGTATGGAGTTCTGTTTCCGCTCGAAACAATCAGGGCCATTGTCCAGAGGATAACTTAAATCTCACGAGAGTATAAGTCCTACGCAACTGAGAGATGCAACATGTCTTATCATTCAACCTACAACACACAAAAGCAGGAGACTAAAGCAAGTAGAACTTGGTGCGTTACTTGAGCTCTGGCAAGAACAGTTCCTTGAGAAGCCGCGCCGTGTCTGCGGGGCTTGTAACAGAGTGCCCAATCGTTCGTGGATCGGTGTATATCTCAAAGTCGTTCCCCCCCTGTGAACATCGCTTGTAGCATAAGCTTATTTGCTGCAGCTCCTCCATTGACTGACCTTATATGTTTTGTCGCCAAAGAAGTGGATTTCCTCAAATTGCTCGTCTTCCACGTGTCGTAGGCAGTACACCTTGTCCCAGCCATTCGGAAAGACATCAAATGAAATTTGCCCACCGATAGAGAACGTCAGACCGTAGTCGGAGAATTTCTCACGGAGAACATCGACGAAAGCTGCCCGTAGACCGTGTTGCTGGAAAACATACTCCGTAAATTATATTATCTACGGGAGAAGAGCCATCGGCGAACCTTGTCATATGCCTCGAATTCGTGTCGTTCTTGTACCCTGCGCACAAGGTTATATTCAGCTACAAACACGAGATTGACAGGACTGACGTTGCGTTTCGCCCAATGGGACTGACGTTGATCATGCCGTTACGGAACTCAATAAACGTACCCCTGTATTGACCTGTCAATCTTTGATGAAGAGGTACCCCCGCGCAGAATAGCACCTCTTGATAGGAATATCGAGGTCCGCGATGTAATGGAGGATGAAATTTGCTAGTTTCTTGTATCGTTCTTCTCCAATGTACTTGATGAAGGACTGGGACGGTAGAGGCTGCGCGTTTTTGAACGCAGTCAGACCGTTCTCAGCAAATATATAATCGAACTCTTCGACCACTGTATCCTAAATGAGCGCGAGTATGACAGATAGGAGTATGAATGTACCGCTCGAGCCGGTGACTGCAAGCTGCTCGGAGACCTTGACGAAGTCGGAGCCCGACACGACGCCGATGACAACCTTCTTGCGCAATGCTCGCAAAATTTGAGTCATCTCGAGCGACACTGTCTGGCACAGATGTTGAGATCATGTCTTGACTTCAGTCTGCACCACGTCTGTACGACGTACTTGTCTTGCCGGAGTCAGCGTGCCGTCGTTATCGAAGAGGACCAGTTTCTTGAGCGGTCTATCGGCAAACACAGATACCATTGTGGGTTATGTGGCGGTCGACTGGGGTATCAACGTGTAGTAGTTGTGCGAATGCGGATGGAAGCGAAGCGGTGCACGACTGGAGATGCATGTTGCTGTATATCATCGATAGAGCGCTCTTCGACCATGGTTCGCGCTTGATCAAGTCTATTCCCCACGTCCCGCGGGGCAACACACCCTCTCGTACATGTTCTCTGAAATCGCGTGTGCAAATATTCGATGTCGTGCGCTACATAGTATAAGGCTACAGCGTTCAAAGATTAAACGTTCATTTACCGCCAAGTGCTTTCAGACGTGCTTCCGCCGCCCGCGCTCTTCGCTCCCGCTCAATCCTTGCCCTCATCTCCGGTGTCAACCCCGCGATACTCTCAGCAGCACCTGCAGAGCCTCCCAGCCTCCTTGGCCCAGCCGCAGACTCTGCATGAGCTGTTGTCGTGCGCGACGGCGCGACCTCTGGCACCGGGCTAGGCGTACGCCCCTCTTTCTCCTTCTCCTTGACCTCGCGCTCCTTCACGCGCTCCTTCAGCCCCTTCCGCCGCGCCTTCTTCTTCTCCTCTCGCCCCTCTTCCATCTCTGTGCTGAGAACGCTGGGTACCCGCGCGCCCTTCTCCGTCCCAAGCCAGTCCCACCAGTCGGCATGAACGGCGGCGCAGCGTCTGAACACGTCACGCACAGCACGGCTGCGCGCAAGGTCGTACGCGGTCCGTCGTGAGCCCGCCAGGAGCGCAGGGGCATCGGACGCATCGGACATCTGCCCTTCGTCTTCCCCTCCGGCGCCTACGGGAACGTCCAAAGTCGGGTTTGCACGCATGTCCTCGAGTAGCCATTTCGCAAGTTCTGCCTGGCCGTGACGCGCGGCGATCTGCAGAAGTGTACCACCCCTCTCGTTTGTCCATTCTGGCACGGCGGTGTCCACGCCTCCTAGACTAGTGCCCTCGCGCTCCCAAAACGCTTTCAGAGCATCTAGACGGCCTTTGGTAACCATCTCAAGCAGGCGACCCCATTTCTCCCTCATCGATATTTCTTCAGACGTGAGCTGCTGTTGCTTCTCTTTTGGCTTCGCAGGCTCATGTGGAGCAGCGGTCGGGGGTTTCGGCTTCGGCTTCGGCAGAGAAGCGAGATAGGCCTCGTCTTGCGCACGTAGCGCCTCCTCCGTCAAGTGAGAGACCTTGACACGAGTGAGTTCCAGTAAGCAGCGCAATAGCTCCGACTGGGTCTGTAACACCGTGTCAGCCTCACGAGCCCATACCTTTAAATAATGCGTACCGGACGTCGCGTGGGGAAAGGGAATGTACGCAGGCGTTCATCACCTTGAAAAGGATGTCAATCGGTATGTAAGGCTGCCGATAAGTGTGGCGTACCCTTCAATATGACTGCGTTCTCATAGTCAAGGAAAATGCGTCTATTCGAGATACTCGCCCTGATGAAAATACGTTCGCACTCGTCTATTTCTTCGGCCCAATCTTGCAGGAGATTTCGGATATCCTGGATATGCTTTAGCTTGATGGGTCATATGCTGCAGGCGCACCCAGACCTACGTCTCGCAAAGCCTGCTCGCCATAGCGACGGAGCATGGCACCAGCACTGACGGCCTTGGACTTTGTATTGTCATTCGCCGACTGTGCGCCACCCTGCTTCCTACGTGCTTATAGAGGCCAGTGCCGTGAGCAATTTCGACGCGACGCAAGCGATCAGGACTCACTAGTGTAGCGATGGAATGTCTTATGTTTCAAGACTTCAGTGTCGGGCTTTGGCTTCCGTGGTTTGCCCTTTTTCGTCAGACCGCCTTGATCATCGACTTCACTATCGGCAGCCTTGACGCGAACAATGGCACCAGCAAAATGCCCCCCTGCAGTCATGAACATCGCCCATGTGCGGCCGCGATCTCCACCGTTCTGCATCTCCTTCAGCTCATCGAGATACGACGGCGCGGGGGTCCCAGATGGGAACAGCGCTTTGTAGACGCCGACTTGGGTGGACGGAGGCGAGTGGAACCACGCGAGGGGTGTCTGCGGGGCAGTAGTTATTGCAGAGTCTGGAGAGGGAGACCGCGCGAGCTTGCGCGTTTTGTGTATGAGCGTCGCGACCGCATCCGAGTCTTCAGAGTCCCCTTCCGACGAGGATGCAGAACCTGAGATGGAGTCCTCCAGTCCTGGTTATCTGTAAGCGACCGAATCGAAATAATGACATCCAGAGATGTCGACTCACCGTCTACAAGCTGAGCGAATTGACTTTCCGACACCGGCGCGCCGCCGTTCAGCCTGACCTTGACATTATATCTATGCCAATCGGAGCGATAATGTGCGCGCTGCTCATCCACATCTGCAAACATAGCACCAAGACAGACATTGCATGCGCGCGAGCTTGCGCCAGAGGCCGCCGCCGGCACAGGGGACTCGGATCGAGCTTCGGGAGGTGATGCTTGCGCTTGATCGAAGTCGTTGCGAGGGATCAAAGTATCCAGCAATTCCTTTGGTAGGGAGAAGACGTGGTATTGAGATGAGGACATGTCGGGTATTTTTACAAATGGATCAAATGTGGAGTTGTACGTAGCCTAGAGTGTTAATATATAGAGCTTGGTACAGTACGTCGAGTCAGACAAACCGCCAAGAACTAGAGACACAGGTTGCGGCAGCGGAATAGCCTTGTATGTAGGACCCAGGAACTCGAGTATGACTTATCGACCGAGCCCGGTCGCGAGAGGCAGTACCTGTCTCTGATTAATATGATCGCGGATGACTATCAAGTGAGTCGACGCGATCACGTGCGACGCGCGAAGCTGGTGCTTCAATCCTTCAGAATCAGATGCCTCTGAACTCACTCTCTCGCGAACTTGCATAAGTCCGGTGTACACGCGTAAGTAATTCGTTCATAAGAGGTGTTTACGATAAATGCGAGGATACCTGTACACATTCATCCATGGCATTAGCGGAACAGTTTGCTGGTGGGCGCGATGATCACAATTCATGAGCGCAATGATGAGACTTGCGATGGAGTTAATCTCATTGAAGACATTGTCAAAAAACACAATGCTGTGTCAGTACAAAGGCTCTACGTGGGTAGCACGACGATGATGGGGCCATGGGCCGCCATACAACAGGGACATATGAGCATACCAAATCCTATCTTCATTGATGATCTCCCAAAGTACAAGCTCATAGCTTACCTGACGGCGTTTCTTGTCCACATCCACAGTCACATTGTCAAGTATTACATCGTTTTAACCGCTGCAAGCAATGCTAACGAGGTGGGTGCAAATGTGTTCGTTCCAAACGAACAGGTGATTGAACAGGTCAAGTTCCTTGATGTTCGAGAGGCGTAAGGTACTAGACGGTAATAGGACATCCTCAAGCGAGAATGAGTGTTGGGCTGCTTTGAGCCGTTGTCAATCGAGGAGTGTATTGAATTCAGTGATAACACGCCCAGGCATTTCGGTGAATGATATCCTATTGAGCGTGCGTTAAGCTTCAGATCATCTCCCGAACAGCTGAGAATCAGACCTCTGATATCGAGCGACCGGAGAAGGGGTACATTCTGCAGGTATACCAACATGAGTCGACGGAGATGGTTTCATATATACCGTTCCTGGTTAGACAGTGACGAACATTGGTAGGCACAGACCTTCAGTAGCGACGCCTTGAATGAAGTAGACGCGTGCGCATCTTCCAGGCCCATCCTGGCGTCGTCGCGAGCTGCCTACACAGAGTCTACATGCGTGGACAGTCTTGCATATCTAGGTGGAAAAGCAGTAGTCAAGCGCCGTGCTCGGCATCAATAGGGCTGATCACAGTACGGATTCCAGCGCGGATTCGAGCAGATTTCAGCTCGAATTCCGCGCTGGATTTCGCGCCTCGGTCGATGACCGAGCGCATGCGGCATTGTCCGCGCACCGCTCAAAGTATTACGTAATGAGCATATATTTCTCAATTGCCGCCCGCTTTGAGAGGTGTCAGGGTTGCTGAATTCTTGTTGCCTGTTCGTTCGTTCACAGAGCGCCCACCTCTTTTGGTAATTCCAACCTCGGCGGCCGAGCGGCAGCCACTGACAACGCATGACATGCGAGCCTCAACTACAAGTCTCGTATCGTGCAGTACTTATAAGAATGTGGACAATGATACAGCCTCTGAGGTTATTATTGAATGATCTGTATTCAGCTGATACTGCTCCTGAATATCAATGATGTGCTTGTACTACTTAGTATATGAATTGATTACATGACCCAGTATAGGATGTCGCTCTCTAATATATGTGTTTCTTGATACAATACAAATTGCTCATGAAGGCATCTAAAAATGAGACATATATGCTCATTACGTAATACTTTGAGCGGTGCGCGGACAATGCCGCATACGCTCGGTCATCGACCGAGGCGCGAAATCCAGCGCGGAATCCGAGCTGAAATCTGCTCGAATCCGCGCTGGAATCCGTACTGTGATCAGCCCTAATATGGAGCGTTTCAAGGATGTAAGCAATGAATTAATGACATCGGATCGATGTACGCCATTCGGATTTCCACGATACATATGATTTAGTATAAACAGGACATAGCAGCAGAGACACCTTACAACACAGCTCCCATAACACAGAAGGTAGACAAGGACAGTAGAGGTGTTTGGTTGTGGCCGCGCGTAGGCGATTGAAGGGATGCTTCTTACATACAAATTTTGTGACAGGACGCGACCGTGACTGCGTTCATGCGCCACAGCGTCAACACGACCACGCGCGTCTTAATAGCTCAGACGCGTCTCATTTGGTGCACGTATCCAGTCGTGTCCAACCTTCTCAACTATGTCTACAGTCTCCCCTTCCTTCAAAGAGAACATGCCTTTAACACGGTAAGTGGCATCGTCGCTACTCCATAATCGTGACGCGACCGACGCGCCTTCAGTACCGCGACAGAGACGTTCAAGGACGACACAGAGTCCCAACCCTCATCTAAGAGACGAAAGCTTGGGCCTTCTAGCTCGTTACCTCATGCCTCTCAGACAACACAACAGCCGTCCTTTGCGGAAGTCCTGGAGCGGCTCAAGGAAGATGCAGGCGAAGCCAGAGGTAAATCGAGTCCACTGTGTCGCGCATGAGATCTCCTATCTAAGCCACGGGTATAGGTGCAGAGGGCGGTGCGGACATGTGGTCCAGGCCTCTGCTACAACCGCTAAACGAGAAGAAGGACACCATAAGTAAGCTAGCTTTGACGTACTGGCAACTCCTGTTTAATGAGTATTATAGCCTTCCAGCAGATTGATATAGAGGATGCGGTGGATTCTACCAGCGGCGGCGTGGGCTTAAGGATGTTCGGTGTCACAGAGGTATAAAACTGTCATAATAGTTGTTGACCTCGCTGACTCCGATGCTAGGCGGGGCACAGCGTTTTAGCCCACATCACTGATTTCCTCCCTTACTTCTACGTCGCTGCACCCCGAGGCTTTACGGAGAGTGATTCCTGGGCCTTCCAGGAGTACCTGAATGTCAGTCATCTTCAGAAGAGTGACTTCATTTTGTCTATTGTTTACCTTTCGGATAGAATGCAGGAAATGGCGGCATGGTTCGGAGTATCGAGTTCGCCCAGAAGCGGAGTCTGTGGAGCTACCGTGGTGACGATTGGATCGTATTCTTGAAAATTACACTCATCGACCAACGAAGTTTGCCGAAAATCAGAGATAAGTACCCTCGTCCTCTGTTTCCACGTTTAAGCTAAAGACCCTTGGGTGATCACGCATTTTTGAGCGAGGGGAATGTCAGTTCAGAGATCTCTTCACTGGTGCTGTGCCAACCTTCGAAAGTAATATTGCCTACACCCTTCGTTTCATGATTGACACCAAGGTGAGGAGATCTCGTATTGTTATGTAAATCTACTCATTGTGTGCGTAGGTGGTCGGAATGAACTGGATCGAGGTGCCTGCCGGCAAATACAAGCTCTTGGGAGAAGGAAAGAAGCGTTCTCATTGCCAGATTGAGATACAAGTCAAGTCAGTCGGTGTCTCAAGCTCCTTTACTTGTATTCACTCGTATCTATGTAGATGGGATTGCTTCATCTCGCACGCGCCTGAAGGGCAGTGGTCAAAGATTGCACCGTTGCGAATCCTCAGCTTCGACATTGAATGTGCCGGCCGCAAGGGCATATTCCCTGAACCTGGTGTCGATCCCGTAATTCAGATAGCCAACATGGTGACTCGGCAAGGTGGGTAGTCTGCGTTTTGTCGTAATATGTCCCGCGTTGCTCATCTTGTTGTAGGCGAAAGCAAGCCTTTCATCCGCAATGTCTTCACCCTCAACACATGTTCTCACATTGTCGGCTCTCAAGTCTTGTCCTTTGATGACGAAGCAAAGCTTCTCGAATCATGGAGAGATTTTGTTGAGCAGGTCGATCCTGACGTTGTCATTGGCTATAACATTTCCAATTTCGATTTGCCGTATCTAATTGACCGGGCGAAAGCCGTAAAGGCGAACAAATTCCCCTATCTTGGTAGGATAAAGGGTGAGTGTAACTTCACTCTGGATGACGAATGCTCATGATGACGATGCATAGGCGCGAAGTCACAGACAAAAGAGACGCATTTCTCGTCGAAGGCGTTCGGTCAACGCGACTCGAAGGAGACCGTGCTCGACGGACGGTTGCAGATCGATCTCTTGCAATACATGCAGCGAGAACACAAGCTTCGTAGCTATACGTTGAACTCGGTCTGCGCGCAATTCTTGGGGGAACAAAAGGAAGACGTGCACCACTCTGTCATTACGGATCTGCAGAATGGTACGCCCGAGTCACGGAGACGATTGGCGGTATACTGTCTAAAAGTGAGGCTCACGGCGACCGACAATTCGTGCATGTCATAACTAACGTGTTTCAGGATGCTTACCTGCCCCAAAGACTTATGGACAAACTGATGTGTTTCATCAATTATACGGAGATGGCACGTGTAACTGGTGTTCCGTTCAATTACTTGCTCGCTCGTGGACAGTCCATCAAGGTGCTGTCGCAATTGTATCGTAAAGCAAACGGTGACGGCTACGTGGTTCCTGCAATGCACGGAGAGGGTAAGTGGCATCTCTGGTGCGAGGATACCGTTAACGTGTGGCTTGTAGGGTCGGACGAGCAGTACGAAGGAGCAACGGTCATTGAGCCTAAGAAGGGTTACTACGATGCACCCATCGCTACGCTCGATTTCAGCTCACTGTACCCATCAATCATGATGGCACACAACCTCTGCTACACGACCTTGCTCGATAAGAAGACGATCGACCGCCTGGGACTGCAGAGGGATGTTGACTACATCCAGACTCCGAATAATGGTATGAAAAGAACTTCAATCCTTGGGTGTATCATGGAGTCTCATTTGTCCTCTCAGATTTATTTGTCAAAGCCGAGAGACGGAAGGGTCTCCTGCCAACGATTCTCGAAGACCTGATTTCGGCGCGAAAGCGAGCGAAGGCAGATCTCAAGAAGGAGACAGATCCGTTCAAGCGTGCCGTGCTTGATGGCCGTCAGCTTGCTTTGAAAGTCCGTGTAGCAGTCTGATCTACATATTCCTTGGTGTGCTGACATCCAGAACAGATCAGTGCTAATTCCGTGTACGGTTTCACTGGTGCGACGATTGGCAAGCTGCCCTGCTTGCCCATATCGTCCAGTGTCACTTCTTATGGTCGACAAATGATTGAGAAAACTAAGCAGGTACGACTGTTAATTCCATGATTATATATTGAGGTATTGACCATGTTTGCAGGAAGTCGAGGCTGAATACTGTATCGCGAATGGCCACTCTCATGATGCACAAGTCATATATGGTGATACTGACTCAGTCATGGTGAAATTCGGACCCACGGACCTTCCCGCGGTCATGGCATTAGGTACGTCTATGGCGTTCTCCTGCCAAGATACTGTTGTTCAAGGTCATGTCCAGGGAGCCAAGCGGCAGACTTTGTGACAGCAAAATTCATCAAGCCGATCAAGTTGGAGTTCGAGAAAGTTTACTTTCCTTACTTGCTGATCAGCAAGAAGCGATACGCTGGACTCTATTGGACGAGGCCGGAGAAGTACGACAAGATGGATACTAAGGGTATCGAGGTATGTCCACATTCAACCTAGCTTGAGACTGTAACTGTAACTGTTCCGCAGACGGTCCGACGGGACAACTGCCGCTTGGTTTCGACCGTTATCGAGACATGCCTCCACAAATTGCTAATTGACCGTGATGTCAAGGGTGCTGAGGAGTGAGTGAATACATGGTATATTGCGGCTTCTCCTCATAGCTGTATAGGTATACCAAACAGATGATCTCCGACCTCCTTCAAAACAAGGTTGATATGTCACAGTTGGTGATTACCAAGGCGTTGGCAAAGCCTCGTATGTGGAGCGATGGTCTCCTATGCTATGTTACGTGATAGCTGACTATCACTAGAGTATGCTGGAAAACAAGCGCACGTTGAATTAGCGGAAAGGATGAAGCAGCGCGATGCAGGTGCGTCTCAGCCAACTTGTTCATGGTGGTTGTCACTGAATTCCACTCGCAGGTTCTGCCCCAGCTATTGGTGATCGCGTTGCCTATGTGATAATAAAAGGAGCGAAGGGTAAGCTCTTAGCATTTGCTATCGATCTCCATTTATGACTGTGCCTGCTTTCGTAGGTGCTGCTGCGTACGAGAAGTCAGAGGACCCAATATACGTTCTGGAAAACAATATTCCCATCGACACCAAATACTACCTGGAGAACCAATTATCAAATCCATTGATGAGAATCTTCGAACCTATTCTTGGAGAGAAGGCAGCCTCTCTGTGTGAGCGCGTTTTTTTCTAGCCGAATTGCAATTAGAAGCTGATATTTTTCACCAGTATCGGGTGACCACACGAGGACGATTCAGATTGCAACGCCTACAGTCGGAGGACTGATGAAGTTTGCGGTCAAGACTACTACTTGTCTAGGATGCAAAACCCCGTTGCGTGCGAACAATGGCGTCAAGAGTACGTTCAGCTGCACGATCGTCATATGCATTTACCGAGCATTGTTGCAGATGGCGCGGTATGTAACAACTGTCGGCCTAAAATTGGCGAACTATTCCAGAAGCAGGTAGGTCGCATGCAGCCGCATGCCTTTCTGCCTCATGTACTGATTCCTTGTCTCGGTCTCAGGTAACAACGGCTTCGGAGCTCCAGGTCCGTTTTTCTCGATTGTGGACGCAATGCCAACGGTGTCAAGGTTCACTTCACCAAGTAAGTGCTTGCCTTACTGTCGATATCGACCGCCAACCTATCTCCGCTAGGATGTGCTGTGTACAAGTAAAGATTGTCCGATCTTCTACATGAGGAAGAAGGCACAAAAGGATGTCGAAGATGCAAACACGACCCTGGAACGCTTTGATCACGAACTTTGGTGAAATCAATCATGAGTTATGCTTGCGTGTGGTCGATGTAGTACTATCCTGTTTTGCATATTGTACACATATTATCCCTAGGTAATGAATGCATTTTGATCGTTGTACCGATGGCACATATTACATGGGTAGATGAGAAGTCTGGCAACGCTCATAGTGTGTAGTTGAGCTAAGTCGCGAGAGCTCAAGCTCCCATGGCTTTATCGTGGACACATGCTGTGGGTGTCTCCAGCAGGTCGCGTATGAACCCTACCTATCGGCTACTGATCCAGGGTACGCGGACCTACCCCGCGCCGAGCAAGGAACTAAACAGCCCATCGATCTGCTCCTCATGCCAAGCTCCGTGCACGACAGGGACCGGCACCATGAAGTTCTGCAGCTTCGGGTGTACCTCGTACCGCAGCTTCCGGCCCTTGCTCGCCTTGGTGTCGACCTTCAGTTTCCGCTTCGCCTTGCGCTCCCGCTGCTGGGCCATCCAGTCCTGCTCGCCGCCATCCCCGCCCCGCGTTTTGATAACGTCGCGCAACAGCTGCTGGTAGAAATCTAGGTCGTCGAAGATCTCCGGGTCCTCGGCGTCATCGCCCTCGGGCTCAGAGGCATCGGGCGCGCGCATCCGCTCGCCCTTGCCCCGCCGCGTGCGCGTACGGCCGAGCAGCTTGCTGCCGTCCACACGCAGGATCTCGTCGACCATTGGCACGACGCCTGCCGCGCGTACGTCTTTGTTGAACGCGTTGCGCCCCGCGAGCAGCACGCCCGGGGCGACCGCCTGCACCTTCGCGGACCACTTCGTGAGCGTGTGCACGAGGTGCGCGTGGTACGACGCCTCGAGTGCGGACGCATCCCCAGAGAGGCCGCGCAGTGCATCTACAGCGCTGCTGTCGGGGTCTATGCGCCGTCGTTTACGGGCGGGTGGCGTGACGTTTTCATTGTGCGTTAGGAGAACCTGGGTGGGAGTCAGCGATAGGTCGTGTGATGCAAGGAAGTGACAGGCGCACCTCTTGAAGTGAGAAAAGCTCGTCGGCAAGCGCGGCCGCTTCACCGAACATGCCATCGAGTGCTGTGCGCGCCGAGGGGTGACTAGAGAGCGTCTCGAGATACGCCCCCTGTATAACCGGTTAGCGGAGCAAGGCACTAGCATAGGCGAAGGCTTACGCTCGGTAGTCTGTTTGCTGCGGTGACAACCTTCTGCATCTGTATACGGGCATCCAACAACGTGTCCCAGAGGGCCTGGAGTGGGATTACCAAGTTAGGACTAGATTTACAGGCGCATGGCACACCGCAGACATTCGACTACAACTTCCTGTTGCAAAAGGAGAACTGGGACCAGTACGCGGAAGTGCACAAAGACGTCATTTTGCCTGTAGCGTACCAAGACCCTATCAGGCCGTTGCCGTCTGTGCATATACCACCGCACTGGTCACAACTCGGGTGCCTTTTCTGCGGCGATTGCGCTCAAAGTTACAACGTACTATTTGACGGGCAACTGCCTTGCCTTTCTGGCGGTCCTCTTCGCGCGTCTTGCGCAGCGCTAACGCAAGGTCGCCGCTGTGTTGTTCTTCATTCTCACCAATGCTTTGGTGCCTATTCATTTCAGAGGCGCGTGGAGGGTCAGATGGTATGTGTGCGCGCCCAGGCTGCTCTTCGCGATCGCTCTGAGCGGGCTCCGACTCGTCTTCGTCTTCGCCATCGTCCTCTTCCTCTTCCTGGGAGGAGCCGGGTGCACCTTCGCTGTCTGACTGGCTCGGCAGGGATCCCCCAGGCGAGCTGGCCTCGGGCTCGCTATGAGCTTCTGCATCCACGTCTTCGAACAGCTGCCTGCGCGTGGTGCGGACGCCATCGTACTTGGGGTCAGTCACGCTGTCGTGCAGTTTACGTATTGCCGAGGGCCTTAATGTCAAGAGGGGCGCCTGTTAATGGAGGGCTTGTTGGGGACAGCTGGGGGACTCACGCGACATCGACGTAGTGTTCCCTCGCAGCAGAATTATCGATGGGAGAATCATCTTCTGAGACCGCGCCTGCATGCACGTCCTCAGGATCGAGGTCTGATACGGGCCGGTGAACTAGGCACAGCAGTGCCAATTGTTGGGGGTTGCGCACCTGCGGGGGCAACCTCTGCTAGTTCTGCGAGTTGCTGGGCAAGGGAAAGGCCTAAACGCGGAAATGAGTGCAGGTGCCAATGCGTGAGATGCTGCTGGACATACGAGACATGAATCGAAAGCAGGAAAGCGGGCGAACAAGATGAGCAGAAAAGACCCTCGGTTAAGGACTGGAACAGACGGGGAATCTAGAAAAGAGAGGCGAGGCCGGGGCGAGGAGTATGATCGCGTGAGGAGAGATCAAATTCTCAGCCACCGGCGGGAGCGGGAGACAGTGTCGCAGCCGCGTCGACTCTTTCCCCGGAGCATTTTGCGCCGCGCCCCTCCACTTGTCCCCCCCTCGCCCTCGCCCTCGCCATCCTGGACCCCCTCTCGCTCAGATGCTTCACTGCGAACAACAATGGCAAAAAAGAACACCGTCTCCAGTATGTTTCTCTTTCCCCGTCGCTACCGCACGCATTACGTTTGCCTCGTTGCCTCGTTGCTTCGCACCCTCGTCCTCTATCGACTCATCACCCATATCTATTCGAATCATGGTCTGCATGCATTCAATGACGGTGCCCCACACACTTCGGGACGTCCGAGCGGTGTGCACGTCCACGAGGACTGACCCGTCACACTCGTCCGGATCGCAATTCGACCTTCACCTGACGAAGTTGCCTCGATCGTATCTATCTCCGATTCCGCATTTCGTGTGCCTCAGGGTCTGCGGTCGGCCCTGCTCTGAAGCTTTCGCGCCTGAATCTATCCCATATCACTCCCCGCACGCTGTATGATATGAAGTTGATACTGATCGCCACCTGCAGATCCTCCCAAACAACAAGCTCTCTCAATGTCGCCTTCTCACCCCCATACCGTAGGCCACCCCTCGGGCGCAACTCTGCTCGCTCCGGAGGACGACGACGACGACATATGCCCCGTCTGCGAGAGCGAGTGCACGTGCCAGAACAGAGCAGCGCCCAGCAGGAACGACGCAACCGTCTCTTCACTGCATTCTATTTCTACGTTCACTGCCTCCACCGCCGCGAGCTCTCCGGCTGCCGCAGGCGGTCTCGGGGCCCTCAAAATACGGCTTACTGTTCCACCCAATCTGAAATATCGCAAACATACCGCTGTCGACGCCCCAAACAGCAACATTCATCAGTCGGCGCTCGGCGTCCACGATCCCGCAGCGCCCAAGCGCAGAGGGCGTCCCCCGAAAGCAGTTGTTGCAGCCCGCAAAGCAGCGGAAGCAGCATTAACAGCTCAAAACGCCTCAGGAAACGAGGTCATACAAGGTTCGTATGGCGGGAAAGGCTTCGCCATAGTACAGGGTCCATCTGGCAAGGGCAATCAGAAATCCAAGGGCAAGACCACGACCGGAACCAAAGCTCCGGGTTACGCGAGGGCTACGCGCAAGGCCGTTCCCCGCGGCGACCAAAGCGACGACGCAAGCTTAGACAGGTTCCCTACGTTCGTGTCTGCCGCGTCTTCATCGACACACAGTAGCTCGTCAGAGTCATCTGACTCTGACTCTGAGCTCTCCTCCTTGGACTCAGAGCTCGAGGAGGAGACGCAGCATCTCATCAGAACTGAGAAAACCAAGTTACAGAGAGGATCTGGGAACGATACCATCCAAAAGCGCCGCCCTCATAGCGGCAACTGGGAAACACGATCCAGAAAAAGCAGTGTGGGAGTGGACGAGGAAGATGCAGACGTGGACAGCGATCAGAGTTGTAGCGGCGAGGATAGCGAGGACGACGAGACCAACAGCGACCAACACCACGACGAAGATGTGGATGCGGACACGGAGGGCGGGGGACTGGACGACGTTGAGCCCGACAACGAGGAGACAAGCAGTCGGATCGGCGTCACCTTTGGGGATGGAGCAGCAGGCTGGAGCGATGAGGACGACGAGTCCTCTTTCGATGCCGACCTGTTTTTCGCCAATCTGGATGGCTCTTCCGACTCCGACTCATCTGCCGAGAGAGACGACTTTGATATCTTCGGTATGGGCTCAGATACGTTGTCGGCGGACGAGGATGATGCCTTACTCCTGATGGACATCGACTCGTCTGTGCAGGTGCGCCGGGGCCAAGGCGAATTCGAGTTCGGATTTGGGCTCGATACCCTGTCCTTCGGATGGGACGGGCAACTGTTCCTGACGAGTTCGAGCCCGCCGAACGTGTTCAGTTGGGAGCTGCAGCACGGCAGTGGTGATGTCGAGATGCATAGCACGTCAGAACAGGGAACGGAGTCTGGCGACGACGACTCGGCGACGGTCGACGAGCTTCTCCTTGCAGAGACCGACGGCGAAACGACGGAGGACGAGCTCATCGACGACGATGGCCTGCCCAACCCGCGGGCCATGATGCTCTTCCGCTGGCCGAGCACAGTCTCTGCCATCAACCCGCTGTCCACCGTGGGCGCCGCTCCTACCGCGCCGCCGGACGCATCCGAGAGCATGCGCATCGCCCTCGCGTCTTTCTCTGCACACCAAGGTTCCCCTGCGCCCACACCCGCGGACATCCTCGCAGGGAAGATCTCGATAGATGATCTCGAGGACATCGAGATGGCAAAGTCGCCTGTAGAGGAGGCCCGCGCGGCGAGCAGAAGACGCTCCGGCGGCGTGCCAACGATGGGCGAGTTTGTTCCGCCCGTGGTGGGCACCCAGAATGCAGCGGTGATTGATGGGAAGGGCGGTTGTGTCCCTAGCCCGTTCCCGCGTTCGAAGGTAACAGTCAAGCGCAGCAAGGTTGCTAGTGGGACCGAGTGCGACGACTCTGCCGCTGGTGCCGTACGTATTTCTTGATCATCCGAAGATGGCGTTGCTCACACAGTGTGTTCTACAGATCGAACCACCCTCCGAATCAGTTATGTCCTCCACACAGTCATCAGACGAGACCGCAATGCACACGCAGCGCTCATTGTCGCAACCCTCAACTACCGATGCCATCGATCTCGATGATGTCCTAGATTCATCTTATCTCGACTCCGAGCCAATGTCGCAAGGCTACGACATCCAGCCGTTCGACCAGTCCATCTTGTCGGACAGCGCGGCGAGCGGCACACATATGCACAGCCTCAGCCGGTGGGACCGCATCCCGATGGCGACCTTCCGGCGCACGCGCGAGATCGCGTCGAACATGGAGGGCTCCGCGTCAGATACCGGGCTCAGCGTGTACCATGGCATGCGCTCTCTGCTCGGCAGTGCGATGCTGACGCAGCCCAAGCACAGCGATCGCAAGTCGGGCGCGGCACGCAAGCGATCGTCAAAGGGCAAGAGTGGACACCCACTCGCGACGAATGATCCCCTATCCCTACGCGATGGCGACCGGACGCCGACGTCGAGTGCACACCAAACACCCAAGTCATCGAAGAAGGAAGTGCGACGAGAAAAGGCGATGATGAAGCGCAAGATGATGGCGAAGCCCGCGCCGTACCGCCACCAGCAGCAGCACACTCACCATCACCTTCCAAATTTCAAGTCACGCGCGTCCAGCTCAATGCAGCGGATGGGCAGCCATGGGGGATCGTCGCCCTCGTTTGGCATGTAAAGTAACCCCAGGCACTGTGTTTGTAGGTGGTAGGTTGACGCAGGTCGCCTAGCACGCGCATTGTATATCCTGTAGCCCGTCGCAGCCGCTTTCTTCCGCCTAATTATTTCGCTTTCAGTTTTATCCCCGTCGTCTCTCGCTCCTTCCTGCCATCTCCATTTCATACCACTCCCCACTGCCCTTGCTCCATCTGTCCATTTTATGACCTTGGTTCCAATCCTGATGATGTATGTACTTGCGACGAAGCAATGCTCTTGATGAATAAATGACGTTAACTCCTCACATAATACATTGGCTGAGCACGAACCCGGACTCAGGACTAACTCAGGCGCCAGCGCCCAGAGAATCGTGACTTAAGGTACTTCTCGTGACGCAGGTGATACTGCGGCCGGGCGGCCGGAGAGCCCAGCTCGACTCAGGTTGTCCCTTTCGGTGAATGAGCAGCGTCGAGCACGGCCTTCTACGCGCACTCTAATCACCGACTGCCACTCTTTCTTGCATTATAATGGATCCTTTCGCCGAAGAGGAGAACCCATTTGGCGAGGTAGAGCCTGAGCGCATCCATTCAGACACGTCCTCTACCTCTCGAGTTGCTGTGTCTGAGCCGGCTTCACCACCGCGTCCCTCGCGCGCCCTCTCCTCGCCACCGGAGACCCCGCCATCCAAGAGAACCACCTTTCCCTCCCAGGGCTCGCATAGGCAGCCTCAGGTCTACAAGAACGACTTCTGCTGTGTCCGCGATCAATGGCTCCATTCAGGCGAGGATGTGGAGATACAGGTGAGCACTTCGTAGACTCTGCGGCTGCAACTTAGTCACAGAGGGCGCCCGCTGTCTGGTACGTGTGTGTAGATCATGGATGCGGTCAAGACATCTGCCAATGCGACGTCTCCCTACATTGCCTACGTCATTCGAGCAGGTGTACGTACCCTGGTAGCTCGTCTGGCTCCCGCAGGTTTCAATATTGATTACAGAATGCCGAAGCCCACCACCGCTACTCGGAATTTGAGTCCTTACGCACTAGTCTCGCTAAGCTATACCCAACTCTCATCATTCCGCCCATCCCCTCGAAGCAGACAATAGGAGAGTATGCGGCCAAGCAAGCCAAGGCCAAAGAGGATGCTGCAATGATTGCTCGCCGCAAGCGTATGCTGCAGACATTCCTCAACCGCATCGCTAGGCACCCCATCCTCTCCAATGAGCATGTGTTCCATCGCTTCCTTGATGGAGAGGTGTCCTGGGTATGTGACGAGACCTATCCAGTCCTCGAAGACCTGTTCTTACACTTGCCGTCCGTAGTCAGAGGTTCTGCATTCCCCACCATTGTCTTTGTTGCCCAAGAACATTCTCAAGGCACCTTCACACAATCCGACCGACCAGACCTCATTGCCAGCGTATGCTGCATTGCCCAATCCGTCTCCCGCCCATCCACTGCGACGACCAGACCAGCGTTTCTTGGACTCTGAGATATTCACAAACAAGTTTGCAGCACACTTGAGCGGCCCAATGGAGAAGGTGACTCGGCGAACAATGAAGCGGTGGTCAGGTACGCTTCGCGGCAGCATAGCCAATGAGATGAGTAGAATTTGACTGTGAGACGTCAGATTACGCCCAGGACCATTCAGAGCTTGGCGCTACGTTGAACGGGTTCAGTCTGAATGAATCTGGCCAGCTGTCGACTGCTATCGAGAAGACAGGCCAAGCCATTGATACCACGTACATGTCGACAACAGCCCTGGTTAGCATCTTTTCCCACAATTCAGCTCCCGCATTGACGTTGCCTATTCAGCTGCAAGAGTTTGAGCAGGATTGGGCGGAGCCTCTGCACGAATACAGCCAGTTTGCCTCCATCATCAAGAAGCTGCTCGTTTACAGGCACCAGAAACACGTGCAATATGAGATGACGCAGGACCAGCTTGAAGCCAAGCGTGAGCAGCTGGATGAACTTGAAATGAGTGAGCGTGAGGCCCGCAGGTTGGAGGAGGCCTTGAATCAAGGACGCGTTAGCAGTATCACCGCGACGCGTTCACGGAGTGCTGACGGCGAAACCGCGGCTACATCGACGGAGGACGATGAGGATGCCGCGGAGACGCCGCAACCGGAACCGTCAGTGTACCTTCCTCCACATCCAGGACCGAATCCTGTCCGGCGCAGGGCACCAGGGCTAGGCTTTCTCAATGCGCTGAGCTATACCCTGCATGGAATGATGGACGTAGATCCTGAGACCGCGCGGCGAAACAATATTAGCAAGACACGGGAGACGATCTCCCAGGTGTGTAAACTCTCACAATAGTCGTGACTAAGTCAACTTACATATCTGCGCGTAGCTCGAGGATGCCTTGCATCTTTCTGCCCAGGACTTGAAATATTCCAGCTCAACGATACAAGCTGATCTCGACCGCTTCCAACGACAGAAGGTTGCGGATTTGCGGGAAATGACCATCAGCATGGCTAGGAGCCACCGAGACTGGTGTAGGAAGGTGTGTGGTGACGGAATCCATCTGTGCCTGTCTTTCATACTTTTGATTGTGCAGAACCTCGCTGCTTGGGAGGAAGCGAAGGCTGAGATCGCGAAGATACCTGATCACCCTAATCGGATACCTGAAGGAGCAAATGGCAAAGCTACTGCCAATAGGAGAGACTCGACTGCAACTATCAATGGACGTTGAGCTCCCATGACGAAAGCTGGGAAGAAAGCTGTTTGTCCTTGTTCTTCGCTCATGGGCCGTCGCTCCGGGTAGATCACTCGTGCTAATCGCTTTGCTCACTCGTTCCTTATCATGTATATGCTAGATACTATTAGGAAGCCATTTAGTCGTGTTGACTTGTGGACGAGGGACATGGAGCGGAGCGCGTTTCTGATCGAGTGCTTGATGGTCATCAACTGCAAGCGATTTGTTTGTATGGTACGAAGTCCTCGAGCTCATATATACATCGTGTTATCATAGTGATTTGATGAAGTCAGCTGGCTCAATGGCCTACTCGAGTACAGCTGCTCGTGGTAGGAGGGCTCAAGCAATTGACTCGCTGTCGGACGCATCACTGCACCCCTTGGTTCGTAGTCGAAGCTACTGCACCTGAACAACAGTCCATGACAACTTCCCGGACTACTACCAGACGGCGTCCCGGTAAAAGCCGTAGAAGATGAGGACAGGACTATCGACAACGTGAGGCTCTGCAGAAAAGTCATACGTGTTCCGGAGAGGACAGATGCACTTACTATGTATCTCGCCCTATGCTCCACACATCCGTGGCTTAGTTTGTAGTACTGACTGCATGCTTGTGCTGCCAGGTGGAGCCTATTTTATTCCAGTTCCATATAGTATAGGATGGCGTAAAAACATTGTCCAAAAGCGAAGTCATTCCTCATTTGTATCCGTAGACACTTGTGGTTGTCTGTGTGAGTTGGAGACAGGTCCTGGCCTCTGTATCCAGTTTCTGGCATTGTTTTGTCATCATTATCACTAAAAAGCCGACACCTTCATCCACGGTCGCAGCGCACATGTGGACCCACAGCAACGTTACAACTGTAGGCGTTAATTGTAGTCTCCTGAGAGCAGACTGATAAACAATTCCTTCAACCTACGCCGGCTCCGGATATGCTAATTGGTCAGTTTGTACGCTCGATGTTATCAAACCACAGTGGCGAGGATGTTGAACGTTTGAATCCGCGTAGTATACAGTGCATGGCGAAGACGACTAGCGTCCTATTTGAAACGTGTGTGTGCCACTGTCTGCAAGACTTGCCTTGGCTGTCATGCGGTGTCGACGGTTACTGGGTATACAAATTTATACTCAAATCGTGATATCGTCTTTCCGCCGCCACAGTAGATCGCCACACCTTCAAGCTCCGCCGGCAGTGGCGACTCGACGCGGTGGTGGCAATCGTGGCTTCTGCTCTGCTGCCTTGAAGGACATCTCACATTTATCTCGACCACTTTTTTATAACCTCGCGCATTCGAAGATCCGAACAGTACATGGTGGACGCTATCGAGAGCGCACCTGAAGCGCTGCCCGCGCTCCGCTTGGTGGACGCCTTGGTACAGCAGGTTCAGCAAGACGGACCTTCAGTCAGGTATTTCGCCATAACCATGCAGTTTAAAACAGTGTATCATCCTAACTGATCTACTACAATGCGCCAGTATAAACTATGTGAGTGGTGTTGCTGCTTTCACAATCCCCGTGTAACGATCAGTACTCCTGGAACTAGCTACAATGTGTAGAATCGGCGATGTCATCTGCTCTGTTAACTTTGCGACAACGTCTCAATACAACTCTCCCCATCCATCGCCTACCTGTCGAATTACTTGCGATGATCATGCGCCATGCCGCAGCGTATTTCTTGTCCGGAAGGTTTCCCTGGCGCCGCCAGCTATGCGACCCTCAAGTCGTTCTCACGCTATCTTCCGTCTGCACCCATTGGCGGAGTGTAGCCCTAGGGTCATCTAGTCTGTGGTCAACGCTGGATTTATCCCGTCATAGGTTGGTATCATCGGTGGCCCTACTGGACGTAAACATCACACACCGCGGGTTAGTACCAAATCTCAACACAGCACTCCAGAAACAAGGACCACGTATCCGGACGCTACACATTCGAGCCAATGACCAAGACGATCCCGTTCTCAATATCTTGGCCTTCGACGCAGCACAGCTCCGAAAAATCGAGTTAATTTGCTGGGACAAACCTTGTATCGATGATCTGAATGATGATATCCATGAAGAGCCGTTGTATCTTGGCGGCCACCTGCTTGGCGCCCCTCGCCTTGAACGCCTCTACATGGATCAACTAGTCCGGGTGCCCGCGAATCACTTCCCCACTTTGTGCGAGATTCATCTCGTATGTTGCGCTGTACCGTCGCTCTTCGATGTGATCAACCTGCTAAATAACACCCCGCAACTCAAGTATCTAACCCTCCATTCATTGATGGTCTGCAGGACGAATACTCCGGAAGCATGGGAAGAGGCTCCTGTGACCCTGCATAGTGTACAGGTAATCAATATTAGCTTGATCCTCTCATCCCTGGTGGTCGGCCTGCTGTCGAGGTTGGATCTACCTCCAAAGATGATTTTGCGTTTGGAGGCCATTCAAGGACCCGCATTGCGTATCCCTCGCCTTCCCATTTTCGATCAACTCACAAGGCTCAAGGTGACGCCAGTAAAAAGACGGTGCTCCGTTCTCGCACTTGGAGTAGCGTCTGCGTTGCGAACCGATATGGTAAAGATGGCCAGCGACATGAGAAACGACGCTAACGCGTTGTGCTTCCATTTGGGGTCACTCTGTATACCTTTACAGCAGATCACGGAACTCTGGATCAGCGGCGATTGTGTCCTCAAAGAAACAGCCCTCCGACTCCTCTTGGCCATGCCATCTCTTGTGAAGATATCATGCAATGCCAATACCATGAACAGGATCTGCAGGGACATCCTGTCTTCGGGTCTGGAAGGGTTACTGGCGGCACCATCTGTCGAGGCCGGTCCTGCTTTACGAATGTTACAGTGCACTATCAGCCATGGGAGCTCACTGGACATAGGAGCTCTGATCACCCTACTCGATCTGCGAATACGACTCGGGAAGCCTATACACCATCTTCATATTGTAGGAATGATCGCCCGTGATCGCCTTGACCTGTGGGGACCGCTCGCTGAGCGCGTTGATTCATTGGTATTGTCGGAGTTGACCAATCGCCCAAGGATGGAGTTGCCAGCATTTTGCACCGAACACTCGCATAGCTACTATTTTGAAAAGTAGTCGGTGCGATTGCCGAATCATCACAGTTCTACAGCTTTGTATGACCTGTACATAATTCGAGACTTTGTACATACTCCGCTACTTGCGCAAGACGCAAGATGAAGTGTATATCGCATGATGCTTTCAAGCAGTAGTTATATCAGATGTTCCATGTTCCCGTGCTATCATCATTCTGGAAATGTGTTCGTAACATCGAATAAAGTACATACACGATAAGAAAAGAGAAACAGTTCTAGGTCGATGAAGAAATATCCGAAATAGGCGATGTATAGTATGCATGCATGAGAAAGTACATAATGAATCGTGACTTCGGGTCATGAACCCGACCGCGTGAACGTGATCCAATCCCACCACCTAAAAGAGTCTAAAAGAAGAGACAGCCTGCGAGTGGGCCGTCTAGATAGCAATCCCCTTGTCGGCGTCAGGCAAATTGACCGACTCGAAAGACAAGCCTTCAGCATCTCGCACGAGGACACCGGCGCGTGGCATCGACGACGCTGGACTCACGGGCTCTGTCGAGGAATCCGCAAGCGAAGACGTGTCCGAACCTGGATACGGCAGGTCCTGCTGGGCGGATGCTTCCGTCGGGCGGGTGGGCGTCGACGTCGACGAGATGCTTGACCGCGGGCTGAATAGCCCGCCCAGTTTCCGAGCGACAGGCGACGGGACCCCAGCACTCGCAGCGGACACAGGTGGTGCCGCGGGAGTATTCACGGGAGTAGCAGGCGTGTCCGAGCTCCAGAGTTTGAAACCCCATCGCGAGCCACTGCTTGGGCTTGCCGCCGAGACAGGTGGCAGTGGCTGTTTCATCCCAGGGCGTGCATTACTCCGGGACGGTTGCTCGCCCACGCTGTTCTCAGCGATGAACGTGCGCAAAGCGCGCACGCACATTTCTGAGGCCTCCCTTGCCTCGTGCGCTTCGCTCGCATCATGCTTGGCCTCTTCGAGCTGGTCCTTAACCACGGCGAGCTCTTTTCGGAGTGTCTCGAACTCCGTCGGGTCGAAGGGAGGCACATCGGGCAGTGTTGGGGGTGCGTGTCCGAACATGCCAGAGAAACGCCGTGACTGACCGCTCATTGGCGAAGGAGCGGCACGCGCGGGTGGCGAAAACTCTGTGGCGCCAGGAGACGAGGGCCATTGACTGTTCTGTCCGAAGCTGGGTGCGCTCATAAGCCCTGGGTCCGAGAATGATGCTATTCGGCGATGGCCCATTTGGCCTACAGGGTTGCCAGTTAAGGGGATGAACGAGGCGCGCTTGGAGGAAGGGAGTCCATTCGAGGACGCGCCCGGGCGGGAGAGATCGAGGGTCAGATTAGACACCTGGCTCGCTCGCCGACTCTCCGTCTGCAGCCTCATCAGGGCTCGTCTAATATGCCAGCTTGTTAAGCAGCCAGAACAAGGCGTTGAATAATCGCAAAGCGCACCTGCTCTCTTCCACTTTCTGGCGGAGCATGGAAATGGCCTCTTCATCTTCCTTGTGTTGCTCGCGTGCGTTTGTCAACTCCGCTTCCGTGCGGAGGCATTTGTCAGTGACGGTGTGCAAGGCCTCCTTGAGGTTGTCCTCGCGATATTTGGTCTCCGCGAGCTCATCGGAGAGGGCGTCGCGCTCCTTCGTTCTCTCCTCCAGCAACATGCGGAGTTGGGTCACGATCGATGCTAGTACATGAGTGTCGAGGGACTGTGGCCGGCCATTGGGTGCAGGGGAGTTGGGCAGAGATTCGTTGTCCAGCTGCCGTTCAAGTTCGAGCGTCAAGTCTATAGAATGTGGTCGGGTAGAGGTGGGGGATAGTTGGTTGTGATCAACCAGGTCGTCGAATGAGTTGGGCATGACGAGAGCGGTGGCCATGGTGGTTGATATTTGAGAGACAAGCCGCAGACCGAGCAATGAACCAAGGGGCAAGATATGAGAGCTCGGGCTCCAGCTACGGAAAGCTGCGCTGCCGACACTGGCTAGAGGCAGTGGTAGATGAAATAGGACGCAGCAAACACGACGCGTCTGTCGCAGGCAGACATATCGCGTGCCACCGTCGTCCTATGTCCCTGTCAGCATATGCCTAGCCGGATCTATCCCATTGTTGCTACGAAACGGCAGCCCCGTGCTCTGCCGCCCCAAAATTCGAATAGAAGGCGCGCACATTTCCAACTAAGACTCCAATAACTTCTACACATACATCCGTGTCTGCTCGACGCACTGTCTACTACCATACAATACATCATACAGAGGGGGGAGTTCTTTCATTTCATTCCTCGAGAAGCAGCCACAATCCAGCATCAAATGATCCCCGAACCCGCATCGTCATTGGTGGGTGAGGGCATCAACGCAAATCACACCGTCGCGTTCACTCCAAGGATATCCCCACAGGTGCAGCCATTCGCGCACACCTGCCGCGAGACGGACCCGAGAGGCGCCACGAGCTGGGTCTTGTGAACCCGTGTGCTTTTCTTCACCCACGACTAGATAAGCTATAGAACATCGACGTCAGTGTCTATTCATATCCCATGGAGCATGAGACACCCACCCAGGCCGTAGAAGTGTTCCCGCTCAAGCTACGCGACCGCATGAGTACCATGAACCATACGCAATGCCACATGACTCACCGCGAGCAGGAACTCCTCCAGGATCTCAGCAGCCTCTGCTGCGTGCAGGCCATGCAAGTCAAGCAACACTTCCGTGCGCTCTTCAGGTGTCAGCTTCTTTTCTCCATTGACATTCTGGCTTGCGATGCCCAAGCACACGCCCAGCCCTGCACCAGAGATACGGCCTCGGGCGGTACGGTCGCCATAATCGTCAGACCAGCCAGAATCTCGAACACGCACCGCCTGCTCAGCGAGGCGTGCCCGCTCGCGCACGAGCTTTCCAGCAGCCTCCACCATCTCTGCACTCATCTTCGCATTGAGGTCATGACCCTCGCGGCTGAACCGCTTCGCTGCAGCACCATCGCCTCTCCTCCACGCGTCAGCAGCTCGCGACAGACAGGCATTGCGTGCGGCTCCCAAGCGCAGAGCTCTGGAGAATGTCAACAACACAAGTCATTGTCTCGATTTCAAGAACTCACCTGGAACGATATGCCATGTACAGCTGGCTCACGGATTCGCCCGTGGGCAGTGTCGGTAGTAGCGTGGGCGGACGCAGTTTGAGACGAGGGGATGGCTTCGGCGCGACGACAGACGTCTGATGTAATGGTTCGGCTGCAACACCCATCGCCTCCCGTCGTGCCATAATCAACGCAGGGTCCTTGGGCGACTGCACTTGCGGCGACGTCGGCACGGAAGCGGGAGCAGGTCTCTTGACTGCCGTAGCAAACCTCGTGCGTCCCGGGTCATGGTATCCATTGTCCCGCACATAGCGGTAACCGCCACGACCATTTCGGCCTGCGTCAGCAGCATAGTTCAGAGAAGGAAACTCGTCTGGTGAAGCACTGCGTGCATGTTCAAGCGGCGCAGCATTGATGTCTGTACGCGCCATAGCATGGGTGAGGGTGGATACGTCGATGTCTTTTGGAAGATGATGCAAGAATTCGCAATTCTCGCCCTTAGCGCATGTACCGCGCAGCCAGAATCTGCAGAGTGCCCGTTCAAGGTCATGACTACGTGCAACTGATCAACATTCCTCCTCGGAAAAAGGAAAAAGGATACATACCTGAAACGACAATCCGCGCGCAAACACTCCCCAGCGAGGAAGTATCTGCACACCCTGTTGCCTCCAGGGACAGGACGCCCGTTCACGATCCGCTGTCCATAGCGCATTCCAGGTGTATTAGGGTTGTTATACCCGCCTCTACCGCCACGCACCATTCCATTCCCGCCCTCTCGCGACACCATCATGACCCGATTTCCCATTGACTGAATTCTGATTGGCCCGTTCGTCGGGGGCGATGCTGTCATCGAGCGATCTACGAGCCAAGTCATCGCCTTCTCGAAATCGTACCCGTTCGTTGCAAGTGCCTCTTCGAGCTCGGACGGCGCGAGCGTCGCGCCGAACACGGAGCTCAGCACGTCGAACGGCGTCATGCCGTCCGTGAGCATCGCCGCTGCCTCTGGATCCATATCCTCGCCTTCCGGCGGGGGAGGTGCCTGTCCAATCACGCCATAGGGCGCATCCCCACTGACGTGCGGGCCATCCTGCGAAGGCGAGGAACCCGACAGGGGTGGAGTGGGCCATTGCGCATCAAATTCGCCCGCGACGGGATGGAAGGAGCGCGGTATGTTGCTCGCCGCGAAAGGATCGAACGGATCCTCTTCGTCGCTCTGGTCATCGGGACGCATTGACGAGCGGAGCGACGAGCTCGGGGTAAGCGCGCGGGGGAGCAAAGCGCTGTCAGGGGTGAGCGGCGCCGCGATTGCAAGCTTGGACGTCGGGCGCTGAGGGTTGTGCGCCCACATGTCCGGGGATGGCGTCTCCGCACGCAACTGTGAGAGTGACGCAGGGTGTGACGACGCAGCTGAGAGCGGGCGCGGGATGGGCCTGAACTCGTTTGCTTTCGCATTCAGGGAACGCGGGGAACCGATTGGGGACGCGGGGAGGCTGGAGACGAACTGCACAGTTGTAATGAGTGGCGAGTTACTCGGCGAGTCGCTGCGCGCAGTGATGTACGAGGACGCCTGCGTTTGCACGAGCGGCGAGGTCACAGGCGTGTGCGGGCGACGGAAGATCATAGCGAGCGGCGAGCTGGGTGCCGAGTTGGGCGTATCTGGGCGGGCGATGAGCCGCGCCGAATGAGACGACGCGCGCGAGGAGGGGCGGGAGATAGGCCGGCGCGTTGGGGTGAGGAACATGAAGGGAACATTGTCGACATCGTCTCGATGCTTATGCATGAGATCAAGTACATGTTGTTCCAGCTGTATGATGGGGTCAGTACACAGGAATACAGAGGACACGCAGTATGAGAGTGAAGAGAAGTTGTCATAGCCGATCGAAGTTCGACCACTGCATTTCGCGTAGAAAGCCTCACGGGCTCGTGCTTAACGTCCCGCATATGTCATTTTAAACGATTAAGAGAACTCGGTGGACTACTCTATGCAGTAGGAGCGCAGGAACCATTCGGATCAGGCCTAAGCACACTCACTTCCTCCTCGTCTATGTGTCCAAAGGTCTCCTTGAGCAACGTCTTCAGATCGTCCTCGCGCTCATTGTCAAGAAGAACGGCGACGCGTCCAACGAGCACAGCATTGACACGCAGGTCGTCGCCGTCCGCGTCGTGATCATAGGCGTCGACGGACCTGTACTGACGCGCAATCGCAGAGAGCTGCGCACGAGTGTGTGGAAACTTTGGCTGCGCGGCCGAGTCGTGCCCAGAGAGAGACCCTGAATCCGAGATATCACTAGAGGGTGCTGGGATGGAGATTATGGGCGGGGCGAGCATGGTGAGTATGGGTCAGGGAGACCACTCCCGCATCACGAGTGTTGTAGGCAAGAGGGACTTTGTCGCTCCCAGGGGCCAATCACTAGCCGTGATCTCGATGTTTACTTGCTCGTTGACCTTCCTGTCTGCTCGTACACTCGTACTCATGCGCCTATGAGGACTATAATTGCGTCTACAGCTATAAACATAACTACGGGGTAGAAGACATTGTAACCGCGACGAACAAGCCGGTCTAGACAAAGCGGAGCCAAATCCCACGCGGCATATTCATTGCCGTATATGGAAGCCACGATCTACGTAGATCTGGACTCATAAATGCCATTCTCAAGCTCCAGCTGGAGGAATCTTCGTTCCCAAATCCTGAGTTTGGCTGTTCAGAAATACACTATGACCACGATGGAGGGGACATCACGCTAAAACACAGCCAATGGTGCTACTGTTCGGGCCCCTGTGCTTGAGGGGCCGTTTATATATTGGAAGTAATCCTTGCAGTGGAACATGATCCAACTTATCACTCGGAAAGCCGCTCACGAGGCCCGTCCCAGATTATTTTACCGTCAAGGCCACGTCGCTGCTTCTGTAAGTCGTACGCTTTGTGCTAATTGTAATTGTCATTTGAAAGCCGAGACCCTCGAGGTGTGCAATTACAAATGTTGAAGAATTCTCGCTCGAAGAATCATCACAGCATATCCTCCAGGCTCATTTGCCCACGAGAATCACATAGCCTCAATTTGCGGTCGGTGGATCTGTTTAATCCACCGAAGATAATGCCCATCATGGGCACCGATTCACGTACGACAACATCGAGTGAATAGCATCAAGGGCCCTCGGGCTTGCACGTTTGACAACTTCCGAAAAAGTGGCCGCATCTTTTCGCCTCCGCAAGCGGCGAATCGGAAGCTCATTCAAAAAATTTCACGGCCATACTGTCTTGGTGGGTCCTGACGTCTCAATGGGGTGAAGAACACGCTGGTTAGGCATGTAATGGAGCTCAATACAATGAGATGATGCGGAAGCATGCCAATTGTGGATGCCTTCATACCAATTTGTGTTGGTCGCTCAAATCAGACAACGATGATATTATTACGGCCCTTACAGTACCATCTGAAGCACATTTGGTCACTTTTCTGAAGCATCACGGCTTCACGAACATAATTTTAGGAAAGCCAGCCACCATGGCAGTCGTGATCCTGGATGTACTTATACCACCTCCCGCCGTTGGCTTGCTATCCGAAGCCCAGCGTCTCACATCTAATAGCACACCTGTAAGTTCACTCCTGGTTCGATGCTCTCTCCAGGTTCTTTATCTTGCACTCAGGAAGTTGGTTTATCGTTCAGATCATGAGTTCAGCAATCCTTATGTCCGTCGTGAAGCTTGCTGCGTCGGAAATTTTCAGTGCGATCAAGAAGAACATATTCAAACCCGCGTCCGACGGTATAGATGAGATCCTCAAGGGACAGGAGCAAATCAAAGATCTCATCAAGGAAGTTAGCCACCAGGTGGCCCTCCGTGAATCTATGAATCTCATCTACTACTGGACGAACCGTATGGGGGAGATCTTGGACGAGATGGAGCGGTGCGCAACTGGTCCTCTCAATTCATCTCTTATTCAGTGTGCTCATGTTACTGGTTAGGAACAACCAGACCGCCGACGATAGCGCGGCTTACCAAGAGCTCATGTCCGCTCTGCGGAGCGAATCATCCGGCATTCGCTTCCAGACGTTCTGCGTTTACACGGCCATATCGGGCCTCCCAGGCCCATTGGGCGGCGAGGGGTATCTCGGCTTCTGGGACGAACAGGCATACAAGAAGCTTTCCGATCCGACCGACTCGAAGTACACCCTCAAAAACTACGTCGATGATCTAGACTCTTCCCTTGAAGCCGTCGCCCGTCTCCTCCGCCATGGGCTCATGTTGAGTCTCTTCGTCGCCTCTGGTACGCACCTTCTTTTTCCTATGTCAAGATTCACGTTGATTGACTCGAATATACGTGGATATGCTATTCAGACGAGGTCGACGCCAATAAGTTGAGAGATGATTGTGGAGGCCGCATCACATTCTTTCAGACTACTCTCTACGACACTTACTACCCTATCGGCCTTCGAGAACTCAAGCCCAGTGGGTACAACGATCGTGGAGAACAGCACGGCCAGTGGTACCGTCTCGACAAAGAAGGAGCTAGCAAACGCCTCCGTGTCACGCGCCAAATGATCAACGAGATAGTCGTGGGCAGTGGAAACGATTCCGACAAAAGCGCAGGTTTCCAGTTCATCCAGGATACAGTCCCTCTGGGGCTACTCCAGATGGTTTGCGGAGTCGATGACCGTGGAAACCGTCGGGTCAATTACTATGACCGCGTTGGAAATATGGGGATGCGGGAGCGCGCTTGGAGCACAAACACAGACAAGACTTGGTCGGCGCTCGTCCTTTTCAAATGGATTCCCATCGACGTAAACCGTGAGGAGTCTAGGTGGTCTCTTCGCTTAGCTCCATTCATTGCCTCGACGGGGCGCGCTCAGGACGACGGCCGGGGAACATTCGGTGCTCACTTCACTGTGCGCAAGATAGCAAGCCCTATCTAGGACAATACCTGCACGATTCCGCCTAGCACTAACGAGCCTTCGTGTACTTACCTGACATGATATATAGTTTGACATTTGTATTCAAGGTGCTCTTTATCATGAAGGGCCGCCGGATGCCGATCCGGATGCCGATTCAGGAAAACCGATATATATTCAGATGGTAGTCGTATATCCAGCCCACTTCCTCTTCCGTGGACACGCTTTGCGATGCGAGCGAAGACCGCCTACGTAGGTGTCATCTTATGTATCATCTTCGCGAGGCAATCACTTTTATCATCATCTGTGAGCGCATGAGCAGGTGAAGATTGGCTACATAGAGCACGACGCGAGATACTCGGTCAAATTTCGAAGGATCTAGGCGGTGGGTACGTGAAATGGTGGAGATGACGACAAGTTGTATACTTATATTATTTAGATTGATGTACCATTCTGAAGCGCGGATTCTGTGAGATCGACAAGATGTGAGGAGCGGTTCGCACGAGTACCATCAACATCAACCACATCTCCTTTGATAGCCCTGAGTGATGATTGTGGAAGTCAGCCATCTGATGGTACGTCGAGACGCCATGCCGTAGCAAATACCAACCACCGAGCGGTGATTCCTGCAATAACGTGTCGACGAGTCAGTTCATAGTGCATGTGCCATTCAGCCTCCTTTCATGCTCATGCAACAGCACAGCACCCGCAGGGAAGGCGCTAGATACGACTACGTAGACGTGATATCGATGCTAGAATCCGATCATCAGGATGGTAATACAAAACGATCAGGCAAAGTAACAGCGCAGTCGTGAGTTACGTTGCTAGTACTTGAGCCACTGGAGATTGTAGCTATTCTAGGGAAAGGCGATGTTGACTCGCCGATATCAGCCAACCACGGTCTCTCAATGGTATCTAACTCCGGTAGATTTGGTGCCTGTCTGTCCTTGTGGCACTCGGCTATATACTGCCGCTTTCGACGACCCATGTACCACATCTCTACGGTAGTCAAGATCACATGGACAGGTTATGGCTCGGGGTAAATTTGGGTGTGAAGAGGCCAATGGGACAGCACTACCAGCCCTTGTTTCCTTTTATTGACTGGACGTCTTCCTCTTCGGTGTATTGTAGTTAGGATGCTGGTCTTGGCACTTTGATGCTCTTGGGTTACACTCATAAGTATGTGGCGCAATCACAGCGTCGCCAGAGGGAAGACGCCGGACGACGAAGGACACGTGGGGGGGAATTGCTGTATATGGGCAAGTCTGGCCTCGGCGCCGGGTCGAGGACATATGAGATCTGATATTGTGGATGTCGAGGGCGGGGTGAAGCCGCCACGGCCAGAGGGTTATGCCTGCCCGTTTCCCGTCCGCTGTACTCCGCTTGGTTTCCGCCCCCAACTCGACTTATATCCTACTGTTTTGATGACAACTGTCTGGCCTTGTTGACATCGGTATATCTTCCCAAAGTGCATCAGAGATGCCTTACATACCCACCTGACGCTGATTACACAGACAACGAGGACACATAGTTAGCTTGCTCATTCATCTCGCCCCCCGTCCCAAGGTCTTCTCCCATGTCGTCGAAAAGCCCACTTGTGGACAAACAGAGGCGGCGGTCCAACGTTCCCTTGTCATGTGCGGAGTGTAGACGGTGCGTTGCTGAGTTTGTCGGCAGCCGTTGCACAGTTGACGCCCAATACCCCAGGCTTAAGTTGAAGTCCGTGAATGTCGTATTTTGTCCCCCTGGCTTGAGTTTCACGCGTTCTCTTTCATCATTACACAGATGCTCCCGCCAATTCCCGTGCTCGAGCTGCGTGAAGAAAGGTTGTGCTGCGATTTGCCCAGATGGTGCGCCGCCTGAATTGTAGATCGCAGATCCCGCAACGTTCTTACGTTCGTGCTTCCAGGTTCTCTCACTACCGGCAAGGGTAACCGGTAAGTCCTGCGCTATTCTTCGGCTGCCTGTGAGGCTGATGTGCTGTTAGTTTTGTTCTCGCAAACACCGAGGTTCTGCATGAAAAGATCACCACACTAGCAAATCGCGTTAGACAGCTCGAGGATGCCTTGCATGATGTCTATGGCCAAGTCTCGTCTGAAAGACATCCTCTTTTATCAGATGAGCTTCTGCAGATAAAGCGGCCACTCGAAAGAGAGGCTCCAGACGAGACACCGCAAGATCCAGATCCAGACACGGCAGAGGCTATCGACCAAGTTGGATCTCTGTGAGCTTTAGGCTTTTAGCCGTGACATTCGGACCAAGCTTATCGTGGTTTAGATCGATCAACGATGCAGGGGAGGGGAAGTTCTACGGACCTGCCGCTAATGCATGGGTACGTCATTTCGATTTCGAAGACGAACTTCTGCACTTTTTGGCTAACATTCCCCTTATAGTACCTCTTACAGGTGCGCGTGGATCGTGAACCCCAAGACGTCCGCTAACCGCGCGTTTGTGTAGAATGAAGATGGCACCGAAGAGGCATCTGAGAGCCCGCAATCTGCGCTGCCGTCAGATATTCCTTGGATTAGCTACACGTTCCCGTTCTCTTCCAGTGCCACGTTGACCCCCTCGAGTGTCCGTGCCTCTCTTATAGACATGCTTCCGGGGTTACCAGAAGCTCGCCGCTTAGCTGCACTCTATTTCAGGCATGCGGCATGGATGTACGTGCACGGCATGGCGACGCGTATTTATCCCCGCATAATTGACCGGCCTGATGCCAGGTATACGCCGATACCGGAGAATGAATTTTACAACAGCGTCCTCACGCGATTTTATGAATCATCGGCGATGGTAGATCAAGATCCTACGGACTCGCACAGATTAGCGATCATGTACCTGGTCCTGGCTATGGGTGTTCTGCTTGATCTCGACCAGCAGCCGTTGACGGCGGAGGCGACACGGTACTATCAGTTAGGTCGTGCTGCTCTTGCGTTAGACTCTATTTTGGAGCATCAGACGATACAGGCCGTGCAAGCGTTGGTCAGTACCCGCTCCGATGTCCACGGACGCTTGCTCATCGCACGTGAATAGGTACTGATGTGCCATTTCATGTTTTTCTCCCATGTCGACGGTTCGCGATGGGCTCTCATGGGGCTCGCAGTCAAATTGGCACTTACTGTAAGCTCGGACAGCTACTTCTAGCGCGATCACTTCATTGACACTATATACAGCTTGGCCTCCGTAAGGCGATCGCATGCATAATGTCGTAAACTGCACTAATTCGCTTGCGTTACCGAGATCGCGACGGGAATAAGTGGAACCTCGATCCGGATGAAGCATTCAGACGGCGAACGTTGTTTTATGAGCTCCTCACGTATGATTCTTGGCAGGTATGTTCGGACGGGCTGACCGAGGCGTCTTACTTGTACTCCTGGTTAATCCGATCACCTCAGAGCCTCACCTTTGGCCGACCGCCGTCGCTCTCTATGGCGTTCATCGATTGCCAAATTCCTGAGCCCATCACTAAGACCGATCAGGGCGAGCCCGAGATGAGCTGTACGTGCGCGTTTCGTCGCGAGGCAGAATGAGCATTGTTCTGACAGGCTTCCGCGCCAACAGTTTCCGCCTGGAAACATCGGTTTGTGTCACGCTGCCAGAGCGTCGTCCACGAGCAGGCGTTCGGTGCGCGAATCACTAATTATCGCACTATTCTGGACCTCGACAAGAAGGTCCGTGACTTCTATCTACCACCTTCCCTGCGTGTGCCCGGGTTCGGCGGTGCGAAGATGGACCCGGACGCGCCCCCTGCTACCCTACAGCAGGTTCTGCAGGGATATTGTGCCTTTTCGATGCGCGAAATCAGTGAGTCAATGCATTATGACTCCGTCTGAGCGGAGACTATAACTCGTGATCCGCAGCTATCTTCTATATGCATCGTGGCTTCTTTGCCAGCGCACTGCAGGACCACCCCGAGGACCCGCTCAGCAGCAAATATGCGCCCTCGGTTCTGGCCGCCTACAACAGTGCATGCTCCTACGTTGGCCTCGTCAGGAGCCAGTACTCACAATATCCGGACCTGACTGAGCGCATGTGGTTCCTTTTCACACATGTCTTCTCCTGCGCGGTACGCCACCTACGCTCGTGTTGATGGCGTTGACCCTGACATTTTGGTGCAGATCGTGCTCGGTGCTATCCCATCGAAGAGTCCGACCATCCCGCTCGCCCGTTCGGCCCTTTCTCACCTGGACTCCGCGTGCGGGTTGTTCGAGGATGTGGGACACAACCCACGTGCTGCGAAGGTGATTGTGAGTATTGTCTCTGCGCTCTCGCTGAATTGTAATCTGATAGTTGTCGTCTACAGCCGGTGCTGCGAAAGCTCAGGAGCAGAGCCCAAGCAGCCATGTCGGATCTTCAGGCTAGGACGGCGGCCCCGCGGACTGGCCTGCATCGCGTGGCCGCCAAGGCGGACGAGGAGCTCGATGCTCTCGGAGGTAAGACTCGTCTCGTGTCGCGCAAGTCCCCGTCGCTGCCATCGCCTACGTCATCTCGGGGGAGCTACTCCCAGGGCGGCTCTAGTCCTAGTCCCCGCGACCCCCACCCTCCAGAACTCTCGCCGATGCACCCCATGGCGCCTCCGATCCCCGAGCCCATGAACCAGATCCAGACATCGATGCTCGATATGTCCTCGCAGTGGCCAGGTTATATGCAGCAGGCTACCGGGTACTCGTACCAACCACAGTACGCTGACCCAGCCAATTACTGGACCCCAGCCTCAGACTATGCGACGATGCACGGCATTGTCGGGCAGCATTATCTGTCTCAGGAGCCGATGGGTCTTGATGCGAACGTCATTCAATCCGCTGCGTACGCCTACGTGGACCCGATGGCAGGATACGTCACTACTTACCCAGCTGGCGGTGGTTCTCCGGATGGGAACATGCAGCAACCTGATGCGTCGTGGCACAACCTCTTGGGCCAGCTTGATCAGGCATAGATTTCTCACTCACTCTGCAGCGATGATCATAACGTGTTTTATCATACATATTTCCCTTGTCTCCGGTTAGTGTATCAGGTAGCTCTCCTATTGCTCTGCTGCGTCCACATTTTGGCGGACGCTATACGTGTTCATGCTGAATTTACGAATGTAAAGATATGTTCTAGTATGTATGTGTTTGTGTGTATTACTCAATCCAATTAGATTGCGTTACTCTAATACATACTGTTACAACAGTCGCAGGTACAGCGAATGAAGGTTACCAAGGAAGATGAGACAAAGCAACATTGAGCTGGAGCAAAGCTCATACCGACAGGTCGAATTGGAGGGCCGAATGTTGAGACTTAATTTCGTGTAACCTGCAGGAGCGGTTATAGCGCTGGGCCCGTCATTGCTGTGCGATTTTCCTTTCTCCCTCTCACACTCACTTGAGGGATATGCGTCCATGGCAGCCATTCCACTGAATGAGCTGGAAGAATTGCTCAATGGTATGCAAGAAAAGAGATACCTCGCTCTTGCATCTGCAGTGGCCCTAGGATATGACTACTTCTTCACGGTTTCCCAGGAGGTACGTCGTCTGTCGTACCATCAGGCGAGGACGCAGCTTGCACGGTAGATCTGATTCGATTATGAGATACCGATCGTGTATAGTGCGGCACTTCCAATTGAAGAGAGGGGTGAAAATGCGGTTCTCATCGTCTAGCTTCAATCCAATTAACCAAATGACCCAAATCAGTCATGATGGATGCACGCCCGATTCATCTGTTGTTGCTTGAACTAGAATGATCCCGATCACTGTCTGTCCTGATCGAGGACGTGAACTGGCATGTTTCGGCCAGCCCATTATATTGCCCCGTAACGTGAAACTGAGACCGATCAGAGAGAGACCAACAGCAGCGTATATCTTCTGATAGGTATAGAGCCACATCGGGAGGCATCTTTAAATTCGGCAAGAGGCCGAGCACAGTAGCGACAGAAAGTCCACTGAGACCAATCTTTTGCACCGACTGCAGTGACACAATAGGCCCGTCCCAATCCCTCAGTCGGACGTCGTCAGGTATTTTCAGCGAGTATATAGTGAGGTCTACGATGTTAGGATACCACAACTATACATGATCCATTCGAGATGTCGCACACTTGCTGAAATAGAGCGAGGAAGCAACGACCGGGCATCCTGATGGACGGATGGGCTTCCACACTACGACGAACTAAATACAGCCTAAGATAACACAAGGTTAGTTCAACGAGTCGTCACAAATCGTGATGCATAACGCGCCAAGGGCCACCGCAGCCTTCCGACCAAACCAGCATAATCAACGAAGCCCCATTAAAGTAAACATTCGTACGAGCGCAATCGGGTGCCGTCGCGCTTCCTACTCCCAGAGTTCGCTCGGAGCGTCACTGCAAGCTGCAGGCAGTCTCGTCTTCCATGAAGTCGTGATTGAGGGCATCTCGAGCTTGTCGACCCGGGCAGCAAGCGGCCCCTCAAAGTCCGTCCGGTCTTGGGGAGACAGACCCTCCATGACGAGGTGCTGGATTCGGTGGCCACACCGAATATATAGGTCTAGGAGACCGACCAGGAGAGCGACGTCGATAGATCGCTCGTTGCTGTGGGCAGCGCAGTGAATGGCTTTGAGAGAGGGGCAGTGTGTGGTCGGAGGTAAATACGCATTCACGGAGAAGTTCGATTTCCTGATGAGGAATGCGCAGATGTGATTCAGAGAGGTACTCCCGCAGGCAAGTCTCTCGAGGCTGGGCAAAAATGGAATGATGTTGTCAAATGGGAGATCTGAGGATTCACCGTCGGCACAAAGCTCTGTGATGGCGCACAGCGAGGGCTGTAATATATTCCATATACCGTTGGATGAGGGGTTGTCATGCTTGAAGACAAAAGTAGAAGGTGCTCCAGCTGCGACAATGCGGCGCCCATCTGTCCACAGCGACCTTGCGGAGTCAAGCATAGGGAGCCTTAGCATGTTTTCCCCAGTACCCACGTAAGGCGACAACAGAAATACTATCTTTGGAGGCGATGTCAATGGAGATAGAAAGTCGGCTATGTCTTCTGCCGACACTGAACGCATACTGATTCTGCATACGGAATGCAACGGGACGGGCTGCGTCCTTCGGGTAGACCGGTGACGCGAATCTTCGAAGAAAATGTTGTCAAGGAAAAGCTCTTCGAGATTGGGGGCGCCTGTTAGGAAATGGTGAAGATCCAACAAGGACGGCAACGAGCACTCGGCGAGGTGTAGGAATCGAAGAGCGGTGAAGTGATTTTCTGGCATCCGAGGAACGCTAATCATGGTGAGCCTGGTAAGAGAAGAGGTATCGAGGTCGGGTGAGAACAATCTATCCCTGTTGAAATATTTGAGTTCCAATCGCAGATCTTGTAACTGCTTTGTGCAGTTGCATAGGGAATTGAAGGCGGATAAGTCGTCCACGTTGGCTACAATATATCGCAAAGTCCGGATTCGGGAGCTATGTTCTTGCAAAAGACGAGCGAATGTCTTCGAAGAATTCGTGACTTGTAGGTTCAATAGGCACATTCCCGACATCTGCAGCATCGATGATATTGCAGCAGGGAGCATCGATGAGTCGATCGTACACCAGAGAAACGGACAACCCAGCGCCGCCTGCCGCCATTGATGACAAACATGTGCCATGGTCCAGGAGAAATTCAGATCCTGGATCTGAGGTGTAGATGATGTGTGTTGGAATATCGGCTTATTGGACGTGATCGCCAAACACATTATGCTCGAAAGTATCTCTGGCGGTAGACGGCTGACAGGTTGAACATCATTCAAGCACCGTCGAAGCGTCGCGAGAGCGAGCGCTGTAACAGACTCAGCGGTATTAAGCTGGCCGAAGAACCTACATATCAGCACACGGATGAAATAAGAAAACGAAGAGCGTACAATGCTGGTACTGGAGAAGAAGGCACGTCAGTTTAAGTGCTAGGATCCTGAAAACGTCAGTACGTTTCCATACCTGAGTGTCAGGCCTTCCTGCTGTACCTGAGCGAGCAGAGCTTGCGCTAGCTGAAGAGTGGGGTGTGCCTCCATGCCTTGATTTATGCGGCGAGACAAGAGGAACTGTTGAGACGACGGCAATGTTTAGGCTCATCTCTGGACAGGCATTAGCGCTCTGCAGAGAGATCGGGCAAACGGTTGTATGGCCCCGATCAGTGCCAATTGCCGGGACAGAACATCCACCTCAGTCGACCACACCAGCTTTCTACAATTCACTGCTGCCGCAACACCTACGTTGGCATGCGCACTTGTTGATCGCTTTCTCTCAGAGATTATCCCGACTCTTTCTTGGGCGTGCTACTTCGTGAGTCGACAGCGCATCCCGCCTGGTCAACATGGATGCTGTAGATCCTCGTACGCGACACAAGGTGTCGTTGAACCCTCAAACGACAGGAAGCAGAGTGTATGCATTCACGAGTGATTGCTGCCCCTCGACGCATCTGACGTGCATGTCAGTGCTCCCTTCCCTTGGGTAATCCTCTCAGACGTCTTGCTCGTGCTCGCGCTCCATGCTGGAAAGACGTACCTCTTATCTGCAGACGTTAGTCTGTTCTGGGTTCTTGTTCGTGTGTTAGCATGCGGGGCTGTGGGGCTCCTTGTGTGGGCCACAGTGGGCGGACAGCTGCGCAGGAAGCGGATAATCGAGGTGTGTCGCGGCATGGTCATCATCGAGGTTCGCAGTCATTAAGCCTGGCACAAGTGGTCTGTCCTCGGGACGTCATCCCTCCTTTTATTCCTCAAGCATGCGGGTTTATTGACGGCATTGTACCGACTTCCGACTACTAGGTGACCTTTCTGCTGCAGGGTCATCTAAATGCAACTAATACCTTGTGCGCAGGGTGGTTGTAGTGACCCGCTTCTCCCTTTTGTGGTTTAGGCACCTGCTCTCTCCTGCATCAGTAGGTCTTCATAACGCACGTGTAATTTGGAACTCAATTCTCGTTAAGCTCTTGCAAACTTGCGCGATTGTGCTCGCACTCTTCGTCGCTGCTATATCCGATGCAAGCCTCTCCTCCGAGAGTTTTCGCCAGGTGCTCCCAGCGTATGGCGCGCTACTTCTGGAAGCAGTTGCTTCAGGGGCCTTGGATCATACCCAGAGTGTCCTCTTGCCATCCCTCGGTGAACCCTTGACGCTCGCCCTCAGCACATGCGGGGCATTCGTGTTCAGCCTTCCATTATACATGCTTAGGCACGTCATGGTGCGTTCACATCTCGGCCTTATAATTTTGTCGTGATTGACTCGACACAGATAGACGTCCCTTCTGCATCGCACGCGGTCTCATTTGGTACACTGGCCGTGCTTGCCTTCCTCGCATACACGTTGCTCTTCCAAGCTCCAAAAGCTTCACGGCTTTTCCAGAGCTCGACGCTCCCTCCACAATATGTCATCGGGTCTTATATTGCGTCTTTGCTCACTTCCGTCGCGTTGGGTATTCTCGTATACGGCAAATACCCAAGACTGACTGATCTCATTGTCGGATCTCTACTTCTCTATGGTGAGCTATTAAGTGCACAGTCGCGACTGAGAACTGATGACGGTGATTAGGCGTCTATCCAAGACCCATAAATTCCGTTTCCGTGTCACCCTACGCGTCGAGCTCACGACTCGTTCGATCCTACCTGAAGACCATATTGTCAAACCCAGAATCCAGGAAGATATTCTACTTCCTTGTGCTGAACATGTGCTACATGCTTGTACAAATGGTGTATGGCGTCTGGACGAACAGTCTGGGTCTCATATCCGATGGTATGTGGAGATGGCATTAGCATATAGTTCCCTGGTTGACTTAAATCATGCATTGTCCGACAGCGATTCACATGGCGTTCGACTGCATGGCAATTGGCGTCGGTCTCATAGCATCTGTAATGGCTAGGTGGCCCCCGAACGAGCGTTTCACATACGGGTACTTCCATTACGCTCTTCCACCCTATGCAGATCAATGACTTGCAGATCTTAGATATGGCCGCATAGAGACACTCTCCGGCTTCGCCAACGGAATCTTCCTCATTCTCATCTCAGTATTCATCGTGTTCGAGGCTATTCAGCGATTGTATGGTTTTGCCTGTATCATGAACTTGTCCAGACCTGACTTCGCAGCGCAGATTGGAACCGCCCGAGATGAACACCAGTCAACTATTGCTGGTTAGCTCATTGGGGTTGGGTGTGAACCTCTTCGGGATGTTTGCTATGGGCGGACATCATCATGTATGACACTCTTCCTTCGTTCATTGCTACCACGCTGAGTCTATCTACTTCAGGGCGGGCACTCTCATTCGCATGGCCATAGTCATGGCCATGCTCACGGGCCGTCACCGCCAACGTCCCCGGCTCTTGACCATGATCATCATGCAGACCATTCGCATTCACATGCTGAAAACCATCACGACCACTCGCACGATGCTCCAGAGTTGCATTCACATTCGCATTCACACAGCGAGCACTCTCACTCCCATTCCCATGACCACGACCACCTGCCTTCTTCCCCCGTAGTATCATCCAGCCCCGCCCATCACTCGCATTCACACGATTCAGAACCTGCCATTCTCATTGAAAACGTCGATAGCGAACCAGTTCTCGAGTCATCCTCACATACGGGTCATACCCACTCCCATGATCACGATCATTCTCACTCACATTCGCACTCGCACACTAGCACCCACGATGAGGCACACTCTAACGAGCTGCTTGTAACCATCCCGAAGCGACTGCTCGTGACCGATAGCCCGCTCACGCCCAACTACAAATTCGGCCACGACGTGCACTACGAGACGCACCACTCCTCCGCGCACGGGCCCAACCTGCACGATCATTCGCATGTGCACGACCACGCGCACGAGGGTCACAGCCACAACATGCGCGGGGTTTTCCTACACGTCATGGCCGTATGTCTTCCCTTCTCTTCTCTTCTCGCCTTCCCTCGTACCACGACTCATTCCCGGTGGTCCGATGTGTAATTGCTGACTTCTCGAGTCTAGGACACCCTGGGTTCGGTCGGCGTCATCGTGTCCACGCTGCTGATCCAGTGGTACGGCTGGACGGGCTTCGACCCGATCGCGTCGCTCTTCATTGCCGTGCTCATCGCGGCGAGCGTGATTCCGCTCGTGATCGACACCGGCAAAGTGCTCGCACTCGACCTGTCAGACCGCGAGGCGCGTATCCGGGATACCCTCTCAGAGGTAAAGCAATGCAGTGGCATGATCCGAACAGTGTTGAATAACTAACGTGCTGCACAGCTACGCTCGATCGAGGGCCTGGCATCATACAACTCGGCACGCTTTTGGCCCAAGGACGACTCGAGCATCATCGGCAGCATACACATCCAGCTCGCGCCCTCGCACTCGTCGTACGACCCAACGGGACCGCACTCCAGCCGCAAGGTAACATACACAAACGTCGAGCGCGTCATCGAACGTGTCGACAAGCTACTACGTAGCCGTATATCCGGGCTTGAGGAGCTCACGATTCAAGTCGAGGGATCTCCCACTGGCCATTAACTCTCGGGATTCTCATTCGTCGTTCCACCGGTAACCCAAGCTGGGATGTTATTTGCGCAATGTACAAGACCCATGCAGATATATATTCCGGACAATGTACTGTACTAATCATACGTATGCTAATGGCACTGCGCACTGCATTCCCGACTGTCCTTATGGCAAAAATGATACGGTGTAATGGGCGACGAGGGTAAGCGTGAGGACACTCTACAGAAATTGTAGTGAAACAAGCGAGGTATATATAAGCTACAAGCGTGAGAGGGTGGATATTAGTGAAGTCTGCCTTGTTTGACTTTTGATGGGCCTAGATGCCAACATTATTCGTTCAGGTTGTTGAGCAGGGTAGTCAAGCATCTCTTCGTGACCATGTCACCCTGACACAACTGCTGTTAATCGAAACTAACGCCAGATGCACCTAGTACCTACCTTGAGCAACGCACTAAACGTATTATCACGCAATGGTTCCGGCAGACATTGTCGGAGCGCCTCCCTGGCTCTGTGACCAGGAATTAGTGGCTGACCAGCGACACCCTGGAGGGACCACGGCACTCACCTTAGGTTGTCACTCAGCCGAAGATAGCATCGCACAACGTGCTTCAACAGCCGCACAGCCTGCGTCTCCACGAGCTGGTTGACCATGTTGCTGAGCACAGTCCCGACGGCGTAGAAGCGCTCGTAGGTGTGACAGATGTACGTGAGCCCGGTCTCGTCCAGCAAAATCTTCTGCACAATGAAGATGGCGACTGTCTTGGAGAGTTCGGAGCCCGTCTCCATGATGCGCAAGCAGAGCGGGATGATTTCCGTGGACAGAAGGAAGTGAATAACGGTGTTGTTATCGTTTTGCTGGAATGACGAACAAACATCAAGACGAGAGAGCTAGAGAGCAAAAGGCTACATACCTTCACGAGAGCGCCGATGACACCGAGGGAGGTGAGACGCAAGTACTCGAATGGACGGGTCTTCGAGGTGGTGTTGAGAAACGGGTAGAGGAAAAGGGGGATGTGGGCTACGATAGGTCTAACGTTATTTCTCCTATCTCAGTGATGCCAGACTTAAGCACTCACCATTAAGAAAAAGCTGACGGGTGTCCGAATGAGAGGCTACACACTGCAAGAGGGCCAGAGCGTTGCAGACGCGGTTGGAGACGTGGGCGGTGAGATTGGGCGGTGTAAGGAGAGGATAGACTGAAACAATCTCTTGGAGGAGTGCGGGCATGACTCCTAAATACAACCCAGATAAGGGGCATCAGTCATGTGCAGGGAGGCATTTAAGAAGAAGCCGACCAAACGAGTGCCATAGCACTAATGCGAGGTCGTCGTATTGCTCCCTCTTCTTGCTCAGCTCGAGAAGCGCAGTCTCGCGAGTGTTTGAGTCTAGCAAATCGATAACAAGACCATATATTTTACTCTCTTCGTGTACGCCGAGACCAACTCCTGGGGCGTGACTGGCGAAAGGGTGGGTGGTATGCGTGAGGGGCCCAAGGGAATTGACAGGCGAGTCCGAATACGCGGCGATGCCGCGCTGGTACGGGTTGTACTGCAATTGCTGCATATAAGAGAGAGGTTTAGGAGAAATGAGCCCCGCCATGGGGAAGAGGAGAGCACACTTGCGAGCAGCAAGCGGCGGCGTTGACGACAACGACGAGGGAGACGCAGGAGGGCCGACGCAAACGCTCGCACCTCGGGACGAAGACTCTCCTGTTGCTGACTAAGCTATATGCAGGCGCTAGCTTCATCCAAGCGAATAACCACTGTCAACCAGTCGTTTGCTTGTCATTTACACCATGTCTGTCTCGTTCGACTCACTCTCTATTATGTCAGTGGCAGATGCTCTACGTCTCCAGATTAACCAGGACGGCCATCGCCTGAGGTACCTACGGTCCTCCGTTGCTCCCAAACGTGAGGCTCACGAGTCGTTCGCTTGTGGATACCAGCGTCGATGTGGTGAGTACAATTGCTGTCAAACACCCACAGTCCCGTCCCCAAATCAATTTTGCGTCACGTAGCTTCACTCTCTGGATAAGGCGATTTTGTCCATGGGGACAACAGTTCGACGCCTCCTGAATGCGTTGCAACCTGTCAATCACTTGCCGCCGGAAATCCTCAGTCACATCATGCACTATGCGTCACGCCTGCCCAATTTTCGCTGGCCATGGCTCTCTGGACTCCATGATTCCCGACAGTGTTGTGTGCTATCGAGTGTCTGCAGCCAGTGGAGGGAGGTCGCCCTTGGATTTGCTGATCTATGGAACACTATTGATCCAGTTCATCACCCCCTCACAATATCCACATTTTTGGAACGCTCCAAGGCGTCCTTACTCCACTTGATCACAAACCATCTTAGCAACCATACATCAGATATTCAGAATATCGTCAAATGCTCTGGACATCGCATATGCTACCTAGACTCCGTATTCCCACCTTCTCATAGAGACGATGCCATTCGCCTCGCGAACCTCTGTGCTGGACAACTGAAGGCGTTGGAATTCGAGTGCTTGCAAGAGCTTGGTGCACGGGTCCTTGTAGACGAAGGTCGTCTGAACCAGAAGTTGTGCAGCAATTTTCCTCGATTGCGACAACTTGCTTGGAATGACATGCCATGGTTGCCTACCAATCGCTTTGATGCCTTGACCCATCTCTACCTCGTCAAATGCAGATTGCTAAGTCCGCAGACTCTTTCCAACCTCTTATCGGGCACTCCGAATCTCGAAACCCTCGTATGTGAGTCATTGTCGGTGACTCATATACCCGACCTCCCACCCGCGCACCATCGACATCAGTTGGTGACCTTGCCGAATTTGCGCAAACTTTACATCGCTCCAGATTGCTGTTACATGTCCGGCGACGTATTGACCGCAGGGCTCCTATCGTGGTTCACCTTACTTCCGCGTATGGCACTTTGGTCAAGGCCCGCCAATGTATCAAAATTGTGTCTGCCAGAGGGTTGCCTGCCCTCAGGGTCATCGAATGCAACTATCTGCTTATGGAGATGCTCTGTCAGATCTTCATATGGTCTGCAGTGAAGGCGTCCACACCGCTCTGCCCTGCTCTTCAGACGCTGCGCTGTACGGGAGGCGCACCCTTCGTTCTCCTCAGCAGCCTGCTAGAAGTCCGGGCGCGACGCGGACTTCCCCCTCTCCAACATCTCGTTATTGATGGCCTTTCTCCTCGTGATCGAGCTCGTTTTTACGAGATTTTCAATTCGCGTGTCATCACCTTCGAAGCCCCTGAGAAAGCAGAGGTGCGCAGCATGGCTCTGCCTGCTGTTTGTACGGAAGAGCGGCACAAGTACTGGCAGTGGACGTAGCTCGGTGGGCGTAGCAGATGACATTTCCATGGTATGTGCGTATACAGGCTGGATTTGTGTCCGAGTGGGGCTGTCGAAGTTCAGTTGTTACAAGAAAGCCCTTAGTCTACTTCACACGAACGACGACACTTGCCATATTTGGCGTCTGGTTGATCTGTGTGTACCGGTCCCAAGTAATCATACTGAAAGCTCACGACCACGTCCTCAGTCTGTCCTTGTCTTGTTTGTTCTCATTTCCACAATGATTCGAAGAATCTCCGAAAAGGCAATGGAGTAATATCTCACTGAACCGTCACTGTGGCCCACACTTGAATTGAAGCTTGAGGCCTTGCGCCTACACGTAGCGAGCTGCTCCCTATCAGTATGATTCTTAAGTCGTGGGAGAAGCTATAGATCAGGTGCATATCGCCATTTCCAGTATCAACCTAACATGAAGGACATATTCGTATGTCGTGTACAGCACTGAGGGCTACTTGCGCAGCTCGAGTTCCCTCCGAAGAAAGCCATCTTCTCATTGTTGTCGATGATATACGACGCCACACACACGCACTCGGCCAGTCAATCGCCTTCTTACAAAACTACTTGGTCTCATCATATGAGAAGCATCGTTGAAAACCGCGTTGCATATGTCGGGAGACAGAGATGTTCCTTTACAGCCTGGACATTGCGAGAAAGGTTTCGCAAGTTTGCCACCTGTGGCGCGCTATTAGCACCGCGCAGCTCTGGGCGACGCTTAACTTGACCACCGTTCGCGCCGCGGTTCCTACACTTTTCGAGTGTTCCAAAGTATCTTTGTTCAGCGTCGATGTTCCTGAAGAAACTACTTTTCACCAGAGTGACGTTTCCGAGGACGCCGACATTCATCAGTGGTCTCGTCGAGGCTATTCAGCGTAATGGTCCACCCATCCGGACTATGCGACTACTGGTAGTCGATGCAGACAAGTGGCTTAATCCAGTCTGATCCGGAGAGATGCTTGTTATTGAAAGCGTCAAGATCGTAGAGGATCCGTGCAAGGACGTTTTGTTGTCCACCTCGAACAGAGGTGCTCATCGGCTGACAAGACGAGTCAGTATCATGACACTCGCGAAGTCGTTCTCCGCTTGAAACACTAGCAGAACATGTACCGAGCCCTGTTGGTGGCCTGAAGAAACGATGATTGTGACTCGAATACAACATAACTCGTACACTGTGATTACGACAAATCCATCCAAGAGAATAATAAGATGTATACGATTATACAAGTCCGAAAGAGAACGACTCAACGCTGAAAGCATTTCCTACGTCACATAGACGCGTTCTGGCTGAGAAGCGCCACAAGGTATTCCTGCGCATCAAAGTAAGTGACATGCATGGGAACGGCAAAACTATCGAATTCACCTTGTCTTGGGCGGAGTCCGCAAACATTGACCAGGCCTCACGCCCGTCGCCGAACTCGACAGCGAAAGAATGCGATACCCCCTCAAGCTCTTCATAGCCCTCTTGCCATTCTCTGATATGTCGGATCGTAGCCAATGCAACGGTTTCGAGGGGTAGTGACAGCTCCTGCATCCATAGCGTGGTGAGCAACTGTCTTCCGGGCATCAAAAGAAGACATACCTCTGGATTCTTAAATAATATGAGCGCATCATCATCAAGCTGATAGTAGCGTCGCTTCCACACTGTACCCTGACCGGCTTGTACAGTGACCCAGCCTGACATGTGCACTTGCCTCCCACCCTCCGACCTGACGGTTGCCTTGAGCCGTTGGGCCAAAGCCCGCCTCTCCCCCAAGACGCGCCTGCGCATCTCCTCTCTCTTACCTGACATCTCCTGCGCCCGCTTCGTCTGTTCGTTGCGCCATGCTTGCAGCTTGCGGGTCTCCTCAACACGCCGTTCTCGCTCAGCCCTCCTCCGCTCCGCGATGCTCAGGCGGATGAGGTCCTCGGCTTCACGCTCAGCTTCCTCCTTACGTTTGCGTTCTTCTGCAACCCTGCGTAATTGTTGCTCGAGTGCCGCCTTGCGAAGCCGCTCCTCCTCTGCGTAGCGGCGCAGCACCTCTTCTTTCTGCTGTTTCAGTCGAGCTTGCCGTTGGGCTTCCTCGTGCCGCGCCTGCTCCTCCTCCCGTTCCTTCGCTTTCAGCGCCTCACGGCGGCGAAGCTCAATTTCATCAGGGGTTGACGCGATGCGCCGCTCGGGAACACGCCCGCGGGCGAGGGGTAGGCGATGGGTTGCCATCGGGATGCGCGAGGGAGCAGGTTGGGTATGCGGGGGCGTGGGAGGTGCTTGGGCGTGCGGGTATGCATGTGCTTGGCCACGCACGCCTGCACGCGACGAGAGTGACACTGGGGTTTCCCGTTGAAGTCCGGATCCCGGGTTGTTTGCTGTGAGATTAGATTGGGAAGGCCGCAATTGTCGCGTGAGGAAGACCGCAGTCGACTGTGGTGACTGTGACGGGTGGAGGCCCTTGGGCGCACCTTCGTGTGAAGTGGACGCGAGTGAGTCTGGTGAAGGTGCGCGGGCGAGCTGAGATATCTCGAAGGCTGTATAGAGCTGCTGCCAGCTCTCGATGTAGCGACGACGTGCTTTCGTCTCGTCCTTGGGTGGGAGCGGGGGCGGGTCGTCCTCGACTTCTCTTATCGTCTTCCTTCTGCGTAGATTTGTTACACCATGTTTGCAGAGAAGAGCTTTGATGTCGAACTTGGATCTCAGCTTGCTTGGGCTGATCGTTACGGGCATAGCACGGAATAAAGGAGCGGATAGTTCACGACAGGTGAGGCGAGATGTAGAGACTATGGAATTCTTTGCAAGAACGCGAGTTTCCGCTGGCAGGGCGGTCTAAAGAGGCTGAGCAGGTCATTGTTCGCATCGTTGCTATCGAATTCAAATGCTGTAGGTGTCGTCCCAAAGCGGGGGAGCCTCACGCTTGTATTGTTCCCTCCGACGATTAGATTAGATCGCGCCCAACTTTACCGAGCTCGTATCATTCTTCCGACTCTCAGCCTGCCCCGTGGATCACTGCCTGCTCTTAGGACTCTTTGAAGCGAGCTGCCTCTTGCAGTTTCAGGTCACGACCTCAGCTGAAGACCCGTACCGGGTCTATGCGAGCACGTTTCATCATGACGCCACAGCCTTGAAACACCAAAACAGGCAGAGATCAGCTTCTAGGAACAAATGCGTGCAGATACAACTCCTTGTCGGTCAAGGCACGGACACAAAAGATAGATTGCGCCCCAGCATGCAAGACGACCGTCGACCGACCAAGCCCCACTAGTCATCCCACTGCACCTCCACGAGCTCCTCGCGCCAGGAGACTGGCGCACCGTCCTCCGCGCAATCCTTCTCGCACGAGAACACCATGCATGTCCCCCACTCCATGCCGACCCTATCTGCCACCCGCTCCCCCTTGAGTACGCGCAGCACCTCCTGCCGTCGTTCCTCATCGCTCTGCTGCGGCGTGGCGCCGCCTGCTGCGGGCGTCTTGAGCACATTGATGAGGTTCGGCATCAGCTGACACTCGAATACCCGCGGCGCATGGCAGTGGCGGCAGTGCGCGAGCACCGACGCATTATATATCCGCTTTTGCGCTGGTACCACCATGAAGGCAGACTTGGTCACCGGCGGCGGCGGAGCAGAGGGCTTTGGGAAGAGCCTGTCGAACACGCTGTCGCTCGAGAAAGGTAATGGGATGCCTCCCAATTCGTATCTATTGTCATCGAATGTCAGACATATTGGAATAAGTGAAACGACATCGTGAGCATACCGCAGGCATTGTTCGCCTTCGTATCCAACCCTTTTTGTGAAACGCTCGAAGGCATGGTCGACCTCTATGGAGTTCTCGTATCCTTCGAGAGCCCAGCTTGTATCTTTGCTCTTCTTTCCGTCGTCTTCCTCGACATATTCTTCACCGGCCGGAACTTTGACTTTTTTAACGGGTGGCAAGTATTCGGATATTGTGGATAGATACAGTGGCTCATACGCGGGAAGGGAAGCCCAATTTGAGCCGTCAAGTGTGGCGCTGGCCATGCGGGTTGCCAGGTCTTCTTCGTCGTGCTCGTCACTTTCTTCGCCCGATGATGACGAAGCGTCCGCTTCGGAGCTCGCCGCCCGTGCTGGTGGTTCCGTCGATGCGGCGGCGCCGCCGCCGAAAACCTGTGCGCCGAGGTCGAAGGGATTTGACAGACCTGCGGACTTCATCTGTGCATCATCATACCTCAGATGACCGGCAGCCTGGCAACATTGAATGACATACAGAAAATGGGTTGGCTTTCGGAACGCTCTTGCGGGCGGCTTCTTCGGCAGCTTTTGTCTCTGCCTCCTCTTTTGCTTTCTGCATTGCGAGCTTTTGCGCTAGTTTCTTCGCATACTTCTTGTTGTGCCGGAGACTTCTCCATGCTCTGACGCTGCGAAACCACCGCCTTTAAGCGAGTGCAGACAGAGATGCAAAAATATAGGTGGACGCACAAGATACTCACCTCCCGTCCTTCTTCTGGCACGGACCTCGTGGGCATGCCCACACGTACAGCACCCGGTCGTTGGGACTTTGCTCGACTGGACACCACACCTGCACGAGCAGTTGCATTGGCTGTGCACAATTCCCACAAAGCGCATATTCGGTTGGCGGTTCGGGCGCGGCGAGGAACGTCTTGCGTACACAACATAGAAACAGAACAAAATGCATTCAATATACGAAAACTACATATATGGCGGGACGCGCGTACAGGATGCCCGCCAATGCGCGAGATCATGGGGTCGCGGAGGTCCGCAGGGGACTCGATGGACCCGTCTGGGATACCCAGCTGCACGGCGGTCTCATCATCTGATCCCACCTCCTCATCCGAGTCTGACCAATCCTCTTCATCCTTGGGTGCCATTTATGTCAGGCGTGTTAGTCGTGAGTCTAGAAAAGAATTTGTGTCAGCATGCAATGCAGATTGAACTCATGAGGAGACAATATCAGTAAAGCATGAATGGTATAAATTTTGGATGTCGTCAAGGAAAGCAATGACGAGGAAGCCTCGCCACGACAGTTCAGACTCGTCATCTGAAGTTCATCATAAAAAGTCAACCCGGTATCAGCCAACGTACCTTCTGGACTGTGTGTATGGTCCGTGAGATGTGGGGAGCCAAAGTCAGTGGAGGAGGAAAGAGTTGTGGGCCAAGTGTCGGTGCTACAGGCGCGCAGAAAAATCGATCGAGGGGCAAACAAGGACAAGCGGGAGATCTCCGAAGGTAATCGGGGCGAACCCAGACAACACACGCTGCAGCATACTAGAGTTCCCCGTTGTCGTATCGATACCGCACTGTGGTCCTTGTTGAATGCTCATCTAAACTCTATCCCTTGGCGCAACCTTGATTCTGTATCAGATTTGTCTGCGTTCTTAATTGTCTCGCGCAGTAGCTAATAAAAGCGGACGATCGGTCTGACGCGCATGACAGGCCGCCAGGTGCGTACATATGTGCATATACTGTTACAGCTTCAGCGCCTGGCTCATACTACAAGTTAGGCCAAGCTTTGGTGGCGAATGCCGTCTTCATGACGCATGTGTCCGCGCGGACGCACAATCGTGCCGTGTTTTATTTACAAGGCAGTCCGCAGAAACGCGTCGCGTTCTGACGTGCCTGCTATACTTCTCGCGTCCATCTCCGACCGAGATCAGTCTTCGTCCTTCTATAGTAAAGTGTGCACTACCCGGACGCCCGCCGCTTTGCGGGCAACTGCCTTGCTGAAACTAACGACTTTTGCATGTTCTGCGGGGGCACCTGATCTCTGTTTATTGACTATCGAGCGCCGACGACTCCCCGCCCCTGCCCGCGTTCCTGCGCATATCGCACAACCCCCGTAAGTGCACCCGTGGTGCTCGTGCCATGGCCACACTTCCCCCGCGATCTTGTCTACAGCCACCATTTCCTTGCAGCTTCTTCCGCGAAGCGCTTCTTTCATTATGCCTCGCGCGTCGTCCCTGGCCTAACCCTCGTGGTGTGCACAATGCACACGAGGCATCTTGCGGAGCCACGCCGACATCCAGGTCGTCGGTTGGGTTCCGGCGTCTCACCAACCGCACGACCGGTGACGCCACGCCCCGTGGTCCCTAATAATGTCATAGTGCGTCGGGCGTACGCTCGTTGTTCCGTGTCGCGGATGCCATAATGCATGCGTAGCGAATTACGCGGTGCGCGTTCCCCTTGCTTCCCGAATCGCGGGAGAGGACATGATTGATTGGGGTGTCCTTTGGCCTCGACTCGATCGGCGTTGATCATGATTATCGCAACGTGATTCGGCTACTCGAGTCGCGGCAAGTCCGATTGACGGTACAGTGCAAGTAATCATAGTTCCATTACGATCGAGCTGGCAAGGCTCCTTGTTCCTGACTGCCTCAATCGTCACTAACCAGTCGGTCTCCAAGTTCAAGCTCGACGAATTGCCTTAAACCGCCTGACTGCCTAAGTTATGCCGGGTACAGGGACTACTGCCCCTGTGCTGTGTTCAATGCGTACCCTATGGCCTGCAAACGCTACTGGGCAGGCACCATGGCATTGGATAACTATTCTAGGCTTCACGGGTTTCTCAGGAACGCTATACTGTAGGTAGAAATCTGACAGGCGTTGGAAGGCCGCCCAGCGTACGTACTGGGCGCTTCGCCCCGGTCTCACGACGGCGATCCTAAAGGTAGAACTTTGGCTTCACGATTGTCTTCGTCCGCCCTGCGACCGTGCGCGCTGCTGGCTCGCCAGGGCCAATGTGTTGGCGGGTGCAATGTACGTATCACAGGGGCCTGTCGGGCATCGGATTGCAACACGCTTGTCATTCAACGCCTGCTATGGGCAAGGGTTTGAAGTACATGTGCGCTCAAGTCGAGCCGCGAGAGAGGCTAGAGTGAGATCGTAAACCCGAGGTTCTGGCGCTGGGCATGCATCAATGTGAAGACCAGGCGTTATTTTCGTGGGCTTGTGAAGCCTATCTAGGGTAAATCTAGGATGCTGAGGGATACTTTCGGGCCGAATGGAAGCGCAGCGGCGCTGCTGCTTGGCGGAACGATAACCATGAAAGGTAAGCAGGGCCGGCCACCGTCATGGACCCACTCATGAAACGGGGGAGAGGCTCTGCTTGCGGGTATATTGGTCGTGAAAGGCATCGTGCTGACGATGCATCGCGGATGCGCTGATCTGAAATTTTAGTAAATCATCGCGATTGAGGACGATCGACCATTCCTGTGAATTGGAGCGGAGCTCGAGACTGTGTCGTGTACTCCGACGGACATCAGCGTGCGTCAGTATACGCGTCGGGAAATGGTCATGACAATCATATGTGGGTGGGACTGGGGTGGCTCGAGGCGACGGCCCAATGACTGCGTTACGGTGATGAATCGGGCATCGCACGCGGTCCAGTGTGAAGTCAGGCAATGGTCTCAACGATACCTACTGTAAATGGGTACTCTCTGTACTGATTTACGCTGGGAAATTACAAATGAACGCCAGAAGTGTTGTACGGGGGAGACATATATGCTCTTTTTCGACATATATGAAGCGCCGCCACGAACGAAACAGGCAGCGGTCGACGGTGGCGGCTGAGTCATATTGCGGAGAGATCGCTATCGAGATTAGTGGAATCGGGAAGGAGGCCTGGGCAGAGAAAGCGGGCGGGGAGTCACCAGCTTATGCCGAGGCAACGGCAAGATATTCCGAATATGGTACTTGTCTGTTTCCCAGAGTCGTCAGTGATCAAAATTGGTGAGGAAAACTATCAGAGGAGAAGGTGGTAAGGGTGATAGTGGTGCACCGACGCCGAGCATGTGACTTGTACCATTGCGTGTGCCTGATTTATAATCTATTCATTAATCGAAAGCAGGTTTACGAGCACTATACATAAGCGCCCTGCACGTGGTGTAAATCGTTGGCTCGTTTACCATTTTTTTGACACACTAAAGTTTGGAGGTGTCGTGGGCCGAACGTTTAGGGGAGTTGCACGGAGCATGAGCCGAGAGAGGGGAAGATGAAGGATCAGAAGACAGGTGGGCGGGGAGAGGCCGCAAAAACAGAGGGAGGGCCGCGGAGGCAGTCAAGCGGACGGGCGCCTAAAGAAGATCTGCCACGGGCGCGATCGTGGGTTGCCGATTGGAGATGGCATCCTGTTTGCAGCAATGGGGGACCCCGCAGTGTCTTGAATATAACTGGCCTCGATCTCTCCTCCGCCATCAGGGCTCCTGCCATCATGTCCTCCTACGACGCCGTCCCCGCCTTCCCCATCCCCGTCAATGGCCACGACCTCAATCCCCCACCCAACGGCCCCCCATTTAAGAAGCGTAAACGCGGTGCAACGCGTCTCTCCTGCGCGGAGTGTCGGCGGTCGGTCTCCGCCTGTGTCAACCCCCGTCTCGCTCACCTCGGCCGTGTAGATTGAAGTTGCGCTGTGACCGTCAAATACCCTGCGAATCTTGCATCAAGAGGGGGTGCTCAGCGATATGCCCCGATGGTGAGTCCCACAGCGCGTACACCCCACTACCGTGCTATATCCCTCCCAAGGTTCCCTCACGACAGGCAAGGGCAATCGGTTGGTACCCCTCGTCTCTTTCCTGCTCTCCCACTCATATTTTCTCCACAGCAGATTTGTTCTTGCTTCAACACAAGAGCTTCATGAGAAGATCGCGCTTCTGTCAAGCCGCATACGCGAACTTGAGGATGGTCTTCGGACCTCCCATGCGTCAAATACCAACGGGACCGATCCCCACCCTCTTCTAACCGACGAACTCCTTCAGATCAAAGCACCAATACAGCGAGAGGGCATTGCACAACTCGTCAACTCCGCCCAGGATGACTCGGGCGCTGATGTTGTCGACTCGTTCGGCTCCCTCGCCATCAGCGACACCGGACGCACCAGCTATTTCGGGCAGGCTACTAGCTCATGGGTACGAGTATGGTGGTGACTGACCGTTACCACGTCACTGACATCTTCTGTTCTCTCCTTCTTCACGTAATTGCAGTACTTCCTCACGGTATGTCTATTATTTCTCCATGCCCGAGGGACATCCCCGGCTAACTTTGTTACAGAATGAGAGCTCTCGGGAGGAGGACCGAGATCAACGTCAAGCCAACCTCCGTCAGCTGCTTGCACCTGAAGTTCTTGCACTCAGCGGTGTCTTTCCCGTTGCCCCCCACATCCAACCTACCGTCGAGTCGGAGTCGGACCGACTCGAGCGTCTCCGCACATTGTTCTGGTATCTTCCCCCTGCAGCCGAAGCAGCAGAGCTGCGCCAAATATACTTCCAACATGCTGCCTGGATGTACGTACATACAAGCTTTGTTATCTGTCTTCCCTATCATTACGCCGCAGAGAACTGATAACCGCCTTTCTGCCGACAGGTACAATCCAATGTCCCTCGCAACATTCAACGAGCTGGTTTTCGATGTGTTCTACAACCCGGTTGCCGCACCACCAACAGATGACCCCCTGCTCGTACATCAGCTCGCGCTCATGTTCATGGTGCTAGCAATCGGGAGTTTGATGGACCTCGCGCGGCCCTCATACAACATAGACGCCGAGAAGTACCACCAGCTCGCGCGCGCGGCGCTCTTCCTGAGCCCAATCTTTGAAGAGCCGACATTGAGCGCAGTGCAAGCGCTGGTGAGTGGGATATCGTTGTGTGCCGGCGGGGCTGACGGATGATCCGGGGTATCTGATGGTGGCGCACGGCGTCGTGCATGCAGTTCCTCATGGCGTTTTATCTCTTCCTGTGTGAACGCCATGGCACGGGCGTCGGCACACGGTGGGCATTCATGGGCCTCGCGGTGAAGCTGAGCGTCAGCGTGAGTACTTCATGACCGAATGATGCTGGACGCTCATCCTGACTGAAACGTCTTGTGACGGTGTGCAGATGGGACTGCGTAAGTGATTTGACCAGTCGCCGGTCGCGGCACTGGTGCTAATGCCGTGAGTACAGATCGTGACGCGGGTAAGTGGAACGTCGAACCTGTTGAGATCCTGCGGCGGGGGAAGACGTTCTGGGAGGTTTTCTCGTACGATCTCTTGCAGGTTTGTGCCTCAACACACCTCGTAGAGTGACGTGCGACACTCATGCACTGTCGTAGTGCTTCACGCTAGGACGTCTACCGTCATTTCCTCTGGCCCATATTGATTGCAAGAAGCCCTACTCCGAGGATCCTTGTAACGAAGAGACATGTGAGTCATTTCCCCAATCGGCCGCATATAGCCTGCTCACTCACGCATCACCGATCCAGTCCACTGGTGGAAGCATAGATTTACGTCGGAGTGCATGAACTCGGTGTACGATCAGGCGTTCGGCGCGAAGACCCCGACGTACAAGACCGTGCTACAGCTCGACCGCAAACTCCGCTCGTTCCCGGTGCCTTCACAGCTGCAGATCGCCGGCTTCGGCGGCACCGAAACGCGCGCGAACAACTACTCGGACAGCGTGCCGCTGATTTTGCAGCGCCACACGGTGCTCGCACTTCGGGAGTCGCGTATGTTCCTCTAGCTACCGATCTGCGGTGCCGGTTCACTTACTCTGATTGTAGATCTGCTGTACATGCACCGCGGCTTTTTCGCGCGTGCCATCAGCGATCATCCACAGGATCCGCTGGGCAGCCCATATGGCAGCTCGTTCATCGCCGCGTACCGCAGCGCGGGCTCGCTCGTCGCCCTTGTGCGCAATATCTACTCGCAGCTCAAGGAGCTCACTGAGCGCATGTGGTTCCTCTGGACGCATCTGTTTTCGTGCTCGGTGCGTTGATCGCGTTTTACGAGCTCGACTCCTGGGCCCGGTGATGAACATCTTGATACTGACGTGCCGATGTTGCGCAGATCATCCTCGGGTCGATCGTGACCCGATGTCCATCTATGAGCCTTGCACCATCGGCTCTATTACAGCTCGACTCGGCATGTGAATTGTTCTCCAAAACGGCGCGATTCTTCCATGCCGAGAAGGTGTTGGTAAGTGCCTGTCAACGACGTGCTGCCTGTGTGCTTGATTGACGATCAACATTTTGCGAACAGGACATCATGATGAATCTCCGAGAAAAGGCTCACGCGAGTCTCGCGGCATGCCGCAACTCGCCACCGCACCGCAATGGCACGTCGGAGCCGACGACACCCGCTGACGCACACGACGAGCTCAACATCCTGGGCGGACGCACGCGGCTCGTCGCGTCGAAAGAGAAGTCGATGTCGCCGCAGATCATGGATCGTTCGCCGACGTCGCTGAACCCGATCGTGCCGCTGCCGCTCAAGGACGCCGACTGGCAGCATGAGTCCGTGCTGCAGTACATGCGGAGCTTCGCATCGCCGGCTCCTGGACAACAGTCCGCTGCAACCACCTCGCTGCACGCGCAGCTGGCGTCCCAAGGCATGATGAACGGAGGCATGCGCCACCATTCATCGGGGTACGAGCAGCACTCACCGATACAGGAGCTCTCGCCCATCAGCACGTCGTTTGGGCAGGCGGGCGACGCGTACCACCACGGCGCGCAGCCGGCGAACGGGATGCTGCAGATGGAGGGCATGGGCGGGATGTACCCGCAGTACTTTCCCGTGTTCGATTATGGCCCACCAAACCCGGAGGGGATGTTCATGGCGTCGCCGTCGGGCTCGCTCGATGGCAGCGACCCACGGTCGTACTCGCCAGAAGCGAACGCGCAGAGCTCATGGCAGGATTTTATGGCGCAGATGGAGATATCGATGTGAGCTGGGTAAGCTTGCAAGCCTGACGGATGTACCTACGTCCGTATGTTCGTTGTGTCAGCCAGTCCACTTACTACACACGGCTTCACGCGAGGTTTCGTAGCGTTTCTTATTCTTGCGTTTTTGTATCCTTCTACAGTTACTCTCTGCTCTATCTCAGCATCCCGGTTTTTTCTGTGTACTGCTGGTGACACGTAGGATAAGTACTCCCGCTAATATATAGGCCTGTACAATGCGCGCGGAGTGTGTTGGGGGAAAGGTGCGGAGTGCGCGCGCGTCCGACCAGTCAAATTCAACGAGTGCACGTGACTATGTATGAACTGGATTTGACGTCGCTTGGTTGGTGCATGTCCAACTTGACGGAGCCATTTTGACGTCGGCGCATCTGCGTTGGTTGCACCTTGTCCTTTCCCCTGACTTCCTTGTGCACGCTCGGTCTCCTCATCATCTAAGGGCCCTTTCCACGTACGACCAGGGACTCAATGCCGAGATGTGGTAGCACTGCGCGGCCGACGTTTGGCCGTACAAGACCGGTACGTTGCCCCCACTCCACTTTATCTGCGAATGAAACAGATGCTGGACGACCGCTCGGATAGATCCAGCGCAAGATAGTAGTGTGCGGCGACGGCGCCACGGGTGCGTGTTTTCGGAGCTCTGTTGGCAGATGGAGCCTGAGCGCATCATTTGGCTGCAGGGAAGACGTCTCTATTGAATGTCTTCACGCGTGGGTGGTTCTCCGCTGTCTAGTGAGTCTTGGCCTGTGAATCGTGTCATTGAACTCTCTGTTAAGCCGCGTTCCTTGTAGTGAGCCGACCGTGTTCGAGAACTACGTGCACGACATGCACGTGGAAGACCAACTGGTCGAGCTCAGTCTTTGGGATACCGCCGGTGTGTATTCGTGTGCCCATTAGGTAGAGGGTATGCTTGGAAACTGATCTTGCCAGTTCGCGCCCAGGTCAAGAAGAGTTTGATCGGCTGCGGTCACTAAGCTACGCGGAGACGCACGTAGTGATGTTGTGCTTCTCAGTAGGTGCCGGCGATAATTTCGATCAATCTGGCCTAACAACCACTACACTTAGATTGACAATCCAACATCTCTTGACAATATCGAGTCGAAGGTAGGCTCTAGAGTCGTTGGTATCTGTGCTCGTTCTCACATAGGGCGCGCGGTAGTGGATTGATGAGATCCTGGAATATTGTCCAGGTGTAAAGGTGTGTCGGATGTGTATGAAATTAGCTATAGAGCTTACCACGTGTTTCCTTAGCTCGTTCTTGTTGGTGAGTGGTTTGTATGCTTCCATCAAGTCGCGTTGTGCTCAAATGGAATCACCTCAATGACGTCACACTAGCGCTGAAATGCGATCTTCGTGAAGACCGCGCAACTCAAGAGCGGTTGTCACGCTACGGCACGCATACAGTCCAATATGAGGAGGGCCTTGCAGTCGCAAGGCGGATACGAGCATCGCGATACTTAGGTATGCTTTCCTGTCGCCCCCTATCGTCGACTGCTGACCCGGCTGGTGGAAGAGTGCAGCGCCAAGCACAATCGCGGTGTTAGTGAGGTGTTCTACGAAGCAGCCCGTGTCTCGATTGCGACTCGTGCGAAAGGCTCAGGAGCCTCCTTTGGTGGCTGCGTCATCGTTTGATTCTCCATCCCCGTTGGCTTCTGCAGGACGTCAGAGCCAGGCATTCGTTCATTCATACCCTCACTTATGATATCATGGCTCCTTCTGTGTGCATTCTGCTTACGGCTCGCTTTGCTTTTTTCGGAGGCTCAACTTAATTCCCCGTTGATGAAAACGGATATAATACATGTACTAACGCCCTCGCTGTGTATTTGTCATAGAATGAGTTCCGCTGGAATTCGTCAGCTCCTGGCCGTATATCCGTCGGACTCTCACATATCACTGACAATGGTCGTCTGTTGAGCAGAAACGCTAGCAAAATTACATATCCTCAGCACGGACAGCGGTCCGAGCGATGTTCACTTTCAAAATGCTCATCTGGTAATGCCTTGAAAGGTACTTGCTCGTCATCAGGATATGTAATAGCCGTTGGGCGTGAGAGACTTGAATATTGAACAGCGAGTTTGAAGGCTTCCTTGTTCTCTCACCGCGAGCGAGACTCAGGCTATAATTGGAAGGTATGAACTCATAATGGTGACGAGCGCATGAGTGCAGATTTTGCTGTTCTCAAGTTGGCGGCAACCTGACATAGTCTGTGCAGACAGCTCTTGTTCTGTGATGCCATGCACATCCTCCTATTGACCGGCGTATTCCCGCACGGTGTGCCCCACTTTCAGGAGCCCAAGGATGTGGATCGTCCTGACCATTCATTGATATATGTCACCCTGTGGGGCACCAGATTTCTCCATGCACCGTATCAAACCCCTGGAGAACTTAGAGACGACTCAGCAGACTCGCATGACCGCACATAACCTCGTTGTATAGCATATAGTTATTCGCACCGTCCACGTCGCCTCCTAGCACCGGGTTCTTCCTGGAAGACAATATGCAAGACGCTTTTGTAGAACCCGGTGATGCTAGCGTCAACATGTAACATCGAGATGAAACTAGGAAGAATATTCACACTTGGCAGATTGCTTCACTGCTCCTGAGGGCGGCGGGAAGCGCAAGTGAATATGATGCGTCGGGAGCGACACTCTTGAGCGCTTGAGCATGAGAAGCCGAGACAATGCTAGTTGCGGACTCGAACCGGAGACTTCGAGTCTAGTTTGTCCAGGCTTAGGACGGGGCTCTCATCCCAATTCGGATAGCAGTTTGCCAGATTCGGACGCGTTTCGATCGATCGGACAAGTTATGAAGCATCGTGTCTCTTGTACGTCATTCTTCTCCTCTCAAACTAGTAGTGACATCACCATGCCTTGGCTGTCCTGTATATATGTAAAGCGGTTTCAACGTCGAGCAATCCAGTTCCCCTCTCTCGCACAAACCCCCTCTCCCTACATCCTGGTATGGACGAGCGACTTGGATGTCGTACGCACTAGGTAAGTGCTATAACCTGGATTTCAGTCAGTAATTCTCTCGCCTGGTTTTTCTTTGTACATCCAGATGCTCCGTCACTCTTGCTGGCTACGGGATCCTGGCGCACTATGTTCAAGGATACTTGTTGCTCGGCACGCGGTGCAGGAACATGCGGGAGCCCCACTCGACGACAGCGCGATATGGCGGTCGGTGCGCCAAGCCGCATTCTCCAAGAAGGCCTCCGATTTCTGGTGGAAAGCCCTGCACAGGGCCATAGGTGCAGCCCGTTCTGCCTAATCTGGTACACGCTGCCCTATACCAGACGTGCGGAGTAGAAGAAACGACTCGGATGGAACATATTCTATTGCAGTGCACTCACCAGGACCGGTAGGAAGTCTGGACCCTCGCACAGAGTACCTGGGAACGACGCGGGATCCCATGGTCAGCTCTCTCCTGGGGTTTGCTGCTCGGATGCGGCCTCATTGGCTTCCGCTCCACGGAAAAGAAACTACGACGAAGGCCAACGAGGCTCTACCGGATACTCGTTACGGAGGCCGCACTTGGAACTTACGCAGCCACAGGACCTTCCGACCGGAACAGGCCGGGGCCGATATACAAGTCCTCTGGTGGTCGTCCCTAAAAGCATGCTGATCCATTGATAGGGTGCTCACGAACGGAGGTAAACTTGGCCGCAAGACCCTACAAAAAGACTTGGTACTGGAGACATGGAGTAGAACACCCCAGATCGAACACTCCCTACCGGACGACTGGATACTTGAAGAGGAGGTTTCAGTCCTCGGGAATGGTGTCTCGACTCACTATAATGACCGAGCCTGCATTGTCCGGGAGTGCATTTCCTCCTCTGGTGCGGGTGTAAACCTGAACCCTACGCCAATACTGTAACCCTCCGGAAGCAACCTGGCTGACCCAAGTTAGTTGTCCGGCGGGCTCCTGGCTTCCTAAAAATTTAAACATGATAAATAAGAAAGAGTGCTTGTTGTCACTTCCCATGCCATCATAATGATACAAATCATAATACAATCCACATGCATCGGCCGCCTGGCGAAATGGCATCGCGTCTGACTACGATCATGTGATCATGTGACATCAGGAGATTGCAGGTTCGACCCCTGCGGTGGTCAATCCTTTTTGTGTTCACATTATTAAACGAACATCAGTGATTCTGAAGTGCCGCACCGTGCAATCGTGTAACCCGAAACTTTCATTAACCGACAAACACAGCATGTGCATAACTATACGTCCGAAATAATACAATAAGGAAGGTATCTACAGATTAGAAGCTCGCGAAGCCAGTCATTGCCTAGAGACAAGAAACTCAGTGGTCATAGACGCGATCAACATTATTGACCCTTACAGGAGGCATGCCAATTGCTGTTCCATTGGGCATCATTGGAGGTGGCGCTTGGGACGGGAAACTGCAGAGTGCAGCCGTGAGCTAAGGGGAAAGTCACCAAGAAGCAGACCTACCCATTCCCTGCTGTAAGCATCAGGCGGTTGCCAATCAAGCCGGGGTTAATAATCGGCGCCTCTGCCTCCTGCTGCTCTTTCTGCGAATCCTTCTTGGACAGCTCCTCGACCCTCTTTTCCAACGCAGACACCTTGAACAAGATATTAGTGCTCAGCTACACAAATAGAAAGTCGTTTTTGCAAAGCATACCTTATCTACCATTGTTCGTGAAATCTGGATCTTATATGGCATGTAGAAGTCGTTCAGGCCATGCTGCCATGACGTCTCTTCCACCACGTCTGATCGGAGTAAGTCGAAGCACGTGTAAAGCGTGGCCGCGAAGCACTCCTTGTTGCCAATGTCGACGAAATATGAAAGAAGTTCCTCTGCTACCTCTGTTGAGGCTGAGGTTGCTGCAGTGACAACAGCATCCTTGTAGAGCTTGTCCCGTTTCGAGAGTGATATTGACTCTTCCCAGCGAGAGTTTTTCTACGCGAGGGGATGGGATCAGCACTTGATTACATATGACGAAAATGAATATATACTTTGTAGAGATGAGCAGCGATGCGACGGAACTCGAGCAGCTCGTGTTGTTCTAGCCGTTGAGCGAGCTTGACGTTGTTGAAGTTATCAAAGCTGTCGATCGAATCACGGAGAGTCTTGTAGTCTTCCTCCTCAATGAGCAGGTCATTGTAGGCATCGTTGACAGCTTCGATGTTGAGCTACAGTCTCAGATTTAGTTACATGCCCTCACCAAAAAGGCTACACACGTACATGCTGCACGGCGATGAGATACGAGCGGATCAGTGGGACATGGTCGATCTGGCGGAACATCCTGACGACACGCGAATGGTCGACTCGAGGAATCATGACGGTCAACAGATCGGTGAGGAGATTCGGCTGCTCTTGCAAGTAGAAAGTGAGCGCCTTGTAGTAGCTGTAACGCAGCGATTAGCCCATCCACATCACATAATCGCTACATGCGTACATCTCGATGTTAGCCACCCGAACAATCACGTCCTTGAACTGGTTGTGTTCCCATGCATCTGAAGACCGCTCGATCATTGCCAGGGCTGCGTTGTCCTATAGACGTTGTCAGCACCACGACGAAAAGGCACCTGATCTAGTTGTCAGCACTTACAAACTCGTCATACTTGATATACAAGAAGACAAGCTCGGGCCAGAGGTGGGCTTTCTCAGTCGCTTTGATGACCTATTTATCGAGCAGTTAGCTTTTCCATCGAGACTGAAGTATAAACTCAGCAGACCTTGGGAATGTTGATGCGAGACACAAAGAGCTTCAAGTGTTCCATGACTGCGGACAGAACTATTCGTGTCGCGAACAATTTCAGGAGGACCAGGACACTCACGCTTCTCAGGCTTGTATTTGCTATATAGGATGGCAAGCTCAGTGAAGATGCCCATCTGAAACGAAAACATCTTCAGATCTGTTCAAGAGTATGCAGATAGAGAGCCTCACGTGTGCCCGCTCCAAGCTCAATGCGGCTTCCAATAGTGATAGGATCTCGTCGAAGTGACCGCGACGCTCGTATATTTGCACAAGAGCAGCGAGCTCCTCCTGCACACACATAATTTGTTAGCTCAGCGCAACACGAACGACCACACAACTGCTTACCGCGTGCACGACAATGTTGAGACCACAGATTTGCGCAAGACGAAATTCTCGTTTCTCCAGACATGCTGCGTGCACCTGTTTCCAGACCCTAATATGCGCCGGTCGGTCAATTAGATGCATGCACTAAGAAGACTGATCCTCACTGGGTGTTCCCAGCTTTCCGCGCGCTCTCGACAGCCGCTTGATTCTCCTCAAGGTAGATGAGGGTGGTAGCAAGGCGCGCCCAGTTGGAGATACTGGTGAACAAGAGCTTTGCCGCCTGGTACAGCTCGTCTTCGAAACACTTCTCTCCGACCTCGAGAATGTCCGCAACGTTCGTCATGGCCAGGAAGTCTTCCATATCGTGCAGACGGTCCGTCTTCGCATATGCGTACGCCAGCTCAGTGTCAATCTTGGGCTCCCGGAGTGATTTACGGGCCATCTGCAGATAGCGGACAAGATCATCGTGCTTACCAGCACGGCTGGCGATTTCGATGACTTCCACATAGTTGGAAGGATCCTCCGCCTTGATGTAGGAATCTACACGACGCGATAAGGTAACATTCTACGAGCGAGTAGGGAGACCTCACCAATGGCGTCTTTGATCCGCAGGCCGTCGAGCTGGGCCTTCGCAAGCCTGCTCCACACGTCAGGCCTGTTGACCTTGATCGCATACTCCACGCCACGGTCCAGAGAGACAATATGTTCGACGAGAACATTTATGGCCATTGCGTGCTGCTCGTACTTCTTGTAAATGAGGAACGCCTCTTCGTACAACCCATGATCTGTGGCAATCTTCGCGATTTCCGCGACGTCGTAGTTCTTGAGCTTGTCAATATAACCGACGACCTTGCCCTTGTCCGCACGGATCGCCGTGAGCATCATCAGATTCTGGAGGTTCTTGTTGTCCGAGAATGGTGAAGGCTCCAGAATGAGCTTCTCCAGCAGTTCAATAAGTTCGATAGGAAGGTCAGCCTGCAGGAACGCCTTGACTGTTATCGAAACATCGTCGGGGTCAGTGGATTCCGGAAGAGCAGTCGCAATGACCTAGAAACGATCTAGGTGAGGCTTTCTGCAATTAATGGCAGGTTAAGGGTGTTATTACCTGGTCAATGAGCGCGCGTCGGTGCATGTTGTCTGGTGTCAGGACTTGCGCCCACAACTCGGGCTGTCGGCGTTTCACTAGATAGCGTGCCTGCTGCTTGAACATAGAGTTCTCGTTTGTAATAGCAATGAGTTCATCGTCACATAAGCCCTTTGCATAAGCAATGTATGCCAAGTAAGGATCCCGCGCCTCGCAAAACTTTCCGACCACCAGAGGCTCATACAGCTGCATGATTGGTAAGCATTATTAGCGATTTCAACTCGGTTGCCGAAGGGCTACTCACGTTGTTCTCTTTGAGAAATACCTCCGGGTTGCTGTTTGAGTCGATATAGATTTTGGCCAACGCATTGTATACCGCAGCGTCCTGACTACCTTGCTGTACGCGAGCCTCCAACCAGGGGAGGATCAACTTTAGTCTGTTACGGACTTCGACCTCGTGCACAAGTTCGTCGATCGGGAAGTTGCCCGGGACAGATGCCAGGAGTGACTTAATCGTTGTCTCGTCACAGTCAACATCCAATAGCCCTCCAATGACCTGAGGGGTCCTGACAGAGTTGACGCGCTGCACGTACACCTCAATGAAGTTCGTGAGACCATTCTGGTATAGATAAAGCACGAGGTCGTGCACGAAATCGAAACGGTCGCAGACGATAATGAGCGGCAACTGGTCTGCGAGCTTAGCCTCTTTGAGGAAGTTCTTGACCTTCTCGGGATTGTAATAGTTGCTCTCGCGACAGATGCGCTCGACTTCGCGAATCTGACCGGTACGGGTAGCAGCTTGGATGTACTTGAAGTGAACCTCGGGGTCGGTGCTGAGGTTGACGATTGAGCCCAGGTAGTAGTAGAGACCTATATCGAATGATCAGCATGAAGCATGAGACAATCGACATTCTAACTGTTTGAACACACCTTCAAAGGTCTTGAACGACTCGAACATCTCGATGAGCTTCACAGGACCCAAGATGTCTGAGTACTTCGTCGCAATCTGGATGACGACCTGCAAATTCTGGCGAATGTTTACGCGAAGCATTTCTTCCATGCATGCCATTGACTGTTCGGTTGTAAGTCTGCTGAAGTAGTTCACAAGCCACTAGGAGCAAGTACTTGTGAGCGAAGCGCGCATATATGAGCATACTAATGACCTACATCCGTCGGGAACACGCTCGCATGGACGATAACGCGCTTGATGTCCGCGAGATCCTCGTAGTGCTCCAGCGCCTGGATGGTGACTGTCAGCGAGCACGACACGATAGTCAAATGGTTGACGCACCCGCTGCAATAGGCCTGCCTTTTCACACAGATTCGCAATTCTTGGCCGGTCATAGTGAGTGAACATCTCGTTCCCGAGGATGGCATCTGCGACCTGAGGAGCGTGGACAAGGTTCATCTCGAGGAGACGAGTCTGAAGGTGCGCTTGCTCGGGTTTGTTGTCTTTCAGAGCGTCCAGAAGGAACGACGTTGCTTGCTGGATCATGTTCTGCGACATGAAGATATCCACCACTCGCTCGACATCCACGAGGGGGCCACTCTCGTCGTTGGCAAGTTGCATGGCGAACTCCGCACCCTTCTCGGGGTTCGAACGCATGACGTGCTGCAACAATCCAACATAATCTGGCTGGTAGCTGACCTTCTTCGCGTAGAGCAGGATCTTGTCTGTTTGGCCGGTCTCCGCGAAGCACGCAATGACTTTGCTTGGTACGTTCGCCCTTAGGTAGACACTCAGCGCAAGCGTCATGTCGTACAACCGAACGATGTCTCCCAATTCCTCGCTGCACGTCAGCTGAAAGCCAGGTCAGCCAGCACTCGCATCGCAGCATGGAACCGGCCGAACGCACCTTGTTCTCCTTCAGCCACTTCTCAAGCAGCTGCTTCCTACCCTGTTGCAGAACCGGACGCGCCAATTCAACGGATTCCAGGTGGTTGAGCTCGCCTTTCTCCAGCAGGATACCGAAGTACTGCAAGATAGGTGACAATCCACCAGGAGGGGCAGGGGCTTGCTTAAAAGACTCTATAACTTGTGCAGTTCGAAGAATACCCTGTAATACCCCTATTCAGTGTTGTCTTCGCGAAGGCATCTTGCATACATACTCTTGGCGAGTTCGCAGCGACTTTCGCTGCCTCCCCAAACTGCCCGCTCTGGAACAGCTGCTGGTACTGCTTAATGTAGAGATCGTCTGCACCCGGCAAGTTTCCTCGGCTCGCAAGCTTGAACGCGAGCTCCGTGTTGTTTAGCGTTGTCAAAATGTACGGAATGATGGTCTGTTCATCGACGTTGACGCTGAGCACTTGTCCCTTCTTGTTCACGCCAATGATACCGTTCGTCGCCTCATGCTCTGCTGTGACGAAGATCGTCTCGCCTGAGATGCGGTTCATGTAGATGCACGCGCCCGTGTCCAGGTCGTACAAGTGGATGAAGCCGTACTTCGTGACGAGGTAAACGATGCCGTGTTGCTTCGACACTTGCATCGCGACTGGGAAGTCGTTCGTCGCCTCAGGAGGGAAATACACGTCCACCGCCTTCTTCGTGAACGGCGGATCCGGCGCCTGGTGGTCGATCTCGACAATATGCAGCTTCGCGCCCGTCGCAGTGCGCACTGAGAAGGTGAACAACTTCGTCGGCTTCTGGTGCCCTTCGAGCTTGATCTCCGCGAATGACGCTGCGTGCCCTTCGATTGGCTGACTGACATTGCGCTCGCGGCTGTAAAGCTGGATGGAGCCCTTCACCTTGAACGCAGACGGGTTCGTCGTATTTCCGGAGATGCCGACTAACACGAGCCATTTCTCGTCCCCGGACGCGCGGTAGTTGATGATCTGTGCACCGACGAGCGTAGGGTGCCGGTCGAAGATCTTCTGCGGGGGAGATGTAGTATCTGCCATGGTCCAGTGGTACACAGACGTCTCTGTCACCAGCCCAATGGTCGTGTCGGAGATCCACTTCCAGAATACGACGTCTTCGTTGTTCACGTGCGACTTGACCTTCTGCTTCGTCTCGAGATTGAATATCTGTAATGTCCGACCCGCTAAACCAGTGCCATCTCAGTATATCTGGCGCGCGTATAGAAGTGCGTACGTACCCTTGAGTGCAAGAATCTTCTGTTGCGGGTGCATTATGGCCGAGTCGGCCGTGATGGGTCTACGTAGCACATTATTGGCGTCGAACAAATCAATAATCACGACCTGGTTCTGTTCGCCGACTTTCTCGCGGACACAAATGAAGTGGTCGGACTCGAGCGACAGGGTCTACGCGTCCCATGCCATAGTAAGCACATGGGTCCGACACAGGCCCGTTATACGCACCTGGAAGCCGATGGAGGCAGGTTGTACACCCAACGCAGTAAGCTGGACGTGTTCACAGAACGCAATAGGCTTGGAAATATCCATCGTCACGAAGTTTTGAGGCCACGTTGAGCTCGTCGAGAGCTGCGTCCTGCGGCGGTAGTTGAGTAGGGAGGGGAATTGGGTTGACGTGTGTTTACTCCCCATTCGGCAATTGACTGCTGTGCGACGGGCGCCTCGCTCAATGCAACGGACCTGAGTTTCACTGGGAGACGTCGGGTCGACGTGTACAAGTTCACAATCTGCGCACAGACGAGCACTAGAGAGTTTATACAGCAGCCCTGCATAAGATACCCTTTGCCCATGACAAGCATACAGCTGCGTATGATACAGATACGGTGACGACGGACGAATGCAGATCCCTCAAGGCAGACACGACAAACGGAACATCTACTCTTCCGCTAGTGCTAACGCCTGTTCTATGTCATCCTCTTCCATGAGCCTTGACGCAGGGAGGCCATTCCCGAAGTACAGCCGTTGGCCAATAATGACTGTAAGACGTGTTAGGGTTCAATGGTTCATCTCTACAAATAATTTCATTTAGCAACTCACCGCAGTCCACAGACAGTTGAAAGACGGAACATATCTTGAATTGCAAAGGAGAGTTCTGCAGGAAGAAGTACACCGTTCTACCCGAAATTGTTCAGCGTGTTCGTGACGGCATCGTGCGTGGCACTCACTTGAAGGCATCGCCACCAACCCACCCGAGCAAGGTTGTCATCCTGAAGCCATATAAGGACTTCTGTTTGTGGTTGCTGTATGATATCCAATGGTATCAACGATACACCAAAGGCAACGCACAACTAACCTGATAAGTTGTGGTATTGGCAGCGTACTCTCGACGCCCAAAGCGATCAACCCAAGGACGAATATGAAGGCTTCCGAGCGACCGAAGATGAGGTACAGGATGGCTTGGACAAGACTATTGTGCATGTATGAGTGATGCCCGCAGCAGTGGTTGAATGTGAACGTGAACATACATGAATCCTGCAAGGAACTCCATGTATTGTGTGTACGTGGGCCATTGCCAGAAGGCAAATGGCCTTGTCGAAGCACCGACATTCTCGGGACTACCAGACGGGCGATATTGGATGCAAATATACAGGAGTGCTAGCTGTGTAAGAGTACTAATAAGACATGGCTGGCCTGCATACGGCAGCTTCGTTGCTCACCTGTGCCAGTATCATGAATAGGGACTGCAGGAGCAAGGCCAGCTCAAACCGGCTCCCCAGCCAGAAGAAACATCGAGTGATGTTCGCGAGTAGCCTGAATGAGACACCGGCTAAGCAAGCGTTGAGATGAAATGAAGAGCATGTACATACAGTATAGCGCAGACATCACGGGAGAATCCTGTTGAGTCTCTGCGTGCGGTGATACCTTTGTGTCAGTCAGTGTTGCTCCGGCTCAGAGACAGTGTAACGTACTTGTTCCGGACGATCGAGAAGGCTTGATCGGCATAGACGAGGGGCGGGCCCACGGCCATGCCGATAGAGGCCAGCGTCGATACCCATGTCGGAGACATGCTGGTAGAGGGGACGAGTGATAAAGCTAAAGTCAACAGAGAGATCAGAGTCATTGACGCGCTACAGCCCGCTGGCAGGCGCGCCGCAAAGCAGAGCCATCCTCCGACGCGTCTCGATCACCCGGCCGATCACTCCTTCCTTTTGGGGCAGCCTTCTCCGCGGAAGACAGCCTTGCATTTTCCTTGCATACATCCCCCATTCGCAGCCCGCTACGGCGTTGTACAAACACTAGCTTCTGAAAAGCCATGTCGTCGTCGAATGCATACGCAGGACCTTGGTCCTCGCTCCCAACTACATTGACCCCATGGATGTAAGTCAACACCTCTAATAGTACATCACAGTTCAAAGCTAATGCATCAGTTCAGAATGGACGTGATCCAGTCCATGGGGTACACACAAATGACCCCCGTACAAGCCTCTACCATTCCATTATTCATGAAGCACAAAGATGTCGTTGTGGAGGCTGTGACCGGCTCCGGGAAAACACTCGCCTTCGTCATTCCTGTTCTCGAGAAGCTACTGCGGAGGGAAAGGAGGTTGCGGAAGAATGAGATTGGCGCGTTAATAATCAGCCCTACAAGGTGCGTCGAACACCTCGTGTCTTCAATCCAGAAGTGCAGAAGTTCAGCATTTCAGGATGTAGAGAACTCGCGACACAGATCCATTCCGTCTTCTCCCTATTTCTCTCCAGTCAGCCCGGACACCATGACTCTGCCTCGGAAGACGACGAGCATGTGAATACAAAGACAATAGAGCCAGCACATCCACAACCTCTGCTTGTGATATCTTCTGACTCTCCTCCCACGGAGGACATTCAACGTTTCTTGTCAACTGGAGCAGACATCGTTGTGGGGACTCCTGGCAGGGTGGAAGAATTTCTTCTTGGAAAGGGAAGAGACGTCGTTAATGCCAAGGAGCTTGAGGTGCTCGTCCTTGATGAGGCCGACCGGTGCGAATTATTGTACTCTCAGCGCTCCACACAGCTAAACTAGATGCGTAGGTTGCTGGACCTTGGGTTCCAAACTACTCTCTCGCGCATCCTGACCCATCTGCCGAAACAGCGCCGGACGGGTCTGTTTAGTGCAACTATGACAGATGCCGATGCTCTCTCAGAACTGGTCCGAGTTGGGCTCCGCAATCCTGCACGCATTGTTGTGAAGGTACAGACGAAGAAGTCCAAACTCAAGAATGCTGGGAGTGATGACCGCAGTGAAGTCGTCGAAGAGAGACGAATACCTGCTAAGTACGCATGCCCTTCCTACCCCCCGAATGTCCTCCTGATTGCAGTTCGTCTCTAGTTTGCAGAATTATTGTCTCACATGTCGCGCCTCAGAGAAGCTTGTGCAAGTCTCGAGGATATTAGCTCATGAAGTTGCAAAGCATCAATCAAGCCGCTTCATTGTGTATTTTTCTACCTGTGCATGCGTCGAATATTTCTATCGTGTATGTTCTACTTCCTGCGGGCCCTCTCCGCCATTATGTCTCACATTTTCCCCTAGATTCTCCTTCCCTTCATGCCGCCCAACACAACACTCTACTCTTTGCACGGCCACCTCCCGCCTGCGACCCGTACACGCACGCTCGCCAATTTCTCCTCTTCAGTAGCCCTCCCCTCTGCTCCCTCCGTGCTCCTTGCCACGGACGTCGCCGCACGGGGACTCGACCTCCCTGATGTAGACGTCGTCATCCAATTCGACCCCCCATCGGACTCGAAAGCGTTCTCGCATCGATGTGGGCGCACGGCGCGTGCCGGACGGAGCGGGCGTGCGTGGGTACTCCTAGTAGGCAGGGAGCGGGATTATGTAGGTAGGTGATCGGTTTTCAAGTCTGCAGCATGAAGACAACATTAACAATCGCGTGGAGACTTCTTGTCGATTCGCAAAATACCACTCATCGAGAGACCAGCTTTCTCTGAAGATGGATCTGCACGAGATCGCGATACTGAGGACGACAGCGCCGAGGTAACCTCTGCTGTCTCGCAGATACGGAAAGTGCTTTTAACAGACAGGGGGCTGCACGACAAGGTGTGTTCCTTCAATATCCTATGAACGTGAAAAAGTCGCCGACATCTCGAATATTGTGCATTACATAGGCTGCAAAAGCATTTGTGTCGTTCGTGCGTGCATACTCAAAGCACGAGGCATCGTACATATTCCGCGTCAAAGACCTGGACCTCGTTGGTGTTGCAAAGAGCTTCGGTCTCCTGCGTCTGCCGCGCATGCCTGAGCTGACCGACGTCTCGCGCAATGGCTGGGAAGATGCCGACGTTGACGTGAGTTCTTTGTGCCATCCTCCGTGTGTCGTATTGCTGATGGCCTGCTGCCCTCAGTGGAGTGCCTATGCGTATGCGGAGAAAGCGCGGGAGGCGAAGCGTCTTGCAGCTGCAGCGGAGCAGACTCGCAGCACGGCCGAAGGTGCGGAGCGCAAGGCGGAGCGCCTCGAGCAGAAGAAGGCCAATGCGGCTTGGAGTAACAAGCTCACCAGGAAGGAAGAGCAGCTAAAACGGAAGGAGAAGAAGGATCGCAAGCGCAAGTGGCAAAAGGAACATCAGGAGCCGGTGGCCATCGGGGGTAGCGCAACTAAGAAGAGGGGGAGCGAGGAAGATGGGAGCGACGTTGACGATGGAGATGATTGGGAGGAATTAGCGAGGGAAGAGAGGATGGCGAAAAAGGTGAAGCGCGGAGCGGTCAGTCAAGAGGTGTTCGATGGGGAGTTTGGGGGCCTGTGATACGTTGTATGAGGCTTGACGTCCTGTCTGCATTCATGTATCGGCGCTGAAACGAGGCATTGAATGAGTACATTTCTTCATATATTGATGGCATCACATCTGATCCTCACAATCCATAATTCCCCGGGGGGGGGGGAGGTTCGCGTCGGGCTCATTTGCGGGTACTGGATGTACGCTGATGTGCGGACTAGAAGTTTCATTTTGAATCTAATATTCCCAGTGCCCACCGTCCTGTGAAGGGGACAAACGCGATCACGTGATCGTGCGCGACAGTCATGTCAAGTAGGATAATACGCGCCTTCCTTCCTGGCTGCCAATTGTAAGGGACACGGTCATCAGAGATGATTTCATTCGTTCGCATGTGTCCGCCTCCTTCCATATGCTCATAACACGACGATGAGCAGCGTTGATATCGAGTCTACGAAGGCTTTTGTTGGATTTAAACGAAACCGATCACCTCAAGTATATCCGCATACAAAGAATTCGTTTCTGTATACAATCCCCCACGGCTATGAGCCAATTTTAGCCCTGCTTCGAAGCCGGAAGGCGAAACAGAAGCCCATCATGAAGGTCGTTCAGAAGTGACCTATGTTCCGGTGACTGGTGCACTCAAGGACCTCGACTCAAGACTTTCAAGTTCAAAGCTCAGAGGTCACGACAATTTCCAACAATTTCTCGATCTGGGTGACACCATGTTACCAATGAAACTCACACGTGACTGTCCCCTCCTTTCCTCCATTTCCCCATGTCTCCAGCCAAATGCGCATCGACGAATATACCTGGCCCACGACACGAAAACGACCTCCTGTACATCAAGACGGATGTGCACACTGGTCGCACGTATCATGCAACCGACGACATCCCCGTGGGAAGCACCGTCTTGAGGGCCTCCACGCCGTACACGTACACGATTTGGAAGCAGTTCAGAAACGAAGTCTGCGCAGAATGCTGGCGGTACGAAGGAGGGAGACGAACGTTTCTCAAGCAACGGGATGACATAGGGGTTACCAATCCTGCCGGTGGAGCCAACAGGATGATCCGGAACGGCACCCGAGTGGAAACTATCGGAGCCGGCCTCTGGTTCTGCGATGAAGGGTGCCAGGGAGCCTGGATTGCGAGGGAGGGCATGGAGACAATCACACTTTTTCGGGTGCTGGAGGAGGCGCGGCGCAAAAAAGAAGAGGGTAAGAAAAAGCCGAACCCTTTGGAAGCAGCACAGATAACGGCGGACATTGTTGACCAGGCCTGGACGATGGTATGCGACAAGGAGAAGAACCTGAAAGAGCGGAAGAAATGGAGAAATCTCCAGCTGGACAACTTCGAGACTGACATGGCTAGATATGTGCTGCTTGCGTTGATCCATCTCCGTCGCGAGCTGGAAGAAGCATGGATACCCTCGCAGAACCAGCAAACCCAAGCCACGGACGCATGCATTCGTCGTAATCTGCCAACGGATGGGAGACACGACTTACGGTTCTGGGGTGCAACTTGGAACGACTTCACGACCCTGCAGCATAACGAGCTTAACCACTTGAGAACATACCCCAAGCTGCTGGAGGACCAGATCAGGATATACAAGGTGTTGAAGGGACGGTTCGCAGAATCTAATTCGTCAATGTCGGATCACAAGCCGGTGGGGCCGGCCGATGAAGGTGTCAACAGAGAAGAGGAGCAGAACCACGGCGCACGTCCCGGACACCACCAGGGCGACGGGATCGGGAAAACTGCTGACAATGGCGACATGCTGATGGACCTGGGAAGCGCAATTACCATTGACAATGTCCGTGCGATTTTCAGCGTTGACCCGGGCAATTCTTTTGGAATTTGGGAGGTGCCCCTCACCGAAGAGAGCGAGTGTTTAGGGTTCGCGGTGTATCCGAGACCTTCATTTTTCAACCACCGTAAGTGTCAAGGCACTGGCGGGCGCCGACGTTTCCTCTAGAAGCCTCACTGTCAAGTCAATGATATAACTGATAGGATTTTGCTTTCGCAGATTGTTCGCCGAATGTGAATAAAGAACGGTATGGCCGAGGGCTAGCCTTCGTGACGACAAGGTCAGTGAGAGCCGGGGAAGAACTATGCATCAGCTATGGGCATGCAGAAGGAATGGGCTGGCGGCAGCGTCAGAAAGAGCTACGAGAAGGCTGGTTCTTTGAGTGTAGTTGTGGAAAATGCATAGTAGACATGTCCACAGTAGACGAAGGCACGTAAAACAGCCAGGCACACGAAACGGGGGTACGCACGCAAACAGTATGGTGGATCCGAGAGGATAGGAAATGAATGTTTGAAGATAAGCCGTTGCTATGTGGCGACGGGGTTAGTCAAAGGGAAGCCGCCTTACAGAGGTGATGGTTGGTGGCAAGCCTTGAAATTCTTCACAATCTTGTCTATTGTCTCGACGAATCTGACCAAGACTGGCCCGCACACAACGCAGATGTGAAGAGAAACGCGAGCACGCACAAATGGGGATGTGAGGTTGGTGCCTCAAATAGACGGCATCACAAGTTCTGAGGGCGGCATCGCCGAATATCTCGAGGACTAGCATTGTCGGGTGAAACCCGAGGATGCCCATACACTCACGCTCGTGTCCACACAGATGGCATGGGTTGATTATCCTGATGCCGGCGGTAGAAGGCAGCTCGATAATTTGTAATGGTGAGACATGGGGCACCGAGGCGAACAAGTGCATGGCGTTGACATGAGATAGAGCACATGGGAATTATAGGTACATAGTCGTTACAGTGGGCCAGTAGCACCAGACCAGCACACATGAGCTTCGGTTGGCATAGAACAACTGTGATGGGCTTATGGTTGGCTAGCGTGTATGAAAGTTGGTTGGCTCGGTGGCGGCAGCTCGCGACAAGTGACTTCTGAGCGCGTGCCATGGCACCGGTCTTCGAAGCTGTTTGATTCTTGGTTTGTTGTCCACTTCCCAACCCTGACTTGCACTTCTACTTCTGCTTTCCACGTCGCAGCAGAAATCTAGGTATGCTTTATCTTGTCTGATTTCTCACAGTTTGTGAGCTGAAACCTGTTCAACCTATTCAGGAAGTCGCGAACAGTGTTCGGCCACTGGTCCTTACAGTCATGGCGACCACAAGTGTGCCCGAGAGCAGGCTGAACGGCTCGTCTCGTGAACGTCACCAAAGCGGTCGCTCCGACTCGAATTCGTCGCCCGCGCCCCTCCGCACCGCCGCCTCGTTCTCCATTGCCAACCAGACGGCCCCGAGTTCCCAACCTCTGACCCTTGATGGGCTTCTCTCTACTTACTCAACGGCGCCGGACCCCACCAAAGCGGCACTGGACTTTACTGTTGCAGAACGGAATACGCTCTCTACACAGAACCTCCAATTGTGGAAATTGATCGAGAAGCAGCGCTCAGGATATGGACAGCTCATGAAAGAGCTGGAACGCGTGCGTGGTGAGCGAGATCTCTATCGCAATAAGTTGCAGGGGATGGGCGAGAACACGGACGCACTGCTCCGCTCGCATCGAGAGAAAGAGCGACGGGAGGCGAAGGAGAGCACGCTGCGCTCGACAGCGTCGCATTCGCATCTGAGGAGTAGCGAGAGTAGCGGTTCAGGTGCGTTAGATCCGCGGGGGCACATTGTGCGCATGAACTCGGACGACCCAGGTACTGAGCTCCGCCGTCATCGCATCTGCTTGTAGCTAACTATATGTCCTAAGCAACTCGTGGCCTTCACCACTCTCATTCGCATGACCACGTATCGCACACACAGCCGAATTTGCGTGACCAGTACGGCTCGCAGACGAGTCTTACCATTCCTGTGTCAAATCCCCGTGCAAACTCAGCCGCGCCATCACCGCTGTCCACACAGCCCACCTCGTCTAGTCCTTCTCCGTTTCGCGACGGCACTCCAGATGGACGCAAGCCTGTATTAAGCCCCACGAAGATGTCCTTCCCCACGTCTCTGCGGCCACCAGAATCGCCGTCCACGTCGTCCTCGCTATCTCAACAGCAGTCGTTGTCCAGCAACGCGCCGGCCGATTGCGATCGCGCAGACCCTGTACTGGGGCATTGGCAGCCAGGCTTTCGGCCATCGCTCGACATGGCGCGGCCGTCTGCACAGATCGCACTGACACCTGCTACACCTGCCACACCTGCCACACCTGCCACTCCCGCGCAACCGGCGCCGCGCGGGTCTTCTCTTACTCGTCAGCGCCAAGCTTCACCTGAGAAGCGGCCACCAGCATCGTCGAGCACGCTCAGCTCTTCTATGAACGGGGACGCCTCGCGCATGCTGTCGCGGGAGTCACGCATATCTCTGCCTGAGGAGGCGAAGCGATACTATGCCAACTTGAGCGACTCGCCTATGCCGAGCCCGAACGTTGGTGCATCCGGCTTCCCCTCAGGCTCGGGCCAGAGCTCTCCAGTGAAACCACAGTTATCTCAGGTCGTGGAGGTGCCGGAGGTGCTACGCAGCCATTCAGGCACGCCTTCACACGCGAGCTCGAGCACACGCGCGAGCGGGGAGCAATCACGGAAGTCGGCGGACGAGCTGGCACCGTTTTTGGACATGGGCGACGAGGACAGCGAGTACTCAGGCCTGGAGGATCGCGCTGTAAACGGCGAGAGTGCGTACGACGGTATGGACGACGGACAGACATATGCGAGCAAGGGCGCGGTCGTCGAGGACTTTCCACTCCCGCCATCCACAACAACGTTTTCGACCGGTGAAGGGCAGGCAAATTCAGACTCTGCGCAGCTGTCCGTACAGCCTGCGGCGCCTGGTACCCCCGTATCCCCCCTCCCTCTCTCGTCTGCACCCACACAGATGAAATTCCGTGCTCTGCCGCTCCTCGCGTCTGACCTACCACACACGGAAGTACTGGTGGTGACGTCGACCATCCGGCCTAACGAGCGTGGTAAGGAGGTACTCTCTTTCATCATTTGTGTCGACCCCGGGAAGGGAAAGGAGCCATGGAATGTCGAGAAGCTCTACAGCGACGTGCTGGGGCTGGACGCCCGCGTACGCGCAAGTGTGAGCAAGAACGTTATCAAGAGGATGATTGCGCTGCCGGAGGGACGGCTATGGAGGGACCATGCGCCGGCAAAGGTTGACCAGCGAAAGGTGCGTCACTCGTTTGTCTCAATAAGCTCTCTTCGACTTGCATCTGTGGACAATTCACTCTGTTTCCACTGTTTCGCGACGATTTGTCCCTCTTTGACATCGGTCGAGGGCGCCCTATCCTCGCACTGACCTCGTGCCCTTGTTCTGATGGCGCACGCGCGCCCACTGGGCCAACCTACCTTCACACTCAGTTCTCGTAGATTCTGCACCATACTTCTCGGTGCTTGGGTGGGGCTCACAGTTTTCGTTCTCATCATTATGCCCGTGGGCATCAGTTTTGTGTATTCCATGGAAGTCCCGCGGGTGTCATGTCGAATGTCTGAATTGTTCGTATTGGCTGACTGTGTTTTTGTCATCTCTCTCACCCGCAGCACGCGCTTGAGCAGTATCTGCGGTCCTTGATTGCCCTACCGGTCAAGAACAAGGACGAAATTATCGCTTTTTTCACATCAGACATTGTCCGCGAGGCACTGAAGCCTGTTTCGCAAGCGGGCTACAAGGAAGGCTACCTGACAAAACGGGGCAAAAACTTCGGTGGATGGAAGTCGAGATACTTCGTCTTGCAGGGCCCATCCTTAGAGTACTACGAAAGCGTGAGCACACTTCTTCTCTGCCATCTTGTCCTCCTTCCTGTGCACACACATGCAAATCGACTACTTCTCGCCCTATACACTTGCGCTGACATTGAGCTTCTGAATGACGTAGCGTGGGGGCACGCACCTAGGGTCCATCACGATCACCGGCGCCCAAATCGGCCGCCAGCAGCGAGCGCCCGATAGGCGGGACTCGGACGAAGACAATGAGTATCGGCATGCCTTCCTCATCATCGAAGCGAAACGTGGACCTAGTGGTTCGACTCCTCGACACGTTCTCTGTGCGGACAGCGACGCAGAGCGCGATGGCTGGGTGGAAGAGCTCGTGCGATATGTCTCTGGGACGTATAGCGAAGATCAAGTCGCAGTCATTCAGAACGGACCAAGCCCCATAGTGGTGGGCAGCCCCGCGCAAAATGTGCCTTCTCAACCACGTTCGAGCACGAGCTCGAATCCACCGACAGACATTTTAAGCACGCCGAATCGCAGGACTCGTGATACAGGGCAGGGTGTTACGCCAGTCAAGGTCGTTACAGACTTCACGAACGGCAAATTGTACCCCAATAATCTCGGGCATCCTCAGTCCGCCTCGGCTGCGTCCCCTATCGACCATGCCTCATTGGAGGGTCCTCTGTCGAGCTCGATGCCAATCTCATCACCACTTGCGCCCGAGGATGTGGACGTCCTAGCGTCTGTCTCCCAGCGTGCTAATTCAGAGCTAGGGCATTACTCTGACTTGGCAACGCCAGCGGCATTGGCCACTCGCGTGGCGCAATCCCCCGAGCAATTGCGGCGGAAGGCCAACCGCATGTCCATCACTCCGTTGAAACCAGCTATTCCTGAGCGGACGCCGTCGCCCGAGAAGGAGGCGTCCCTGACCACCCCGCGTGTCGACTCGCACGGCAAGGTCAAGATATCCGGGCCTATGAATGGCACGCCCATACCTGCGGGCTACAAATTCGGGGGGAAGGACGCCCCTGCAGAGGCTCCCACGCCAGGCAGCGATAGGCGGGAAAAGGCTAAGTCGCGCGTCTTCTGGGCATTCGGTCGACATGGTAATGCCAGCCTCGTTGCAATTCAATGTGTTTCCTGCGCCACTGATACCTGTCGTACAGAGAAGCCAAACGTGCCAGTCGCGGTACCGCGTCCCGTCTTTGGCGTGCCACTAGACGAGTCGCTTGATGTCGCACAGATTGCGAGCTTGCCTGCAATTGTATTCCGGTGTATCCAGTACCTGGAGTCCAAGCAGGCGGAACAGGAGGAGGGCATTTACCGGCTGAGTGGAAGCTCCGCAGTGATCAAGAGTCTCAAGGACCGCTTTAATGCAGGTATGCTTATAGCGTATCGGTGCCCATCGCCGTTGGACTTACCAGAGTTGAGCAGAGGGTGACATCGATCTGCTGAGCTCCGACGAGTACTGGGATCCGCATGCCATAGCGGGCTTGTTGAAAACGTTTCTGCGTGACCTACCAGCCAGTATACTAACCCGCGATCTGCACTTACGCTTCCTGGCCGTTATCGGTACGTCATGGAATTAACTTGCCGTTGCGCCCGCTCACCGTTTCTGCTAGATTTCGTTGATCCGCAGGAACGCATAAGGGAGCTCTCCCATCTCATCGCGTCGCTGCCAATAGCCAACTACAGCCTACTACGTGCGTTAACGGCGCACTTAATTCTGATTGTGCAGAATGCGAATGTGAACAAGATGACGATGAGGAACGTGGGCATCGTGTTTAGCCCGACACTGGGCATCCCCGCTGGTGTGTTCAGTTTGATGCTCGGCGAATTCAAACGTGTCTTCAATGTCGATGGCACGTTGGAAGACGGCGAGCCGGCCCCGGAAGACGAAGGCGAGGGGGCTGCTGATATTGATCGTCGGAACAGCAGACGGTACACGGACGCTGCTGCAGACCAGCTTCTGGGGCTATCGGGCAGAGCCTTACCAGAAGGACCAGGTGCGTTTTCCACTTCCACACGTCTCCCGTCTTCTGGGCGCTGACATCACCGCCTTCTCGCGTCGCGTCGCCAGCCGCAGATGAAGCTCCGTCAGATGAAGGCGAGGAAGCGTCTGTTATCGAAGAGAGCACAGAAGGCACGAGTGAGAACGAGTCGGACGTCGTGGAATCCTCGGCAGTTTCGAGCTCCACGCACCTATTGCAGGGCGGGACGCACGGAGACACCCTACAGCTGCCGGAATCCAGCGGCGGGATGGCGCCACAGTCACCTGGCGGACGTTCGCGGGCGTCGCATTTGGCAGCGTCGCGGGGGTTGCACGTCGCGGTTGCTGACAAGTCGAGCCACCGGCATAGTCGCGTCGTGGGCCTGCCTGCGTCGCCGCGGCCGAGCCCTCGCACGCCCCAGCAGAGCGGAGCTCCTTCACCCGTCGATCCTGCTCAGTTGTCCACGCCGCGGTAGGCGGCGCGCCGCACTGCGTATTCTCGCGCTGTGGGCATGGGGGAACGGTGGCACGGACGATAGACTGTTTCCTGATGCTCGTAGTGTATGTCTGCGGCGGCGATGAGCCCCGCGTTATGTATCCACAAACGGCATTTATGATTAGGGTAGTAGTGTAGATTGCATGTGTGTATAGCCTGATGATACCCTTCTCGATGCATATTTTCAATCCTCAAGCTGAGTCTGTCTTGAGCTGTGTGGAAGGCATATGCATACATACGATCTTCATCTGTGGCCAGGCGATCGGCGTGCCTGGCGGGGTAGCGAGGGACGGCTTCTCCCGTGAATGGCTGCTGGCACGCTGCTCCCCCCACCAGTGACCACCCACGCCGCCTAGCTCAGTCGAGAAATGGGGTACCGTCAGGCTGCCGTCCTCACTTCCGTTTCTTTCTTCCTCGGTAAGCTTTACGCGCACGCTCTCTTTCACACTGACTATTTCTGACCTATCTTCCCTGACCCCCGTGTAGGCGTGCTCTTCATCTGTCTCGCTGTCGACTACCGAATACTCTTTACACCGCTTACAGACCAGGTCATCAAGGATGGCCTGGGGTTCTACACAACCTTCTACAATTCTCCTCCTGCCATCAAGGTGCGTGTCTGGGCTCCGTTTCTCATGCACAGTTTGCTGATTGTTGTCCCGTCCTGCATTGCAACAACCTTCACGCGGCCCCCCGTCTCTTCGCGTGTGCACAGGCCCTGATGCACGCTATTATGGGGGCCGGGATACTCGGCCTGGTGGGCAAGCTGCACAAGTGGGACGAGAGTGCCATTTTCTTCGACGGCTCATCACTCGGTACGCGCTTCCCCTTCTGTCCTTCGCGGCTCCAGCCTCTCATTTCCATGCCTCGCACCCGCAGCTGCGTTCGTCTTCGCTATCGCCGTCTACCTCTCCGTCGGCGTCCCTGCCTCCAAGACCGTCGCCGCGCCCCTCGAGTCCGAGCCGCCGAGCGTCCAGGTCGAGGCGCTGCGCGTCCTCTCCGCGGGGAACACCATCATGATCGTGCTGCTTGGCGCGGTGCTCGCGCTCCAGGTGCGTCCGAGCTTCACGCCTGTATCAGGGCCCTGCTGACTAAAGCCTCCGCGACCGCAGGCCGGTGAGCAGTACGCGCGCCGGATAGAGGCAGCCCCGGCGACTTCTGGAAAGCCCAGGCCCCAGCAAGATGCCGGTGCAACAGGCGAAGACAGGAAGGAGAGCGCGAAGGACAAGTGAGCTAATGATGGCCGGGGCGAGAGCTCGTGTAGGACGGGGACAGTGTGTGCTTGGATATCGATCTTTGTTCCCTGTTGCTCGCGGCTGCGCGCTGCATCGGCCGTTCCCACCGCGTCCAGCAGGCTTGCACGCGATCGCGCCCTCGACGCCCGGACGCCAAAGCACTGGCCAATGCTCGCCGGCTACGTGCTACGCGAGGGCGCCTGCGCGGAGAGCTGATGAACCCTGTCTATGTACGGCTGTCATGCGATGTATGTGCCCCTTCTGATGATGACCTGATGTTAGACCCGCCTGGAGCGTGCAGCCTTCCCTTCGCCGTTCGTTCAGCCATGCCAACAGATACAATGGAATGCGAACTGACGTCGGGCAGGCATGGACAGTGCCCGAATCGAACATTGACCCTCGGCGAGGAGAGCGAGATCCCATCCGCAGAACGCATATGTGTCTGTTCGTCCGTCAGATCCCAGGACGCGCGCGCACACACACGGAATCAATCTGGAAGCATGATGAATGAAAGATTTCGTGCTGCGGTGGATGTGCGGTGCAGCAGGCTTTTGAAAATCATTCAACAAAATGAACAGTTCTATGGATATCCGGTGTCTAGCACAAGGCGTCGAACGATGTATATTATTTCGACCCTGTAGCGTTCTATTACAGACTACACCAGCAGGCGTAATTGCCCGCAGGACACACGGGAGCGCTGCGAACCGGGGGACGAGGGGCTTGCCGGCGCATTGCACAATATGCCCCCTTCACTGTGCGACGATCAGATTCCGCTACCGTCGGTTGCCCGTTGTACATACGCAAGAATACTTCTTCTGCATGACATGCACATGACGATGGCGACGCTGGCCCTTCGCATAAAGTGTGCCTGCCATATCCAGCGGACGTTATCTTTGGGCGCGGTAACTGGCCTGCGCATTTGCTTCCGTGGGCCGCCTCCGATGGGATCACTGCCCCGGGCAACCCACCCGTGATCGTGCGAGGCACGCGTCTTGCCGCGACGCTGATGCAGCGGACAGGACACAGCAGCCTGCGTCCCGCCGCCTCGTCGCGGGAACGTGCTGTGGAGCGGCGCATACGTACTCGAGAGCCCCAGCTTCGCCGCCGCGGAAGGCGAACTTTGGCCCGGCGCGTTCCGCCTCGTTGCGCGTTGACACCTTGGCGGCTGCTGGGATCAGGGATCTGCTGCTGTATGTACGCGTTGTCGCACGCACACACACACAAGAAGAGCGCGAAAATTTTCCTGCACATGCACGGGCCGCCAGCACGGCTGGGGCCCTGCCATCTCCGCGGAAGTATATGTATATGTATGTATATCTCTGCGCTCACAGCGCCGCGTGGGCGGCGGAGGAGCTAGGCCGGCGCAGCCCCTGCATCGGGCGTGGCGGGCACTGTGCAGCGGTACATCAGGGCAGAGCGTAATCTTGCGGCGAAGAAGGCAGGGCGGGAGAACAACAGGCCAATACGCAGAACCGTCGTGTGTGCAGAACCCTGGACAGAAAGGGGGGAAGCTAGTTGGGCGGGGGTGGGAACGTGGTGATCTCCAGAGTGGATACAGGCCAACGTTCCCGCCGGCAGGAGGCTGGGCTGGCGTGCTAGATGCAAGATGCAAGGAGCTACCGTGCCAGATGCTGCGCGGTTCCCAGATCTGCCCTGCCCAAGGCGTCGATGGCGAGATATCCGCCCAGTGATATCCATGGGCTATTGGCAATGTGCCGCGCCCCGACGCAACTCGCCGAGCCCCTAGGGTCCTGCGATAGAAGCACGCACGACGGAAGCACGATACGATAGGGCCAGCCACCATCGCGCATCGCGCGTTCTGGCACTGGCGGGGCAGTGATACGGCCGGAGAAGGGGCTCGCATGCACCAGTGACCAGCGTGCGTGATCTGGGGGGTCGCGCGTGCATCTGCGTCGCGGAGGTGCGGAGGCGATCGCTGAAAGCGGGCGGGTCGGGCTAGGGTCGGGCGTGGGTGCACTCCCACAGGGCCCAAAATAGGCGAGTGGAGGGACATACGGAGGTGGTGCTCGCACGGGCCTGGCTTGGCCGGCGCCGACCGCTTCTGCACGACACGAGCTATCGAGCATTGACGTGAGCGGCGACCGTTCCTACTGGACGCACCGCGAAGAGGCGCAAGACCTGCGTACCTGAGCGGATTGGGAGTGGTCTGGCCAGAGCCTGGACGGGGAGCGCCTGATGGAAGAGGAAGGAGGGCCTTGCAGGGATGCTGAGTGTGAGTGCGTCGTATCTTCCCGACGCAGCGTTCGAAGAACAGCAGTACGTTACCGTTACGGTTCAACGGAAGGAGGCAGATGTCGCGTGCGGGTGGCAGACGGACGTGATGAGATTGAGGGACGAAAGAGGGCAGCGCAGACACCATATTTGTCAGACAGTGGAGGATGATGGCATTGTGGGACACACGGCGTCGATGGCGATCAAATGCGAGGGAAATGACGCGTACGGCACACTTGGGGCGGATGCGGATGCGGATGCGGATGCTCGGCGGCGGACGGTTAGAGTTCCGAGCTGAGGACAGAAGCCGCTCCCAGCAGAGCCAGCTCAGCATCTTCGCGGCCACTTCGCAGCTCCTTCCCCCTGATGTCTTCCGCCCATGTGCACCCTCGCGCGCCTCTCGCCATTATCCAGGCCATATTACGCCTTCCATGGCGCCACAAAGCGGCCGGCGCGATGCAGATCCTGCACGACGTCACCGAATGCGCGCGCGGTACGATACGACGTTCGCGCGAGTCAGAGGTACGGCCGGGCCCGCTCTCATGGCCAGGGCAGGGCGTGCGGGGACGAGGATGCCCTGGGCTGGCCAGCAGTCCTTGCCATGGACACGCCCGGACGAGGGCTCGATCAGAACCGTCTCTCGGCACCCTCGGCAGCGGATGCATAATCCCCCTGTACACCGCCCAAATTCGGTCGATCTCATTCCCTTTCCTTCCCCATGTCACACTTCCCATATGCGGTTAGTCCCCAAATTTGTTATCAAATCCACTAAATTAACGAGATGCGGGTCTTGAGATCGCATCGGGTGGACAGGGTGCCCTCCCTCTCGCTAGCCTTGTATAAATCTACGCCCGCCCAGTCCGCCGTAGCTCGTTCTCCTCCCCGCCCGCCATAGCCCTTGTTCCCCGCCCCCCACCGCCGCACTCTTCTCGCAATGGACGCCATGGACATCAACTGGTGCCTGACATGTAACAGACACATTGACTCGGTACGTATCGGGTCTTCACCCTCGCTGCACATCGCCACTCATCCGTGCATCTCCTCCAGGACGCATCCGTCCCATACTGCTCCCGCGTGTGCTACGCCTCTGACCAGCCCTCGTCTTCCTCCGTATACCCCTGCCTGCGCCAGGCTGAATACGCCCCCGCTGCAACGTCCGTCTGCGACTCGGACGACTACGACGAGTCAGAGTATGAACCCTCCCTTCCATCTACGGAGCGCAGCCGATGGATTGGCAAGGGAGCAGCAGGCATCGAGGCATGGGCACGGAACGTCCACCCAGGCCCGCCGTGTCCTCTAGAGCATGCTCTATCCACATCAGACCTCCGGCCAAAGTTGCTCCTGCCGCACCGCCGCCCCATCCCGCCTACGCTCTGCATGTCCAAGACGGATCCCGCGCCTCCCGCGCCATCGAAGCCTATCCTCACTCCGCACCGCAGCCTCGCAAGCCAGTGTACGCCAGGTGCGAGCACCGCGTCCTACACGACACCCGCCTCCTCCCTCTCGCTCGCGACGCCCGTTTCCGAGAACGCATTCGTGCTTCCCAGCGCAGCTGCGCACGACGGAAAGCCGGGCCTCATCGGCGCGCTCACAAAGCAATTCCGCGTATGGACTCTCTCGCACGGGAAGCCGCCAGCTCGCGGTGCGATGACCTCCCGCGCAGGTCGCGCGTTGTCCCCCGTCGTCATTGACGACGAATTATCCTACACCGACGTGAAGATCGGTCACGACGAGTCCGAGGTATGGCCAACGACGTTGGGCTGGTTCGAGAAGGCGCAGCAGGACTCTACGTCGCCGCACAGCTGGCAGGTTGCCCCAGAGCACCATCCTGCATACATCGCCCGGGGCCGACGCTCGTCGCGTGCCATTTCATGATTCTCATGCCGCCTGCTGCCCCCGCTCTAGAGTTTGTTTCACGCTCTGTACGATAGTCCGCACTCATCCTCGCCTGCATCCGCCATGCACCTCGCTCTCGCGCCGCGCCCGCGCTCTTGGGGGCCGCAAAAAGATGCCCTGTGTTCTGATCTCACTCATTGCCTCCATATGGACTCCTGCACATAGCGCATCGTTACTGTCTCCATTCCTGCATCTCCCGTCCCCCCGCTTGCATACCACCCCTCATTCACCGTCCATTGATCTCTCTGCACACTCACTGCCGTACTCTTCCGCCCTCTCCCACACACGGCCCCAAAGCCAAACGCCATCTATAAAATACCGCCCTCCCACGTCCCCCTCGATATACCAGTGTGCGATGCTCCGTGCAGCGCTCAAAATTTTCGGAACCCGTGCCTCGGCACTGTTGTCTTCACTTCCTCCTATCCGCCGCTCGTCTTCGAGGCTTCCCACTCCTCCTCTCGATATCACAACCGGGCTTCTCCGCCTTGCGCTTCGCTCGGTACAGCCCCCACCTATTGCATTGCCGTGCACGCATCTCGTTCCATTCAGATATATCTCGAGGATGTACGCTTATTGTACTATCGTATTGCCCGGAGCCATAGAGTCCGTACCCCACTTAGAAGAGGAATATACTCCTTTCTGACACCACACCGTCTGTCTGCCCGTTGCGCAAAGAGTGCTCCTTTCCGCCCGCTGACTCCTGAGTAAGCGCCGATGATAGCGCCCTCTGACTTCCCTCCTCTCTCAGGTAAGCTTGCGGTGAGCTTCAGGGGGAACTCTGAGGTCAGCTGCTGGCGCGCGCGCGTCGTCGGACCCGGATGGCCTTACGCGTGTGGCTGGCGCCGGACGTCCCCTTCTAAGTTCTTCGCAGCAGGAGCAGTGCACTTTCCAAGCACGTTCGGTCCGTGGCACCTGCTGTCATGGTGCTGCGTTCTGGAGGGCCCGGCGAGCCCCATAGAGGAGGGGCCCCTGAGGCCTGACCCCCGTTCGCGGTTCGCCCGTGCACGGTTCGCGAGCACCCACCCTTCTCGAAGCGCAGGCCCCGCGCACTCCGACTTGCGGGCGACACTCAAACGCGGATATGGCGATTCGCCACACCGCTCCCTCGCACGCGGCCGCGGCCTCCCCGAAGGGCTCGCACGTCCGCCCCGCGTGGCCCGGGACGGCTTCGACTTCGTTCGTTCGAGAGGGCGACTGAGCCTGCGTGCCGCGGTTCAGAATTCGCAAATGTTAGTACTGTAGCGGGCCGCCATCGGCGTGCGACGGACGTCGACTGTGCGCGCGTCACGCATCGCCGACGTGGGGATTCGATGCGCGCATGCTCCGGGCGAGTCCTGCGCACTGGCCCCGCACGTTAACTTGGCGGGAGCCTGGGCCCTCGCTTGGCCGATGGCGCGGGATCTGGTACGATCTGGGCCTCGCGCTGCACCCAGCAGCAGCCAGAAGAGTCCAGAATGCAGCCTCTCTGCGCACTACGCAGGAAGTCGCTACGGGCAGGCGACCGGCCTAACGGGCGAGGTGGGCTGGCAGCGGCGGCAGCGGGCGCGTGCACATGGCTCCGGCCGCATTCGTTCTTAGTCGATGCCCTTATTTGGTCCGAGCACCCTGGCAGTCGCGGGCGTGACCCGTCGATCGCCGCAAAAGGCGAATCGGGCCTCCCGGCTGGGGCTGATGTGATGGGGCGCATCTTGGCGCTGTGCGCCGCGGGGTCGCGGTGAGTCCCTCTGACAAACGACCAGCGCGCGGGTCGGACGGCACTTGTGCTCGCGCCATCTTCGGCCCGGATGACTTTGTGTATGCAGCACTGACGGCGGCCGCCCGATCCTTCGTCAGCAAGTTGGTGAGCTGCGTCGCTGCCCGGATATGCTCATCAGTCACGCAATGTGTAATCTTGCCCGAAGCAGCTACCAACTCGACTCTTCGCCTACTCGACATCCTGGCAGATCTGAGCGTGTCTCGGCCGCAGCCCAAGAATCTGCGTCCATCGACGCTAGCATCGTTTCTACGCCCCCGAGATGCAGCAGGCAGGCTATGCATCAGTGGCGCTGCTTCCCAATGCCAGAGCTTCCCATCCTTCTCGCCGTCGTGATTGAGTGGAGAGGGCCTGGAACGCGTCTGCATCTATCGTCGTCGCCGTCGGATCTGAACATAGCGTCATCGCAGCGCCACAGGCAGCGCCAGCTTCTGAGACACGTCGTGCAGGTTCCCTGCCCAACATGTGCGCGCGCGCACATGTCGGACACCCACAAGTTCGCACACGGGTGCCACACAGTCTCCCGCCTTTTGCGAATATCGGTATCGGCTTACTTGTTCAGAAACACGTTTCACCGGACCCCCTGCGCCCGACGCCGGCGGGATCTGCGCGCCGATGAATGGTCCTGTTTAATTTATCATGTGCGGCAGCACGTTTGCGATATCCTTTCCAGGCACGATCGCGCCGTGTCACTATATCACGCCGTCGTGAATGTGGCTAGCGTGGTGGCGTCTGCCGAAGCCCAGCGGCCCTGCAACGGTGGGGACCTACGCCCTACCGACGACGTCCACTGTACCGATGCAATCGGTATGCCTCCACGCTGAAGAGCCCAAGAGCAGCTGCCTAATGATGCCATTTGATGCTCCGCGTGCGCGTTCAGGCTAAGAACGCACCATGCCCTGTCACGGGGCTAGCGCACCCGCGCAGGTAAAAGCTGTGTCCCACACGCAACGCTGACGTTGTCGGCGAGGTTATAGGCTATCCACAATTCAGTTCGTGTGAGCTTGCGGCGCTGTTCGCCGTGACCAACGCAGGCAGGCCCGTCGCGTCACGGCGTTCTGTGTCGAATGCATGATGCACGCACGGCGCCACCGGGCGCGCACATCCTAAATCCAATTTTGATATTCATTCATTTTGCGCGTTGGTTCCATGACGTCCGCGCCTGCGAGGACGGCCAGGAGTCGGCGCCTGCGGCAACGCGTTTCATCTGCATTCAGTTCAGTGCGCACTGCCGAACAGCACCTAAAAGCACCGAACGACGTGGGGACACTCGCCGCTGCAGACCTGCAGCTGACCGCCGTGCCGCTCCTCTGCGGTGCTGCGTGGCAGCAGGGCGCAACCCCCTTCTAACGGATCTTAAGCTCAAGACATAAGCCCCCCGATAGCGATAGCAGAACTGAATGGACGCAGAAGGCTCACGTTCACGTAATGGTGGGGGCTCGAGAAGACAGGCCGCAGAGAGGCGAGCGTGCGCACGACGGAGAAGGTACGATCACTTCTCAACTCTGTTCACCTGCCTCACTGGGACGTGCTGCGATGCACGAGGTTGGTCAGCTGCGAGGCAGTGGCTGGGTACGCATCTGTGAGCGAGCCGAGAATGTCGCGTAGGCGCTGTGAAATCAAACAAGTCACTGAACCTGTGAACCCCGTCGATGTGCCACTTGTGATCATATAAATATTTGTATACGAAGCTGCATGTGCGTTCGAGACTGTGACAGTCAGTCGATCGCGCCCCAAAATATGAGAATCATGAAATGACACTATTACTCAGATCCTAACGCGACGCCACCATCTGTTGGCAGGTCATTACAGATACCTTGTTTCCAGGAAAGGCCATGCATGCCGCCAGAGACCGGAGTGTAGCACTGCCCAACGCCTATTTGATTGATGTCGGACAGAATTCATAGTAACATACCACGAGTTCGAGGACACGCAGCGTATGTCCGCTCAGGAACCGCGTATATACAAACCTTTTCCCTCGCCGAAGCGCCGGCACAATTTTAGTGAGACCTCAGATTCCAACACTCTTCGCATACCACACATTCTACACATACCGAGACAGGGCTGCGGCAGCACTTCTTGCTTGAGCATCAGTGATGAGAAAGGAAAGTGAAACAAATACAAGAGCTTGCAGACAATACACTCATTGCGGGGGTTGGAAGCTGATTACGTCTCATGAGCTAAGGTACAAGTGACACATGATGTGCAGTACTCACCCAGGTGGAGGACCACCAAAGCCCGGAGGAGGGGCAAACGGCGGCATGCCCGGAGGTCCCCCTGGGAAGCCAGGAGGGCGGAAACCGGGCGGAGGCATACCTGGGGCGCCGAACGGCATAGGCGGACGCTGTAGAGCTGGTGCGCCCACTACACATCACCGCTATCAGAGCTTATGCGCACCGGAGATACAAAACAAAACGTACTTGGGGGCATCATTCCCATACCACGACCCGCGGGCATTCCTCGACCAGGTCCGATAGGAAGCTGCAGCATAACGGCATCAGGGACTAAATCACGCTCGGGACGTAAGTGCGAGGCGCACCATGTTCTTCTTATCGTCATCCACAACGGGCGGCGGGCCCTCCACGGACAGACTGACCACCGTCTCGCCGCGCAGGATCACGAGGCCGAGTGTGCGTTTCATCTCCTGCACAGGGCCTGCCTCCGTCTCGCCAGTCTTCTTCTTTGGCCGTACGCGGCGGAACTCCTCGCACTCGGCGAGGACGAGGTTCATGTGACGGTCAAAAGCCAGCATCTGCCCGACGAATGCGCGACCGTCGTTGATCGTCACTTTGAGTCTCCAATTGATGAGACCGAGCATTTTTCCTCCCTTGGATTTTGGCGGCGGCTGCGTGACATATCCTCATCAGCTTCCTGTGATGATTCTGAACATGTTGTAAGCGCACCATGGTGGGCAACTGGTTTTTGGAGAGTTTGCAGTGAACAACGAGGATCGAGCACTACACGCTCAAATGTGGGAGCAAACAAGGACAAACAACGTGTGGCGGGCTCCTCGCAGCGATCGATCCTGATTTCTCGACGGAGTCCTTCCAATCTCGAGAACATCATAAGCAAATCTATGTCCTTATTTTGGCCATCTTACCTACTTGACTATGGCATCTATCGTTCATGGTGAACGCGGACGACGTCCACATAGCCACATTACACCGACACGTTGACGACTCATGAGACACGTGTCACCGGGCCATGGAACAAACCTCTGCGTAAATGGTCGGAGGCACTGGCAAGTGAAAACATTACATATCTTGATTTTGCTCATCTAGCTCATGCATGCCCTATACGCCGCTCACAAGATCCGAACAGAATCTTGAAGTCTCTTGATTTTATCACATCTTATCGGGTAAGCGTTTTACAATGTCTCCCGCAACCTCTTGCAAAGCCGGTGCTTTGGCATACCGGTCCCTTTCCAGTTGCTTCCGCTGCCAGGTTTGAACTTTGCACAATCCGTCTTACGGTACGAGTCCTATAATGTTGCCGTTGCTTTACATTGGTCTTCGGGATTGCGTGCTCTCCTTATCCCTCACGAAACGAATCCACTCGCTCTCACTCCTCGGTGAAGCACAGTCGCGAGAGTGCGGGTGCTGTTGAAGCGATGGACAACATGGTGCATGCAATTTCATGGGTATGTTGGCCTATTTCATTCCGTTGCTTGCTTGGCAATGCTTCGGGTTCTCCCATGGACTTACTTCTCCGTCCAAGCTGGTGGTGGCGCCTTCCCTTTCTTAGCATGATCGTATACAATGTCTAAGTCTATCTGCAGCCGTGTCCCTGGCTCCTCCCAATGCAAAGAGATCCCGAGCTTACTGAATATCGATGGTAATCTCTACCGATTCCGAGCCCGCCCTTGGTGGCCATCAGCCTGCGAAACCGCACGGCTTGACGGCAGAAGGTGAGGCAATTTTTGAGCGACCCTCGGAGCAGTCTCATCTCAGATTTCGCAGGCAAGAGGCAATCTCCAGGGCATCATCGTCATCGCGTTCTGTGCGTGTTTGCACTCTGATGCATGGTGTCTGCGAGACACCGGGACAGCAGTGAGGTCAGCGGCTAGAAGACCTGCGGCGCTCCTAGGTTATGGCATGCCGCCTTGCGCTTACCAAGTTCGCGCGCACGTCTTCATTGCGCGCGTCTGCGCTTGTTGAAACGCAGCGACCCGGGTATAAGCCCCGTCGCGCGAGCTTCGCCATCCTACGCAGTAGCTCAGGAACGGAGAGATCTCCGGATAAGCTCGCCTTCTATACCCGTCTGCTCTCACCTGACCATCAGATGGCGTCGGGACCAGAGCTCGCGCCAGCGCACAGTTTCATTCACACTTCACCAGCTATATCGCGTCCGACTGCCACTTGTCAACAGCTTGACTCGTAAGAGAAGGGTCCGCGTATAGAAGGTACTGCGAATGCCTTTCACACATCGCCGACAAATTGTCCGCGGAGATGTATGCTCATACCGCGTAAAATTTCTACAACCGCGCTCTCTCATGCCCTGTGACAGGAATTCAGATGTCGCTGGTCTCATCACGGCGTGGATTACTGCAAGTCACAACCGATAGCTGCGAGGGCCTCCCTGGCAGCACTACGGGCAAAGCTTCACGGTGAATACTTGGCGGGAGTGAAGGAGCATAGTACGTTCCAGAAAGCCAAGTGAGTGGAGCGTTCACGTTACATGCTCATGCGTGCAGGGGGAGGCGTGGACATCGATGCTGAAACGGTTGCGAGCAGCGCATGGAAGTTGACGGGTATAGCTCATCTTGATCAAAGGGCTTCTGATTGTGCTTGTCCTGTCTATCATCCAGGCTACCGCAAGGGCATGCTGAAGGCGTGCCAGGACGCAAGCTTGTAAAATTTATAACATGCGTAAACCGAGAGTTAGGCCCGCACGAAGCGCCAATGGAGAATAGTGGTGTTCTTGTTAGGGAGGTCAGATTGGTCCAGAGTCAATAGTTTTTAGCCCGTCACACGACTTCACTTTTTATTGCTTACTCTTCTGATTCACGCAGGCCCATGCTTTCGGCAACAATCTTGCAAAGAGGAGCCAATCATGCAGACATGCTTTCCAATCGACCTCAAGGAAGAAGAGTCTACATCATCTCGAGATGACGTTCAACACAGGTGATGACGCCTCACTGTACAAATCCGTCTATACCCTTCGACAAACTGTACACCACATCCACGAATGACCCATTATAGATTGCCGCCCAGTGTGTCCAGCGCATTCAATTAAAGATAAGCGCATACTAGCTTCGGGCTCAAACGCAGGGGGATGACCGCACTCGCTGTCTTCCGGACAACAGCCCATTACGTATTTCTTCCTCCGAGAGGTCAAAGAGAGAAGATCCGTAGACCATGAGGTCAGTCCGAGCTCCTATGACGGCAGGATTAGAGAGTAATTATACTTTTAGGTCTGTCTCCTGACCAACAAGGAATTCCAGCGAGTCAACATGCACAATACATTCAAGCGCATTGGACGAGTCGCCTTCTGCATCCGGCCTGCGGTACCTCGGTCCTGACGAAGTAGGTTGCTCTATCGTCATGCTATGACACTATCTGGGACAATGCTCGGAGAACACTCAATCATGGAAGAAGCTGTATGTATGCGCGTATTCGTAACAACAAGATGATCGTAGTTCTACTTCTATTCTTACACTCGATGCTGCCAGTGGGCACGGAATACATTGCATTGTCCAGAATTAGTGCACAATCTCGACGACGAGGTCTCCTTGGTTGATCGAATCCCCTGTTTCATCCATCGCGGATCAGTACACATTCTCACGAAGAAGATTCAAAGTATACCTTCTTGCACGACGACGCGCTTGACGTGACCAGAGACAGGCGCTGTCACGGCGGACTCCATCTACAAAGTCAGGGTGAGTGATATCCCAAGACGGTGAACAGATGTGTAACATGCCTTCATGGCGCTCATCACTGAAGATAGAGGCATTCCGTCACTACGTGTGGTAGCCGCAGGGCAAGGAATCACTTACCGCACATAGGGTCTCCCTTCTTGATCTCCGCACCCTCTTTTACTCTGACCTCCACAACGACACCTGACATGGGTGCCCCGACGGATCCAGGGTCAGACGTCGCCTTCTCGCGCGAGATGGTCTCGACCGCAGAATTCTTGTCCTCAACTGAGACGGCGCGCACCTAGTGAGGAACATAATCAAACCGCAGACCCATGCAGAGCGGCAATGTGACTCACCTCTCCGTTCACCTCAAACCAGACATCACGCTGCGCACGGCCTTCGACGACAGGGCCTACGGCCATTAGGCAGATGATGAGAGTCTTGCCCTTCTCAATTTCCATGTGCATCTCCTCCCCAATGTCTGGTCTTCCAAGGAAGTAGCGGGTCGGGATCACACTATGAAATAGGTCAATTGTCAATTCCGCTGCGATTGTTGCATAACCGGATTACTCACCTCAAGTCACCGTATCTCTCCACGAAGCCCTGATATTCTTCAAAGACCTGGTGACAAATGTACTGAGTACACATCCAAATTCGTCAACTACATTGCATACCTTCGGATACATGATGTAAGACGTGACATCGGCGTCGGTGATATGTTTGCCAAACTTGCTGCGCAACTCCGCCTTCGTCTTTTTGATGTCCACGGGAGGCAAGTTGATACCGGGCCTGCCGTCAATCCTGGGCTTGTTCCTGATAATCTTCGTGCGTAGAGGCTCAGGGAACCCGCCGACTGGCTGTCCAAGATAGCCCTGGAAGAACTCGACGACAGACGAAGGGAAGTCGAGCTGCTCCGCACGGTCGAGAACGTCTTGCGCGGAGAAGCCGTTGGACACCATCCACTGTGCGAAGTCGCCTACCACTTTGGACGTTGGCGTAACCTGAATGGTCATCAGCTCAGTATATCTCTGTCCTACTTCGTAAGGTGTTCTCACCTTGATGACGTTGCCGCACTATATCCGACATGTTGCAAATTAATCCCCATCTTATTTCAATGTGTAGGAGAAGCACGCACCAATTCGTTGGCTTCGATATACTTCTTCTTGACCTCTGAATGCATGTTTGAGGCACACTTTCCCATGTTTGACGAAGATGCATTCAAGCTTACCGGTCCACTGTGTGCCCAGGCCCAACTGAGCAGCTTGGAACTGGAAACCAGCGGTATCAAAACACCACTTCCGCGGATATGACACAATAACCCACCATCAAGTTGGTGTATTGGCCGCCCGGCATCTCGTGGTCGAAGACACTGGAATCCGACGCGCGAACATTCGCCTCGAAGCAGCTGTAGAGCATCCGCACCTGGCTCCAGTAAATATTCAAGGCTTGAATATCAGAATAACGGATGCCAGATCCAAGGCCGCTCTGCTCGAGAGCGCTGCACACCGCACCCATCGATGGTTGCGACGTCAGGCCGGACATGCCTGGAAGAAGATAAACATGTGTCAGCCATAAAGATAGATATACACATACTGTCGATGGCAACATCCACGATGTCAGCACCGGCCGCGGCCGCGGCCAACATACTGGCAACCGAGATACCAGCAGTGTCGTGGGAATGAACATGTATGGGCAGGTCAGGATATTTTTTCCTGATTGCTCCGATGAGTCTGCCAGGAAGGTCAGTGATATTCATATATGCCCTCGACTGCGCCTCACAGTTTCGCGGACTCAGGCTTGAGCAGGCCTGCCATGTCTTTGATACTAAGAATGTGGATCCCTTCAGCGACTAACTCGTCCACGAAGTTGAGATAGTAGTCCAGAGTGTACTTCGTCTCCTTCGGACTAGCGACATCACCGCTGTAGCAGACGGCAGCCTCCACGACACCACCGGCCTTCTTTGCTGCGTCGATACCGAGCTTGAGCTGTTGGGAATCAATCAGCATCCTGTCACCATAGTGCGTATTGCTTGACTGACGTTCTCTGCGCACAAACATTAGCTCGGCGAAATGTCGTGTACTATTAGAACCCACCAATGTAGTTAAGGGAGTCGAACACTCGGAAGATATCGAGACCGTTCTCGACGGCCTTCTTGGAGAAGTCGTAGATGGCATTGTCACTGTCGACGCACTCGAATCAATAAATTCTGCCGCTAACGAAATGAAAGAGCGCGCACGGATAGCTTGTGTAACCGACACCGTTGGCACCACGAACAAGAGCTTGCAGGGGAATGTTCGGCACAAGCTTACGAAGGGTACGCTAGAATAAAACCATTCATTATCAATCTAATGAACGGCCTGAAAAGACGACAAACTCACCAGACGCTCCCAAGGGTCCTCATATAGGAAGCGCATCGCCACATCGAAGGTCGCCCCACCCCAACACTCTAGACTGAACGCATTCGCTAGCGCCCAGCTAGTCTCCTTCGCGATATTGGCAATGTCTATCGTCCTCAGTCTTGTGGCAAGCAGACTTTGATGCGCATCACGCCATGTTGTGTCCATGATAAGAACACCTGGGTACTCGCGCACAGCCTTCGCAAAGGCCTCAGGGCCTTGCTCGACGATGATGTTGCGCCAGCCCAGTGTGCATGGTTCTGATACATCGAGGGGAGGGCCATTGGGGTCATCACGGTTCTGGAACACGGGCACAACGATCTCATCTTTGAACCCGGGTTCGCCCTGCTGGCCCTTGATGGAGCTGCCGTTTACGGCAAGGTCACCGAGGTAGGCGAGCAGCTTCTGGGCACGGTTCTGAGATTGAACGAGCTTGAAGAGCTCAGGAGTGTCGTCGATGAACTACATAACACGTCCGGTGAGTCACAATACAAACGAGATTTCGATATAACTGACTGTGGTCCACGTCTTTCCACCAATGAAGACGTCATGCGTCAGGAGACGGAACAGGAACGGGATGTTGGTCTGAGGAGGGGAGGGATAAGCTCAGTAACAAGTCATCCTGCATCGTAACGATTATGACCCACCTTGACCCCACGGATACGGAATTCAACGAGAGCACGGAGCATCTTTCTGCGCGCGACCTCATACGTCGTACCGCTGACCGTGACCTTAACAAGCAGGCTGTCGTAGTGCGGCTATATGCGCATGAGCATTCCAACGAGCTAATGGGATAGAAATGGATATTCACCGTGATCTGTGCTCCCGCAAAGCCAGAGCTCGCATCCAGGCGAACACCGTTTCCACCAGCGCTACGATACACTTCGATCTTACCGGTGTCAGGCTGGAAATTCTGCGACGCGTCCTCAGTCGTGACACGGCACTGGATAGCGAAGCCACGCTTTGTGATGGCCTCTTGGGTGAGCCCTAGTTGTGTGAGAGTCGCGCCCGCCGCGATCTGAATCTGCGCTGCAACAACGTCGATGCCCGTAATCTCCTCTAGAATAGGAGAAATTTAGATGCAACCTCCCTACGAGGAATTGTACCGCACCTGTAATTGTGTGCTCGACCTGAATACGCGGGTTGATCTCGATGAAGTAGTGTCTTCCCATCTGATCGACCAAGAACTCAGCCGTGCCGGCATTTCTGTATCCCACGCTCTTCGCGAGCTTGATTGCATCGGCCCAAATGGCCTGGCGGACCTCCTCGGGAAGATGTGTCGCGGGTGCAACCTCGACAACCTTTTGATGACGCCGCTGCACGGAACAGTCACGCTCGAAGAGATGAACCGTGTTGCCTACGGCATCCGCCAGGAGCTGCACTTCGATGTGCCTCGGGCGCTCGAGGAAGCGCTCGATGAACACGGTGCCGTCACCAAAGGCGGATTTGGCCTCGGAAACAGCACGCTCAAATGAGGACTGGAAGTCGGACTGCTCACGGACGACACGCATACCACGGCCGCCACCACCCATAGCGGCCTTGATGATCACTGCGGGGGGGGGGGGGGATTGGCGAAGACGTACGATGATGTCATCGGAACTTACCAGGGAAGCCGCACTCCTTAATGAAGGCATCTGCCTCGGTCCAGGAGTCAACAGGGCCTGGCGTACCAGGGACAACAGGAACGCCAATCTTGATGGCTAAAGAAGGAAAGGAAAGGTTAATGGCTATGTGTGCGTCGTCGTAAAGTAAATCCCACCAATTGCCCTCGCCTTGGTCTTGTCACCGAGCGAGTCAATCACCTCGGGGGAAGGCCCAACGAACGCGAGGCCGGCCATCTCGACCTTGCGCGCAAACTCGGCATTCTCAGAAAGGAAGCCGTACCTGATGGCAGGCGACGGCGGGGAGGAAAAGGCTCGATATCAGCAGGGACGTTTGCGAGAGGTGCATCTCACCCTGGGTGGATCATGTCCACGCCATGCTCGAGAGCAATGCGGATGATGTCGTCCTGGGCAAGGTACGCGCCGACGGGGGTAAGACCCTTCCCGACTTGATATGCCTCGTCGGCCTGTAACCGATTTTGAATATCGGCGGCTAAGAAGGGGAGAACGAGTACGACTCGCCTTCTGACGATGAGCAGAGAGGCGGTCTTCGTAGGAGTAGATGGCGACCGTATGCATAGCAAGCTCGTGCGCGGTACGGAAGACACGGATGGCAATTTCCTAGCACGAGCAGTATGAACTCCGTAGAACACATATGCAAGATCGCTAGATCAAGGCTTACACCGCGGTTCGCGACGAGGATCTTAGTGAGAGGGCCAGAATGGCCCGCTGCCTTGCGACGCATGGTCTGGATGGAGTGCACCGGTGTGCCCGGCGCACTGGGCGAGCCCGCAAATATGGCCGCCAAACGCGGGGGGTGGAGAGTCGCAGTGTCGCCCGGCATCGCGATGGATGACGATCAATGGATGAATGCGGTATGAGGTTTGAGAGACGTAGTAAAAACTGCTTGTGAATGCGAGCGGGATGACTCGGCCGACAAGCGTCGCGGCAAAAGAGCAAGAGGATGAGGGACGCGTCTGGGCGCGAGTCAAGTGACCTCATTCAAGCTCGCCCCCTTATAACGCGCCCCAGACGGCGTTAGCGCGGTAAACCGCTCCATGTCCGCTGCTCTTCGCCCGCTATTTGAGAAGTCCCTCTCTCAATCTCCGTCCAGAAGCACTCAATGCGTCACCGCAGACCAACATGCGGCCAATCATTACAGACGATGGTGTACTACATCAGTACAAGACCTCCCCAATCGGTCGTATTGGAGTGAACATGTCTATCATCTAGTGTCAATATGCGACAAAACGTCCAAAGCCGTACCCAATATTTCCACCCCCAACAAAACAATAGGAACGCCGGCGTTGACGGCTGGGGCCCGTGAACATCTCCAAAACCCCATCCGAGGTGTAGTGGCCCGATGATCGATGGCCACCGCATCGTGCGATGCAATCTATTACAGTCGCGCGCGCTTTCCTTACTTCCTCGTCATGGGAATAACTCCTTGCATCACGCTGCTGTCTGCCTTCTTCTGATTGCTCTTCGCTACCGCATATACGAGTCCGGCGCCGAAGCCAACGCTTACTGCGGACACGGAGCCAACGGTGACTGCGTCACCGAAGAACAGCATACCAGATGCTGCGACTGGGAGCTTGTTCAACGCACCAACCATACTATAGAGCGACCATTAGATTCACATCCAGGACTGAATGAAGAGGGAGCTGACCTGTAAGTTGTGCTGCTCGTCGCGCGGATACACCATGCCGTAGTGTATGAGATGCCGACAGCTGCCGCACCCGAGAATGCAATAGCAAATAGCAAGAAGTTCCGTGTTTCCTCGGGGCTACGGTGTTTGATTTTGATTCACAACAAACTCGACAATGCGACAATAGTGAGACATACAAGTTGCGGTGCAAGTTCTCCGAGCCCCAGTTCTCCGCGACGATGCTGAAGAAGGCCAGAACAGGGATGGACAGCAGATTATTGTAGAACATGGTGTCCCAGTCTGAGAAGCCAGTCACCTTGATACGCTTGCGCATCGAGAGGACCTAGATACGCCGCGGCTAGTTATGCCTCGCCAATACCAGTGCGTGGTGTGAGATACTCACGTAAGTTGCACTGGTCAGACAGTTTACGAACATCCAGAAGTAACCAACATTCATGTTGGTCACAACGCCTTTCATCATAGCCAGTGCCCCCAGCCCTTCTACTACGGCCGGGTCTCCCGCTGTGAGGGCTTCGCTAATGTCTGCCCATGCTGCGATGACTGAAGAGAGCACCTAGGGCCAAAGCCTCGGTGGTCAGAAACGCCGACAATCAGCAACGTCATAGGCATCACATACCATGAAGATGAAAGAGATCAGGGTTAGTCCCGTAACGCGCCCTCCAAACCAGATTACTTCGCCATAAGCCTACATACGCTGAGATAAGACAAAGCCAAGGCCAACAACGAAGGACACTTACGATGAGAATGATGGTAAGGTTTTTGAAGATAGTGTACACAGGTATACTGAGATATTGCTGTAAGTCGTCGCATTCTCAATCAGAAACTGTTGCACCAAGTAAACATATAACCCACCAAGCTCTTTGACCCCGTATAAATAACGGTTACAAGCAGAAAACTGATAGGAAACCACGTTTTCGCGTCGCGTTTGTCGAAGTCGCGGAAAGAAATGAGCCCGAGACGTTTCACGATTGCGACACACATCACAGAGACGGCGGATTGAATGCCGAGAAGAAGGAAGTTCATATTGAATTGCTTTCCGGAGACCACAAACTAGAAGGGCTCAGGAGAACGCGCATACGGAGGGCATGGAGCGCACCTTGTTCACAACCGTCATCAGAATGGAAGCTAGGCAGTAGCACACAATAGGCGGAACTACATAGACAGGTAAGTCCCAAGTACACACCGGATACAACAGCTAGACGTAGCGCACCTGAAGAGATAGTACTCGAGCTATCCTTGCCGGAGCTGTTTCCTGTCGCCATTGCTCTCTTGATTTCAGCGACATCTTCCTCCTCCTTCATGATCGGCGAGCTGTGATTGCTTGACGACATTCCGTTCCTATGCAGCAATCACAAGATACTAGAATGTTCGGAATCTGCACAGTCCCAATTTGAGGCGAGGAAGGTTGGCTGCGGTCTTCGATACGTTACGTGACTGAGTGGTGCAACGTTTGACGTTGTAGCTATTCTTGGGCAATCGGAAGGTAGGAGATGTTCACAGTAAATGGTCCAGAGTAATGAATGTGGGGGACTTCAGGTATGCTGCAGTGAGAGATATAAATGGGTGAACAAGACGGAACCGAGCAGAATTGACCGAAAACAACTGTGAGTACTTCGCGGTGGCGGTGGCGGCACCTTCCAATTGGGGGACCATTCCTTGGCGTCGATCGAGACTGATCCTAGGGTTAGGAGTGCGTTTCTGGTTTCGTTCTCCGTTCTCCGCGTTCACAGGTCCACTCCCGGTACACCGCCTTTCCGTTGCATCCGCATTGCTCAGCGGAAATAACAAAAGCGTGGGCTGCACGCCTTGCTTTTGCTTTCCACCTGCGTTCGTACTCTGCGTCTGCTCGATACCAGGCTAGGAGTGGACATTGAACGGACACTCAGACTCGAAGGCATGCTCGCTCGCCTCAGTCGCTCTGCTCGTGCTGTAGGAACGCGTCAATCCCTGTCCCTCCGGCCTTCAGTACCTCAGGCGAACCTCGAGTGTCTCCGCATACTTCCAGTTCATGACGGACGCGTGATCTCGTCGTGTTCCGCGAAACGGTATCCAACGAACTCGGTGGCGCGCAAAGCGGAGGAAGAGGACCATGATGCGGATGTCAAACCCGCAGAGGACTTGAACACAGTTGGGCTTCATGAACAACAAAATGAACATGCTGTCATATCGACGTTCGATTTGTTCAGCATTGGGGGTGAGCAAAATATATCATGTCGAACGGCACACGCCAACGATTGTCCCGCTTTCCATTAGTGGGCCCCAGCTCTTCGCACACTGTGGGACCTATGAGAGCTGGGAAAATCTTTATTAACGACTTGATTGAGATGGGTTTGCTGGATAAGGTCAGAGATCTCTAAAGGATGCCGGGAACCTCGGAATAACTTTGTGATCGCAGGTTAAGACTGTTAAGATTACCCTGTAGGTCTCAAAGATTTTCTAACCTATCTGCATCGTTCAATTGCATGGATCAGATATGGTTCACTGGCTGCTACAGGTGAGCTCATACGTCTGTACCCGGCACCATAAAATATTAATGGTGCTGAACCTTGGCTTCGGTACTTAGGAAAGGGGTGCGTCTTGATGCATTTATCTACATACATGCTTTTGCAACTCGATTCTATAGACACCACACCCCACAAGCTATTTTACTTGGACTGGAGGGATCAGATCCAGAAACCATAGACACGGGTACCATACCTACACGGTACGCCGCAATCCTCGAGAATAAGAGCCTCACGCTCGGTGGGAGGCACCGCATTGTGTATGATCCTGAGCGTGACATGCTGTGGCGCTGGAACCAGGTGCTGAAGACTCACCCGAATGGCATGCGGTTTTCCGTCTTCGATGCAGACGGCAATCTGCTGGCAACCAACGAGTATTTCAGGTATGTGATGTTACGGTATATCGGCATGCCCGTTTTGAGCGGTAATTTATAGCGTTGGAGGCGGTTTCGTTGTCAACGACAAGACGAAGGGTCTGTGATCGACATTTTCGAAGCGCACTCAGACCGCTGATGTTCCCTTACAGTTGACGAGAACCTATTCTACAAGGGTGTGGACAAGAGCGCCGTGCACGGCGCGCGTCTGCATCAATCACATAGTCTGTCAGACAATCAATGGGGTGACTCGCCTCCAGAAAATGATCCTTGCCAACCCCCCTACCCATTCGTCGTATGTAACCATGTTAAAATCACCCCGGGTCATCTATTTAACGGTGTCCACAGTCCGGGGAAAGTCTGTTAGCACTAACAAGAAAGCACAATGCATGTGACTACTCTTCAAACCAAGCACACACCAAGTTGATGATTCCTTGTAGATGACGATCGCACAAATTGTGTATGACAATGAACGCCATTTCGGCTATTCCGACGAGGATATTCATCAGAAGGTGACTCTTTGTCAATATCACTGTGTTGTGCATATGCTCATCTATAGTAGCTGATGCGGATATGGGCCGTCATGGACGACTGCATTCGTATGGGTGTCTCATCCTCGGAGACTAAACTTCCTGGAAGGCTCCAGCTTCGTCGACGTGCACCCATTCTCTATCGACGACTCATGAGAGGGTAGGCGCTCAGTCGTCCTGCAGTGATATGGCCGAGCTGACAAGACGGTCCAGGTTCTATCCAGGTCTATCCTCTGCGTCTCTGCCATCAATTGGCGCAGGGTCAATGGAGTCTGCGGGCAGGATTGATGCACCCGAAGGTGATGCGGGCGCCGAGGAAGCCAATGCCGGTGAGGGAGAATGGAGCGGGAAGTCCAACGGGGGCCCTCCTGCTTCCCGTGCGACACGCGTTGTGGGTCGGCCTGAACATGCTGTCCTACCCATGGCTCCTGTAAGTGCAATTCTCGGAGCGAAGTAGTTGCTGAAGACGAATTAACCCGTCTGGTCGGGTCTAGCGCAAGACAATGATCCCTGCAATGGACTTCCTCTCCTGCTATGCAATCGCAGTCAATGAGGTGAACGCAAGCGGAGGCAGGATCGTCACATCGCCGACGAACGGCGCAGCTGGCGTCATCCCAGCTGTGCTGAAGTACATCGTAGAGGTGCGTGTTGACGTCGTGCCAGATGTTCAACGCAAATCAATATCGTAAACGCATAGTTTATCAGCGATGATCCAGAGAAATCCGTCGTCACGTTTTTATTGACTGCTGCAGTAAGCCCTCAGCTTCTTCTCTCTTACGAAGACGATCCGATTTCGGTATCGCAGGCCGTTGGCATGTTGTTCAAGAGAGGCAGTACAATATCGGCCGCAGAAGGAGGTTGCCAGGCTGAGGTAGGAGGTAAGTCTCTCAATGGGCTGATAGGCTTCGGCGACGCTACTAACGCACAGATGTCAGTTGCATGTTCCATGGCTAGTGCTGGCTTTGCTGCTTGCATGGGTGGTGAGTACACATAAATGAATCACTGAAGTCCTGCTCATAGGGCACTTAGCTTCTCCGGAGACCGTACTGCAGGTATGTTCAATTACCCCTGTTAGATCCGCATAATGATCTTATGTGATATTTATCATTCAAGGCCGCAGAGATTGGTATCGGTGCGTTATCGTCGAGCTCGGTAGATCGCTGGAGGAAGTTCTGACAGCGAAGCCTAGAGCATAACCTTGGCCTGACCTGTGATCCGATTGACGGTCTTGTTCAAGTCCCTTGCATCGTAAGCTAGCCGCCCGCGCTTTTGTGAATGGGACGATACTGACACCGACTGAGCAGGAGCGGAACAGTTTGGGAGGTATGATTTCGATCAGTCAAGAATTATATTGGAGAAGCTGATAGGCCGCAAACAATCCACACTAGCCGTGAAGGCTGTGACCGCCGCTCAGCTCTCCATGGCGAGCCAGAACGTTTACAGCGTCACGCTCGACGAAGCCATTGAGGCGATGCGGCTGACTGCTGCTGACATGAGCGTGAAATACAAGGAGACTAGCCTTTCGGTGAGCTATTTGCAACATATTCGTTTCCATATGGTTGACGACGTGTGTTCCGCAGGGCCTCGCGGTATGTTGCACAGAACCTAACTTAGGCTCATGAAATATGGACGCTGACCCTTCGTTCTTCGGCAGCGCACCGTCAAGATCCCACTGACTGTTCCCGCCTGTTAGATCAAACAGCAACCTACGAGCGCGCTCCTGGTTCAACGCCACGCGGATCCGCTTTCGTGTTTTCTAGAGTTCCCTATGGACTAGAATGCTACGGACAAGCTATTGGTCACCATAGAGTCCCCCTAGAGTAATAGATTATGCAGAATGTCGTTGTCAATACCTTGGTACTATGTGCATACCTTACCGGTCATACATCCTTATCTCCCTTTCTGTCGAGATGGAGGGCATCCTGGTTCCGTTACTGTTTGAGAACTCCTGAAGTATCACTTTACAAGGGGACCGGCGAACAAATAGTAGGTCGCACTTGGGATCTGGTTCTAGTACTACGCAAGTCATGGCAATCCGGGCATTGACGCTCATGCGCCCTTTAGATCGGTGCATGTTATGCGATCGTCTAGGGTTTCTTCACAGGTCAATGGCAAATTGATCCAGGTGATTCAAATTTAGGCCTAGCAGCCGACAGCAAAGATCCTGAAAGAGAACACACGCAGAAAGCGCCAGCGTCGCGACCGCAGCTGTAACGAATTTCGGCGGACTTATCTTCACATGCGATGGGCTTGAAACAAGCATAATTATCTGACCAATGTTTCGCAAGTTGAGCGATCGGGTGAGTAATGTACTAATATTGCTAGCTCCTTGATCGGCGGTCCAATAGCATGTCAACGTAGGTTGCAACAGTAGACTATAGGAGGTCCTTCAAGCACATCCGGTGTGTTCGTAATCGACCGGGTATAAATGGGCCCTATAAACAATAGGTACGCTTTCACCAAGCTGAACATCCCATCGACATAGTATTCTGTCAAAAATATGATCAATGTCTTACAACGACAGTCGCTCAAGACATGACATACCAGCAGGTTGAGGTCTGATGAAGGCGATCCGCGGGCTCCTCCATCTCAATCTCATCGTCTGAGTGTTGCCCATGAAACCGCATCGATCTCACAAGCTGACTATCTCCAGCTCCCGAGGCTACTGGATCTGATGCGTTAGTATGTTTCCCGGTTGTCTCTCGAAGGTTGAGCATCATTCGAGAGACGAGAGTGCTGGATGTACTGAAACGTAATCTTTTAAATTCAAGCACTGCATACACAAAGTCAATAAATCACTCACGCATTTGTCAGGGCCGAAAGAGCTCCATTGGCTGGTGGCTAAAAACGACACACGTTTATGCGTGCAAAGTCCAGGGAAATAGATAACATACTTCCGCGAGCTGCGTTTAAGGTAGATTAGCTTCTGCTCAGAGATGTCAAAAATGATGTACATGCCAAGAACGTTAAGATGTTCAAGATATTGAGTACTATCAGCGCACAGAAAAAGACGGCACCTAGATAAAGAAAATAAATAAGAGGCAAGAACCTTTGGACTCAATCTCGCCGTCTCGCAGTAGTACAATCAGTATCGTCCCTTTTGACCTACGTACGGCCGGCAAGGATTTCGACAAAGTCAATGCAAAAACAGTGAGGTCGAATAAAATCTCCGTGCCCCAGATGCCGGCAAGTCCTAGATCGCAAACAATGTTGCAGTTGCAGCTTTAGTTTTAGCTAGACGGACGTACGATGGCACCTGTGTAGGGGGTTAGAATCATCCGTAGCATTATTCACGTAGCCGCGTACTGTTGGGGTGTTAATGACAGATTACATGTGGAAGGAATGACGATGTCCTCGGATTTGTCCCGAGAAGTATGGCTTGTGAAAATTGCCCACTAGATGGTTCTTACCGTAAGAAACAAAAATCACATTGGACCCCGTGCATACTCACTCCAGCTACCACAGCCATGATAAGGTATATTGTGGCTAACAGGAAAGCTATACGCTTGCTGCGCTCGTATAGTGCGAATGTGCGCATTCCCAGTAAAGCTTGATGCCAAAACCCGTTCCATTGAATGTGAGATCGCAATAAACCCAGGATCAGTGGTTGAGCACCCACTCACCCACCACGATGCCCTGTGTAACCATGAGAAAATACTGGTTGTAGACTTGGAGGAATCTACAGCTGAGCGTATCATGAACCCCTCAAGCGTTCGCGATTGACAGCTACAAGCATACTTGCCTCTGCGTTCGGTTAGATAAAATAGTCAACAGAGATGATGGGAAAAAAACTACCTCTTCTGGGATGTCGCCAAAGAGATCAAGTGCGATGGGTATTTGGCCAAACATTGTAAAATACCTGTTCAAGAAGAACAGAATAGACACAATGGAGGTGCGCCCGTACCACCAGAAATGGGTGATCTCTCCTGTGACGGTCAGGGCGTAGTCATAATATAGGAGCGCTGAGAAATGCAGATTATCAGTGAAGAAACTCGCTAGGTATATGCGGCAATACATGAGAACGTACTGAACGAGACAACCAAGATACAACGGTTGAGCAGCACTCCGAAAACACTGACGAAAGTTATCTTCGTGAGCCATAGCAGATATGTGGCACGCACAATTCGTTGAGATTGTCCATGTCATCTATTCAAAGAATACCGTACAGAGGTGATCGTGGTCGTTGCTCTGCGGCAGGCCAAAAGTGCGTCAATATATGCTTTTTGAAGACATCCATTTCTCACATAAGGTTCTGTCATAGGTCTGCTAGCATAGCATGACATGGCCCTTGTTCGCACCCTGCATTTCCGCAGATCTCGAGTTTTGGTGGAGCGAGAAGATCGTAGACAACATCGTACGGGAGGCATGGAAAACCGGAAGCTGTGATGGCGGGACTACGTTGCAAGATTGCATCTTGACGTATGTCTCTGTGTCTCATAATGTCTATGGCAGTCCCAGCATGGGAGATGGTCGGGAGCAGAACACAGTAGAGACGCCCATGTGGATAAGGTTTATTGAGCGACATCGGATGCACGCACCTTGAAATGTATCGCTGCATTAATTCCCAAGTTGAACGTCATGAGCGGCGAAAGCACATGAGCGAAAATTCATAACAGACAACATTGAGATACATACAAACATCTGGAGCTGGAAAATCTATGTCTCACCGCCACACTTATCAACTGACAGCTTCTCATCTTCACTGACCTTGTCCATGCCGCAGTCATCGGCTGAAAGGTGGCCATCGGTCCACTTGAAGCTGCGGAATAGCCATATTTATCTGAGAAGCAACCCTGTTCGGATGCCACGAGACTATTTCACTATATACAGTGTCAAGCACGATGGCCATATCGCGTGAGAGATCCGAAAATCGGTGATTGCAACGAAAGGACACGAATTACTGGCGATGAGCCCATCAACGGCGCAATCTCGCCCTGCGCAAGTCGGGTTTCACCGGAAGAAACTGGGTAACATGTTGTAGTTCCTTGTTCTACTTTCAAGCGCCCGCATCTCTTCACACGATCGACCACGACGAAGCTTGAAGTCGTCGGTACTTTGGCGCTACAGTTTAGATGATTGGTGACGGCGGAGGGTCGCCATGACAGAATGGACGGTGGAAGGAGTGGATGGTGCTATGACAGCCACCAGCGTAGGCGAATAGTGCTGACAGATCGTGTTCACCATCCTCGTCATTCGTACCATACCGTTAGATATCTGTCACTGGAGCATCCGAGCATTGGGTCGACTGCATACGATGTGAGTCTGAAAAGGAACCTGTCTGGGTATATCGATCATGCTAAACCGCTCTTCTAAAGACGGGGCCACGCCTTGCCCATTGCTCAGAAATTTACCGGGCTGCTATCAAGCTGAAAGAAGTCATTGATCCATGCGAGAGTTTCTGTCTCGTGAGGCAAGGGTCTAGTTAACCGTATGTAGCAGGGAGCACCGAATAGTAGAGCAGTCGGAGGCGGAGAACGCGGTCGCGCAAGCAAAGGCGGTACTCACGCGCCGGAGGGTGAAAGACGGGCTATGATGTAGCACCGCAGTAAGCGAAAGTCATATCATCCTTATGATGAGTGATCGACTGGTGTTCCAATGTCAAGGTCCCGAAATGATGGCGCGTCATAGCCGTAGAGTGGATGCCGATATATGTATTTCGATGGCGCGCCGTCTGATCGTCTTCAGTAAGTGAGTAGCTGGAAATTCCGCACCACGCCTTGTCACCTTCCTGTGTTCAAGACTCACCGATTCAACTTGGCACTATCATTGGCTCTCGTCGTTTTCTTCATGAACTTCAGGGTTCGGATTCAGCTCAAACGCGACGGTCATGAATCTGCCATCATGCGGTCAGTGTGTGGTGGCTTGGAACGGGGTTTGTGCGCTCACTGTGCTGCATGGGACGCGGCCAATATGCGCATCGAATCCAGGTTCACCTTGAGCAGCTCGCACAAATCTGCGGTGTGTCCGACTGCGTGAGAGAGCCTGACGAGGCTGTGGGAGAGCTGGGTGTAGTGCCTGTCCTTTGCTTGGGTGGCCGATGTTGGGAGTGCTTGCATGATGCGAAGCTACACGGGCAGGAGTCAATGAGAACGCGTAATGGGGAAATCTGGGGCGTGCTCACGCGTTATCAGATGACAAAAGATGGAAGAGGTTCGGGGACGGTGACGCGCTGGGCTTGGCTGGGCTAACGTCACGTGCGCGTGTCTGATCTGGTGCGGCACCGGCGCGTGAATTTGCTTTTCCTTGGGGACTGCAGGTCTGCCCACTCCGCTGAGCGAAGAAGGGCCCCTGTCTCCTCCTTCCATCACACCAGAGCTCTTCCGCGGCTATCATAGCTGGTAGGCCACCATGGCCACGACAAATATGACTAGTGCCGCCTTCACGCTCAACCCGTCGCAGCTGCATTACCTCTCGACTGCCCGCCCATTCTACTACTCTCCGCGCTCGGAGTTGATCTCATGGGCTCCGGACCACTACGTCGCGCTTGCTGCGCCAGTTGTCACTTACTGGGTTGCCTCACTTTTTTTCCACTTCCTTGACATCTCCGAATGGAGGTGGCTCGATAGGTACCGCATCCACGAGTCCGCTGAGGTCAAGTCGCGCAACCTCGTCACCCGCTGGCAAGTTGTGCGCGCAGTGTTGTTGCAGCAGATCGTGCAGTCAATCCTCGGCTACTTTTGGATGGAAGAGGCCGTGGCGGGTGCAGGCGTCGACCACCTCGGCAACATGCTGCGCCTGGGGCCCGCATTGACACGGGTCATGACATTGACGCTGGGCAGCAAGACTGGAGGGCGGCTGCTAGACAAGGACGGGGCGCTTCTGCTGTACACGCTCTACTGGTGGGGCATCCCAGCTGGCCGCTTCATGTTTGGCACGTGCGTATTTTCCCGCTCAAACTGCTTATACAAACTTTAACCATTCGACAGATTCATCATCGACACCTGGCAGTACTTCCTACACCGCGGGATGCATATGAACACCTGGCTGTACAAGCAATTCCACTCGGTGCATCACCGCCTGTATGTCCCGTACGCGTTCGGCGCACTCTACAACCATCCGCTGGAAGGTTTTCTGCTTGACACCCTCAGCGGTGCTATTGCAGAAGCGGCTGCGGGTATGTCAACGCGCGAGGCGGTTGTACTCTTCTCGATCTCGACGTTGAAGACCGTCGACGACCACTGTGGATACAGACTACCCTTTGACCCGCTCCAGTTCCTGACGAGCAACAACGCCGACTATCACGACATCCACCATCAGGTATGTGCATACTATTTTGCTAGATCATCCGGTGATGATCGTTGTCTAGCGCATCGGCATCAAATCAAATTTCGCACAGCCCTTCTACGTGCATTGGGACGCCCTCCTCGGGACACGCATGACGCGCAGAGACATGGAACTTCGCAGGGAAAAACAGAAGAAGGCGCAGTAGCTGCACCCTCCCTCGTTCACGAACAAATAGATGAATGTGAATTGTTTGGTTATGCATATCTCCAGTGTTTGTAGTGTAATAGTCATGACTCCATAATGCCTGTGCCACTGTGATAGGATACTATACCACCGTTCAATTTGTACAATTGCTATCCACATCTTCTGCTGTTTTGAGCGGAATGGCGCTCCCTTTCTGCAGGCACTTTCGACAGTTGCATGGTGCAGGTAATAACACAGTAGCAGAAATGACGGTGCAATACACGATAGACATGTCACAGCTACCAGCTCGCCAGTGCTTCCTTCGTGAGTGGGACGGTCTCCTCCTCGTACTCCACCTCCACTCTCGCTCCTCCACCTAAATGAAAGAGTGCCTATATCAATACCGCAATAGATATAGTGTGCCCACTGGCTATACTCACGGCGTGCTTTCTTCTCCGGTTTCCGACGAGTTGGCTTCTGCGACTTGGGTGCTGCCTTCCGCTTTCCGAGATTCGTCTTCTCAGCCTGCTCATCGTCTTCATCGCTATCACTCTCCTCATCGTCATCTTCCCCACTCTCGTCCTCGTCCTCTCCGGACTGCAACGTTCGTGAACACGAGACATGCAGAGAAAGCGTATCTACTCACCGCAACATCCTCCATGTCACTCAGCCCGTCCTCATCTCCGCTCAGATCGCTTACGAACTCGCGGTCATCCCACTCGTTCTCGTTCTCCAGCTCTTCCTCGTCTTCCTCGTCCGTCTCGTCGTCCAACATGTCCAGCTCGTCGCTCTCCGCGATCGCCTCCTTGCCCTTGCCCTTCTCCCGGTCGAGCACCGCGCGCCACACCTCCTCGTTGACGTTGAGCGGTGCGTCACCGTACGCCTTGCTCTTCAGACGCTCGAGCAGCTCGGCTTCTATCGCGCGCTCGAGGCGGGCGGCGGAGAGCGCTTTGCGCTCGCGGACTGCCTCGCGGCGGTCGAGCTTTTTCTTAACACCGATCAACTTAGGTCTGCGCACGAGTGTTGTGTCAGTTGTGTGGAGACAGCGTCGAAAAAGCAGACGCACTGTTCCCGCAGGCGCATTCGGCGCATCTTGATGAGATACTGTGTGATCTTCGTTACACGCTGCTTGCATTTATGGGTCATGAAGTTCGGCCAGTATTTCAGCTCGGCATCGATCTACATCTAGCGTCAGAAGTCCGTTCTTCAGGAAGGGGTTTGGGACCGGCACTTGCCTGCTCGAGGGCTTTTGTGTAGTTATTTGAGAGCTTGATCTTCTCCCACATACGTGCTGGTGAATGTGCACGCTCTATCGTCTTCACATAGAGATACAGCACTCCTACAAACTGCCGTTAGCATTTCCAGTGACAGGGAGGCTCGAAATGCGCGGACAGGCGTACCCTCCTTCTCCCGTACTGTCGCATACCGCGAGTTCGCGAGCGGGCAGCTCTGTCTGTTACAAAGGCCCGTTACGTTGTATTCGTTTCGGCAGAAGTTTTGTGTCGCCGTTCTTTTCATGGGTTAGTGTCATTCCTGTCCACTTGTACTCCCGGCAGGACTCACTTGACCTTGTACGAGCAGAACTGCTGGTTGATTACAGACCAGATGACATCGTCGCTCTGCATGGCTCTCTAGGAATGGTGGCGACACAGACGACGCCGAGGGGTATAAAGGAGGTAGAGAAACCGCTATGGAGAGACTTTGGTCCTGGAGCAGGCAGCGTCCACACAAACTCGCGTAGAAAATCTAGTCCACGGGCTCTGATTGGTTGATGCGCGATCGGTATGTTTTTCCCACATTCTCTCAATCACGTGAGCGACATCTCCAGACACGGGCGATCGGCCGTACATATTACTTACCATCCTGAACGCGTGCTACTTCGTTCCCTACGACTGACTGGCGTACCTTCTAGATTCCACCTACTTTACCTCCACAAATCTTGCCATTATGATTCGTGCAGCCGCGACCCGCGCCTCAGCCTCGGTATCACAGCCTTCATCACTCGCACGGCGTAGATCGCCCCAGCCACTCCCTTCTACATCCCGCCTCCCGTCGCCCCTGCGATCGCGGATACGCAGATTCCAAACCACATCCTACCGCTCGGACTACCACTTTGACACGCACCATTTTGTGCAGCGGCTTGAGCGTGAGGGACTGACCCGGAAACAAGCCGAGGGCATCATGACCGCCATGGCTGGGGTCATAGAAGAGAGTATCCGGAATATGACCAATAGCATGGTGACCAAAGCAGACCAGGAGAAGGTTCATCGTACCTACTCTCTTCTCGCTTATTCGCGCTAATCGCGGAGGGCTTTACAGCATCATTATACCCAACAAGTCGACTTCGCGCAGCTGAAGTCCGAGCTGCAGCTGATGGAGAAGAACGAGCTCGCGATGGTCAAGGCAGAGAACGACCGCCTAATGACTGACATCGAGAAGCTTAAGCAGCGCTTGCGCGAGGAAATCACGCGCACGCAAGCTGGTGTGCGCCTTGACCTGAACCTCGAGAAGGGACGCATGCGCGAGGAGAGCAGTAAGCAAGAGCTGAAGATCAAGGAGGTCGACACGCGAATAGAGCACGAGATTTCGACTCTCCGGACGTCTATTCAGGCTTCGAAGGTGTGTTCCGACGCATAGGGTTCATGATCGATGCTCACACTAGGCCAATTGCAAGACGACGACGCTGCAATACCTTGTTGGTTTCGGTGGGTTTAAGTGGTGGCATCATGTTGCACATATATTGACGTGCGAGTGGACAGTTACTGGATGCTCAGCATTGCTCATGGCATACCTCCGTTTCCGAGTGTGATGCCCCTTGCCAATCACTACACGGTTGATTCTGCAACAGTTGTAAATATACCATAAGTATGTAGATCTAGCATTTCAACGCGGAGTCCTCATCTGATGCATCTTGTGTTTACAGAGGAGCCCTTTGGTTGTATTTCGGGTATCTGTAATCTATGGTCACTTTATGCACGCTATTCGTCTAGATGGTACAAATCTAGCCCTTCTAATCATCCAATGGCGGCAATGAGTCGCTCTTAATGTCCTCTCCCAGGGCTACGTGTCTGAGTTTCTCATATGCAGTGTCCAAATCATCGTTGACAATGACGGAGTCGTGTACACCCTCCTTTGCATACTCTATCTCTCTGAGCGCTGCCGCTAAGCGCTTTGCAACTGATGCCTCGGATTCAGTTCCTCGGGCCCGCAGTCGGCTTCGCAGGGCGGTCAGAGATGGAGGCGATATAAACAAATAGACCGGGTTCAGATCGGTCTTCTTGATTTGTTGAACACCCTATGAAATGACAGACGCATTCTGGCGTCTGGTCAAAGGAGGGGAGCGCTGCAGGCTGTACACACCTGCGCCTCGATGTCTAGTATACACCGCCTACCGGTCTGTGTGATCTCGCGCACGGTCATGAAACTTGTCCCGTAGAAGTTGCCCGAGAACTCGGCGTGTTCAATGAACGCGCCCTCTCGGAGCAGCTGCTGGAATGTTTCGCGTTGCACAAAGTAGTACTGCTTTCCATGGAGCTCCCCTGGACGGGGGGCGCGTGTGGTGTCTAAGGGGTGGTTCGTCTGAAGACATCGATTAGGGAAGTACACAGGATGCTCACGGGAGACGCTGAACCCGAATTTGTCTGGGAATTCGGTGAAGAGGCGTTGGAGAAGGGTGCTTTTACCCACGCCAGACGGTCCAGAGATCACGAGGGGACGAAGGACGTCTGTTACGGGCGACATGAGCACGGCGAGGAGACGACAAGGAGACGGAGGCGTGGACTGGACACAAAAGGTACAAGATATTTTTACAAATTTGCATCAAGAGGGCAGGTGATAGGCGCCATAAATGTGATATCCATGACCAAATAAAGAATGCCGAGCGCTGCCGGGACGACTCGATCGGGGATAAGTAGGGAAATCGAGCGCCGACGCCGGTTCTGGTCCGCTATTCGACTCGGCTTGTTTTGCACGGGAGCTCTCCCACCACCACACTTCGTTATCCCTGGCTAAAGCCGACCCTGTAGTTCTGGCTTTCTTTCCTCCTTCCCCTCCTTCCCTCGTTTAGTACCCTCACTTGGTCCCTCGCCGCCCACCATATCTCAGGACGACCATGGGTGCGGTGTGTTGTCGACCTCAGGTCCGTGCGACCGCGGGTACCCGGATCCGCAACAAACTTGACTCGTGTCTTGCAGCCCATAGATTTCGACGGGGATGTTAACCTCTTCCATTTTGTTCTTCTACGATGTGTGGGCAAGGGGGCTTTCGGCAAGGTGAGCATTGCACAGATTGTCAGCGGGGAGTGTTGATGGATTCATGGATTGTCTGCTAGGTCCGTGTAGTGCAGCACAAGCAGACACGAAACTTGTACGCCTTGAAGTATATCAACAAGGCGAAATGTGTCAAGATGAAGGCTGTAGCGAACATTATCCAAGAGCGGCGATTGCTCGAAGAGGTGCGTGCGCCGCAGCGAGCGCTGGCTCATCACTAAGGCGCCTTTGCAGATTGACCACGCATTCGTCGTCAACATGCGATATGCCTTCCAAGACGACGAGAATTGCTTCTTCGTGTTGGATCTCATGTTGGGTGGGGATTTAAGATGTACGCCGAGCCCTCGATTCTCTACACCTGGTCATTAACTGACTGTTTACATTAGTCCACTTGGACAGACTAGGGTCCTTGCCAGAAGAAACAGTACGATTCTACATGGCTGAACTGTCGTCGGCACTTGCCTATCTCCATGACCACCGGATTATTCATCGGTAAGTTGGCTTCCATACACTTGGGACCGCATCCATGACATTCACGTCGTTCAGTGATCTCAAGCCGGACAATATTCTTCTGGATGAACAAGGCCATGCTCACTTGACGGACTTCAACATCGCCGTGCATTACACCGAACACAAGCAGCTTACTGGGGTGGCAGGTTCCATGGCGTACATGGCTCCCGAGATACTCGCCAAGCGCGGGTACACATTTAACATCGACTGGTGGTCGCTCGGCGTATGCGCGTACGAACTCATTTTCGGACGGAGACCATTCAGGGGCAAGACAAACAGCGACCTCACCTACAGCATCGCAAAGGATCCACTACGGTTCCCTGAGGACGCGGAAAGCAGGTGCACCAGGGCAGGCATACAGGCCCTCAGAGGGGTGCGTTGTTATTCGCTGCTGTTTTTAGCATCAATTGGGCGTCTATCTATCTCCGTGCTAGACGCTCTTAACTTAGCTCGGGATAGTCATTCGATTGACATTTTGACCAAGAGATTAGGCCCTTGGCTAACACGGAATCTTTCTTCACCCAGTTCTTGGAGCGGGATCCCGCAAAACGTATGGGATGGTCCCCTAACGAGGGCATGGGGGCGCTCCGGAGGCATGCATGGTTCGAGTCAATTGACTGGGAAACGCTGGAGGATAAGAAGCAGACGTCACCTTTTATTCCTGACGTGAGTCTGATATCGCCTGCTCAAGTGTCGCAGTCCACTGACGGTTCCTGGCGGACCATTTCAGTCGAAGAAGGCGAACTTCGATGCATCGCATGAACTGGAAGAGCTGCTCTTAGAGGACAACCCTCTGAAAGCACGGCAGCGAAAGGTACAGGATATCACTAGCTTGAGTGCGGAAATGCGGCAGATGGAAGAACAGTGCGTATTCCAACAAATACAGCCATATGAGACAGAGCTTAACGTACAGCACGCAGGTTCACACCGTATGACTTCAAGAAGATGCAGCGGCGCTCTTACTATCCCCAGAATCAGCAGCTTGTGTCTACAGCAACAAGCTCCTCCGGTCCTGCATCGTCGCGTCCAGTTACCCCGATGACGATCGCAAACGACGGTACCCAAGAGGACTATGCTTTGAAACACAGGGGCCGCTCATACGATGGCTACGATGTCGACGTGCCAGCGACACCAGTCACGCCTGTCAACCCCCAGATGAACCAATACGTCTCTGAGAAGGATATATGACGCGTATATCGGCTCGCCTGTGACGGGTCCTGCTGCGCTAGCTCTCGACGCAGTAGATCGCTCATCCTTTGGATGGACCTGGCTGTCTACATCTAGGTGCCGTGCCGGAATGTCTTCTGGTCCCACGGTGCAACCGATCTTCACGAATCTATATTCCCATCATCTCCGATTGCAATAACCCACTTGCGCTCATGCACGCCATGCCCCACGATATCCTGTTCACGTCTCTTTACGCTCTTCACGTCGATACCGCCTGCGAATCGTGCCTCGTTCTTCGGATGGACATGGTATTATCCCACCTTTAACCCGTGTTCGCCCACATCTTATCCCCCGCCTTCCCTCGTCTTCAGTCGCCGGATTAGTTCCTGACCGATACAGTTGGTTACCCCCCCATGTCCCTTCGCTTCGTTGTATCCTCCGAAGTCCTTCTGCTCGTCGTTGGCTGGGACTGTCCCATAGTTATACCATCGTCGCTCTTCCGTTGGCCGCTTCTCTCGCGTATCTGTCCTGCCATTTATGTTATAGGCATTATATAGCACTCTCTCTAGTACTCTTAATAGTCATCGTCCAGATGTCTAGGTGGGATCTCGTCGAACTAAATGCATAGTATGCATTATACTGTACCTCACATCGTGATTAGCCTTCCCCGTAGCTCTTTTCTACATTTTCAAACATTCCACGTCGGTGTGACAGGGTCCATTCTCTCTAACTGCTCTACATGTTCTATTCGCTCTTCGTCTTCTTTGTCTTCTGAGGTATACCACCTGGTGGTGACTCAGCTACAGAGCGGGAGCTGGAGCCGGAGCTGACTAACGTGTACAGTAGGGATCCTGCGAATACCATCCCCGCGCCTAGGCCCAGCTGGGCATTGAATCCGTTTCCAAACCACCATACGCTCAGACACAAGCTGATGGCTTTGCGTGCCGTTAATACGAGGTTGGTCGTCACGGATGTGACCCGCTAAATAATGTAATTCTATTAGCGTCCCTGAGCTCGGTCCGGCAAGAGGAAACCTCACTGAAGTCAACTGATTCACGGCCGAGACGCAAATGAGCTGCGTAACGAGGTTCGCGGCCAGCACAATGTAAGGCGCGTAGGTTGTTGCCCAGTGTGTTATAGGCGAGGCCGCACTTGATGTCACCGATGCAGTATGCGAGGACAAGCTCACGAATCCGTGCTTGACGTCAGGTATCAAGAACACGAATATTGGTAGAGACAACAGGTGCTGCGATAGCGGATATGTATGAGGCTTGTCTACTTATGCTGTGCGAGCGAGAACTCACTGTGTAAAATACTCCCTCCCTCCAGTGAGGTCCAAACTTGCTGTAGGTGCTCTCCTGGAGCATCCCAAGCACGCCGGTGAGAATCAGAGAGGTGGTCATCATGGCTACCCCCAGTAAATATCTGCCAAACTCCGCCGGGTCGTCCGAGCTAGAAGACGACGAAGGGCGTGAGAACGTCGCCAAGAGGACACCCAGGGAGACAAAGGCTACAGCAGCCTGTACCCATGATGTTGATGAATATAAGAGATTACAAGACATATTGAATTGCCTCCTACAATTTGGTACAGCGAATATCGCCTTTTGAAAAAGATAAAGCCAAAGAGCATTGATACAGCTAAACCTGTTTGATCCGACAAGTCAGCATCATGCATCGCGGACACAACGCGGGGATTTCAACGAGCAGCTCCTTGCTCATAAAGCATTAGGCAAGAACGCTGAACAGAACGTCGAGATCCAATATCTGTTAATTCCTGTGCAAGGGCCAGACATAACGTGCAAATAATATCTGAGAAAGCCCACGGATTTACAACTCACCTGCTGAGCGAAACACGATCTGTACTGGCAGGGGGACATGGTATGCAAATGCCCAATTGTTGAGGAGTGAGCTGAAGGTGAGGACCAGCACCTGCGCTATCCAACGGCGAATAGGTATATGCCTCCTCCGTAACCGGGGGGTGCAGGACTCCAACTGAAGAAAGGATGGCAGGGAATGTAAGGTGATGAAGCACATTTGGGAGAATGTCAGAGCAGTGCCTATTTAATGAATGAGCCGACGCGATCTGTAAGACTTCGAATCAGGACCGTACCAATGTTCGAGTCCATCTTGAGCAATCGTTCGAAAGACCAGACATTCCTGTACTAATTTAATCCACGAAGATGAAATGCAGGCTGAGAGATCATGCTTACGCGCAACACCCCCCAAAGAGAAGACTTAAGATAAGCGTGAAGTCTAGCAACGAGCCTGCCACCGCCTTTGAAATCTGGCCATCTGTATGCTGTGTATTTGCTCCAGTATTCGGGTGAACTGCGTTTGGTCTCGCGACATCGTTACTGCGTCTTTTCCCAGCGTTGACAGACTCTTTTTCTTGCTCGAGACTCATAGGCAGGGATTGGGGTGTCAAGAAAGGGGTCAGCACGTAGCCATGCGAATATGGACTGCGGTTTACAGCAGTTGAGACGGTACGGGATGGACATAACACGGCTCCGGTGCTGCGCGGTACTGACGCGAGCATCGTGACATGCCGAGACGGCATCTGTCTGCGCCAATGCTCCCTAAACTTGGTTATCTCACTGCCTTGGCGATAAATCGTCTGCATCTCGGCGATATTCGCTGTTCATGAAAGAGCTGATCCAGTTTGGAAGGTATTGCATTGACCAACGGGCCCCCACAAGGTGAGTAGCGCAGTTGAACCCTTGCCTCGCGTTTGAGTTATGTGTATTCGCGTACACGTGATCGCGTTGATGGACGCGCAGCACCGCGCTTCCATCCGACGTCATCTTACGTTCTGTGCGATGGCTGTACGATTCGCAGCGAGGCACAGTTCCATCTCTAACGAGATGCTCATTTGCCCTTTTACCAGTAAGATCAACAGGAGTCAGCAGCTGGTCTTGACCGCGGCGTGCAGTCTAGGGATGCCGGCAAATGCAGCGGCGGAAAATGCTCTAGGTATAGCCGGTACGTGTCAATGAACTTGTTCAGACTAAGGTTTAGAGGTCCTTCTCAATCAAATCGACTTTGCGCTCAAGGAACCATTTGCTGGACCATCCAACTCATCCCTCAAATTTGGAAAAGTTGGCGTGAGAAATCAACTGATGGGCTCTCTGAACACCTGGTGTGCGTGTAACACGCTGTGCGCGGATCTTATTCACACTGGGGAGTGCGTCCTCAGGTTCTTTTGGGGGACAGCTGGCCTTTTCATGGGAATTTACGCTATCGTTCAAGACTTGAACATCCCTCTGATCGTCCAGCCTCAGTTATTCAGCGCCCTTTGCTTTCTGTCATGGACACAGGTCGGTTACTGCTGTTAGATTTCTAACTTAGTCTGCAAAGAACATTACCTGCCGCATATTTAAATACACCGGCAATCTCTTTATTGGCGCCTTGCTGACCTGTGTGCATGTAGTGCCAATACTATGGCCATAGACGATCGAAACTGACTTGCATTGGGTTATACACCATTTGCTTGGGATTTCTCGGCGGTCTCCAGGCCGGTATGATCTATGCTATCCGAGTGTGTTCATAAATTGCCTATTCGAAAATCCATACTGATGTTTGCAACTCAGCCTTCATACAGGAAGGGGAACGACGCTGGTGTAGAATTTATTGGGATCTGCAGCACAGTCATTATCTCCGTCGCACTATTGTACGCACAGCTCTCGAAGCCCACAATGATGTTCTACTGACGACGCCTGTAAATACCTACAGACCGCAATACTACGAGATTTATAAGCACCGCGAAGTTGTCGGTATCTCTGTTCTGTTCATGACAATCGACATGCTTGGCGGTGTCTGCAATGATCTGTCCCTCGCTTTCAAATCCCAATTTAATGTAATTGGAGGTGTATCATACTCTTTAGTTGCTGTGCGTTCAGCCATGCATCGCAACTGTTGCTATCTGTGCCTTGCGTGCCTGACGGGAGCACATCAGGTCATGGATGCTGGTGTCGTCCTACTTGCGCTCATCCTCAATCCAGTAGCAGCACGTCGCCGCCGACGAGATGCTGCGGTGCCAGATTTGCCTGACCATCCGCGCCATGAGACATCAAGGTCTAACTTGGAACTGCGGCCCACCAGTCCCCGAGCGGGAGACGAAGAGGCTAGAGGGAGGGAAGTGTTTCGCGCGGTCTCGCGGACTACACACAGAGCCTAGCGATTGCGTCATCGTGAATGAAGTTATGTGTACGTTCCAGCTATTGCAATCGTGCTATTGTCTGACAAAGCTGACGACAGGTTAGACCCTGTAGAGTCCAGAATTTGACACATGATGTTGTGCAAGCTCCCTGGCTTGAATGCCTGTGATCTAATTTTTTCATTTGAGCGACCCCATTCTTACTTTTCGTTCTAGCACTCTTCTCGTTGACACAGCGGGTCTGAATTCACACACTGCGACCGGGACGCGTTCGCGTTGCCCGTGGATTGCGCACACGTGATCGCGTCGTCACAGGGGCCACCATGCTGACGTTGGCTGGAACGGCAATTTAATTGCTTCTCCGGTAGTGCCGGGGCGCAGATTGTTCTTCCGGTTTCCGATTTTCGCAATGAATGTCGTGCCATGTCTTACAACTTGAGTCACTCTTGGGGTTTTAGTCATCCTTCAGAGCTTGTATAAGTCACTCAATTTGCCAGAGCATTTTGCAGCCCCGTGGGGTAACAGGTAACAGACCATTAATTCAAGGCGTTCCCGCACTGGTTCTGTCATCCACAGCTAAAAGAAATGCCTGCAAATTCAGCGGCAGAGAATGCTTTGGGCACTATGGGTGAGTTTCTTTTGACGTTGCTCGATGCATGTAGACGTCACAATACGACGAAAAATGCATTGCCTAATATTGTAAATGGTTACGTCTGCTCCCTCTAAACTATAACCATTCGTGGCCCCGTCTAGAGCTACACGCTCCTTAGTTGCCTAATTCCTGTCGCCAGAAAATGATGGCACAGACATACGCATGTTGCAAGACGCTTATGCACTGTCGGGAGAATATCACCTGCCTGACCTCCCTCTCTCGCCGCTACTAAATGGACTGACTTGCTCGCACGACCAGGGACTATCTGCTGGACTATTCAAATGATCCCTCAAATTTGGAAGAGCTGGCGCGAAAAATCTACCGAGGGTCTCTCTGAGATCTTAGTGTGCGTGCACGATCACTGAACAGACATCCTGCTCAATCTCACCTTCAACCATAGATTCCTGTGGGGGGCGTCAGGTGCCTTCATGGGTGTATATGCTATCGTTCTCAATATCAATATCCCGCTCATATTGCAGCCGCAACTCTTTGGTATTCTTTGTTTCGGGTCGTGGGCACAGGTTCGTGCATTATTCCTGTAATGTTTATTGCACCGCTCGCCGGGATTCATTCGTGGTTCTTCCGGCCGAGGCGGCCATAAGCTAACAGGCACACATGTGGCAAGCCCGTTTTGCGGTCTCCGCAAGACCAACACATGCTTCGTGTACTCGCGATGCCCCTCGCCCGTGGCTAAATTTTGTCGCTGTCCACACACGCTGACCATGCTCCCAGTGCCAGTACTACGGACACAAGAGGTCAAAAACAACATGCATCGTTCTTATCTTTGTCTGTTTATGCGTGCTCGCCGGCTTCCAAGCCGGCATGGTGTACGCCATCCGGGTATGTTTCGAAACGTATCACCTAGATGCCTTTCTTACATTCCGTTGATATGACCAGCCCTCGTATGAAAAGGGCAACCAAGCTGGCGCCGAGTTCTTCGGCATATTCAGCTCAATAGTCATCGCTGTTGCGCTGCTGTACGTATGCCTCGCGACTCAGACCTCAACATAATCTGACTTTGCAGAATGTCGTCTCAACAATCATAGACCACAGTACTGGGATATCTACAAACGCCGCGAGGTCGTCGGCATCTCCGTGCCATTCATGACGATCGACATGCTCGGCGGGGTCTTCAACGATCTCTCGCTCGCATTCAAGTCTGACTTTAACGTCATCGCGAGCGTGACATACTCTCTGGTTGTCGTGCGTGCCCACAGTTTTGTGGCAGCAGTCTTCGGCCCTAATATTCAGTACCTGTTGGTGTTGTGTATTTAGGTCATGGACGGCGCTGTCATCCTGCTCGCGCTTATCCTCAACCCCCTTGCAAAGAGACGCCGCAAGCGCGAGGCCGCCGCCGCCGCCGCCGCCGAGTCGATCGATCCGCAGCCCGCCTCTGGTCTACAGATTGACGACAGCAGGAATGACATCGAGCTTGCTGCCAATGCAAGAGAAGCTGAAGCGCCACCTTGCAATACCGGAGCATCAGCACACGAGATAAGTGGGGATGCGGACGAAAAACGAAGAGATCTGACACACGACGTCACACGGACACAAGAGGACGTTTAGGTCGCAAGTTTTGTTCTTTTATGGGATTTATGTCGCATAATGGGTTCAATGATTACGTATCAAGGCCACAAACTATGCATTCACGACCATACGCTCTGTCCATACGCAGATGCCGTGTGATGTCTGTATATTCGATCTAGAGTACTGTATATTGTCAACTCCTGAGCCTGACCCGAGCCTCCGTCCTCGACACAGATAGCTATATGGATATGGAACGAATAAATGTGGACGAAACAGCCGTACTCCGTGCGCGGGGAACTAGCCTCTACTCACGGCGGCATTCCGGCTCGGTCGCCTGCTATGGCTCGTGCTCCGGCTCTGCCCCTCGTCCAACGAGTCCCCACTCGTGCTCTCCTCCGCACTCGTGCCCGCGCGGCGCGCGAGCTCGTCCTCGTCGAACAGCACCTCGTCGACCTCATCATCTCCAACCGCAACACTATCCGCGGCCCCGCCGACGCCGAGGCTTGCGCTGAGCCCTGACTTGCCCGGGCGCCCGCGGCGCGCGGGGCCTGGTGCGCTAACGAAGTCCGCGAAGCCGGACAGCGAATTGGACTGCCGGCTATGTCCGAGCACATGAGCTGGTGGCGTACGCACGGGAAGACGGTAGAAATCTTCGACCGCCTCGTCCTCTTCATCGGGCAGGATGCCGAGAGGCGCGGCGGCAAGTGTAGGAGATGGACGGGAGCGCGGAAGAGAGCGGTAAGAGCCCTTGCGGAGGTGGATGGCGTAGGAGTAGATGAGCGCTGCGAAGTAGATCTGGCGCGTGCGAATTAGCCGGGGCGGTGAGGAAGGGAGAGTGCAGGACGTACCTTGGCGACCCAGCTGAGCACGATGACGGCGATGGCGAGGCCCTTCTCTTCGTGCCATATAATCGTGGCGGCGCGCTCGCGCTCCTCCTGGGTCATGTTATGACTTCCGAGGCCCGGCCCCGAGTTCATCATCTCCTCCTGCGCTGCGGAGTTGGCCTGACGCCGCCCATCATGTGGTGTGTATACCCACCAAACGACGGCGAAGAATACGAGCCAGGCGGTGGAGAGGACGTGATCGGCGAAGAAGAGGTGCGCAAAGTAGAGTGTTTGCTTCGGGTTCTCCTATTCATGGAGTTGGGGTGTGAGATTAGCGAATACGAGACAAAGTAGGATAGAGGCACCTGTGAGACGACTCTGAGTCCCCATACGAGGCCTACGAGGCCGATAACAGAGTATATATACATGCTGAGCTGGGCGGCAGAGCCTCCTGCTCCGGTGAAGACGGCCACGAGACCATAGACACCTGCAACCTTGTTGAGAACCTACCGTGACGGAAGGCTATGTCTCAGTATCTGCAGGTCTATTCCGGCAGCTCGAGACGTACAGCGAAAAGAAGGACAATGGTGACTGCGGTCTTGAGGTCGAGGAAGCCGAGGGCAGAGGCGAATGGCCGGAGGCGCCATTCTGGACGGAGCGTGAGTTTCATGGAGAATACAACTAACAGCGGGCGACTGCGGTCATCGACTAGGCGTGGAAGCAGCAGCAGAGGCGTGGTGGGAAGGAGAGAAGACGAAGGGAGCGGACGAGTTTGCTGGGAAAGGCAGACGCGTCGGGGCTGCACGCGCGGGTATCTTCTTTCTCTCAGATCGCCACTTATACGTTCCTTCTTCCGCCGCCGCCGTCGCCCACATCGTCCTCGTCGTCCTCGCCCACAGTCCATGGCTGGCTACTTTTCCAACCACTCCCAGTCCCGCTTCCTCGCAAACTCCAATTCTACCTCCTCCGCAACCCAGACGACCGTGGCTCCGACACCCTCACCCGCACCGCGTCCCCGCGTGCCCTCGTCAAAGCACTTTTCCACATCACTATCCACCTCCTCCGCCGACGAAAAGTCCCCGAACAAGGACAAACCCTCCGCCAGCGCAAGCCGCAACGCGAGCCCCGTCGTGCATCCCCTCCGCCATACGTATGTTCGTGCCCGCCCTCGCCGTCCGCCCCCTTCTGACAGCTGAACTCCCGCGTCTCGTCTTCAGCTGGGTATTCTGGTTCCGCCAGCAGCGCGGTCCCGGCACAAAAATCACAAACTACGAGGAGGGCATCAAGAAGGTCTCTGCGTTTAGCTCGGTGCGCCCGCCCCTGTCTCCACCCTTGCCCAGCCCTGACATCTGCCCGACCGTCCGCAGGTCGAGTCCTTCTGGTCCCTCTGGACACACCTCCACTCGCCGTCCGCCCTCCTTCCCACCACCGACTATCTCCTCTTCCACTCTGGCGTCCGCCGTCCCGTCTGGGAGGACCCTCTTAACCTCCCCGGCGGCAAGTGGATAATCCGTCTCCGCAAGGGCATTGCGGACCGCCTTTGGGAGGACCTCGTCCTCGCTGTCGTTGGCGACCAGTTCGCCGAGTGCTCTACTGGAGACGCGCCTACCGACGGCGCGCAGCCGGGCAGGGGCGAGGAGAACGGGGCCGCACCGGAGGGCGAGTGGCCCGAAATCTGCGGGTGCACGATTAGTGTGCGTCAGAACGAGGACATCATCTCCGTCTGGAACCGCCATGACTCGGATGCTCAGGTAAAGGAGAAAGTAAAGTGCGTCTGTGTGTCCTATCGAACAGGCTGTTAGCTTATACGTTATTTCTCGTACCCCTTCAGAGAAACAATTTGGCGGGTGCTCAACCTCCCACCAACAACCGTCATGGAGTACAAGTCAAACAATGGTACGCCCACACGTTCATTATATCTTTCTTCTACTCACAAGCTTCTTCAGACTCCATGCAAGACAAGTCGAGCTTCCGGGTACCTGCCAGCGTAAGCGTAGATCGCACACCGCAGTCATGACAATAGGTGATCCCCGAGTACGGGCGCCGTGCAAGCGTTGCCTCAAACATGTAGCCATACGACAAGCTATCTTATGCTTTTATAGTGTTGACCTTTGGGGCTTTGGCAGCGAACCTCGCAGTGACACGGTCGTCCCCTGTCAAACGGTAACGTGTAAGTCAGTCTTTACTCAAACCCGCCTCGGGGCGCGCAGATGTTATGGAAATGTGCATTAAAGCGCAAAGCAAGATGTGTGCACACGCACAACTAAGAAGGTGGACAGGTACGCTAAGTGGAGAATATCCAGGAGTGTAATAAATACAGTCCGCTCGGCTGCGAAGCACTGAAAGAACGAAGCGGAAACGGGGGTGAGGATGTCAATGGCGGCGGCGCCGGGCAAGGCGTGTCCTGGGGCGTGTCAAACTCGTCGTCTTCGTGCATTCGTGGAGCGTAGTCTACTACTGTCTAGCAAGCATTCTGTCCGTGTCCGGGGGAGTCAAACCAAGCACAGCGGTGCGCGTATCGCCTTTTCACGCGGCGGCTGCCGCGCGCGGGGCGGGCTGCTCGCGGTGTCGCGGTGGCGCGTGTCCGGTCGCCATCGACCCACGGCGACGCGGTGTTGACGCCGGCACCCATGCCTGCGCGGGCTCCTCCGCGGGCGGCGAGTCGAGCGACGGCGGCGGCGACGGGTACAGGTCGACGGGCGTTGGCACGGTGCCCGGCTTCGCGTTCGCGGGCGCGGGCGGGGTGATCTGGATGCGCAGGTTGGGGGTATGATGCGTGTGCGAGTACGACAGAGGCTGTGTGGGGCGGGGGTCCGTGGAGGGGTGGTGCGGCAGGGTGCGCAGTGGGGGGTTGGATGAAGTGACGTGCGCCGCTGCGGCGGGCTGGCCGCGGGGGCGGCCGTATCCAGAGGCCACGCCGACGGCCGGGAGCACGTCGGGCGGGGGAGCCCGAGTCGATGCTGGGGAGAGCTCGGCACGGGTGCTGGGGAGTTCCATCGCGCGGGCAGCGGCGACGCGGCGCATGCTGCGCTCGCCCAGCTCGACGTCGCTCTTGGCCTGGTTGTACATGTACAGGCCCGCGAACGTGAGCGTGATGCCGCACGCCTGCACGGGGTGCACGGGCTGCGCGAACCACACGATCGCGATGCAGATGACGGCGACGCGCTTGATGAGCGACGCGATGCTGTACGTGACGGGCGATGTCTGCGCGAGGAGGATGAACGCGATGATGTTCTGCGCGAAGTGCACCGTGCCGTTCGCGAGGAAGTCCCAGGCGACCGAGTGGTGCGAGTGCGCGTGCCCCTGCGCGGGGTGCCCGATGTGTGCCGGGTCGTGGAGCATCACCAGCAGCGCAGGGAGGTCATAGTACAGCCAGATGGGTATCATGAGGACGAAGGCCATGCTTGAGGAGTAGAACAGCAGATTCAGCTTGTCCAGCTTGTGTGACGAGGCCGCAGCTGCATTTGGACCCGACGGCATGATCTTTTTGAAGAAAATGTTCGAGCTCACAAAGACCAGCGCAGACCCGAATGCACACAGCAGGCCAATCGCGTTCGATGCGGACATGTCGAAGCTACATGCGAGCATAACGCCGATCGTCAGCGGCAGCAATGAGACGTATGTCTTGGCCGAGTAGCGCACGCGGAACAGGAGTGCATATGCCGCGACGGTAAACAGCGGAGACAGCGCCTGCGAGAACGTGATCAGTACGCGGAGTCAATAGGGGCGGACACGTAAGGGAGGAGTCCATCATTAAACGAAGGTATGGCGGAGGATTAGCCGTAGAATGGGACCGATCAAGGGGGTATGACCCCGGGATGCTTGTTCGTGTCTGATGCTACCGTGGAGCGAAGGACGCTCTGCGAGCCCTCAAAATGGGCAAGGCGAGGCCCGGTAACTGGGACTCCTGAGTGGACACCACAGGATACAACCCGATGCGCTCAAAAATCGGCGCACCGAATTGTCGTCCTGATGGCATCTAAATGGATAACCACCACATGATGTACCCACATCGATTGTCGTGAGGCTGTGGCCGTCTGTCGCAGCAACCTTGCGGTTGCCGTGAAAAATAGATGCCTTTCGACAGCTGTCGCGTCAGCAGCGTAAAACCATCGCGATGGTGCCAACAACGTTGAGTAATCGAAGTACCAGCGGGCGCAACGTACGATGCAGAACTGGTGTTGGCGCCTGAGATAGCCGCTATTACCAGCGAGACGTCGATGGCATACTCAAGACCATCGGTCACCCAGCTGTCTGACCACTGACACCGAGCCTGTCATGTCTGACTTTCGTGCACATAGCTCGCCTCTTTAGCGACGCGACAGCGCGCAGCCCGAGTAATCAGGAGCCGAGAAGCTAGATTGATTATCGCGACGGGGCCGGCGCGGATGCGACTAGACGCGCGCCCTGGCGACGCGACACAAAGCCGAACAGATGCTGTACTGACCTTGATGGTGTGCACCGTGCTCACGGGGATGCACGAGATGGCCATGCTCGAGAAGATGTGCCCGCCGACCTGGAAGCAGCCCATCGGCAGCGTGCTGCTGAACACCGCGCGCGTCGGCGTCTTGAAGCGCGCGAAGCGCACCGCGGGGCTCATGAACAGCAGGCAGTACCCCGCGACGAAGCCGAACTGCACGAACGTGAGCGTGATCGGGAAGCGGAACTGCGTCAGGATCGCCTTGCCCGTGTTCGACGAGAGCGCGGACGTCGTGTACCAGAGCGCGCAGAGGAGTGCGAAGCGGAGTGTCGAGGCGGAGGCCGCGGACAGCGGCGACGGGGGCGGCTGGCGTGTGAGCGAGCCAGAGCCGTGGCGCGTGTGTGTGTCGCCGCCGCTCCAGGATGAGAGGCGGCGTAGGAGGTGGCGCTTCATGTTCCTCAGCCGGACGGCAGGGCCGTGCAGCGAGTCCATGGTCTCCCAGGGGTGCTTGTCGCCGGTGCCGTGGACGGGAAGCGGACTGTTGGAGCCCGAGACAAAGCTGGCCAGCCAGCTTTTGTTCCTAGGGAGTCTGCCCTTCTCGTGAGCATCGTAGGTCCTCCAGCCAGGGGGAGCATTCGAGCGCTGCTGCGAGGTGTTCCAGGGATTGGGAGTGCCCATTGTGAGAGATGCCGCAGGGTATACTGTCAGATATAGCCAGACCTTAGGAAAAACCGAGTTTGAAGCAAGCTTGAGTCTATTGGTATAGCATCCAGAGGGCGGTGGACGCAGAGGCAGCGAAGCGAAGGCCGAATCTTGACCGCAGCATGGTGGCTCACGGTGTTTGCGTGTGTTTGTCCAACGATTCTATCGTTTATGATTGAAGATGGAACACCTGGGCGAGTTTTGAGTTACGCTCTCACAGCTAAATGGTCATCTTCTAAAGGCCAATTCAACGCCGTGCAATCTGGCACTGTCTGAACACTATACTGTGAGGGTGAGCGCATGCTGCTCTGGCGAGCTGGCGCCCGAGGAAGAGTAGAGCGCCTAGCGATTCCAGACCATCAACTGACTTGCACGATGTCGAAACGCTGGCAAGGTCTCGCCATGGAGGTGCAAATTTAATATGCACCCGCTGCACGGGAAGTGGCTCGCGAAGCGCTGAATTCTACGTCGCACTACCGTTAAAAATGTATTGGTAAGACATTTAGCTATGTCTAAATTAGTGAAATCCCCAAGAGAAAATGTCGGAAAAACCCAGCGGAGTTTGCAAAGCATTGCAATGGGTCACAATGTCACAATGACCTGCCGAGATTGCAATGACCATGTGACTAGGTAGAAAATGAACGCAATGTCGGTCATGCGGCTTGCAATATCGATGATTTCCAGCCTCACCTGCTCTGTTTGGGTATTCTACAGGATTTATCGTCCTTATCTTGTTCTATTACTTTGTTACTGATTTGTAATAATATTTATAATAGCAATAGAAATGATCGTTCAATGATATACTGATGCAATCAATTTAATAAGTAAATTTAATAAGTAAATACAACAAGACAAAATGAGTAAAATCAGTAACAAAGTGCTACGTAGTGGGTTCAAACACCGGATCCTAGTGATACAAGTAGGAATACTATACTACCAACGCGCCACAAAACCACTTCATCAAAAGTCCTTTCATTGTTGGCTCATATTGAGCACCTCATGGTCCCCTGTACTTGCCTCAAAAGCATTAAATACCCGCAATATAGTGACCATGCATAGAAGATACATACCCTGCATTGAGTGTGCTTTTGACACTGCATATCTTGCTTAAGTCAGTCCATGAATAATGCAGCAAGATTGACTGGGGTTGGCACTGTTATGAAGTAGCAAGAGCCGAGCAAGTACTCAATCAAAATCGCCAACGTGATTGCAATCTTATCATAGTTTATTGCGATAACTTGAGATAACAATCTTAAGTCCTAATCAGGCATCTGCTTATTGCAATATCTTTAGACGACGAGAAGTGCTTGTAAGACTGAATTGCTTGCAAAGTCTTACAAGCACTTCACAAGGCCCATCACAAGATCTAGGGATTGCAAGCATGCCCGGATATTTCCGACAAAGGACTCAGGTTTCAGAACGAAGTTGTGTGGTAAGCGGGCACCAGCGGTTTGGGCGTCTAATTGATTTTCGTGTACTTATGCTCATTTGGCAACGAGTTCTCACCTTGATGCCGTTCTTTTTCCATGCATTAATTTGCTGCATGCTTGCATGTGTTTTTAGATCTTGATTATGGGATTTGAAGGATGTTTGGGTGACTTTCAGTCCTTTCAACGTAAACACACATCGGGCGCTTGCACGTATCCTTTGTACTTGTTTGTTCCAACTGAAAGCCTGGCCTCAGCCCCTTTAGCCGAGATATGCTCGCTTCGCTCGCAATCATCGCGTCGGAACGAGACGACTTCAATTGGGTACCAGCCGTGGCGATCTGGGTATCCTTCTATAGCATGGGGAATACTCAAAATAGTTGAACGGCGCGCTACGTTGTGTGAGAGCTATCGATGCCATCGTCTACCCTTGATGTAATACAGCTGCGTTGCGTCGAAGAAGGAAGCGTCAGGTGCTCACGGTGACTGGAGTAAGTCTTCGTCTGTCTGTGCCTTGCCTCAGCCTGTTTTCTGACTCAAGAGGCTCCTTACACAGACTCCAGACCCATAGCGTAGGCTCCATAACCCGGGGAATGGACGCCAAGGCGGCGGGGTGGCCGAGGTCCAGACGGTCAGCGGGGGAGGGCCTGGACTGGAAAGGGAGGCCCCGAGGCGCATCTGGAAGACGAGGGCGGATTCTTGACGCACGGGCTCGGACGGGAAGTGGTGGCTATCGATCTCCAGCCACCACAAATGCACCCGCCGCCACCTCGCCCTCGCTCCTCCTAGCGCAGTCAACACTCCCCCTCTCTTAAATACCCTGTGGGGCCCCGCATCGCCGCACCCGCTGCCACCATGACCACCCTCGTAGATCCCGTCGTCTCCCCTTCCAGCAGTCCGTCTCTCAGCCCGACCCGCTCCCGCAGACTCTCTTCCCGCAGAGGCTCCGTCTCTGCCTCCGACCCGTGGGGCGTCCACTCGCCGCTCAACAACAACCCCCTCCGCTCCACTTCCAGCCGCCTCACCATCGTCCGCGTCCCGCCCCCGACCGAGGGCGAGCAGTACCCCCGCAGGCACGGCCGTCACGGCAGCAACGCGTCCCTCAGCTCCAACTCGTCCGCGGGCAAGCCCGAGGGCTCCCGCATGAGCTTTGCCTTCTCGTCCTTCGGCACGTCCCCAGGCAGCGGCGGCCCGCACGGCAGCAGTCCCACCTCGTCCCCGCGCATCCGACCCCAGTCCCCCACCCTCAGCCGCCGCTACTCCGGTTCCATGAACAAGCTGCCGCCCGAGCAGCTGCTGGACGTCGCCCGCCAGGCGTGCAACCCGCGTGTTACCAACGGCGGCAGCCCGATCCTACCTGCGGAGAAGCCTTCCTCCGTCTCCTTCACGCCTCTTCCCGACGCCATCCTGCTCCCCTTCGTCGAGCGTCCCTTTGAAGTCGGCCAGCTCATGTGTACTCCGCCCTCCGCCAAGCTCTTCTCCCTCCTTGCCCAGATGTTCCCCGAGAGCACGCGCGCGTTTACCGGCAAAGAGTCCGCGGACGCGCTCCTGTCCAGCGACCCGAAGACATGGACGTACGCCGAGCTCGCGTTCTGGCTCAAAAGCGTCGACCGTGACGTTGCCGATGACGCGCCGTGGGTCCACAGGGCGCGCACCTGTATCATGGCGAAGAGCGAGCTCATCTGGGAGCGAATCAAAGGTGCGCTTGGCGTCCCCGCTGAACTGGACGGTGACGACGATGCGCTGCCGCCCGTGCTCGATTCAACGCCCACTGCTTCTAGCGTTCCCGTGCTGTCTAGCTCTGCAGACTCCGCAGACTCCGCGGACAAGTTCCCCATCGTGTTTGAGGCTCCTAGCCCCGTCCTCTGCGCGACCCCACCGTCCCCCACCCTCGGTGCAGACGAGCTCACGATCGAGCCCGTCCTCGCCAACTCGGCGCGTCCGCCCACGTCCTCTACGCTCGACCCGCACGAGCTCTGCGAGGTGCGTGAAGAGGACGAGGACGAGGAAGACGCAGGCAACGACGCAGACACGAAGGCGGACATTGAGGATGAGCAGGAGGTGCACGGGCTGCGGATTGCCACCAGCCCCGCGACGCCGTTCAGCTCGAACTACGCGCTGAGCCCCGGCGGCGAGCCGTCGTCGCTGCCCCTGGGGAGCCCCGCGGCGAGCCCCATGTCGATCCCGCGCTCGAACACAATACACGACCGCGACATGCCATATGACGCGTTGCACGAGCGCGGCCCTGGGCACCCGCTGTTCCCAAGCAGCTTTGCACACCTGTCTATGACGCCGACGCTGCGCAAGAGGTGAGCGCCATCTCGGCTGCCTTTGTTGTCGAGATACTAACGTGGCGTTTTTGCAGCAGCTACACGACGGGGCGTGCGCAGAGCATGTGGAACCCGCCTCTGCCGGCGTTTGGCAACCCGCACTCGATCCGCATGGGCGGGCATGCGGTGAGCGCTACCGCGGGCGGTTTCCATAGACCAGACTGGGTGCAAGGGTACGACCCCGCGCGCCATGAGTTTGCGGTCGCGTCCAGCACGGGTAGCGTGAGCGGCATCGAGTGATGTGCCGTCGTCCGCGCAAAACCGCTGCGTCGCCGCACGTACGTCCCCCGTTATCGCATTAGAACACTCAACATCCATCCCACCCCACTCCACCATACATGATGTCCCGCATACACACGATTCACGAACCCAGCTCACGATATTTTATTCTTGCGGCGTGCGAGTTGTGCGCACAGTAGCATAGTCTGTCTTCCTGTTGTATGGTGTATTAAAGTTGTTTCGGATTAATCAGAGGGTCAAGCTTCAAAGTTTCACGGTGAATGACACGAGGGCTTTGTACGTCCGTTGGGTCAATGATGTCGGGGTATTTGGCTTTGGACAATTATATTGTGATTCGCCGAATTAGCCGCTGCACACGATCGCACGTGATCCTGCAAGAACGCGTTGGGCGTCTATTTGGTGCCACAACAGTCCCTGCGGCTCTTCGCGCGTCCTTAGCTCACCCTCTCCGCTTCTGTGTAACATAACCCTTGTAAAACATTGATCTACTAGAGGGAAAACTCTGCATTTTCCGCTCGTCTAAATCATACTACTATCACCATACAACGCACAACCGCCACCGCAGCCCAGGTGCCGATCCTCATCACAATCGCCGCAGACATGCCGCCCCAACCAGGGATTTTCCCCCTCCCGCATGCGACAACGCACAAGACACGAGCGGCCAACAACGCTGATGCGGGAGACCTGGTGTACCACCACCAGCCCGCCGCGGGGCCCAGCAAGACCCATGGTGCGTGCTGGAGCTGGCGGTCGCTCCGCGCGACCGCAACCGCACACTGACCCTCGCCGCCAGGCCCTTCTGCAGAGGAACAGAGGCGGGAGAAGAGGAAGAGGGAGCTCATGAGCAAGCTCGGCAAGGACATGACCGACCGGATGGAGTGAGTGCGCCCGGTCGACGTCGACCGCTTCTCCCGCGCGCGGCCCGTAGCTGACTGTGCGGCGTGCCGCCTCATTATTGTGCCCAGCATCGGAAGACACTACGCGGAGGTCATCTCGGACCTGCACAGCACGGCCATACAGCTCTCGACGCGCCCCGAGACGCTCCCCGCGTACCACCTGCGGCTGTACCCCCTCTCGCTCGAGCGCTCCGCGCTGCTCGCGGCGCTCGTGCACCAGGAGGGGCACTCGCTGGACCTGGTGCAGACCGCGTACGAGGAGGAGCGCGAGGAGGTGGAGGAGGAGTGGCGCAAGGGCCGGGAGCGCGTCCGCGAGCGCCTCCTCGAGAGCATCGAGGAGCGCCGCCGCCGCGCGCGCGAAGAGAAGGACGGGGAGGGCGCAGTGACAGGTGAGCGCACGCACACATATACATTTATTTGAATTCTGCGCCGCCGACACGCCTTCTCGGTGCACAGACGCGGGCCTGGACTCGCAGTCGCGGGCACACAACACGCGTAAGCTGCGCAACAAACTCGCGGGGACGTCCCCGCCGCCTACGCCGCTTTCCAGCGCGGGTCCTGGCCAGGGCACCAACGGCATCCTCGCGACTTCTGGGACCATCGCCTCGGGCCCGCTGCTCAACCCGCACTCGCTTTCCGTCGACGAGCTCCCCTCGCCGTTCCCGCTGTCCCTGACGTCCACACATCCAAGACACAGCTCTGGACACGGTAATGCTAGTGGGCCAGGCGCGGCGGGCAATGGGCGGCGGCGGCCGAAGGCCCCGCCGCGCGAAGTGCAGGCACCCGGCGCGCCCACAAAGGCGGTCCTGTACCTCGAAAGAGTTATTCCGGCGGAGGTCGACTCGGACCTTAACGAGATCATGCGAGGCAACAAGCGTCGGCGGGTCGCAACGACCAGCTTGCTGGGCAAGGCGTAGTGCATTGTGCTTTGGATTCGTCTCACTTGTGACCCACGATGGTCTTGGATATCATTGGCAGTACCTGATCGTTTCGCCGTTCGCAAGCGTCGGTTACTACTTTTGGGGTGCGTGTTTATGGGCACCGCAGGTGGGGTGTGGTGAAGGGTATGGTCGTGTCCGGCCCCTAGGCGATGCTAACGGGAATCCTTATGCATCACAATGGACTTCTCAACCGAACAGCAACATCATGTCTAAGATATCTAACATACCAAGTTCGGGAGGTGGCGAGTAAGGACCCGCCATGAACCTAAGAAATATACCAGGCCGAGACATTGCACGTTCAGCTTCCACTCGTAAGAAGGGATGGGCTACCGGATACAGCAGGATTCTAAATGGCTACATCAATGAGCTTGACTCATAGTCCGGGACATCCACGTAGACGCAATACAATGAGCTGTAGGCTGTAGGGCAGAATAGAAATAAATAGTCTCTAGGAGTAATAATTGGGGACGCGATCTGGAAGGGTGAGCTGCCTTGGATATATGATGTCGACGATCAGCTGAACCTAGATTGAGATCATAACGTCCGCCATGCAGATTTGCCACGAACGACGAGCCCGCCCTCGAAGGAGCCGACGGCCCACCCGTCGCCGAGAAGAGCACTCTTTACGGCAGGCGCGAGCACGCCCACACCGTTGACGGAATGTGTGCCACGCCCAGTGATGATACGAAGCGGCCTCGCTATAGCATATATGAGATACAATGGTGACGCGGGAGAGGGAAGAAGATTCACAAGGAGAGTAGTTGCCATCGCGGAGTATGTCCTTCACAATCTGGACCCCCTCGACCACGGTCGCTCCGTGCAGATCAACGGTATCGCCATGCATCGAGTATGACCTAAACGCAGGGATCAGCATGCAGTTCCTACGGACGACTGGAGTAGGTGACAGTACCGTTTTGCCTGCACCATTTCTCGCGTCGCATCCATTTGCTCCTGTCTGGCTTGCTGCTGAAGCTCTCTGGCCTGGGAGTAGCGGTCATCATTGGCAAGATGTCATCACATCACCCTCCGGTGTAACTTACCCTCTCGGCATAATAGAACGCAACCTCTCCGCCCCTAGTCTTGGCGTTTCCCCGCTGCCACGCGCGGCTCGCCTCCCTCAACGCGTCCCTCCTCATCTCCGTCAGCTCTCGCGCGCGGAGACGGTGGCCGCCGACGCCCGAGACGAGCCGTCCGCCGAGCTCGCCGACGTCGCCCTTGCCGCCTTTTCCCAGCCCGTTCCCGCCGCTTCGCACCTTGCGCCGGTATGCTGGAATCGACTCCGCGAGCGGGTGCGGGCCGCTTGGCTGCCGCTGCGGTATAGTCTTCCATGCGTTCATGGGCGGCGCCGCCACCCGGGCCTTGTTGGCCGGTGAGCGTGAACGTGGGCGGGGAGGAGGCGGTACAGGAGGTGGGCCAGAGGGTAAAGTAACAGCCTTGATTGGACCGTTGGCCATAGGGGGAGAAGACGAAGGCGCCGGAGAGTGATACACTCCCCACTCGTGTTCGCCCGAGGCGGAGTCGTTGTCGAGATCGAGGATCAGCCGCACAATGTCGAGTGCAATATCAGGCTGCATACGAGTCGCGCGCAGAGCAAGCTGCACGTCCGCCGTCAGCTGATCGCGCTGTTCCGCGTCGAGGTTGGCATACTCGGGTATTGTACTTAGGATATCGAGCATGCTGAATAACGAGGGTGCTTCCTCTGGTGTGAGCTCAGAATCGGGGCCTAGGACTGATGTACCAGGGGCTGATGCTACGACAGAACGCAACGCTGCACGAAGCGCCTTCGCCGGCGTAGTGTGTTCGGGGGAATGGAACACGGACTGGAAAAACGAGGCGGAGTGAGTCGGTATCAGGGTAGACAAGTATGATGCGACGGAAGATAGCTGCGTCCATGGGTCTGGAGGCGCAATGCGCGAAGACGAGAGCGCAGGCCGTTCGTGTTGCTTCTGGCGGATGTCAACCAATGTGATTGTAGTTCCGCGCTTCTTAGTCTTCTTCGCAGTCTTGGGGCTCGGCTTCTTGTTTCCTTCGACCAAGGACCAATCCGGTCCATAATCCAGTAAGCCGTCGGCTTCGTCCAGGGCGTCCATACCGCGTTCTTCGAGCTCCCGCACATACTCGCTGCTGAGTATGCTCTCAACAACTGATTCCATATCAATGGTGTCGGCATCTCCCAGCGAGCTCAAGACATTTTTGAGCTTTGGCGTGGCTATGTGGGGGAAAGCAGCTTGCAAGAATCCGAGGGGGGAGCTAAACGAGTGTTGGCTTGAGACATCAGATGTCCCGCTCGAGTTGGTTTGGCTTGAATCCGGTGAGAAGGATCCGCTCAGGCTATGGGTGTCATCTGTGGTAGAGTAGGATGTGATCTGCACATTAGAAAGCTGTTCGGAGAGTGCATCTTCATCCCGGAGCTCCTTCTCCGCGAGGGTCGCCAATTGACTGAGGATTTCTCGGCACGTCTGGATCTGGTCGGTAGAGTGTGTTGGACTATCCCCGGAAACATAGTCGGCTATGATAGCTGCGACAAGCGAGCTGTCGAGGGGAGGGGAGAACTCCTCCTGGAAGCTGGTCGGTTCATGTGCGAGACGCAGTTGGGATGAGATCGTACCTGTAGGATGTCAAGGATGGCAGATTGTGGCAGTGATCCCATGTTTGTGGTGAGAAAGTGGTGTTTGTCTTGGACGATCTGGACTGCCAAGCTGTGCGGCGGTTTCTTATGTCTTCGAGCGGAGGCTGGCTTGTGGCTGCAGAAGCCCTACTTTGGCGCTTATGCAAATGCGCTGACGCACCTTTCCCGATAAGGCAATCATAAATGCCTGACCCCGGCTTCAATTTCGTGAGTACGCGTCGTGCCTGCCATAGCTCTCTAGCCTGACTTGATGCTCCGTATATTTTTGCTGTATCTTTCAGCCCAAAGCACTTGAAAATGTCTCCAGCAAAGTGGGAACAGTACAGTTCTGACGACAGTGAGTACGCCGAGGAGATACCAGTGAGTTTGCAACTGTCAACTTATTGTGACTCGTGCATCCTCACTGAAGAATTAGACTCACAGACGCAAACGGAGAAGAACGAATAGGGAGCCCTCAGAGATCGCGCACATAGTCTATCCGCTTTCAGTGTCACCTTTGTTACATGCATTTGCCGATCGTCATGGCTCACCCACGAATGGAGAAAAGCCAGATGTGTCATTCGACGATATTATAGAGGAGATGCTTCCAGAGCTCCTGGCGGTAGGAGGTAGAATACAGAGCAATCTAGCTGAGCAGGACAATATAGTGAGTCAGTTGTCTTGACGTCGAATAAGTCATGCAGATGGTAATATTTGCCACAGGGACAATTGGTGCAGTCTCTCACCCGTACGGAGGCGTGCGCTCTGACGGAAGAAATACTGGGGCGGTCCAGCCAATCACCATCATCGCCTCTACTTTCACTTCTGGCACGCAAAATGAAGCTGCAACCGGTAAGCGAGCTTGTGCTGGCCGCCAATCAAACTCATGGTCACTGTTAGGGAGCTCTTCGACGGCAAATTTTGGATCGCCCCCTCGTTCACGCGGATCCCGCGATAGTTACGCCGCTGGCAACACCACGGGCGACATCCACGGTCAATCCGCAAGTGCTCGATGCGCTGTATGCCATCAAGACAACGCCATACGAGCATTCGTTCCTTTCGCGCATGGGAGGATTCCAGCCTCCTCGTGCACCCGACCCCATCGCCGTAGACTGGGAGACACGCAGCCCCTGGATGGATCTGATGGCGGACGTCCGCGAACACTACTCACTTATGCAGTATGTACACGATCTCACCTGGCTGTTTGTCAAAACGTACTGACGAGCACTTCAGTCCTGGCCGTGAACAGCCGGAAGAGACCATAGCTCCGATCACGTACGTGTCGTTACAGCCTTGCCACCTCGACCAGATACACGACCTCCTCGCTCGCACCTTTTGGGAAGGCATAAACGGTGCGTACGTCGTGGTCCGAGCATCATCGTCGATTCTTGACATGAAGACGTGATTCAGTGAGCGATTCGCTGCAGTACTCTCCTGAAAAGTGTACGGTAGTAGCGACCTACAAGCAGCTCGTTGTCGGGGCCGCACTCCTCAGCTCACCACAAGAGACGTACATTACCTATCTCGCTGTCCGCGCTGGATGGGAGAATGCGCATATAGCAACGTACGCCCCTGCACCGACTCCTCGAGGCTGAGATCCTCATTACGGTCTAGATCAATGCTCTACCACCTGATTACGCTAAATCCAAACAAAGATATCACCCTACATGTCTCAATCAATAATCCTGCCATGGTAAGTCAATACTGTCCATCATGACACGACCTATAACCTGATGACACCGCAGCTCCTCTACAACAGGTTCGGGTTCAAAGCAGAAGAATTTATCGTCGGGTTTTATGATGACTACCTTGATCCGCAGTCGCGCGCATCGAAGAACGCTTTCCGCCTGCGGTTGCGACGATGACGTCCACGAGTGGGTCCTTACTGCGTGCGTGCTTTCTTGGATTTCCGTTGCCTCTTAGGGCCCGACACGTACGATGGGTCGTCTGCCTCGGAGCTGTATGACTCCTCAGGAGCTTCTTCGACGACCTGTGTCTTCTGAGCCAGCTCCTCTACCCATTTCCCCCCCTCGGCACCTTCGAATAGCCACACATGACTGGCACCGGATGTCAGGCCAACAGCAGCATCGTACTTACTCCCGTAGAGCTTACCTGTTTCCAACCCGCTGTGGCTCCGGCCCCTCGAAATCCGACGATCGTCGCTTCTTCAGGACGCCAGTTTCGGGGTTCGGCACGGCAAGGCTTGTACCGTTACCGATGTAGGCAGGCAGGTCCCACCCGAGCTTTCTACACAGATGGAGCACAATATCGTCCGCATTTCCCAGCATGATAATCTGGGGATGGCTTGGCTCATATGTCACGAAAGAATATGGGGGAAAGCTTTACGTCAGGATTGATGTGTTTTACTGGCGTCTTGTTGATCAGGATCTGCAGGTGTGTTGAGTGCATCTGCCTATGTTCTTCCGACGTAAACTCACCTGCGGTACGGAGTGTGGCAGATGTGCTGGAATACCATCAGCTGCTGGCCTACGGCAACGCTGTCAGAACCTACCAATGATATCCGAGACAGGAGAAACTTTCAGCGAGGTCCCGATGACAATCAGTAGATCTATCTCTTGACGATCTGCCAGCAATGACCGGTCGAACTCGTCGCTGAGTTTCTCACCAAAGAAAGTAATATCGGGCTGCCTCAGCGTATTCGCAAACATTCAGCATATACCAATCTCAATAGCAGTACATAGCTAAGTCTTCACCTTCATGACCCATGGCGGATATAAGGGTACGTCCGGTTCATCCGACTCGTTGCTGTTCCATCCGGAGCTTTTGCCCTGCTTCTTAGGTAACGACTTGCTCGGCGCAGTCACGGAAGCCTCTATGTCCGCGCTACATATTTTACAGAGCGGGACCCTGTGGTTGAGGATATCGTCTTCTATCGCGATTCCCGGGACACGGACTTTGCAATTAAGACAGGATGCTGTCGCAAAGCTTCCGTGACATTGAAGCACGCGCTTAACGCCCGCTAATGTTTCCAATGTGTCGATATTCTGTGTGTAGTTCTGGCCGAAGTTGTGTCACTCGCCGATAGCAGACGTCAGAGGATTTCAACGCGTACTCTGAGCAACTGAACGAAGCCGGTTAGTGCAGATAAGATAGGCATTTCCCAGCCAGGTAACTTACCTTTCCTCTATCTTCTATAGCCTTGATGAAGCGATGACAAGGTGAGGGTATAAAATTTGATGGGTATATTTTGCTGAAAATAATTTCAGTATAGAGTGACCAGCCAGATAAGAGGAGACTCGCCTGGCAAACGAACTGTTGTCGTATACGACGCAATCAGCAAAGGATAAGTTTCTTGTGGCAATAACCTACTAAAAAACTGTGGAAGGAATATCTGAATGTCAGCGCGGCATGTTAAGTAGACATTCGATTACGCCTCACTTGCAGGATTCTCGCGGAAGTAAGTTATATCGAACCTACGGGTCTGATTACTAAGGGTTTGACGGGATGGACCTATGGACTCACATTTGCTGTGGGTCGTCTAGATCATAGTCCCCGCTCTGTTGGAGACTTGCATACAGCCCATTGCGGGACCGAAAGTCAGGTATTCCGCATGAAACACCTATGCCCATCACCCATCACGACCTAGACGGATGCTATACATATACAGGAACAGTGACGTACTTATACCTGCGCCTGTCAGAAGAAGAATTCGTCTGCGGCTCTGAATAAGGGCGACAGCATCGTCGATGTCATTCAGATGTTGTAGCCGTTCCCGCAACTGCAGCCTTCACAACATAACGAGGTTAACGGGAGGAGATTGAACATGTCCGCTACAACTCACTCGCGTGACAAAGCTACTCTCAAGAAGTACATCAATGTCTTCGGGCGTTTCTGTCTCAGCTCCGGACACTGTAGTTAAAATCAGTCTTAGGGCGTGCAGCTTTTGTCACATGCGTGAATCTCACGAGGCATATGCCGAATGCGTAAAGCAGCTTGGGAATGGGAGCGGCTTCTGTCACGATGTACTTGTTGATGAAAGCGGACATTCCTTTGAGAAAGATCCAGCGGTTGCAATATGATTATTGTTTTGACCAATGAATGAGATGTCAGTGAATGTGCACTGACCTGATTCCTTCAGCAGCATCTTCATGCCCTTGATCTGTTCTTTAGTCCATGCAGACTGGGCTACACAAGTCCCAGTCAACAACGCCATTTAGAAAGGATATCATTCGCAAGTAATTAGTCATCAAATTCTATGTCGACCCTCGTCGCATAGCCTACCGCGCCTTGTTTTAGTGACTCACCTTCGCGCAGTAGTCCTTCCCATTCTGAAGCATTCTCGTCTTCGTTCTCGCCGCCATAGTATGCTGGTCCTACATCTACCACGTCGGTGTCGTCGTTGCTGTCGCTGTGGATATCACCAACAAAGCCTTCGAGAAGGTCTTCCACGACATCGGCATCTACGTCTACTGCTTCAGCAGCATCAAGGAAAGCCTGCACCTGCAAGGCGTATATACTGCTTGGACGACGCGTTGCGGCATTTGCGTTCACATCTGGAGACGACTGGCCGCCTTTACTGGCATGCTCAGTTTGAGAGCTAGTTGTGGGTGGTTGGGGGTCCATGTAACCGTGGTGGTGGTAGATGCAAAGGAATGCAGTTATGGTAAACGCGATCACGCGGCGCGCGTCCCCGCGCCTACCGCCATCATTTGCGACAATGATGTACTACCGTCTCGTTAACGAGGCGATGGCTTAGTAGGGTATGAATTGCGTCGTAGAAGACTACGAGAATTATTGGTTGTCATCAAGGGTCCAAGATATACTACGCGAATGTGCAAAACAGCTACGGGACAGCAGAGCGGCGAACCATATAAATACATGAAAACCCATGCGAGTTGTAGGCCTAAGTGAAGGGCTGCTTTAGAGAACTAGTATTTGTATCACGAAAAACGAGCGCCATGCTCGAACGAAGACACTCAACAACCGCTGCGAGTCTAACCAAATCTAGTTCCTGCCTTCAGAAGCAGCTCGTCGTCTGAATCTTCGTCTGAAGCAATACGGAGCGGCTTGTCATTGAAGGTCGTCCTGATCGCCGGCCATCCTCCGCGTTTGTGCTTGTGGGTGTGCAGAGGCGAAGCCAGCACAATCTCAGCTCGCGTACGCTCTGCGACCATGCGGGATGCGGAGGTTGAGGCAGCGAAGTTGGCTAGAGTGACCGTCCCGGAGCGTGTTCTCGCCGTCCGTGTACTGCTGACGGCAACATTTGCTTGACTATTCAAATCAGTAGTACTTCCTCCAGGCAGATTTGGCAGACGCGAGGAGTCGGATGCTCTGATGGTGTCGCCTCGCTTGCGGCTGTGTATGTGCTCCTTGCTCCTTGTACTCTGTGATATTGTCTTCGAAGAATCCGAGCGTAAGCGAGAGTGGGACGTGACACCCGAGGCATTGGCAAGTATGGACGATGCCGTCCGTTTCTGCTCTTCATCCTCTGTCGAGGGCAAGCGCATGAAGTTAGTGAGAATATACGGCGATATACTTTGCAGATAGTGGAAGTTGGCACGGATTCGCGGAGAAGGACCAAGTACATACCGTCCAACCCCATAGTAGAGAAAAGGTCTCTCAACTCTTCACCGTCTGTGTCATGCATGTGCACGTCGGGATCAGACGATGAGGCGCGACTTTCGGAAACGTGTATGTAGCCTAGTCCATGGTCGAGTTTCGGAGCAGGGGCGGATGGAGACTGGTACAGCGTAGAGGAAGCCGACGGCGGGCTCGAAATCGACGCAAAAGCAGAAGCAAGTCCCAGGTCGAGTCCAGAGAAATTGGAAGACAGCGATAACGCAGAGCCAGCATGCAGCATATGTTGTTGATTTGCAGATTGTCCTATCGGAACGCCTAGAGCTGAAGAGGGACGCTTGTCTTCAGCTGAGGTCGAGAAGTCAAGGACAGATGAGAAAAGGCCATCGGTAGAGGGATGATTGATGGTCCGGCGCCGCCGACGTGGAGGTGGTCGTCCAACGAATGCGCCTACTGATGGTCGCGACGGAGAGGCATCTTGCATATGCGCGTCTGTATCGAGCTTGGCGCCCTTCGAGGCTGACGAGTCAGACATATCAGCCTCAAGGCTACCAGCTTGCATGCGCACAGCGCCCGTCGTTGCACGACGCATTCTGGGCGGGGTGGAGACTTGGGTGGGAGCGTCAGTGAAGAAAGATGCATGCTCCGAATATCCGTCCAGCTGTGCTGAGCGACCAAAGGTTTCAGGTAAAACAAGCCAGGTGTCAGAAGCGGAAGCAGCCATAGTAGGAATAGAACCTGTGCGGATATGCATATTCGACTTGACCGCACCAGTTGCCTGCGAGACCGGGTATTGTTTCCCCGATTTGAATGAGCTAGAGAGTACATTTGTAGACGCAGTAATGACATCGGGTTTGGCTTCAGTGGCTTTATCTTGCACCTGGCGAGTGACAGGGGAGAGCCGAGATGTAGACAGTGTACGAGACTTCTGATGAGAAGGACGCCGTCCATTTCCTTTGGTCTTACTCTTGACAAGACCCATAGGAGAGCCAGCACGAGAGTTGGGACGACTGGTGAAAGGCGAAGCAAGGCCACGATTACTATTTTCTTTGAGGTTACGAGAGCTAGTACGGGAGAGAAAATGGTGGGCAACAGGTAGAGGGGAAAATCCAGCGGGTTCTAGGGCTCGCTCCTGAGAGTCAGCAGCGGATAACACGGGCTGGTCAGAGCATACAGCAGGCTTGGGAGTGCAGAATTGACCACTGGCAAGAGACTGAGTAGAAATGTAAGAGAACCCGGCTGCGTTTGAGGAAAGCGTATCATCTGAATTTACTAAGGAAGAGAGCTTTGCTTTCTTGCACGGCTTTGAGCTATCCCGGACGGCCAAGGATCGGCTGAGAGTTGTGTCAGACAAAGCCGTCTGACGAGACCTTTTCTTCATTCTGTGGGCCATCTCCTCGAGTGTAATTTCCTCTGTGTCACTGGGAACGGCTTGCAGCGGAGATGATTTTGGGATTTCGGATGTGGTGTTCTTGACACGCGTTCGGCGATGCGAATAAGTTGTGAGCAGCTTTCGAGACTTGTGTTCCATTTTCGTGAGTGGGAGCGGATTTTAGGCAATGAACACGTTACGCGCGACGCGGAACATGATATGTGGTTCACAGATATGTACCACGTTTAAGACTGTGACAGATGTGATAAAGGTATAGTGATGAGATCAGGATGTCCCCTACCTCTCCAGCTAGTACATTACATACCCTATGGCAGCAAGAACGTAGCAGAGTACGGCTTTCAGAATTCCGGAGGAATGGGTATATGCGCACCGTACAGAGTGATGTCGACTGAAGACACTTAGAGCTATTAGAGTCGTGGGCGCTCACGATCACGGTATATGTCGCGTCCATCACGTGAAGCCCGTGTCCCACGTCAGTGGCGCGTTGCGGTTGGTGCTCGTATCAACCGTTCCTACTCAGCTTTCTATATGGCCCTTTCTCTCTAAACCCACTACCTGATCTTGTCCTGCGCTGGTCGTTACGCACGCACTCAAGCAAAAAAAAACTTAACCATATCTATCTATCTAGGGTTGCTGTCCAGATGGTCGTCACCAGACGAGCTCCTGTGCCTCCTGCGCCAACTTCGCGCACTCACTCGACGCAGCCGATCCCACGCGTGAAGGGGACCGCTTATTCCAATGTAATAGAACCTCCAGATGGGCTCGCCACTCCTGGAAATGGAGCTGCCAAAGGCGACGTCAATTTTGATAGTCAACCAGTGACTGCACAGGAAGCGGTATGTGTTCACCTTTTTGCTGCTCGACTGCCTTCAGATATATTCTGTGACATACTACCGTTCATTTTGAATGCCACGCGAATTAGAGGCGGAAAGCAGTGGTCCCACGGCTGACGGTCCATTGTGTAGAGTCACACGAGCAGAGCTTCGCTGGCGTGACTCTGGGACTCTTAAAATCTGGGCCAAATAAAGCGGACGCTCTGGCTAGCTAGCTGTTATTGAGGTACCTCAGTGTGGACGTCATGTCTGGGCGGCTGAAGTGTTGCGTCCGCATAGTGGACATCAGGACAGCGCGCATGACAGGGACTTGCGGCTGGCATGGGTGCCTCGTTACCTTCTCTCCGATGCGGAACACGTCGCACCGCGTATGCGGGCGTAACCGCACGCAATACTCGTCCGTATCCTAAGGACGCGAATTTGCCAACAATTTCCCGCTAGCGCTGGAGAAATTGGTGACTATTCTTGATGTACAATAGACTGGAAGTGAATGAAAAGGCTACCCATGCCACCCGATCAAGGCTGGCTATAGATTCTCTACTGAAGCGAGACGTGCCTTTTCCATGCCCGCTAAGCTAACCTTAAGGCGCAATTCTTTTTACGACGTCTGGCAATGAGACCTCTTCATTAGATTCAGCATGGCCATGATTCTATGCCCGTCTGGCAGACTGGGTTCACATCGTCTCGATTGCCTCTCCAGTGCTTACTCATTCCATTGAGCAGGGCACACCTTTAGAGAAGAACACCCGATTTAAGAAAAGGGCTAAGCAGAAAAGCGGAACAAAGGTTTGCTGCAATTATAATCGCCACCATTTTGTGCTTCTCATTGTTTGCGCTAGAAATCTTCTAGGGGATTCACTTTCCGTGGCCTGCTGTCCCGAATCTTCCTACTGTGTTTCCGTATCTTCCTACTGTGGTTCTCGTATCACACGCTCACCGTATGCCCTCAAGACGAGCACTTGGAGTCGCACGTTTGTCGCGGTCTTTCTGAGTACCGCCGCCTGGTCATTGGCCCGTACATTCTACCGCCCATCCAATATGTCTTGGCGCACCCATCGATCGCCCCATACGTGGAGAGAGCCAAGCCTTACACGGAGCGCACAGTCAACATCGCGAAACCGATTATTCAACGTACGGCGCGCGAGTGGCACACTCGTGTGGTCCCTCAATGGAAGAAGCGCGTTGTTCCCCTCTGGAGGAAACATGCAGTCCCCCAGGTCCGGCGGCTTGACGCTCATATCGTGCCATATCGCACGCATGCCATCCAGGAGTATGAGCGCTGGGTGGGCCCCGCTGTGCGCCAGGTAAGTCCCTATGTCGAGCAGACGGTATACAACTTGCGTCAGTGGCAGCAGAAGGCACGTCCTTATGTCGTGCTTGCGGCACACAAAACATACTACGGGTACCAGCGTGCCGCGCCATATGCCCGCCCAGTCTTGGAGCAGATCAAATTGTTCCTTGCACAGGTCGTCGCCATACTGGCAGACCGGCGGCGGCAGTTCGTAGACCCTCACGTGCGGACGATCTGGGAACGCGTGAAGGAGCTTAGTAGCGGTGGACCAAAAACTCCGGCCGCTGTCGACGTTCGAGACTCTATCACGTCGCTGGTGTTTGAAGCCACTGGGGAGGCAGCATCTGTCGCATCCTCACTGAATTCCGCACAGACACCAGCTCCGTCTACGACGCTGCTCGCTTCCGACATAGTTGAGACCACAGCTCTTTCGGTCATTTCGGACGTTATATCAGCATCAGAGTCTCTCCTGTCCCCTACTGGCGCAGTATCCCCGACATCGCTCTCGATCCATCAAGCCAAAGAGTCTGCTGCCGCCTCGGGATTATCAAGTTCACTCGAAGCTGCCGTCTCGCCCATCTACAGTGCGGCATCTGTGCCTGTCTCCTCCCTATCATATGCAGCATCTTCGTTTAGCGAGGACGCTATACCTCACGCGTCCTTTGTCGCATCGTCCCTCGCCGAGATTGTGTCACAACCCACAGCTAAAACCTTCTCCGGCGGCTCGTCCATCACATCACCGACTGCGGGGGAATTGCTGTCTTCTGCATCAACTGCCATTACTCATGCCTCAGCCTCCGTATCTGCTTCAGTAGCATATGCAAGTTCTGTCTTGGCGGCGGGCGTCTCGTCAGCTGTCGATCAAGTCGCATCAGCCGTGACATCGGCCACCGCTCCTAGTGTCGCGCTCTCCCAAATGTCGGAGAACGCGGACATCGATTTGGACGAATTCTATGCGGAGCTCGGGCTTCTGGATGTGCTTTCGGAGACGAGCTCCCCGAGCGCGGAGCTCACGTCAGCCCCATCAGTATCAGTGAAAGCCGAGTCCGAGGAGGAGAAGGCCGAACGGCAGCGCATACGCGATGCTCAAACAGCAGATAGGCGTGCGGACATTATGGCGCGTCATGACAAATGGGAGGCGGAGCTTGCTGCATTAATCGAGACCAATAAGAAGGCGCTCCGTCGGGCGCTGGTCGCGTCGAGGAAAACAGCGGCCGCGGAACTGAAAGACTCCCCTGAAATCCGTGCGGAGATAGAGGGGCTAGTTGAGGAGGCGGAGAAGTTCCTACGGGGTGCTGAGAAATATCTGCAGACGCTCAGCAGCGAAGGAAGGACTGAACAGGAGAAGCGTGCTATGTGGGAGCGGGTTGCAGACAAGGTGGAAGAAAAGTTCACGGACCGACTGGGTCAGACCGAGGCTGTCGTCAACGGGTGGTACATGCCCATACTTGACAAGGAACTCACAGAAGTCAGTCGGCTTGCATTACTACATCCGCTCTCTATTCTAACCTCTCCTAAACGTTCTACAGGTTCGCAAGGTTACACAGCCCGTCAGAGACCTTGCCGACCAGGCCCAGACTGATATTGGAATGGACTATGCATATTTGGACGACGTTACGTATCAGGACTGGCAACGCTACCACGATCTCCTGAGGAGTAAGTTTGTTGTCTTTTCTGCTTGATCAAATGGCGCTATTTGGCCGATCCCGCAACTCTTCTGCTCAGGGGTTGTTTTCATTGTTTCTGACGGTTGTGTTCTGCAGGAAGTGACAATTTCACCAACGCGGCGCACGCGATGCAGAACGGCTCTGATCATGCCGCACCGGCCAATCCTGTCTTGCAAGAGATTAGCGACATACAATCCGAGGTCCAGGATGTTGTGATTGGCTTCGAGACGCGCCTTCGCCGCGTCAAACGCAACGGCGAGCGTGTGCTGGGCGAAAACAGCCAGCAAACGGAGGCTAGCATGGCTACCGACAAGACGGTCTCGATTTTACCAATTGAAGACAAGGAGAAGGTTCAATCACCCGCAGATATCAACGTCCCACCCGTCGTCATCGGGCGGAGCAAGGAAGAGGTCGTGGAGGCCTTGAATCGTGCAGCGGACCAAGATGGCCAATCCATTTCCCCCCCTGATGCAACGCGCGCGCCCTCAGACCCTGATAACGTTGCGCGCAGCCTTGCGGAGGAAGTCGTGGTACAAAGCCATGCAGACTCTTTGAACCGCGAAGAGCTCTAACGGATTGTTCCATTACATCACATTCCCTTTTCTACATCCTATTTGAAATCGTCATTTATTGTCTTGGTTCAGGCGGTCATGTTTTTCCTATGCTGATAGTATGGAGTCCCTTCGTCTTGTGGTGTCACGCTCCATGTACGGCAATGCATTCTTGATTACGCCGATCATTTCGCTCTTCCAAGAACACGGAGCTATGCGTTATTTGGGCAATATGACGAAGTAGTAACCTTCTAGCATCACATCGATATCGTGTGGTTGATCCTGAGTACAACTGATTGTGTTGCATCTTGCCCTTGGCGCAATAAGTCTGATTCCTATTAAGATACTGCATAGTTCTCCTGATGGACGCGGGGAAGTTCATATGCGCGCACGGGCATCACGGTAGACCGTCAGCATAATGATACTATCGGGAAATAGACTAATTACTCGCAAGCTCTCGTACCTGGACACATGCTTTTGCGGATGTAATGACACTAACGAACAACAAAAGGCAGTGAGTAGGCACAACGGTTCCACAAAATTAATGCTCCCGAAAAGTGGAGTTAAGTTTGGTGTCTCGTCCACAAAGCTCAATACTATGACGGGAAGTGTGTCTTACAATTCAACCTGTGATGTCTAGCGCTAGCTGTTCAACCCACCACTTGCAACCACCCTGCTCACTCAGATACACCTTATTTAAGCTTCCGAGGACACGCTCGCAATCGACGTGCATAATCGCGGATCTGTCAGAAGGACGGCAGCTGTGCCTATTTCACTCTCCTGCTTAGAATTACACTCGGATCTTGTCAGTATCGTGAGGTATTCTTGTGTCACTTTTGAACTGACACAGGCGTGACCGGGCACTTCGGCCGGAACCTCGGTGAGAATAAAACCCAGGCAAAACGCAATTCGTACTCCATACATGAACAGTTATAAGAAAATGTCGCAGAGCGGGGCAAGGTTAGCAACGCATTGGTAATGCGAAGAGCGAAAATTTCGAGCCATGACACGAGTTTACTCCATCTCGTCGCTCGTCCTCCAACGGAGGTTTCTCTCGTAAAAGTCAAGTAACTACACAACTCCAGTCAGCACGTATGTGACAGGAGTTCAGAGCATCTTCTACTTGCCTTTCGTGGCATTTTCTCCTTGCATAAGGTGGAGCTTTCCCTCGCACGACCTTGGTTATTCTTTCTGCAATGTGCGTCCAATTCGCTTGAGCTACGTTGTCATGATGTGTAGCACTCACAAAGTGAAGTAAACTAGGAGCTGGCCCTCAGCATCGCGCTCAACAGTGTCGATGGAATCAACAATGTGCTCCCAGGTGGCGGAATTCTTCCAGGTCTTCATGTCACGGAATACGGGGACATCCTCATCCTCATCCAAGTCCATGGGGGAAGCAGCCTTGGCGGACTTGTTACCTGTACTCTTCCTGGCCCTTTTAGGTACCTGCTTCTCGACATCTTCATCTTGGTCTTCTTCCTTTTCCATAGGCTTGGCCTTGGATGGCCTTCCACGCTTCTTTGGTCGTGTATCCTCAACCTCTGAGCTTTCTTCTCTAAGAGTCGACGACTTGCGGGGTTTGGCCGTGGATGCCTTGCTAGCTGTCCCAGCTGACTTTCGCGCGAACTTCTTTTGTTTGTGGTTCCTCCAGTAGTCGTCAATGAGAACTTGGGCGTTCCTGGCGCGATGAACGCGTGAGGCTGCATGCAGACGCAGATGAAGGGAGACTTACTCTGCATCCTTCTCGTCAACCCAGCTATTATTCTCCTCACTATACCCCTTCCATTTCACGAGATAGCCCATCCTGCCCTACATTTGTGCGCCACATGTTAGTACTAAGCCGAACCCGGGGAGATGCATTGAACGTACACCATCGAAAGTCCCAAGCTTTGCATCCAAGATTTTCTCAATCTCATATTCCTCTTCTTCTCCTTCCTCCTCACCTTCAGACCCCTCGTTCACCTCAACATCTTCCTCCGGCTTCTTCGTCCTAAATGCTTTCGTGGCACTGACGCTCTTTCTGTTGGACTTCGTGGCTCTCTCGCTGTCGCTATCAGATGCGGCCGCAGCCCTAGGCATAATGACACGTGTATTTGCTGGTATAACGACAGAGTAAAGAGATAGAGGGAGGCCAGGATATGGCTTGAGACACAAAAGACGCGACCGTGCGAAGTGGCCGCGAGGCGCGTCGTCCGTAAAAGGCTAGTGGCCCGCCGCGTTTCTCGCTCGGCAAAGTGGGACTTCAATATACAGCTACGACATACAGGTGCGCGATTATGGATGCGAAAGAAGCAGAAACAAACGAGACATGACGCATGAGCAAGGGGTCATTCAACGAGAACACCAGTGGGAACGGGACTGTTCTACCAAATGCTTTTTTACTCTCGCTCCCGCCGACGCGACGGACTCGCGCTGCGCCCGCGACCTCCACGACCTCGGCCACCTCTTGGTCCGGTGGGAGGGGGCCTGACAAATGCGTAGTCACACTGCAGGCTCTGCTCCAGGAGGCTGGTGCCAGACGCGCCATCAATGGCAGCCTGCGCATCTGCCATTGTTTCGTATTCCACCAACGCGTATCCCTGACGTGAACTCGGAGCATGAGTCATCAGGGTTTGAAGAGCACAAAGGTTAAACGCACCTTCACATAACCTGTCCTTCTGTCAAGGTTCAGGTGGAGGTTCTTGATCTCTCCATACTCGGCGAACTTGTCCATAACGTCCTCCTCGGTTGCCTCTTCATGGACGTTCGCCACCATTACAATCCATCCCTCGACGGCTAGGAACGTGGCATGGGAATGTTAGCTTAAACGCTGTGCTCTCACGCATGCTGCATACGAATCACATACAGCGCGCAGCCCGTGTCTCTAACGCTTGCGAGGATTCCACACGGTCGAATGTCTGCTCCGAGGTCACTGCACTTTCATTTGCACCTGTCAAAGTAGACGTTATTCGTTTAGGATTGAGTTCCATTTATCATGTGGAAAAGATAGAACTCACCAGCAGCGCTCTGGAAGCCTCTGCCCTTGCGCCTCACAACGCCACTATTACCGGCTGAAGGATGTTTCCTCAGTGGATGAATGGAAGCCCATACGAAAAACATACCGTCATCAATGTTCATCTCATCGTCGGACATTATGGCGGGGCGGTCGAGGCAGTGGACTTAGAAGAAGCAGTAGCGCCTGTTTACGCGTTGCGCGACGGTCACGGGCCGTGCCCGGCGACATGCCGGCCAGTACGGGGAGTCCCCGGGAAATAATGTGACAGGTGTGACAAGAGATTGGAGACGCCTGGTGCTGTTCAAGTTTCAGGCTGAGGGCGGAGGGAGTCTCAGAGTCCGCTTGCCAGCGACGACATGACATGCCTGGGATGGCTACTGACTTACATGAGAACGACCATTTGCTCGGTACTCGGCGAATGCTTCCTACGATGTGATCTTGCGCGAACATCTCGGGCGCGCTGTGTGTCTGACGAATGTGTCGCGTCTAGTTGACCTGCGTGTGGAAAGCCTATCTGCGCTTGTCCATTATTCATTTATTATCACAGGCTGCGAACCCTCGGCAAAGCGTAGTTGACGTGACTACATATGCTCCTCTGCACATGAACTCATGGAGTTGCATGCGGGTCCTCCTCTTGTCATCAATTGTCGGACCTGAATGGAAATTCACTAGTTGCGCGGAACCAGATGGCCACTCTTGGATACAGAGTGGGACTATGATGGGATGCCATACTAAGCTAAGCCATGTCCAACTCGATTGTTCCAGCTCACGGTTATTCGCGCACCCAAATTTGTGCCTGGTATCATGTTTTACGTACCATGCTCTCCCGTTTCCGATCTGGGTCTGCGTGAGTCACCGTTACTTCTCGTTCATCGTACCCTGATCACGCCTTGAAAATTGCGTTGATGGGCCATATACTTTCTTGTGAAAAATTCGACAGACGGGCCTCCCACCTCCACCGGAGCGTCATAAAAGGAGCTCACAGCATGACGACCCTCCGCCGCCGCACAGCGCACACCCGCCCTGCCATCCGTATTTCCTCTCTACTTAGCTGCAATGTCTGCGCAGTCTCTCTCGTGCCGTTCCTGCCTCGTATGCCGCCAATCCACAAATATGTGGTGCAGTCGATGCCAAAGGGCTTGGTACTGCTCACCTGAACATCTTCAGAGCGTATGTGGCGGTGTCTTCTCAAATACCTTAGTACTCTACTGACACAATTTACTGTAGGATTGGCCACGCCATCGTCTTGAATGTGTATCGATAGACCCCAGCCAAGCCCATTCGATCTCCACGCCACCCTCCGCGCAGCAAGGCCTCATTTCCGTCATGGCCATCTTGTTCGCACCCGAAGAAGGTCCATATGTCATGGCTGGTTACCGTTACGCGCTTAATCGCTAACTTGAATCTGGCACTAGATCGCTCTCGAATGATTACCGTGCCATGCCGCCCGCAAGGCACGGCTTCCCAGGGAATATGCCCGTTGCCGCTCGTGCACGACTACTTCAAAGAAGGCACTCCGAATACCATCATTCTCACACAGGGTCTCAACGGCGAACCGCTGCGTTTCCCACTGCACATTTGGTACTGTCCCAAAGCTCTTCAACGTGGCTCGCCTGTCAACCGCGCCATTCACCGCATCACGTCCGGTGCCGCCGCAAAGCCATGGTGTGGTACCGCGATTGTCCTCAAGTTCAACGGTTCGCGGAGACAGGGTTATGCTGATGCCGGCACGAATGATCTAGCCGCGTTATCCGCTTATTTCCTCGCTTACAAGTGATCAAAGTAAGTAGGCCGGTTCAGCGTCTTGCCCACCCGAAGTTCACGACTGACATTCTCCTTTGGCTCCGGCAGAGCACTTGTGCTTCTTGCTTAATCAGGACAATCGTTCAATGTGCGGACACTAGACAATCTTCGCAGTCGCGGACCTATCTAGTTTCAATATGTCTTTAGGACACCCAAAATATGCCGTGTTGGCAATGACGCGTTGTTTAGTACACAGTACCAGAATTGTATCGGACTGTTTTTGCAAATGGTGAATGCAACTCGTGGTGTCCGATCTTGCCGGCGTGAGTATTACGGCAAAGCACAACGTAACAGCATGCTCGCACCATGCTACTTTTACCCGTGTGTAGACAATGCTGATCTCGCCTGGGTTGGCGAAAGCGATCACATACCTCTGGCAGACACCTTCGGATCGTCTGCTTAATCTCGATTATTCTGATGGACGCCAAAATACGGGACCGAGTCGACACCGCAGAAATAACGCTGTTTGAAACTGTCAAACTCCCGAAGTCGTGGAACGAGCTACATGAGACAGCCAGAGACAGCCGAGCGTCAGAGCCTGAGTGCAAAGTGAGATGCTGGCGTCGACTTCCAGCGCTGAGCAGTCCAACCCGAATAGTGAACAAGAGGCAGGCAGTTGCTGGCGCGACCGGACAATGACACCATACCTTAGACGGCAAAAATGAACTGCATTGTCATGCAGAAAGAACCGAATGTTCTTCTTGGTTACACATGGATAACTAGACTGGAGGTTGGTCCCTAGATGCCTAGAAGGGCCCGATGGGAGAAGAATCAGAACTTCGGGGTAGCCGCAGTCGTGCTACATGTGGGCCACTTCGGGCGCGCACGGATGTATCGTAGATTTACATCGTTACATCGAGATCGCAATCGCCGAGGGTCCAGGGCTAGATTTACGAAGCTGTTTCTCATCTGGTAGGTCCTGGGATGTACCTGACCTTGTGTTGCAACCAGGGACAGCAATGCAGAGCACCGCGATCTACCACGGAGCGCCTGGGCTTTTGCCAATGAACAAGCGGCTATTATGCGGCATGACGGCTATTCCCCGAGCATATTTTGGTCAGTGTGTGCACATTGTGGTGGCGGAGAGATGTTCAAGCCGAGCGTGGGCGCTTGAACCTTGAGTGACAGTATTGAGACCAATTCTGACCAGAGGTTATTTGCTCTAGTTGTTCCGAAATTAGGGTTCTCTGCCGAACTCGCCGGCCCGCCGCCGCCCGCGAACCTTTACAACTCGATCGCCCTGTTTGATGCACGCGCATTGGGTGACTTGAACGCTTCAGCATGATTGCGTTCGCCTCCTTTGCACAACCACCGCAAGATGCCATATTCCCGCGACATCATCCGGACGTGGTGGATGACATGGATGTAGACCTTGGGGAGGACGACTTCGAACGCGGTTATCAACGACTGACTTGCCCCGGCGAGCCCATCACGTCTTCTCAAGCATTCATGCGGTGAGCCTATCGTATACCCGTATTGGAGAGACCCCTAATGTTGTCCGAGCTAGAGGCCATGGAACATATGTAGATAATGAAGAAGTTATTGCTTCTGTGGCAGGCACCATTGAGCGCGTGAACAAATTAGTCACGGTACGCGCAGTCCGGAGCAGGTGAGTAAGACATCTGTGGGTCGATGCGTGACCTTGAGACGTTAATTCAGGTACAACCCGGAGGTCGGTGATTTGGTAGTGGGGCGAATAACAGAAGTGAGTGTGGGTCCACTTCGACGGGTTATCTCCGCGTCATGTAGTGTTGTTACCTTAGGTCCAGCCTCGTCGATGGAAGGTGGATGCGAACTCAAGGCAAGACGCAGTTCTGATGTTGTCATCTGTCAATTTGCCAGGAGGGGTACAGGTAAGCCGGCAAATGAAGCCAAGATCATGTACATTACTTACGTCCGATAAGCGCCGCAAACTGGAGAGCGACGAGTTGCAAATGCGTACGTTTTTCGAGGACGGTGACCTCTTGGTTGCAGAGGTGCAAGCTTTCTTCGCCGACGGTGCCATGTCTTTGCATACCCGCTCGCTGCGATACGGCAAGGTATGCTTTTTCTCGCACGCATGTCTCCCGACGTCTCAGTCGTTGATGGACGCATGAACCTCATCATGTCAGCTTCGTAACGGGCAGTTGGTCACAGTACCTCCGGCTTTGATTCGGCGGCTGAAGTCCCACTTCATCTCACTGCCGTGTGGTGTAGACCTCATCCTCGGCCTTAATGGCTACATATGGGTTAGCAAGCATATGAGCCAGAGCCAACAAGAGGGAGATGCATTCGACGGAGAAGCGGTATATTCGAACCGGAATGATGTGAGTGGCTCATCTGACACACAAACAGCCATTGACACTGCCGCTCGTCAGGAGATTGACGGCGCGACGCGCATTGCTATATCGCGAGTCAGCAATATCATTCGCGTTTTCGGTGCACACTTCATTCCCTTGACGGATACATTGCTCCTTGAGGCATATGAATGGGCGGTTGAACAGGAAGGCGACGTGCGCGACTTATTGCAGGAGGACGTCGGCGATGCTCTGGTAGCTACTGTCACTGCGCACAATTAATATGTTACATAACCATCTGTCGTGGGGCGGGTCTCCAATTGGGAGGTACATTGAACATTCATGCGTCATCTTCCTCAGCGCTTGAGCCGCCCTCATTCTCGTCGTCTATATCCTCATCATTCTCATCATTCTCATTCTCATCGTTTTCTTCCTCGTCCTCACCATCATCAACCATCTGTGCCGCCTGGATCGGCGGCGGCTGAGGAGGCGGATGATTAGCAGTGGCGCCGCTCGCCATCTTACGTGCCTGTGCTGCCTTCTCGGCTTCTTCCCGCGCCTCATCCACAGGGAACAGTGTGTCTAGTGCGAGATCTTTCCAGCGCAGCGAACCGTTGACGCCACCACCTGAGTACCCCATGTCCTCAAATAGTGCTCGCGATGAAGGATCATACGGCCGCCGTGGCCTAGCAGCCGGATGTTTTATGTTTAACGGATTGCCGTAAGGGTACGATGGGTGCACCTGGGAAGGGAGAACTATTATGGTGTGCCGCTGAGCGACGCGATTACCACGGCTAGATGGCGCATATACGCACCGTCCGAATCCTCGGGATTTGGAGGCACCATGTGGGAGGGGACATCCACGTCTGCCGCTTGCGATCAGGGCCCGGCGAAACAGCACATGGAAACCCGCACCGTCATCAGAAAGCTCGCCTTTGAGGTAATCCGGAGTGCCGATGGTGTCCAGAATCTCTAGGTCGTGCTGGGTCATATGCAGGTAGCAGTACGTGAGATCCTACGTGAAACGCGCATCAGCTACAGCGATCAGGTCGGAGTGGGAGCAGACATCGGACAGTCATGGAGAATGGTTGTTGCTGGAGGCCTGTCCCGGAGGAAGAGGCTGAATGCAACGCGGCGTATTGTCAGGTAAGGCCCAAGTTGGCGGTTGGTGCGAGACGCGTGTGTGGCGTGGGATCCGGCGCGATGATCGACTTGGAAACACCTCGGTCCCTGCTCCAAGTACTAGTTACCCGCTATCTGCTACCAGCGTGATATCATGAGCTGCGCCAACATAGCACTTTCGTCCGGACGCTGAGCAATCGCGGGGGGATCGCGGGGTAGCCGGGACGTTCTCCGCTGTTTCGAGCGAGCGTATCAAGTACGTATTATTCAGCGCCCAAAAACGCAGATAAGTCGCAACAAAATCATTCTAACTCTCATCCTCGGCGTCCAGATTATACAAACAGTTGGGCTAAAATCTTTGCGCTGATAGCTAATGGCGCGTGTACTCGTTCTGAGCTCTCTGAGCCTTACAGGGATCTCGGCTATACCATCCCTGAGCTGCGTACAATGGTCCGACGACGGCCAGCTTCTATTGCAAACCCGAAATGCACTATATATAATGGTCCTCACTCTTCTAGACTTATGCCTAGCGGCCGCCCCTGATGTCATTTCGTACAGAGTCCCGAGATGGGCATAAGCTTAGGCACGCTGACATCTGCCATACGACAGACTCCGGACGCGCGGAACGGACAAGGGGGCTCCAGGCTCTTCCGATGGCGCAAGACCGTGATCTCTCAGAGGGGGGGCTGTACGCATCAATGGCCCGTCGATTGCCAAGGTAACTTGTTACATGTAATAGTACCGAGACCTTCATGGGCTCACGGAAAATTCATTCTCGCATAGACTTTGCAGCGGTCTCTCTGGGATCCATTGATCCGGTGCTGAGAAGAGTTGCAGCCTCTCCAAGTAATGTCACTGCTGATGCTGGGTAAAGATTTCCGTGTCTTTTGTGGAACCAATACAAGCATTCTGACAGACACGTAGATGTCTTCTGGCTGTGCTTAACTCTAATATGGAGCTAGCCATATGGGGACCTGTGAAAAACAGGCTCATAGGAGAATGGACCCAGGCAGGTCTGTTTTTAATAATGGACATATGTTTAACCTGCGATTCGCCGAGCAGCTTTTGGACATAACTGCTGAAATGCGTGCAAGATATGCAGAGAATGACAAACTTAGTCTAGTGCATGTTCTGCAGGTGCAATCGACCTGTATGTATGCTGCGCTATCATTTCACCGTGTGACTGAGATCCAACAGGTATCGAGTGGTCCTCTCAAGCCGATTTTGGTCTTTCACCTGCGCCGCAAATAGACGGCTCACTCCTTGCAGTGGGCAATAGAGCGGGTTCTGTGAGCTTTATACGGTGATGATTGGCTCACTACACAACATTGATGGTGGTGACTGACTGCTTGACGGTGCGCAGGCTGAGTGTCAACGTTGACGGCACTTATGAATCCCGTCCGGTGGCCAACATTACACTGAGTGACAGATGGCTGACTCACGTCGCCTGGTCTTCGTGGAGACTGTCTGAGAGTCTCAAATGTACGCGACTGGCAGACCCGCATGCTTGCAGCTGAATACATCTATATGACATCTAGGCGAAGCCTTCGTGGCATGCGGCGTGGGTGATGGTTCCATTGTTCTCGTCAAGGTTGTCCAGGATGTCCGGCCCATACCCGCTGCCGCGGGATTCTTCCCGATTTACGAATTGCAAGCAACGTTCGAGGTCCTGGATATCAGACCATCCGATAGCAATGGTCGAGGTATCACCGGTATGCACTGGGTCGACGTGGGAAGCAATGTGAGCGGACATTTCATAGACGCGCTGCTTTGACGACTCATGCAGTCGGTATCTCTTGAGCCCGTTCTGGTATTTTTCACAGCCGGATTCGTTCATCTCTATTCGCATGTTAACTCCGATGAAATCTGGTCGGGTGGCCGAGCAATCCCGCTCCATACCACGAGCCTGGCCGTCAGTTCCTCCACACTGTGCCCTCCTTCTGGAGTCACCTATGTCCCCAGCGACGATATCCTCGTTGTTTCTCTCACTGAAGGATCATTCCACGTCATTTACTCCCTGTCGACTGAACCTACCGATGTCCCTCCATCAAGCAAAACCACATGTACGAGTACGGAGATGTCCCGCGCATGTCGTCTCGCATGTTCAGAAGTAGAGGCCGAAACCTTGTCGTGGAAGGACGTGAACCGTATTCACGGCTTCGCATCCTATGATTATCGTGGAACTTACGTTTGGCTGCACGAGTAAGCTCCTCGAACTTCATCTGTCACATACGTACTCTAATCTCCGAATGAAGGATATGTCAACCGGCGGACTTCAGTTACAAACATGACGCGAAACACGTCAGTATGTTGGTTGTAGCTCATCTACAGGAGGAGCCGGGAGATGACGAACTCGTTGGGTATATCCAACACCGTATCCGAAGTTCGAAGGCTTGTACGTAACAATCCCACCACCTACAAGACTGCCACCGACTAATCTACACAGACACGGGACAGACGCCCGTAGCCTTACTCCGTCCCGACTTCTTGCATCTGCGCGAGAGCAAGAAGCTGTCACGGATATTGCCTGATATCATCCGTGTACTGGATTCCACGTCTCCAGGTGACGTAGTGCAATTTGAAGTTGCGGACTATGAGGGGGAATTATCGGCCGATATCCGCAACGAGTTCATGAAAAGTCTGTCAACACATCTCTTCGGGTGGGATTCTCTCTTCAGGCAACGCGCGCTGTTAGTTCTGGGAGAATTTTGCAAGGTATGACAACAGTTCTTTCATCATACTCTACTGATGGTTCCTTTAGACGGTCCTAGCCGAGCAGCTGTCGACTCAGAGCCTCGCAACTGCCTGCAGTCACATAGTCTCTAGGATATGGTGTCATGTTCTTCACGCGCTGATCCGACATATGAGAGGCATATTCAGGCTGGTGACCGGTATGCTTGTCTTGCAGGTTTTGAGGAAGTATATTCTCATTTTTACATCAGCTGCGGATGTCCCCTTCTTGCTCAAACTTACTTGGAATTCCACGCTTCCATCTATGCCTACAACTCTTGTCCAACAAGCTGAAGACCTCAAAAGATTGATCAGGACTGTCGTACCTCACGAAGCATGTTCTGACCAACAAGGTTTGAGTGACCTTTGCCCGGCATGCCATACTCGGATTACTATCGAGGATATATCAACGGCAGCATGTCCCAACGGCCATGTTTGGTGTGAGATTCCCAATGCTATGCATTTGCAACCGGCTCACACATATTTATCCATCTAGCGAGATGTTCCATAACGTCATTTGTTCTTGCTACGCCTGTCGTCCGAACTTGCATTGGCTGCCATCGCAAGGCATTCCTCCCGCCCTCGCAAATGACTGACCCGCGCTGGCTCCCCGTCGAGGTTCGGGATAGTTGGCTGGTCGCGGACTTGCTGGAAGCTGTACGACGGTGTCTTTACTGTGGCAACACCTTCGTGACGTTGGTGTGATCGGATCGGCCTCGTGCCCCGAGGAGTGTCTTCGGAAGCGTCGAATGTGATCGAGTTCTTTCCACGATGGAACGATCCACACAAGGTCCAAATTGTGGGCTCATCCGGTCACAGTGTGGATCGACAGCGTCACACGCTACCCCTGCCCTCCCTGGGCGGGTGGGATGCCTCACGCCCAGCGCCTATCCTTCGCATTGCATGGAGGCCCAATCGGTAAACTTCCTCGTCGTTAGCATGTGCTCGACGCAGGTTCTGTTGGCGTACGCGACATAGAGCATTCGAGACCTGCTATCGTTCCGTAAGTGTGCGCGATGAATTGCGAAAGCTGTCTGACCTTGGTCCCTGAGCCGCCGCTAGATGGACGCCGTGGGATGTGGGAACTACAGATCGTGTTTGAATCATCTTCTACTTTACGTGTGATCTCCGCGACATGACAGACCCGAGGCTGCCAGCTTTGGAACGAGCTTAGCCGGACGTTCCGAATCATTGTATGGGAATGCTCAACCACACCCGCTGAAACAATGCACTGAAACACAGATGCATATGGGGTTGGTATGGGTGGGCGATGCTATCCCTGCACATCATCCGTGGCACCGCACGAGCTAATTACAGTACAGATTTTTCACAATCATCGTCATGCGGATGGACTGCGGTGAGCCCATCGTGTCTAGTCTCGACCAGGTGGTGACAGATAGACGCACGTTTAGGTTATGGCGCAAGCCACACGTTTGTCCTTGGCCATCCGCTCATCTCGAGGAACTTTCCTGCGCCTTTCTAGCGACGTACTCCGCCATATGGTGTATAGGCGACCACTGGAATCTGGGCACAAGCTTTACGAATATCACGCGTTACTACGCGATGTCCAAATGACAAATCGGCACGGTATGGTCGCATGGTGCGCACACTCGCCAGATTTGTGGACCCCCGCTGAGGGAAAATGATCGGTGTCTCATAACTTCACCGATAGCAAAGTGCGTCGGGACTGACGCCCTCGGAGTAAGCGCTGTCGTCGGAAGTTTCCACGACAGATCGTCACCGATGGCGCTTGCTTCGTGAACTAATGGTGATGATGTTCCTTTTGCAGAGGCGCGAGAGGCCAGTCCGGTCAGAAACGCCTACCTACATTCGTCTCTACCGTTCTGAGCGCGCTGTGCCTTTACTCACTCGTCCATGCGGCGACTCTATCAAAGCGGTCCGCCCTTGGTGAACGTTTGGTGTCCAATGAGTTTCTGTTTATTAAGCTGACCGTCGCGTGTAATCCTGATCTCTAGCCTTATGAGCGCCTCATGATCCGCACGCCAGCGCACGTTTCATCTCCATTGTACGTATGGGTACGTATGGGAAGACGACTCCACGTCCTCACATGTATGATTCCCGGCCCCTCATACAGTCTTTCCTATCGCTCTCACAGGCCGTGCCGAGCCAGTCACCTCGTAGCGTTGTTTATGTGAGCGATATATTGGGCATGGGCATTCTTGGAATGGTCATACGGTTGTCCATAACTAGATTCTTGTCATGACCCTGAGATGTGAATTCACAAGATGGTTCGGGTTGGTGGGACTGACGAACGTTCCATGTTCCAGTATTCCCGGTCACAGGCGTGCTCCATCCTCGATTTGTGACTTTCTGCCAAGAAACTGCGATAAAGTACCTCCAGAAATGTCACAATTGGCATCACTTGTTACCGAGCCCTGCCGGCGAATCTGAAGAGCCTCGACTGCAAGTGGGTCTGTGAAGTACTACAAACTTTCAACGCCGTTCACGGATTCGTCTCGCCAAAGGTTCATCATCAGACGAATGCGTGGATGGTTTATTGGAACGGGCTATGCAGGTACCGTCAAACGAGCCGTTCCGAGGAACAGGGAGTCCGCGTAGCAAAGGCGCGGGGTGTTTCGTCAACAAGGCGCTACTTAAATATAGTATTGATAAACTTATCCGTCCCTGACCGGGTACTGGTTAATGAGCGCGGCGGTTTGCCTGTCGGCCGCAAATCCCGACTTCAACATTACTTGGGCAAACAACCCACGCAGTCTGCGTACTGGTCTGAAAATCTGTGCTGGATATTCTACGTCTTGCGCGTCGATCAGCCCTCGTATGTGGAAGACAGACGTTCTTCCACAGAATACGGAAGTCCGTAAATTAGTGTTTGAAAATATGTGCTTTTCTTCAAGTTGACAAGCCCTTTACACCTAATATCGTACGTGTATAGTCCGCGGCATACACTCGGAAATTTGGTCATGGGACGCTTGTAGCGCACTGGTGTGGTGTCCCCTGCACGTTGTAACTTTGATAAAGGCTGCAATAGCGGCGCCGGGGCATCTGAAGCCACCACATCTATTTCCTTTAATAGTTATCGCCCTGCCTGTTTTAGCAGCAGTGACTTTCGCTCGTGATGTCATAGGGATACGGCTGATCGAGTTTACTGTCGATCTTGAGCGCTTCTTTCGCACATTCGAATGAGTTTTGCCGGCGGCTCCCGCTTTTCATACTCTTGACACAAACCCCCAAGTTCCCCTCCACTCTACTCTGTCTCTGGCATCGTAGAGCCGTTCATTTATGGCATTCTTACCGAAATGTAGACACCACGCATCAAGCCAGGCGTTTACACAGACATTACACTGTAACGGTAATGTGTTGTATGATACTCATCGTCCTAGTCCTCTCTGCCCAGCGTGAGGTGTACCAAGTGCTGCCGACGCAACAGCAAGAGCGTATCCAGGCTTTGCAATACTTATTCAAGACGGCGCTTCCGTGCCGGCTTATATCTCGGCAGCTAGAACTTCCCATCACGGGGTCCCTCAGGACTCGGTGTTCCACCAGGTACACGCAGCATATATAATCTCTCGTCATATCGCTGCGATTCACGGTGCACTCCCTTGTCTCCCACGTCCTCCTCCCGTTGTCTGTCAGCGGAAACGACGAGCAAAATGGAGGGCTACGACCTGAAGGCAGATGCAACCTTGCCGTCCGTGGTAGTCCCACCCACCGCTCGCCGGAAGACAAGGGTCATGTCCATATTCTCTATGCTAGCCTATCTACTTGCTGGGCTGTATATCATATACAGTGTACAATACAAGCGCACTACTCGACCGGCCGTCGAGAGAGAGTTGCATCGGGCGGAGCCCGACTTCGATTGGCTCTCCGTGCGTATCAAATGTCACTGATCTTGACCGAACCACATTGATAGAATGCCTACCTACAGCTCACACCATCAGAAGACATCAATTGGACACCCTGCTTCTCTGAATACAAGTGTGCACGGATTATCTTGCCCCTGGACTATCTGTCGCCGCCTGGTGTTGGCCCGAATGTCACTATCGCCCTTCAGTTGCTGCCGGCGGCGGACAAGGAAAATTATCGCGGTACCATTCTGATCAACCCTGGTGGTCCAGGCGGCGCTGGCACCGACCTGATCAAGCGACGCGGCAAGGACATCGCGCGCATTTCTGGTGGCTCTTACGACGTGCTGGGCTTTGATCCGCGTGGGACGGGCGCGAGCACGCCGTCCGCACAATGCTTCGACTCACAGTCACAGCTCGACATCTGGGGGATCCAGGCAGGGGCCCAGCTGCTGAATCTGACCGATGGCTCGGTCGGTATGGCTAGGGCACGCGAGCGGGTGGTTGGGCAGATGTGTGAGAAAGCCCTGGGCGGGAACGGGAGGGAAGACCTCAACGGGACAGTGGAGGAATGGGGTGCCGGACGGTTTATGAGCACCGCCAGTGTGGCGACGGACATGCTCAAGATCACGGAGAAGCTTGGGGAAGAGAAGCTGAAGTATTGGGGTTTCGTGAGTACATCTTACAAGAAAGCGAGTTGTCATCGCTGACTTAAGACCATGCGCAGAGCTATGGTTCCGTACTCGGGCAGTACTTTGCGGCAATGTACCCTGACAAGGTCGGGCGACTCATCATCGACGGTGTTTATGACGCATACAACTACCGTGCCACCCTCTGGAACACCAACCTTGTAGACACGGACGCAGTCTGGGCATCATTCCACAACTTTTGTTACGAGGCCGGCCCGGAACAGTGCCCTCTTTACGAATCGTCGCCTGCGGATGTTCAGGACAGGGTGACTGCTATCATCAACGGTCTCACAGCTGACCCCCGCGCAATCCCTTTCGCGCCAGGAGGACCACTGGTACTCACGAAGAAGACACTCCACAACTTTGCATTCCGTGCCGCCTACAGTCCTGTCATCAACTATCCACCCCTGGCTGACATCCTGCTAGCTGTCGAGCAGGATAATCAGACCGCGCTAGCAGCGGCGGCACCCAAGCTCGGCGGTGGCGTGCAGTGCAAATGTGAACAGTCACTACCCTGGCTCATGGACACCGAGGCATTCTATGCCATTGCATGCGGTGACGGCGACCCCATCACCTACTCCGATGAAGACTACGCCGAATGGTTCTCCCACCTGAGCGAGACCTCGGAGTTTGCCGCGCCTATCTGGGGCTTTGAGTACCTGCGCTGTTCCGAATGGCGCATCCGACCCAAGTGGCGGTATATGGGTCCGCTCGCCGCGGAGAAGACGGCCAATCCGGTGCTGATCGTGTCCCCAACCTATGATACTGTGTGTCCTCTAACTGATGCGCGCGCGGTACACGCACGGTACGCTGGTTCTGGGCTGCTGGTGCAGAACTCATACGGCCATTGCTCCTTGGCCGCACCATCGCTCTGCACTGCGAAGCACATTCGTGCATACTACGAGAATGGGACGATTCCTGAAGAGGGGACAGTTTGTGAAGTGGATGAGTTGCCGTTCATCGGTCAGGTTGGCGGCGAAAAGATAGCAGCGATGTCTGTGGAGGACAGAGAGCTTTTGGAGTCTTTGCGAGCTATGGCTGAGGAAGTACCGACTTTTGGGCACTTCTGATTTGTTGTACATCCATTTGGCAGACATGAAAAATGTATCCCTCATCTGTAACGTGACTGACCGATCTCCGCAACACTTGATTTCCCCACTAATTGCAAGTGCCTGTACACCAGCTGTTAGTCAGCAGTGCAGGTGGGCCAACTGTGTCGGGATGCAATGTGGTTTAGAGTAGTCCGGCAAGTCGTTCAGTAGCGAGGTAATGGGCGCGAAGGTAGGGTTTACATGCCTTTGAATGGCACTCATGAAGCTGCAAGCCGGATGAGGCGCATTGTGGCAACGCAGGTTTTTGAGATGAGGGATACCGACGTCTCACGCAGACAAGAGTCCACTGCTGGTCAACTGCCCTCCCTGGAGTCTGATGCTTGTGAAGCTGCGCCCGAGACAGTTTGCACGCGCTCGAATAGTTCACGTTTGCGAACGGACTCCTGAAGATCTTGCTCTCTCTGACGCATTTTCTCGCGGCGCCTTTCATCGTCGCGCAGAACACCCTGGTACATGGTCTTTGAAGCGATGAAATGAATCTCAAAGTGAGCACGCGGGCTAGAAGATGCAAGTCGATAATATTACCTCGCGCTCGGATGTCTGGAGGAAATGGACACCCCAGATGATGACCGCAGAGGCTAGCAGCGAGCTGACGAGAGTGGCCTTCGCTATGCGAGACATGCGCGACTTGGAGGCTGACTTGCAACGGGAGAGAGCAAGCGCGGTCCGGGATTGGCTGGCGAAGATCAAGGCCACACGCGATGTGGCGCGCGTCCGACATCGTCCGACATCGTGCCACAGAAGGCAAGTGAGTAGGTTCATCCTCAACTCCCCTGTCGCTCCTCGTGGACCCTGCCCGTCAGACTGCAATGGAGGACCTGCAAAATTGGTTGTGCCAACGCGCACAACAGAATACAGGACATGGTTTACGTCGGATTGAGAAGGAAAACATCGTGGGATAGCACTGGTATGTACATCGTCGTGGAGGTATCGTACAAGCGCATCGTCGGAATCGGTGATTTACAACAACAGAAGTCCGCCAGTAAAATGAGGAAAACTGACGTGAGTGCAAAGATACGAGAGAACTGTAACAGGTGCGCAAAGCATTTGACAACGAAATATGAGACAAGCCCGGGCCCTTGGTCATACAAGGAATGTAATAAAGTCTATACGAACAGTACATCAATGAACTTGTATCGTTATATACGGCATGATAAACTTACCAGCTATTCCACAGGTTTCAGTCGAAGGATAGGCGACGCTTCATGCTCGGCCTGAGAGGGGGAGGCAACCCGTGTACGCCTTCGCCAGCAGCTTTCGCTCGCGTGCTTGTTGCGAGTGACGATGACGACTGCTTCTCTGCCTCATCAGTGAGAGCGTGCTTGCTTGCGGTCAGTCGCTCTTCGACCAGCCCGCGCACGTAGTCGAGAACCTCCTCTTCATCAAAGGCCGCGGAGGGGGATACTAGCGCCATATCGTTGCGGTTGCTTCGCGGGGTCATTGGGCTGCAGATGGAGGAGTTTTCGCTGAACAAAGAGTCGGTAGGTGACAACGGCGGGGTCTGGGGGGACGGGCTCTCGAGGAAAGTAGCAACGGTGTCATGCTTTTGGGCAGCGGCCACGCGACGCTTCTTCAATGCACGCAACGCAGCCTCGGTATCGAGTGAGAGTGGCGAGAGGGAAGGCTTCCTCTCGCGCATGGACGGTGGCAATGGCTGGAATCGTGATTGTGAGTCCGTCAGGACGTCGGTGACCATCATCGCGAACTCGGAAATGGTATAGAGACTGTGAATCATAAGCTTGAATGTGAACTGATGTTTGTCCGTCAGAGTGGCTTTGGCCGGCGCTGCATCGCACCGAGCAGCATCGGTCTTGGGCGTCGGGCGGGCGGGCGGAGCGACGCGTCGGTGGATATGTTCCGACGCCACGGACGATGCGACAGGTGTCGAGGGCTTGAATGAGGACATCTTTCTCGACCCCACCCCGATCTCCTTCGCAAGGGAGTGGTACTCGATAGAGCTACCAGAGGCAAGGCGGGAGAAGAAGTCGGAGAGCTTGGCATGGTCGACCATCTTGGTAGCGGAGCTGCTCATTTTCGCTATAGGGGTTGTGGGGAGATGGTGGTGGTTTGAAAGAGAGGTGAGCGACGCGCTTTCAGCCACAAGTTGTAGTCCCGCTTTGGCCTGGCGGTTGAGCATGCTCCCTCACGTGCTCAAAGGCCAAAGCACCTTGTCGCCACAAAAGGGTGGGAACTTTGTGATGGCCCAAGCTCAACGCAGAGGCCTTGTATTCCGGTATAGCCAAAAAGGTCATATCGCCTCTGTGTCCGATAAGCCTCTCACTTACCGTTGTTGAATTACAGCGAGGAATCTAAGTCCTCCCGGGAATTGTCTAAACGACTGGTTGGCTCTCTCAATTTCCTTTGTGTTACTGTTTCCCTATGATACGCATCGTCGGGATCCATACAACAGAAAAGCAACCTAGAGCAGGTTCAACAGCCCCAAAACTTTCACTGTGCCCTCCACAACCTACTCGTTCGGCTCTGATAAGGGTGTAATCACCGACACAAATTTTCAGTCGAGCCATCGAGGCATCTATGTCGTTGTCGATATGTCAAATTGACATGCGTATAAATTCAAGGCAGATGTCTCAACCTCATCATAATTCTATGTCTTGCGCATCGAATCGTACCATTGTTTGTATTCAGTATTAATCCTTCTGCCATACCCTTGCCTGACAATTTGTAGGTTTGAAGACAGGCCGCGACCAATTTAGCAGCAGGAGCCATTGACCTTTCAACAGATATGCTCAAATGGCGTGCGACTCATGACATATACAGCCTAGTCGATGACGCATACGGTGTTCAACAACTGAAACCCACATTTACTGGAGGGCCTGATCAAGACGCTTGCGATGTCCGCCTGTTCAAAGCAATGCGCATTTGCGGAAAAGGATGCGTCCTTCCTCATTGTGTATCTTTAATACACTATTGCTATCGTTTGGTAGTGCGTCGTTGCCATTCATCTTGCGGACACGAATCTGTCCATCCACCCCGCTCGACTGCGCCCGTCGTCCTCAACGGCCAGAACGTAGCTACGGCGTCTGTAGTCCACAATCCAACATTGCGCTAATATTGCCCGACCATTTCAACTTGCGTATCGCCCTCAATGCAATGGACTTGTATCAAGCGACTGACACCACATCCTCTGTTCCGCGAGTGTTCGTGTTTCACCCCAAGGCTATTTTGAACTGCAAGGATACAACTTACTTCTTGCCCGCATTCTCGAGCCTCAATTTTGCGCGTCTGATGGTTCGATTATTCACACGAAATCCGTGTCTTATTGAACCATTCATATACTGTAGCTTTGCGTCGTTGACATCGAGCAATGCCGGCCGGTCTGCATCATCACCTCGCATGTACTCATCCCAATACACCATCGCCCACGCGGCGTTGTCGGCTCCGTCGACGAAAATCAGGTCCACGCGAGATAGTAATACATGTGCTGCTTTTGCCGTCACCTTCGAGGGATCTCCGATATTTGGCCTCCGTTCCCTGGAAAAAGTACTACCATTTCCGTCATCTGCATGAATCTCGCCTACGAACATCGCGAGATCGGACGCTGTTCAGGTGAGTGCGTGTAGTGATGGTCATCGTGATCGTCCTGAAACCTCATGTAGGCGTCTGTAGGGCGGGGTGGGAACGATCGGCCACGGCATAGTCGTAATGAGCAGAAGGCCGACGCCCGCTCGCCGCACTTCGGACAATCCACACCGCATGGATTGGCTGGAGATCTCTCCCACCGCTGGAGATGATACTTCCATCAGCGCGTGTTACCAGGCAGCCGAGCGACCATACTATCTTTAACTCTTTGACAGCGGAAACATTAGCAAACATGCCCACAAGAACGGAGAAGCAATAGCAAATCATCATGGAATAACTATCTTCCCCGACCATTCAATATCTGGGTCGTACGAGTCTTCACCACGGCGCCCGCCTAACCTGGACAGCCCCATTGGCTCTGCGCACCCACGCCGTCGTCATCCGCGCTTGAGTATCGTCACCTGGCTCCGACTTGGCGAAAAACGAGCTCCAGGTGATTGTCTTCATCGAAGGCAGGGATCGCGCCATCCACGCGCTAGCGACGAGCTCCCTCTTCCTCGTTGCCTCTTGGTGCCCGGTCTTGCAAAAAGTGCAGAGGTCAGGGCCGTATGGCGCCGTCAGTGCGTCCCCAAGGCTCTCCATTTCGAGACCGCGATGCACCAAGTGTTGGTGCAGGACGTCCACGTCCGATAGGAAGATGCCGAGAAAGAGATGTTCGAGCTTCTTGAGGGGCTTCAGGGCGTCGCCGAAAGCTGCCTACGTCCCAGGACCGACTACGCGTCAGCATATATCGGACTGGCAGACGTGCAAGAAGGCTACCGCGAGGTTTTCTACGGTGAGATAGATGTCCGGGACCGGCGAGTGCACAGCGCAACTCGAGGATTCTTCATAGCAGAGCCAACAACACTCTTCGTCCAGTCGGTCAGTACAGGTCAAATCCAGCATTTCAAGAGCAGGGAAACGAGAGGCGATAACAGAAAGCAGTTGTGTATCGATGCGAGGCAAGAAGGTCAGTCTGAGCTCGGTGATAGTGGCCGGCAGGTGCACGAAGAGCAGTTTGGTACGGTCAGTCTGCGTCGCCAGGCCGTCAGGAAAGAAGTCAATCTCGACGACTTGTAGTCGGTCGAATTTTGCTAGCAAGTCAGGTTTTGTCGACAGGGTTTTCGTTGAGCATTCTAGATTGCTGTGTGTATGCGCATATATGCGTCAAGCAACGCCACCTTTCGCGCAAAGTATGGGGGTTGTGACTGGACTGACCGGACCCATGTGAACATGCCGGGTATCTGGCAGCACCGCTCAAAGTGCGCGCTATTGCGCGCATACAGTCTGTAGAAGAAGCGTCGGAAGGCAATCTGGCGAAACTGGTATGAGGCAAGCGAGAAGCTGGCGATTGACGAGAATGTGTCCTTGTCTGTTAACATTGCGGCGGTAATTTCGTCGAGCACTTCAGCCGGTACGTGCTTGAAAGTATTCCCCCGAGGTGAAGCGACTTATGCAACGAATCGACGCGGTTGGAGACTTGCCTTGGTGCCTTGCTTCGCGCTCGTCCTCGCGGAAGGCGTGATAGAGAGAACTCGGTTTACTGAAGGCATGCTTTTTTGTTTGACGTTGACAAAAGACTATTACAAAAGTCAGCAAGTATGGCTTCAATAATCAAGGAGTGAACTCAGCATGAACTTGTAGACGGGAGCAATCAAAAAGAGGCTGTAAGTGATCGAGACACGATCGACTGGGAGTCAACACGTGATGTCATAGCAGACTTCCCGAAACTCCCGAGACACACCGAACGGTTGAGCGCAGCACGCAGCAATTTGCGAGCGAACTCATAAACACAACTTGCCTCAGGCATAGCGATTCCGGCCAATAGACAGGAATACATTGGTGTTATACAAGTTGCCCAGAAGAACAGGTGTTAGATAAGATATCGATACCTTGAAGCACGGTAAGAGACAAATGACAAGGAGTGAGGGTCCATTCAAAACAACACCATGGTACACACAGCAGATACAGGAGGCATCAGCATCACAGTCTCGTCACAGCCTTCGCATCCAACGGCATTCCTACGGAAAGGGTGTGAGTCGAGCGAGTGGGCGTCTGTGAAGGATACGCACCAGAGGGGTCGATGCCGTTGGCTGCCAGGATCTGATTCTGGCGAATCAACCTGGCCTGGTCGAAGCTACAGACAGATCGAGAGCCATTTAGACATTCGGCACATGTGCAACACACACAGTTGTACTCACTTGACCCGTTCACGACGCATGATGTCCAGCACCTCCTGCGTACCACGTTCATCCAGCCCAGCCCTAGAGTCCCCGTCCCTGATGTTCGCCTCAATGTCGAACGACGACGACGTCAGACCCGCATTGGCTTGGTCAGCAAAGGTGGACAAAGGAGCGTAGTGGCCGAGTCTTGGAAAGAGAGACTTGACCGGCTCGGGGACGTAGGGGATGAGGTTGGTACGGTACCGAAATGTCACTGCGCAGATGTCAGCTTACTTTGGACCACGACGAGCAAGGAGGTGGCGGGTACGCACACATTACCAGTAATGCCGACAGAGCGAAGACGGACAGCCAGAACAACATGCTGAGTTCGAAGTCTTATAGGGCGGGGTGGTTGCTGCGAGGGTCAGGATCTGCCGACGGAAGCATCGCCCTCATTGGTTCCCCTTGTTTACCAAGCGCTTGTGAGTGCTCCATCAGTTTCTTTTTGGAAGTTTGCCACGTGCAAGAGGGCCAGACTCGGATCAGCATCCTGGAGTTGTTGGTCCTTGTACTGCTTGTGAACGTACCCCCTGAAATTTCTTGGTCTGCATTTGTAGTTGCAGCTGCCCTGGATATTCTACCCAGGCTTCTTGTTTGACTTAAAGCGTATGCTACCTTAGGCCGGCCTTCTAACAATACGTCGTTGCGTAACGATCAAGTATTTGCACCCGTGCCACTTCCTCATTCGCAAAACTATTCGCTGATAAATTCACATTCATCAAAAATAAAACGAAACTTCTTTAATGCGAGCAGCCCATATGTTCAAGCTTCACCGTCCGAAGGAAATAAAGCTATCACAAATGACCTTTGGTTTGCAACCCACATCCTTTGCCGATGGCTGAATACAACTTGTGATGTGAGTGAAGACCTTACGAAGATGTCATCGTCCGTGAGCGTTGAAACGTCGATGGCGGACAAGCATGCGACATTTCTCGCTGTGATTTGCTACGAAACCGGTAGGGCTTGCACTTTCCTCACGCATGCACCGGAGGCCTGCACCGGGCTTGGTAAACCTGTCGCTGTCGGGTTGCTTAGTGCAGCGAGGGAGCTCGAGCGTAACGCGCCATTAGGCATCGCCGCAGCAGAGCCCCCCCTGCCCCCCTCCTGCATGTCTGGGGGTTTGCATTTGACACATATGGCACGAGCCTATGCTAGCGAAATTCCACGAATATCCGGGAAGGCTTTGCGCGTGTATAAAACTCTCCGGAGCTTTCTGGCCGCGCCGGACCCACTGCAAGTGCACAACCAAGCACATAGGCATCTACATGATCCGCTTTATCGTTAGAATCAGCAGTGGAGACAGCCAGGAAAAGGACGTATGCGGCCCACTTGTGGGACTCGATGGTGTGAACGCCAGTGCACGTCTTGTGCGTCGCGGAAGGGTCGTTCGTTTCGCTCGGTTTCGTAGCTGTCGTCGCGCTCGGTATCCTCGCCGTTCTGCGCAAGGCGGCGGCGCACGGCTGTTGAGCGGGCAATGAACTTGGGCGTACACACGAGCACCCAATGAGCTGAACAATGTCGGCGAGGACTGTGTTGTCGATGGCCAGGCTGGTCTGGGCGACGTCATGAGAGGAAAGCCGCATCATAGCGGACGCGCGACATAAACATGTAGGACGGCATCGACACGTGAAGCTTGAAGTATCACGGGTTGTAGCCTCAAGTAATGAGGCATACGGAAGATTACATTCCCTTCCCAGAATAACTCCAATTTATTGACCATTGCGCTGACTACGAAGCAGACATCGCAGGAGATGGGTTCACGCAACAGGCCAAGCTACTAGTAATATCACTTGCGCCTGGCACTGCCACGTCCCTTGAATACCCAGTCAACTTGGTTAGGCAGATGTATCTCCACCCCCAACTGCTGGGCAAAGGTCCAGACACTCTGGTGGTCCTTCAAGAACTGTCTGCCGACTAGCACCATGTCGACGCCCTGCTCCTGCAGAACGTGCTGCGCGATGTGTCCATCCTTGATACCCCCGACGCCTGCGACGAGCATCCTGTCGCCGACACGCTTCTTGACAGCCTCCGCAAAGTGCGCCTGATACGCCGGCGCGATGAACTTGATCTTCTGTCTGCGATCTGTTCCCCCAGAAGAGACATCGATAAGGTCCACACCGTGATCGGCGAGAATCTCAGCCAGATTCACGGTATCCTCCAGCTGCCACGACGGTTCGTCGAATTCCTCCAGCCAGTCTGTGGCAGATACGCTGATCCACGGTCAGTTTGATGCACATTCCTCAATCTGACCTGCTTCCGCTCACCGGAACATTAGCGGCATGTCCGTGGGTATGACCGCGCGCACGGCGTCCACGACCTCCAGCGTGAGGTGGATGCGGTTCTCGAAGCTCCCGCCGTACTTGTCGGTGCGCTTGTTCGAGACAGGGCTCATGAAGTTGTGCAGCAGATATCCGTGGGCACCGTGAACGTCAACCACGTCCACACCTGCCTTGACTGCACGCGCGGCTGCGTCCACGAAGCCTTGCACGATGCGCCTGATACCTGCCTCGTCAAGTGCCTTTGGCCTCGGATAGTCCAGGCTGTCACTGAAGGGCACCGCGGACGCGGACACGACGTCGTCCGGCCAACCGCCGACCGCTATGCTCGCGCCCGCCTCAGGATGCAGCCACTTCGCGACGGTCGATGCCTTGCGCCCAGCATGCCCGAGCTGGATGCCGAGCTTCTGGTTCTGGGCGTGCGCGAACTCGGCGAGCTTGCGCAGCGGCTCAATCTGCGCGTCGTCCCAGAGCCCGTTGTCCTGCGGCGAGGTGCGGCCTTCGGGGAGCACGGCTGTTGCTTCGATGAACGTAAGAGCAGGGCCATACGTGAGGATTCCGCCCACTGTATCGCTCGCCGTCAGTACCATTGATGCATAATGGAAGTATGGGACGTACAGTGTGCACTGTGCCACGGCGTGAGCTGGCCATTATGAGAGGACGATTGTCCCAGTGGCGAGAGCTGTTTCAAATGTTGTCAAGAAGTCTGTTCAACTGAAGGGACTAGTGGTAAGCCTACCATTATGCGATTTTGAAACTGCACACCGCGGATCTTGATGGGCTGGAAGAGCTTTGGGATCGGCTTCCCTTCGGGCTGCGCGTCGACTGCAGTCCCCGCAGGCGGGACCTGAAGCGGGGTGAAGTATGGGGTGTTTGGCGCAGCGGGTGAGACAATGTCCTCCATGATGTGGTAATGATGAAGATTCCACTCGTGTGGCTTTTATAAATCATGTAGCGCGCAAGGCGTCGGAATTATTGGCCGTGCACCCTCTTCTTGAGAGTATATCGTTCTAGACGATATGGTCCTGACAAAGCGGCCGCTCTAGAAGAGCGATATACGTCAATCCGTCAACCCGCGGCATCGGGATACAGCGCGAAGTGCGAATCCTGCGTCTGCACGCTCAGTAAATCATTCTCGGCCGTTGGTTCAGTCTGGTTGCCAACGAATATCGCATAAATGGGGTTGTTCGTTGTACGTGCTTCCCAATCCATGATCTCGAGTACCTGACAGAATACTCAGCAACACTCTCGTGCGTCGACTGTTGGGCGTCTTAGGTGGGTCGCTTACTCACCTAGTACGAAATGTGACATTCGAGAATCCGTGCTGATGAATGAGATGAGACGAACTGTGATAGATGTGTCCGCGTCGCTGTCGGTCTTCGCCACAATAGGAGTGGTGGAAATGCCGTTCGTAGTAACATCCGCGTCACAGTCCCCAGAACTGACATTGGCTGCGGCATGCCCCAACCTAAAAGCCCGTATTCTTCTTTCGTGGTAGAGAATGCAACGGCAGAATAATGTGCATGAAATTGTATGCCAATTGTTAATTATTCGTGTAGTTGTTACGCTGAGCTGAACGAACACGGGCGACAGCTTATAGATTGTTCTCTTGTTTGTTGTTCATAGTAGAAATCGCTGAATCTTACGCAGACCAGTGACGGCATGCGCGCCTCTCCCGCGTTCTTATAGTTGGTTTGGGAAACTCCACAGTATGACCGGATAACACTCATGGAACATACCGATGTATAGCCGGTGAGGACGTTGTGAACGCACATCCTATGAGTTCCGGTATGGAATGTTACATTGTCCTAGGGGACATGCCTCGATTGCATCAAAAGCAAGACGGATTCGGTCAATAACTTAGCCATGGATACTCAGTCATGAGGCACTAGAACTCAGGATTCCAGCACGTTGCACGAAAGTTGCGAAGGACATGCGCGGATTCTGCTCTTCAGATGCCCTGACCCAGAAGTCAATAACAGTTCGTTAATGAAGGCTGTAGGAAGGTTACTCACCGATGTTTCATCTCGCTGCGCCATGTGACTTCCCTCAGCTCTGGCGTACGGATTGCAGCACCCACGATGGCAAGAAAAAGGGAAATGAAAGCCTCAATCACGATCTGTGCAAATTTTAACGGTTCCGCATAGCTCAGCACAATGGTCAAGATACTGGACGTACATCTTGGGGCAGAGATCCCTCTGGCTTGCCCAACGCCTTGCGATATGATAAGTCTGACCACACATGTGATCGGCATGACATTACAAAGGGGCAGACTGGTCCAGACTAACGTTCGTAAGTGGAAAAGGCAGCTGAAGGTGCGCGTCAGTGAAGCTTAGCAAATAACAGACCATCGGGCCGTGTGAGCTCACCGTGTAGGATGGTGACGGTCGCTACCACGAGCATGGCTGTACCCAACATTGTCGTAGAAAGTTATACCCGGCTGTAGGGGTCTCAAAAGGAGGTGTCTGAGCCGATAGACACGTCAGGTCAGCGAACTGAGTGGAAGGAGCGAGATGAATGTCGGCCGTGTTAGCAGAGCGTGTTTACGCTCTCGGTTCCGCGGCCGTGTAAGTACGCCCACGTGACCTTGGCGCGTTGGGCCAGTGCTCCCCAGCTGGCGGCGGCGGCTCGTCATAAATCTCCTCCGCAGGCTGGGGAGTGTACACCCTCGTATTGCACCAACATCAGTCCCCCGACTTGGCTCTGACACCATGGCTTCGTCGCAGCAAGAGTAAGTTTGCTCTGACGCCCTCGGACACAGTCTGACCACGCTCCACTCAGCACTCCTCTAAACGAGAAGCGGGGCGCTGTGCCGGGTGAGAGTGTACACGGCACGCCTGCGCTTTCCCGCAACGAAAGCATGGACTTCAAGACTACAGAGGGCACCATCCATCTCTCCAGACCGTACCGCTCGTCGACTTCCAACAAGCTGCGCACTATGGTCACCTTCTCCCCGCGCAAGTCGCACTTTGACATCAGCAATGAGAGGTCGGGCAGCAATGAGTTCAGAGTGAGTACCAGAGAATCTATACTTTCCGGTAGTTAACCGCTCGCAGGGCTTCTTTATGCTCTTCTGGTTCGCCATGTTCTTGTTGACTGTCCGCACGTATATTCGCAGCATCGAAGAGCATGGCTATCCTCTCGAAGGCGCGTTCTTCTCCATGTTTTCGCGACATCCTGTCACCCTCGCACTGTCCGACGCCGTGCTCGTACTCAGCACCGGGATCTGCGTTCCGTTCGTCAAGGCGATCCGCAATGGCTGGATCCGGTACTACTGGACCGGCGTCATCTTACAGCACCTCTGGCAGACGTCTGTGCTCTTCATCGCAATCGAGTGGACGTTCAACCGCCATTGGCCGTGGGTACAGTCCGGCTTCTTGACGCTACATTCCTTGGTGATGGTCATGAAAATGCATTCGTATGTGACGACAAACGGCCAGCTGCACTGGGTGAACGAGCAGGCGAAGACGTCGTATAAGCAGCTGGAGAAAGCAGTGAAGGATGAAGGTGGGTGGGAGGCTGCTCTCGCCGCGGCGCAGGAAAATAAGGCGCGCACTCAGGAGCACGAGCGCAGAACACAAGTAAACGATATCGTGAATGGCACGCCCATGGCGCCCGAGGGATCGACTACATCGTATGTCGACGTGAATGTTGGATCTGCACTCCGCCATCGCTTGCAAGTTGCCGGCAACACAGACATCGTCGACGACGCGGCACTTCCCAGTCCGGCACCATCCTCTGAGTTCCCTCCCGAGCGCCCGACACAGGTGAACACGACCGGCACACGCCTGATCCCGCCAGACCCGTCGCCCTCGGGTCCGTCGCCGTTGCCGCGCACACCCACTCAAATCCTGACGCATCATCCTGATCCGAAGATCGCCCAGCTCGCGCAAGAGCATGCCGAGCTGGAGGTCGAACTGTCGAGTTCGGGCCCGGATCGCGTACGTTGGCCGGAAAACATATCACTGCGTAACTTTGCGGTATACATGGCGATTCCGACGCTCGTGTACGAGCTAGAGTATCCGCGGACGGACAGGTACATGCATAGGCACGCGAAGATGTCACGGTCGGCTGATGTTTGAACTTTCTTGCAGGATCCGACCATTGTACGTATTCGAGAAGACGGTTGCGACGTTTGGCACGTTCGCACTACTCTACACTGTGACGGAGAGCTTTATCATCCCTCTTACACCTACGCCGGAGCAAAGAATATGGCGATCCCTGCTCGATCTCTCCCTTCCTTTCATGGTAGCATTTCTCCTCCTGTTCTACCTGATATTTGGTTCGTCAATCCTCTGCCGTCTTTCTTCCAAATCTGACATCATCATCAGAGTGTATATGCAACGGCTTCGCTGAGCTATCATTGTGAGTGTTCATTGGCTATCAGTAAGCGAGGATCGGAAGATTGACGTGACACTCAGCTTCGCTGACCGCCGTTTCTACGATGACTGGGTAGGCTATATAGCTCAAGTCTTATCCACTTTCTCTGAGTGACATCTTCCTGTACAGTGGAATTCGACGTCATGGGACGAGTTCTCGCGCAAGTGGAATCGACCAGTGCACACCTTCCTATTGCGACACGTCTACGCGGGCTCGATGAGCAACTTTGCACTGTCACGCAATGGCGCGATGATATTCACGTTTTTGCTGAGCGCCGCAGCGCACGAGCTTGTAATGACAATCGTCACGAAGAAGATCCGGTATGTAGCGTGTTTCATCTAGTTTCCACGCATCTGACCTCTTGATAGGATGTACCTCTTTGTTCTCCAAGTGAGTACCGCCAATACTCAATCCATTTGTACCTTTTCTGATGTGTTGCCTGTAGCTAAGCCAAATACCGATGATCGTCATCGGGCGCATCCCTGCCATCAAGCGTAATAAGTTACTTGGAAACATGGTCTTCTGGGCAGGGCTCTTCATTGGCATGCCCCTTCTCTGTGTAGCGTACGTTGCATACTGAGCCCACTGCTCCGGCAATAGCAACCGCGAATACGCTATGATTCGCACCTTTCGTTACTTGTGTGAAAGGGTTTTCTCGCATAGGATACAACTTCACTACTGTATACAGGATTATCAATTGCATCGACTAGATATCAATGCCTCTGCAATGGATGACGAGTAGGGTATACGATCCACTTACTGTACGATAGTCTCTCGATCATAATGTACACAGTCCACATATAATGTTATTCTTTCCCATGTACCACGACTCGGAAGGAGTGTGTGAGCAGTCTAAGATTAGGATTAAGAACAACGCACATAGGGAATCAAGCACTACCCATGATCCGACGTCTGAGAATGTGAAAAATGTGATGGACATGCTACGTTTTCGCCGCGCCTCCACCAGCAGCGGCCTTCTTGTCCGTATATGCTTTCAGACTGTCACAAAGAAAAAGACATTTAGCATAAATTGTGTAGATCGACACAATTTATAGCGCACCGTTTGTAGTCCCGGTCAATCTTGTCCTTGTCCACTTTACCCTCTCCGCTTGGTGCCTTCTCTTTCTTCTTTTCTTTCTTCGCGCGCCACTTGTCTTTCTTACCCGCGGCAGAGTCCATCTCGAGAAGGTCCCGGATTGACGGCAGCGCAGACGATGCGAGTGGCTGCAGGCGCATCGGACGCTCGTCTTCCTCTTCTTCGCCGTCCTCTAGTGCTTCTGGTGGAGGCCCGAAACTGTGTGGGGGGCTAGCCTTCGCGTATGCTGGCTCGGGCGGTGCCTCGGACTTTGAGGAGCTGGCGCGCGCTGCGCGGTCGCCGTCATCCGTGGCGAACCACTGCCCGGTTGGTGGCGACTGCTCTGCATCTTCGTCCCGCAATTGGTCTGTGTCTTCGTCGTGTGGCCGTTTTTTGATTTCCCCATCGCTCTCGTCGTCATCGTCGCCCAGGTCAATGCCGGTGTACTCGCCCGCGTCGGCGAAGATATCGACATCGTCGTCGATCGGCTCTGGATCTGGAAGCAGCGGACGAGGCGGAGCGGCCACGGGCTGCGACAAACCCGCTTCTGCTGGAGATGACTCAGGTATAGGAAGCTCCTCATCGGCCTTCGCCTCTGCTATAGCGGCCTCCCTCTTAACTGTCTTCTTCTGTGTGTCCTCTCCCTCCTTGCCCCCCGCCTTCTTTGCCTTCTTCTTCCTCGCCTTCTCGCCCGCGCCCGCGCCAACGGGCTTGAACCCAATCGGCCGAAACTTTCCCGCCTTCTTAGCCTCCTCGAGTGGCACGTCCGCGCCCGGCAGTTGTGGTGCAGGCTCTGCGCTGCCCTCGTTCTTGGCCCGCTTGGCCTTAAGCTCCTGCACGATCTCCTCACGCGTGCGTTTCTTGGGGACGCTAGACGAAGTCTCAAGGAAGGCCTGCTCGAGCGTAGCATCGTCCTCGGCGGCGGTGGACGCAGCCACACGCGAGCGAGCCTGCTCCAGGAGCGCGTAGTCCAGACCCTTGACGAGCACTGTGTGCTCGCTGTCCCCGCCTAGGTAACGCCGTTGTTCTTCCACCTGTTGTGCTGTGGTCAGGGGGCATACAGTCTTGAAGGTGACGCACATACCGCTTTGCGGTCAGCATTGTCCGCATTCTTGCGCTCGAAGTCGTCCGCAAGCGCTTCAACCTGTGCGTCCTTTTAAGATCAAATGTGACAACAACATGTGAGATACGTACTTGTGCGTAGTCGCTGTCGAGGCCGAGGCGTCGTTCGGAGGCACGATCCCGATATGCCTCTGTTCCCTCAGCTTTCTTCTTGACTGTACGCGGTTTGAAAGCAGGTTTTGACGCATCAACGGTCTTCCTAAGGTAAGAGCTCTGGTACCAAACATTATGAATGAGGCACATGTACTCGCCGCTTAGTCTTAGACGTCGCTACTGCAAGTAGGGATCCGCGGGAGGCCGGTGTCGTAGACGCATAAGCTTTGGGAGTTTGTAAGAGTTTTCTGAAAGATTCCTTGGCAAGCTTTGAGCCAAGTCTGCTAGAGGATGTTCAGATATACCCACCTGATCCATGCTTAAACAACCCAATAGATATCCGGCTCAAGAGCGGAGTACACTCCGGCGCACTAAGGTTGATCGAACGCCACGCGAGTGCAACGTGCCAGATCGAGATTGCAAACTTAGTGTCACAGCCCAATCACAGCTGTGCGAGATACTCATGACCACTTTCTGCTTCATTATGTATTGCATACGAGCGTGTTGAAAGACAAATACTACTCTGAGCTACACAATTGTGATGTAAAACTGGCAGATGAAGGCATGCGATAAGCGCGAGTGTCCTCTTGTGAGTCAGATGCATTTGACACACGAGCTTCATTCGACTTAATGTCCAGTGCCATGACCCTCAAACGCAGGCTTACCTGATAATCCTGGCCATACTCACGATAACGCCTCATACTCCATACTGCTTCTAGATTTTGGCTCTGATAGGAAGAGTCTTACTAAGACGTATTGCACAACTGGCACAACTGTGCCGCTGCCTTTGCATGTCGCTTGCGCGAATGCTGCCTTGATGCTCCGGGCGTGCTTTGTTGCCAACGCTCATAGCGGAGTTGAGATCACTTAGACAGACAATAATCGTCACAATATGGGCGGCCGACGATGAGTGTTTTTGGTCCTTGAATTTGAATTCGCAAATGTTAATGTCGAGCTTCAGAGCATGCATCGGCAACTAGCAGCACTCTGCGACAAGAAGCCACACACAATTGCGCAGGGTGTTGTGAGAGCTCGTGAGGGCCTCTCAAGTCTTTCTGGTCAGTCTGAGCTCGTCGTTACAAGACGAAACGAGACTGGCCGTCACTCCACGAGGCATCAGTGCCTGTGATTGCATCGAATGATCTGACCAGCGAAATGACCAGCAAGAATCAGGGCTGCTCAATTATTGTCGCTCGCTCGCTCGTTCACGGAGCTCTCACCTTCTCTGGTAGGTAGTTCCAACCCCAACCGAACCCTCAGCCACCGTGGGGTTGGAACTACCTACTAAAACAGGTGGGAGGTCTGTGAACGAACGAGCGGGCGACAATAACTGAGCAGCCCTACGCCCTGTGATCCGGCAGCGCCTCATATTGATGTCGGTATATGTAAGAAACGAGTCCGATCGAGATTCTCATTGATGAATCGCCATGCTTTGCAGGGATACAAGACAGAGGACCCGATTAAGAACAAAATTTACTCAATCAATTGAGTGGCGTGATTACTGACAACAATCTTTGTAAACACTGCATCTAAGGTACGTAATGCAGATGCACCGATGTGTTTACTATCTTACAATATTTGTTTTCCGTTTATGAATGGGCGCCCGCTAGGAGGCCAACCCGCCGCAGCCCAAGCGTGCGGAGAGTACGAGTCATGCTGACTTGATAGGAAAATACGATGACATCGGCGATGTTGAGTTATATGTCGCGACTCCCACCGTGGAGTATGCCAAGGTCAAAGTCGTGCTTTATTCAACTTACGTAGACTACTAGGTGATCTACGCTCGAGTCGTAGCTATGATCTCTAGAATGATCCTGACCTCGATTGTATCAGCTTCTGGCGGACGATCACGCTTGCAACGGCTTCTGGGTCACGGTTTTCCTCCCTGACATCCTCAACGGGGATCTTGTGCCTCCCCCCCCCTCCCCCCCCGGCACCTCGCTTGCCAGTGGAAATACTGATTCCCGCACCTGGCTGACGAAGCATGGCTAGGAGACGGTGAAACCTGTTTTCGAGAAGGCCATCAATCCTCTCACGAAACGGCATATGGACATTCGCTGCAACGAAATACTGCTTCGTGGCGCGCCCTACGACAGACCTTGCCTTCATTGGGGTGACATCGGTCTGTATTGTCTCCGCCCGTCTCTCTGGCGAACTCTTGCCCACCTCGAGGCCGATGGCATTTGGAATTACCCACATACTCACTGATTCAACCATTCTCTCCCTTGTTATGAGCAGACATGCTTCAAGGAGTCGAAGACGCCCCCCTTGATCAATTGCGCTGACAGCCGAGATCCTTAGCGGTGGAAATTTCGCACCCGGCTACGAACACATGTTTGAGGAGGGCTGCAAGTAGACAGATCAGAATGCCTTTTTATGTCTTATTGTAGGCCTGAAATGTCATGTGGCTTGTGGTAAATCCCTTTGTGAAGCCGATGCCCGGACTGCTAGCCACTCTGGAGTCCATCACTTTTGCAGATGATGCAAGCACTTCGAGTCATTTCGGTGAAGTTGGCCTCGTCTGATGTATAAACATTGCATCTCGACTCGATCTGGGGTTGTGGGTATGTGCATATGTATCAAATCGTGATTCTAATTCGAGGATCTACTCCAGCGATCGCGAACGACGCGCTTCGATCTACCTTTACTATGGTTTATTGGATTGCCCCTCTATAGATGGACAGGTAACACTTCGTCACATCAATGTAATTGTGCCGATTTAGAGGTCCGCTCGGCTCGCAGGGCCGGGGACACTCTTGCTCAGTGGTGCGTAGCTCACACGGCGAGTCCAATTTTTTTCTACTCCGCTCGAGTCCGTCGTAGCCATCGCGTTCTCGGGCGTGACATCGCCGTTCAATCTATCGAAAGAAGGGACTCCTCAACGATTCATCCGTTCGCTCTCGTTCAAGTTGGAAGTGAGAGTAGGCATACGAAAACGTAGGTCTTTATATAATCCCGAGAGCAGCGGAGTGCCCGGTTGTTGCGCCATCACATACCTGGCCATCTATGGGGGCATCCACTGAGAAACCATAGCATTTGCGTGATGCATGACAGTACGCTCTCCGCTAGCTGATGGCGCTACAACTGATATCCCTTCCCGATAAGTGGAAAGACCCAGGAGACTCTGTCAGCCTCTACAGATTTATCTCACAGGAAGGGGATTCGGCGGCAGATGACAGTTCTCACAGTATATATAGCACTTGATATAAAAGACCAAGCTGCTCACACATACAGCAGACTTTCTCGTCTGCATATCTACATTCTTCTACTCACAGCCTGCCTACCATGAGTCTCTGCGAGCACTGTGTTTCCGGCGAGTCTTCACCCTAGTCATCATGCTACTTTCGGTGTGTTACGAATGCTCACCCTCTGGATGCACAGGCGTACGCCATGAGGGCACCCCCGAAGGTGTGAACAACATATATCAGACTTACTCATGCAGACAAACACTCTATCTATAGGCAAGTTCGAGCAGATTGGGGGCGTAGAGTGCTATGTTGCTACGCCCACCGCCGATTATCCCTCAAACAAAGTCCTTCTTTACCTGATGGACATCTTTGGTATCCACCTTCCCAACCATCAGGTCAGTATTACGGACATAAACTCTGAAAGGTCACTGAGACTTGCATGCTCTCCCAGCTCCTTGCAGACGATTACGCTCGCAACGGGTTTAAGGTCGTGATCCCGGATATCCTCAACGGCGACCCTGCGCCGGTAGACGCTCTCGATGCTGGGTCAAAGTGGGACTTTATGGCGTGGCTCGGCAGGCACGGAATGGACACTGTCCATCCCGTACTCGACAAGGTTCTCCCCGCCCTGAAGGCGAGTGGTGTTGAGAAGATTGGTGTTCTTGGCTTCTGCTATGGTGCGCGCCCGGCCTTCGACATCGCGTTCGAGAACAAGGTCTCTGTAGTGGTCGTCTCGCACCCGAGTCTCCTGCAGGTTCCGGAAGACCTTGAGGTGAATGTTTCCCTGAGCGGCTGAAACACGAGTGTATGTTGATTGTCTTTTGCGCCGAGTCCAGAAATACAAGGCCGCATCGAAGGCGCCACTGCTGATCAACACCTGCGAGATCGACCAGATGTTCCCTCAGGAGGCTCAAGCCAAAGCTGACGAGATCTTGGGCGGTGGAGGGTTCGCCCCCGGATACCAGAGGACGTACTGGGAGGGCTGTGTCCACGGGTTCTCCGTCCGCGGCGACTTGGTACGACATTGCAGCCACGTACTAGATAAGCGATGACTGACACGTGTTTGTGATGCAGAGCAATCCGAAGATCAAGGCCGGAAAGGAGGGTGTGTTCAAGGCGAGCGTCGAATTCCTGATTAAGCATCTGTAGACATAGATAGCAGGATATCGAGAGTGTAGTCGAGTGGCGGAATTGAATACCATCGGATACGAGGTTTTGCGAAACCCATCGATTTCCCAGAACTGCATGACCTCTACTGCATACTTTGAAGATTGTTATTTTTGACCATTGTAAATGATAGTAGACATCGAATCTATCCCAAACGTTAGAGCGATTGAAGATATGAAGAGGAAGTGAAATGACAGCCCGAAGACTCTTCTTAAGGCCTTCTGCAAACATGCGGCAAGAGATACATTTTATTTCCCGGCAATCGGACATCTGATCTAGTATATTTCAGCTTTGGTTGCTCTAGCCCGATTCATTCAGCAGGGCGTGGCTAGTGAGCGACGGTTGTTGTTCTGGCCGAGTAGGCGTGACACTCGCTGTCAGCGTGATATGTTCGCACCCTGCGCTTGATCATGACACGGTGCGGCCTGGCGCGGCAGCGCACTTTGCAGTCCTGCAACGTTAACGTCTGTTCGAATGGAGTTTGAACTTGCCGCTGTGACCCAGACGTGACAGTCTTTGCAAAACTACTGCAATGCGAGGCCTCGAATGCGGCATCTCTCCACCACAGGATGTCCTTCGCGTATGGTCTGATCCTGAGTACCCCTCCATGTACTGTGGCAATGCCTGAATGGGACAGGAACAATTTTTGTGGTGGTACAAGCAGAGCAAAAGAAAGAATGCGTGGGTTGGTAGTAGTTGGACTGTTATCTAGATCTGTACTATAAGGCATCGGTGCGATGATATCATATGATATCATATTTTCCGGTTATATGATAAGCAACAAGGGTCCATATCCCCGCATATTGTGGGCGCTTTGGCCGGCGCGTCCATGAATCGAGTGTTGATCTTGGGACTCACACTGCTTTACTGCGCTGACCGGCAGTGCTATCCCGACAATTGCATACAACAGGCCACTGGCGAATGGCTCGGGCCCACACGCAAGTGCCGGTCGAGACAAGACTCACAACAGCCACCATCGGGCATTGGAAACGCCGCCACGGGCCAGTGGGATACTCAGTTTCATTTATATTGTACGGCCTCTGGGACGCTCGTTTCCCTCCCACCGCCGTGGCATCTCACCTACTATCCTATCCAGGCCTTCATGAATGACTGCGATGTCTGAAGAAACGCCCTCCTGGAGATCACTCGCTAGCGCAGCCTCGCGCTCGATCAAAGGCTATGTATCGCAACGCGACTTCAGAAAACCGCTCCCAACCAGTCGAGATGCCAACGTGGCGGGAAGTTCCAGGGGACAGACGTGGGGTCAGTGGGCTGGACAGAAACTCCGGCAAGTCCAGGGCGAATCTCTTGGCGCGGACCAATTGCTACTGTTCCCTGGCTGGGCCACAAGGAGATTCCATACTCCTCCCCAGGACCCTGCATCGGATGGTACGTTAAGTTTGACTGCCTTATTTTTGTAACTTCTGCGAGTCTGGGCTACTTGCCCTGGTGTGCTCCTATCGCATACAATATACTCCGTCTACTACGATAGCAGCGGGTATCTTCCTCAGACGCAAAGTAGTCCCCGTTGAAAGCTCATACTGACAAATCTCTCATACAGACGCTCCCTTTGACATTGAGGTGTTTGTTACGGGATACGCATCACGATCCAGTGGGCCCGGATTCGGGACTCGTGGAGGCAAGGCATTCATGAGACTGGCAAGAAGTACACTATGTTGTTTCTTCCACCACCTTCCAGCCACTCACAAATGTCTCAGGTTATGCAGCCTTACCAAAGCTTACGGCCACCCAGGGCTACAACGGAACCTGTACAACAGATGCACAGCTCAACAGGTTGACACAAGAGCTTTTGGAATCCGGACATCTGCCCCCTCCACCTGAGGAGATGGACGATGACGCCGAACTCCGAGCGCTGGAGAGCCAGCTTCGAGAGCTCGACGTTGATGCCGAGGACGCATCCCCTGGTCTGAATGCCGAGACAGTGTCCATAGCATCGTCATGCACATCTAACTCGTCAGCCCAGTCAACTGCCTCTGGTTATGCCGCCTATTCAAATCCGCACGCAAATGGGTCAAGCTCTAATGTCTCTGCCGAGATCCAGAAGTGGCATACGAATCTGGAGACAAGACTGCATCCTTTCTGGTCATCTGCACTCTCCGGACGACCAATTCGTATCTCGCTGTTCGCTACCGATCCATCGCTGTACAAGCAGGACCACAGCTTGGGGAATGCGGACGACAGCTCGCACCAACCTCTTCTCCGCTGTGTTGTAAGCACTACCGCCGACGGGTCGTTCCAAACAAGGTTTCACGTCCCATGGGCCACACTGTGCCAGCATCCTCATGGAGTCCAAATTGCGTTCGGTGATCGGTGCATCGAAGATGAGCTCTATATCGCCGTTGAACTGCCCCCAGCGTCTCAGTCGACAGGTTCCGCGGCGTACCATTTTTCAATGAGGAACACCATAAGCGCTTCGATTACAGTGCCACTCACGTATGCGCCCGTGCGCGTTATATCCGACATCGACGATACTGTCAAGCTAGCCAGCGTGCTCAGCGGAGCACGTACTGTATTCCAGAATGTTTTTGTGAAGGATCTGCACGAGAGCATTATTCCTGGTATGGCGGACTGGTACACCAACATGTGGAAGCACGGCGTGCGTTTCCATTATGTGGTCAGTGAGATTCATTCTGCACCAGCGACTCACTGCAACTGATCTGTGTTCTGGTGAATTTAGTCCAATGGGCCTTTCGAGATCCTACCTATTCTGAATGAATTCTTTCCCCTGAGTCGTCTCCCACCAGGATCCGTCAAGCTGAGGTCGTATGGCGGGCGATCCCTTTTCAGCGGCCTTCTCTCCGCACCAGCAGTCCGGAAACGAGGAGGCGTTGTCGAGCTCCTCGACAATTTCCCTGATTCACAGTTCATTCTAGTGGGCGACTCGGGCGAACAGGACCTCGAGCTCTATGCGAGCATCGCAAAGGAGCGACCTGCCCAAATCCTGGCGATCTTCATCCGCGATGTCAGCGCGAACTCCGGCCTGCCGCCTCTCGGCGACCCTACGGGATCCAATGTGTTTGAGATGGACCGCGCTACCCCTCCACCCCTATCCAGGAAGTCCAGTTCCAGAGGCAGTACTATGCGTACGCCAATTGCAAGATCAACTTCGGACAGAGGTGGTACACCCAAATACGCAGTGAGAAGGCCGAGAAGAATGCAGTCAGATACAATGCTTTCCACGGCACCACTGGAGAATTCAGGATCGTACTTCACTTCATCTCTTACAGATTCCCCAGTGACAGAAGAGCCTGTACCCATCGAACAAATGTCGACGCAGTCGTCGCCTGGGATGATCACAGAGCAAGTCAGCTACGACACATACGGGGATGCTCGGCAAGTTATGTCAGAGGCAGAGAGGAGACTAAGCGAGTTACAAATGCGTATCTGGCGAGCGAGGCTAGATGTACCTGAACACATTCCCTTGCGCATTTTTAGGCAGCCAGAAGAGTGCGAGGAGGCTAATATCATTTTGGACGGATTAATCCCAGGACACTGATAATAATTTACTATAACAATCTTGTTGTACTTAGGATATCCGCATCGAGAGTATTCCATATGACACGCACCGTGGAAGAGTGGAAAGTATGCTAAATGATCAAGATGAATGTATAGGTGTATCAGAGATGGTTGGCGTTTCTGGCCCCAGAGGTCGGCCTCCGGTGAGCTCAATAACAGCGTCGATACCGCCCAACATCTCTGCCAGTTCCTAAGGGCAGTGTCAGCGCATATATAGCCATTGCGGAAAATGTCGCCTACCTTGTTGTCGGGTTCGAAGGATAAACCTACTAGGACAGCTTCCTTTGCTTCCTCATATCTGTCCAGCTTCAACAACGCCCTTGCTTTCCGGAAGTGACCTTTGCTCCATGGCCGCCTCAGCTGAACGACGACCTCAGCGTCAACAAGGGCGCTGATGGTGTCCCCGGACTCGAGGTACGCAGCCGATCGGTTAGAGAGAACAAGGCTTAGATCCTCGCGCATGAGTTGGTTCGCCTCCCAAGGAACACGCTGAATGGCAACGCTGGCCGCCATAGTGTAGCGTTGGATAGCCTTGTCATGAAGGCCGCCTTTGAAGAGGGTCTGCAAATGGTGTCATCAAGGGGCCACTCATATGCACTATCGCATGACACGTACATTGCCCTCGTCCTTGGTATTTGTGATGACTTGTGAGAACTGCCTGTTGACGACATGAGGTGGCGGTGGACAGCGCAAGTTCGCGTTGGTGTGCAGTAGACGCGACAGGCGGTTCAAGCCAACATAGTCGACATCGCATTCCGAGCATTTCTCAAGAGAGTGCTTTCCGCACAGCACAGCGCTGTTGTCAGGAGGACCAAGGGCAATGTCGACAGGTTGGAAGCTCGCTTCAATCAACGCCTGCATGACGGGGTCGGGAGGGCGCATAACGAGCTGCTGCTGAGGCTGAGGAGGCGGAGGACCATGGCTGTGGCTTGGCTGGCCTGGCGCGTGCGAGTGTGCATGAGACATGCTAGGGGACGTCTGGTACGGTGTCGACGCGTCTGGTCGTGGTGAGCACTGGTGAGCAGTATTGAGCTGTAGTGCACCGGCGCTAACGCGCACCGGTATACATTGCCACGTCTCGTGGGGAGTCTGGGGAAAGCTGCCTCATATGGATGCTTAGTCATGGCATCGTTTGTAAGGCGAGGAAGAGCGGCAATTTTCCTCCATCGCCTTTCTGGTGAACCGTCACCATCTCGTTATCGAGCTCAACGCAACTAGACAGCAACCTTGCTTTCTGAAAACACAGTAAACTTTCCTTTGTCTCACATTAATATGACCAATGGAATTGTAAACGGTACCGGGCTAGAGAACCAGTTCGGTGAGTTGTCATTTTTCAGTGTCTGGTTTGCGCGTCTGACCGTCTTCCATGTCCCATTCAGCCTCTCTCGGTATCAACGGACAGAAATCCGCTTATGTTCCTCCGCATATGAGGAACTCGCAGCGGGCTGCATCCTCTCCCGTAGTTCCTACTAACGGGTATGTCCTTTAATCACCATGCACCTTTTGCGCGGTTACCTGACTCGTACTGATAGGAACGGCTGGGCTGAATCCCGCTCTTCCACTCCTTCGTCCCGCGGTGGTTATGGTGGTGGTAGGGGTGGCCCTGTTGACAGAACTGTCAGCGGCACTTCTGGTGGGCGTGGAGGTGGAGGAAACTGGAATGACCGTTCCACCAGCGGTTGGCAGGGATCTCCCAGAGACAGCGGTCCTCGTGAAAACTCAGGATTTGGTGCCTGGAAGGATGGCGTCCACATTGCAGGTTCTCGCAACACACGCATGGAGAAGGAGCTATTTGGAGAAATCGGCGATCCGTCTAAGCAGCACACGGGGATCAACTTCGAGAAGTACGACGACATCCCCGTCGAGGCTACAGGCGCAGGTGTCCCGGATCCCGTGAATGTTTTCACAAACCCGCCATTAGACCCTGTTCTGCTTGAGAACATCGGTTACGCTCATTACACTACACCTACACCGGTGCAAAAGTACTCGATACCTATTGTAGCTCTTGGCAGAGACCTTATGGCTTGTGCCCAGGTACGTCGTTTTGAGACATTTGATCCGCGCGCGTATCCCTCATGTTTCATGCCATAGACCGGTTCTGGAAAGACAGGCGGTTTCTTATTCCCTATTCTCTCGGCATCCTTCGCCAACGGTCCTCGTGCGCCTCCGGCGGAAGCCACGAACGCTGGGTACGGTCGCTCTCGCAAAGCATATCCCACGGCCCTCATTCTTGCGCCCACGCGTGAGTTGGTCAGCCAAATCCACGAAGAAGCTCGCAAGTTTTGCTATCGTTCTTGGGTTCGCCCTGCGGTGGTTTATGGTGGTGCCGACATCAATCAGCAGCTCCGCCTGATTGAGCGAGGCTGTGATCTGCTTAGTGCCACCCCTGGTCGTCTGGTTGATCTTATCGAACGTGGCCGCATCAGCCTTGCCAACATCCGTTACCTCGTCCTCGACGAGGCTGATCGTATGTTGGACATGGGTTTCGAGCCCCAGATCCGTCGCATCGTACAGGGCGAGGACATGCCCGGTGTCCAGGATCGCCAGACTCTCATGTTCAGCGCCACTTTCCCCCGCGACATTCAGATGCTTGCCAGGGATTTCATGAAGGACTACGTCTTCCTCTCCGTCGGGCGTGTCGGCTCGACTTCAGAGAACATCACGCAGAAGGTCGAGTATGTCGAAGATGCCGACAAGCGTTCTGTTCTGTTGGATGTCTTGTCCATGCACCAGGGTGGCCAGGGTGGGCTCACCCTTGTCTTCGTCGAGACGAAGAGGATGGCTGACATGTTGTCGGACTTCCTTCTCACAAACAACCTCCCCGCCACTTCCATTCATGGTGATCGCACCCAGCGCGAGCGCGAAATGGCTCTGCAGACATTCCGCACTGGCCGCACTCCTATTATGGTCGCTACTGCTGTTGCGGCCCGTGGTCTCGATATCCCGAACGTTACCCACGTCGTAAACTACGATCTCCCCTCCGACATTGACGACTACGTCCATCGTATCGGTCGTACTGGCCGTGCCGGTAATGTCGGTATCGCTACTGCATTCTTCAACCGCGGCAACCGCAACATCGTTCGTGATCTCCTGGAGCTGCTCCGTGAGGCCAATCAGGAAATCCCGGCCTGGTTGGAGACTGTTGCGCACGAGAACTCCTTCGGCGGTGGTGGAGGACGCGGTCGTGGTGGTGGCGGTCGTGGCCGTGGTGGCGGTCGCCCGCCGGCCTCTCGTGACTTCAGGTCCGGAGGCGGAGGTGGAGGCGGATATGGCGGACGCGGTGGCGGAGCTGGCTACGGCGGTCCTCAGTATGGTGGAGGCGGAGGTAGCTTTGGCGGCTACGGCGGTGGTGCCGGAGGCGGTGGCGGCGGCGGCAGCTGGTGGTAAATCCCGATGTGTTCCCGATTCTCCGACGTTCCAGAATATGCATTCCCGACATCGCCTTTTCCTACCCTCCATGCCCTTCATGACCCATAATCGCCCTCTATCGAATTCGGCAAAATGGCAAGACTCGTCTCCATGGTCCCATCGGTCTCGTTCGGTTTTTCCTTGGACTCTGGACTATGCGCTGCTCTCACATCATTGCGGTTTTCGTCTCGTTGCATTGCTGCTCATCGTTTATCGTACGGCCCTCCTAATCGTCTTCTGTTTCAATAGTCGGGCGCTTTCCGCCCCCTCCTGCATACAGCATCATATCCATAGACGAGGGGCCATCCTCCAAGCATGAGCAGATCCATGTCGGTCTTCGTATCGCGATACCCTACTTATTGCGGCGCGCAGGTCGTACATTCTATAGCTTAGCATCACGAGACAATCTGTTAGAGCATCGCATATCTTGTAACGTAGTCATAGTCTAGCATCGTCTTATCTACTCTTCTCCACTAATGGGTGGCGTAACAAAAGTGTGACAAGCGGAATTGAGTCGAACTGTTTGCTGAGTGAGCCCTGATTTGGCCGGAGTGTGGCCGGGACAGTTCCTGAGTGTCCCTCATCTGCACCAACGCTCGCGTGGCACTCTCTCACCAACCGCCACATTCAAGACGGCCACCACGTCAGCATTTCCAGTTTCTCACAAGACACAGAGTTGCTCATCGTAATAACAACACTAGATTCAGACCTCTCCGCACGCCATGTACAGAGCGCTTTCACCGATATTCGATGTTCCTGAACTCCCTACCCTGCGTAGGGTCAAACCGTTGCCTAAACGACGCCGGACATCCGAGACGGCCCATGTTGACGAATCTAGCGTCACCGCGCGGCCCATGCTCGATGCCCCATCGGAGGAGTTGATGGCGCAAGCCGACGCCCTGACCGCCCAGATGGCATTACAGTCGTACTACATGCCCGTCCTCGGTGGCGTCCAGGAGCTCTTCAAAAGCCCGCTCGGCTCACCGACATCGACGCCGATCGACCTCGGTGGCGCCTCGTTCGGGCTCGGCGAGCTGCGTGGCGCACACGATGACGACGGCGACGACGGTGCGGACGCTGACTACATCGATCACCTGCAGCAGCCGGGCAATACAAAGAAGCGAAAGGTTCCCGCGAACATGTCCGGGTCCGTCCACGGGCACCGCGATGACCCCGGGCTCGGTGCACTCGCAGGTGACGACGACGAGCCAGGCGACCGGGCAATCCCAACGGGAGCGGCGCTGGATCGTGACTACGATACGATCAGCATCCATCCGCCCACGCCGAGCACGGCGCAGGCGCAGCGCAAGGGTCGGCTGCCGCGTGCAACGCTTGCGGGACTGCAGCACAAGGAAATGTTGAAGAGCCGAAAGCGGCAGCTGGCAGCCGTTCTCGGGGCGTTGTCGCACGGAGACACACTCGCACTAGATCAGGCGCTGTCGGCGAGCTACCCATTCACGCGCATCGGGACCAGCGAGCCGCCGAAGGTACGGCTGTCGCGGCGGCGTGAGGCGCGCCTGGCGCGTGCATATAGGGCGTTCCTAGCATCGCTCCCCGAGGATGGTGCAAGCGCTGTAGTGCCCGAATCGGACTTCGGTTTTGTGTGTCACAGCGCGAGTGAGTTGGTGTGCCTTCTGCGTGGGTTAGTTGCTGATGTCATGGACAGCTTCCGACCGGCTTGTGGCCACGAAGGAAGAGGTGGCAAGCCTCCATGCACGCTTTGAGGCCGAGCTTGCTCGACAGGCGCAGAAGGCGGCAGAGGCTGCGAAACAGGCCGCCGCGGCATTGAATCGGACGAAGCGCGCAGATTCCGCGAAAGCCGCCCGCGCCCACGCAGGACGTGGCACCGACCAGAAGGCGGGGAACATGGAGCAGTCTCTGTTGGGTACGAAGGAGCGCACGGGAAAGAAGAAGAAGCGGTCCGCTCTTGCTAATGCATCCAACCCGCACCATCTCCGCAACTACGTTCCTTCACGGCTACCACACTCGGGACAGGCTAATGCTACTCAGGCGGGACAGAATACCCAGAACCTCCTCAGTCCGCTGCCGCTACGTTTCCTCTCCGCGGACCTGCCCCCACGGCGCCGCAAGAAGAGCGAACGCCCTGCAGCGCCGGTATCGACGCTCGCGAACCCCACAGACGAGTGGATCTGCCCGTTCTGCGAGTACAGCCTGTTCTATGGGGATGAGGCGGGGTTCCAGCGCGCGCTGCGAAGCCGAAAGAAGATCCTGCGCCGTCGCCGGCGTGCGCGAGAACGTGCTGCCGCTGCCGCGAGCGGCACGTCTACCGCGAAAGCCTCGGAGAAGGACACGTCTGCACCCGAAGATGCGCACGCGGACTTCGATGCCACTGCCGCGGAGGATGAGATCCCTGCGGCTGGCAAGCAGGCGGCGCGATGGAAGGACGAGCGCGATCGTGGGGGGCACGGCGCTTCACAGTCTGCACTTGGATGATCCTAGGATGATTATTCGCATTCGCAACCGCGCAACTGCAATCTTTGTCTCGTGTGGACCTTGCATTTGTACTGCTCTTCTGACCACTTTCGTTGCATGGCTTGTTATCACACAATGCTAGCGTAGTGTATCGTAAATGCTCGGCAATGCCAACCGTAATCATAATTGGTGCCGTTGGGCCAGGAATTGGAAGCAAGCTGAGATACATCTGGCGGAGGCAAATTCCGAGACCCTGTCTCGCGCGGTCTTCTTCTCGGAACAGAACACCTTGTGAATCTGAGACGGGCGTTGCAATGTATGTCCTATTTATGGTAGTCCAATAGCCCTTTGGGGGGCTTACGTAATCTATTCACCTCTCGTCCTCGGGTCCTAGCCTACAAACTGTAAGGCAGTTTGGGGTTTCTGAGACCAACTTTGAAGCCAGAATCAGACGTTTTGAAGGTCTTTTAGATTCGCGCTCGCCGAGCGCCGCTGTGTATTGAACGCTAATAGTTGAACTGAGACTTGAGGTTGCGGTCACGTGTGCTGCATTCATAGGTTCTCCGGTACTCATTGTTCGACTGCAATCACCCCGCCGCCTGTAAGTCCGTATCTGCATGTTCCAGGGGATGTGGACGCCCGTGGAGGTTGTTTGTTTTTGCTGACGAGCATGACGACCCCAGGCGTGATCCAGAGACAGAGACGCCGTGGACCGATCCCCGCGGCACGCAAATTGACGTGAATAATCAACGGTCACCCGACGCGAATGCGGCCCAGTTCGCGCGCAGGACGTCTTTGAAGCAGTTGAACCAGCCTAAGGCGCAAGACAAATAGCGCAGTGAGTGTATTTCTCGGGTTGTGCTGTAGCGGGGGCCATCTGTGGGCAGTAGTAGATCTGCCGATCGGCGTCGTTGGAGGCTGATTTCGCGAGAGTCACGGTTGTTTCGCACTCAGCCCCGCCTCCTGCGTTGGCGGCACTGCGGGCCCTTCTCTCTCGCCTCCATGTCCTTCAGTCGTCTGTAGACGCATCCATTCCTTTGTTCTCTTCGCATCGCTCGCCCCTCGCCTCTCGCAGCTCGTGAACAGCCATAAATGCTGCGCTCTGCGCTCTCGAATCGCGTCTATGCCGTCTTATATTCCCTACCAACGCCCACCACTCGCCGGTGCGGTCTTTGCTGCTGTTGCTCAACCCGTTTCCCGCAGCTCCACCACAGTTAGCACTTACACATCACTCGACCACGCGCTGGGCCACGAAGGCGCTCGCGGAGGCACCGATCCAATCCTGCAACCCCCACAACAGCCTAACCAACCAGCGGGCCAGCAGATGGCTTCTGACGGCCGCTACATATATCACGGCCCACAGGACGTTCCCGCACCTTATGCCTACGCCCCCTATCCCCCGTCTGGATACGAGCATCCCCAGTTCGCCCAGAACATGCCAAGGCCGCCCGCTCGCTCATCACAGACACATTCTCCCCATCCACCTCCGCCCGCGACACAGCCGTACAGTGCCCCGCCTGCAACATACCCGCCCCCACATCCTCCTCATCCCTATGGCCCACCACCGTACGCGGTAGCCCCACCGCCCGGCGGTCCGTGGACAGCCGAGAACTGGCCACACTACCCGCCGACGTTTCCGCCGCCCCAGCCTCCCCCGCAGGAGGGTCCCAGTCCATACAGCACCAATGGCACGCGGTCTGAAATTCCTCCCCCCGAGCATCGGCAATATCAGCCTGGTTCTTCGAGACCCGAGTCGGATCGAGCCGACGAGCGGGCACCACGGCTAGCAGATGCGGCGCCCAAATCCAATTCATCCAATCCATCCAATCCACGTAAAGTGAAGGACCCTGAGCCTCCTACGCCTACACCTGCGCCTGCGCCCCCACCCCGCTCGCCCAGCCTCGGCGTCGACTTCTTTAAGGTGATTGTTGTGCCACAAGACTTGGTGCGATCTCTAACGCGTTCCTTGTTTCCACAGCTGCGAGACCAGTATGGTCTCGTCCGGGAGTCGGCCGCTGCTCTCGGGCATGACACTCAATCTGCTATCCCCGCAGAGGCGATGGAGCGCATGGCGCAGGCTGCCGCGTATGGCGCGCAAGCATTAGAGTCTGCTGCAAAGCGCATGGTCCAGGGAGACGCCCCGCGTCCACCTGACGAACGTAGTCCGGAGGAACCAGATTCTAACGAGCCCAAACCTCCACCGGTACGTACAGGTTCTTTTCCGCCATCGCTTTCCGCACGTCTCATCTTTATTTTTACTCTTCTCAGCCGCCGTCGGAACAACCAGGTTCGGAAGGACAAACATGTTTAGGGTGTAACGCGACCTCGACGCCAGAATGGCGGAGAGGGCCGATGGGTTCGTCTTCTTTTCCCCGTGCATTCTGTGAAAGACCGGGTATGCTGACCGCCATGCCTTCAGGGCCCCGGACGCTCTGCAATGCATGCGGCCTCGTCTATGCGAAACTGGTGCGTGACGCTCGCGCTTTGACTAATTTTTCCCAGCGCTTGGCTAACACCATGGACGCGGCTGTTCCGGTATCATGAATTGTTTGGTAGATTAAGAAGCGCAACCGCGATTGGCAGCGCACGCGCAATACGTATGTCGGTGGAGGTTCAGCATCGCACATACAGGCACCCGACGATGTTGCGCCCGCGTCGAACGGCGAGGTCAGCAGCGACGACGATGAATCGTATGGTTCGCAAGACCGGCATAGCGATGGAGGGTTTCACGGCGGGCGAGATTGATGTGACCGTTATTTCGGGTGACTGGGTGCTGGGGTCTGATCGTGTCTGGGTGCGGTGTAGCTATTACAGTATCTCCTTCTGTCTGCTGGCTGTCGGCACCTCTCCTTTCGTTCTATTCTCGCTGGTCTTTTGGCATCTTTGCACTACATTTGCTTGTACACATAAGGGGAATATTTGTGCGTGCGTTCGCCCGGCCCTTTCTCTATAGGACTGTGAGCTAACGCGTATCGGGCACAGGCCGTCCGTCCACCTTCGTCCACTCACCCATCCGTCCATCCACCTGTCAACCTGCGTGCATATTTGTCTTTTGCCGGCAAGACTTCGGCTACGAGATGTAGTGTGCACCTAACGAAGGCACTCTGCAGGTCGCCTACCACCGCACACGCATGCCTGGCATATGCCAGATGCCTCTATGCCCTGTTTATCGCCGCTTCATTCGGTGGCATGCTCCGTTACGTTCACAGAAGACTTCCGGTTGCCGTCTCTTTTGCAGCGCGGCATGAGCCTTCGCTGCCCCTGCGGCTCACTCCGAAACTCACTTAGAGTCCGAAAAAACGCACAGCGGTGCGCGGCCATTGGGGCAGGTGGGTGGGATGGAGCGGTCTGGACCGGGCGCAACGGACAAGCGTGGTGTGTCCTTCGCCGTTTTGCTAAGTTATCTGATGTATCATATTGTAGCTTTTGATGATAGTGTCGCCTCGCGTTAATGCACGCGTAGTCATTAGTTGTCCGGCGTGTGGGCTTCGGCGCGACGTGCGACAGGACCTCGTTGTGGGTCTGATACGCGATTGACGCGTTATGTACAGGCATGTAATTTTACAATGGCTGCTCCAGCAGTGGGACGAATGGACAGTCGTCGTTTTTGTCGGACCGTCCCCACGCAGGGCGGAGGGTTGCATGACATCGTCGGCTTGACCCTCACCATGGTGCACTAGGATTTGTTAAGAGAACGCCGCTGGCCGGAGCTGTACCCAATTGGACCAGTAGGTGGGAGAGATTTACAGATCAGTCACGATTAGGTAGGGTTCGCGGACCTAATCCACGCCTTCTCTACTCTCACAATATGACAGAACCAATCAGATACCCTTCCTGCCTTCTCAAGGGATCTGGATGGAGAAGCTTTCTGATCTGAGGCGGCGTGAAGCCAGGGGCTTACCAGGGGCATCCCACCATCGTCAAACCTTCGTCCCCATACTGGTCACCGACTGTGCGGGATCTCGTCAACATCGCAACGAAAGCCAGATATTCAGGATGTCAATAACAGCCGTCAGATTCTCGCTGACCCTGCTGACGGGTGGCTACCTAGTAAAGGAGAGATATTACAACAATGCTACATCTACACTACCTAAAAATACATAAGATACATACCACCGCGGTCATGAGCCCTGCACGCCGCCCGTCTTGTTTGCTCCCATCTGCATCTGCTGCGGGTGTCCAGCTATGGCAGGAGTCTGGTGCTGCCCATTCGCGACAGGCGTGCCGCGTCCCATGCCCATGGTGGGCCAGTATCCCACGGGAGGCATGCGCCCATGCTGCATTTGATAATACATCTGGTAATGTGGGGGCACCATATGCACGGCCTGCGCCTGGTCTTGCGATGCCATCTGCCCCTGCTGTTGCGCGCCAGTAGCACCAGCCTGCGGTCCAGTATTAGGCAGCTGCGGCGGCATTATTGGCGGATGGCCGTGGACGTGCAGGGGTGAAGAGTTGAACTGGGTTTGCAACGCGGGGTAGTTGTATGGCTGCTGTGGGTTGTGCACGGTTTGCGCCTGGGACACGGTGGGCGGCATCGGTGAGCGCGATGTTAGCCGCTGCGTCGATGCAAGTGGGCTGCTACGCTGTTGCGTGGCCCCGGGTGGTGCAACCGCCGCAGGGCTGCGCGCCGCAGGCGACGGGTTCGCGGCTTGTATCTGGCCGAGTTGTTGCTGGGCTGCGTTCTGCCGTTGCTGCTGCTGGAGGTGTGCGTATTGGTAGAAGTACGCAGGATTCTGGGCTTGCGCTTGGAGAGGTATAGCCTGTCCCGCTTGCGGGTATGTCGAAGCCGGAGCGCCGTTCGCCGGAGCGCCCGCCTGTGGTTGCCTCTTCTGCCTTATAGCAGCTTGCGTTGCAAAATTCGCCACCGGCACTTGTGGCTGGAAGGTCACAGTCGGGTGCGCCTGCTGTGCGTTGGCGACGGCGGCTTGCGCCGGTACTTGTGCAGGTTGAGTTGGCTGCTGAGCATGAAAAGACTGGACCGTGGAAGACGGTCGAGTGTCCGGTTTAGGAGGACTAGAGGCAGCAGCGGAGCCGGTGTTGGACGGTGAATGGGGCGACTGAGAAAATCTAGCTGGCGTCTGGAGGCCGTTCTGTGCGGGATGACGAGGTTGCAAGTGGTGCGGTATGGGTAAAGGAGCGTGCGGGACACCAGGCGTCGCAGAGGTGCGGGAGAGTACTGGCGACTGTCCAGTTGGGTTTTGTCCATTCCTCTGGACACCAGTCCCTGGTGCCGCGTGAGGTACGGCGATAATAGTGGGGGCTGGTGTAGATGGGGGCGCAGGAGTAGCGGTACCTGCTGACACTGCTGTAGGGACGGCTGTAACAGGAGGGTATTGCGGTTGTACAGGCGCGGCAGTCGCCACAGGCGCTGGTGCGACAGGAACCCCTATCTGATACTGAAGCGCTATGGGACCAGAGGGTTGTGCAGGCCCCTGTGACGGTTGCGACGGATTCGTTGCAGATTTCAGCTTGTTCTGCCTGAACTTCTGCATTATGTCCAATCTTTGGAAGCTGGAAATTCCATTATTTACGGCCTGCGAAACGCTAGGACCACAGAGACTTACTTTGGAGCGGTCACGGCTGGTCTTGCAAACTTGGGGTTCATGTACTGCGCAAGTTTCGCACGGCGTGCCCTCTCGACCTCCTCGTCTTCCTGTTCCACCGCTGCAGCCTTCCGCTTCAAGGCCCGCGGTTGTGGTGGTACAGATGCTCTGTGAACATTGTTTGCAATACGAGCCAAATGCGGATCCGGGTCTAAGCACAACGGCGGGGACGTAGCCAGCTAAGGGCAGTAAATTAGATGGTAATAATAGCGGACAATGCAAATGGACGTACCAGTATGCGTGCTTCTACCTCAAGGGACTGCTGGTCCGTCCAGGCCTTCCCCGACTTCTGGTTCAAAAGGCAGATATCCGCCCAGAGTGTCTCCATATTCGGCGAGAGCACGACGCGGCTCCTGTCTGGCTCGTCCAGAGTTGCGTCCGTCGCCTTCGGCGACCGGAAATCCTGCAATTCCACGATCATGCAACCTTCGCGTAGCACATGTCAGGTAATACTGCTGTGCCGGGACCTCTAGGGACGGACCATCATAGAACGGGACGTTCGCGGCATCAAATGCCTCGAGGAAGTCCACGGGTATTCGTTGCGCGCGGATGTCGTCCAATAGGGACTACGCATGGCGACATAAGTCAGACCGGCAGGGAGAGCGCAGCGAGCAGGTAAACACACCGCTACAGGGTTGTTGTACAGGCATTTGGACCCATTGTTCAAAATCCAATAGTCGGGGTATAGCTTCACGGTAAATGAGGGCGGGGAGGACTTGTGGGACTGAAGTAGCTCCTTAACGGAGCGCACAGTATTGTAGCTGGTCATGATACACGGCACATGGATGATGGAACAGTGGATCATGCAAGAAACATGCCGGCTATGACCCGAGCACGGTGGCAGAGAGATTGTGGCCACTGCCACTGTCGCGTTCAGTCACGGTTGGTCTCGAAATGAGCGCGCCTCTCCTTACATAAGCCAATTTCGCTAAATGGCCCGTGGGAATATCCTGATCTCCCAAAGTAAGATCGAAACCGTCAAGTTACTAGCCATGTCCGCGGACCAGTTGAAGGAGGTGCGAGACTATTCTGCGTTACAAAAATGTACGCTGATAGTGTTTATGAAGCTTCTGCCATTTCTCCATGACCCGAATCCTCAAGTCCGTCAAATCGCACTGTCCAATCTTCTCGGACAGACGCCGAAAGGATCGCCTCATCGAGAGATCTTCTTCACTGGTCTGCGAGCCGGTGGCCTGCAGCAGGCACAGGACAACGAGGTTATTCATGATCTGAAGCTCCTTTGCAGAGATACGCTAGTGAGAACACTGCTTGACCTCGCCCAGGGCAACGGTTGACGATTTGCTCTAGGCGGCTGCTCATGATGCCTTCAGGGCGCTCGTCAACCTGTCGGACTATTCGCTAATTATTGGTTTATTGTCTGAGCCTTCCTTCCTGAGCTTCCTTGTATCCTATATCTTGGTATGCTTCAGAAATTCGCTCACATCAGCGAGTCTCACGCTCGTTGCAGAACCCAAAATCAATTCTCGCAGATCTCGCATCAATGTTGTTGTCGAACCTGACTGCTTCACGCTCAACATGTTCTGCACTATTGTCTCTCAATGTATCGATATTACCAGATCCGAAGTCACTGACGCTGTATTTTCCTGTGCAATCGCAATCCGGGACGTCTCCCGCGCCTGTACCATATCCATCTGCGGAACCGCGAAGCGTAGAGGCTCTCCCGCTTCTCCTAGACGCCTTCATTCAAGGAGCTGCAGCCGATGAGATAGAGGACAAAGATAAACGGCCCAGAAAAGCAAACCTGCACTTCCTTTCAAGCGTGTTTGCAAATTTGACCACGGTGGGTTCAGCGTGTTCTTCTTTATTGAGCCCTTCTTGACCCGATCACACTAATATTGACAGGCACCAGTTGGCCGCATGTTCTTCCTGACACCACGCACATCAGACCCCCTCAAGGCAGACGGCGATCTCGAGTATCCGCTTACCAAGCTTCTTGTGTTTACGGAACATAAGGACACAATTCGCAGAGGCGGCGTCGCCTCGACTCTCAAGTCAGTGCGGATGTTGAGGACGTGTAACAGTCTATTCATTGCTTTTGTCGTCATAGAAACTGTGCATTTTATGTTCAATCACATCGTGCACTCCTGTTACCGGAATCCGAGCGTGTCGCGGTCTCGCCTTCGACAGTGGAGGCATCCGGCATGGAAATTCTTCCGTACCTGCTGCTACCTCTCGCAGGCCCAGAAGAATTCGACCTCGAAGTATGTCTACCCTCTCTTCTCGTACTCTATCGTCGCTGAGATAGGTCCGCCATACTGTAGGACCAAGAGCTTCTCCCTCCTGCACTGCAGTTCCTCCCTCCAACCAAACGGCGCGAGTCCGACCCTGTGCTTCGCCTTACACACGTGGAGACTCTGCTCCTGCTGTGCACCACTCGCTGGGCGCGCGAATACCTCCGCAAAAACGGCGTGTACGAGATCGTCCGTGCGCTCCACGAGAATGAACAAGTCGACAAGGTAAGTGGTTGATCATCCTCACCGCCTTTGGACTATCAAGATATGTAATGCAACGTCGGGCTCATGATAGTACCTAGATCTCGGAACACATCGAGCGACTGGTCAACTTTCTCAAGCGGGACGAAGGGCCAGAGACAGAAGCGGACGACGTCCTCGGAGCCACAGAAACTATTGAGGCCATTCAAATGGAAGATCCAGTTGACGAGGACAGCAGAATAGAAGAAATATGAACCGGTTTGACTCAGTACTCGGGAGATATACATCCCGGCCATGAGCGTCCGCGACATCTATGCAAACGTTCAAGCGGATCAGATCAGACGCTGGGAATTGATCTTGTTTGTTTTCTGCGCAACTCTTTGAATGGTCAATGCATCGTTTGCAGATCCCCTCATACGTGTACACTCGCAGTGTTTATCATGATGAGTAATCCAGTGGTGCAGGCAGTAATCGTAATGGCACAAGTAGTTGAATACCGTGACAGGTATGTTGGATACCTGCCGATCAGCTACAGCGGGTGACGACGCTGCGCCGGATATGTATGACCACCTGGGAATGTTCGGCCTTTGCGCATTCACAAGTACTTGATGAACTATTCCACGGTCGCCTTGAACGAGCCCTCCTTCCCTGCCCTGGTCTTCGGGTTGTTCTGGGGGCAACGGTTGGCGACTCAATCGCAGAGGTAGATGTCGAACACGTACTGTGTCTCCGCGGACGGCAAATCCGTGTGTACATCCGTCCCAGTACGTCCGGACGTAGCCAGGTGCGAACTTGTCATTGCCGAAGACCTCATCAGCAATCGCCTGGGATTCCCTGGGGAACTGCTCGTCCACTTCGCAGCTGTTGACGAGCAGGGGCGCCTTGGCTTCCTTCTTGTAGTTCTACACAACCAAAGTAGTCTCACGTCAGAGAAATTCAGTCGCAGATCACGGCACTGACCTCCAAGTCCTCGGGGATCTTCAAGAGCGACGGGTGCGTGACTACGGTGACCTGACTCTCGTTCTTGCGCGCGAGATAGAACCCAGGCAGCGCGCCAAAGCAGTAGCCCGTCGTGCCGAAACGTGTGACGCCCTGCGTCTTGAGAGCGGCAACCACGGAATCGACGACAGGCTGCCACGACTCGTCCGAGTGCCGCTTGAACCATGGGGGGAAGTCGAAGGTGCCTTTGTTGAACTCCTCGTCAGGTACAGGTTCGCCGTTGAAGATGTCGGGCATGACGACTTTGAAGCCGTTACTGGCAAAGTCATCCGCAAGGAGCTACGGCATATTTTCCGATTGTCAGTCACGATTGTTAGAAATCAACAAAGGGCGAAGGGATTTCACCCTGTTGTTGTTCCATGGGATGCCAAACGCATCCGTAAAGAACAGGACGACCTTGTCCTTAGTATAGTCGATCTTAGGCGTGGCTACATAGCATTGTATGCCGCCAATCGCCTCGATCGTGCCTGCAATTCAATCGTCTTAAACTCTGCCTCATTAATAGAAATCAATGCTAATTACCTTCTGGCGTGCCCTCGTAGCGGACCCCTGCATGAACAGATGCGCATTAGAAATTAGTCGTAAGACAAACTTCGCAGCCTAAGGGACCGCCGTACCGCTGATACAATCCTTGCAAAGGCTCATTATCGCAGCACAGGTGTCTCGGGATTAAGACTTGGCGAGTATGAATCCGGTCCGGAGCCGTCAGAATTAAGAAATACAGAACTAGAAGGCAGCTAGCAATACATCGACCAAATCAACGAATCCGCCTCCAAGATGGTGGCTTCAAATGAAGGGTGGGAGGATGTTTGTATCCTCAGGAATCCTCTTTATATAAGATATCTCTCACTCTCTTGCCGATGCCGACGAACTTAAGAGGCGGCTGTAATGGCGCTCGATCAGTCGGTCTGACTCAGTCGTGCTCTGACAATTGTGCTGATCCGAGTCGATCTTCCTCGGTTCCGAAACTGCAATATTATCACTTCATATTGGGAGTTAGGTTCGCTCTTCGCTCAAGTGAGTTCTTATGCGAGGGGACGTAAGCATTTGACTACAGTGCTTTGTAAAACGGCTGTCAATCCTACGTCGCGGACTGGAGCATGTAGCCTAGACATATGCACAAGCCAAGGATTGCTTTCTCGGATACCCTAAATGGAGCCGGGCTACGCTCGGCATCTCTTACCTATTGTACATTCGAGACTATCTTCGCGCGATAAACGCACACGCACATCTCTATATGCTCACAGATATTTCAGGAAGAACTCCACCGTAGCCTTGAAGGATCCCTCTTTGCCCTCCTTGACCTTCGGGTTGCTCTGCCATTTTCAGTGAGATGAGTCCTTGTCACGACAATCTCAAGAAGTACTTACGAGATCTCCGCGAACCGCAAAGCCGTGGGTACAGCCTTCCCAGTACGTCCGCTCGTAGCCAGGCCCGAATTTCCCGCCACCCAGGACCTCGTCGGCGCTCGCCTGGGCCTCTAGTGGGAACGCCCTGTCCACCTCGCAGCTGTTAATGAGGAGGGGAGCCTTAGACTCCGTCTTGTATTTCTATCCAATGGCGTCAGCGTCGTCCGCACCTGTGATGCATGACAGACTAGACTCACCTCTAGGTCGTCAGGAATCTTCAAGCGAGACGGGTGCGAGACGACCGTGACGTGACTCTCGTTCTTGCATGCGAGGTACCACGCAGGGGGCGCACCGAAGCAGTAGCCCGTCGTGCCAAACCGCGTCACCCCTTGCTCCTTCAGTGCGGCAACCACAGGGTCGACGGCGGTCTTCCACGTCTCTTCCGGGTGCCGTGCGAACCACGCCTCACGATTGAAGCTGGCATTGTTCAGGTCCATTTCGCCGATCGGGTCGCCATTGAAGATGTCGGGCATAACGACCTTGAAGCCATTTCGGGCGATGTCATCGGCGAGCAGCTGCGAGAGACCGGCTCAGCACCGCCTCTGCGTGCGAAAGGGGAAATAAGGCGTACCTTGTTGTTGATGAGGGGGATTCCAAAGACGTCCGTGAGGAACAAGACGATTTTGTCCTTTGGGTAGTCGCCCGTCGGCGTCGCGACATAGCTCTCGACGCCGCCGATCTTCTCGATCTGGCCTGGGTAGCCCGGTAAGCTTCCAGATGATCACCACCGTCATGGCGCATTTCGTCGCAGACTGACCTTCGGGCGTGCCCTCGTGGCGAACACCTGAACGTACGCGGGTTAGATCAACACTTTGCCAGAAGGCTTCTTCTCCCTTACCGCTGATACACTCCTTGCAAAGACTCATGGCTGGTTATTCACTTGTTCGAAGTGGCAGATGGTCTCTAGAAGCCCGGGGAGACGAGTGAACTGCCATGTTCGCTGAGCGTCAACTTTATATACCACGAACAATACTGCCACAAACATCGATTCCCCGCGACTGACAGACCGCAGGCAGTTTGCCCACCGCTGCTCCACCGCACCTAAACAGCAACACCAGGGTAGGGCGCGATGGCGACGTTCTGACCAAGTTCTTGGGAGTAAGCACTTAGTTTGCCGTGTAGCCACGCCAGCGTCGGCATCCGGGATGCTCGGCCGCTGAGCGCTATACCATATGCCTCATTTGGTGAGCCATATGCTGCCTCAGGCTGTAAACCGCTGTGATCGCTACCGCTCTGACAGAGGACAAGCATATGTGAAGATGCCTCGCTGTATGCGCATAGTCCTAGAGCGCGCGCGGTTAGGCATCAAGAGAAGACAGAAATCAACCCCCCCGCTTTGATCAGAGGATGTCAATATCGAAAGATCTCTAAGATCTCGCCAACTCATTTGATGCCGCTCGTCAAAATCGCCTTTCGCCGAATCCAGGCACAAAGACCAGTTGCTCATTTGAGGCTTTGCTTATTACATAGAGATATCATAAGGACGCGCGCATATCTAGTAAAGCACAAGGCTGTGATGCTTCAGGGATACGTTCACTGAATACATATTCCTCTCATAATGTACAAGGACGTATCTGGCACTACTATTGTCGCATGTTCACAACCACTCTCCCAGCTCACAAGTGCTTGAGGAAGAACTCAACGGTCGACGTGAACGCACCCTCCTTGCCTGCCTTGACCTTCGGATTGCTCTGCATTCCGCGGTGAGAAAAAAACGCCGTTCGCACAGGGATGGAAGACGTACCAGGTCACCGCGAACGGCGAAACCGTGTGTGCAGCCGTCGTAGTAGTTCCTCACATATCCAGGCGCGAATTTTCCTTCACCGAGGATCTCGTCGGCGACGGCTTGCGACTCCTTCGGGAACTGCGTGTCAACTTCGCAGCTGTTGATGAGCAGGGGGGCCTTGGACTCGGCCTTGTATTTCTGCAGATAAAGCGTCAGCTCTGTGCATGACATGGTCTGCTGCAAGATGCACATACCTCGAGGTCCTCGGGAACCTTCAGGCGCGACGGGTGGGCGACGACCGTGGCGTGGCTCTCGTTCTTGAGGGCGAGGTAGAACGCCGGGGGAGCACCAAAGCAATAGCCTGTAGTGCCGAAGCGGGTCACGCCCTGCTCCTTGAGCGCAGCGACGACCGCGTCAACGGGGTTCTTCCACGACTCGTCGGGGTGCTTGCTGAACCACGCGGCGAAGTCAATTTTGCCGCTGTTCAGGTCCGCGTCCGAGATGGGGTCGGCGGCGAGGATGTCGGGCACGACAACCTTGAAGCCGTTGCGTGCGAAGTCATCGGCGAGCAGCTACCAGGGCATAAGGACCGGAGAAAAATGCGGAAGAGGTGAAGGCTAGCAAGCACACCTTGTTGTTGTTGAGAGGGATACCGAAGACGTCCGTAAGGAACAGGATAACCTTGTCCTTCGGGTAATCAACGGAGGGTGTCGCAACATAGCATTCGACACCGCCAATCTTCTCGATCTTGCCTATGAGCCTGTGAGATCCGGGGTAGGAAAAACATAGTCTAGACGCACTCACCCTCCGCGGTCCCCTCATGGCGGACGCCTTTGGTACGATTACATTGAATTAGTTTTAGTCCATTGAGGCTAGGGAGTTGTTCGCACCGCTGACGCAATCCTTGCAGAAGCTCATGGTGGTGGTAGTGGAGAGAAAAGAGATGGAAGGACGATTGAGTTGCTGGACGGAGGTACCTGGTAGACAGAGAGACAAAGTCCTTATAAATCGTAGCTATTACACCATCCGTCGCCGCCACCATCTTTCCATCCGATCTGACCTTGGAAACATCTGTTTTCCAGATAGAACCTGATTTCTGCTCGGCCATTGGATGACATAGTCCCCCGGCACGACCAGGAGTGGAAGTACTGTGATCGAACTAGCTCTTCGACGGCTCGGCATGTATAGCGGCATGACGGAGATCGACCACAAAGGAAAATATCAATCACGAGAATATCAGCCACGAAAATACCAATCACGAAAATATGACGCATCACCGATCGAGCCGAAGGATCAATGATCCGAAGCATGATCGCTAGCTTGCACCGATCACTCTCTTCATTGACAAAGATCAAAACCACCGATGCAAGTCAAGTCTGGCAACATTGGCCACGAGGCATTGTTCTGAGAGGGACAATTACTCATACGCCTCGATTCTACAAAAGTCCGATGTTCTCTTCTTTTGAACATGTGGTTGGTACTTAACACGACACCCACGGCTCGTGATTATAAAGGAGCGATCATCACACGAGATTATGCCCACATTTGCACGACCGCAGTCATCGTTACTCGTGTTTTTGCAGAATCAATTGCAGCGCGAGATATCATCCGACACAAAATAACCTGTTCTCATGACAGCTCCTAATCACGACGATGACTTCGCCTGATAGCTGAGAATCTCGTCACCAATCAGAGATACTTCAGGAAGAACTCAACCGTCGCCTTGAATGCGCCTTCCTTACCAGCCTTGACCTTAGGGTCGCTCTACATCCCCGTATCAGCCGTCAGAGACGCTCTGAACGAGACAGGAAACAAACCATATCACCACGGACGGCAAAGCCGTGGACGCAGCCGTCGAAATGCACCCTCTCGTAGCCAGGTGTGAATTTTCCTCCGCCAAGTACCTCATCGGCAATGGCCTGGGCCTCCAGCGGAAATTGCCGGTCGACTTCGCAGGTAACAATCAGCAGGGGTATCTTCGACTCGGCCTTGTATTTCTGCAGCATGGTGAGTTAATGACATACTGACACTTCTGCGGATTGCCAAAATTGGTACCTCAAGGTCCTCAGGAGCTTTCAAGTGCGACGGGTGCGCGACGGCCGTGGCGTGGCTCTCGTTCTTGAGCGCGAGGTAGAACGCAGGCGGTGCGCCAAAGCAGTAGCCTGTGATGCCGAAACGGGTCACGCCCTGCGCCTTGAGCGCGGCGACGACCGCGTCGATCGTGGGGAGCCACGTATCGGGGGTGTGCCTCGCAAGCCACCCCTCGATGTCAAAGCTGGTATTGTTCAGGTCATTTTCGCCAACGGGATCTTCGAACAGGATGTCCGGCATGACGACTTTAAAGCCGTTGCGCGCAAAATCATCGGCGAGTAGCTGTCGTGGTGGTTTGGTCTTAGCGATTCATGTACAGAAAAGACGTAGAAACTAGCAAGGGTACCTTGGGGTTGTTCAGACGAATACCGAAGATATCCGTGAGGTACAGGACGACCTTGTCCTTAGAGTAGTCGCCCGTGGGTGTCGCGACGTAACATTCAACGCCGCCAATTTTCTCCATCTTGCCTGGAGGTTTGATTAGAATAGGTGCCGCAACGTAAAATCGGCATGCACGCGCTCACCCTCGGGAGTACCTTCGTGGCGTACACCTTGGGTTGAGAAAGATACCGTTAGTTCGGTCAGGGGTCAAAATGCGACGCTGATCCCCCTCGCACCGCTGATGCAATCCTTGCAGGAACTCATTTCGCTCGCTTTGACTGGTGACGGTGGATAGAAGATGTAAAGGCGACCTGATGAATTAAAGCGGCATACCCTGGCTATTAAAGAGGTATGGGTGTTCTGTCTTATGTGCTACATCCGCCGCTGTCGGTCTTCAATCATTCTCGAGTGGTAAGGCGTCAGCATCCCTTACAAATATGACATGAGCGCTCACGATGAGTAATATGACCGGAGATCTACGAGAAAGCCCAACCAATTGCGTCGTGGTAGTCAGTTTTCGGCACTGTGCGCAGTAATGCAAAACGGTACGTTCAGAGACGCACTCGACGACATTGCCCGCCAAGGAGCCCAAGACACGAGAGAAATGGAATAAAATGGTGTGCTTTTGGAAGATAATAGATATGTCTTGCCCTTGGAGCACCTGGTGCAGACCTGCATTATAACGATTTGTGGAATCCCAGCCTGAGTCAGACCGGGTCAACGGCAGCCTAAGTTCATCTGGCCAAATATAAGTGCACGTCACGGAGCAATTCCGCTCTTGACAGACTCATCACGGAGGACCATGTCAGCAGACAGTGATAAAATGTGCGGTCGCAGGCGAGCAGCGGTTGTGGTGGCAGCCCCCAAGCCTTGCCGAATCGATAGAGGGGGGCGCATCTCGTCTTATCTGAGTAGCTTGATCTGCATGTGCGATCATATTGATCTTGATTTTGAGTCACTCGAAGTTTTAGCGCTAAAGCCTCAGCGGTGCGGTGATCTGTGTTTACCCTCATCTCAGTCCATCATGTCTGCCTCGAAAGGTCGTGTTCTGTTGGCCTACTCTGGAGGTCTTGGTCAGTCATGATGATGTTACTTCGTGTCGGGCGTTCGAGCTCACCGATGCGCCAGATACCTCGTGCATCCTCGCTTGGTTGATTGAGGAGGGATATGAGGTCTACGCTTTCATGGCCGATGTCGGACAGGAGGAGGTCCGTTCTTGTATTCATCTCCACGTTCCATCGCTCTCATATCTCTATAGGACTTTGAAGCTGCCCGCAAGAAGGCCCTCGCAGTGGGCGCGAAGAAGTTCTTCCTGGAGGACCTGAAGCGAGAGTTCGTAACTGAGCTCATCTACCCCGCTGTACAGGCAAACTGCATTTACGAGGTGTGCTCCTTTTCCATATCTCGATCTCTGTGGATATCTAATCCATTACACAGAACGTCTACTTGCTGGGCACGTCCCTTGCACGTCCCGTCATTGCCCGGGGCATGATGTCCGTCGCAGACAAGGAGGGATGCGAGTGAGTATGCGACCGTCACGAAGCCTCATGCATGAATCTGAAGTCCGATAGCTATGTCTCTCACGGCTGCACAGGCAAGGGCAACGACCAAGTTCGCTTTGAGCTTGCCTTCTACGGCTTGAAGCCCGACATCAAGGTTATTGCACCATGGCGCATCCCTGGTGCGCGAAACAGTTGTTCAATTCATCATAAGCTGATAGCCATCACCCCCAGCGTTCTACCATCGATTTGCGGGCCGGCAAGCACTTCTTACGTACGCCGCAGAGAAGAAGATTCCTGTCCAGCAGACCGCGGCCAAGCCCTGGTCCACTGACGAGAATCTCTTCCACATTTCCTACGAGGCAGGCATCCTCGAGGACCCCGACACGACACCGCCCGCGGACATGTGGAAGCTCACCACCGCGCCCGAGGATGCGCCCACCACCCCCGAGCGCATCTCGATCGAGTTCGCTCGCGGGCTGCCCGTCAAGGTGACTGTGCCGGCGGAGAACAAGACGTACACGGACCCGGTCGAGGTGTTCCTCGCGCTGAACGCGCTCGCTCGCAAGCACGGCATCGGGCGTATTGACATCGTCGAGAACCGCTTCATTGGTGTTAAGTCGCGCGGCTGCTACGAGTCGCCCGCTGCGACAATCTTGCGCGTCGCGCACATGGACCTCGAGGGTCTTACGCTTGACCGCAACGTCCGCGCGCTGCGGGATCAGTTCGTTACGATTGAGCTGAGCCGCATCCTGTACAACGGCCACTGGTTCACGCCTGAGCGCGAGTTCGTCGTCAGTGCGATCCCGAGCAGCCAGCGGACCGTCAACGGCCTTGTCCGTCTCAAGCTGTACAAGGGCAACGTCGCAGTCGAGGGTCGCTCGTCTAGCGAGGTCAGCATGCTTCGATCATAAGCGAATGCTGAAAAAAGAACTGATGTTGGCTTTCATCAGGGGCTCTACGACGAGAAAGAGTCGTCCATGGATGAACTTGGTGGTTTCGAGCCGACCGACACCTCTGGTTTCATCCAAATTGAGTCGATCCGCATTAAGAAGTGAGTGAACAGGATGTTTGCTAGGAGCCGTGTTGACTTGACTGTGCATTAGGTGGGCGCAGGCCAACATCCGCAAAGGTCAGGGAGGTATTGAGCCCAAGGACGTATACGGCTCTCGCGTTTGAACAGCCCCAAAATTGAGATCGCAGCCTCGCCACTAGTCTGTACTTGCTATATCCAATAAAATCTACGGAACACCGAGCACCGAGCTTCATTATTCGTGAAGGCTACCAATGCCGCGCTACGAGATTGTTCAACGACGTATTACCATGTTTCATAGCAGTTGAAGTTCTCCGTGACGCGTACCCAGGATGACTCTTCCTGTTGCCTCGGAGAACGCACAATGTGTGATATCGTCTGGCAAAGCATATTCATGAACTGAATTTCACAAAAGGATGCTGAGCTCACCTCGTAGGTCAGGCGAAAACACTTCGTAAATCGTCTCACCGCGAAGGGTGCGCTCGCCAGGATCCTCCCACCAATTCAATTCCTCCTCCGTTCCCTCACCAGTCCCTTCGTTTTCACTGGTAGACGCTTGAGTGTCGCTGACGGTCTCATCCTGCTCGCTCGGGCGGCCGCCAAATGACAGCGCCACATCCGGGGAAGACTTGAACCCTAGCACGCCTCGCTGGACGCTTCCTCTGCGGCGCTCGACCCAGATACCACGCATGCCCCGCGGTCCAAGGGTACATGCCGAGACAAACCCGCGAGAGCCTGGCGTCAACCCACTCCTAGGGACACGAACGCCTGACCCGATGTTCACGGTGGATGGATTGTAGGGTAGCGCCATATGGCGAGCAGCGAGTAGATGGACAGTCATGTGTGGCGGCGGAGGGTCTTGGAATATGCCGCCACCGGGGGTGGGTACGGGGAGGAGTAGGGATACGCGGTAGTGGAAGAGCCCGCGGAGCACATCGTATGCAAGGAAGGATACCGTGGTGCGAATGATGTCGGCCTCAGACGGTGATTCAGAGGAATGTAGACGTTGCGATGGATTTAGAGATCGTTGAGGCTCCGAGACGGATGCACCGCGGAAGGTTGTGCGAGGGAAATCGTGGGTCACTGCTTGTGCAGGAAGGCGTACAACCTCAGCAGGAGGAGCAGACGACCCATTGACTTTGTAGTTCGTTGGGAGCGTGTATAATTCCACCGAGCGCGTCCTGACGCAGAGAATATGATATTCGGTAATGAATCTAGCCGCAATAACCCCATTCCATTGCTGGAGAACGGAATAGGGATCAGATCAGCGCCACACGTAATGCATCTCACGACAAGACATACCACTTCATCTTCGTCACGCTCCGGGATGTCCAGCTTGTATAGTACCTGCAATTCTTGACTCGCAAGGGTACACACATTCGAATACGATAAAAATGCGAATTTCGAAGTCGGGCAGATAGCCCGAACTAGCATCGTCAGATTGGGCAACTGAAGTGCAGGCGAGATACGGATGTTGATTTGTGGTACTGTCCCCAGGTCTTTCTCATGTGGCATCCCTACACGAAGGAAGGTACTTCCATCATGACTGTACGCGAAGTTCCGTGAGAACATTGAAGATATGACATGTAGCTAACGTACGAAGTCACCGCGACATGGACAACACGTTGAGAGCCATCCAAGCATGCACAACATGAAGTAAACAAACCGGTCCCGAGCACGGGCTTGCTTGCGCAGAGCAATGGTCTTGATTCGGTTGCATTTGCTGACTTTCCGAGTGTATGTAGGACATTATTGGGCAGGAGGTCCCACACTTCGATAAGACGTTCATGATAGACACAAAGAAGAAATCGGTCGAGGAAAACATCGAGAGCTAGAATGGTCCTCGAGCCATCAGTGTGGCTGTCGAATTCTAGGTCGACACTGCCTTTTGGCCGAGGCTCAAGGGTTACTGAAGACACTCGCCGACGGAGCCAAGTACGCTCAACGCAATGGTAAGAAAGTACAAGACGTTCTATTTCGGTGCTGGACAAATCACGAGCAGTCGCATTGGGGTCGCGAGCGACGGCTGATGGCAGAGGAAGTTGACCATTAGTGGTGTGCAAGAGATCAAGCCAGAGCAGTCTGTCGCGCGTGAGGTGGTTTGCTCTGATGCAAGTCTACAGTCAAACGTTAGAATAGATTCGGCGCACAAGAAGTTTGCAAGGCAGGTCAGCCCGTACATCTTGTCACTAGATCGTAAGAACGGGATGGGAAGTACTTCGAAAGATATAATCCCGACAACATAGAGCATGAGGTCGGGCTAGTAAAGCATTACTCCATATGAAAGGCAGAACTGCATGCTGAGAGTACCATCGCCATGCTTAGCCCGGGACAAGAGCACTAACCTGACGGACTGCTAGGACGTCGGCCGCACTCAAGTATGAGATGATATGCAGGAAGATCTCGCTTGGGATACCCAGGAGGGTGGCGACATGTTCACGCGAGGACAATCTTGAGCTTTCGTCTGAGCCTGAGGTGGTGTGGTCTTGCGCATCAAGAGCAATGGGTCGGCCAGGCTGCATGAGAGCAGTATTGAGCTACTACACGGTCACGGCGCGGGCGGAGGCGCGTTGGGTCACGTAATGACATGACGTGACAAACGGTCTGCGCATCGCGTCAGCGTGACAAACCCGACGCGTCTCGTTGACTTCACACTGACCGCGTAACACCGCGAGCGCCGCCACAAGTGACAGCCACACCTGTTTGTGCTTGACTGTATGCGTGTTGCGTACACACTGACAGATCTTGGCCTTTGAGGTGCGTACCTCTAGTCTGTGGTTGTTATATCACTTAGAAGCTGACGATGGTAACACTTTGCTCTTGCAGACTAGTGCATCCGCGCAAACAAGCGCTGTATGCGGCTTGGGATAATCCTGAGATAATCCTCTGCAAGACCTAGAATGAAAGATACCAGTATGGAGAACTTTCAGGATAATCTACGACGAAGAGGGACGACCTTGCATTCGGATACCTCTCATGACGTGCGATGCAAAACACGTCCGCTTCCGTCCGCGCAAACCAAAGGCAAGGGATTTGAAGACCTAGGAAGTAGCTTCGCTCGGCCTTCGAAGCAACCTCCCAGCTCCCAAAGCAGAGTGACGCGGTCTCAAGACAAAGGGGAGGTGAAAGTGGCTACTCGTGACATTCGCACCACTATTTGGGACACAGGCAGTGAGGACAGCGATGACGAGTTGGACATGCTTTCAAGGCGATCTATTTCGCGCGAAGTTTCCTTCTCTCCAGGAACGTCATCCAAGAAGCCCACTGCGTCTCAGAAACCTCTCTCTAACAACCAAGGTGTCGTCATTGACGGTCAATTCCACGAATATAACCCGGCATTTCTTCCGAAGAAATCCTTACCCAGTTTCAGGAAGAATAAGAAAGGTCTCGATGCCGATACTGGCTCTGGACCTCTTTTGAGCCAACCATCTACGTCCTCTGCACGCGTGACGGCCGAAAGCTCTACATCGAGATTTCCCACACCGGAGCCTTCAGGCTCATCACAACCACGGAAGGCCTCAGGTGCACGTCCAAAGCCGAGAGCAGCTCATGCAGGCACGCGGAAACTAGCTCTTGAGACGAGCCCTCCTCCACCTCCAAAGCGCACGTCCGCGCGGAAGGGAAGGCGGGAACAAAACTCTCCACTCAACGAACTGAGCTCTAACCATGACCGACCGTCCTCTGAGCTAATACATCATCAAGACATTGAAGACGACCCGAAGACCCCTCGTCCTCAGAGACCAAGGCCTCGCCCTGTCCGCAAGGGAGCACGGACTCCGAACCCACAGCCTTTTCCGATGCCACCGCCTTTCCTTGACAGCGGCGACGAGGATACCCAGAGAATGAAAGACCGCAAAGGGTGCGTGCACCAGCCGTCTCCTTTTTCCAAAGATAAGAATTTTATGCCGCCCAGGGTGAATGGGAAGGGCAAGGCGAAGGAGCAGTGTAATCCTATTGAAGCACTATCCCCTCTTTCCTCGCAGAAGCACAACGATCGCTTAACGCCTCCGCCGCGGCCGCTACTTGCCTTTCCGGAGTTGTCACCATTGTCGTCCGTACATCAAGACAGTCCCTCTCAACGTTGCAAGGTAAGCAAAGGCAATGGCCACGGTGTTGTTCTATCGTCTGCGGAAAGTAGCGCGGATGAATGCGAGCCCCCTTCGTCAAGCTATAAAATTCTGCCATTCCCGATGGAGACGCAGGTGCTTGAGAGCATCGGTCACTCTCCAGGGAAGCGTTTGTCGGAGGACGATTGCGACGTGGTGGTTGATGAGGAGGCCCAGAGAGAGCGGAAGAGGAGAAGGGCCAACCCGAATGCGATGTATGCTGCACTTGACGCGTATATTGCACTGAAACTTGCTGCTGATGGAAGTATGCGCGCAGATTGGCCGAACTCATGCGTGGGGATGGCGATGATGACCTTGATGAGGATGATCTGCGTAAGTTCCGTGTGTCCCTTGCATCATCTTGCTCATATGTTGTGTCAGTATTTCTAGATCCTGAGGTTGACCCCAAGACGTTATGTCCTTGGTGTGACGAACGGCTACCACCTGTACCGACACCATATCTTTCGACTTTGATTGCCATCGCCAAACAGGCATCCTGGCCAGATCTTCGGCCTTCTAATTCACTCGGTCTGCGGGCTCCGCTGGGTGCATTCGTCGGCGTTTGCCAGAGACATCGCTTTGAAAGCCATCAGGTACCGCTTGCCAAACGGCGGGGCTGGCCAACGGAGATTGAGTGGGACCGTGTAGGTGCGCGCGTTGCAGCGCTAAAGCCTAGGTTGCAAGCAATTCTCGACGACATTGACGAAGACTTCTTGCCTGGAGCATCTCGTAAGGAGGAGTACGAAGAAGACGGACAGTACGCTGATCGGCCCCGGAAAGGCAGCGTATTCTGGAGAGATGTGGTCAAGAGCGTGCGCAAGAAAGGCTCTAGGCAGACCGCCGGTGTAGCTGGACAGTTCGCCAGTTTCGATAAGACGCAACCAGGCTAGTGAGTTGGCATTTTCCCTCACCGCCAATTCATGGAGCTCATGTATTGGTAATGTCAAGCTATGGCGAGCTAGGTTACATGATCATCAACCAGACCATTTACAATCTCTTCCCTCCTGCTTCATTTCATGCCGACTCGACTCTTCCCCTCACTCCTACCGACTTTATTGCCCTTGTTCTCGTCCCCGAAGCCGCGGTCTCTCTCATCACGGAGGACATGAAACAGACTCGACAAGAGGCTATTGCTACTCTTCGCGAGAGTGCGGAGTATGGTGTTGCCATGTTCCCTGATGACCACGATAGCGCGGACGCAGTCAGTGCTGGCGAGCGCATTATCATGGAGAGGGCCCGTGTGAGGCGGAAGGAGTTGGAGGAGGCCGGAGACGAAGGATTCTGGACATCGATGGACGAGGTCGAGAGCAGTCAGCTACAGGACGAAGGAAAGCGCAAGGGCAGGCGGCGAAAAGCCCAAGGGAACGATTCAAGCGATGACAGCAAGGACGGTGAATGGGCCGGGACGAGGCATCAGAGAAAGGCCCAATCCGAAGTCAGAAAGAACCCACCGAGGCGTGGGCGGTCCAAGGCCGCCACGAGCGACGTGGATGCTGGAGACGATGTGGTTATGTTAACCGACAGCGGTCCTTCATCGCAACGCACGCCCAAGAAAGGGATAGCTACTCGTCCGAAGCCAAGGCCCAAGTCAAGGGCGCGCGGTGTCGCCGCATCTTCCGACATGGATATTGAGTTGCTCAGGGCTAGCTCAGATGACGAGTCACCTAAACTTACGTCTTGTCCTCGACCGCGGATCAAGCGACCTCCACCAAGAGCGGGCCAAGAAAGCACGTTAGAGAAGGAGAACGTACCTACGGACTACAGCACGGACTACTCTGATGCGCAGGAGATTGAACCTCCCCCGTCAAACCAGCTCAAGCGTCCACCGCGGACACGCCACATGGACGCGAAATCGTCTCGGGCTGAGGCGCCTGACGACGACGCTACGCCGCGGCCGAGAAAGATTTATCCTGTTTCATCCCCCCCGTCCGCCGCTGCCACGAGTGGAACCAAGCCAAACGTTTCTTTCCCTCTGATGGCAGCAAAGGAACGGCGCGCGAAACCGTGAGTATACCCAATGAATAAAGAATGTTGCTTTATGTTGACTTGAAGTACATGCAGCGTTCTGCAGTACCAGAAGGCACCGTGGAGGGGGCAGTCGATGAATGTTAATCATGACTGTCATCCCACTCGAGTGTCCACGACCATGGATGATTCAAACCAGCCTCATGGCGACACATCTGATATGTATGAGTGGCTTCTCGATGACAGCGAAGGTTAGATCGACCCACTCCAAATGTTAGGCTCCAGTAATTAAGTGCGCTCTAATATGTAAACGATACGGACGTGTGCGTGCTTTGACAATGATGCTACATAGATACATAACTCGTATACCTCACTTATAGTAGAAGCGTTTCCGTCTTCTCCACTTTCCTTTCCGAGCTCGACGGCTGTGAACTACTACCTTTGGGAACTTCGATTTCTTGTTCGACCTGTTCTACGTCTACCTTGTCCTGATTGAGAAGTTGGATGGGCCCAGCACCTTCCCAGCCAGGAAGCGGCTCGCGTTTTGCTGTCTCAACACGGGCAAAGAATTGCGGGCTCAGGAAGCCCTTCTCGTCGCCATCTGTTAGCACGACACCGTTGTCGGACAGGTAGAACCTGATACCGGCGGCGAGAGCCTTCTGTATGTCGACGAATATGAAGATAGAAGAGGAACTGCGCATGCCTAAACAAGATGCAGCGCAGGTACCGCTGAGAAAGCATTCCATGATGACAGGAATACACTGACCACTGATGACGCCTGAGCCCGGTACACCTTGAGCGAGGTGAATGTGATTGCGGGACATTTTGGATAGTCCTTGTTCACCTGCAGGTGGAAAAGCGTCGTAAGGACACACAACCGACTGCAGGAAATATCACGAGCTGACAGATGATGTCCCATGCTTTTCGCGATGTCCCGTGCACAGCAAGACCGGTCGGAATGTCAGCAGGAGATTGAATGGGCTGTAAGTCTAGTACGACGGTCTTTACCATAGTCAGCGAGAGTCGGAGAGCAGTGGTGCCTCAAAGCAGACCTTCATTGAGTGCCCTTGGTTTGCTCTGATCCACCAGATCTGACTTGGAGAGCCAACAGCCTTGTCAGGCTCGTGAATTAAGTTATACCGGCTCTTGTTGTCGGCCTTTACAATCTGTTCTAGCATGTCGAAGTTCATTTCGCGCATTTTGGGTATCTTCAGCTACTTTGAGGGTCATTCAGACTACAAGTAAGTGGGTAAATTGAGTAGTACACTCACAAGGTCGTCGACGCGCACATACCCGTCAGGGCGCATCTCTAATCCTTCGGATCGTGCGCCATGACGCAGAACCCAAGATAGCGTCTTTGACATGCGAGTCTCGGGTGTGTCCTTTGGGTGTCCCCTGAGCTTAGCGGAACCACCGCCTCGGGGAGCTTGTTTTCGTTCATTCTTGCGTGGCTGTCTCTCGGATTGAGGGGCTGAATCCATTGAAGACATCAAATAATGCCGTCTACTGAGTGAACGTCCCGCTTTGGAGATTTCGGATGTGCCTTGGGTCAGTAACCCCCTTCGAGCAGAGAGACAGACCGCCAGAAGCATGAAACGCAAAGTAGCGTGATGTGTGACGCCTCGCGTCATTCTGTACGTGATCGGTGTTCGTGACTGTTACATGTATTGTTAGGGTGGCGGTCTCGTCTCCCTCCTCGTTGTACACGGTCGTACTCACGGCACGACATCTATCATCCGTCGTGCTCAATCCTCGTGGCCGGAAACAGCTAATTCAAGTACCGCACTCGTGTTGACCACATTCGCTATCGCCGTTTCAAAGGAGCATAATGCCGACTTCATTCCTAGGCATACCACCCTCTAGCCGCCGCTCGACCGCAAGTACGCGGCAGAGAGAGAACAGATCTGCGCAGATCACCCAAGCTGTCTCTCACAGAAGACGCAAGTCTCGTTCTCCTGATGCGCGCGCTCTTGAGGAGGTCGCTATTGCAAGGAATGATTCAGGACACCGCAAAAAGAAGAGGCCACATCTCCAATCCTCAGCCACAGCTCCCGTTGAGCTACATTCTGGTATCTCTGACGATGCTGCCCCAGAGCGTGGACGCAAGGCGAAGGGAAAACATCGGGCGCAGTCATATTTCGTCGAACAGGGTGAGAGCCTTGTCTTGAGAGAACTGGCTCGGCCAAGTGCCGGAAGCATGCGCGGCAAGCGTAAAGATCGGTCAAAGTCTCGCGAACTTCCTCCGTTGCCTAGTAAATCACCTACGCCGGAACTACAAGAGCTCGCAGAAGATACATCCGAATATAGTGGCGCGGACTTTCTCCGTATGAAACTAGAGTTGGAGAATTTGCGGAAGGTATGCCTATCGTCTTCATCTCTACATGCGTTATTTAAGTCGTTTTTGCAGCAATTGTCTGTATCAAAGAAGACGGTCCTCAAACAGAGCAAAGTGGGTTGACGAGTCCGTGCATATTCACAGAGCTGACATATGCGTAGGTTATCGACGAGTTAAGAAGGGATTTAAGCCATTCAACGAAGGTTGGTTCCCGCCTATGCTCATGTACGCCTCACGGTCGCTGAATGCATGCAGGCTCAAAAAGATAACGAAAGCGAAATCAAGAAGCTGAAAGATCTGACGAAGAAGTCGGATGAAGTGAGTGAGACCCAGTATCTGTCTCTGATCCATGTCTCATTCTCTGACCAGCTTGTGGCGAATGTTGAAACCAACCTTACTTGTCAAATATGCATGGATTTATTGTCAAGACCACATGGGTCCGTGCGCATTTGTTATTGGCTACGTTACCCTGACATTATGCAGCCTGTCTCCTTGCGGTCACGTACTTTGCCAGGGCTGCTTGCAAGAATGGTTTCGCTCTGCGCCGCCGAATGATGAAGACATGCATGATGACTTCCCCGATGACGTCCTTTATCGCAAGAAGACATGTCCGTGCTGCCGGACTGCTGTACGCAGCCGGCCAATTCCGATCTTCCTTGTGAAGTCTCTTGCATCTGCCATTGAGAAGGCGAAGGCGTCGCCCAGTGCGCCTCCGCGAGCGACGCCGCCGCCCGAAGACGATCCTTGGGCAGGCATCTTCTTGGAACATGACTCCGAAGAGGATTGGAGCGGGGAGGAATCTGATGATGATTACGACGATGACGATGGCTGGTCATTCTACGGGTACGGGACACCCGACGACGAAGAGAGCTACGAAGGCCCGTACGCCCATCCGCAGTGGGCGCCGCCGACAGTCAACGTATCCCCCGCGGACTTCCCGTTTCTTGATTCGCTAGACGGAGACGACCTCGCGATGCTGCGGCGCGGCGCCACGCTGCAGATGATCGACCTTTTCTCGATGCGCTACACACATGAGTCGGGCCTGCAGGCGGTCGTGGACAACGCAAATGTGATATTCCTCGGGTGGAATATTGAGCTGCATGAGGGCGACGAAATGGGAGAGCAGTTCATGGAATGGATCACCGGGGACATCTTCGAGCGACCGGAGCGCTGGGAGATCATGGAGGACATGAACGGGTCGTGGACGGCGTGGAGGCTCGTGCCGCAGGATGAGGTAGAGGAGTACGATACGAGCGATTCGGAGGCGTGGGCAGCGGATATGGACGAAGATGTGGACATGTAAGATGATCGTGTGCTGAAACAAATGCTGTATTCCCTTGTACTGTTGACTTTGCTGATTACTATACGGTTGCGATCTCTATTGACTGCATACAGAGACTGTTGTACATTGGCGTTCTTTTCTGTTGTTCGTGCCTCTACAATATAGCCCACGGTCTGTGACCTGTGTCTCTGTCGTCCTTGAAGTCTGGTTATCAGCTTGCAGTCGACTCTTTGGCGTTTTGTCTCTCAGCCAAGAGGTCTTCGCCCCAATTTTTCACCTCGGGATGTCGGATGAAAGGGATGCTGCTGTCGAAGAACGGCTGCAATGACCTGTCATGTCGCCGCTCGTATTCAAAAGCTGGGCATCTTCTTAGCAAACTCAGTATGACACTCAGAGGTACCGCGCAGCTCACCCTGCGACGCCATCTCGAATCTGTCAAGATCTGTTGTGCCAAGGTATCGATATCAGACGATGACGAACAGTGGACCTGAATGGAGTGACTAACCCTTGACAAATCGCGCTTCCGCAGTTTCACCATCTTCGTATTCCTATGCAGGCGTTAGATTCACTTTCACGGCCATCACAGGCACTGGCTACCTTCCAGAGAGCTTGTATTCGTTGTGCAGCAAAGCTGTTATGAAGCATCTCATGAGTGAAATTATGCATAGCTTCCTGCATCGCATCTCAGCAATGTTTCACGCTGTCCAGCAACGACGTCGTACTGATTCGAGACGTCGCTTCTCTGCCTTAGGGATACCTTCCCGTGGCGAGATGTCGCCGACTTATGAACGGCTACGTCAACGGGCATACCGACGAACACGACGCAAACGCTCACCTTGCGCTTCGGCAAGATCGTGTACGATGCACATCATGACACATCTGGCTCAGGTTCCCGAAGGGCGTTTTGAGTGAAACGAAACGAACTCACTTGGAAACGTCTAATTGGGTGTCTCCGGCACACATCGCCAGTACAGCCATCCTGTACATATGATCCGCAATGCTGGCTTCTTGTTAGTTTTCGCGTACAATGAATTAGACTTCTGCATTATACCTCTCTGCATCAGGTATCTGTTAAGGTGGTCCGTGAGTGCTGCCGCATGTGTACGCTCTATGGATTACTCAGACTTTATTGTCGACCCAGCCTGTTCGTTTTTGTGTCTTTGAGCCAGCGGTCAGAATCAATTATACCGCACAGATAATGCCATGAATGAGACCTTGAGTCTCTCGAGGATGTGAAAGAACGCCAGTCTGTCCATCGAGGCGTCCCCTGCCGAAGAGTATAAAGGTGGGAAAGTCCTCCCCGAAGGAGCCGACTCTGTGGATGTTTCGGGTGTTGTCTCGCTAGATATCATAGTTACAATGTACAGGTGTCCGTATACGACGACCTCAGATGTTCCTGTCGAAATCAAATCCATATATCACAGCGCTGGGCGCTAAGTATGCCCTCAATCGCCTACGCACAGCACGTGTCACAGTCTGTTATAGTACTATTACTCGGAACAGAACAAGCTCGGCTCAGACGAGCTCCTTCGTTTTGCCTTCTCTTACCAACTCCTAGGCTACACCCACATCTTTCCCGCACGACTTGATAGTCTAGCAAGACGAATCGCGTTGACGCCCCACGACGACGACACTCTTATGCAGGAGGAACAAAGTTCGTCCCTTGGCCACCATTACTGTCTGCCCACCGCTCACACCTCGCCACAGTTACATGTCGGATATGCAGCGCACCAGCGGAACCAGACCAGCCTCTATTTCACCCCTGCAAATGCTCGGGTACCATTCGCTACATCCATCAGGACTGGTGAGCCATCGCCGCACTGTTACTAAGTGTCCCGTGGAATTCCCCCGTTCGTCGCATTCGCGTTGTTCATACCCATGCACATGGGGGATATGTTCTAGTTCGTGTATTCTCGCAAATGTTTGCTCGTAAGATATTGTCGCTGCATTCCGGCCCGTGAAGGACCAAAGCGGATAGTATTCAGGCGATCCAGAGGCACACCCCAACGGTAGAAGTTCAGGCTCTGCATTTCCTTGATACAACACCGAACCCCCGAGATCACCCTTTAGGGTGCCGAATGTGCGTTCACCGGCCCTGACGGCGAAGGTCTCTCAATGCTCTACATGTGAGGTGGTCACAGCGTTCTCACTTCCAAGGCATTCACTCTGCAGCGGAGGCTACACCGGCCCTCCCCCTTGCCCTAGATTTTGACTGACCAAGGAGGAGGCGTCTGCATTTATTTTCTCGGTTCACAAAACGCGCTTGACTGTGGGATGCTTATTCTTAAAATTTGCGGCGGTTTTCCACGGGATACCACATAGGCCAGCATGAAAACTGACGATGCATGTTAGCTTGACAACATGGCTAGCACATAGTAAGAAGAAGACGTGTGACATCTGCAAACACCCATACTCCTTCACGAAAGGTGGGTTGCTTTGCCGTCCCATCATGGCGGAACGCTGACCTGCTAGTTAGTCTATGCATCGCACATGCCTACAAGGCTGCCCACAGTACTGGTGCTTCGACAGCTGTCGAAACAGGCCATTGTTGGCGTGCTCTTCTGTGCCCGAGCTGTTCTCGTCGCCATAATTTGGCTGGCGTTCCTACCTTGGGTCACGATATGGACCTGGAGAATGTATTTCACCATGGGAGATACTGCGTGCGTGTCCGCTTGCTGCCGCAGCTAGTGTCACTGACCGCCAGGACAGCGCGTGGTGGGTCAGCAACCGCCCACGACCGGTCTCGGCCGTAGACGCATTACTCACGCGCTCTCCGAATATCTCATCCTCCAACGACACTACTGCCGCCAGCGCCGACAATGGCACAGTCTCCATCTTCTCGCATCCCGTGGTACGCACGGTGTCTTCGGATATTGTGTCAGGGCAAATCATTGCCTCTTTAATCGTGCTCGCGTTCGTAGCCATCTTCCTACTGCGTGAGTGGATTTCCCAGAATGCCCGGCCGGGCATCTTCGAGGAACCTGATGCACCGCCACTACCCGATGACGTCGGACCGCTTCCTCAGGTCGTGCAAGTGCAGCCAGTGCAGGTGGCTAGGCCAGGTGACAGGATGATAGCCAGACGGCGGCCGATGCCGCTGAATGCGCAAATGCACAACGTGCCGCCAGCTGAACCTCTGCGCCATCACTGGCGTCGTGCGAATGAACTTGAACGACCAGATGTGGAACGCGAGGAGCGTGCCAAGCACCTACGACCAGACGGCGAGGAAGCTGGAGATGCCCCACCCGAGCAGGCGAACGCGCGCAAAGGCAAAAGGAGGCACGGACCGTACGGCGATGAGCTTGATGTGATACGGCGATCGACGTCTGTAGGCAGGACTACGGCCAGTCAGTTTGGTGGATCCGACACCGACGATGAACAAATTAATGACCGGCGGCGCGAGCGCGCGAGACTGTGGCAAGAGCAAACCGCGGCGATCTGGCAGGACACGCCCGAGTCGCAAAGCCTCAATCTGAGCGTTCGACAAGCACGATCTACCATCGCAGCGAGTTCGTCACGTCCAGAGTCGGACGGCGCGGAAAATATTCAGGTTGACGACACCAATGCAGTTCTGGGCGAGAACCCCCAAGGCGTGCGATCGACCATTCCTGATGTGCCCGAAGACATTTCGTCCATAATACCATCAATAGACGAACAGTCGCAAAGTTCTGAAGGATCTGGATCTTACGTGCTGACCCCGTGGCAGCCGCGGAAGGTGGACGTACCTGAAGAGGCCAGCGCGCCTGTGTCAATGCCGACGTCTCCCGTCAGTGACACAGGATTAGGCGACACAACTTTCGAGGGTTCACAAAGTAGTGCTAGCCACGCCGTACCTACGTTGCCATCCGCCGCAGAATCTTCACAACCCACAACGGAGGCTTTTGGCTCGCTACGGCGTCCAGCGTTACCCAGCGTTACTCTGCCACCATCTTCTTCCACATCACCAGTTGCGGGAGGCTCTCGCAGCCGAGGACCTACGCCACTTGCCTCTCCGAACCTGGCGACATACCGTCCACCAGAGGAGTTCGAGGCAGGTCCGTCTCGCTTGGCGAGCTACTTCGACAGCGAAGCGATCGAGGAGGATGAGGACGAGGGTGGCAAGGTGGCCGAGATTCGGCGGTACTTCCGAACCCACCCAGACGACCCCGTGGCCCCTTGGGACAAACATGACGATCTAGTCGACTGGACGGAGCATGTCCAGGATGCTGAAGACGAGGAAAGGGATGGCATGGCCCCCCCTGAGCCCGAGGCGCCAGTTGAATTTCCAGACAATCCGCCTATTCAAATTGTAAATGCTGCGTTGCCAGTCGGGGACGCCCCTATGGATGACATACCACCAGAGGCTAATGAAGACATGGATGTGAACTTGGATGACGACATGGACGGTGCTCTGGAGGGTACGTACATGCATGAACACCTCGCATCCGCGCTTTGAGCTCATTCCCGATTTCTAGCTATTGGACTTCGCGGTCCCGTACATGGTGTCTTCCAGAACGTGAGCAAACACTGCGGGGGTATCTAGTGGTACTGACGAGTGCTTCTAGGCTGCGTTAATGATCTTCATCCTAAACACGACCATCGGCCTAGGGATATGGCTTCCATTTACTATTGGCAAGTGCACAGCGTTGCTCTCGGTACGTGAGACTTGACTGGGTTGCGTGTTACTGTCACTAACATGTCGGCAGTTGGACCCTCGGCAGTTTTTGTACATCCTCCATCTCCCTCTCCGGCTGATCCGCCTTGTGACCGATCCTATAGTCGACACCGCGCTTCTGCTCATGAGTCGCTTGCTGCTACCGTCATTGTTGTCCGTGACGAACATTGCACTAAACATTTCCTTTCGTGCTACGAGTTTCGTGATTGGACAAAAACTCACAAGTCGACTTGCAAGTTTGATCGCCAATATAGTGAGTATCTTCGAGGCATCTAATGTTGAACCGCGCTTTATGGCCGTTTGTAGTACTTCTGGGCCACTGGTCTTTTAGATGGACTGTTGTCCCAAGTAGCACTGTCGTCCACTTCCAAACCTGAGGCCGCGGGCTCATCTACCTCGATACCGTTCTTCTCACAATTCCTTCAGCAAGATTCTGCCATCATGCGCTTCATTGAACCGCACTTCGCGCCATTGGGTGAGAAGACTCGACTGACTGTTGCAGAGGCAAAGTCAGAGTGGGTGCGTTTGTCCCTTGGCGACGGACCCAACGAAAGGATTTTCGCGGTGGGCCTAGGCTATGCTGCGACCGCGGTGCTTCTTGCCATTTACCTAAACATTCTTACAATCGGGAACGTAAAGAATGCCGGGAGGGCCGTCCGCAGTGCAGTGCGACAACAACTGCTTGTAGTCAAAGTAAGCGTCGACTAGAAGTGGAACGGGCAGTGTCTCATCCTACTCTATAGGTCGCTGCGTTCATCGTCATCGAATTGGTGATCTTCCCACTGGGATGTGGTCTGATGCTTGATGCCTGTACCGTGTGGCTGCTTCCTCAGGGCAACATCACGTCCAGGAAAGCGTATCTCTTCTACGCCCCAGTCACCTCAATTTTCTATCATTGGGTCATCGGAACTATGTTCATGTGAGTGACTCTGCGACTCATTCGATAACTCGACCAACCATTTTGTGTCCGCAGGTATCAGTTTGCGATATTACTAGCTGGGTGCCGAAGCATCATGCGCAAGGGAGCCATGTGGTTCATCAAGGACCCCCAGGATCAGAACTTTCATCCCATACGAGATATCTTGGAACGACCCACCTTGGTACAACTACGTAAGCTGCTTCTAAGTGCTATGATGTACGGAATGGTGGTGGCTGCTGGTGTCGGCACAGTTTCTGGGGTCTTGCAGCTGTTTAGCCGGACAATCCTGCCATTCAGATGGAAGCTCAGGTATGCTCCTTACTTCACTCTTAGTTCCATTGTTCACTGGGAATGATACAGGGAACCCTTATCAGCAGTACCCATAGATCTTCTCTTCCTTCACCTCGTTCTTCCGTATACCATGCAGTACTTCCGTCCTCGAAAACCTATGAAGCAGTTCGGCACCTACCTCTGGAAATATTTGGCAGCTCAACTTCGCTTGTCCTCGTACATGTTTGGCGGGCGCTACTCGTCAGAAGAATACACTCCCAAGCATTGGAACTGGCGGATGCTATTCATTCAGACAGAGGTCCAGATGGATGATGCAGAGGCTGCCCACGATGGTACCTTCAGGCGTGTCCCCAATTCTGATAATGTTGCATTGGTCAAGGATTCTCCGGCAACAGCTGAAGTGGATGAGGACGGCAATCCAGTCAATGCTGAACAAGCAAGGTTAATGGCCCTCCAAAACGCCGAGGCTGAGAAGGCGAGGCGAAACATCAAGGACGATTACACCGTCGTCTATGTCCCTCCGCATCTCAAGTATCGTGTCATTGCATTCATCGCATGCGTCTGGATTGTTGGGTCTATCCTCCTTGGGATGCTCCTGGGCGCTCCAGTCTTGTTGGGCCGACTCTTCCTGCGACTGTTCATCCCTCGTGACGTACACGATGGCTACTCATTTATTGCTGGGTTCTACTTGCTCTGGGTCTGCTGGTTCGTCGGACATACAATTGATCGCATGGACAAACGGCGTCAGCGACGAGGCGGACACGAAGCTCGTGCAGAATGGCCGCTGTATCTGGCGAAGAGAAGCTTCGTTTGGATTGCCCAAATCTCGTACATGGCGTTCTTCCTCGGCTTCGTCATCCCGACGCTGGTTGCCCTAGTAGTCGAATTCTACATTGTGCAACCCATCCGGCATATCACAGAGCCTCCGACTGACCTGCGGATTAGAATGGTAGACATGTGGGCATTAGGTCTTCTGTACAGCAAGGTTATCATCCGGTGCCTAAGATTGCAACCGGACAACGACTTCGTGCGCGGTATTGACCATGTAAGTGCGATGAGGAGGCCTGCATGTCTGAGTACTAACCATTGGCCTCAGATCAAACGGCAAGGATGGACACATCTCGACCCATTCAGAGCGACCAAAGAGATCATCGCGCCCATCACTATTGGTCTCTTGGGCATGCTCCTGTTGCCAGCTGGCATCCTGTACGGTATTCGTCAAGTGTTCTCATTACCAGTCCCAGATGACTTCTTGTGTGAGTCCACTTCTGTAACGGGCACCTTGAGCGTTGCTGATGTCTTGCCATTAGTCATACATCTCTACCCAAGCATCTTCACTGTAGCAGGGTTCATACACGCCACATTTGCTCTCTCGCGACTACTCGCCGCGTGGTCTCAGACGATTCGAGATAAAGAGTTCCTTGTCGAAATGCGTTTGCAGAATCATGAAGCAGATCTGGATCAGGAGAAAGCGAGTGAGAAGGATCCCGAGCCAGAGACGAGAGAGGAGGACGATGAAGAGGAGTAATAAGCTTGATTGACTATTGTTTTGTTGTTCTGCAACATCATTGTAATATTACCCATCATGATCTAGTCGATAGCAGGAAAAGCTGATACTATGGTCTAAGTACCACAAATGGTAGTGCGTCAGATTCTCAACGTTCTCAACATTTGCCGCATGTCATGCGTAATGGAGCGATGAGCTTCTGCCAGACTTTGCCCACTTGAGTGTGCGGCTCACATCGAGGTTTGGGGCCTAATGCGCTCTAGCTATCAGATACATATACTTTTCGCACATGCAGTCCTCACTGTGACCAGTTATGCTTTCGTGAACTTAACAATGGCAAAGTACTCAGCTGGATTCAGCTCACCAGTCACATATTTGCACATATATTTACGTTTACGCTCTACTTGCTAGACATCGTACAACTCCCGAAGAAACGTTCCGACCAGCATTCACCCGCCCTAATGGTGGAACAGCCGCAAACTGGTATGCGCAAATACCATGTCATGCTCATCTGCTGCCTTGATGCATTCCGCATCCATGACACTGCCGCTCGGGGCCGCCAGGTAGCGCACCCCGCTGCGCCTCGCACGGTGGACATTGTCCGGGAACGGGAAGAACGCATCGCTCGAGCAAGCGACACCATCTAGCAGCTTCGCGTGTGTAGCGCGATCCTCCGCGCTCAGCGGCGCAGGCACCGCCTCGAAGAGACCCTCCCACTGCGCGCGCTCACCGCCCTCGAGTACCTCTCCGCCAACGAAGAGATCTATCGCGTTCGCCTTCTCCGCGCGCTTAACGCCCTTCTTGAATGGCAGCGCGAGCACGCGCGGGTGGTGTCGCAGCCACCACAGGTCTGCCTTCGTGCCTGCAAGCCGCGTGCAGTGGATGCGCGACTGCTGGCCCGCGCCGATGCCGATGATCGCGCCCCGATAGGCGTACGCGACACTGTTCGACTGTGTGTACTTGAGCGCCAGGGTGGCGACGATGAGGTCAGTCAGAGCCTGGTTCGGCAGCTACGAAGCACGGATAAGCGTGCGGGCTGCCTAGAAAAGAGTCGGGCTGCTCACCGCCTTGTTTTTGGTGACGATGTTCTCGAAGAGCTTAGCGTCGATCTTTGCGTCGTTGCGCCTCTGCTGCATGTGAATGCCGTAGACTTGTCGTGTCTCTATTTCTGCGGGCACGTAGGACGGATCGATCTGCGTGATCTCAGGATACCTCGCGGCACATAGGCACTAATGTCCTACCTGCAAGACGCAGTACTTTCCGCCCTTCTTCTTGGAGAGGACGTCGAGCGCTTCCTGCGAGTATCCGGGTGCGATGATACCATCGGATACCTCCCGGGAAATGATCCGGGCGGTGGCCAGATCACATGGCGCCGAGAGGGCAATGAAATCGCCAAATGATGACATACGGTCGGCACCTGTGCCAAACGAATGAATACTAGTTAGACGAAATTGATGGGGTATTGACCTCGAGCACGGGCGTAAGCAGATGCCAGCGGGGTCATAGGCTCCTTGAGATCATCGACGCCATACACCTTCTTCTCCGTTTCATCGAGCTCGACACCGACAGCTGCGCCTGCGGGGGAGACGTGCTTGAACGAGGCCGCAGCAGGGAGACCAAGCGCCGCCTGCAGCTCCTTGACGAGCGCATACGAGTTCAGGGCGTCGAGCAGGTTGATATATCCGGGTGAGCCGCAGAGAGCTGGATAGCATGAGAAGCAGATAGCGCGGCTGGCATGGTGAATCTCATACCTTTGAAAGGAAGCTCTCCGTCGGTGACATACGCCTGGGCAGGCTTTTGGTGGGGGTTCGCGCCGTAGCGCAATGCGAGGCGCTGCACGGGCCCCGCAAGCCTTTCTGCGGGAAGTTCCGCGGATGCGTACTGCTCCCTGAAGTACCCACTGATCGCGTCGTCGTACGTGGCCGTCATCTCGAACGCCTTGAGGGCGAGCTTGCTGCGGATCGCCTGACCGACGTCTCCCTGTCCCGCGCGCCATGCCTCGAGGAACTCGGCGTAGTCCGTAGGGTCTGAGAGCACGGACACGCGCGTGTGGTTCTTCGCCGCTGCGCGAAGAAGGGTCACACCGCCGATGTCGATCTCTTCAACTGCATCGGCGAGGGTGCAGCCCGGCTGTGCGATGGTAGAGGTAAAGGGGTACAGGTTGCACACGACAATGGAGATTTTGGAGATGGACTGTGCCTTGAGGTCTGCCTCATCGGAAGGGATAGACCGTGCAAGAATTCCTGTTCGGAGGCGCATACTTTCTCAGCCAGACATTCAAAAATCGTTCAGCAGGTGCGCACACCTCCGTGGACCGCAGGGTGCAGCGTCTTCACCCGGCCACCGAGCATCTCAGGGGCTTTCGTGATGTCCGAGACATCTCTGTAAAGACGACAAATCTAGTGGTGTTTGTCGCAAGTGAACGAGCAACGCACTCGATGGCGATCCCTGCCTCACGGATCTTCTTCGCTGTGCCTCCTGATCCTAGAAGACGGACGCCGGCCGCGTGCAGGCCGGTCGCCAGGTCGAGCAGGTTGGTCTTGTCATAGACGGACAGCAATGCTTTTCATACTATCAGCATCGTCGCTGAAGACGGCGGGGGAGATTTCCCACCGATGGGTGCAGCCATGGCTGAGGACAAGTCGAGGACAAGGATGAAGACTTTTCGTTCTAGCTTTGGCGCCCATTTTGACTTTCCCCGATCATCGATCTCTCGATCGCCATTCCAAAGTCGATCGCACAAACTCGCATGCAAGATAATGCTTATGAATGTACAGAGGCGACGAAACGAATGACTAAATATGCGTGCATGCTACTAAGTAACGCATGTGAAATACTAGTAGCAGAACCAGGCAAGTCCGTATTTCTTCGAGGAGTATGCAGAGTCCAGATCATAGTTCTCGTGGTAGACTTAGGCAGGCGGTGATACTGACTATGTTGGGATAATATACCAAGCCATACGTAAAACACAGGTTTCATAAATTTCAGTGAAGTGTAGCGGAAACAATTCAACCAGGCTGATCTTGCCTGCATGTTAGCTCGCTATGTCGGCAAATGCCGTAGCATCATATGTCAGCGATCGCCGATCCTAACCGCCCTGCCCTCGACCACCATCTTGCTCCCAGTCTCCCACTCAGACAATCATTATTTTGCAAACATGTTTTCTTTCCGACAAACTGTTCATCACGCACTAAGCTCGCCAGCGACCGCGCCCCACAGCCTACAACTCCGTTCTCTGTCGCATTGGTCCTCACTGCGTCCACAATTTCGCCCACAGGCATTGCCATTGTCCACTTCCCGGCGGCGCTATGCATCATCTTCAGAGAATGATGCAGGGCACGGGGCCATACAGGCGCCAGCATCACCGGTCCCTCAAAAGGAAGCGCAGCTCCAGATAGAGCCGCGTTTATCCATGACATTCACTTGCACTGTGACGGATTGCGGTCACCGCTCCTCGCATCAGTTTACTCGGAGAAGTTATGAAAAGGGGATTGTGATTGTTCAGTGTCCAGGGTGCCAAAATAGGTGAGACCTTGCTTGCTCACATCGCCAGTCCATACTCACCGGAGTCCTGCAGACATCTCATAGCTGACCACCTTGCCTGGTTTAAAGAGAGCATGGAAGAGGGTAAACTCAAAACAGTCGAGGATCTCATGCGGTCGAAGGGAGAGAAGGTCAGACGAGGAGTGCTGAATGCCGAAGGTGTTGTGGAGTATGCACCAGAGTAGCAGATCGCACTCCCCAGGTACTATACATCTATGTTACATTTTCACGCTCATTCCTGAAAAGGGGAATGCATATTACACAGCTAGGTACATCATAGCACTGGTCATTATAATGGATCATTACCTCCGCTCTAGGTAGATGCTGACGTAGGCTGTTGTGTCTCCTCTGCGACTGGCGGTAGAACACCCTTCTTGTCCAGCAGCTCCTCCAGTTCACCGGATTGATGCACTATTGAGTGTTAGCATTCCTGAAGAGGTCTGATATATGACCAGACTCACTGCTCAACATGATATCACAGCCGCCAACGAATTCACCGTTGACATATAGCTGTGGGATCGTTGGCCAGTCACTGGGAACAGAAACGCAGGCTATCAGCGGTGCACCAAGAGTCAAGATACAAAGCACCTACGAGAATTCCTTAATCCCACTTCGCAGCTCCGAGTCTTCAAGAACGTTATATGTCTTCAGCTTCTCTGGAGGCACACCTTGGAGACCGAGGATCTGTGCTGCCGCGCGAGAGAACCCGCACCCAGGTGCCTCGGGTGTGCCCTTCATGAAGAGAACAACAGGCGTCGTAGACACTGCTTCTTGAATTTTGGATCGCGCTTCCTGTGAGAGATATCGCCTCGCGAGGGAGAGTGTGGGAGATGCGAACAGCTGAGACGGGACTGAAGAACGGAGAAGGGGGTTTGCCTGTCACAAAGCAATCCGTCAACACCGTTCATGGCGCGGCAAAGTAGCTAGTAGGCGTACTGTAGAGCGAAACGCAGAACGGAACATGCGTGTGGCCATGGTGGTGCGAGTATGAGGTGAGGGACGAGCCTTACACCGAGTCTCCCGGGTTTTGCGTGTACAGCTGATAAATCCGGACATATCGGTTGGCGGAGCTCTGTGGACCAATAGGAGGTAACGGGTTAGGGTCCATAACTCCATATTTGGAGTAATCGGCGCGAAAACGCCCGACGTGTTGATTAAACGCGCTTTTAATCTCCGCTCAAAACGCGTCGCGTCTGCGGCGTGTCGTTTATACCTGACTTCCCATACCGCTTCCGCGTCTTGTGTGGTCGCCGCATTCCCTGACCTCCATTGCGACACATCCACGCGACAAAATGGCCGATAGAGCCCGAAGAGAGCGGAGGTCCAAACTCGACAAACTCGCAGAATACAAACGCACCAGAGAGGGTGGTGCTCGGATGTGGAAGGCAGGGCCATTACATACGCGACGCGTTCGTGGTTGCTAATCGGTCTTATAGGAAGAGGAGGACGTGCGTCTGTATGATGAGGTTACAGAAGACCAGTACAAGTCGATTGTTCGCGGCCGACTCGCTAAGGACGACTTTGTGGTGGATGATGGCGTTCAGGGCTACATGGACAACGGAGTAGACGACTTTGAGGAGGCGGAGGAACAAGGTGAGAGCGATGAAGATGACCGCAAGGCGAAATGTAAGTGGGAATACGCAGCCCTCGCAAAGCCAGGTTCGTATTCATTCTCTCGCAGCGAAGAAGGGCAAGGCAGACCCGAAGGCGAAGGCGCGGTCAAAGCCAAAGGCGCCCCCTCCTGCTGTCACACCGAGCATCAGTGTCTATAGACCAGTGGTTTCTGCAGAACAGGAGACCGACTTCATGGCGTCTCTGCTCGCTGACATGGACAATGCCGCTGACAAGGTCAAGGAGAGCGTGAAGTCCCGCAAGCGCAAGCCGGCCCCAGAGCCTGACTATGACGACAGAGCCTCCTCCCCAACTCCGTACGCGAGCTCGTCTTACCGACAACCCAGCGTGCACAGCCACCGAACCTCCTACGCAGACTTTGACATGTCGTCAGACGGACTACTGGACGACTGCGTTGGCGGTATTCCGTCAAGTGATGACCTTAGACTGAGTCCAAAGAAGAGAATGCGAACGGACACCGGCATGACGCCTGCGATCGAGCGATTGGGCAAGATGGATGTCAACAGCGCCACAAGCGGAGCTGACGAGTATGACAACTCATTCGACGACATTGACATGGACGCGTTCATGTCGGTGGACGAAGATGACCTCGGTGGCGAGTCTTCTGTCAAGGCGAAGCCCAGGATCGGCCCTGTCAAGATGGAAGTGGACGACGAACCGAAGGCGCTGAAGTCCATCGACAACAAGTTTAATGTTCAGGACAAGATAAAGAAGCAGGACGAGACTCCATCATGGCTCTCTATTTATGAGTCTCTCAGCACCACGGCTGACGACAGTCTGGGTTATGCGGCGACGGCTTCACGGTCGACGGCGAATCCCTCTGACATGACCGTTCTGGAGGAGGATGGCTCTCTGCGGTTCTACTGGCTAGATTACCTCGAGCACGAGGGCAAACTGTACTTTGTCGGCAAGGTACAAGATAAGAAGTCGAAGGCGTGGGTATCGTGCTGCGTGACTGTCGAGAACTTGGAGCGTAACCTGTTCGTGCTTTCCCGTGAGCGGCGCATGGAGGAGGACGAAGAGACTGGCGAGATGCACGAGACGGACGTTGTCCCTGAGCTGACGGATATCTACAACGATGTCGATCGCATCCGCCGAAAGGCGGGCATCAAGAAATGGAGAGGCAAACTTGTGAAGCGAAAGTACGCCTTCGGTGAGAAGGACGTGCCCAAGGGCGAATCTCAATGGTTCAAGGTCGTATATGGCTTCGATGGTATGTCCGTTGTGAGCACCATCGCGAACGTGATTGAGACGGCTATTTGCAGAGTCTCAGCTTCCAAGCAATATTTCGAGTCCGAACATCTCCCGTGTCTTCGGGACGAATACTACTGCATTCGAACTGCTTGTTCTCAAGCGAAAGATCATGGGACCTTGTTGGCTTCAAGTCAAGGAGCCTAAGCTCGAGCACAAAGGAGTGAGCATTGTTCTGAATACATGCGGATGTCAATTGTTCACACCTACCTGTAGGTTTCATGGTGCAAAGTGGAAGCAACGGTGTCTAATCCGAAAGACATCAATCCATTTGCTGAGACCGATCAGCAAGCCCCGAGGGGCTCCCCTCCCCTCACTGTCGTGAGTTTAAGCCTGCGAACGATCGTCAACCATAAGGAGAATAACCGCGAGATTGTCTGTGCTACCGCGAGAATATGGTCCAATTGTACGTCCCAACAGCTCGACGCGTGTACCATCTCCTGTGCAGTCTCATGAACTTGGTAACACAGTGGACCTCGACGACCCGACTCCTCCGGAGGCTCTACCCTGTACGGTCAGAACATTCGTTCGACCTTTGGACCGGTTCCCACCGAACTTCGAAGTTCGTGCAGCCAAGAACGGCAAGGGCGTGATTTCTCCCCAGAAGAACGAGCGCATGCTTTTGAACAACCTTCTTGGTAAGACATCTTTTCATGGAACGTTTCCCCGGATATTCATGATCACAACTTTCAGTTACTATACACAAAGCGGATCCCGATGCCATCGTCGGGCATGAGGTCTTGGGAGTCTCGTTGGATGTCCTCCTTCATCGTATGCGTGATCTCAAAGCAGACCACTGGTCGCGCATAGGTCGCTTCCGGCGGTCGAAGTGGCCGAATATCGGCAGGCAGGGCACAAACCTGAAGTTCATGAATGGGCGGTTGCTCTGTGATTTGGCGAGCGACAGCGCTAAGGTAGACCATATCACGCCGAAAAAGCAGCCGCAGGGAATCTAACTAATGTACACAGGGCATGATCTCCTCGACAACTTGGTCGCTCACTGAGATGTGCAAGACACATCTCAAGAGTGATCGGCAGGATATCGACCCTGATGACACTGCCAGCTATTTCGACAGCAGTGTGAGCTCACCGGATCGGCTGCTGACCTTCGTCCGTCACTGTGAGCTGGATGCACACTATCAGATGGCGCTTGTAGCCAAAGTTCAGATTCTTCCGTTGACAAGACAGCTCACCAATCTTGCCGGGAACTCGTGGTACGTATAAACTTCAACAACATGCGCAATACTCAGCCTGCCTTCAGGAACAAAACGCTCAATGGTGGTCGTGCAGAGCGCAACGAGTATATTCTGCTGCATGAGTTCCACCGCTTGAAGTATATTTGCCCTGATAAACTCTGGGGCAAAAAGGCGGCTACCGCTGAAAAGGAAGCTCACGATGACGACGCGGAAGGTGGTAAGGTTACGAAGAGCAAGAAGGACAAGTACAAGGGTGGTCTTGTCTTCGAGCCAAAGCGTGGGCTGTGGGATAAGTATATCCTGGTCATGGATTTCAACTCTCTGTACCCAAGTATCATCCAGGAGTACAACATCGATTTCACCACGGTAGACCGAGCAGAAGACGAAGTGCGTGCTGTATCATTGTATATAGATGGTGCGTTCACTGATATCTGATTGCAGGATGGCGAGGAGGCAATCCCAGAGCCGCCTTCGCCTGGCGTCGGACAGGGAGTTCTACCCCGACTCATTGCTACGCTCGTCAATCGGCGTCGCCAAGTTAAAAGCCTCATGAAGGATCGAAAAGCAACTCAAGCTCAGCTCCTTCAGGTGGGAGACGAGAACCATGCGTTGTCACTCCTTGACTGACAATCAATGCAGTGGGACATCAAGCAGATGGCTTTGAAGCTAACGGCGAACAGTATGTACGGGTGTCTTGGGTTTGAATATTCAAGATTCTACGCCCGACCGCTCGCTGCTCTCACCACATTCAAAGGCCGTGAGATCTTGACTCACACGAGAGAATTGGCTGAGAGTTTGCAGCTCGACGTAGGCGACATCGTTCTTGCCCAAGCGGTTCCCTGACATGTCTAAAATAGGTCGTCTACGGAGACACGGATTCTGTCTTCGTGAACTCAAACGTGACAGATCTGGCTGAGGCTCTCAAAATCTCCGCGGAGTTCAAAAAGGCCGTGAACGATCGTTACAGATTGCTCGAAATCGACCTCGACGGTATTTTCCAGCGGCTCCTTCTGTTGCAAAAGAAGAAGTACGCTGCTATCAAGGTCGAAGATGGCACTCGAACATCCACTGAGGTTAAGGGGTTGGACATGAAGCGGAGGGAGTATTGTGCGCTGTCGAAGAGTGTTTCTCAGTGAGCAACAGTATGACTTATGCTCCTATTCCTTTTTCTCACCGTATGCAATAGGTACGTCCTGGATCGAATTCTCTCGGGCGAAGCCACGGAAACGGTGGTGGAGCAGATACATGACTATCTGGTAACAATTGGGGAGGATGTTCGCGCCGGGAAGGTGAAACTTGACGAGTTTATCGTCTTCAAGGTACACTGCGATATATGTTTTCGAGATGTGCCCCGTACTGACAGCGTTTCTAGCGGCTGGGTAAGAACCCGGAGGATTATCCTGATGCGAAGAGCCAGCCGCACGTCCAGGTCGCTCTGCGGATGAAGGCAAGGGGTGGGACTGCCCGTTCCGGCGATGTTATTCCGTACATCTTCTGCTTGGGCGACAACGGCGAAACGTCGAAATCTGCACAAGCCGACCGTGCGAAACACCCCGACGAGTTCCGAAGAGCAGAATCCGATTTGAAAATAGGTGAGAAGCATCGGAGGTAGTTGTCCATGCTGTGTTGTGCTCACGTCCCTGCAGACTACGAGTACTACCTATCCCAACAAATCCTTCCGCCAATCGAACGTCTCTGTGAACCCATGGAAGGCACTGATCGTTCCCGTTTGGCAGAATGTCTAGGTCCGTAGTACTATATGGCATTTGTCACTGCTTACTGAAGTTCAAGGTAGGATTGGATGCCAGTCGGTACCGCACCTCGGCAGGGGAATCAGAAGAACGGTCCTTCAGTACCCTCGACTCGCTCATGTCCGATGCCGAGCGGTTCAAGGACGCTAGTCCGTTCGTCGTCCGCTGTCGGTCGTGCAAGGGCGAGGTCGCGTTCGAACCCATCAGTGATCGAAGCGTGCGCTGCTTCCTACAATCTGTCTAACTCTCTGATTGCTCACATACGACTGCAGTCATCAATTCTCCTGGCATCAGGGCCGACGTGCCCAGCCTGCCATACAATCATGGGCAGGGCTAGCATGCAGGCGCAACTTGAAACGCAAATACGCGAGCACATTGGCAGGTATTACGAAGGCTGGACAGTGTGCGACGACCCTACTTGCGGCAACCGCACACGCATGATGGGTGTCTACGGCCGGCGGTGTCTGCGGCAGGGATGCCGCGGGACTGTGGCCTTCGAGGTGAGTGGTATTTGAGCTTGCGAACCTAGATGTGATGCTTATGTGGCTGCTATTCAGTATTCAGATGCACAGTTATACACGCAGCTGCGGTTCTATTCGTCGCTGTTCGACGCTGAGAAGGCGCTCAAGACGTCAACTGGCTCACGACTGGGTGAGCAGCCTCTCAAAAGGGATTGACAACGACTAAATTTCCTCTCTTTCAGACGAAGTGCGGGCGCTTGCCGGCGCCCAGGCCGAATTCCTGCAGGGCATGTCGGACACGGTTGAGAAGTACCTTGACCAGTGCGGCAGGCGGTGGGTAAACCTCACAAACCTCTTCTCGTTCATGAAAGTATAGATGTAGGGTGTACGGACTCCTGGATCTTGTGTTAAGCTTTCGTCGCAATTACTGTATTCATTGTCACAACTGTTGTATCAATATTGATAGCCTGAGTTGTTATTAGTTCAGTGATCTGGTGCCTCTAGATCACAGGTGGTAGCATAGCGACGGCGGTAGTACAGTAGAGGCGATGTCCGTGTGCTGTCCTCTTCGTCAGAAGCACACAGAGACTCTACGCGCGTGACTTGCGCTATGAAGAGCTCCGAAGCAATGCCGTCACCCTGCCATGATCGTGCCCCTTCTTTTTTGTTCTTGCTGTCCAGCATCTCTATGTCATGCAATGGCCACGATGCTGCAATCAGCCTGCAGGAGAGCGCACCGAGCGAGCCAGTGATCGCCGGGAGCCCCTCGCTTGTCAGCGTATAGGGGGTATGCGCGAATGGGTGCGGATGAAGATCAGGACGCGAAAAGCGAACTGCGATGGCCGCCTGAGCCGCTGACAGGATGTTGACGACCATGTGTGAGGGGACGGGCGGAGCAGCGTGCGCGTCCTTCAGAGACGTCGCCATACGTGAGGGAACGCGAAGCGAGAACGCAACCAGGGGATGAGGGTCCAGCGCGATGGAGCTAAACGAGGAGAGCGTCGCGCCGTGGAACCTAGAATAGTGAGTGGTGTCTGGGTGCGGTTCGCTGGGGGCTTGGGGCATGAGGGAAGTGACGACGGCGACTGGTTGCGCTGTTTCTCGCAGGAGTGCACGTAAGTCGCGACGTATATGTTCTGGGTTGCTAGCAGTGCTGTAATGGGTCTTGCGCACTATGCGCGCGAGGTCGCGGCTAGTACGGCGGCAAGCCTGCATGTCGCTGCATCCACACCGCTTGCTGTTGTCCAACGCGATTTAGCATCTCTGATTGACTGCATAAAACGGCAAGGAAGAAATATGACGGACTGCTACGAACCTGACAGTACGCAATGGACTCGAGATGGGGATTGGCCCTGCTGCGCGATCATGTGACCAGGAGGAGTAGACTGTTTGTCCTTGTTGGATTCGCAAGCCGATGTCCTTAGATCTGATCTGACGAGCGGCCCGGTGAGGTTAGGGGCGGCGAGGAACAGAAACACGCCATCTTCGTTTCGGTCTACGTGACCAGTGACCAAGAGACATGTTTTGTCATCAAAAATCAGTTTCATGAAACAATATCCGGTAAAAGATGTCACCCGCACTGCTCTGTCATGACTGATCCCGGGCAATTCTAACCCAAAGACGATTGGTGCCGTCTGCAGAAAAAGACTAGGAGAGTCTGCCGCCCGGCGCGGCAGAAGCAAGGCTCGGACATTGATCGTCTCTCAGATCTTGGGGGTGCACGGGCCAATGAGGAGCCCGAGATCTATTAAGTCAGCGGCGAGTGTGGCGCGATCTTCCGACGGCACCTTCATCCACAATGTTGGAGATCCGAAGAGGGTGGTAGTATGTATAATAGGCAGTGGCCCCGCAGAGCCTGCGACGGCTCCCCACCCTTCTGCACATTACCGCGATGACTCGTGCTCTCGATGAAGAGGCCACCCTCGCCGACGAGAATGCCCACCCCCTCGCGTTCCATAGTGTCGAGGACGTTACTGAGCGCATCGACCCCCGTTTGACCCTTGCAGACAGGCCGGACAACAAGGTCCTCGACGAGAGCTATGTCCAGCAGCTGGCGGATCAAATTCACCATCGCGACCACCACCTTCACCGCAAGGACGAAAACGAAAAAGCCAGCGACTCGTCGGAGGAACCCATCTACGTGAGCTCATGTCTTTGTCGCCACCATCCGCTTTGAGTTTACATCGACTGGCAGATCGAGTTCGAAAAAGGCGACCAGAGAGACCCGGCAAACTTTTCTGTTGCCAGGAAAAGGGCGATCCTACTCACGGCATGTCTTTTTTCTGTCCTTGTTGGTGAGTGAACTGAATCTGTGCCCTTTTGCAACAGTGCGCCTAACATCCCCAACAGCTTCTTCCTCGGGAGCCTATGCTCTTGGCTTCCCCTCTATGACCCGCGATCTCAACTGCACCCAATTCCAAGCCACCGTTGGTATTGCTGTATATGCCCTTGGATTTGGTGTCCCGCCTTTGGTCACTGCCTCTTTCAGTGAGGAAACTGGCAGGCAGCCACTGTATCTATGCAGCGGCATTGGGTTCCTGCTCTTCACTATTGGGACCGCAGAGTCAGTTGTCAATACTTCGCCCCTTCAGGGTCCCCTGCTGACATAATAACCCAGAGCCAAGAATATACAAACAGTGCTCATTACACGATTCTTCGCCGGCGCGTTTGGGTCGACTGGCTCAACGATGGTCGGCGGCACAGTTGCTGATATCTTCGCACCTTACGAGTAGGATTTTCCCCTCTATAATGTATATGCATTCATTCACACACAACATCTATAGACGTGGCTTTGCAATGTCGAGCTTCGCAGTCGCCGCTATCGGCGCGACTGGCGTTGGCTGTCTTGCTGCCGGCTGGATCGAACAGAATCCCCACATGGAATGGCGGTGGATTCAATGGATACATGCTATGTATGGTAGTACCCTTCCCATTCCCGTGCTTTCTTGTGCTTAGGCTCTGTCGTTTCTAGCTTTGCTGGTGTCTTTGTGATCATGGTCCCCATCTTCATGAGGGAGACGCGCGCCTCCGTGTTGCTCGTGCGCCTAGCGAAGAAGATGCGCAAGGACGGCAACAAGCGCATCCGCGCGCGGGTGGAGGATGAGCGTGCGGCATTGTCAACCTTGATCTGGATCTCTTGCACGCGTCCGCTATGTGAGTATTTGGCTCTCAGCATGGGAGATGTTTTGCTGACTGATGGATTGCGCAGATCTTCTGCTCACCGAGCCTGTGATCGCGAGCTTCACGGTGCGTCTAGAGTTTTAATTGTGTCGGCTGGCTGGATACTAATGATCGCTATAGCTCTGGGTCGGTTTCGCGTGGGGCATTCTCTACGTCCTGATTGAGTCCATCGGACCTGTCTTCAGGACCCTGCACCAATTTAATTCGGGGCAGGTCGGAACAGTCTACATCGCTATAACGTGAGTCGGACAAACCTTTGTCCTAGTAGGCTGTATTGCTTACCAGCCTCAACAGCATCGGTTCCGTGCTCGGCTTTGCCACCAACCTGATCCAGGAGCGGTTGTACCGGTGCGTATATGCGCCTGTCTCACGATCTACGCCAGCTGGACTCATACCCGTACACTCACAGTAAATATGTCGGCACCCGCGGACCGGAAGCGCGTCTGTTTGCACCCATGGCCGCAGCGTTTATCTTCCCCATTGGCATGTTCATATATGCTTGGTCCACGTACTCCAAGGTGTATTGGATCGCTCTCGCGATTGGTATCGTGGTGAGTTAGCTTTCCACCACTGCTGTGTCTTGCTATCGGTTACTGAACGGTACGTTCTAGATCATCATGTGGGCTTTGTTCATCCTCTACCTGTCTGTGTTCACGTACCTCGCGGACTGGTGTGTCATGTCTCTCATGTGGCCATCATGGGCGATACTGACTTCGCGGTAGCTACGGTCCGTTCGCATCGTCGGCGCTCGCAGGGCAGAGTTTGTTCCGTAACATGATGGGAATGGCGTTCCCGCTGTTCTGCCAGCAGATGTTTGCAAAGCTCACGTACCACTGGGCGAACACGATTTTCGCGTTCATTGCTGTCCTCATGATTCCCATTCCATATGTACGTCGTTCCGCATATATATTGCTGGCCGTGTGGTATTGAACATCCTCCCGCAGATCTTGTTCTTCAAGGGACCGCAGATCCGTGCACGGAGCAAGTTTGCATCACAGGTCATGCAGAAGTAACAAGGCGCCTCGCTTACAACCGTGCGCGCGTCTGCATCTTCGACATGCTCTCGGGCGGGCACAACGTATCCTTCACGCCGAAGGATTCTGTCCGCAATGATGAACACATGTCAAATGCCGACTGCCATCAAGCAGGCCTCCTCTTCGCATATAATTTATAGCTGGGCCACAGCATCATCTAAACACTCTTAGCATCGAGCAGCATAGACTCTCCTTTACTATTAGGTTGCAGCATAATTGCTCGTAGATTGTCCCGGTAGCCTCATTTGTATTTCTTGCAGGTATTGAACGTAGCGTACCAGCCGAATCTTTTTTGCAACATCATGAATTGACGTCCTTTCTTGATGACTTCAGTCCCTCACGCTCTCGACGATCGCTACACGACCACTTTGGTGTTCTTAGTAGTACCAAGCTTTACAAAGTCATGCATGCGGTGATCGATCTTCGTACTATACACTATGATCACCCAACTAAAGTCTAATTATATGCGAGATTCGACCCATCAGAACAAATGAATATGCTTTCAATTACACGTTATTGCGTGAAAACTACCTACAAAAATACTTGCACCGATGGCAAAAGCGATCCTAGCCATGCTGAAAGAGTGAAGAACAACAACGGACGTGCTACATAGATATACAATGGGTTTACGGCAAACGAAAAGACGGTGCAAGTGACGTGCGGTGCAGTGCAAGATAACAATACGACGATAATACGTTACGCTTTCGTCGGGGTCATGGCGAGCGTCATCTAGTGCAGGTATGGATAATGTTACAATCTTCGTCCCTCTATCCTGGAACGCAAGGCGCAAATGTCAGGTGTCCCCACACTGCGGCGAGGATGCCAAAGTCTGGGACTTCACGCGTGCTCGCGCCGGTACCGCTGGCGTGCGCGCTCCATTGCTTCCCGTAGCTCGGGCGTCTGCCACGCCGACTCGTCCTCTTGGAAGGACGTGCTCGCGAAACGGTCGGACTCGACGGACGCCTCGCGGCCGCGACGGCGGGGAGAGCCAGGGATTGACCGTGCATACGAGGTCGCATAGGACGAGCTGAGGTCAAAGCGATCGCGTCGCGGAGACGCGCTGAGGAGGGGTGAGCCGTGCCGCGATGAGTAGGGCGGCAGGCCGCCATGCGAGGACTGTGCGCGACCGCCATCCTCTTCGACCCAGTCATCCGTGCCGTTGTCTTCCTCATCTTCCGGTGCCTCGCTCATGACCACGATCTCTTTGCCAAGAGCGCGCTGGCCTTCTGCGATCAGCGACGTGAGCTTGTCGCCAATCCAGGACATCTACCATGGTGGTTACTATGTGCGCACTAGACACGGTTGAAAGACTGAGCGTACCTGGTCATCTTCGTCTTCGTCTGCGTCTGGCTCCGGGTCGGCAGTGGGTGCACTGAAACTGAATTCCGGAGGAATAGGCATGTACGATGCGGCTGAAGAGCCGATAGAGGCAGAGGAGTTGGAAGCGTGCATGGGGCGCGAATGAGTCTTCCGGTGACGAGGTTGTGTGCGTCGACCAGCAACGTGGCGGGATTTGCGGGAGCGAGGAGTGGGGGGCGTGACCTGGACGGGAGGGGTCGAACGGACAGAAGAGGGCTTGGGCTGGTGATATATGAGCCTAGGCGTCGCAGCATAACATCAGAAATACGGACCTTTGGTGGTACCCATTCACCTTGTTCATACGGGGGCGGAGGTGAAGACTCGGGTTGCTTGCCCCGGTCTCTCCATCTGAACGCTGAAGATCAGCCTGCGACCACGCATACATGCAGCGTAGACACTCACAGGCGATACACTGTAAGGCCTACTGCAGTCCCGATAAGAGCAGCGCTCAACGCAGTCGAGACGATTGAGCCAGCAAGCGTGCGCCGGCGCTTGGCCGGAGGCAAGTCTATTTGAACATGGAATGTAAGTTTCGGTGACATGATGGGGCAATATTCGACTTTGAGGGAAAGCATTTAAAGCTGGCGGATGGGATAAACGTGAGCTGAGCACTGTGTGTGCGTGTATGCGGGGAGGATTTCATGAAGTACGCCTGCATGCCAACACGTGCTGACAGCAATGTTCGGGCGCGGAGGCGATAAGCGGCGACTTATGCGAGATGTACGCACGTACGCCGATGTGTGTGACCTAATCAGAAGCTTACCTGCGACCATCTCTTCGATCTCGTCGTCCTCGTTCGTGTTCGCCATCATGTCCCTATATTTCGCGGGTGTGTCAAGATATCCGTTGGTGGAAGTGGGTATTGCAGCAGCGTGGCTCGGTTCTGAGTCAGAGGGCACCCATCCTCGTTTGCGCGAGAGCGGAGGTAAGAGGGAGGGAGAGGGGGGACGACGATGCGATACGGCCGTGTCCCCGTGCGTCAGGATGTCACTTCTGGCGTCAAGAAGAGCCTGTTTGGGTTGTGGCGCGGCCGAAGCAGACAGCTGTGACGGCGCTGAGAATGGATTGACAAGACCAGGGACGGTGAGCGTGAAGCTGAAAGAGAAGGGCATAGCGTAGTCGTCAAGATGGAGTGGTTAGAAAGGAGCACAAAGGCGGATGCTTTCTAACGAGGGCCATAACCCGAGACACGCACGTGATGGCAGCCAGCGGCAGCCTCGCGTCGCGTCGAGGCGCGTCGGTGGCACGCGCCTTTGCCGAGTCCATCCCGTATGGACATTGGACATTGCTCATTCTCGGGCACCATGAGATTCAATTTACTGATGGGTGACTTGACATTCAAGAATTATTCATTACAGTACAAGAGTTGATAGCTGCAACGTAGGGCAATATACGCCACCAGACAATATTGCAATTCTTCCGGCAGTACTGTCTGACGCGATTCCTCACTTCCGGCTAGCAAGTCAGTGACACAGCAGACATGCGTGGATAATCAGCTGTAGATGCGATAGACTTCTGCATTGTTATCTCAGTCAGACCGATCTTGAAAGTCCGCTGAAATGCCAACTTTGGCTGCGTCAGTCCGTAATGCGCCGACACGTTGGGTGCAGGCCGGGATCTATATCACGGGCATGCTGTTTCGGACACACACATAGCACACGCCTGGAGAGATAGCCAGCAGGATCGCGAATCCAGTCAAGCCGACAGGCTGCTTTACATACGCGTTGCAAGTCGAGCTGAAACCGCCTTCAGTGGATACAGGAAATGGGCATATGAGCAATCACCCTACACCAACTACTTGCTCCCCCTTACGGCAAAGGGTCCAGGGTCATAGAGAGTGCCTAGTGGGCTGTCTTCGTTATCAGCGTCAAGTACAGCCGTGACACGGTCCACATGTAGCACGCAAGGACGATGCATAGTTGTTGCTGAGATCATAATAACATGGAGCAGTTACAGGACAGTTGGATCTCGGGAGGAAGTCGGTCGTTCATGCCAGTAGCCAAGGGTCAGCAGGGTTCTTCGATATCCGGTATTTTTAGGAAGCACTCCCAGTCGCCTGCGGTAAGATTAACCGTCAGCCAACGGGCAGTCAGCTCACAGCGGCGTCGAGAGGCTCGGAGTAGGCGAACTCAAGGTGGTCTCGGTCAGGTTGTGAATTAGCCGAAACTACCCAAACACCGCTGCGATCGTGCCGTCGCATAGCCCTAGATTGCCGCCAACTACTCTGTGCAGCGGGCGCACACGGGTCTTTGTCACCACATTTCTGTTGTCTATCGGATACTCTGCAACCATAAGTGCACTGCTCTCTCAGTAGGACGTAGTATCGGTCGGGTACTCGCTATGTCGACCATCTCTACGCAGCTTCGCAACTTCAAGGAGCCGACAAAGGAGCAGCTCACGCAGCTGTTCTTCGCGCTCCCGCCCCCACTGGACCCACTGGAAGGCGAGAAGAGCGATGTAGACCAGCTGGAGAAAATGGAGATCAGTGCAGTGCTGGTGTTGCAGGACGAGCAGTCATGGGTGAGTGCAGGCGTCCTGGCGCGCGGGGATGTCTGACCACATTCTACACAACTGTCATGCATTACCGTATAGCCCGGGAAACTCTACCTCTACCCGCCATATCTTGCTTTCGCATCTCTCGACCGCAAGTCGACGCGTTTCACGGTCCCGCTAAGCACAATCAGGCGGGTGGAGCGGCTGAATGCGCGGGCGGGAGTGTATGCGCTCAGTCTGTCACTATGGCATGGCGTGAAGATAGTGAGTGCACTCCTGGTACGCATGAGATGTCCATTCACAATTTCCAATGGGGAGTAGGTCGTGCAGTTGACCTCATTGCGACCGACCGCGGACCTGTTCTGTTCGCTTTTGCGCGACTCGCTGAAGGTCGAGCTGACCCGCGGCCGGATGAAGTCTGTGAAGTCTTTCGTGAAGTCGTGCTACTCCGAGGTGTTGGTAATGACAGCGGAGAACGAGGAGAAAGATGGCGCCGCGGCCAAAGCGGAAGACGGTGGACCAGCGAACGAGTCCATATACCACGGAGGACTAGGCTTGAAGTTCAAATTCCCCGGTGATCCCAAGAAGTGAGAGCATGCCAGCTACTTCTGGCGTTTGCAATTACTCAGGCATGAGCAGGTTGCGCGAAGCATCTAAGACTAAGCTGTGGACGAATTATCTCCGAGGTGAGGGCCTCCTCAGGAACCTCTATGATGTCGCTGAGGCAGAATGGCACCAGCGCATGGTCGTAACCTCACTTTGCTACGATATCCTCAGTGCACTCGACTGGTGCAGGTAGGTCTCCCAAATCGGCTACGAGGCGAGATGTGGGAGACCCTCTCAGGCTCGCTTTACTTGCGATATGAGAATCCGGGCTATTACGAGCGTCTGCTAGAAGAGAACTCGGGTAGAGTGAACACGAGCACCGAAGAGATTGAGAAAGATTTGCACCGCAGTCTTCCCGAGTACTCTGCGTATCAGTCAGAGGAAGGCATTGCCTCGCTCCGAAGGGTTCTACAGGCATACTCCTTCAAGAACCCAGAAACAGGATATTGTCAGGTACGCATCTTGTTTCATGGGTGTTTAAAGCTAGAACTTTATTGCAACTCAGGCCATGAACATCCTGGCTGCGGCAATCCTAATGTGAGTGAAGAGCTTACCTCGCGCCAAAATATACCTCAACCTCGTATATAGTTACATGTCCGAAGAGCAAGCATTCTGGCTCCTGGAAGTCATCTGCGGACGTCTACTGCCTGGATATTACAGGTTTGGTGCCCGACTACCTCGCAGATCTGCCGAATTTTGACATGACATACACAAGCCCATCTATGCACGGGACATTACTGGACCAACGTGTGTTCGAGTCGCTTGTCCAACGGTGTCTGCCCATTATCCACGACTACTTCCAGCAAGTTGACGTGCAACTCTCGGTCGCATCGCTGCCGTGGTTTTTGAGTTTGTGCGATTGTATTGCATCTATCGCAAGTCATTTGTTGACGAATATGTGCAACAACCAGATTCATAAACAGCATGCCTATGGTGTTCGCGTTTAGAATCATCGATTGCTTCTTCTGCATGGGACCTCGGGTTCTCTTCCAAGTAGGGTGAGCCTCACATTAACGTCCATTCAACTGCGCTGTAAGCTGATTATCCTGCATAGGCTTGGTCAGTAATATTTGGTGTCAACTCTACGTCTGACTGATTGTGACCCATAGCGATCTTGAAGATCAATGGCGAGGAACTGTTGCGAATCCAAGATGACGGAGGGTTCATTCAGTAAGTCTCCCATGCATTCCTGGTATATGCAATTGCAATAGCCATCTTACGTTGATCTCGGAGGATAGGCTGATGCGCCGCTACTTCGCCACGCTGGGAGATTCAGCTCACCCCAACTCGAGTGATCCGCGTGCGCGAGCTATCACCAGGTTCCAAGAGCTCTTGCTGGTATCGTTCCGCGAGTTCGCAATCATCACCGACGACACCATCCTCACCGAGCGACGCAAATACCGATCCGAAATCATCAGTAGCATCGAGTCGTTCTCGAAGCGATCGGCTATCCGGAACTTGAGGACTCTGGCCAGGTTTAGCAAGGACCAGGCAGGTTTGATCTACGACGCGCTCTTCAAGGCCATCTGTATCGCACCGCCAACTTCCGTTGCGTTTCCCCCGCCCTCGCTTTTGACGACCAAGGACAATGCCGAGGAGAGGCCGGAAACCCGGATTGAGCTGAAGACCTTCAAGGTGTTCCTCAGTGAGATCTGCACTTGGGCGAGAGACGAGAAGATCGTCAGGAATGGCTTCCAGGTAGGCAACTAGTCTATAGTGTTGGTATGGCCAGAAGCTCACTAATTTTCAGCAAAGAATAGATCGAGAAGTAGCTGACCATGAGCTGATCGATCGCTTGTTCTTCTTCTGGGACATATCATACCGAGGAGCGTTGTCTTTCCAGGCATGTGATTCAGATCGGAGTGGTGCACACCAATGCTGATGCATTCGCGTAGGATCTTGTGTCCGGCTTGGATGGTGTTATGTTCAACGATCTCATGGAGAACATCGAATGGTTCTTTAATCTGCATGACAAGAACAAAGATGGATACCTCACTAAGGATGAGGTTCTCACCTTGTCCGAGTCGCTTTTGGTAGGTCATTTGCACAATTGTCGATGGTCTGTATTCTCATATGCGTGTATAGTTTATCTTCCGATATGAGATTGGTGACGCATACTTGGGAGCTGTCAGTCGATTTATGTCCAATGCTTTTGAGTATGGCGATGCTCTGCTGCCAAGACCAGAAGATGCAAACACTGACGACGATACACCCCCGCAAATCGAGTCAAACCAGCCATATATGAACCTGGCGACGTACGTTCTTCAATGCCTCCAGTATTCTCTGTTGTTCATCTGTATCCTAGATTCCGCATGGTCGTCTTAGCAGACGAAATTCTAGAGTCATTCTTTGAGTCCGACTTCTCATCAACGTTCCGATTGCAGCCCGTGCCCCTCGAGCTTCCCTCGTCCAACAGTGGACTGCTCGGCGGACTATGGCATAACATTACTAGCGATGACAACCGCAAAATCTTCAACAGCTTTACAGATCAAATCGGTAGGACCATCGGCAAACACCAAGTGTACCACCGCCCTGCCATTGGGAAGTACACCACCCTGGAGGAGCCGAAGGCTCGCGAGTCACTGCTTACGCCTACTATGCGCCGTTCAGCGTCGAAGAATAGCCTTAACCAAGCAGCGGCCGAGGGCTCCCCCAAAGACCCGTCAAGCCCCTCTTCAACATCTTCAGTGTCACCTTCGTCTTCATCGCAGCTCGGCGCTGAACCTTCAGCGACGATGACACCGTTGACGCCCATGCCCAGCATGTTCCAAGCAGCCGCTCAAGCCGCTGCGTATATGGAACGGACACCATTCGCCATCGATGATGCGAAGGATGAGGACGAAGACACTGAAGATGAGAGTGGGTTCGAGGATGATGGTGTCTTGGACGAGGTAAGCTGTGTGCCAGTGCTGTCGTCTCATGGACGTTTACTTATGATGCGCAGGTCGATGCTTTCCTGGAGGAACATGATACAGGCCTAACAGAGGCCGAGCGGGAGGTGGCAAAAGGTCTGTTGTTGATTTTGTAGCACATTCTTCGCCAATGCTGACTGGTTATCTTGGCGTAGATCTAATCAATGCCGAGCCGGTCTGAGGATTGTATGGATGGTCGGGTTTGTCGTATAGTTTCGCTCGTTCACGTTTGTATAGTATCTATCGCATGCATAACACGCTATCCCGATGCACATTACATACACATAACAATCCATGAGTACCGAAATAGAGTACAGATATGCTACAAGCGGAAGTAGCTTCCGCGAGGCGAAAGGGATCAATGACACAGAAGGTTTCATTGAGTTCCACGATCTTCCCATATACGTACAGTGAGGTCCGACTCCATAGACGCAGACGCTATCATGTTTTGTGAAGGATGCGTCTACACGAAATATGCATGTCGTCAACCACCGATTGTTGAGGAGAGAATTGCCCACTTACTGCGACTGCAACTACGACGTCTGCAAAGCGGTCAACGAAGATTCACGATTCTAGTCGGTGTACACCTACCTTGGTGACCTTCGAGCACCTGCACAATTTCACGGCTCTGAAGGTCCCACAAATAGACCTTGTTATCTTCGCTCCCGGAGACAATCCACTTGCCGCCTGTGACGCTGAAACATGCTGCAATACAGTACTTTTGGTTGGTGTGTCCCATATACGTCTTCAAGCACCGTGAGGTTTGATAGTCCCAAAGTCGAATTGCGCTGTCGTGCGCTGTCGAGAGAATATACTTCGAATTCGGAGAGAATTGCACGTGTTGACTGAGAAAGTTTGAGATAACAGCACGCAGGAAAGGGAAGAGCCAACTTACCATATAGCATCATGTCCTTCCGCAAGGGTTTTCAGGCACTGCCCTGACGTGGTATTCCAAATACGGCTTAAAAATTGGAGATTTTGAGATGAACGGGTTACAATAAAGGAGACTGCTTACATCAGGCCATCGAGCGCACAGGATACGATGAGACTCGCATCTCGGTTGAAATGTACTGCAGTGACATAATCCAGGTGTGCATGTATTGTCTTAATACATTTGGCTGCCAAGATATGAGTAAGGGATCGAGAATCTGGCTCAAAACGCATCCCACCTTTAGAAGCGTTCCAGATGCGCACATCGCCCTCGCAGCCGCCCGACACCAAAAGAGTCGAGGTGGTGTTGTAGTTGACACAAAATACAAAGCTTGTATGGCCTTTCAGCGTTCTGTGCGTGAGACCCTGATACGAGAATTCAACATATATTCGATACGGACTTGATCAGTGATTAGTTCAAACGTACGGTATCTACGTCCCAAATTCGAATTGTGTGGTCATCAGAAGCCGATGCTAGGTATACACTATCTGACGACCATGCAATGTCGGAAAGACCTTTCGTATGGCCATTTAGATTCCTGATGAGTTCGCCGGTAAACGGCGACCAGATTTTGACAGCTTTGTCGTTGCCTATTGTTTCTCTGCGTGAAACAGGGCTCCGGTTCAGTCTAAGAACATACACACCACATGAGGCCAGTAGCGTGCCGTCGGGACTAAACTTGACCGCTGAGATTGAGGAAGTATGTCCCCGCATGGTGTGTCGCAGCTGGTAGTGCGGTCTCTCCCGACCACTGGCTGTAGGTGGTGCGACTGGAGGAGGTGCCGGAGGCTCATGTCTTTCCGGGATCTGGGGATCATCCTCCGTTGTTTGAGAGGCTGCATCATCGTCGGTCGACGATTCATCCAGTCCCTTCAGGGGATCCATAATTCTGACCGCACGTGGAGAAGTTGCGTCAGAAAATTGCCGAAAAAGGCTACGGCTTGAGAATCTAACAACTGTCAACAACCCCAAATGGCAGGTGTCTAAGTTCGAGGTGGCACATTGCAGTGCGATTACACCAATCCCACAACGAACTTAGATATGACTTCTCCTATCTCATGAATATTACAAGAAACAATTACTATGCGATCTCTCAAACACTGAGATTACGTCTCTAGCCACTCTAAACTCTACAAATCAAAACGGCGCTATTGGGAGCGGTCGACACGACCAAGAGTGTTGCATGAGGACGGTTAACTGATTTGTTTTCCGGAGATGATGTACAAGGTTCACAGAAGCCACTAAATGTCTTGATATCAACCATAGCGGAGAACAGGCAAAGGCTTCAAGCTGCGTCAGGGCGATGTTCAGTGCCACGGCTAGCGCGCCATGTCTCTGCACCCTGCAAGCTGACGTCAGTACATGTATCACGAACAAGCTGTTAGAGGTATTGCACCTTCTGGTTATTGGCCCTCTGGTACTTAATCCTCCTCGCGAACCAATCGCGCGAAGTAGAATTACCGATAAACAGACTCGTATCGGTCGCCTTCGAGACGGCTTCGGCGATGATTGGGCTCTCCTCGGTCAGAGCGCGCAATATCACAGAATTTGTGGGTCTAGTGAAGAGGGCCAAAGACCATCTGGTATAGTGCCCTTGAGCACCCGGAGGCGGACTATCCGGAAAGGGTGCATAAGAGCGTGATGGTACCTGGCCAGTGGTTGGCACTCACACTACTCGGTGCAGGTTCGACTTGAGGATGCCACCGCTAAAAATGTACATCGCATCACCGAGATTGCAGACAGCATGACCAGGGATGGGCTTGATATACTGCCACTTGTCCGTCCCAGGAACCATGACTTGCAGACCTCCCAAGCGATTGTTCAGGAAAGTCTGTGACAATTAACTAAGGTAAGCTGGAGCCCTGCGGCTAGCAAGAATGATAGATAAACGGACCAGAGACCCGAAGTCAGTATGTGCACCGAGCGCCGCCTTTTCCTCTGAGATACCGCCTGGCCTCGGAGGACTCTTGATGCACCTTGCTTCGCTCCCGCTATGTTCCTCCAACAAGTGCCGTTTGTTGAGCGTGCCAGCTGGGAGACCAAGTTTCGCATTCATGATCTCCATGATCGTGGAATTTATCTCGGCCGACTTGCGCATGAACGGGACGATTGTCGACTCCATGCGCCCATTGACAGTCGAAGGATAGGTGCGGTGGACAGGCGTCGGCCACGCGAGAGCATCGTCTTGAGAGACGTTGATGAACTCTACGTTGTCGCGTGCGCCGGTCTCATCGACAGCATTAGCACCGGGTGCCTTGTATCTACAGATAGGAGTATCAGTGGACAGCGCGGAGTAAAACAAATGCGAAGGATGCACACCCGAATGACATGCCATCATCGCCTTGCTCGAACTTCATCTTCTCGTCGAAGGGAAGAGCCATAGTTTCGGCACCCATATCGAACATTCCGTTAACCTCGTCGTCGACACCGTGGTTCTTTAGACTACGTAGAAAAGCAGTAATCAGTCACTACGCTTGCTGCACAGAAAGACCTGCATAACTTACTACCAGAAACCGAGCGTAGTTGCTGCCATCCACAACTTCGATATCTCTTCCTCATTTCCAGCCTGAAGCAGGGTGTAGTCAACTATGAGCAGGGGGTGCGTAGGCACGTCCTCGGGGAAAGGTGGAAGTTGAGTGTGAATTGCCATTGCGCTTGCTCAGAGATGACGAATAGAACAAGGAGCTCTGAGGTGAGTCTGCTGGGGATGTCGGTGCTGGTTAGTTAGCGGTGGGAGTGCTTTTATATATGGCAGCCTGGGGTACAATTGAAGTATACCCTTCGTCATGACCTGGGAACGGGGTGCGCCTAGTCTGGCAGGCGACAAAGCGCGCAGCTCGACGTCGCCCCCGGAAGATTACAGCAGTGTGCACCGCAAGAAGCAGTCGCAGATCGTGAGCGCTTGAGCAGCCGCATCGAGCTTCTCAGCATACGACCCAAATAAGGGACCCGGTGTACAAAGTGGAGATATGGTAAACCCCCCAAATGCTGTAGTCGCCCAGACCATCGTCAGCATGCTTAGGAAATCCGTGCGAATCTGGTCCCCGCGCACCAGCAAATGTCCACAGGACGGACATATGATCAATTGATGCTGATTCCCCGCTGCCAGATTCCTGCCGATAGGAATTATCTATATCCTAAGTACGGATTATGTTCTCGGAGACGCGATTCCGCGTTATCAGATTAGCATCGACAGGGTCACTCGTGGAAGCGGAATGCCAGCTGAATGTGCTCGTGATTTCGTTAATCTGAGCGCTCATAATGCGGCGAAGGAATTAGCAGACTGACGTCGATATGACGCGTGACTCGGCCATGGATTGGTGGAACAAATTTCGGAGCGCTCAAGAATGGTCCTGAACGTTATCAGGGAGCGAGAACAGACTAACATCTCAGTACCTCGGCGGTTGTGGCATTGGTGTTCTGTTCAGCGAATATCAGCTAGCTGAACTTTGATTAGGACTCGGGTGACGTGCCTGGAGACTTCGCACAAACATCAATGCCTTCTGATGGTTGATTCGACTTCGTCGTCTACATCGTCTACAAGCATCAGAGACAAAACATTTGAGATGTATATCCACAATATGACCCAACACCAGCTCATGACAGTGTCGTACCCCGGGAGAACTGGGGTAGTTAGTTACATCGACACAATCAAACTGCTGTCATCCTGGCGTAGCGATGTAGTCACCTCGCAAAGCGTCTTGGACACAACGCTCCCATGTCGGGGATCCGATTGATAACGGACATGGACATGTTGCAAGCCTCTACTGCACCCTGTTACCCGTCTCCGAGGGATCTCGGATAATTCAACGAGTTGGGTTCATTTGAATACGACACTTGTAGGAACAATTCGGTTAGAATATTCGGTTTACGATTAGCGATACATAATAACAGCGCTGCCGCTAACTTCTTGTTCTTCAAGCGCCCAACCCTTGTCCTGTCAACATGGTCAGCGCCTCTACATACCGCTGTCGTGTCCCTTCAACTACATCCTGCGTCATAGTCCAGCCCTCGCCCTCGCGTCCCGCGGGGCCGCTCTCAAGACCCTTGCGAAAGCCCGTTTGAGTCAGCCAGTCTCGCAGATACTGCTTGTCAAAGCTCGGCTGCGGACCGCCGTGCTGGTAGCCCGCAGCAGGCCAATAGCGCGATGAATCCGGCGTCAGCAGTTCGTCAATGAGGATAAGTTGATCCTCTCCTCCGGTAGGCGACGGAACGAGCCCGAACTCGAACTTTGTGTCGGCGAGGATAAGGTCTCGCGTCAGCGCATATTCTGCGGCTTCACGGTAGAGCTGAATAGCGGCGGCCGCGATCTTATCATAAAGCTTCTGGCCTACCAATTTTGCGGCTGTTGGTGTGTGTGAAGTGTGAAATACGAGACCGAGGTAGGACAGGGCCGCTTACCTTGTTGTGGGGAAATGTTCTCGTCATGTTGTCCCTGTTCCGCCTTCGTCGAGGGGGTGAACAGAGGCTCCGGTAGTTTCTGCGACTCGACGAGGCCCTCGGGCAGAGGAATGCCATGTACCGTCCCTGACCTCTTGTACTCTGCCCAACCAGAACCTGGTGGCATTATGAGGTTTCGGTGAGCTTCATCTATCTCTAGTCACGCCATAGATGCATAGATGTACCTGTGAGGTACCCTCGAACGATGGCCTCTAACGGCACGACCTTTGCCTTTTTGACAAGCATGCTGCGACCTTCAAGCTGCTCTTTGTATTGTCTAGCCTCCGAAGGCATATCCTCGAGGTTGGCGGTAACGAAATGCGTCGGGAGGACATGCTTCAGCTTGTCGAACCAAAATAGAGATATCTTCGTTAACACTTTTCCTTTGTCAGGCACACCCTAGAGGTTCGGTGATCATCACGCAGAGATCACGGAACACAGCGAGACCCTATGTCATTTTACTTGATGCATCCCAAAAGGGCAAAGTGGACAAACATTGCGCAGAATGACATCGTACGCTGATATACGATCCGTAGCCACAAAAAGCAGATGGTCCGGAGAGGATGTAGCGTAGACGTCGCGAACCTTTCCCCGAGAGACCAGAGAGAGACCAGCGAGCTCGGAATTTAAGAGAGCGGAGGTCATGACAAGCGAGATTGCGGTACACAAAATCAAGATTCGCGAGTCAACTGGGTTCGGTGGTTGCCGGTATTGCGACTCCTTATAAAGTAAGTCTACAAGAACGTCCGTTTCGTTCAATATAAGTATTAATATTGCCCACGTCAGGGCATCATCGAGACCTCGGCACCATTGTTCTTAACGCTGTGTACGCGATCTTATAGCACTAATAACGGCACAAGTGATGACCCTTCTTGGATGTACTAAAGTACGAGACTAGGAAGAGAAAAGCGGATTCCGAGTCGAGATGAAGAGTCACAACAGAGCTGGACAATAGGGCATTGTGGATGCACGCGTTACAGTTTCGAAGTTTCTGACTACACAATGTACTGCCAGTGACAAATGCTAAAAGTGGCCACTAATTACAATAGGAGATTTATGGAATAAGAGTTAGAGATAAGTTACGACCAACACGTCGTCAACCCAGCTTGCATATCGCACGGCCTTCTATATCACTACTATTTGTCCGTAATTCATCGTAGCTAAGCATCCTCATGCTCAACACCCACACCGGCTTGCAATCAGAGAGACTCGTGGTGCCCAGTAAAGAGGAGCGTCGTTCCAGTAGTGTCTTGAGCGGGTAGTCCATCCATTGATTGACATCGCTGTCGTTATCATCGACGAAAACGACACCAAGTTGAACCCAGTCGCAGCTAGGAATAACCTTATCTGGCGTGCACCACCTGCATGCTTGTAAGAATGACTCGAGTCCGTATACTTGCTGGGCGGCAGGCACTATCATGTAGGAGGGAACTCGCCTGACCAGTTTATGGGAGTGCGGATTACGCGAAATCCACACGACTGCGTTGCGCAAGAACGCCCCCAGAGGGGTATCGGCCCACTTGACTGATGGCGCAGTAACATCGACCTCGTGCTTGACGGACAGGGTGTTGAACAATTGTTGCTCTGCAGATTCTGACTTCATCTGCCTCGGGTTATGCAGAAGGGTTTCATGAAGGGTAGATTTCTTTGCCGTCGACTCAGCAGGCTTCATTTCGGGGGCGGGAGACGACGCCGGTGGAGATGGCAAGTGGTATTCTCTCTGCGTACAAGTGTACTGCTTAGACGGAGGGCTACGCGAGACGATCGCCGCTGTTGGCCGCTCGGTGCGAAGGCTTGTCTCCACAGAGCAACGTTTCCTTGAAGAAGAGTGATGTGATGCTGACGACTGAAACTGGTCTGTAAGGTTTGTTACTGAGCCTAAAGCTTTGAGCCTCTTTAGCGGTCTCGCCGCGTCTTGGGTGTCGTTTTCGCCAATCTTGTTCTGATCCGCCATCACGCGCTTGCGGGCACTAGATTCTGACTTGCCAATAGCTTTGACGCACTCTTTATTGTCGATTTCTTCCAGCTTCTTGATCCAGAGCTGCTCAACACGCTTTCGCTTTAGGGGGCACTTCGCGCCGGGAGCCGATGGCTTCCCCCAGATCTCGTTGCACCAGTCTTCCACGTCCTTGTCGGACGGGTCACGGCCGACGATATTGTGTGCAATTTCTTGAAGCTCTGTCAAAGTCATACCGTCTGCCCAGGTACGCTCGCTCGCGCGATACACTTTAGTGAGTCGGGGGAAACGAAGTTCATAAAACTGTCGACGATGCAGGTCAGTCCAGCTGGTCGACAAAAGCAATAACGACGAACTCTGTTGTGTGGTGCTTTCGTGAAACCGGCGCCAAAGATCTCCACTAGCAGTGGCTCCCGTAGGAGGGTAGTAGGACGAGGTATCCCAGCAAACAGATTAAATTGGTAGGAGAGGCTACGCAAAGACTGCAACGGGGGAAGGAACGTCAGCAAGACCGTGTGCAAGAGACATTTGATATCGCTGCTCACGTTATCATTAGTATACACGATCGAGTCAGAGCTCTTGATCACGAAGTTGAGTTCTTCGAGTGCTTCTCGGCTCAATCCATACGACACCGTAAAGTATACCTCGAAATGGGGAAATATCCGGGGCTGTATATAATCATCAAGACCTGTAAGTAGCCAAGATCAAGGTAAGTACTCACGTCGGCTTTCATGACTTCTCTGTTGGATAGGACGCCCAAATAGAATGTAGTATATGCAGTAGGGGCAACTAGTGGAAAGATGACGAAAGGATAAGTAGGTGTTTCTTGCAGGCTGGGCAGAGACTACTCACCTCTCAGTTCTCTCGCGCGCTCCTTTTCCCAAGCTGCACCAACAATGACGAGATCGACAGTGTCCCCATAACCAGGGATATAATCTCTCTTCAACTGAGGAAAGACAGTCAACATACTGTCAGTCCAGAAATGATCAGGACAACGCTACCTTGATCCACGGCAACTGCCGCTCGTTGTATTTCGCTTCGTCTGCCTTCAGTACGAGACCTTCCTGATGGTCGGCAATGTTCCTTGCAAATGCATCCCTCAGCTGTTTATCGGGCGTAACGTCTTTGTTGGGGGATCTTTGTATGGTAGGAATTGCCTGGCGCTGCGCGAGCATGGAATGGCCGGGTATGACGCGGACGATCGATTCCAGGGTCTGGCGCCGCACGGAGTATGAGGAGTCCAGGAGCGACGCGTCATCCAGCATCAAAACATCGAAGAAAACGAGAGCCAGATGACGCGCGCTGTCATCAGAGGCGTTAGAATCGAGAGAGCACTGAGAACCACTGAGATAATTTGTTGATTAGTCGCTGATTCCGCGGCGCATACATCCAACACACCCGTCCTCAGGTTCTAGCGGTACTCCTTTAGATGGTTTGGTATGCCGGGGACCAACAGCCGTGCTTCCTATCAGACTTCGAATTCTCCAGAACTCTAAGGGCCATCAGGGACGTGATTCAGATCACTGTTTTCGGGATGCAAGAGGCGACACACCATCTACTTGACCAAGAGTATCTGAATACGCAACCATCTCGGCTTCAACGATCACGTTCTTCTTCACCCTGGATGCGTCTGACTTCAGCTGAAACGCATCGCATATAGTCCTGAGAATGAATTGCATGAGGCTTTTCTCGACTATACGAAACCTCCGAGCGACATACGGATGAATTGCAATGCGGTCCATGGTCGATTCACGTCCACTCTTGCTGTAGATCGTGATCTGTGGCTCACCCGAGATGATTTCCACATGGATCTGTGCCCGCTCGCCGTCATATTTGGTCTCTGCCCAGACCTTCTTCGACTCGGATAGCAAACGCAGAGACTGAATACAGCCTTGTCCTTTGACACACTTCGGTATCTGTCGGCGTAACATGGCTATGAGCACACTGCATCGCGCGATAACGGGCATACGGACCTGGACAGCGACCCCAACTCGAGGCTTCAGAGGAACGTAACGCCCATCAGTGAAACACATCTGCTCATACAGAAGCGCTGCATCCGCCAGGCGAGCTCGAACGCGAAATGCAGCCGAGAAGCGACCGCGATTATCCCACGCATACATTGCATTGCTTAAAGTAAGCGTCGTGAGAGCGTTACTGTTGTGCTGCAGCAGAAGCGCTGTGTAGTGCGTCTGGCCATCAGGTAGGGGATACAACAGTGGTCGCAAATCTTTTAGAATGATTTGGGTCGCGACAGACGCTTCGACCGGCGACAGAGCAGAGAAGAGTTCGCGGAGGATCGCTCGTCTGGGGCGGTGGCGCATCGTCGTGACGGTGGTGGAACTCGACGGATATCTATATGCCGGGGAGGAGAAGGCACATGTAGCCGCGAGCTCAGTGAGCAGCGCGTCAACCTGATATATACTAAGAGTGTTTTCCGTTGTCTAGAGGATAAGGTGTAAGTACACAGGCGTAAATGCGATGGATGTATGCAGTTACGCTTGTGCTCTTCTCTAAGACGTCTTGTACCTCATTTCCGAGGCAGCCGATCGCATTTTCACCGTTCCAGTTGACGAGAGCGTTGCCCCTGCCCCCAGGAGATGTTGAGACGCCGATGATCTCAGCTAGGTATTGCGCGAGTCGAGCTTCTTGCATTCCGTATTTACGGTCCGCATCGTGATCCGGAAAGAGCAGGCGGAAAATAATGGCCGTAGTTCCTGGCAGAAGGGGTGCATACCGCCGATGCAGCTCCGCCTGCCAATTTTGGAGAGTTTTTACAGCGCCGGAAGTACCACTGGGTGGTTTCACTCCTGGTTTCCGTGGCTTTAGTGCTGCAATTGCCTGTATGAGAGAAACAAAACTGATTTGACGGTTAGTTCCAATATGGGAAGGACGTGTTTGATCGCACTGCGAAGACGTACAACGCGAATGGTACAGGACAACCGGGGGTGGGGGGATGCTTCTCTCGCATGGTAAAGTTTACGTGCGGTATTACACAAGCTTCAAGAGCATGGGAGAGAATTTAAAGTATGAGCGCCACGGTCATGCCATCGGAGAATCAATGGAGATTCCCTCAAAGCAATCATCGCGACGCGTCCCATCACGTGCAAAGCGCGGTTCTGTTTTCTATTATTGGCATTTGGGAAGCTGGCAGTTTCCTGACAGCTTCCAGGTACATAGATCATGCGGTGCAAGAAGTGTCACGGTCTGAGACGGCACTGCCCACGTTGATAGGGCACACGGCGGTTGCACACACGAACTTTCACCACTTCACCGCCCACAATCGACAAAAATAGTAATCTCGCACCGGCCGTAACAAACGCCCCAACGAATCCTCGAGCTGAGCTATCTAGTCGCAGAACGTGATGGCAAGATCGACCTTTAGAGAGAACTCGTAAGTACTGGGATGTCTCGTAAAGTTCGGCTTACATTAGGCGCAGAACATTCAACACTTATTGGCCCGGGGGAGACTCCGTAAGGTTCTGTACACTCTACTGAAGTACCTAATATGTAGAGCGGGTCAACAACGATAAGTCGCTATTGATTGATTATTACTCACAATCGAACCCTCCGTCGCAACCATTGTAAAAGCTGTAGTCTCACCTATCAATACAAGATGAAGTCATTCTTTCCTCATCGTACTGACCCAAATCCTGTCGTGACACTGAAAGCATAGCTAGGTTCATCACAATCAGTGACATCTTATTAGGATGTAAAACGTGCGCGTCTTACGGGGGAGTAAGTTCTAGGGAAACACTACTACCAGTGTTGGTCAGTGTTGCGTTCACAACCGTGCAGCCTTCGCCACTGTCCCCACAGGAACCTATGAAATGAGAGCGTATCATGAGAAAGGCATCCCTAGGTACCAGCAAGAAATCACGAGCCCGTTTGGAGGAAACTGAAAGCGCAAAAAAGGATTCGTCAATTATCGAGAGAGCGAGAAGCCTTGATGAGAACTCACGAGATCAAGTCCACAAGGGGGCCGTCAGACGTGTATGATTCTCCTCCAGTGGACAGAACTATCTCGCCGTTCTCGCCCAACAAGTACGGCTGAGAGCAATACCGGTCAGTGCACTCATGTTATTACGTGCAAATTCATACTGACTACGCCGTAGCCACAGCTGCAATCATGCGGTCATCACATTATGAGTTTGCGCCCGTTGAAGAGACAGTGTAAGACGCACTTGTTCGTGAAGCTGACGGTGTGAGTTTCCGCATTGACCTTCGCCGCAAAAGCGGCGGTCACCACAGCGACGGCGAACGTTGCGAGCATTATGCAAGATTGAAATCCAGATTTTTATGAGAGCTCGTGGCAAGGGTTAGGGAAACCAGCCTGAGGGACACCCTGTCGAATTTATAACACAGAGAAGCGCCACAGAGTCTATAATCTCATCACCATGCCGGACAGATGGCGGCAAGAACACATCCATCCCCCCTGACAATGTTCATCTGGGCGGTGAATATCCTCGTCAGGTGCGCTCAATGCACCCGGCCCGAGAGCTAGAATCCACCATCAGCGGGGGACTGCACACCCAGAGTGTTAATGGCCGAGATCAAGTCCCGGCGCATCTGACGGGGAAATAGTACAGGAAAACAAGGAACAGACAGCAACTGGAGCAGTGGAGAACCTCACATATAGTCTAGATTCAAGGAGGAGACGAAACTCGTGAATAGGGTCGAAGCGCGACAGGTCGGGGAGCAGGTGCTGATGCAATATGCTGAAGATGTCACGCTGTACGGGTGCACATCAGTGACGTACGGCAAAAAACTCGACCGCAATCCGCTATTTTTTTGCTTTAAGCCTTCTTGAGACTCACAAAAACAAGAGGTCATACATTCTCGCGACAAAAATCGAAAGTGAAACTACGAAAGCTCCAGGCACGACAATATTGAGGCAGAGCGTCCGTTTTGAGGCGCGCAGAATATGAAGCCACAAAACTCACAAGGAGCACATGCGCAATGTGTCAAGTTAGACTAGCCGATACGCTTCTGAAGCTGTGTTGCGCACGAGTATGGCAGTTGACGTAGTCTCCATATTTGCACTCGGCACGGAGTCTCGCTCGCGCGCGTTCGACGGAGCCGCTCAAACAATGCGCAGTCACGTTATTATATTGGTGTCCTCGTCCTCAAAGGGCTTGGGACTGGTCCTGTTCCGAAGAGGTCATATGGTATCCTATCATCCAAATGCTTCCAAGAGGCAATGTCAATTTGAAACGTACATTGCTTGAGCTCATTGTGAGAAGTGTAGGCGTCTCTTGCGTATCACGCCCGGAAAAACCACAACGTTCGTGAGATGATCAAGGTTAGCCACCATGCCATCGTGGTGTTGATGAGCTAACCGTAGTCAGTTTTCATCAGTCTGGCTCCAATGGCAGCCGGGCGCGAAGCCTCGACATGCCCTAGCTCTCCATACAATCGAACAGTTCTGTGCATGGCTTCCCAGGCGCGACATTCAGTGGCTGGTGCCCACCCCGGAGTCTACAGGCTACTTCTGAGGCGTCCGAGTCTGAGAACAAGCGGTCGTTCGGTTGCCCAGTTACCAGAAACGACAGCCCCGCTAGACAGGCCTAAGGACCCCAATGATAAGCATGCAATGAGGGTGCAAGACTGAGTCTATTTCTCAAAGTGAGACAATATAATCCGAGCATACACTGGGAATACGTGCCATTGTCCTGCGTATATCAGACTTCAGTCCGAGCATGGTTCTGCCTAGTCTCCTGAGAGCAGAGTAGACAATTCCATCAACCTACGCCGGCTCCGGATGCCCATGTCTGACCGCGTAAGCGATCGCGATCAAGAAGCATTATTAGGGCCTGGTCAAACAAGCGCACGTTCCGCGCCTAACAGACTCCGAACCCAAACCCAAACATTGTCACCAACGCCCAAAACCTCTCCAACGCGACCCATGTCCCGCTCGCTGAACAAGAATGCGCTCAACACGATCGAAAACCTCACACGCGCGCAGCGCTGGGTCAACCGTCCAGCACGGCCGTGCACAAGACACCACTCAAGTCGAACAACGACAACCGACGTCTTCTCGCACCCCGCTTCTGCCAAGTACCTGACGTCGGCGACGGACGCCGCGCGGCTACCCAGCTGTGGCGGCCTGCCAGAGGTGCGCCTTGCATGCAGTGCGTCCCGCCGCGGACGCTGAAGTTGCCTCAGATAGTGGTGACCGGTACGTAGCCCATCGCGCAGCGCGCTGCAATCCGCACCTCACACTCCCTCGCTCACAGGCCGCGCGAACGTGGGCAAGTCTACTCTCATGAATGCGGTCATGGGGCGCGTCAACCTATGTCTTACCAGCAAAAAGGCTGTGAGTCGCTTCCCCCCCCTTCGAGGGTGTGCAGTCGCTCAACGCTGCGCACGATGCAGGGCCGCACGCAGATGCTCAACTTCTTCCGCATCGGACCAGAGCCGGGAAAGCTCGTCCTGGTCGACGCGCCGGGCTACGGCGACCGCGGCCGCCAGGAATGGGGCGCGCTGTTCGACCAGTACCTGCAGACGCGCACGGAGTAGGTGCGTCCCCCCTGCCCGCGCCCACCAGCTGACCGCCCGCCCCCGCAGGCTGCGCCGGGTGTTCGTCTGCGTGAACGGCACGCACGGGCTGAACGACCACGACCGCGCGATGCTGCAGCAGCTCGACGCGCAGTGCCAAGCGTCCGGGGGCACGCGGTGGACGCTGCAGGCGATCATCACGAAGGCGGACGCGCTCGCGAGGGCGAAGAACGGGCGCGGCCTGGTCGCGCAGATACAGCACGCGGTCTTCGAGGCGGCGCCGACATGCCTGCCGGCCATCGTCACGGCCGCAGCGCGGGAGCCGCATTTTGGCATCGACGAGGTGAGAAACAGCGTAGCAGAGGCGTGCGCACTTCGCTAGTGTGCACGGACACTGGGTCTTCTGGGACTGTGTCATTATTGCGATAGAGCAAGTATAATGCTAGAAGTGCTATGGATACAGCGAACACGTCTGAGAGAGAGAGAAGCGTCAAGACCCGAGTCAAAGCCCATGGCAGGTCCGGCGCGGGACAGTAGCTACTCCACGTCGAACAGCAGGATCTCCGCGACCCGATCGCCCGCATTCTCGACCTTCATTTCCTTCCCTGCCTCGCCGACGATGTACGCCCCGTCGCCCTCGCGCAGCTCAACAGACGCACCGTCGCCGGACACGCGCACCGTCGCGCCGCCCGCGGCCTCCGGGTTGTAGCCAGACGTCTGGACGATGTGCACGTACACCTTGCGCAGCGCGCCCGGGCCGTCTGTGGGGAAGGCGTGCGGGAGGGAGGCGGATGGGGACAGGAGTGTCGCGTACAGCGAGAGGCGCGAGTGCACGGGCGCGGGCCCGGACGCCTCGCGGGCGTCGGAAACGCCGGACTCGCCGGCGGGCGCGACGATGCGGGCCCAGGTGTCCTTCTTCTCTTCGTCGGTAAAGTGCCTGGGCGCGTCATTCAGCGCGCGGCTCAGGGCGCAACGCGCGCGGAGCAGCTTACCGGGTGTAGTACGTCGGCGGGAGCTGGCCCTTGTACGGCATGCTCCAGATCTGGAGGAAGTGGACCTGCTCCTCGCCGTATGCCTTCTCGCTGTGACGGATGCCCGTGCCGGTCGAGGTCATCTGCAGGTCGCCCCGCTTCAGGATCTCGAGGTTGCCCATAGAGTCGCGGCTATGTCGCGCGTCAGCTGGGATAATCGCACGCGCGCGCGCTTGCACCTGCACTTACTGCTCGAGCTGCCCTGCGACGACGTACGAGAAGATCTCGAACTCGCGGTGACCGTGCGTGCCAAAGCCGGTGTGAGGCTCGACGCGGTCTTCGTTGAGGACTCGGAGGCATCCGAATTGTGCGTGCTCATCATCGAAGTACCTGAGCGGGTATTCTCTGGGTCAGCGGATGTGCCAAGCCCGCAGTAGGCTACTCACGAGGCAAAGGAGAACGTGTGGAATGTCTTGAGCCAGCCATGGTTGGCGTTCCCGCGCTCGATGCTGCGACGAGGGACAATTTTCATAGACATGGTCGAGGAGGTGGTGGATAGAAGGGCTGCGAGGTTCAGAGGGGTTGATTTGAAGCGTGCTTTGAGCGCGTTGGACTTTGCGAGGCGAAGTAGGGCAGACACCTTGGTAGACGGGGAGGAGGGGATGCTCTATCCATTGCGCGGGCGAGGCTTTATACGGCGACGATATGTGAATGGAAAGTACGGATGTGGGCAGCGTTGGTCAGGTTCTTCTGACCGAGCGATCACACTACGAGATGTGTATTAGGCCGCGGTCCATATAAGGCAACCTGTTCACGGCTCACCGAACTTTTCGTCGGGACGCCCTGATCGAGCCAAAGCGAGTCGATCGTCCACCGCACTTTGCTCTGCTCCGTCTGCCATGGCCACCCTCCTTCCCCCGCCAAAGCGCCAAAAGGTCTACCACGGCATCCCAGAGCCCGTCCCGGAGCCCCCCAAACCATGCCCGAACGTCGTCGTGCAGTTTGTCTCCGAGGACGATGGCCAGCCCCTCGCGCCCGCCGTCAATCTGCCCGCGGATGTCTCCAGGGAGGGCCTCGAGGCGCTGGTCAACAAGCTGAATACAAAGGTGCGCCGGCTTACTCTGTACTTACTGATGCATCTCACGCCCGCGAACGGCTAGGATGACGACCCTGTTCCGTTCTCCTTCCACATCGCGCTGCCCGCGGACGCTACTACCGCAGGGGCGCCCACAAGGATAGCCATCACAAAATCTATTGAACAGGACGTGCTCGCACATCCATCACAACACTTCACCGCGGAAGACGTCTTCGTCGTGCGCTGCTCGCCGCAAGCCGTGTTTCGAGTGCGTCCTGCAACAAGATGCTCCTCGACGCTGTCTGGTACGCACCCCTGGCACGCTCGCACCGCCGACTCTGCTCACACTTGTTCCTGCTCCCATTTGTTCCTGCTCCCATTTGTTCCTGCTCCCATTTGTTCCTCTTTGTAGGGCATACGTCTCCCATTCTCTGCGCGGCATTCTCGCCGACCGGCAACCTGCTTGCGACAGGATCCGGCGACTGCAATGCCCGCCTATGGGATCTCTCCACCGAGACGCCGTCGCACGTTCTGTCGGGGCACAAAGGCTGGGTACTATGCGTCGAATGGGAGGCCATGGAGAGAAAACTGGCAACAGGTGGCCATGACGGGCATGTGCGTGCGGGCTGCTCCGCCGCAGCGTACCCGAATAAACTAATTACATCCACTCGCAGGTCCGGCTGTGGGATCCCAAAACCGGCAAGCCGATGGGCGATGCTCTGAAGGGTCATACAAAGTGGGTCACGTCCCTGTCATGGGAGCCCGTCCACCTGTAAGTACGCCAGTTCCCCTCGCACCGTGTTTCATCTGACATATACCAGAAACCCGTCCGCTCCGCGTTTGGCATCGTCTTCGAAAGACGGCACCGTGCGCGTGTGGTCGGTGGCGACCCGCGTCTGTGAATACGCACTGGGCGGGCACACAGCCAGCGTCAACATCGTGCGGTGGGGCGGCGGCGGAGTGGACGGCAAGGGTGTGCTGTACACCGCATCGAGTGACCGAACAATACGCGTATGGGATGCGAACGGGGTCAGTTGTGTTTATTGAACGATACCGTCTGTGCTGCTGACCGCCCGTGCAGGGCCGGCTATTGCATACCCTAAAAGACCATGCGCACTGGGTTACAACGTTAACCCTGAACACGGACTTTGTCCTGCGCACAGGCCCGTATGACCACACTGGAAAGAAGTCAGCCTCAGACAGCGAGGGTGAGTCCATCCTCCCGCATGACCCCGTCAGCCTTCATATCCATGCACTACAGCGCAATCGCTCGCACTCGCGCGCTACAACGCCCTCGCCTCCGCCAACGGCGAGACGCTCATCTCTGGCTCCGACGACCACACGCTCTTCTTCTGGTCGCTCTTCCCCGCGCGGGCGGCCTCCGGTGCGGCTCACGCGGCGGCGGCGCGCGGCGGGAAGCTGAAGCCCGTCGCGCGGCTGACAGGGCACCAGCGGCAGGTCGCGCACGTCGCGTTCAGCCCGGACGGGCGCTGGGCGGCGAGCGCCGCGTGGGACAACAGCGTGCGCGTGTGGGACGGGCGCACGGGAAAGTTCGTCGCGACGCTGCGCGGGCACATCGCGGCGGTGTACCGGCTCACGTGGAGCGCGGACTCGCGGCTGCTGGTGAGCGCGAGCAAGGACAGCACGGTGAAGGTGCGTGTTGTGTGTTGTGTGGCGGCAGCTTAGGCATGGGCATGGGCGGCGTTGAGCTGACGGTGGCCGCGCGCTGTAGATCTGGGACCTTAAGACGTACAAGCTGAAGACGGATCTCCCTGGGCACACGGACGAGGTGTACTGCGTCGACTTTGTCGCGGACAAGATCGTCAGCGGGGGCAGAGACCGCACCGTTAAAATGTATGTATTTGGATATACGCTGGATATTGTGTCGCTCATTCATTGCACAGTTGGAAGAATTAACTTCCGTCAGGTCATGTTTAAAAAAACCCACAATCCGGATCGTCATTACCGTCAAGTACATTTGTGTCTCTACCTGCATCTTGCATCATATATTCATTGCCGCTGCTGGATTGCAAAGTGCAAGCCTAGCGAGACGCTTCGTGGGGATACATCGCGCTGAGATTTTTCCCCAGCCCAAACGACCTCACATATTCTCTCTAGTCAGTTCTCCGGCATTGGCGCTTTCATGACAGCGGCGCGGGCGTATATATCATACGCTTCCGAGTCGCCACCTTGTCAATCAAAAACAATGATATTGGGGACAGCTGTCCACGCTACGCAGCGGCGCTGTGTTTGGTGGAGAAAAAAAGCTCGCGCCGTACGTCGGTGTGTGGAGCTGCAAAGCATGGCTGCCACCTCAAAGATGCGCTTTCATTGTCACCCACCTTGGGGATGCAGTATCCGTGTTTGCCGCCTATCCAACTGTGATTGGGTTTGTGACTAAACGCCAGATCAACAATATTGACTCGAGGGTCGAGCGCCTAGTGCAAGTGGTATGTCATTTCGAAATTGGCGTGTCTCGTGGTTCACAATCTATTACTTTACGAAGGCATCATGTTATGGTTATGTGGTAAAGTGTTTCGGGTACACATTCTGCTAAGCATTAGTACAATATGACTCGTATCTTACTCACCGCATATCGTTTATGTAGCTATGGGGCGCATCTCACTATGTCTCTGCTTGCCGCATACTCACCTACATTCTCCTAACTGGCTTCTATTTACCTGCTCCGCTTGCCACTGAATGCACGCATGACCGCTCGAAGGCGGGCGCGTGACCGGTGCTTGGTCCCCGATCTCATGGCGCGCCTCCAGATCACACTGACGCGCCGTAGGTTGCGCTTCCATTTCCGCGGCTGCTATATCCGCTAGAAACAAGCAACTGGGTTTCCCTGTGCACTCAGTCCTGCGAGAAGCTCCGATTCGGATCACTGGATCTTGCGTACATCACCTGCTAACTCCTTCCTAGTGATACGAGGTGTGTTCGGGCGGACATCTACAGAGATCACGTTGAGACATTGTTGGCGACAATGCTGTCTATTATTGTACCGTCTCATACACGTCGTCTAATAGGTGTTTCATCCCCCAAGAACATCTTGTTATTCTTTGTTCGCGGTGTACACCTGATGTATTCTCGCTCTCTACAAGCCAGAAGGGTAAGCCCTCCGCTTCTATATTGATCACGACATGCAACTAACCTCGATTTATGTAGGCCGCCGCGCCTCTATGATGATGGAACACGGATTTGGAGTGTTGTATCGTCAGCTAATGCTCCACGACACTCGCATTTCAAGATAGTACGTGTCTACGCTACACGTTTGCCGAGGAGTGCTTTTCAATATGTACCACGGTTTGGACGGTAAGTTCTCCACAGCACTATTTTCTTGTTGTGATACACAACAGATCTTTCGAGAGTCGGAGTTCATGCCGTCCATCGAGCTGATCCCTTACGAAGTGTCACCCTTAAATCCTTGCAAGACGAATTGCGGTCAGTTGGTGAGATTTCAACATGGTCTAACCCCTCTTGAAACATCGGAACGCACAATCAACATCCCTCTTTCATCAGCGGTAGTCAGTACCGCCGCCCGAAATCCCACAATTCGTTGCGGTTCCGCCATTGAATCGCGCGCTGTGAGTTGCCCTTGACGCCGTGGACGCCCCATACCCTTCGCCGCCCGACGACAGCTGGCGCCACAGCTGATCAGCCTCCTGTACCGCCGCTGTTTGTCAAGAGTGGCTCTATGTGTGACGAGGCCGCCCAATGATGTCGGGTTCTGGCTCTATAAAAGCCAGGCCACAGTACATGGAATCTCAGTACCTTCCCCTCTTCTATACATCCAACCCTGAAGACTCCTCGCAACAACTACTAACATGCTCTTCAAGTCCACCTTCGCAGCCTTGCTCACCGCTTCCATGGCCATCGTCCGGGTCAACGCTGAGTCTCACACGGTGACTTTTGACAACAAGTAAGTGCAGCTGTTTTGTACCTCCATGCGTAACTGATACCCCTCTTCTGAAGGTGTGGTACTGGAACCGTCAGTACCAAAGCGATACTTCACAACCTTCAGACGCTAGCCGCTAACGGCTCCTTGTATGTAGCCGTACTTGAGAGCCCAGAACGGAGACGTTCTCTCTACCGGGACTGCTTACACGATCGACGGCCCCCTCATCGGCGCCATCGCGTACGTGTTTATATTGTTGAGAAACTTGAGATACTAGGTCTCCAGGAAGGCTAACAATAATCAATATGTTTATAGCTACTTGCAGACAGGTTCGTGAGCCATGTATGTTCAATGATCGATGATCCTTGACGTGCGCCATATCGGCACGAATTATAGGCAACTGCGGCAACAATGGGGAGGGATGTACCCTCGTCGAGACGACTCTCGAGAACGGGCAGAGCAGCACTGATATCTCCCTGATTCCTCCGTGCGTACTATATCTCACATCAATAAACCGGTGTTCTTAACGTGCGCACAGTCACGCGTTCTCGGTAACGACCGGATTTGGGTATGTGTTATTTCTTCGACTATTCGTTCTTAAGGACTCACCTTGCGCGCAGATACTACAACGGCTGCGACGTCAGCGGATGCGACTGTGAGAGCATTTCCATCGGCGGTTGAACTTATGAGGTCTCACGATCTGCATCCATGCAGGCACTTCCGCTGATTGCACGGAGTGTGCTTTCTTTAATCCTGATGACACTTACGTGCAGGTTCCCTGCACAGTTGCCAACGTAAGTTTGAGACCTCGCCGTGCTACATGAGGTCCATCGAGGCTAATATATTTGACAGTGTGATTTGGTCATCACCTTCTGCGACTAAATACATCGCGGTCAAGAAAGGATATCTCTGTTATGGAAGTAGCGTTGTACTGTTAGCACGGCTGGTCATCCCGACGTTCATACACGATAAACCTACTTAAATCGGAGGCTGTAAATAAGACATCAGTTGCTTGTCCACCTCGTCGTGCCCTTATGAAATTCACGACTAACGGAAACCACTATTCGAAAAATGCAGTCCGCATTTCAGTCTACCATCCACAACCATGGCAAATATCGGCATACTCTGGGCCTCTGAGGTAGAGCTACGCCGGTATTCCCTTGCCCACATGAGTATACGTACTCGAAATGCATACGTATAATATTATGCAAAGCTGCTTCAGAAAATGTTGCCTTGTGTCGAATGTGGCACGTCTTGGCGTTCACCCGCCCACCGCCTTTCATTTACAGTGTTCTTGAAGAGTTGCCTATTTTGAGCAGTCTCTGATGATGAACAATAAGCGCCCCTTCACTACGGGCGCCTGCACCTCATGTTTATTGCCGCACTGCGACTGTCATGAAGTAGTCCTTCATGCATTCCCGCTCTCCGCCCGCGTTTTCTAGATCACTGGAGAGCATTTCATCCAAGTCCTTCATAGACACCGCCGGGTGCTCTCAATGCCATGCCCGACTCGACCTCGGTACCGTGGCCATCTCTGTACAACTGGGTTATCGAGGTATACCCCATCCAAGGTAAAGCAGCTGTGCAACCTGGAGGTGTCTACCTGTATGACTCTCACGGTGGGCTATCAGCACTCTCTTGCGTGCATCTGCTAAACGGGATTTGTACGCTCAGAAATATTCCGGTTCACTCTCTACTGGACGCTTGTCTTCTACGTACCAGCCTATGTTCTCTGCGCTATATACGCGTTCCTCAACGTTACCTTTCCCCCACGGCCCGCGACGCACACACGTCCTCGTTATAGGCTGTCATCTTCATTTGCGTTCTCTCCCTACTTTAGGGTTCCACCCGCTGCAGCGGCCGACATCCCCTTGATGGCGCCCGGGCAACATTCATCTCCTAATCCCGGAACTGATCCTACGCTCGCGCTCGTGTATCAGTATCGTGCGCTGTGGAAGCCGAACGAGACACGCTCGCGTGTTACCCTCGCACTGCTAGTCTTCTTGGCGTTTGTCGTGTTCTCTGTTGCCGGTGCTGTTGTTGGCTCAGCAGTGATCGGCTATGTCCTTGCTGGCTTGTTCAAAGCTGGCGACTTCAATATGTCGACGTAAGCATTTTTCTGACGTCGTGGCCTCCAGGTTATTGACTCAATACGCCATAGATGGATACCATTTCTTGGAGGATTACTGCAGTCGCTTGTTGGTCTTCTAGGGTGCGGCCTACGTGGATCCTTGCTATTTGTATTTGCGCACTCATATTGATGTTTGACAGCTTATGGCCTTCGGTCGTTGATATAATATAAGTTTTATTTGCAGACGTCGAACCAGATGCTATCGGACACTACTGTAGCATATAATCCTCCAGCTATCGCATCTCACTTGGAACATAGAAGGTTCAAAGGATACATACATCGCATTGTTATCGGAACGACTCTTTTCTCTCGGTCGTAACCTACTACAGCGAAGATAACGACAGTGAAACATGGAGCCATCTAATCCGGCATATCGCATACATACTGTACATAACACAAACAAGCAATATTGCAGACGAAACTGCCCTTCAGAACCAAATACCTAGGGGCGTCTATCAGAATTGTTGACCACGGGTGATCACGTCTCAAGCAGAAGGCCTGAACCACTTCAGCTGCAGGGCAACCAGCACCACAGGGAGAACACTGACAATTTCGCCGAGTCCCGCATAAGCAGGGGCAATGCGAGCTCTGACGAAGGCGCCCGCGGCAAATAAAATCGCAACCAAATTGTAAATCGCCGACCAGACGAAGTTCAGCATGATGCGGCGCTGTACGGCCTCGGAGAGCTCGAGCAGGATGATAATCCCAGTAAGAGACGGGTGAGTCAGGACTACATCCGCAGCCGTGGAGGCCGCAAAGCCCGCCCCCTCGCCGGTGTGCAGATGCACACCAATGTTAGCTTGCGCCAATGCGATCGCGTCGTTTGTGCCGTCTCCGCAGAAGAGTACCTTCTCCTGCGTCGCGATAAGTGCTTTGATGTATGCTTGCTTGTCTACAGGCATGCACGCGGACTTCACGTTGTCACCAGGAATGCTGAGGCTGTCTGCAACCGTGCAGACCGCGGCAGGATGGTCGCCGCTAAGAATTGAGACACCGATGTTGCGTGCCTTGAGAGTAGCCACCACGAAGCGGGCCTCGGGCCGCAGGGCGTCTTCAAGTCCGAACGCTGCGACAAGCTGTCCGTCGTACGTGACGCAGAAGGTGGTCAAGCCCTGTCCGAGAATAGGAGCGACGACGGGGTGATTGATCGACTCGAGCCAGCTGGCACTACCTCCGCGAATGATCCCTCCAGCGATACTGCCTTGAATACCAAGGCCAGTCACGACTTCTATCCCGCTTACATCCGTCTTCTCGTCATTCGCGGCCGAGCCAAGGTATGCAGCCACAGCTCGTGCGACGGGATGCTTACTGGACTTAACCAGCTCGCTGATAGCCGCGCGTGCATTGAATATGGGCATGTCGAATATCTCGCTAGCGACGACCGAGAGTCGACCCTGGGTAAGTGTGCCCGTCTTGTCGAACACGACGTGAGTGATGTCGCGCGCCGACTCGATCGTGGTTGCGGCTTTGAACACTAATCCGTTCTTCGCTGCTACACCGCCAGCTATGAGAATGACCATAGGAACCGCCAGACCGATCGCACATGGGCACGAGATGGCCAGCGCAGCGATGGCGTACGTTAGCGCTGTAACTGCCGCCTCGGCGCCAGACTGTTTACGAACGGCAAGGCCAACAGCGAGCCAGACGAGGAAGGTGGCGATTGCAACCAACAGGACTACCGGGACGAACGAACCGCAGATGCGGTCCACGGTAGCTTGCACCCTAGCGCGCGAGAACCGGGCATCGTCCACCATAGAGGCAATGTCACTGATAGTATTTTCGCCTGGAAGCCGTGTGACTTCGACAAGCAACGAGCTTGGCCCGTTCACTGTGCCCGCAATGACTTTGCTGCCGACCACTTTGGCGACAGGGCGCGATTCACCGGTCATCATCGATTCATCGACCTCACTCTGCCCGTCGCGCACCACACCGTCGGTGATCACAGCCTCGTCTGGGGCGATCTTGATATGATCATTGTAGTGTAGCAATCGCGCATTGATCACTTCTTCCAAGCCGTTCGCATGCACAAGTGTTGCGGTCTCTTGCTGCAGCGCACGTATGGATATCATGGTGATGGCGCGCTGACGCGCACAAGCGCTCACAAGTTGCCCGAGGATGATTAGCGTCACGAGGAGCGTGCTTGTCTCGAAAAATTCGCCCGACTCGAGAGGATGCCCACGAATGCTGAATGCGAACGCTACCACCGAATAGACATACGCCGCCGTGGTGCTCAAGACAATGAGCAGGTCTGTTTCCACGAGCCCCGAGAAGAACAGGCTCTTGAATGCGCCCACGTAGACCGGCCCTGTGATTGCAGTCTGTACGGCTGTGGCAAGGACTAGCGACGCAATAGAGTACGCGTGCGGGTTGGGAGGAAGTGGTGCCCACGCCATGACAAGGACCGGGATCGTAAGCAGGGCCGATGTAACTGTACGCAGCGTGAGGGTGCGTATGTGCTTCCTCCCGGCAGTGATCGCAGGATCGGGTGGCTCTGGCGCCAAAATGGGAGAGAAAGTCTCGTAGGCTCGCATGACATCGCGCGCACCCGTAGTTTCCGGGTCATACTCTATATGAACTGTATCCTTGTTGATGCGGATGGCCCTCTCTACACCTTTCGGCAAAGGCATCGCTAGGAATCCACTGAGAAGCAACCTTTGGACTGTAAATTGCAAGTCGCGCGTCTTGCCAGCCTCAATTGTTTCGATCGAGAACCCCGTCCGCGTCGCGATGACGTGCACAAGCTCTTGCAGGTCAGCAACGCTGGTATCGAAGTCAAACTCAGCGCGGCAGAGCACCAGGCTAGTCTTGACGTTGTGGATCGCCGGGATGGCCCTAAGGACGCGGATCATCTTGTTCTCGCAACCCGTACATGTCATGCCCCTAATTGCCAGGACAGCGTGCTGGTCAGGGGTGATGGTGGCCTTCTGTGATATCTCGACTTCGATGTGGCCCGATCCGGCGACCGGTATCTTCTCGTGTGCATTCTCGCTGCCGTACACCTCCTGTCCGGATTTCACGACATCGCACTGTCCGTCACGGCAGCAAGAGTCCAGGGAGATGCGCGATGCGGAATTATGCTCCATAGAGGGCTTGCTAGCACCGCAGCAACCATCTCCATCGCAGCAAGAATCCACCGACACTCGACTAGAGCGACTGACGGCTTTGTCGTAGTGCGAGCCTGTTGAGGGGCGCTCGGAGGTGCAACAGCCATTTCCCTTGCAGTGGGAATCTACCGACTTGCGACTTCTGGCGGAGGTGACAGAAGGGGCACGGGAAGAATAGATGGAGCGAACGAGTCGCAATGACGAGTGGTTGTTGTGCGCGTGCTTAGTCGTGCAGCAGGACTGAAGACCGTGAGCAAGCATTGCCCTGCAGACGCAGCCAAACATGGCGAGCGTGTCCTGGTAGCGCTTCCGCCGAGCGAACATCTTGTGCTGTCCGCACGCTTCACTCGGGAGAGGTTCTACGTTGGTCGGCGAATCGGTACGTGCGGTGTGGCGGCTGCGCAGCCCGTGGGTGCATTCCCCACCGTTCTCGCTGAGCTCTACTCCGGAAGCCTTCATGTCCAGACATCCCTGTTCAGGGGCCAGTGTCTCATTAGAGTAGACTATAAAAGCCGTAAAGCTCGATAAGTTCCAAGCTCAGAATGTGCAATGCAGACTCATACTCACTACCGGATGACATCGTGTCCAGATTAGAGCAACACGTAGTACAATCCATCGGATCGTCACTAGCGGTATGTTCATTGCTCATATGCTCGTGAATATGCCCAGCATCGTTAGCACAGATCGCTCTGGCGAGCTGTTCCAAACAGGAATCTAGAAAGGCCAAGTCGTCAGCATTTAGATCACGACTGTCAATCCGAAAGCAAGACAATACAACGTGAAAATGCCAACATCACAACACGAAAAGCTGGCACTGACGAAGCTTGGGACTTATAAAGACAGCGGATGTAAGGTACAACTTTTCCATACTATGTCGAGTGTTGCGTAGGGCTCGAGACAATCAACATGCAGCGCCCGGGTAACTTTGAACCCCTGATAGCATATCGATGCTGGTTCAGCACTCAATTCGCAGATTCCCAGTAAGAGGTGCATATAGGACATGGAGATAATCCATACGGAGTCCATACTCTTGATCCAGCAGAATAATTCCCGGATTTTATGTGATAGTAGACCTCAAAGAAATCTGCTCACCGTCGCAATCGCAAGCGCTGCCGTTACAACAACCGTTATTCGTCTGTTCCACCGCTGGTGCAGGTCCATGGTTATGACCGTGCTCGTGCATTTGCTCCCCTTGATTGACTTGCGTCGGTTCAGTGTCGTTATGATGGAGGTAATGACTAGCCATGGTGGGAATGAGGGAAGGAGGTCGGGCGATAGGGCAACCGCAACCGCAGGGCAGCCTGGACCGCTAAGGTAGAAATTCTGCCGGAAACCCGCGAGCAACCGCGCCCGAGAAACGCCATGTGCTCGAGGCGCACCATGTCCGTGCGCATTCAAGCTTGCATACATTCTGCAAGACCATCCCTCAGTCTGTTATTCTGCGCTGCATCTCAGGCAATATCTACCTCATTTAGGGAGTTACCTTTGCAAATGGCAAGCCGCGTGACCGGAGTCATTCTTGTGGGAAAGCGGCATGCACATAGCGAGCCTAGTTATTAGAGCGTCGAGAAAGCCGCGATAAACGGTTGCCACAGCCATGGGAGAGGCTGAAGGAGGTTGCAAACAAGAAAAAGGATGAATAGATAGTTGCATGTCGCATGTATATAACATGATCGGTGCGGTACTCAAGACTGGTGCGGTCCTCCCTTACCGTCGTGACTGGTCCGACTTCACGTTTGCCACTTACCCTGCTTTTGATTTCAGAGTCACCGCTGTTTGCCCGCAGCAGGTTGCGTGACGATATACGGTCTAATTTCAATGCATGTGAATCTGCCAAAAACGAGGATGTCTGGGCACGAGTCGTCGGTCAAAACCGCTCCAGGAATGCATTTTTCTCTGATTCCGCGACTCCAGAAAGGTGCACGACGAACGAAGGTCTGTAGTGCATTCTTTTATATGGCCGTGTTTGAACTCTCGTGCCCTCACAGTGTATGGAAGCTCTGCACGCCACCCGTCGTTGACCCCCTTGTGCAGATGGGTGTGTAAAAAGCATGAGAACTCCTTGGTGAGCATCTCTCACAACGGTTTCCCAATTTCGCATTTTCTCTGGCAGCGACGCATAATGGCGGAAACACAAGCCATGTGTATCCACCACGAGTACATGGATTATATTCTCAATCCATATACAACCAATCACGTCTCCCAAAAGCTATACACAACGCTCGATCTTTGTTCCCGCAGCCAAATCGTCTGAAGAGCTTGTACTCGTCCCTCAAACATGTCAATTTGATGCCTCAGATAGCCTCTGCGTATAAAGACTTCGAAACCTCCATAGGATTTACTGTCTTGTTTGTCGGGAGGCATTGTCGGATACGGGTCAGAGACTGCGAGTGATTAATCTGTGTTGTGGGTGCTTCTCCTCTTAACAGACACTGCCATACATCTACGCCGCGACAACACAAGCCTCACAGTCATTATCCGAGTCTCTCGCTCAACGTCGCTCTTGTTCACGGTCATTTGACGTTGAGCAGCCGCCAACGTCCTACAGCGCTGTATTTCGTCATGCCTACCCACCGCACGGTTCTACCGCATTCACCCACGGTGCCAACCATAACAAATCCTCCGATAATCCGATCCACTCCACTACTTCAATAACAATTGCCGATATATTCGGCTCCAATCTCCGTCTGGGTCGCCTCTGCTGACAGAACCACTGAGATTCAATACTACTATATTTCCGATTCTCGGGACGGCGTACCTCTCGTTATTCAAAACAAGGTTCAAACCTCCCCACGGGTCCTTCCACTAGCGCTCACGCAGTTCAACATATTCCGGGCTCGGTCATACGGGCGCCCACCATGTCGCACCGTTTGAGCGCTGGGGACTTCTACCGCCATCTAACCCAACACTCCGCATTCACAGACGACACAGTTGCACCCTTGCGTTCAATGCTCGCGGCTGATTCTGGGCTCATCTCCGTGTAACTTCTCCCGCCCGAAGAAGAGGCCCTATTCGGTTCCGGCGCATTCGCCAATGGCAATACGTCGTAGTAGGTACTGGAGACGGACTGTGCATAATATGCAGATATCCACACTGACTTGAACAGTTACCCACTATTTCACATGTGGTGGGAATACCATTGACTGTCATTCGATGGCACTGCATGAGCCTTCGTTAGCTGGTGCCCTTGTGTGGTGAGGCTGTACTGCTGATGAATAGACGACTTGTCGTTCTCTCCTCACATAGCACCCACCATCGTCACTGAAACACGTCTGCGGAATTTCGTCCCACGCAGAGCGCTATTCGGGCTTGCCCCGCGACCAGACTGTAGTTGGCACGCTGTTCGCCTCTATTCCGCTACCGCGCACACAATACAACGCCGCCACACCGACAGTTAGGCTCTTCCCACTCGTTGGCACGTTGGCACGGCCCACCGGCGCAGGCGCCAGGCAGGTTCGTTCCGGAAGCCCTGTCCAGCACGGAGCTCAGGCGCATTCCCATGCATTCACCTATAATCCGCTTCTGCGTCAGGTCCCCGTCGTCAGCGAGCGTCTGACGTACCACGCTTCCTTGCGCATTCTCATGGTTTTGCGCCTTGGGCCGTGCACAGTACGCCAGATGTTCCCATGCGGCGCTTACCGCCGCCCTAGCCGCGGTACCGAACTGTTGCCTATCAGGATGGTTGTCCGCCGCGCAAGAAGCAGGAGTCGCGCGGAAGTAAGCCTCTGGGTTAACGGCGACGCCATCACATCCGGTCTCCTGCCAACGCGGACGGCCAGGAGGGAAGATCCCTGCTCATCAGCTCGTATCCTGGCCGTCGTGGGTGCGCAGCATGACATTGCTGAGAGCAATACGACGATGGGTACGGCTCGGCCTTCATCTCCTCGCCTGGATCCTGATGCTTGTCGCGCTCACGTGCATCGAGATGCCGGCGGGATGGCTCTGGGCGCCCATGCTCTGTGTATCCCGATTGTCCACCGTGGGTTATGCGCTCCAGCCCGCTTCATGTGTACCGTCCGGTTCCCATGGGAGCGCCTGTCCGCGTCTTCTGTGGTCGGGCTCGCGGTCAAGAGTTGAGGAGAAAGCCCGCGTCTTGCCCCTGGTTATTGATAGCACACTCGCACGGGCCTATCACTGGAGGGCCTCGTCGTCGTCGACCCAATGACCGAATGATATTGATGTTTTTCCATTGTGGGTAACGTTCTTCTCCACTGGCCGCTGCGAAAGTTGGCGGCCTGCGTTACGAATTTTCCTGAACCATGGTCATAGGTGACGCCCATTTGACCTATTTTTAGACCAGCCGTGGATGCAAGTACTTTTTGCACAGGAACATATTGGATTTCCCGTCGGCTCGGGCGTATGGGAGTATGGAAAACTGCAGGTCCATACCCATGCATGCACAGTCCGGTATAATCCAAACTGCGTGGTCGTCACATACTCGAAAGCGGCCCGACTCCGCAATGACCGCTCGGTAACAATGGAGTGCGGCTTGGTAATAACATGTCAACTCCCATTCCATTCCTCCATTCGTCAGAAGTGGTCTGGGTGCGAACGTAGCAAAGTTCACCTGCTCAACATTGCGACTACGATCAATGCACTCATCGGCCGTACACTCGCGAGTCGCAACGAGGGATCCAATTGACCATCTCAAAAGAACACGTCTGCTCGCTTTGCAAGTTTCGTAACGTTCGTTAGCCCAACTTTTTCACTTGAAGTGACAGCAGCGCAGAAGTACAACGCGTTAGGCTCTTACCCGACATACGTCCTCATCTGTCCATTTTCAACTCCATCCCGAAGCACAAGCGATGGCTGTTTGATGCATGATGAAAAGGACAATGCTGTTACCGGGCCCTTCCGAGGAGTCTGTTCCTTGCAATTGCAATTGCATTAGACGAATGTATTCTATCAGTCGCCGCTGCAGAGTTCCATGCACAAATGTTCTGCATCCATCCATCGCGCTGCGGTTGCAGTGTGTGAGCGTATGCATTCTTGGAACAAATTCTATTCCTACGTGTGCAAACTCCTTGAGTTATGAGTGAACTAGGCCGGCGCCCTACATGGGGCCACTGAACATAACTTACCTTCTGTCGGCCTCGAGGCGATATTCCCACAGGCCACAGCCTTTGCTGGTGGAGAACAAAGCACCGGACAGCCACTGTACGGTATTCGCTTGCTCCGCATCCTGTTATCGATCTATATCATGCGCCACACCGAACGCGGGAGAGGCTCCGAGCTTGGCGCCCGTCGATATTAACATGAATCTGGTGAATGTTGAAAGCCCGAAAGACAAGCCCCCGCGCCATGTAATGGTGTGACGGGTGTGTACTTCACATAGTCGTTGTTCAAGTGAGAACGCCCCAGGTGGATAGATCGCGGCACTATCTTTAGCGTGGTACCTGGATTGAGGCAGGACGGAACTGCCTCAATTGACGCATCGTAGTACCTTCTGAGCGAACGCCTCCGCTGCCCCGTGGCGCGACGAATGGCTGTCAATCAATCTAATCTGAAATGCTCGCTCGGCATGTTAGCTCTTAGCAGAGCGCAGAACGTGCCTTCCCCCTCCCCGAGGCCTGAGTGCCAAATCCGGGGCGGCATATGTACACACAACGGATCTTACAGCCGCCGAAATGGCAGCACAAACGCGAACAGGGTATTCCTGGCGCGCTCCGCGGAAGCTCGGGCCTTGTGCGTTCACACCCAGGGCGATGTCGAGCGGGATACCGTCAGCCTCCTGCGTCGCGATCTGCGGATGCCCAGGAAGCCCGCGCACAGTGCGTGCGAGCCGACTTTCCCCAACGCTTTTCACTTGCATGGATATCCGCTGACATGCTGGCGAGGCCCGGTGGCTCGAGAACGCGTTCGTCGCTAGTGTAGTTCCCTGTCGGTGCCTCTACGGGTGCGCGATGATTAGCGTCGCCCGTAGGGCTGGCCTAGCTGCAGTAGCTGTATATGGGTCTTTTCCTTCCCAGCGACGCACCTGATGATCTAAATCCATCATGCATTCCATTGGCATGGCGTGCGCAGAAATCCAAGTAATGTTCTATCGTCCTGATCAGGACGACGGTGCCTCGGTGACAGTCTGGAATCCGGCGAAGCGTCTTGATGCCTGAGGCCCACGCAAGCGCAGCCTGAGGTTCGTGCACAGGACAAGTGACCACTATAGGCCCTGAACCACGCACTGACGTCCCTCGACGTCAGCGCATACACCGAATATCTGCGTCGAAGCCAAGCAGCAGAGATCACCTGGGTGCCGCGATGATGCAGACGGTGGGTGCGCGAGGGCGATAGATTCAGCACCAAGAGACGATCATGAACGCGGGCATGAGAATGCAGCGATCCGCGATAAGCACGTTTCAGCTGGGGCGCGTGCGCTGTGCGTCTCGCGACTCGACGCAGCTCGCGCCCTAGAATCGAACTGCGCCGCTGGCGGTTTCGATTTCCCTGCCAAGGCCTGTGCCCATATGCATGGGGGTGCCGCGAGCGCCCAACGCAAACGCAAGCTCCGGACTGTCACTGCCACAGACCAGCCCGCTGCTGATGGTGCGAAAACAAGCATGATGTATGTGATGATGGATCGTGATGGATCGTGACATTTCCAGCATCACCAGACGGAGTCGAAAACGACAATAAGCTGTCCGCTCCAATCACGCTGGTGCACTGTGCGCGGCGCTAGGCAGGGGGTGGGGATGAGACGTGCCATCGCGGGCATCGAGCAGGCCCGGGCAGCCGTGGAAACGCGAACGCAGGAATTCCGCCCGTCGAGGTGAATTCGCGTCTTCGCGTCTTCGAGAGGAGCCCGCACGCGCTACCGTGCTGCCTATTTGGGTGCGTCCCGCGCCCGAGGCCACAGTTCTCGTCGTGGAGGCTGTCATCTCTGCTGGGAATTCGAACGTGGCCGCATGTGAGTGCCCTTCGCCGTTGACGTTGAGGAGCCGCGGGCGCTGCATCCAGCAAAAAAAGAACGCCAGCGGCCAGCGATTGTCCCTGATGGAGCACTTTCTTCACAGGATCCTCAACGTTGCACAACGCCTCCGAACTGATCACCGTCGCTAGCGCAGACACACCGCAACCGCAGCAAGCCTGAACAATTTTGCTTCCCACTCGGTAGCGCAGAAAACCGCCTGGAACACGCTATCGGATGGTCGGATGCGAGCCGAGGAGCATGGGACGCGCTCGGGCGCGCGACGAGGGGCAATAAGATAAGTGTAAGCTTCGGTGGTATTAGTACAAGCAGCTGCAGCTGTGCTATGGTGTAATAAGCTCGGTGCATTACCAAACAGGATAAACGATACAGTGCGGTGTGAATAGACGACTTAGTGACGTGTAGGGTAGGATTATGCGAATCTACGCATAACGGGCGGGCGTGAGAGTGCAGAACGCAGAAGACTTGCAGGAAACTATGCGAAGGACCCATGCCGTGATGCGGGTATGGTGGCTATGGGGGCGGCAAGAATGGGGTGCGTGGGTCGTGCTTCACGGCTCGAAGCCATATTCCACGGCGGTGCGGCACGCGTCGTTGGACGACGGGTCTTGGGCGTGCTCCTGCAGGCTGTGCCGCGTGGCGAACGACGCGTCGCATGCGGGGCAGGAATGTGCGCAAAGACGTCTCTGCGTCCACGGCGCTTGCGATCGATAAGCATCCGAACGCGATCGTTTCGACGAATGGGAAGCCTACGTAATGTCAGAAGGTCAGAACGGCTATTCGGGACGAGGAGAGCAGTCTGGGGGTAGGTGGTCGCTGCATGCACTCGTTGCAGCCACATCCGGTGTGTCTACCTCTTTATGAGTGACGTTCTGCCGAGGGAAACTCGCCTCGGATGTAGCTGTCGAGGTGCAGAACCGACCACAAACAAACCTATCCCCAGCAGCCGCCAAGAGAAAGTACTCACCATGTCATCATCCGAATCATGCACATCAACATCGGCCTTTCGCTTCAACAGAGTTGACGATGGTGGGGTTGCGAGTGAGGCTGAAAAGCCAAGTCAGGCAAGGGGCGGCAGTGGCGGCAAAGGACAGAACGTACCAAGGGCGGTTGTGCCCATAGCCTTTGCGAGCTTCTCTCGCCATAGCAGGACACGGTGGAGACGCGTCTTGTACGTGTCGTCCGGCGCAGAAGTGCGCGCTTCCTCCTCGGGGTCGGACGAACAGTATGACGAGCACACAGACTCGTCCTCTTCGGAGTCGGTGGACGAGGAGTACGAGGAAGAGGCGAAGGAGCTGGCGGTGAGAGCAAAGGGAGCCTCGCCGCGGGGCGGTGGGGAAACTTCAGTGAGCTGGATGATCTCCATGGAGGGCTGCTGGAGATATACGGGGCCGCTCTGGGGACATTTGGTCATGAGGAGGTCATGGTGGGGAAGAGAAATGGATTGCTGGAACATGGTTGTTCGCGGGGCGGCGCCTCGGCGAGACGAAGGGGGAAACGAGGGGACAGTCTGACGTTGCGGGCGGGATGGAGCATCTTTAATCTTCGAGACAGGGGAGAAGGCTGAGAGTTTCTCTCAGGAGCATACTTCCAAAAACGGACGCCATCCTCCGACACCAGATCCGCGCGATTTTTTCTTTTTCTTTTTCTTTTCCCAGACCTATTTTCCCGCCACTCGAATCAAGATCCCATCGCATCTCAGATGTCCCTAATCAGGCTGCCTCCCTTTCGGCTACGCCATAGCGATTCTCGTCCCCACTTCACGTGTTTCGCGCTAGCCCGCCCTAAGCGGACAAGCCGCTCACCTGCTGCCATTTTTTCCCAGCTCTGCGCTGCACACCTCGTCGCAGTCGCTTTTTAGGCATTCAAGCTGCCAGTGCGCGCATCGTAGACAAAGTACTAATACCGACACGCGAACGCGGAGTGTGCACATGCATCACCCCGCACAGCCTACACAGACAAATACGCCTCTCCTCGCCCCCAACCAAGAAATCGACCAGCGCCTGCCACACTCGGCGCATTCCCGCGATACCGGGTTGTGTGTGAGAGTTCAGGGCCTCATTGGCGCCAACCATGCCTCAGCCGCTTCAAACTGGTCGATCACCTCAGCCGGTGCAGCGTTCTCGGAATGCAGGCACCGCATGGCGGTCAGCGTCTGCAGAGTGGATATACTGTCAGCGTCATACAGCAGTAGCATTCCGAGAGGCGAACTCACCACGTCCCAGAAACGGAAGCCCCGCTCTACTTCGCCCTTGGGATTCTTCACCCCAGGGAATGTCTCCTCGCAGATGTCAAGTGCCATTTGCTTCGCTTCCTTGACGCCCTCGCCGTTCGGATCTCGCACCCGCTGGCGGTTGTTCAGATGTGTCAGCGCATCCAGGTATACCTTTGCGAGGACCCCAAATCCGGTGTTCACTTCCGACTGGAAAGGCAGCGACAGATTGATATCGAGCAAATCATCGCGCGCGCCTTTGGCATCATGGCGCAGGAGGATGTTCAGTGAAGTCACCTCCAACAATGTCCGCAATGCCCGTGTGAGCGAGCGCACAAACGAGTTGAACACGAGCAGCTCGCGTGACAGGGGCGCGGACCACGGTTGCGGCTGCAAGCGTTTATCAGGCGAGATCGGCCAAAACCATCATGGTGCGCATGCAAAAAGAGCAATCAGCAACCGCAGCACCGTTACGCATGCTTGGGCGCACCTTGAAGTTTAATGGCACTATGCTGAGCACCCGCATCACCAATAACATACACGATTTCTCGTCGTCTAACGGCGCGGTGTCCAACATCCGTCAACATTACGACAGTCGTTATGATCCGTGGGAATTTACTCACCGGTACCGAAGCTAGGCCCGCCGCTAAATGCGCGTCCGGACCAGAGGTTGCCGTGCATAACGCCAGCCCTGACCAATTCTAGGAACAGATAGAGGGGGTCCTGGAATTTATCGTTCACACGCGCTGTCCTCAGTGCTGTGTGCATAGCGCGGGCCAAGCTCGAGTGCGTGTGGTTCAGCAAGAATCTGGACAGATCCACGGCGCTCGCGTCAACATCTGACAAACGGGAGCGGCTGCAACAGCCTGAAACAGGACAGAGACACCCACCCTCGCAGTTCCAGGAATCGCCAGATGACATTTGCTACAATTTCATCTTTCTTCTCCAGCGGAACCGAGGCCTGGCTGCTCTTGATCCTCGTGCGTGCTGCCAGTTTGTCCGAGCCAGTGGCTCCCAGGCAAAGTGCGAAATCGATCGTGGACGACTGCGAGCCGGCGGCACAATCTGCTCTTTAGCCGCGATCGGAGAAGAACAAGTCAAAATGAAACCTACGTTCTGCCTCCTTAACTCCTCTTCTACGATCGTGTACGGAACGTTCCATCCAGCTACCCGCTCGGCTAGCTGCCTGGTTGATGAGGAATTGTGTTGGATCGGCTTCGACGATGCAGACTGCTCAAACCAGAAATGTGCCGACACCTTTTTGTTCGCCCAGAAAGGATGCGCAACACTAGAAACCAGGGCAAGAGCGGTGGCACGCGGACCCGTCTCGCCCTCGGTAATTACTTCCCTAACAAACCTTCGGTACTCGGTGGTCTCACCGTTGTCCAGGGGTGGGTGCTCGGATACCTGTCCCGAGGTCAGCCATACCAGAGCTTGAGGTCCCATCAGCCCACGGGACATATAGAAGAATATCTCATCGGGTAGTCGGTTGGTGAATATCTCGTGGAGGTCTTGAGGGATATCGGCGGCGGTCGGGTGGTGAGGGTGGTGATTCTGATGCCCGTGAGGTGGAGGTGTGTTGATGGATAATGGGAGAGGCACAACCGAGCCTTCCGACGAGAAGACGAGAGAGTATTTGATCATGGACCGTGTCCGTGCATAGTGGTCCGGATAGCTGATGTTTTTCACTTGAGGTTGATCCGCAAATGCAGACACGGCTGCGAATCCTGATTTATAATACTTGACCATGTCCACAGTCGCTTTCAACGCCTGATCATGGACAGTGGGTGGGAAGGAAGGAGAATGGTCAAAACCAATGAGGATACCGATGTCCAAAAATTGGTCTTCGCTGACGCCGAGGTCATTGAGGATTGATCGTTTGGACACAAAGGTGAACGAGGGTTTCTCGGAAATGAGGTCGACGGACGTGATAATCTTGTCGACACCAGGGCACAGAAGAGTGTCGGTCGGCCCGTAAATGGCATGGATGTACGACTTTTGATGCCGTTGGAGGTAGATCAACTGCGGTCAAAAGTATTAGATTCATGCATGAACGAGTCCAAGCGCATGACACGTCACTTGAGAGAACGTACTTGAGCCCACGCGACATACGGCGCGACGACGTACTCCACGTTGCGATGCCTAAATATCCTCAGGACCATCTTCCAGAGGTCCCACTGCTGCAGGTTCGCCCGTCCCTCAAACAACTTCGTCGCAGCTTCGTCTTGCCCCGCCTCGTACTTCGACCATGCTTCCCGTCTGTCCCGACACCCGTCATTAATCTCTTGTTGTTGCTGCTGGTACTGCTTCCAGCGTCTGCTCGGAATGAGGCCAGGGAACACGAAGACCGGTTTGATGTGCAGTTTTTCGAGTGCGCGCAAGTCCTCCTCTATCCGCGTAGTAAAAGCGAGCGGTAGGCCGCCAGTTGCTGCCAAGAGAGGTTCGCGGGAAGGTGGATTGTCCAGGAGTGAAGACAAATAGTATGAGGCATCAATACCAAGACGAGAGTCCGAGAGCACAGACAGCGGGTGTGTCTGCAAATGCTTCCTCTCAGCGAGGTAGCCTGGGATTATTTAGTTCAATAAATTGGATATACAGTCAAAACACACCGTCCAGATGTTTAATGGGCATTTCTGTCGTGGAATTGGGCGTAAGTAGGTGTGTCGCCTGGCGGTAATTCACGACTAGAAGCAAATGGGATTATGTAAGCAAGGACAATGGAGACGCTTCTCAGGCTCGAAATGGAACATATTCTGCTCGTCCGCCTCTAAATATTCCATGAACATTAGGAATTGAAGTCTACAAGGGCCATGCGATTGACTGATAACATCCAATATAGCTTGATGGGAAGTATCTGGACCACTATGCGCATGAATGCTGGGACCATTCGATGCCTTCCTGTGTATAGCTAGCGACCCTCCGACTCCTCGCAGTGAGGATCCCATGCAACACTGCACGTGTATCACCATTTCTTCGTGAGAGCCTCTGCTTTGTCTATTCAAGCCTAGCTCAAAAGATTATCTTGTTTCTGCATCGCTGCAATGCGGAAGGTATTGCCATTTCATACCGCTGGCTCGGTGCCCAGGACCGTATCAGGATTACAAAAGATGCATCAACTGTATTCCATAGTGTGTGACCGCCCTTCTCTGCTCAGACTGCTTTTGAGTTGCTGTATTCAACAATCACAGTACCACCTATCGGGAGGGGGCAACAAGCGTGATTATTCTCTCATGCTAAACCGAGGGAAATAACTAACCGTTCTGTCCAAGCTTACTGTCAGAGTGAACACGAGCCTTCACAATTCCCGCATTCACACCCCATAACGGGTCTTATTGACCATGCCGTCCTCGCCGCTCGTCTTCTAGGGTAGCAACGCTGCCTCAAAGCGAATGTCAGATATGCTATTGGCGTCGCGCCGTCTATACACGAACATTACGGAAGAGACAATGCCGACCGCCCCGGACTGGGGCCCCACCGCTTCGCACCGGCAGCATCCCACACATCTCGCCGCCTGACATACTCGAAGCTCGCCTCAATTCAATCCGCACTAACGCGACCTCGGCCGCACTGTACAAATGGTGCAATCTGCGTGAGACCCTCTCGGTCCCGCTGCGCCTCGGGACGTGTTCGCGGATGTTCACAGGCTCAGCCGTGATGGCGCTCCTTGATGATGGAGTGCCTGGTATGGGACACGCGTATCTGATAACTTCTCATGAAGATAACAAAGTTTGGGGTGAGTGCTCCTGCGTGCTAATACGACAGACGACGGCCTAAGCTCGCCATGGCGCCACGGTTGCAATGCGGGACTGCGCTCATGTCAAGATGTCGCCCGCCGTTCACGTCGCCTGAGCTGCCGAAACGCGAGTAGTGCCTTGGCATTACGAGAGGAAACCACTACCCGCGCAGGCTCGATATGTGGATATCCCGTTTGGCAACTACGCACGCACGGAGGCGTTAAGGGCCGTCGTACGGGCCTTCAAAGCGACCGCCGATCGCCTCCCGCTGCCCGAATTCTCAGGCTCTGTCTTTTCGCCAGGCCTCCTGACCATTCACACAGCCTGCGGCGTTAGATGGGCAAGCATCCATATCCCATCCGCATACTGATTGATGTTCCAGGGACCCCCACGATTGTGCCGTCTGCGGTAGGTAACCTTGTAGCTTGTAGGCAGCTCCCCTCTCCTGTGTTACCGTCGCAATTCATGACCCTTCATTTTTAGTGGAGCGCCCCTGCTATCCGAGTAGCACATGGCCATGGCCGATGCCGACCTTCCAAGGTGACGTACGAATCCACTGATTCGCTATGCGTATTTGCATTCACGCAAAATGTACTGTTCAATTCAATTGTTGGTCCGCTGTCGACGTCTTGTGTAATAGATGCTCAGGACACACAACGTACTCGGGTCGGACCGCTGGAAGGTTTGCAAGATGTCCCGGTGGCTTCTGAACTGCGCGCTGCAGATTAGAACGTTTGCATTGTGCACGCTATGACAAGTGCATGTCTCCGTGTGGTGGGCTGCAGCGGTATCCCACGAAGTCCTTCGGCGGTCGCGAATATGGAAGATGCCATCTTCCAAGCAGTATCACTTTCGAGAGCGCTGAAAAGACCCTTTCCGCAGGGATCAACTCCATGTTGGCTGCGTGCAGATGATCCGGCGAGATGGGCCACTAATGGCTCCATCTGCAACTGATCATATTGACTAACCTACTGTCTGCTGTTCGAGAGGTCGTCGACGGTCGAATCTCAGAAGTAAGGGTCAGCGCAGCCATGTGATGGATATCTGCACGTGTACATAGCATCTTGTTGACCTGATAGCACGCCTAAGTTCCTTGTATACATCTGTGGATAGGGCAGTGCCCATGTTGTGAGTACGCACAAACGCCATGTTCCGCCGGCTATTGGAGTTCGAGAAGCGGATGTTGTTGATACTTCCATGATCTTGTGGCGCGACGTTTTCTTGACCACTCAGTTCCCCGCTCTCCACACACGTCCTTTTCATATTTTGATAGATGCTAGATGAATATGCGCGGATCACCGCGGCGCAACCTTACAGACAAAGTCGTGGCATCGGATCGGAGCAAACCATTCACAACTACGTACACGAGGAGCAGTGCCATGTCCTCCCTTTCATCTACGTTCCTGCAAATAGATAGACGGATGCGGCACTTGTGCTCCCACCTCGTTGACACCAGACGGCTGGACCTCGTGACATGCAGATACGGTACTTGATAGATAATCTCCGCCAGCGTGGCGGCGAACCGTCTTGAATGACAAGTGTGGTCGTGGGCATGTGTTAAACTTATGCCTTCCGCCGCGGGTCGTGCGTCTCAACCTGGCGCATGCTCGCTTGGACCTCTAACTTGAAGTCCGTCTAACAGCTCACGCACCATCGGTCAATATACTTCCAGCCAAACTGCCCTGCGACTCACGTTTGACTCGTACTCGTCGATGAGCGGCTTGACCTGCCGCCAGACCCACTGGAATTCATCCATCATTTTATCCCGCGCCGTGTTGTCCGCAGTCAGGAAACGCGCGATGCGGAGCTGAGGTACAGGTCGTGGTGGTGCCCTCTATGAGTACGGAGGTCATAGTACCTAAACACGGCGCACCTGTGTATCCTTGGAACGAATAGTACGATATTCTGCCAACGAGGCAGGAAATTGGGCGTCCGCTCGGCGGCGGCGGTCCTCTTCCTCACGCGTAAGGCCAGCGTGCTGACGCGTGAGATTTTTGAGCGTGGAGAGATACGCGTAGCGGTGCGCGGACACGGCGTTGTCGAACGACGCCACCATGGGTGGATGTGGCGTGTGTAGGGAGTGGTAGAATGTCTATAATGCCACAAGACGGAAGTCACGCGTGAACGGATGGGTAGAAAACCGGGCGTCGTACATCTATATTGGGATCTGTCACTTCCTCATCCTTGGAGAAGCAAGCCTGTCTGGCTTCTTCGAAATAGTCGTCCGCCTGCCAATCATAAAGGGTTTGCATTTCTTCTTTGTGTCGTGCTTTCAGATCATCAATGGACCGCTGGACGCTATCTGAAGTCTCTCGCTGAGCATCCAGCTCCCTTGCTGCCTCCACACTATTGGGCATTCCACCGTGGTTAGTCTTCCGGGCACCAGTGGGACCCGACAAGAAGGCCCACCCGGGAAAATACGAGCCTTTCAACAACAGGACGTCCTCCGCAAATCGACGGCGCTCTGCACCGTTGCGAAGGCTCTTTGCGTATGCGGCTTTGACATTTGGATCGGAAGTGGTAGGCTTTACGTGAAGGTTGGGAACTGGTACTTGGCCTGAAATACGAAGGTTGATAGGTTCGACGAATCCATTTCTATCCCTGTAGACTTCCTTGGGACGTGCGGGTTTTAGATGGGGCTGACTCATGGCCACTAGGGTTGGTGTGCAGGTGTATGCGAGTGCAATCCAAAGCGTAAATACTTAACAAGGATCTAAAGCCCGAACGATAACTCGGAGACAACTCGCGAAGACCTTTGGCGCTGGTCTCGCGAGCTCGATCTTCGATCACGAGGCGGGGAAACCACGTGGCAGGAATGTGCCGCCCTTGGCGCCGCGTATGATGTCGAGGGTCGAGCGACTCAGGTTTCTCGTCATCGACAGTGATTGGATCCTGTCTGTCTAATTCAAGGTGTCCCGAACGTCTTGAGCACAAATTCTTCAAACAACGAGCTATATCTCAGGCTGGACGGCTTGTAGTGCACTCGCCAATCATAGACCATACTTCAGGCCGAAGTAGATCGCTTCCACGACCGTAGACATGGTAAGTCCTGTCTTAGTCTTACCGTCACGCACTCACATTATATCTTAGATTCCTTCTCGAAGAGACAGTCTTTTCCCGCCCGGATCCCTAGGCCGCAACTCACCAGTATCGCGTACAGCATCTCACGAAAGCCTTTCGACTCACCCTCTGCTATCCCCACCCCCACCCGGCTCACCCACATCAGCTACGTCTGTTGAGTCAGCAACATCTAGCTCCCCGCGCTATGTCCCGTATACCCCGCGTCAGCGCGTCGCCCCCACATCCGCGACCACCGGCACGACGATGCATCCGAGCATCAGTGCCCCGCAGCAACAGAGCACAAGCGACGCGACGAGCAAACTACAGGTCATGAATCTCAAGGCTGCCGCGCAACGCATTGGTCTTGACTCGGGGAGCGTGGGCTGGGCCATATTGGAGCGTCTGAGCACGGAGACAGATCACGGTCCCGAATGGAATGACATTTGGAATGCGCTGTCTGTGAGCAAGGTGCGTATTTACACATTATTTCATGAACGTGCGCGTCTCAAGCTCAGTTTACAAGGCGACCCTCCTCCTTCCTCTCGAACCGTACAAGCCCAGCGAGGTAATCACAGCAGAATTCATCAAAGACCACATAGCACTTTGTGACGGTCAAGCGAAGAGCAATGCGCCCATCGTCACGCTATCGGGACTGCGCGGAACGCTTACAGAGTAAGCTTCCTTCGCCGTCCCCCTTTGCACCCACTCATCAGATTATAGCGCCACAATAACATTTCGATCCGTACTTTCACCCGCGTCTGAGCAGTTTCAGAAGTTCCTCTCGCCCGCGTCCCGTTCATCCGCACTTTCTGCGCTTCCCCCTCTCCCGCAACCCCTCGTCCCACATACTGTCGTGCCATCCTCGCCATCTTCATCGACCTCGTCCATCCCGTCGGTGTCACAATACCCAACTTTCACGGTCCCGTCCCACAGTCATGCACTTCCTCTTCCCCCCCGTCCTTCTGCGCAGAAACCTCCACTTCCCCCACGTCCTGGTGCTCGCGTCGCCTCTGGCCCTCCGCATGCAGCTGCCCGCCTCTCAACATCATTTGCCTCTCTCTTTGGCCGCGGCACACCTCCCGCCAGCCCGTCTACGACACCCTTGCCACTGCACCCTGACCCTACGCCGGCACCCGGAACTACACCTCCCTCAGGCGCCTTGAGTGAGCGCGCGGTCCCACAGGAACATACGCTAGACGTTCCTGCCTACACTATCACATCTCGCATCGACCGTGCCGCACTCGGGCGCGCGCTTACGGATGCGCTCACGAGCGAGCTACGTGCCGTGCTCGGCGAGGCAGGCGTCCCGCCATGGGCTATTGCACGAGTGGAGCGCTTTGCTGCGCCGCTGTACCCGTTCCGGCGTGTTGGTGGTGCAGGCAAGGACGAGAAAGGACACCGTACGGTCGGTGGAGGAGAGCCGGCGCGCGTGAGCAGCGTGCGCGAGAAGATCAAAGGGCGCTCAGACGTAGAGTGGGTGGCCAATGCGTGGGGGCCGGACGAGCGCGGAGAAGAGCTGTCGTCACGCTTTCAAGAGTTCTATGCAGAACTGGAGGATGCGGTGTCCGAGCAGCTGGCGCGGCCGCAGGCGCGCAGGCGCGGGCTGCATTTTGGGCGGAGGAAGACACCGGATGACGCGGAGAGCTTGGCGGAGAGCGTGAGTGAGGGTGGGGAAGAAGAAGAGGATGGGATGGACGAGAGGGGCGGAGAGGACGAAAAGAAAGACGCGCATGGAGAAGAAGGCAGAATGGAGCAAGTCAGAGAGATCATGGATGCCGTCGAGCGTGTGCTGTGTTCCCTTTTCTATGACAGGTGTGTATCTACATGTGCATTTGTCGCGCATACACTGACTACCAGGCTCACAGATTGTTCTTACCTGCAAATACGGACGACGCCTCGCATGACGAAGCGCTGTCGAGCCGCATAGCTGCCGTGAACCTACTCGATCTTGGCTTGGCTCATCTCGGCGTCGATGTAGGGAACTCAGGAAAAGAGGTGGAAACAGTAGTGCACGAGTGTGGACAATGTGAGTGCACTTACGTTATCCCCCGCTCAATTGATCACCTGGTCACCGTTGCACAGCTCTGATGCAGCTGGACATTGCGTGCCGGGCGCCTTCCGAGAAGGCAGCTATACTTGTTGCTGTTCACAAGATCATAGTCGGTGAGGACTTCGTGTCGACCCTGCTTAACTTGAGTAATCGTTGGCATTCGTGCCAGATGGACTGTCGAAGATTCCACCTATCGGGCTCAGGTCCGAGGAAGACATGCTGGACGAGAAGACCCCGCGTGCGTCGAGCTTTGGGCGCGGAGTATCAGAAGAAGACGACGACGTCGACGACGATCATGATGAGAACAACATCACGCTGAGGGACGAGTCCGGCGCGAATGCCGAAGACCCTGTACCAGCCCTGGGTGCACCATTGTCACCGACGATCATCCTCTCTCCGGAGGATAAGCCTGGACACGAAGAACTGCTTCCCGCGCCTGGCGCTACTACCGTGCCCGCATCCATACGGATAGACTCGTCACATCTCTCGCCCAGCGGTCCGCCATCCCCGCGGTCCGCCGCGTCTCTACAGAGCAGTTCTCTGCAACCCACAGTATCGTCCCGGAATGCATCACCGACGCCCGTCTCAGGGGACATCATCCTACCGTTGATGATCTTCGCCGTGGTCAAGGCAAACCCCCCGCGCCTCGTGTCTAACCTTCTTTACACACAGCGCTTCCGCAGGGAGAGTGCAAGTGGGGGCGAGGAGGGATACTGCCTCATAAATCTGATGGCAGTGGCTGAGTTCCTCGAGAACGTTGATTTGGCTGCGCTGGGTTTGGGCGAGAGTGAGGGCACCGTGCTAAGGTATGTGAAATATTATTCTGTCTACCCGTGGCTGCGCCACTGCGCTCTCGTAATCAAACTTTGTACCGCCCGTTGTTGGCTACTGATTATGCTTCTTTGTTGGACCACCTGTACCCTCTTTCTTCGTTCCTCCATCTCTCATGACACAACGCGAAGGCTTACCTACATTTATGCTCGCTTTTGCACACAGCGCCTCTCAGCTCAGTCCTATTCCTGTCGGAAGATCAGTTCGATTCCCGGGTAATGAGCCGCCCTCGCCACAGATCATACAAGCTAGCTTGCGTGGCCGTGTCGAGCAGCAGGTAGATGCCATTACCGGTTCAGCAAACAAGGTGATCTCTGGCGTCGTCGACACCTCCTTTGGGGTCCTTCGTTCGCTCCTTCCAGGCCAGAATCAGAGCCAACCGATCGTGGCGAGTCCTACTAGTGAGACCACGGATGACGCGTCGTCGCGCCCGGGATTCGGGATCCTGCGACGAGATACTGGTTTCTCAATTGCGAGTTTAGCGGCATCGCTTCCGGGAAGTCGTGCAAGGTCGGCGACAGCGACGACAAATGAGGAAACCGGGCAGATGATGATCGAGGTCCCTTCAAGGCCAGGATCCAGTCGCTCTGTGCGGATTATAGACGACGAGTTGTCTGCGTCAGAGGCAGAGAGCACTGGAGATGAAGAAGACGAGGACGAGGAGGACGATGAAGCCGAGTTCGGACACGATACAAGGAGCATACGCAGTTTCGAAAGCATGATGAGCGGTCGCACTGGACGGGCGAAAGGCAAGAGAAAGCCGAACGGGCGGATGAGCCTCACGGATCGACTTGCAAGCATGCCTGGTCTTTCGCGTCTGTCCCAGAACCAGCAAGCGGATCCCTCAAAGGTTTGTTCCTGCTTCTACTCATCCCCTGGCTATTTGCACGTACTTAGTTGCCATGTGCTAGGTCCAGAACTCTCCGCCTGGTTCTCGCAGATCATCGCTGCTGCTGCCCGCAGGCTCTGTGCCAAATCGTTTCGACTCACCTGTATCGTCTCGCGCTCCGTCCCCAATTGCGATACGGATATCACCTCCCAACCCCCGCTTTATGAACGCCACAGAAGATGACATCAAGGTTTCGGAGGTGGGCGAACTTCTGAGAGAGTACAAGCGGCTTGTGGAGACAGTTCGCGCCATGGGTGGCTTCCATGAGGAGTGACCGTATTTTAAATTGCACATCATCTGACTGTTCCCTTACGATTCTGGCTTTGCACGATGTTTCAGTAGGAATGACTGACCACAAACACACCCTATTGGTTAATGAAAAGTTGCAGGACGCAATACGATGTGCGTATCTTACACTCGCCTATTGACATAATAGCAAACTCGAAGTCAATCCGCAACACGAGTGACATAGTCTCTCAAGGTGGAGGTCATACATCTTAGACACGACCTAGCGTGTGCTCCAGAGCATACCACAGCCCGCGTGAGAGGAATGCGGAGACCATATTTACGACTCGCTGCGAGGCCCAACGACCTTGCTCATCGCGAATGGACCTTCCAGAGGAACCGCATTCCGGTTGTTCGCACGGAGACGCCAGGACCCGACGAAGGAGCCTGCAACAATGTAGCCCCGAAAGATATACACACCCAGATGCGGCCCCTCCACCGGTACACGAACGATCGCGATGAGCCCGTCCCAGGGTCGAACGCGGCCATAAAAGTGGAAGTGATTCCACGCCTGACCGTGCCGCGGCAGACTCTGTGGGGGCCAACGTCAGCGTAGCACATCCTCCGACACGACAAATGTACCTCGCCAGTGACAATGACGTCGCAAATGCCGCTGCAGGAGTTCTCCACATACTCGCTCTCGTAATCGCTCTCGGCACCGTCGTCAGAGGCTGGCGGGGAACGATTTGCGTCCGACAATGCGTCGCTGATGACTTGGTCGACGTTTTCATCGGGGCCAAGCGCCGCATTCAAAGTGCTCCGTACTTGATCGATCTCGTCGTTGTCAGAGGGAGGCTGATCTACAGCACCGGCAACAATTTGATGTGCCCTTTCCTGCGTGGCTTCTTCCTCCTCTTTCCAGCGCGCAACACAGTGTGTGCACTTACTCTCATCATGCGAGTTGGGGCGGCCCTCGGCGTAGGTCTCGTACTCCCACTTGCGCAACTCGTTCGTATTTTCTCTCAGTTCGATAAACCGTCCTGCACGCTCCTCCCGCTCTGTCCACGAAACATTCGAGGGGAACCACGCGGTGTAGATTCCCTCGTCGTTCTCGGCAGCGTCGCCGCCCGCGGGCATGGGAGTCTTGGGCATAATGCAGTGGTGTTCGCGCAAATTGAAGTAGACCGGCCATTTTTGAACGTGCTCGTCCGGAATGTCTCCAGGGTAGTCGGTAGACCGGGCAAGGGCGCTGTACTCCCCGGGTCTGAACGACTGTACTACGAAGTCAGCACAACAAGGATCAATATCAACAGGTATCGGGGGAACACGTACATGCATCCGGCCCTGCCAAAGACCAGAGAGCGAGCCAGGCATATAGACTACGCCCTTCAGCACCTGATCAGCCCACGGGTCTCCACAGAACGCTAGCCTGTTCCACAGCTCGTCGAGCAGGGCGCTCTTCGCATGCAGGCCCTTCCTCCACGCCGCGTCATCCTCGAGACGCGCCTGCTCGGGTGTCAGCTTGCTGTGCCAGTCCCAGTCGCTCTGTGCCAGGAGCTTAACGGATCTGTGTGCGTTCGCCTCGAGGAAATCCGCTTGCGTCGCGCGCACATCGGACCAACCAAGCGCGAGTGCATGTTCCCGATCGCGTGCGAGGCTGGGGGGAATTTGGTATGGGAGCTCGTCGAGCGTCATGTAGAGTAGTTTCGCGCCATGCCCGAGAATCGGCGCACACAACTCCAGCCGGCGGCTGTAGTGCGTAACCTTCTCGATGACCTGCGATGGGTCACGATACTGTGGCCAGTGGCCATGCGGTGTCATGCGAGTCTTGAGCGTCGCTGTCAGTACGTCCGCCGACAGGGGGAACTTGAAGTGGTTATCGGGCGCGAAGAACGATGGGTAGCGGAGCGCGGTATGTGCATAGCACCGAATCGCATCGAGGAGCTGTTTGCGCACATCAGGAGACAAAGCGTCGAGTTTCACTAAATCCGATAATGGCGTGTCAGATAGACAAATTACAGGTGAAAGAAAACATGCTTACCATCATCCAGCCTTAACCAGAACAGCCAGATGGCTAGGGAGTGTTTAGTATGCTCTGGGGGCCAGCCTCTGTAGTGATGCGTGTCCACCCAAAGCCGGGTGCGCAAGTGCTCTTCCAAGAGGGAATCCAAGCGAGCCCAGGACAACTGAGCCTCGTTCCTCCCGTCATTTTCCAGACACATAACAAAGGCGGTCCATAGATCGTCTTCGAGGTATTCCGAATCGAGGTCCCCCGAGCGTATGCGCTTTAATGCAACGCAATACGCCTTGAGCTGGGCCGCCTGGTGCGACGTCAGTGCCGCATCCACACCGCGGCGGCGTGCGACCGCACGCGAGTCGAACTTGCCACGAAAAATACGGCCATAGAGATAGCGGCAGTTGTCAAAGCGTAGAATGTAGTTGATGTGTTTACACGTGAGAAGCAGCGAGAGCAGATTCGATGGGGGCCCCAGGGGATCGTCTAGGAGCACGATATCGACAGCAATGTCGACGAGCACCTCCGCCGGGAACCTGCACAAGATGGATGACTGGAGCAACATGGCCCCGAGTTGCAAACAAGAATGTATTCGTCTTGGCAAGGACGAGCTGCGGAGAATGCGAGCCACAAGTCTTTTGAGAGGGGAGGGAGTGCGGGCGCCTAAAGCGGCGGCAGGTTAAGCGGGGGCCTAGATGGTAGAAGAACGACACGCTTGGAGAACAGCGGAGATATGTTGGGACGTTATGTCACCGCCACCAAAGGGACGCAGAGGGTATTGATCGGCCTTTTGCGCTGTGTTGCCCTTAACGGGCATTGGCTGCCCAAACCCCCGTGCGCTTCAATTCCCAGTCTTGTTGATCGGCCTTGGCCCAACTTGTTCATCCGGCCTCTCACCACACGCTCGCCAGGTCTGACGCTCGCGGGAGAACCGCCGGCGGCGCTGGTCGACGTCATTGACAATGTGGCAGCGTCGGTAGCGGGCAGCGCACCATGCCCCTCCCCCACCCCCCGGCGTGGGCACCATGATATCCTCCAGAGAACACGGTAGGGGCAATGTCGGCTCACCGGGCGCGAGGTTGGAAGCGAATGGTGGTGTCAGGGAAAGTCCGCTGATGAGGATATGAAAATGAACCACCATCGAAGAGGGATCGAAGTAATTATGTTGTCCGATCTGGGCAGAGGCCGAGGGTTCCTGCAGACCGTGGCCTTCCCTCGGGGCCCTGGGACCCAACTTGCCTTCTCGGATGCTACAAATACCCACACCTTCATGTACGAGCAACGTGTGCTCTGCTTAAGGCTATGTCGCCGCGGGGCATCCTCAGACCGTGCAGCTTCATGGAAAGCGCAAGGTCTGACAGGCTGGCCGTTTGTCGGAGGGCAGGCCAATGGTGCTCGCGGGGTTGGGGGAGCGGCGCGCGGGGGGAGCGAAGCTTAGATCTCCCGCGGGGTTCTGCAATTTCGCGGAGTGCTAACGTCGGCACGACCTGTGAGCGCAGCCCGGAGGCCGCTGTGACGATGAGGGGCCATCATCGCCGCCAACGATACGTCCGTAAGTGATTCCACATTCACGTAACCTGTTCCCGCGTCGCGAACTTTACCTGGCGTGAGCACGATCCGCTGTATGTGCATTGTAGGGTCGAATTCGCGTCCTCGTCGAGTAGGCGATGGCCGCGGTCCCACGCAGTCATGTGGGTAATGAGCAGGAGGGAAATGTGCGGTCGCCGACATCGGGACTGGTGTTGAGTGCGGTTGTCTCGCTAAGTCGGCAATCTCGCGCTACCCAAATATGGTTACGGCACCACGCACGTGCGGGTTCCTGAGATAGCAGATCACGGTGTCCGCTCAGATACAACTTCAGATTCCCCGTCGACAACATTCTGGGCCAGGCAACTCGACATCAGGCCCACCGCTGGAAAGGCTCTCGGAGAGATCCATGATGCTGCACGTCCCCTGGTTATGCGTCCCCACGAACGTAATAGGCGTTCAACCGTTGCCAGAAAGAAATACCTACCCAGGTCCCACAGCGGCCAAATGTGAGCCACCCAGACAGTTTCCGGGATTTTGGCTCTGGACCGGCGCCATTGACGGATATTATGATACATATATTGGTCAGGACAATCCGAAAATGGCTTTTCGGACGCCATGATTGACTCGCTTGTCTTGCACCCGTTCAGGGCCGTCTTGCAACGGTAACGATCGGGAAATTCTATGCAATCAAACAGCCGCTCGGCACTCCGGTAAAACCTGCAGGGCATGCGCTTTGGCCGCCCGGAAATTAAAAGCGCGTTGCATCGCCGTTCCGATGGACGATATCACGCATAGGCGATGCGAATCTTTGAAAATAGACTTCCAAGGAGTGTGCTCAACCGAGATGTATTATGCACGTAAAATCTACGCGAGATCAAGACACAGTCACCTGTTGAGATCCAGCACTCTCGCAACACGACCGCTAGGAGATCCGGCCCAGACATGTGAATGCCCGTAGCCACGGTGTCGCACATTTGCCAATTCGGTGCCGCCGCCTTGTCCACCACCCCGCATCCAAGCAACGCTCCAAAAATATACAGGTCTCGTAGTAAATTGGCATGTACACGATATGGCTTCGCCTGTTCACTCAGTTCCGCCCCCGTCGGACCGTGCAGGTATTGAGAACGGCCCCCATGAGTTCTCAATTGACCTACTATAGCTTTCCAATTGTCGCAGTCCTTATGGGACAGGTTATGCGAGGGTGATCATACGCACTTCACCTCATTCGCTCCGCGGCAGCTTCGAAGGCGTCCATTCCGGTCGTAACGTAACGCCACGGCGCAGTCACCAAGGAGGTCACACCTCCGTGGATGAAGTCTTTCATTGGCCCATGCATACATAGAACGGCGAAGCAGCAGCTTTTCAATGCCCGTGTCTTCTGGGAACGCCACACCATCAAGGGGTGCACGCCACCGTTGATCCATGCGCTTAAAACCTTGCAGCGCGCTCCGCCCTGGACTCTTGGCAGTGCTGTTCAACGGCATTGCCATTTTCGTACCTATTGTTTTGAAGAGCGTCGCCTGCGCGAGGTCTGGGGGCGTGGCGCCAACGGCGACAAATTGGGTGGTCGTAGTCAAGTCGAGAGCACTCTCGTCTCGACCATGAGAACAGGTGCGGTAACCGGCGGTACGTCTTTGTCATGGCAGTATATGAGATTTGTGAGATCACTCTAACCTTGCTTATGTGCGCACTCTCACCGGTGACATGTTTGAAATGCGTACGTACGCCGTGACAGTCCGTAAGTTGCCGTGCTTCTTGCGCAGAGCGCACATGAATGAATGCGCCAGCGTGCTGGTGTCGCAACACAGAATCATCCCAGTCCTGCACGAGGTATATCATGTTTTGTTTCATGCCTCGACGGTCGCGGTTGGCCGCGAACGGCGCTCTTGTCGCGTCCTTACATCGGAAGAACTGGTGTACGTATACTGACGGCGGTACTCCTTGCGACTCAAGATGGCCGTCGTCCACTCATGTGGCCCGCTCACGAGTGCAGTCGATGTGACTCATGACGCTGCTAACCTTGTGGCGCGCCAGCATTCGCAGTGAGTCTGAGCCCAGAATAACTCGCTGGATTACTAGAGTACTTTCCCTCAGCTCTTATTATTGTGTCCATGTACGTATTACAGACTGCAGATGTACAATGTCTGCGTCGCAATGAGCACTCAACGAGTATTCATTCTAGTTCAAGGTCACAAATATCTTTGCTACACGCATACATCGAGATGCTGAGGAGTAAATGACTTACCATCTAAAGATGCGGGATGGCAAAACAGTGGTAGAGAATTGCCAGCAGGATGATTAGGAAGAGCCCTGGACTGGTCCGAAGAAACTGCTGTTATTGAGCTTCCCATCACGCCTTGTGTGTGACGGGGGGGCTCAGGAATTGGCCTACGAGCGATTTGATAGCCTCCGTAATGTCTTCTTCCGCAAATATCGCGCAAGCTGCATTCCAAGGCAACACGAGACGTTCCAACTTCGAACTCCTGGCTGTGCGGCGGCGGAGACATTCCAGAATGACCGGCGGGGAACACCGAATTCCATCACGCTGGAACTGGTTTGTTGTCTTGTCCCGTTCATCACTGTGATCGTCTTCAGGCCGCACCAAGGTACGTCGTCGGCGACAAGGGAAGACGTAGATTGCTCAAGCGAACGAAACAGCGGGTCGAGGGAGGAAGAGCCATGGATGATGATTTCAAGGTGCTCCAGAGATCGACATGTTTTGAGCGTCCAAGCCCAGTCCTCTTCAGCGAGCTCAGAGTCCGTCAGTATCCTGAGCGTGTGCACTTCACAGGCACCGAGAACAACTGCGACATCCATCAGCCGCTTCTCCGGGAAAAGATGCGGTTGGCAACACCGCAGATCAAGTCGCGGATTATAAGAACCTCCTTCGTATACCTTCAGTCCGACCGATTTTATGATCAATCGGTCACGGATCTCCAACTCCAGCGTACTTATGCTCCTTGAGCAGAGATGCCAATCATCGAGGCGAGGGACCATCGCACTGAATGATTGGCCATCCACAGAATGTTGAACATGCGGGCCATTCTGCGCCAGTGCAGTGATGCTGGTGGTCTCTGGAAGGATGATTAAGGACAGAATCAACTGGACATGAGCTGCAGCCTCCTCCAGCACCAGGGTCTTAATTTCGGAAGACTAACAAGACGATTTAGCGCGTCAGTCTCCAGGTACTCGGACACCTCCTCTGACTGAGTGATTTCCAAATGTTCGAGTTCCGGCGAATCCTCCAGCATGTCGAGGAGCTTGGTCAACAAGCAGTCGGGCAGACCATTCGGTGACGTGAATGCGTTTCGTATCGTCAACCGCGTCAGACGTTTTGGAGCTGACAGGTCAATAGTACTAAGATCCACAGTGAGCGAGCGCACATGTGGGAATACGCTCGGCATATCCACAGAGTCGCGCGTCCATTCATACAAGCCAAGATCTTCTACCATGGCGAAATTCCGACCGGTGGCGAGCATGCTTGCGAGGCCACTCAGGAAGAAGTCACCACAGACCATGTGAAGACGGCGGATGCGATCAGCATGAGGCACCAGTATGTCAAATGGCATGACGGTGCCATGAACGTTCGGGCCAATGTCTACCGTCATAGGCAGGAAAGTCGTCGAAGACCAGTAGGTAACGTCAACAGGAGCGGGGGCAGACCGAATAAGGCAGAGATGAAGCCAAGGCAAGCTGACTCCCGAATACTCTTGCCACAAAGTCGGAGTGTCGATAATGAGGTCGCGCCAATCCCGACAGACGAGAGTCATCTTGTGCCAATTACTGACCTTCGTCGTGGCCTGTACGAGGTGAAAAACCTCTATTAGAATCTCGTTCGGAAGCTTGTTCACCGGGCAATCGAGGCTGAAAACGTGGCTCGAGATGTTAAGGAAGCCTGCAAATTCACTCCTGTGGCGACGCACCATGTGTTGGGCGCAGTGCACCCCGTGAGCTGGTAATTTGCAGCGACTTTCAGGGGAGATAGGAGGGGTAGTAGGGGCAAGTGGCGCGTCAATGAACCGTCACCACAGTCGACATGAATTTGTACACATTCCATATTGATATATTTAAAATCTTTCAGTGGGTCAATAGTGAGCTTCTAGCGATGACATGTGAGCAGTACTTAATCTTGAAGAGAGAGCAGCGGGGCAGCTGGCAAGGAGGTTGTTGAGGTATACAATTGTGAGCAGAAGCAAAGTACTCGAGGCCGAGGCCACAAGTTGTAGCGCCGGAGCAAGTTCAATCGGACCGATCAAACATGGACATGGCCCAACACAATGACACGGCTCATTTGGGGGGACTTACAATTGTTTTCATTGCTAGGAAACCTGCAACTTCATCGATAATTTTCTTCTTTCAGATCATCTGCATGCCGATCTAGAATTCGCTGGATACCACTGGTAAGATGTGTAACAGTGGATAAGTAATAGCAAAGTGCGAAGTGAGTCCAACCTGATCGGTAGCGGGCGCTAATCATAGCATCTATGCAAGTGGTCTATAAGCACTTTGATGGCTCTTTGGAACTTGCATCGTGTCCTGTGGACACCAAGAACCCGGGTTAACGTATATGTTTGTGCCCCCTCTGCAGCTCAACCAGGATCATGGTCAACGCACTATCAATAGTTCTATGACTACGTACCGTAATCCCCTAATGTCAACTTGTGCAGATATGTTTGTCTTGCATGATTTCGGCACCTACTTATTACAACTGAACTGTTATATTCGACTGCATGGTGCCCGGTTCGGCTCCGAGACCCTTCTACGTTTGTTACGACGTTCAGCAGAAACTTTGACCGAAGTCGCGCTCAACAATCGATGTTGTGATAGCGAACGCACATGTGCTACAGAAAATAAAATACCGAGTGCGTAACATAGCATAGGGGAAGAAATACAGACGTTCGTGTATACAGTCCCAGACGTCAAAGCCGAGCGAATAGTGGGGTAATATGAAAGTGAAGTAATGGCGCGAAGTAGACACCAGCACGAAGCGCGTGGCAACAAACTGCATGGTAACATACCAGTGCGGTACGAGGATTGACCTGAGTCCAACAGCGTCCAAAAACTCGATGCGTCAATTCTCGACCTCCATTGAATCGTCTCGTCCTCGGTCCTGTTTCACACGTTTTGCCGAGCCCGCCAAACCAGCGAGTGCCGTCGCAGCCAGCACCTTGGGGTCCTCTCCCTCCGCACTCCACTTCTCGCCTCTGGTCATGAACGAACCCACGCCGGGAAGGTACGTACCTCCGCCGCCGTCCCCCTCCGGCGGCAGCCCAGCAAGCACACTCTTGGGTGTCGCCAACCGCGAGCTTGTCGCCGACCCATGGGCATGCGACGAAATGGACAGCTCGTTGAGCGACGCAGCCGCCCCGCCCGCATCCATCAGGTTCGCTGAGTAGTAGCTTGACAGCGAGCTCGGCGGCCCCATGCTCAGTGCAGAGCTTGAGCTGTTGCGCGACATCGTGTACGACGGCGTCGTGTGTCCCGATGTCGCTGCACTCCCGGCAAGCGGCGATAATGATGGGAAGGGCGACATGGGAGAGGAAGGCGTGTTTCCGTAATGCTGCCTGGGAGCATACAGACTGGAGAGCGACTCTGTGGAAGGTATCCTCGAGTTCGGCTCGCGCAAGTCCAACATTCCGTCACCATCACTTGCGATGCCATTACCGTTGTCTCCGTTCTGCTGTCTCTGCAGTCCCACCACACGGAGCCGTTCCACCCATCTAGAGAGACACATGACATGATGAGAACACAATCCCCAATATTCAGAAGCAAAGCCACGTACGCATCAGCCCGGTCCAAGCTCTCAGAGACCACCGTCGTCACACCGCGCAGCATGTCTAAGCTCTCCGTAGCAAGCGTCAATATCCGCTGTGCAGCATCGCTCGCCGCGTCCGCCGTCGTCGGCACGCCTCCCGTGGCCGATCCAAATCCATTCCCACTCGTCTGTCTCGAGTGCGCACGCGATTGTCCCGGGGACGTAGCGCGCGAGGGCGGACGCGAGCGTGGCGACGGTCCTGCCTCGCCCGGGCCGTAGCTGTATGGTGCCGCGCTCCCATTTGCACGCCGCATGTCCACGCGGCTAGCCCTGCCGCCAGGTCGCCCATCCGTGCCGTCTACGCCGGCAGCCTCTGCCCATCGCCGAGGCAGGCGCAGAATAAATGTGCGCACGCGTGCGCGCGCAGGCTCGGGGAGCCCGCCGCCCGCGTAGCGGCTGACGACATCAACAACCTGGCGAACTGTATCAACGACGTCGCGCTTAGCAGCATTCAACGTGCGTAGATGCTGCTGTGAAACAAGCAGGGCTGGATGTGGGCTGGATGAGGACGGCTGGAGCGATGTGATGAAGTTGCGCAGGACCAGTATTTGTGCGTCAATATGTGATGTCGCATACTAAGCCAGAGGCGTCAGGCGCTATACTTTATACTGATGTGCTTAGACAAACCTGCAACCATTGCAGACAGTACCGCAGGCGCCGCATGCTCTCCTCGCTGACTGCTGCACCGATCCCACCAGCTTCCAGCAGCACGGCCTGCCATCGACTGCGCTGTGCTACCTGTTGATTTTCAGGTTGAGTCGAAGTAGATGACGAAGACGATCGATCCGGCTGTTGCTGCTGTGGGGGAGGCAATTGTAGTGACGCAGGATCATGATTGTGAGACGACTGAGAGGAGAACTGTGACTGAGGGGTGGACGTGCGACTGTCCATCTGCATAGAGTTTGACGAAGATGGTCCCGCTGACGAGACAAATGAGTCGTTGATGCGGGAACATAGGCGACAATGAAAAAATTCACCATCTTGCCACCGGTCATGATCTGTGTGCCGGCTGCGACTGGATTCACGAGCCATCGAGACGTCTCGTGTTTCCCAGTAATCCGCACTACGCCCGACATTGCGATCATACTCTATTTGAGTGCTGCGACCGCGCTCGCGATCGTGCTCGCGATCTTGACTCGCATTGCGGCGAGTGTAGTTCTCGAGCTGGAGAAAAGGTCAGGTCAAGGTACAGCTAGGTAACATGGCAGGAAAATAATATAGGTCGCTGTGGGATGGCGCAAGTATATAAGAGGTTGGCAGCGTTGTGCCCTCCCCAACAACCCCAAGGGATTGGCCGCGCATCAACGTGACCTGACAGTACGGCATTTCGACCACTTGCGCGCATCAAACGCTTGCGAACGACACTTGCTGCCACGCACAAGAAGGCGCGTATGAAAGCAATATTCATCTGTTGACATCGCTAGGACGCGGTCACGATAATAGTGAAGGCATAGAACCCTGAGTGGTCCCGGCCGCAAACAGATCAAGGTTCAAATCCAGCATGCAAGCTGCGGTCAAAATAGATAGCCTAGCCAAAATATACTCCCGATTGAACGGTCAGTTGACCCTGCCAGAGGCCTTAGCTCTCAACAATCCCGTCCAGATAGGTATAGATAGGCGCTTGACCGCTCAAGTCAAAGTGATGAAGATGGGGTCAAGGGTTCAATGCTCAATGTGGTCAGCATGCACCTCCGCATCAAGCTTTGGCTATCTCATGGACGACTGCAGCCTCAAGGGCTCTTTGAGCTCCTGGCGCAGCATGGTGGAACTTCACGATGTCTGCCTCGTGGATCTCATCCACAATGCGGCAGAAGTGGTCTGGTCCCAAACAACCACGTGAAGCTTACGCCATGATCCGTTTAGACAACGACCCCGGGCCAAAGAATAGTCGGCCTCTGTGACTTGACGTAGAGAGCACTGACAAAACGGAACGCCTACAAAGCGATGACAGGGTCCAGATTCTGGGCACAGGGCAATCGGTGCGCCCTCCCCGCTTTGTTCGATAACAAACAGCTGGTCGCGACAAGATAAACGCCGAAACTGACCGCGAGCTGCAAGGTCCGGAAGATGCGTCTCATTTCGCAACTAGCGCCATAGTATCGCGCGCAAGCCTCGTTGGAGAGGTAGAGATGGGAAAGACATGAATAACACTACTCACTCTGTCAAGTTGCCTGCATGCAAACTCATCGAGCTGGCCGACAGGCAATCTGTCAATGACGGGGCGCGATATTGATTTGACAGAAGATTCCATCATCTCCGCGCCGTACTAGACAGCGACCAATCAGCCGGAGTGAGTATCCGACGCACATATGACTCACCTTTACGACACGCGAGCTGGCCTTGCCCTGTTCATAAACTCGGAGAGCAGAGTTGACGATGGGGAAAGTAGACATGCGAGATACAAAGTCGACATCTTCACTCTGGCGGCGGTCGATGCGTCCTTCAGAAATGTTGTCTGGTTCGAGCGATGGAGATGGCAACGAGGGTGAGGAGGTTCCGGATGTCATGGACAAAGCAGGTGTCGGCTGAAACACTAATTGTGCAGAGTGAATACCTTGGTCAGTACGCTCGAGCTGCACGCCCAAATGGCGAGCTTACGCGGTGAGACACCGCTGTTTTTCATGTCGCCTAGGGCGCGGACGGCGATGCGGACAGACTCATCCTCGCTGAGGGCCATGGTCCGGGCGTGGGGGAGGAGGACAGACTCAGACTGTATGAGAGGGGGCTCCTGATCTCCCCTCACACGTGAAATTGCGTCTATTATCGCCTCTCACGTGGTATGATATTTCCCATCTCCATCTCGATCGCAGAAACAAAGGAACGCAATGGCAATCTTATCTTATCTTTCAGGGGTATCGCAATACCAAAACCCGTCTCATCCTTCAACTTAGCAGCGTAACATCACAATCAACGAAACAACGCATGGACAAAATCTGCGGCTGAAACAACGGCGAGGCCTACGCTTGTGTTTTGATCATTTCCTTGCCTCGTTAATCTGAGCTGGAGAGGAAGCACAGATCTGATGCATGGTACTACCACCTTCTTGAGATGTTTACAAATCACTTACGGCTCAGGTTCCAAAGTTCCAAAGAGTTGCGGCTGCAATTATATAGGATGGTCTAATAAGCGTCTATTTCCATTCCGAACAGGTTTGACCCATCGCCGTGATATTGATCCAACTGTCAATCGAATGGATATGATGTATAGTGTCAAGAGTTGTCAGCGCTGAACCGGTTGGTCGTTCCTAGGGTCTGTGAACGCTTTTCGCGTCGAAAGCCACATCGTTTGCAGAAGCGGCGCTCAGCCGGAGTAGACCGAGGTCTTCTGCGGAGCCCTATCAGCAACGTAAAAGTAGGGATCCACCCTAGAAGAAGTAAACATGCCCATTGACTCTCCCCTCCTCCGGACATGAGAAGTACCATATCTCATCATTATCGTGTACGTCTTCACTTGTGTGAGCTCATTTATCCCACTCGGGCCTGCGCCAGTAGCTTTGTGCTGATGCGGAAGTAATCCCACTGCTATATCCGCATAATAGGGTTTATAGGTAAGCATCTTTTCTGAACGTTCTTTACGACTTGACGGCCCGACGTTCGCAAAGAAGGCTCGTTCAACTTACAAATGCAGGGTCAGATGCGGCCTCCCAGGACAACTTTGGCAGCATAGTGACCGTGGACGTGGTGTTAACAAGGATATCGAAGCGGTTCAGAAACCCTCCAAGACCGGTACCTTGAATAAGATCAACCCCGTATACCGGTGCATGTCCCTCGGATGCAGGCTTCTGCCATGGGGTGGACCTCTATTTCTGATCATTCCGCCTTCCTCCGGACCTTCCCTTATCGTGGCGGGGTCTATCGACACACAATTGAATGCATCCTACTCGGACAACTAGCAAGTCGACTAGTCCTGTCGGTGATGGAGTGAGAGCCAGTGCCTGAATATATTTCCTTTCAGGGTCTGCGTACGAACTCACAGGCAAGTTCACACACTATGATGTTGGTTCGCGCGTATGCGTTGGACGGGCCTGGGCACAGCTGTGTGGCTACAGGGCACCGTCGCACCGCTTGCATATACTATCCTCTACGTAACGGACGTCTTTCGATACGACGGCGACCAAGGTGGTATGCTCTTCATCGAACCGGGGTTGCTGTATAGTGCGCGCAACGAAAATCTGAAAATTCTCCGCGGGGCGGCCGCCATCATGGGCATGATCTTCACGGTATACATGGGACGAGCAGGGGTAAGCACCATTCCAACTTTGCATCGCGCCACTGTAACAAGTTCGCCGAACGAATTTTCAGACTTGCAACCTCTCCGCTGTTGAATCAAGTAGCCAAGGAGACAAGCTTTTGATTGTTCTCCGCGGACAGCACCTGGCCGGCGGAAGTCCTGTACGCAAACTAAACCATACTGGGCGAAACTAACGTGTCTCCGCGCGTTCTCGCGAAGCAGAACACTGCTTCGCTGTTCCTATTCGTCAATCAGAGCGTCAGCTTCCATATTTATGGGCGTGATAACCGGGAACAAATCTTGTTCACAGTCGATATCGTAACGGTAACAGGTGGCCTCGACGCAGCTCTGCCGCTGCCTGGTCCTTCGATACACTATAACCCGCGACTGCGCTGGACGGCGATGTACGAGACAATGTTCGTCGCCACAGGACTAGACAGGACGTAGACGTACAATGTGACGGTGCACATTCTGGAAAACGCGTTCAACGTCGCATCCGTTGTTGTTTACGATGCGGTACATAGGTGAGGCCTTGTGCGAGTACTCTGCTGTATGTGATCTGATATGGTGTATGTGGTGGCATGGCGTCAGCGCAATATTAGCCTTGCAGCCCTCGGTGATGACTTCCTCTGCCTCGACGACAAATGTCTTTTCGACAGGAACTGGGCGGACAAACCAAGATACTCAGAAGGCTGGTAGATTCATCCTTGCCGCAGGCGTGATCGCAGGTGGTGCTCTCGTCATTGCAGTGTTAGTGGGCCGTCGGAGCCGCATGGACCTCCAGAATGATCCTCGGAGTCCGTTACCCAGCTCCATTCAGTCGTACGTTTCGTTAACCTCTCCCTGAACCGCAATCAGCAATCTTATACCTCTGCACCCCATATCTAGCAGACCTCGAAACAACTCCCGAGTCTCCTGTATCAGAACGTCAGGGGTCGAAAGTACCCAGACCTGCGACACGAAGTTGTTCGATCACCTCTAACATTGCCATTCGCCTCAACGCCTATGCATCCTTCTATCCTCTCGCTGTCGACCTCAGTGGCCACACGGATTCCTACAAGTTCTTACCACTCGCCCGATCTCCGCATCTTATCGTCGGTATTTGCTCTTCGTCCTGCACGTTATCCAGCTCCTGCCTGGTCATATATTTCCAGGTGAAGTATGAATGGCCCTACACCACGCACATGGACCTCACTGTCATGTCTTGCGCACATATCGCTCCCGATAGGCCATTGGAATCATGGGTTTCCGGTGATGCAGGTACCTGGTATGATAGATTGTGGAAGTTTCGAGATTCCCTCTGGCCAGGGGTCGCGTAGCGGACAAGATAGCAATAATTCCAAGCATCGTTGAATGTGGAATATTGAGTCTTCTTCAGGACTGCGGCTATCGAAGAGTCTGCAAGTACTGTACCGTACAGTTAAGCCATCTGTCATGATAGTCCCCGGCTATCTATTCGAATGCCACAATGGTCTAGGGCTCGATACCGCGCCCCGTCACTTTCGCGATTGTCGAATGCATATAACACATCGGGAATCTGTGATGGACTTACTATCGGCGTCAGCGATGTCGTGCAGCAAGCAGACACCCTGACAGATCCCTTTATTTCTTTACTAGTAACACGTTCACAATTGGGTTGACAACTCATATCATTCGGTGATCTAAGATGTAGACGTAAGGCAGACCGTGAACCAACGTCTACAGAATATTCACTACAAGGGCACATACAATAGATCACAAAATCCATGGAGGGTTTTTGAACTGCACCCGATACCAAGCTACCAACAAATACCCACGTACATACTTAATAAAACGCTATAAACAGTATTGAACATATGACGGAGTATGGATACTTTACGAGGTTCAATCAAATACCATGAAGAAAGTATCAGAGACGAGAGGAAATCGTTTATGCGCTCTTGCTCTGTCTCACTCGCGCCCCGGCGTTTCCGGGGGAGCGACAGGCCAGATGCTGTCCTTTGTTCCGTTCCGCTCTGAGCGGTTGAGAGGCACCGCGGCGGCGGATACCTGCTTTGGCGACGACCGAGGCTGCTGTTGCGGAGACTTGGGCTTGGCTTGAGGCGACGATGGCGCTTGCGCCAGCGCGCTCGCAAGCTGCGGGGTCGGAGGTTGCGGCGGCTGCTGTTGCCCAGCGCGCATCTCGTCCATGCCGCGCTTGACGCCTGCCATCATCCGATCCGTCCTCTCCAGTATCTCTTCTAAGCGCCTACGCTGCTCCGCAAGCTCGAAGTAGTGTCGCTCGAGCTCCATCACCGTCGGCACCGGCGGGACTCCATTCGACGGCGGCGTGTGCGGGACGTAGTAGCCCGGCGGCGCGTGGTGGTTCATGGTTGGGTGAGGGCCGTGACCTAACGGCGGGAGGACATAGCCAGGCGCAACGCCAACGGCGGTCATGCCCGGCCCCGCGAGGGGAGAGTGCGTGCGGCTGGGCGCAACGCCTGCACCCTGCGAGCCCGAACGGGCGTGCATGCCGGTATAATGCGCGCCATGGGACATACCGACCATGGGCATGGCCACGGGCATCGAAGCCTCACCCGTCGCATGGATAGCGGCATTAAGTGGGGGCAGGTCGTACCCGCCGTGAGGGTTCGACGGGAAGGGGTTCCCACGGGGGGCGCCCGCACCGAAGCGGCTCTCGTGTTCTTGACTTGACATGGCAGCACTACCCGGACGCGGTAATGACCCGCTGCGCTGGACGTGCTCACCCATGTGCGGCGATGTGGACGGTCCGGCTTCGCCAGTAGGGTGGGGATGCATGATATCTCCGCCCCAGGCACCCATTACCGGCGCAACAGACTCGCGTGAGCTGCCACGGCGGCTGGCTGGCGCATTGTTAGCACGACCGCCACGTCTGGCCCGTTTTGCGGGAGTTTTCCCTTCCTCGTCATCACCCTCTTCTTCATCCACGTCCATCGCATCTTCCCCCTCCTTCTGAACCTTCGAAGTCCGGGGCTTGCGCGCCCGCTTCCGTTTTGGCTGATCCTCCTCGCTTTCCTCCTGCAGTTCTCCAGAACCCTGCCCAGCATTAGGCCCCATATGACCGCGCACGCTAGCGAGAACCTCCGCTGCGGCCTGATCGGACATGCGATCTTGCTGAGTGGGCGAGCCAGGAGCGCCAGGAGCAGCTGGTACACGTTTGCGCCGCTTGATGACGGTCTTCTTCATCGAATTGGGGCGATGCGTTCCGTGCAATTTGAAGTATAAACCTGTTAGCGACGCGGGGAAGAGGGGAGCGCCAATGCGATAGTCAGCGATGTGCTTCTAGATCCGGGAATCGGGTAGGAAAAAATGACACAACCTGATCGGCTACACCTCTGGGCGACGGAAATGCTCGTCAAGAAGGAAAGAGCAAGTCGGACAGCGATGTCTAAGGACGGCGCCAGCCGATATAGGGCGAACAGACTTGAGCCGTCCTTAGTCCACCGCGTATGCAATATGGACGGCTTAACCATGAAAGTCGCGTCCCAACACCATGGTAAGGGTCATCACCCAGCGAAAGTGCATCTCCCCAGGGTAAAGAGCCAATGACCAGCCATAAACCGCACAGATGGCCCAGGCTGAATCAAAGCCCTAATCTGATAAGATACGATGCCCTATCACAAGGTGATGCCGCAGCTGATATGATCGCTTATCAGGACGGCCGCTACAGCAGGTGACCACGTGCTCTCGTAATGAGCTCATAACATCCGAAACCTCGCCCAGGCCTCGCCTGCAGCAGAGCGCACGTACAGCGAAAAACAGAGGGGAGACAGCGGAGGACAGCAGCATCCAAGTGGAAAGGCGGGCAAGAGGTACGTACCACACGCGTTGCAGATGTTGTTGCCGACGTCGTCGCGTCGCCAGAGCGGCGTCGTGCTCGTACCACAGTTGGCACAGCTCAGCGCGCCCACTGCAGCGCGCATGCGCGATCTTCCGCCGCTTGAAATAGTGCCCTGGGCACTCGCGATAGGGAGCTGTTCGCTAATATGCGGCTCGCCTTCCCTCCGCGGTGGCTCGGGATTTCCGACCACAGGGGCACTTGGCGGAGCGTGGCCGTTGGTAACCCCGAGCTGGACCTGCGTAGATATCGCGTTGTTGTACGTCGGGCAGCCGGAGCACGCGCTAGTACCCCCGGTACCATCGCAACGACCATCGCCGGGGCAAGTGCCGGGAAGGTGGGCAGGGGCTCGCTGTGTCTTCGCTTGTGAGAGGGCCTTCGCCTGTTCGGCAGACAAATGAGCCGGGGTCTGGACGGGCATCAGGTTTTGCAAGGGAGGATGCGGCGACGCGGCAGGAGTAGGCATAGTCGCGGACTGTGAAGCGTCTTGTAGGTGCAGTACTTCTGGGGGGCGCAGCTGGAGCACGAATTGGCCTTTCGAGGCGTCAAAGTCCGTAGAGTTGGGAGCGTTCGGGTGGGTAGCTGAGGGCACGGTGGATGCCCGTCTGAGAGTTACGGGACGAGATGAGCCGTGGGCCTTGTAGTAGAGGCCTTGAGCACCGTACCCGACGCGATAATATCATGTCCGTAAGAGGCGCCACGACGATTTGTGCAGGCACATCAATCGCGGAAGATGAGAAGAAGGTAACAAGGGAGCAAACAGGCGTCAGCAAACGTGTCCGCACATGATAGGAGTAAGAATAGGTGATTGACAGGTCCCAGCATGTCTATCGCTGCGCGCGCTAGTTGGCCTACGTTATCCTCGCAAGAGACATGCGTCAGCGGCGAGGAAGTGATATGATTGCCTCCGAAGAAGCATCTGGCCTTCGAACGCCTGTTACACGTGCCTCTAAGGGATCTCGATAGGCCAATACACTCTGACGCTATCTGACGCGACGAAAACCCTATGGGGCAAGATGAAGAAGACACATACCGCACGCATTGCAGACAGTCTTGCCAACTCCGTCCCGCCGCCAAAGAGGGGTCACCTCCGCGCCGCAGTTGGCGCATGAGATCTGACGATTTGAGCCATCGTCCTGCGCGTTCTGCGTAAGTGCTGGGTCGATGTTGTCCACCTGGCGGTCTCGGAGGGCTGGGTCAATGGGGTAAGGGGAAGCCACTTCATTCCCGTTCCGGGGCTGCAATACTGGAAGTGACGGAGTGGGGGGTGCGGACGACTGGTCGTGCGCGAAGTGTTCAGAGGCAGGTGGGGTGTGTATGTGTCCCATGAAAGACATCCTGGAAAGCGGCGACATTGCAGGAGTGTGCATGTTCGAGACGGGCGATTCTAATACGACAGGGCCCGGCATCGCACTGTCTTTTCGCTGCAACGTGCGGCGGCGGCACGCCAGACGTGATGAGTGAGGCTGCGGGTGCGTACAAGAAAGAAGCAAGAATGCAAACGTCGACGATCCGGCGGGCGAGCAGGACGTCGGAGACGGTGAACTCGGTCGAGACGACGGCGAAGACCTGACGTCGGGGAGGGCCTGAGGGGAGAACAAAGAATGGTAGCGGTCTAAGCAAGATATAGAGCCAGATAGCGATGGCCGCCCGTCTGGACCAATCACGAGGCGTTCATTACAGAAAGCGCCCGGCAATCACCCAATATTATCTAATCAGTTCTCTCACTCGAGTTCCTCCGTCACACAGGTCACTCCGAGATCCAAATCCCGTCTTTCCGTCGTGCCTCGGTGCTCGAATCCCTTCCTCAATGACTCAAAATATTCTCTGAAGGGATACATGAACCACAGACGGATTAGGGGCATCCCCCGGGCGAAGCTCCGCGGCAGCCGACGCGTCAGCAGTTGCTCGCTAGCCTACCCGTGACTGGGATCTTATCTCCCGGCTGGTGCTCCGCTTTCCCTTATTTGGACCACTTCCGCTCGGGGCCCAGATTCAATATTCGACCTTCGACATCATACCGAGACTTTTGACTGAGTAGTTACCGTGCTATACAGTCCCTTGTAAAGCAATACTGCACACCAGCACTACCAGAACGTCACGAAGGCTTCCCAACCACTCTTATTAGTTGGCAGAGTACATTCTGTGTTGCAGCCCCATTTAGGACGTGAGGTGCATTTTTCGATCCGTGTCTCCATTCCGTGACCAGCGCCCGATGTTAGATTAGACTTGGGCATCATCATCTGTGGGACGTGTGAAGCCCATAAGCGAGTAGAAGATGCGACACCCTGAAAGCTACTTACGTCTCTCGGGAACATACAACATGCTCACCTGATAAGATACACCAGCGCTCCAGATGGCAGGACCATCGCTACCGCATCAACAACTAAGCATGAGCTGTGTCGCAACCTGCCACAGGAATCACGGAAAAATGTCGCCCAAGCACTCTCCATGGCGAACGGCGCTCGCAGCTTTGCAGATAGTTGCCACCGCCGGGTTAGCGCACAGTGGCACCTGTGAGCTTGCGCGCAAGGAGCACGGTTGAGCCGAAAGCTCCCCACCTTACCCACAAAGGAGCGTGTGATACCCCAGTTACGACATCCACAGATGAAGATCCGGAGGCGCACCTGGTGCCCTAAAGAGGCCGTTTTTAAATAGGGAATCCCAGGACCATCTCGGATCGGTATTCACATTGGAGATGCCGATATCGGACTAGCCACCTCCTGACAAGCGTTTATAGCGAGCACGTTCTGCGCCACCAGATCCTCGATATAGCGGCGGCGAAGCAGATGCCCCTGCGAGCATATTCCTAACCTGGAGCGGTTGAACACCACCGTACGAGAATGGCCACGGACGAGCAGACGCCTGCTGATAATCGATTCAATACAGTCAGAGATCAGGGAATAATATACGCCATTTTTGGATGCGCATCGTACACGTTCCGCTCGTGAACAAGCGGGAGAATGGAGGACAGTACAGGTAGCGATTGGACCACAGTGCTCTTGTAAGCAAAGCTTGCAGGATTCACGGCCTCCCACCTGTGTCACTGGTGCTGCGTCCCTTTCTCACATTTCTGGGAACATCATTGGTATCACCGAGATATCTAGACTTCTATGGACAGATTCTCGGCTACCACCGACCGTCGGTACCAGGAGATGGCATTGGCGGCATTATCTGATAATGACGCCGTCTAGGAAGCTCGGAAGATAAGACACTGATGTGGGCAGATGGCAGGTGACAATGATCCAGAGGAGTCGATGGCCGCCGAAAGAGACAATTCCGCTCGACGCCACGATGCCACGGCGGTTGGGTGGCCGTCGCTTACTTACCCGACGCATGACTCCAGTAAATTTTGAGTCACTCGATCTTTTGTCTAGGGGAAGAATGTAAATTTGCGAGAAGACATGGTTGTAGTGACTGTGTACTTGGAATTGTACACGTATAAGGTTATGCGCCCCACTTCGAACATGCTCATCGGACCCTGAGCTTTGCGGAGACTGGGTAGCTAGGCCGAGTCAGTATTGCCAATGCGAGCCAATATTAGAACAGACTGGTCGGCGCAGCATCGGTCAAAGGAGAGAGTTCAAGTCCAAAGTTAAATTGATGTTGATGGGCCGTGGCCCACGGGGCTCATGAACAATGGGTAACGCAGTCACGTGCTGACGCGTCGCGACGCGTGTGGGACCGCGGGTAGTACGGCCGTGGCTCTGCTTTTGATTCAGCGGCCATGAGCGGTCATTATCAGGTCCTGCCAAATTCTTTGCTTGTACTCGTGCACCTGCATCTTCTTGGGTATCCGTCGCAGGACGCTTCCGCGTACAATGAACATCTCTTTGATCCCACGCGCAATGGGATGCGGGAACGTACGAAGGCAATGGAAGACATCTGTTACTTTCTAATTGGCAAAATCGGCGGTGGTAAGGACCATGCACGATCAGTATGTATGAGATAACGAAGGTTTGGTGACCAAATTGTGACTTGTATGCTGTCCTAATAATGGTAGATCCTCCCAACGTATCCATGCTTGCAGCCTTCAGATACTACCTCGTTTCGCATCTCGCTCTCGAAGTACCTCGAAGCATTACGACATAGTAGCATATATCCAAGCCATGCAGAGAACAAAGCTAAGAGTAGCGAAGGCAAGCGATTATCACCAGGCTCGGCCATATCGGGGGCAGCCTGGTGGTGGAAGGACGTCGTTGTCCGTCGTTCCTTACTAGAGGAGTGCTGTGGAAACCGGTAATTACCCCGCATTGTTGCATGCTTACAATGCACCACATGACCTGTACAATGTAGGTTTGAACGGTTGATTCTGGCCCTATCGACGCATGCGCTTCTCAAGTGTACTCTCGGGTCCCGCTCAAGCTCACCGCCGGAACAATTGGATAGTTCCAGACACCTCGTATGAATGATTCGAAGTCTTCTTGCTGTAGCATGCTGATCACAGATTCCAGGAGACCCTGCATAACGTACCCCAGGTGTATGCTACGCTTCTCGAGTCTGCTCAGACCGCGCGCCGCGTCTGGGAACGCTCTGCCTCCTCGCTCCTAGACAGGGAGCGGGACCTAGCCTTTCTCCGTGTGCGTCTTCTGGTTGCTCCTTCCCTGGATATATCCTGACCCCGTTACGGCTAAATGCTGCCAACCCACAGGTGCAACTCTCGAGCCCCACGTCTGACTCCAGTCGTTCCAGATACGACTCCCTTTGCACCGAACGGCTCGTTGCTCAGCGCGACTCTCAATACCAGGATCTCCTTCGCGGGCGATGGAAGCATGTCGGTGGCCGACCCGCTTTGCACTTTCTCATCGATCTTGCGGGCCTGCAGTTAGCCTCTACTCTCAGTGACCCATCGGAGCCATCTCGCTATCAGATAACAGCTACCACGCTTGATGTGAAGGTAAAGTACGGCGATATCTCGACGTGCGCGGAGTCTCACATGCCTTCCATTCATTTGCGCCCATCAGACGAGACCATCTCTTCTGCCAGCGCCTCCCCTGCCTATCGCGGCGGCACACCATCCCGCGAACCTCCGCTCCTTAAGTGAGCCGCTGTTCTCGGCCCCGACCGAGAGTTCGCCTGCACCTCAGGATGATGGTGCTGCTCTACATGCGACCTCAACGGTGCCTCGGACCGTATCTGAACGGCTGGATCGCGCAGCGCGTGCACGACAGGCCCTGCATGATGCACTGGCACGCACAGAGGCAGTCCGTCAGACGCTTTCCGTCCGCCTGCCAGAGCTGCAGGTGGCGTTCGAGACAATGCGCGCAGAGGCGCAGCCCACCCTACCCGATTTGAAATTATGGAAGGTGACCCTGCGCCACAACGTGTGCTTCGAGGTCAGTACCTCTGCGGTCACCCCCCCAATCGCAGACGTCCTGACAGTGACATGTTCCCTGCGTACACGACAGACACCGCCGGCTCCCGCACGCCCCAAAACATTCTCCCACCATCACTCGCGGTCAGAGTCCGCGCTCGAGGAGCGAATCGCCCAGATTCGAATGCAGGCTCTTCCTGCTTATCCATCGGTGCCTGCTGCCTCGGCTCCCGCAGGGTCTTCGCCCTTGCCAGTGGCTTCGTCATTCAGTGACGGCGGTCCAGCCAACAAGCTGCGCCAGCCTTCGCAGAAGGGAGCGTGGTATGTGGATGCTATTGAGACGAAGAAGCAAATAGCGGTACCGGAACGTCGCTTACCAGCAGCGCGCAAGCCGATTGGACAGAACATTGCAGGCCCAGCCCCTCCAGACAGGGCACCCAAGGTCACAATGCCGGGCAAGGTATCCCGCAGGGTGTCCGCTGCTCGGACAAGACGATCTACACTGCTCTTTAGGCAGGATGGCGTGGATGATGAAGTCGACAAGGTGAGTGTGTGGCATTCGAAACTTCAATTCAATTTGATTGTGACTGCCCCATGATTCTGGACACTGAATTTACGGTTCAACCTGTACAGATTGTTGAGACCATCGAGAACGGCTCGCCCTGGTACGAAGGCAGCACAGCCATACCTGGGTCGAGGGCCAGACTACTCGGTGCACCGTCATCCATGGTGAAGAGGTCGGTCCCAATAACATCATTTAATTATGCAGCTGCAAAGTGTAAGTTTAGCTTTCGCAGGACGAATGCCCAGCAAACTGAGGCCTCGGTCGACAAACGTGACAGTCCTTCCAACACAGATGACAAGAAGCAACTGTACTCGGGGGCCGAGCATAATTTGGACGACGAACCATACTACGAAGGACACAGTGTAACTTTGAGAGACATCCTCATCAAGGCGGGGACCGGAGATATCACTCAATTGAACCTGATGGAGGGCGACGACGAACCAGAGGACGAGACATTCCAATGGGATTAAGAGGCTGTACGATGCGCGGAACTTAATTGTATCGCGCGGCACACCAGATCGTCTGGCTGCGTTGAGGCCATGTGTGCGGTGAGAATCAGCAAGTGCTTCGCGAAGACTCACCGGCTCGTGACAAGCGTGCAGGCTTACAATACCAGTCATGTCAATTACTGTGCAGGTGTTGTGACATGGCACAAATATAGCATGCATATGATCGCATGAAGTACATAGATCATGGATTTTGCGCAGGTAGTGATAGCAGGGCGCTCGTGCGGGAGCGTAGAGCAGACATGAAGGATGCGGAACAAAAAAAGGACCATCGTTGTAACGAGAGTAAAAAACTGTCTATGCCTCAGACGGCTTCGACTTGGTCCTCTTCACAGCCGTAGTGTTCTCCCTGCAAATTTGACTCAATCATGAGATGTCCATGAAACCTACATGAGGGAGTCCACTAACCTGAAACCGTTCTTGAAGCGCCTCGACACATGCTTGAGGTAGCGCATCCTGCCGGTACCAGTCGTCTTTCGGCGCTTGGCCTTCTGGCCCCACTCGTACGATCGCAGCTTAGCACTGGGGTAGCCACATTGCGCGCACTCTGAGAAGTTATTATGAGCGGCCGAGTTCAGAATGAGTGGGTGAAGACCCCGGGGAATGAACGACAGGTGGTGAGGCAGTGCATGAACGGAGATGTACACACCCTTGTGCTGCTTGTGGAAGGCGCGGTTTCCACACCGCCTGCAGAGGGTGTGGCTCTTGGTGTGCCGCTTACTATGGGAGGTGATTTTTTTCTCGTTAGCATTCAATAGATGCAGCGACACAGGCCAAAAGCACGCACCCGAAAGACGTGGTACCTAAGCAGCACCAGTGCAACGCGATATCAGTCCCACATTGTCAGACACGCAATCTTTCATATTCAACACGAACCTTTCGTCTGTAAACAATCAAGAGAGTAAGCACATCATCGTGAACGAATGTCGGCTGCTGCAGGTCTGAGGGCCAGTCGCCGTCATCCGACACGGTTCGGGTGCATCCAGCATGAGATCTCCACCAAATTGCTCCGTTTAACCGTAGAATCCGTCTCCAACGCAGCAAATGGCCCCCAGACGTGCAGAGATGCGCATAGACTCACCATAGTGTCTTGAGGATTTTGAGGATACCAATGGGCGTTGTGTTATGCCTGACCGCTTGCCTGCCTAGAGATCGTGGGAACCGGAGAGAAGCGCCATGGATACTCAAATTGGCGAAGATATTGGCGCCCATACATCGTCTTGACCTCTTGGGGTTTCTCGTTTATTGTCCGACTCAGCGTCTTCGTATGTTTAAATGCTCATGAACTGCTGCTCTGCGTTGTATCTTGTCACCTCTGGGGACCATCGAGTGGATCATGTGCTGCTGGACTTGGCTTCAACCACCGGGTCAATGCAGCTCGAGTGAAAATTGCCTTTGCCAGGATATGTCGACTTTCCCCATGCCTCCCCTCGAGCGCCGTTGGAATGCCACACACCTACTGTCTTGGTTCTTATTTATTTAACACTGCAGGTTTCAGTTCTTGCGACTGTCGAATTCAGATGTTCCGGACTCGGACAGCATTAAGCTTGACTTCAGTTTGTATTTTAGGAGTAATTGCTTGATGTACGGTCCCCTGTTCTACGCCTCGTCAATAAATTATGTATTCTACTCCTCCATGTAGCAAGGATTCCGTGTCAGTGTGCTCAGAGGCTGGTCATCTGCTAGCTTCAGAACTGCCCGATCGGTGTTTGAGCGTCTGCGGGTGGTTCGCTATTGTTGACCGATCCATTACCTCAATCACCGCGCTGTTGCTGCACCTCTTGATGTCACTGGACGCTGCATTCTTGATTGCCAGCGAGCACGGGTCGTCTTGAGCTGCGCGAAGATAGGCATTATCAATAGATGTCGTTCAATACACGTCTTAGCGACGCCCACCACCATCGCGGTCGTGGATTTGGAGGTCCTCGTGCACGGTCGTCATCAGCTCGGACGACATCTGACACGATAGGCAGAGCCACGACTGAGGACAGGCAGCCAAACGAGAGCATAAACAAAAGGCGGGCGAGTAACCCTCCAATCATCCGAACAACTAGACCACTGCGAATGGCGCACCACGGGCAATTTCGCCAAAGAGCACCTCGAGGAGCACCGACAGCCCTCGGGATGTATTCTCCGTCTAGCCTGCACAGTAATCCGCAACCGAGCGGCTCCAGCAATTGGCAGATCAACGCCGGTATACCGAGTAATGCAAGTTATGGTCACAATGCCTTTGGCGTCAAGCCGCAAAGGTACGATTGTTTATGCCTGTCTGACCATACGTTATTCAACCTATGGCTCTGTGTGATGCGTCGAAAAAGGTACATCCCAAGGTCTAAGCTTATCAGAACACGCAAATTCACAGAGTCGCAGGACACAGAGACGATACGGTGGCAATTCGCCAGATAATTATTGGCAACCAATCATTGGCGGAAATGGTACACTCAGTCACGCCGCTACGGCTCCAGTACCTCTACAGCCTGTCCTGTCTGCTCCAAAGTATGTCAAGACAGAAGTATTTCCACAACCTGGACCGTCCAGCTATTCGCATGGTATACAGGGTGAAGATACTCTGCCGTCGACTAATTCCTCATGGACATCATCTCCCCCTTTCAAAAAGCGCAAGCTCACACCTCCCCAGCCCGCAAATGATTCTGTCGCGTCTTCATATCCGCCTGTCCAGGTTCAGCCTCTTGCGTTCACGTCTCAAAGTGCTGTTCCGCCAATACCAACATCTACCATTGCGTCTACGTTGCGTTCCTCGGGTACGCCTCCCGTCAAGCGTGAACGCAGCCTAAGTCCCGTCCTTCCGAGTAGCCCGAGAGTGACTACGGAAGGCTCGATTCGCTTCGCACCCCTGCCTGAGCACTGCCGGAAAGCACATGCACAGTATATAGCCAACCGTAAAGTGTGGGTGAATCAAGAGGTCAAGAAACTCAAGCAGATCAACCCCTCTATAAGAGCTGTCCGGGTCTTGACACGGTGCGTGTGCATCCCCTTGAAATAGGATCACCAATATGATGTCATATTCGCAGGGACGATGGAATGGTGATCGACTGGTGCGTCCACAGGCTCATGATTATGATCACGCTAACTGTGGCTGCTATAGGCGATCCTCCGTCCCGGTCATGTCAGACACTCTACTGTCTGCGAATAAGGGCCAAGACCCGCCTCCTAGCAGACCATCCGCCACTCCGGATGCATTGTCCGTTGGTCTTTCAGTACTAGAAGTGCCCCAGTCGCAGCAACTATCTCCAAATCGTGGTACTCCTCCACTTTCCCCGCCTATTGTAGCTATGTGCGAGCCAGAGGGAGTGCCCGCCTCATGCGCCTCCCCTGCTGCTCGTTATGACGTTACTCCATCGTCAGCAGGCAACTCTTCCAACCTCCCTATGGCTAAGAGTGCAGCAAAGCTTGACAATTCAGACAACTGTGCTTCGTCGCGGGCCAATTCCTCGTCCTCCACGGGTGCGTTCTCCAACAAGCCCGTCCCGGTGTCCTTGCCTCTACCTCGGCGTCTAACAGCAGGTAGGAATGCTGCGCCAACTCGCGCGCCCAATTCAGCCAAGCGTGAGGAAATTGCTCATCCTCAACCTGGCCCTTCCTGTGTGACGCGTAGCACGCCCTCGAGCTCACCTTGCGCCGACGCAAATGTCATTCCGCAGGGTGTCACTTCTGAGCAGCATCAACAGCCGGATCCCAGCAGGCGTTCTGACCAGCCGGCCCCCCCGGGAACCACTCTCCCGCCCACTCAGGGAGCTATGGCGAGGCCCGGTGAGTCACCCGTGGTTCCGCAGGAAACTGCCCCGGCGAGCCGAAAGTCATTATCGCAAAGCCTCGAGCTCCCACGCAGAGCGCCTCCCCAAATGTCTCATCCCGAGACCACGCCCGACTGCAGTAGCAGTCGTCCGTCGCCGCCCGTTCCTACGCAATTTGAGGATCTGAGCACGCCATCTGTACACCAACTGGTCGCCGCAATCTCCACACCGACGCGGACATCCGACGAAGAAGGGTATCAAATGGAGTCGGCTGCATTGGACTTCTTGCGGAGGTACACTTCAATAATCACGAGCTGCCATCAACTATGCTAACATCGTTACACCCAGGTTCATTGTGACGTACGACTCAGACCGCTCCGCACTCGCCAGTGCGTATTCCCGCTTCGCCACTTTCTCTGTGCAGACTATCGCGCGCTCGGGACGTACTCTAGAGGGCCCTGATCCTCGTAAGCTGAAGCAGGGCCGGCTCGACATAATGGCCGGGCTCCTGTGCCTGCCGGATGAACGGCGCTTCTGCGCATCCGGACCCACTAAGGTCGAGTACGACGTCGTGCACCTCGGTGCTACGTTCGGTGTGCTTCTGATATGTTACTCTGGCAATGAAAGTGGCACGTGGGCTTGCGATCAGCGCTTCGTGCTGCAATATAAGGACTGGGATGAAGAAGATCGGTGAGTGACGACGAGCCCCATCCTCACGCATCAGCTCATGATTCTTCCTCGCGTAGGTCAACCGAAGGGCTATGGCCTCTCATTGCAGTATCGCACCAGATGACTCTCAGAGTGCAGAATTGATCTCGTTCCTGAACCGGTCAGGCCTTGCCGCGAGTTTCAGATGTATACCGCTCTTGATTACCACATCTGCATCCTATTCTTTTACTCTCTTCTTACTACGTATGACGGGCTGTATATACTTGTCATAATTACCAGGACTCGACTACCTACAGATATCGTTCAAGCTCACGGTATTGGAGAGGCACTCCAGCCAGGAGTAGCTTGCATTTCAGAGGCCGGTAAATGGAACCACCTCTGTAGCGCTATGGGTCGAGCTACAATCTCAAACGCCTCTAGTCTCTCCCAAGCAGCCTACAAACAGCGCCCTTTCTGGATGGTCTGAGGATGGTCGCTCTAAGTATAGGTTTGCTTTAGTACGTACAGCAGTAATGCACAGTATAGATCCGCGACGACGCGATTCAGAGATGAATCTGCTTACATAAGACGAAACCGCGCTTTATCTCGGGACCACAGCATCACTCGTGTATCTAAAGCGATGTTAGTCAGCATCTTCATGAGTGTTCGTGAAACTAGGCATTGACCTCATCTGCAGTCAAGTTGACGCAGACGAGATATGCTCCCTACCTGCGATAAGCGGGGAATCCTCCCTTTACAGTCAAGACCAACGGCTGGAGATCATAGAGGCCGCCGCTCTGTATCATCGCCAAGCTCTATCTCAGCTTCACAAGAGTTTGAACGCTATGTTGCCTGTTCACCGCCTGCTTCCCGAGGTGCTTACCGCGATATTCACATTCGTCGTTCTCGACTGCACCGTGACCGACGGTAACCATCAGCGAGATATCCAATTGTTCTATCTATGGATGCGAGTCATGCATGTCTGTTCATACTGGCGCACTGTCACCCTGGGCTCTCCTCTGCTCTGGAGCAATATTCTAATTACCCCCAACGCAGAATTTATGGCCCAGGCCTTGAAGCTTGCGGGAACAGCACCTCTCGTTATCAATGCGATTGGCTGCAGGCTTCGTGAGGCTCTAAATACCGAGCACATAGCCAGTCTCCGCACCGTTCTGCAAGCTATGCCGCGCATCAAGGAGCTGCATATAGCCGCTAGTGTGTTTGGGACGTTGTGAAATTCGAAGAAGGTGCTCCGATGTTGCAGTCGCTGAACATCCATCTGCCTTTCGGACACGTGGAGAGGACGCATCTAAGAGATTCACTCCGAATGCTTCTCTCGAACGCGCTTTCAAGGTCATTTGCTGATCTCAGGATCTATCGCTACCCTTTTTGCTTGGACTCTAGCTTGACATCATCACTCTCGCTACGGCATCTTGTCCTCTCCTACATGTCGCCGCCTTTTGATCTCGACTCCGGCCTATCAATCCCAACGATGGTCGACTTACTCGCTTGCTTGGAGAACCTACCTCTTGAGCATGTAGAGCTTCATCACGCGTTCCGATCCGTCGCTGAGGAATTGATACCGTCTTCTTCAACCAGTCGAGCATTTGACTTCCCTCGCCTGCGCTTCCTTGTATTCGACGGGAGGACTGTGGACTGCATCAATCTCTTGAACCATATTTTAATCCCCACAAGCGTCACCCTATCGACAAGATGCGATTTACGTGCTCATGTAGATCATCTCGCTACGGCTATTGCTGAAAAGATATCCGGTGCAGCTTTACTACGTTTGCTGAAGTTGCAAGAAGCAGACGATGAGAGAAAACGGTTCTCCGTACGCATAATGGGATTCAATCACGCAGGCAGCTCTTCCTTCCTTCCCAATCACGACTGCTTCAGGATGTCGGTTATACCCCCGCCATATCAACTTCACATCACCCTAAACGGCTTACGCTCATGGGAGAGGCCCTGGAGGACGCTTTCGACGGTCTGTTCTAGATTGCCCCTCTCAGAATTGCGCACCCTCGACGTCTCCGGCTCCTGTTTCATAGACTGCACGCAATGGCTTGCCATATGTGGCTGCATGAAGCAGCTCTCGCAGGTACGGGCGTGCCAGCAGGCAGGCTCGGCCTTGTTGGAGGCACTTTCCAAACGTAGAGAGGGTGCTTACAACAATCCAGACTCCTTATTCATGCCGCAGCTCAACCATCTGAGCCTCCACGAAGTTTACTGCAGGCAAGCACCACCGGACTCGGAGGATTACGATGTGACCGATTTACTTCTTGAATCCCTGAAATTCAGACAAGGCAAGGGAAAGAGACTGGAGAAGCTGACGTTAGAATACTGCATCAATATAAATCGGAGGGACGTTAGGCAGTACCGGGAATATGTGGAGAAGGTGGTTTGGGATAAAGGTGTTCATTACGAGGACCCAGCTGAGTCAGACAGCGATCTTGAAGATTGGAGGTCAATTCCGGATGGTTGGGAATAAATGCTTGGAGATTGCTGATAGTCATATGTCATACAACAGTGCTTGCAGAATTCCAGACCTGCATCTAAAAAATTCACAGTCTCTAGTGAGATGGCCGCCGAAGAACAAAGAACATTACCTCCCTGTGTCGTGCAGCATCTCGACACACGTCGACGAGGCCGTAATTTAGAGAACATATTCCGACGCACATGAGACAGATTCATCATCTCAGGAGAAAGCACGAAGTTCCAAGCACCAGTGTGCTGCCAGCCTGAGAACTCAGTGAACCTTCAGACAAGAGGTTCGAAAATATGCTCGTGAGGTCTCTCCCAAGCAAACACATCACATTGATTTTTCCTCTAAAACTAGCAGTACAGTAGATTAAGCCGCTCAAGACTAAGCTGTGAGATAATGGTATGAACAAGTCCGCGATCCCTGAAAGTACGGATATCCCAGCCTGCGAAGGTTCAAAAGAAGTATCGACGTACAGCCTAAGGGAAACCATTCCAGGTCGCTGTCTTGATTCTTGTATCGTTGTCCCACCATCCATCGTTTTCCAATGCGAGCACAATCGGTACGATAACTGACGCACCCAATCAGGCAAATGTCATGACAACTTGAATTCGTCGACCAGGGTTTTCAACTCAGAACCATAAGCTGTAATCCAACGATGATCCGATTTCGAGAGGCAGTTGAGCTCCAGATACTTTATAGGAGTTTTCAGGCTGTGGCGTCGTCGGAGAAACGCAACTGCTTCCTCAATCCATTTGTCTGGACCAGTGTTGAAGGTACCGTGGACCACGATGCGGGAAATAGTGAGCCGCTGCAGCGATGGGCACAGGTATGTGTAATCCCAATCCCGCCTTGTGGACTCTGGGACAGGGGAGTCGATCTTCTGCATGACCTCGAAGAAGTCAGCCGTTGTCTGAGCACTATTCCAAGAGATGGTCAAATCGCAGACTCTAGGAAACCAGCCCAGCATCGCCTTCCACTGCTTTCGACTGTATGATGGTTGCGACCCACCCAGACTCAACGATTTCACTTGAGATAGTGTGTTGGCGTTCATACCTTCTAGTAGACCCGGAATGAATGTCGGACGAAGGGACAATTGCCGAGAGATATCCTTCTGGAGGTATTGTGTCCACACGAGAATCTTGTAGTCGTGACCAGGATGAGAACCGCTCACCATGAGCGTCGAGCGCCGGTGATCGTACGCTATCTCCAGGCGCCGTATCGCGAGTAGGTTAGCCAGTCGGCGCCAAGGGACCGCGCCCGATATCGTCTTAGGGTCAGGATCGACCTCTGATGAATGCGGCGGCGGCTCCAACTCGAGTTTGACGGCCGTGTTAGGCAGAACCCGAAGACACGACAAGATACGTGAAGCTGAGACGGGCATATCCACCAAGGAGATCATCTTGATCCTAGGCAGCATGACGCATCTTCTTGCCGGACGGGCACCTTTGCGGGAGAATGAACGAATGTTCTCGCAGACGAGGGTCTCCAGAGAGGGGCACATTTCGAGAAAGTCTATCAGTCGATCCGTTACAATCGGCAGAACGCTCGGCGCCCACGACGGGCGGCGGAGCTCGAGCGTGACGAGAGATGGAAACGATGCATGCATCAATGGAAGACAGATCCACTCCAGCTGGAGGGTGCGCAGATGGGAAGCACAGCGGGACAGGACTCCAGCAAGCGACGCGCATGTCGGATCTGACCTCATGAGACCGTCCGGGCTCTGATCCACTGCGAGAGCGAGGATGCGTATCGGAGGCAGTGCTGCGAGCATCTCATAGGCGATATAGTCCAAGTGGTGATCGGAGCACGCTGTCAAATCCACAGCGCGAATGCGGCGAGGTTGCTTCTTGAAAAACTCGTTGACGAAACGAACATTTCCCCCCTGGTGTAGATGGCTTCTACGATGTTTCGATGCGACGACCACGAGTTGCAGGTCTTTGGAGCGTTCCAAAATGAGCTTCAGAAAGTCCAAGGGTCTAGCGATGTCCAGCAAGTCCCACAGCCACGGGGCTTTCAGAGCCGCGTCTCGCCAGCGGCGACACACTCCAGACGCAGCAACCAGGTCCGGGTATCCCCCAACAGTACGCAGGCACATGAATATGCTTGCGAAGACGTCGTCTGGCAAGCGCAGATTGATGGGAGCGAGGTGGTTGTGGATTTCGTCGAGATTGGCGAGCCGCTGTGTTATCTGCTGCTTCATGGTTCGCAGCCAGGCGCTTTGAGCATCGGCAGTGGGAATGCTGTACAAAGTGGCAGTGTCATCGAAGTCATGGTCATACTGCGAGATTGCGACTGGGTTCACTGGGGATGCCACCATCCACGTTAGCATCAACGACGTTGTGGACGATGCATGCGCCTGACAACGTACTCGTCGGCTGAGACATAAGAGAAAGAGTCAATACTGCTTGGAAGGACTGTGCAGCCTGGGATCCACCGTTGACGTTGTCATCAGTGACTGAAGGAAGTCGAGCGAGTCAGGGGCGATCCGCTCACCGTTTGTATCTTGGTTGGTTGGATGTGTGTCCCGCTATACAGGGCGGCAGTTGTATCAAAATTGCGGGGTGCCAGACCCAGCTAAATGTAGTAGAGGGAGTTGAAGAATCAATGCGAGGGTGTTGTGGCGGATGTGGCGACGGCCAAAACACGATCACGTGCGCGCGTCACAAATATCAAGCATCCCATCATCACCTTGTTGTTGTTGCATGACCCACTGTCGCTTGGCCGTCGCGGCCTCTTCCGCCACCAAAAAGCAAAACCTTCTTTGTGGCGATGCTGGCGTCTACATCGCACACACCGCCCCCTTGTGCGCCGAACGACGCACACGAGCCGAGTACACCAATCCATAGGAATCGCACAAAAGCGGGCTTGTGTGTACGTGCCGGACAATCCCTCATCCGCCGCACGACGCGAGCTACTACGAGACGGACTCGTTGATTCGCGCGTCACTGGGGGAATGCGATTAGCGTGGTTCACTGATATGCTTTGACCGCAGTTCCCCGTCAGTCGAACACACCGGCGTCTCAGGCGGCGGGCGCCTCAGAGCCGCGTAGGCGTGAAAGCGGCGATGTATCTGGCTGCAGTGCTGGAGTACATAACTGCGGAGATCGTTGAGCTAGCTGGTGAGCATTAGCCGCACGCTGCTCCTCCCGTCCTTGCCCTTCCACCAGCTTCTGTGGTTCCTGTGCACACAACACGTGCAGTGGTAGTTCCGCATTCCGTGCCCCCTAGGCTTGATTGATGAGATTAGAACCTCAGGAAACAGCAGACACGCCGGAGAACGCGAGCCGCCGATTATTAGGACCCATGACATGCAAGCCGCGATTCAAGGAGACGACGAGCTGGACGTTCTTCTACGCGCCACTGTGGCGGCGCTGGGGCGTCAGTTGCTCTCATCGCGCCGCAGAGTAACGGTAACTGAGTGTGCCTCCAACAGTGTATTGGCCACCACCCGAAGAGGAAGGGCATGTATTACAATTACAATCAAACAATTGAAATATAGTGATCGATAGGCCTCCGAGTGGTGGCGCTCCCAGATCCCATGATGCTGTCACGTTCGAAGGGCGATCGGAAGACGCTTGCCGGGGATTGAGTGCTGTCGAAGTACGACGATGTCGACGAACGATTCACGGATCCCTATCGACCGTTGTCCAGGACACAGTCTGCACTGTGAGGAAATCCTGTTTTGGGTACATTGGATGGTTTCGTCTTGATCACGACAACGTGCCCTATGCGCGTCTTGGGCAGCTGCTATTTGCTGATGGAGCTGCAGTCCGCGACAGGACCCTTACGAGCCATTTATCAAGGGCCTTCTCGTGTGACAGCAGATCGTCAGCGGTCTCCCCATCAAAGCCCTGTGATGGCAACAACTGGTAGTACGCACCCCGCCAGAAACAGACGTCGACCTGCCGCAAGAGGCATGACGCGATCCTCATCATGATGCGCGACGCGGCGTCAATCTGCTGTTCTGCTCGGTCCAGTATCTTCGTGCTCGAGCTAAGCAAGCCCTGGAATCTGAAACCTGTTCTCCGCACAAGCCAAGTGCCGCCAGCCGTCGGTGAAACAGCAGCGTCCTGCAGTCGTCGTCATGCAGCGCGCCTCAGGCGCTGGTCGACGGTGTTGTGTTCCACAGCCATCATCGCCGTCGCGCGATACGATACGATCTGCATCTGCATCTGCATCAGCGCGCGCGATCGCCGCGTACTGCTTCAGACGTCTGCCGGTTCCGACGGTCTGGTACGGGACAATGACCTGGCCTTTACGCGCACTGCATCCCGTGGGTGAACATTGAACGTTGAACGTTGGACGTTGATCGCGGGAAGACTATGCATTGCATGCGCGCGCCCCTGTTTGCGGTGCGGGCAACATGAACATGAAGCAGCCATCAGCGGAGAACGGGCGGCGTGCGCCGTGCGCCGTGCAGCCCCGCACACGGAGACCACGGACAGATGGTCGCGAACGCGCTACCGGCGACATTTCATTTATCTGCGTCGCTCCGCCTCCGTGCGCCGGGCGGGCGCATCATACGCGCCGCTGATCGCGGGCAGTAATGCACCGGCAGCACTTCATTCTGCGGATCCCCGCGTCGTCGGCACCGTCCCCGACGCGTGTCATGGTCGCGACGCGGCCGCGCGAGTCATCGCGCAACGAACGCGACACTTCCCGCCGGCGCCGGTGTCAACATGTCTCAGGAGTCACGCACACGCACTCGCACACGCACCCGTGCATTCGATTCCCCTATTCGCACGGACCGACGATCCACCCCGCGTTCGCCGGTGTCTTTTCGGGCGTGGTCAGGTAGCCAGGCTGGCGCGCGTGAGTCAGGGGCAGGGAGGGCCCCACCGGCCGCGACGCCGAATGCGGCAGATGCGCTCTTCGTCGTGGAAAACCACGTCCACGCGGTATGGCGTGCCCCGCCCACCACGGAGACTCGCACGCAGTACTCAGTACTCGGTGACTGCTGTACGCGCCTGTCGGCGCAAGGGAGCCCCGGGGGTGGACGCCGGCCGCCAGACTAGACTAATGGCTGCGAGGAGCGCCGATGACCACGGACACAGGGAAGAGCCGAGGGGCTGCCCTTTTGGACAGCAAGAATAGACGGCTTCCCTTAGGGAGCGAGTGGGCTCGGCCGGGGAGCTCAGAGCTGCCTGGTGGCGCTCCTTCAATTTCTGCGGGATCGAGCCGCGCACGAAGAGGCGACGATGACGCATCGCCGGCGAACATCTTGGTCAGCTGGCGCAGTGCGCTATGGACGGCAGCAAGCGAGGACGTGCGCGGCGGGCACAAGGCGCCCGGCCGCGCACTTGGCTGCGGACGTGGGCGTTTCAGGAAGCGTGCGGGCGTCTGGCCGCGTACGCCAGCGAGCGTAGGAGGCATAGAGATGGGGCGGTCGAGTGCCTGTTACGAGCTGTGGACGTCCCTGCGCCTTTAGGACAACAACTGTGCGCAGTGCGCGCAGCCCCTGGTTGTCCTTGTATCCTCGCGATGGCAGGTAACCGCCACCGGCCGGGGAACCGCCAGGATCGGGGGGACGCGCCCGGGGCGCCTGCGCTTCCCCGCTAAGAAACCCGAAATGGCTGCTTCTTCCGCCAGACCCGGACTTAGCCAAGGAACCGATAGGGCCGCAGAAGTTGTGCTGGAATGCGCGCCGCGTGGTGGCGGCCCGATTCAGATAGGGTGTGCTATCGGCAGCGCGTCCGGGCGCGCAGCTGGACGCCCCGCGGCGCAGCAGAGGGGCCGTGTGGTGTGCATGGGCTGCTGGGAAGGATGGACGCGTAGGGCAGAATGTGTATTAGGCTCATGGGCAAGTGAGCAGTGGCAGCCGCGGGATGGGCTAATATTGAAAAGCGGGGGTGGCACGGCAACGGGGCTTCTTGCGGAAATTGGCCGCCGGATTGGGTCCGCTGCAGGCCCACGCCATCAGCCCCGATCGGCCACGGAGCTGGGCGAGAATGCGCTATCTGGATACGGCGCCTTGTCTCGCTTGCTCCCAGCTACCGTATATATCATGTCCTCTCGTCCAACGCCGCCCCTGACACCCTCAAATACAGCCTCTCCCCTCCAGCCGCTGCACAACATCCTTGCATGCTCCTCCCATTCCGCCCCCTGCCCCCCGCCCCCATGCACTCCCCCCACAGCAAAAGCCGCCCCGTCGCCCCGTCCATCTACGTGCGCACCGGCATGGCCCCCACTTGGCGGCGGCGCAGCAGCAGCCCAGTCACCCCCGACTCGGTGAGTATCCGCGGTCTGCTGTCGCGCTGCCTGGGCGCGTCTGACGAGCAGCACAGCCCTCGTCCCCCCTGCACTCCCCCTCGTCCTCGCGACCAAACTCGCGCCCCACCACCCCCTCGGACGTCCACAACGCAGTGTCCCGCCTGCTTGGCCTCACGAAGCAGCTGCAGGAGCTGCTCCAGCTCTGGGGCATGCGCCATGCCTCCGAAGACCAGGTCAGCGACGCGTTCGTCCTCGTCGGCCACCAGTTCAACGCGACCGTGGACGTCTTCTGGCGGCACAACGTCGACATGAGGTGAGCATCTCGTTACGTCAGGGCCTTGCAACGGACGCTGCGCACGTCCGGTCCTCCCGGGGTGTGCGCACGCATTGAGAAGCCCACCTTCGCGCTTCTCTCCGGCACCAACCCGGGCATTCCCAGCCTACCAACGCTTTCGCCGTCCCGGACGCAGTATCGCAGACGCTGACGACCACCTTCTCTTCCTGCAGTGACCTCTTCCATGTCCTGACCGACCTCCGTGAGGTGCTCGAGACCTGCCTGGGCGAGGACGCGTCGCCGCAGACGCTCGCGTATTTCATGCCGCGGGTGCGGCTCGTGATCTACAACCTGCTCACGGGCCTGCGGAGCAAGCAGGGCCCGTACTGGAGCGCGGTCTCGGGGCACCGGCGGTCGACGCGCTCGCTCGAGCCGAGCAGGCAGACATAGACACGACGGGGCGCATGACCAGCGACCAGCGCGGCGCCGCGCTCCCACTGCGGGCCCGACTGGCCGACGTTTTCCCAGCCCCGGTGCCGACATGCGCCAGCCTAATCCTGGACCCGCGCCGCCGGTGGGGACACGCGTTTCCGCGTGGAATTCCCTGCTGCGCGTGTCAACACCCTACCTGGCGGGTTATTCTCATTTGGGCCGTCCCAGCGTGCCATGCCCTGCCGACGGACACCGGCGCCCGTGTTGCGCAAGTGCTCCCCGTACGTGCAATGTCATATAATGTACACACATGGACGCCATATTCGCACCGACACCGACACGCGCTGCATTCACGGACAGCTCCAGCACACCTTTTCTCCTCTTCGAATGCAATCGACATACCATATGAATGTACTAATTGCAATCCTTCGTCTGCTCCTGTCCCGCCATTGTCTGCCCTTCTGTAGCTTATCGTCGTTATAGTCTGCTGTCATTGTGAATGCTACCCGATGCCGTGAATGCGCATTTATACCACACGAATGTAATCATATGTTTCCGCCCTCGTCAAGGCTGTCTTTGCACGGCACTCGCACTCGCACTGTCCGTGACCAGATGCGCGGGGGAGTCGCTGCCCCGGCGGTACGCCCTGCACGGATAGCGCGAAAGAGGGGCGACAGCCTCTCTGGCGCGTCGATTGGGGTCACGCGCGACGCGTCGAGACCGGCGCGTGCGCGCACTTACGCGTCGCGCTGGCCAGTGGTCTTGCAGCTGCACCTCGCTCAGCAAACCAGCATACACCCAAAGCGCACGCACACCATGCCAGAACACCCGACCCGCGGCGCCTTCATCGTGCTCGAGGGCCTCGACCGCTCCGGCAAGAGCACACAGGCCGACATCCTCGTGCAGCGCTTCAAGGACGCAGGCTCCCCCGTCAAGCTCATGAAGTTCCCCGGTGCGCATGAGACATGACATGCCTGCGCCCCCCTCCCCCTCTCCTTCTCCCCGCGCTCCCCCCCCCACAGCAGCACGCCTGACGCTGACGCTGGGTGCACAGACAGAACGACCCCGATCGGCAAGATGATCGACTCGTACCTGCGCTCGCAGTCCGAGCTCGACGACCACGCCGTCCACCTCCTCTTCTCCGCCAACCGCTGGGAGCTCGCGTGCGTCCCTCTCCCCCACCTGCCCCCCGCCCCCGCCCCCGCCCCCGCCCCCGCCCCCGCCCCCTGCCGTCCCGCGCTACTCACACGCCCCACAGATCCGCCATCGAGGCCACGCTGCGCGCCGGCACCGCCGTCGTCTGCGACCGCTACGCCTTCTCCGGCATCGCCTTCTCCCACAGCAAGAGCGAGAGCGCGGACCCCGCCGCGCGCACGCTCACCTACGAGTGGTGCCGCGCGCCGGACGCCGGGCTCCCCGCGCCGGACCTCACGCTCTTCCTCGACGTGCCGCCCGCGGCCGTGCGCGCGCGCGGCGGCTTCGGCGACGAGCGCTACGAGCGCGCGGACGTGCAGGCGCGCGTGCGCGCGGCGTTCGAGCGCATCGGCGAGGAGATGGGCGAGGGCGTCCTCCGCGAGGGCGCGTGGGCCGTCGTCGAGGCCGAGCGCACGCGCGAGGAGGTCGCGGAGGCCGTGTGGGAGTGGGTGCGCCCCCTCGCCGGCGGCACGGCGCGCCCGCTGCAGCGCCTGTGGGACGAGACAGAGAGCCGGGAGACGAACCAGCAGCTGTACATCTAGGCATGGGCGCGGGAGTCGGTGCCACGGTGCCATGGTGAGGGTAGCACAGCGAGACGGATGCATTGCTAGGGGACAACGGGCAAAATGTACAGTATTATTACATCGCAGCAATCGCAGGGCGCGGCGGCAGGTTACCGCCGGTAGCCTCGTCTCCCGTCCTTCGCCTTCATCGCCCGTTTGCGCTCGCGCTCCTCCTCCCGGGCGCGCGCACCGCGTTGCCGTGGATCGATCACCTCGTAGTCCCGCTCGGCCTTCTCGACTTCTTCGTTGTTGTCTTTCGGGAAGTGCAGCGCGTGCGTGAGGAAGTCGGTGTCGTCGTCCACCTCCACGCCAGGATCATCCTCGCCAGGCGCCTTCTGTTCTGGCTGCTCGCCGTCTACCATCTCGACGTCGGGGTCCGCACCCTCAGTCTCGTCCGGCGCGGCGCCCTTGATCTTGCTCCGGAAGCTGTTGAGCGCGGCGAGCACGTCGCTCTCGTCCCTTCGCTTGCCTTTCTTGTGCGCTCCGCGGCCCTTCGCGTACTTGGCCATCTCCTCCTCGAGATAGGACTTCTTCGCCTTTTTCCTCTCGGGCTCGTCACCGCTCTCATCACCGCCCCGACGAGCCAGCTTCCGGATCTCCGCCTCCATCTTTTCGATCTCGGTCTTCCGAGCAGTACTACGTCCCACACCATCAGACATCATAGATGCCCCGCCAGAACCGCGAATAACACACCTCTGTGCTTCTTTCTCTTGAGCATGTTTTTCCCGTATCTTGGTAATTTCCGAGTCCTTTTTAGCCGATTTCTTGGAGGATTGAGGATCAGGCTACAAGTATCTGTGAGCATCTTGGGGGGTACAGAACTGACGGTCGCTTACAGTGGCGGTGCCACTGTCTTTCGGTTTCGACAGCCTCTCCTTGGGTGCAGCCGGAACTGTCGTCGGCAAACCTGCCGGTTGCTCCGGTTCCAGCACTGAAAGCCATGCTGAGCTCTATCGAGGTGCTAACGCAACGGAATACTTACGATCGGGGCGAACTATTGGCTTCTTCTTGAACGTGACTGGTTCTTCCTCTACCCCTTCTTCCGCGCCAAAGCTGAGCAATTTGACATCCCTGGATGATATAGAGTCAGACTTGTCCAAATTCACGGCCGATCACACCTAAGGACGCACTTCTTCGCCCCTCTCCGCCGTTGCTCTTCCTCTCGTTCACGCTGTGCTTTCTCTCGGGCTCGTTGTTGTGTACGTTTCTCTTCAGCGGTTATGCGAGGGACGATGTCGTCAAACGGATTGTCGATGATGCGCACCGTCTTGATTTTTGGAGGACTGCACTGCAATTGTTAGCGCACGTTTTAACGACACAGCCATTTAGATACGAACTACAATGGGCGCTCATTCTCGCCAATCTCTAGTAGACAGAGCCTGAAAAACTCATGTCAGACTTCACGGGCAGAGAGAGATTTACGTACCCATTTCACCGATTTTGAGGACATCTGCGCAAATGTATCAGAAGCAGCCGGGTCTGCGGCTGTCGGTATGCTTACTGTACAGCGTATCGCCTATTACACGCCCGAAGAGGGTATGTTTCCCGTGTAGTCCATCCGCACGATCTGACAGACATAGCATAGGGAGCCAGCGTCAGTCGATGTATGGCAGTAGGGAGTGACATAGATAACACATGTATGGGTCGACGTGTAACCCGAACCGTGATATACTTCCAAAGATGACCCATTGGCGATACAAGAGTTGGATAACGGGTGCTGCTCGGTTAGACGGATATACTCGGGATATTTTATGTCACTCCCCTCACAGCCAAAACTAAACTAGCTCACCAAGGGTAATGAAGAATTGCGAGTCATTGGAGTTCTTGGTCCCGTTGTTCGCCATCGCCACCAGACCGCGGTGGGCGTATCGGAGACGAGGATGAATCTCATCCTCAAAGGGCTCTACAATGCATGCATGAGACTAGATGCAGCACACAACAAGCCTGACCATACCTCCATAGAATGACTCCCCACCGGCACCAGTGCCTGTCTTGTCACCGGTTTGGACCAGGAAACCGGGAACAATGCTTGACAGCGCGAACGCGGTAAGTATGCAGTCCGACGCCCGTCTGACGGTGCCTTACCGGTGAAATATGACGCCATCGTAGTAGCCTGTAGGACATGCAGTGAGATCGTCGTCCATCTCGCCTATACAGCATGTCTGACCTTCCATTGCCAAGGCCAGGAAGTTACGGCATGTTTTGGGTGTTTCCTGCAATTGTGGTATTGTCGTTGGCGGACAATGATACGGTCCAGCATTGTGCTCACTTTGGACCACAGTTCGATGTCAATCTCACCGACAGTTGTGTCGATAATAACGCGGCCGCGGGTCGGGAGAGCCATGGCAACAAACAAGCAATAAGTGACAAGTTGGAGTACTTGGACGCGTCCAGGGCGCGTTCAAAGATCACGGGGCTCTGAAGCCACGCGAGGCCCACATGGCGCCGAGGCTACACTAGCAGCCCACACCAAGGCCGGTTTCGGTTCACCACTTGTTCTCCTCGTCCACCTCCTTGCTGCAACCACCCTGTCCACTAGACACCATGGCTTCCAAAGCTGCGCACAAGCGAGTGCGTGCTTTTCATATTCCCTCCCCCTCGACGGCTGATATATGTCTGGCGCGCAGCTTACAAAGGAGTACATGGCGATGCAGAGAGACCCCCCACCCTTCGTCTGGGCGGTCCCGGAGGAGAAGAACATCCTTACTTGTGAGTCAGCATGATGACCTGTGATTAGCTACTTGCTGAGGAGATATTGCAGGGCACTACATCATCGTAGGTCGCTCTCTATGATACATGCGCTCTACTCACGCGCCGCATCGATCGCCGACAGCGTGGACCTCCAGACTCCTCCTTCGCTGGCGGAGAGTATCATGGTGTCCTCTTGTTCCCATCAGAATACCCCTTCAAGCCTCCAGGGATTAAGGTGCGGCGCAACACTAAATCCATGCGGTTTCATATAGATCATGCGCCCTGCTCTGTTCAGATGTTAACACCTTCGGGGCGTTTCCAACCAGATAGAAAGATATGTTTCTCAATGTCTGATTTCCATCCCGGCAGCGTAGGTCAATATTATATTCTTTCAAGCTAAGCTAACTATCCATCGTCATAGTGGAATCCTGCCTGGAGCGTTTCAACAATGTATGTGCATCTTAAAGCCTATGCTCTGTTCACGATGGCTTACCGGTGTTCTATCTCACAGATTGACCGGGTTGCTCTCATTCATGCTCTCAGATGAGATGACAACTGGATCTGTCACTACTACGGATGCTGATAAGCGCGCCTATGCCGCGCGCAGTCATACCTGGAATCTCGGCCAACGCAAGTTTAAGGAAGTATTCCCTGATGTGAGTGGTGTGATTTCGATTTGGTCTTCAAACTTCGCGCCGCTGGCAACACTGTGGCTGCAGATGCCATCCATGAAGACATCTGCATCAATATCTGTGATTTCCTAGCCCGTGGCCAGCTTTCAGTTGGAGGCGGTGTCCCAGGTTACGTCTCATCTTCAGGGCTAATAAACATATGCTTTGCAGTTTTGCACTACATCGCTACGTGATCTTCCGAACATGGGCGAGAAGGAGCGAGGGGCCGCGTCTAATCCTCCAGTACAAGTACAATTGACCGGCTCCGTCACGACGTTACCTGCTGCTTTACCCAGTGGCAGCACTCCGGTCGATTCTACCGCCGTCTCGCGCACATCGGACCCCAAGGTGACGTCTGGAAATGGTGATACAAACCCTAAACAGGTCAAGGGGTGGTCTGACGCGTGGCGGCAGATGATCTGGGAGAAATGGCGGTGGGGCGTAATTCTCGCGCTCGCTCTTGTGGTGTCTCGGCTGTCGTCTAGTGCCTAGCCAGATTTCACGAGAGTAGTACTGCAGGGGAGTGTATGGCCTGGTTTCTCGTCTCCATGCATTTACCCTTCTCACGGACAATGTTGGCGTTTTTCTTGACGCGCACTCCACACTCCTTGAATAGTTTCTATCACTTCCTACCCTTTACATCCACTTGGTTCTGTTGGAATCTCGTATAATTCTCAGCCCCCGCTCTTGTTTCACTAGGCTTGTATCTGTACGCTTCAATCAATATGGAAGTATCTCTCAATTCCCATATCCCACGAACTTGAGTCTAAGGCAAGCTTGCAATCGAGTAAACGTACAGTTCTCAAAGTATAAGCTAGAAATGGTGTATCACAACGATGTCGGGAAGAAATGGTGCATGTGGGCGAAGCGCATCCGATCCGTGAATGTCAAGCTGTTGGAGCGGGACATCGTCAATTGGTGACCCGGCTGCACGCCTTTGCAAATAATATCCTCGCTGCCGTCGATCATCCAAAAGGCTCACGGCTAGAATGTCTGAGAATTTCTTGGAGTTCAAGGCCTAGGGCGTGGATATATGAGAGACGAGCTGCATGCATGCAGTCCATAAACTTCGGAAGTCAGCGATATGGGAACACGAGCTTGAGGATGGATCGTCGGCGAATGCCACGTGTTCAGACTCCGGGTGTGCTCCGAATCGGGAACATTCAGGAACATATCTCAAATTGGAATTCCGACAGGGCATGTTTTGTCGCCGCCCGGAAGTAGTGTCATGTTGTGATCGGGACTGCTCTCGCCCAGAATCCGCGGCCATTTCTACTAGACTCGAATACATGCTACTGTCTCATTTTGTCGACTCAGTGCTTCTATCTATTCTGATTAGATTAGTGACGCCCTGCGAGCAACAAGAAGAACCCGGCATTACTTTCGCAGGTCGCTGCACACGCAAGATGGCGGGCGTTGCGATATAGCATGTGCATGGCGCACGGTATCGACATCCGCACATATATGTCCTTCCGCGCGGAAGGGTGCCCTCACGTATGATGTCCCGCAGCGGAATGACGAGTCGAAGTCCTACCAGATGTTCCCGAATTAGATCAGGACCTGGACGCGGTGTATATAAGCGAGACTTCTGTCGATGTCTTCTGCAGGCGATACGCATTAGCCTCATTCCAACGGCCTTTTCCCCGCACCTTGTCAACGTTCTCATCCACCCCTCCTGCTACGAGTTCAGCATGCGCACCAAGAGCTGCTTGAAGCAGTCGTCCTTCACGCCTTCTCCTGAGCCCGCCGAACGCGGCGATGCCAGCCCTATCTATACCGAACGTAGGAAGTCGGTTACCTTCAGTATGAAAGGCGAGGAGGATATCCAAGAGGAGGTGTTCTATGCAGACGAATGGGACCGTTCGCCCATTGAGGCTACGCCCAAGTTGACCTATCGGTAAGTACCAGGGCTTGCCTGTCCCGCAGTTGCAGCTCTGCTAACACTTTGACAGCGACGTACTCGAGCTCATGGAGCTGAGACTGTCAATCCCTCGAATTCGATTTCCAGGACGCCAGCGCGGAGGGTCCTTGGACTCGCTCACGCGATCACCTTCGCAATAATCCCTCATTATTTCTGTCTCTCATTGTGTCTTTGGGTTTGGATTTGGATTTGGATTTGTAGGAAAGTTCGAATTAGTATCTGTCACTGCCGGTATCGTTGATAGTAACACAAATCATTGCTTAGTACAACGGACAGGTTGCATTTTAAACATGGACATGAACTCAATCGAAGACCAGTTGTCAAGTTCGATTAAGAAACGTCTATGCATCCTTGGCATCAACGAGAGCCGGAAACATAATCAAATTTCCCACAGGTTCTGTAGTCTTCTCGAAGATATCGGAGTCTGCCAGAATTTGCCGACCACGAAAATACAACAGTTCATTGCAATGCGTTTAGGAGGTCAGTACGAAGGACCGTCGTGTGCTCGCGCATCCGAGCGCGTTTAAGAGGATGCGTAAGTCGTCGTCAGAGTTCAAGCAGGGCTGGATATCGCATGCTAAGATTAAAGGTTTATTTTTCTCTCCGCGACGATGGCGATTTCAGGCCCGGGCATGGGTTGGGAGAGTAAATAAGAGCCGGCGGCGGCACGACCCGGTGAGCTGGAGCGGCTGATGTGCTAACGGCGAGGACGCTGGACAAAGAGTAATGAGGTTGAGAGAAAGTACCTTCAGCGGACAAAGCGCCGCTTTGACCCCCATTGTATATTTGTGAGACGGATTGTGCATTCGGAGAAGACGGTAGAGACTTGAAAACCGCCACCGCCACACACGCGTTCTGAGCGCCTGGCGGAAGTTGAATTCGAGCTGGAAGCCTTCAAAGCCTCAGCCCTCACTCTACCAACTGCCAACTGTACCCCATCTACAAGAGGCCCCCGCGTTCGGTTGCATCACCAGCAGTCGCCTATCCAAGCACGAACTCGTCTCTCCAGCTGATCGACTCTCGAGACCAATCTGACGTGATCCTAGAGGCCACACAAATGTTGCAGACATTTCGCTGCGCTCTTTCATTTGTCTAATCACTGAGAAAGTTACCCCACACATCATTTGGTTAGTCTCTTATTTGTGTGTGGCTAGACTGATGTTTACTAACGCCAAGAGCGTGTACAGGCCACATGGACTACGGGCAGTTGCTAGCACAAGACATATCAGCTCTGAAAGTTGAACGTACTCTAGTCGATTACCAGCGACATCAGCTCGCCCTGCGCTTAAAAACCCTTAACATCCTTGAACGCAGGCTGTCAAATAGTGCCGTCCGAGTGAATGCACTTCCTGTGGAGCTCATAGTCGATATCCTCAGCTACGTGCGCGCTGCCGGTGGCTATGCTGCATTGGTCACTGCCACAAACGTGTTCGATCACTGGCGGACAATAGCTGTCAATACTCCGAAGCTATGGGACGTGGTTGATGTGGGCAAGCCGTGGGCTTTTGTCAAGCTCTGTCTAGAACGTTCGGGAGGTATTGAGATCCAGGTGTATGCTTCCGCTACTCCCGCGAGTCTTGCTAACATGACGAATAATTCTGACAATTTGACGTGGGGTCTTAACCAAGCGGCTGGCCGTATCCGCTCCATCAATCTAACAGCGGATTCTTCACAGCGCCTCGATTCTTTCCTCTCACGGATATCTACGCCCATGTCGATCCTGACCTCATTCGACCTAACTGTTACAGGCGAACTTGAACTCATGGTGTCGCTTCCTACAGCACTCGTGCAGGATGTCTCTAACCTTCGCACACTCAGGTTGGAACGCGTCGGCTTTCTATGGACAAAACTTCCATTCAACTCTTTGACGACCCTCCACGTTCATGGTATGAAAGAGCTTCGTATGCATGTCCCCACTGATGGATTCCTCGACTTCCTTGATGCCTGTCGTTCTCTCGAACATCTGTCTCTCGCTTATACGTGTCCTCATCATCCTGCCCGGCTGCCAACTCGAGTTGTAGCGCTACCAAATATCAAGGTGCTAGTGATACATGACGAGTCAGACTACGCGCACAATGTGTTATCGCACATACAGGTCGCATCCCACACGCTTACAGCCTTCGACCTCATATCCTCGGAAGAAGACGTCGAGTCTAAGGTGCTGGCGGCCATGCTTCCCTGGAAGTTCTTAGAGAACCTAAGGTCTATACATGCACTAGAGATCGTGCTCGACTGCGACCGCGGGGTGTTAGATGTCCGGGGAAGGCATTCTCCCGCTGACGGGCAAGTCCTCTTCTGGCGGCACAATTTCGAAGGACGCCAGCTCCCGCCAAGACTCCTCCAGAAGTTCCTCGCCGATTTGGATTCGAACCTCCTCTCTCAACTCGACCTACTGGTAGTGTCCGGAATGGATGCGTCTTGCACATGCGAGGAATGGGACCAATTAATGCGGCGCATCCCCAAAGTCCAGTGGCTCTCGGTGCCCTTCATCGACAGCACGGCAGCGTCGGCTTTCTTCCAAGCGCTGAGCCAGGATGACGGCTCCACGAAGGAAATGGTCCACTATCTATGCCCGCTGCTCCGGCAATTATGCGTGACACGGATCAGCCCTGGCCACATGTGGCAGCTCATGGCGCTGCAATACGTGCGCCAGCGCATGGAGCGCAAGCACGACCTGGAGAGGCTCTGCCTGGAGTGGGTTGGGTCGGTAGACCTTCTCGAGGACATGGCGAATGCCTTCACCTCGTCCGTCTGCGAGTTTCATGTCGCGGTCGTCTGAACTTTTGATGCTGCTTCGGCGGCACCTCGCGCGTGAAGGTATGCAATTACCCTTCAGTCACGAGCCGTCGTCCTGACCTCTGTTTTCAGCACATGTTGTCATGTTCTTAGCTGGGTCTTAGGGTCTTTTCTTGCATAAGCAAAGGTGTTACTCGCATACCATGCATCACCATTGCGCGACACTGTACTAACATAGTCTCCTCGATAAAGCATCGTAAAAGTAGTGTCTCTTTCTTTGTCGCCACGAATATCACAAAGTCCTCGCAGTTGGCTGCCTTCCTCCGACGCTGACCCTCGGGAGTTATCCCGCGGGGACGACCTTCGAGTTCTGATAACCCAAGAAGAGGGCAGCTCTAGCTTCTAGCTTCCCTGCGCTTCTCTGTTTGTCGCGTTCTATTTGCCATGGCCATTAAGTGTGAGCTCAACACATGTACCAAGAAGGCTGGAGGCATACGACGACTTTGTGAAGCGGTAAATCGTTCTCATGAAGCCTCCATCAGACACTTCCGGCCATCAACCATAACCAAATGTTAAGAGTAAAGTAGCCGAATAAGATTAATCCAGGCCCCACCAACGCGCAGGCACAGAGACTACGTACGATAATATGTAGAGACCCGTATATATAGCACAGCATCCGGGGCGCAGGCAGGCAGGAGACAAACCGAGCGAGGGCAGGCGGGGGAGAGGGAAGGGAGGGAGACAGGAAACAGAGTAAGAAATACATAGACGAGACGAGACGGACGTGTGAACGGGATGTGGGGCCTGCGATACGCTGCTATGGGGGGGGGGGGGTCGGGGTGAAATGGCAATGTAGGATGCAGTGGCGGTGGCGGTGTGCGGTGTGCGGTGTGCGGAGCGGTATGGAGTGTAGGGAGAGGCGATGGGCCGATCATGGGCAAGATGGGTGCGATGGATCAAGCATCTAGATGAATGCGGCGAGGCGAATGACAAGACAGAGGGAGTGTGTGCAAGAAGACAAGAGATGGTGCACCGAGTCTAAGATGAACAAGGAGAGAAAGGGGAGGGCGAGGGATATGTACTTTTGTGGCCGGTGTGCCGTGCCCCGGGCGCCGCGTGCAGCTCCAGAAATGGTGCCGCAACGCAAGCACAACGCCTAACGCCTCACGCCTCAAAGCGCGAACTCAAGGTCAGGCCCTGCACCTCCGCCGCACCCGCGCGCACGTCCACCACCTCCACCGCCACATTCCGCGCGCCCTCCGGCACGGGGACGAACGGCGACCCCGCGAGGCCCCACACGCCCGGCGTCGCCCCGGGCGGGTACAGCGAGAACGGCGACGGCGGCATCAGCGCGGGCGACGGCAGCGCCGCGAGCATGCGGCGCTTCGGCAGCGGCTGGGGCTGCGACATCTCCGTGTCGTCCTCGAGCCGCCTGTGCCTGTGCATCTCCATGGCGGCCGTGCCCTCGCACTCGGCGAGCAGCTGCGCCTCCGCGACGAACCCCGCGAGCGCGGGGTACAGCGCGCCGAGCGGCGGGGTCTTCCCGGCGGTCGACGGGACGCGCGGGTAGAAGTACGTGCCGTCGAACGCCTGCACATGTTCTTCCGCCTCCGCGTCGGTGTCCATGTCGCCCTCGCCCTCGCCCTCCGTGTCTGTGTCGCTAGCGGAGGAGAGCGACGGCGTCTCCGTGCCCGGGGGCGACGGCGCACGCGCGTCCGCATCGGGCTCGTCGTCCTGGTCGTGCAGGTCCTTGAAGGCTCGAGGGCGGAAGGGGACATCGTGTGCACCGATGCCGTCTTGTGCGAATGACACCGCTTCGTCTACCATACGTGCAAGCGCCGCTGTGTCCGCGCCTGCGTGAAAGTCGGTGGGCAGGGGCCACGAAGGTTCTTCCACGGCCGTGAGCGTCGGCGTCGCCTGCTCCTGCACGCTCGCCTCTGCATGCTCCATCGTCTCCGCGTCTCGCGTTTCCACCTTCTCCGCGTCTCGCGTTTCCACCTTCTCCGCGTCTCGCGTTTCCACCTTCTCCGCGTCTCGCGTTTCCACCTTCTCCGCGTCTCGCGTTTCCACCTTCTCCGCGTCTCGCGTTTCCACCTTCTCCGCGTCTCGCGTTTCCACCTTCTCCGCGTCTCGCGTCTCCACCTGCTCCGCGTCTCGCTTCTCCACCCTCACCTGCGACTTCTCCCCCGCGCTCTCCGACGAAATCTCCATCAGGGGCACAAACGACATGCTGATCCGCCGTCTCGGGCGCGCCTCCGGTTTCTCCACGAGCGGGAGTGGGGCCGCAGGCGCTGGTGCAGGCTCTTGCACGGGGAGCAGCGGCAGGAACGCGAAGTGCGGCGCGCGCGCGGGCGGCGTGGACGGCGGGCGCGGCAAGGAGAGCGAGCCGGACGGCGACGAGAGCGTGATCGCCGGAACCGCAGGCGCAGACGGCTGGGACACGGAGGAGGAAGATGTTGGGGACTGGGGGTGTGAGGCTGGCGGTGACATGGACATGGACACGACCGACGGAGACTGGGGCTGAGGTGGTGGGGGAAGGGATGAGGATGAAGATGGGGAGGCGGCTGACGCGCGTGCGCGTGGATTTGAATCCGACCCGCGGCTCGCCAAATGTGTTTGTGTCTGTGTCTGTATCTGCATCGGTGGCTGGCTCGGCCGATCGGGCGCGCTGTTCTTGTTCTGGGCAGGACTAGAGGACGGCGCGTCGAGGAGCGGGAGGAGGCGGATGGGCACCGCCTCGAGGTACGGCAGGATCTCCGGATCGACGGTCTCGCGCAGCTGCGTGCGGTTCTTCCAGCGCGAGGGCGTCTGCGAGGGCTGCGTGGCGAAGCGCGAGAGGGGAAACGGCGGCGGGGAAGAGGCAGACGGCGCGGAGCAGTCCGCAGAATGGCTGAAGGGCGTGTGTGTGGATGGCTGGGGAGGTGAGGGCGCGTAGCACGCGGGAAGCGATGTGGTGAATGGCTCGCGGTACGTGGGGGGCGGGGCAGCGCGGGGGAGGGAGAGCCGCAGTTGCTTCAGCTCAAGTACGTCTCTATAGCGCGCGGGAGGACGTCAGCGACATGTCACTATGTACACCAGGAAAATGTGGAGCGGGCTCAAGTTCCAGCGCAGCCGTGCGATGGCGGTCACCTGCATGTGTGCTCCGTGAGATGAGCAGCATGGTGCAGCGCGATCAGACGGAAGACGCCACCGCGACTTCTCGCCGCCGCATCATCGCTGCGTCTTCCCTGTTAGCGGTCGCCGGAGAAGAGATGGCAGTGATTCAGTGGCGGTGCAGAGACGCCACGATTACCAATGTTCAGAGATATCCTTACCGGGTCAGTGCGGTGACTGGTCTCTGGCGAACTGGGGCGCAAGAGACGCAATCGGGATGAGACAGCAGCGCAGACTGCTGCCCAGCCAAGTGGCTAGGCGTAAAAGTGGGGGGCGGGCGTCAAGGATGACGTCGTGCCATCCTGCCCTTCCATAAAGGGTATGTCCTCAATGCGCACACGACCGTGGTGGCAGCCCTCGCAGGCATCGCACAGGGGCACTCGCAACAGCAACAGCACAGCCTACTCACTGGTACGACAGCTTCGGCGTCACGGGCGCAGGCGAGCGATCCCACTCGTCCGCGATGAACACCTCCTCAAGCACCTCCTCGGCGCAGAACGACACCGTCTTGTGCATCCGCGGCGGGCTTGCGCACTCGCACTCGAGCCCCGCACAGCTGGGGGACGTGCGCCCAGACCCGCTGGGCGTCGGGGGCACGCTCACGTCCGGGGTCAGCGGGGGCGTGTGGGTCAGCTTCAAGCAGCCTTTGCGCATCGTGTGGTGAGCTGTGTGGTGGGTATGCAGAATGGTAATGGTGGTGTGAGTGTATCTGAAGCACTGTCGTCTAGTGGATATCGGGGGCGTGCTGCAGTCGTTAGCTCCGTGCGCTCTGGCGATCTAGAGAGGCTCTTTGTAGGTGTGTTGGTGCAGAGGCAGCGCAGGCAAGGGATCCAGAACAGACGGTCGCCAGTTTGCTCGAATGAATATGAGAGCGAGAAGGCGGGTGCGGGGAAAGAGCAGGGTGGGCCGTGGTAAGGGCGGCGGCCGGATGTCGATGGCGGATGCAGACAGGGAATGTCGAGCGGACAAAATATCTCTGGCCCCCACGTGAGCGCCCATAAGGGCGGAACCGGGATGCTCTGCTGCAGTGGGCGCCTCCCTTGGAGCACCGTGGAGAGACCCTCTCTCGCAACGCGGAACCCGCTCCCGCTCCCTCCCCTCGACGTCGTCGCTGCCCGCATTCTCTCGGAATAATCTCTGTACTGTATCGCAGCAACCCCTTGGCAAGACGACAGGAATTTCCGCAAATCCTGCAGCGGTATTTTTGTTTTCGCGCGCGGGAGAATCGCCTCGCCTCATTCTCGTCCGACCCCCTTCCTTTCCTTTCCCGTCGTACGCGCCCGGATCTTCTTGGCCACCCCAGGCGCCCTACTTATCTCGTGCCCGCCTCGAGTCGCCTGCACCGCACGAATCGCGTTCTCGCTTTTGAGCAGCCGGCGAGGGTCATTCGCGCCCTGCTCGGACCTCGACGCGCAGCATTCGCCGTCCGCTGGCAATTTTGACTCTCTAGCCGATGTCTGACAGCACTCCGGATGTTTCATGGCGTACCAGCTGAGCCGTGCGGTTGCAGTGTGCACGTCCCGTGAGTCGTGAGGAATATTTGCCACTGCCAGCCACCCGCGAAGCGCACCTCCCACGGCGATCCCATGACGCGCCTCGCTTCGCGATGCGCTCAGGAACGCCGTCGGCATGTCATTGGCACCCATGTCGCTCTTGCCTCCCAGGCCAAGACTTTGCCCAGACGACTCCGGTCCCCTGACGTATCCGCCTTCTAGCCATCCTCGTTGGTATCCTGGTCTCGTACTTCACCACTCGGGGTAGGCGGTAGCACGGTTGGTTCAGAACCTCACCTTGCCCATCGGCATTCAAGGCCCGCGATAATGTCGCCAGCTCGTCCTGAAGTTGCCATAGTCATGTCTGGGGTGTCTGATCGCCGTGCATCTGTGGACCCATCATCTTCCCCGGACCTCATAACTGCGTACTTGCTACTCTGTCGACTCAACAGTGGTCACCTAGTGCTGAGTTGTGGGTGCGTCGCCCCATTCGAACACTGACCACGAATATGCACGCCGGAAAGGCTCATTGCAATCCTGTGTTCTAGCCTTTAGAACGCGAACACTTACGTGACAAGCTCCCTTCCGTTAGCCTTCCACTCAAGCGTACTTACTCCAGCCCTCTCACACAATTATAGTCTGTGTGCCATTTGCGCACCATACCACATACCTCCTCCGTTCTTTTGGTTCTATGCCGGATGTTACAAAGCGTCGTGGCTTTATTGATGTGGAGCTTTGATGCTGTTTGCTTTGCGCCTCACAGGTCCTGCAGAGTTTGTCCCTGGTGCAAGGAGGACTATATAGAGATGGGTCAATTAGCAAAGCAGTAATTTGTATTGTGGCACACCCTGAGCTTGTGGCTGAAATTCCGCTTTCGGGCGTCTCGGGTGTCAGTCTCCCTCACCTGCGTGTCCTCGAGCTCAAAGGCCGTGCGGTGAATGGCGCCAGTGTCCTCCGACTTGGCTCATTTTCGCCGACGACTACAGGAAACCCAATATTGATAGCCCTCCCTTGCAAAAGGTACAGATAGACGGCATGGAGCATAGGCGGCGCTCGGCACCTCGGGGGTGACGTGCCCTCCCCCCTCAGAGATCTTAGGTGTTGTTCACGGCAGCCATTAGCACGTAAACCATGCCGATGTCTCGATATGGGTTTGTTTGTCGAGGTCTATATCGTCGCTCTCTACTTCTGCAAACAAAGGTAGACAGCGACGAACTTTGCGATACCAGTAGCTTCCTCAATCTGACCATTAGTCATGGAGTCAGACATGTATTGTACACTGAAGTCCTTCTGAGGAGGGATGTGTCGTCCATTACTGACAATGATGGCGAGAGGACGAGGGGATTACAGCGAGCGTCTACCTCACGATCCTCCGTGTCTGCACCACTGCCGACTCCTGCCGCGAGCTTCTGCCCCATCTTACCGAAGTGTATACTTCGCGAGGGGAGGTCTATCATTATTGGTTTTGCTGGAAGTTGTCTTGCAGGGCCTGTTGCTGGGAAGATCCTCGATACATCACCACCTAGTTTATTGGCATTCACCTCTGACAAAGCAGCCTCAGCAGCAGGTTGGCATATGTGCAGGCTCCTAGAACTACGTACCAGCGGCCGACTTAGTGTTTTGTACGAAAAGTAATCACATGCCTTCTCCATCTCTCTCGCTGGCCACACTCGGTGATCCCGGCCATACCATTTGCGCCAGCCATCCCCACCTGTATCGTTATAGGTCTTGCTGTCAAAGTATGGTGCATATCACTCGGCCCTGGTGCTATGAAGAATCCGCTGGCATGGTGCATTGATCCTGCTACGTTCTATCTAGCTCAATGCGGGTGGGCGTGAGACGCTACGAACATATTCACACCTTGTCTAAAGTTTACTGAGCCTGAGACAAATTGATTTAGGTTGATGATGTTCTCGATGTTTCTAGTGCGAGCCTTCTCCTGGCGGTCTCCAGTAGTCGTACGCGGAGAGGGAAAACACACTTTGGTGGTGAGTAATGGTACATTGCGGACAGCTATTACTGTCTAACGAACACCGTATTTCCTGACCACAGGATATTCTATGGGGAGTGCTTCAACTTGCGCAACAGCGTCGGCTCTCCTGATGTAGCTTCGGGGGTATCATGGGACGTGCTATATCCAGAATCACCTCGGTAGTATGTTCTCTTTGCGCGTTGCTTCTCGGATAGTGCTAGGACCCATTCAGCAGCACCAGAAGCAGCGTTGGAACGACTGTTTGCGCGTGGAAGCTACATATCTAAGCTCTCATGCACGGGTATCATCGGCGGCGTGGCGTTAGCAAGTATATAGTTCCCTCGTCGGCTTGTATGTGGCATACTGGTTACCCACAATCCTCACACTCAACAATGCCTGTAGCGCCAGTCGACGATAAAGGAACACAGCTTTACTATGAGGACTCCGGGGCACCTCCTGGGTCGGAAACATACACAACGCTTGTGTTGGTTCATGGATTGATCTTTCACGGAGGTAAGCTGCGCCCTTCTCAACTGCTTCACGCTGTTATCTCAGAAGCGATGTTGTGTTGCGAATCAAACATGAGACTATTGACGCACGTCTCTGCTAATAGGCATCTTCAAACCTATGTTCCAGTATGCCGCCGAACATAATATGCGCCTGGTCGCGATAAACTTGCGTGACTATCCAGGCTCCACGCCCTTCTCACCATCAGAACTCGATGCATTGCGCTCTGACAAAGCAGACCAAGCAACATTCATCAGTGACCGAGGGATGGAATTGGCCAGGTTCCTGGAATGGTTCATTCTGGAGCATGATCTACCTCCCAAGGCTTTGTCGCACAAGTCCGAGGCGGCTGGGGGTTTATCGATTCTCGGGTGGTCGTTGGGGAACTGCCCCATCATGTCTATGCTTGCATCTGCTCATGCGCTTCCGGAAGCGACCCGGAAACTGCTAGACATGCATCTGCGATCCTTTATTGTCTACGGTGAGTCTACTACGACATCTTCCCACAAGAGTCTCTACATTGAAGCTGCATGCAGATCCGCCGCTGTACACTTTTGGCATCTCTGATGTGTACGAAGATGTGTACAATACAGCCCGTGATAAGTCTATTCCCCCGGAAGATGCAGCGGAAGTATTCTCCTTCTGGGTATCTGGCTATTACCGCCACTCCCCCACCGTGCTGTCCTCATTCAATACCCTCACTCGCGAGGAAATTCTCGCTGGTATCAGCAATTCACCGATAGACGATCCTCTCAAGTACCAACCTACGCTCAAGTCGATGTCTCCCGTTGAGATCGCTGCCGTCACAGACTGGGCAGGTGCCCAACGATCACACTTAGCGATGCTGGATATCGACAGTACCGTATACCAGGAGAACGCACAGCGTGCTCTACTCGACAAAAGTGTTTGGCCTGGGCTACGCATCGTGCTTGTCTGGTGTGCAATGTCCGTGGGCGAGACAGTTTACGGTTCATGGGATCTGGCGAGGAGGGTTCGTCATGCGTGGCCCCCTGGCGCTCGTAAGGTTGATGTGAGGAGGTTGGACGGTGTAAACCACTTCGTGCGTCATGATCTTCATTTGTTTGCACGTTTCGCTGATATGCCAACTTAGGCACATTGCGATCAACCATCCGAGACCCTGCGGTGCTTCGCTTCCGTTGTCTAGTGACTCTCCTCCAATCTGGTGCAATTTTGCGCCCCATACACGGGCTGTCGAAATGTATACTATTATAGAACAAGGCACACTCACTCGGCACGCTATCGATTTCGTCTGCGATAGGATCCAGCCTGTCGGCCGGCTATGGTAACGACATTATGCAGTGTTATAGCACGCCTTGCGTGACAAGTTCAGAAACATGATTGCAAGGTCGTAACGGTTATGTTGGTTCAGAAACGGTCGTAAATGACTGAGCTTCTGACTACTCATTCGTCATGTAAGTAGCCGAGATGAATCTCTTGCCGTGGCCGCTGTGTGTCATTGATAGAAGCAGAAAAGCGGCTGTGTTCGGCATACAGCGACTTGACTACATCAATACATACACAAGCAACCAGCTCAGAGTTTTCAACGTACCACCAGCATCGCCAGAATATCGGCGGAGTGTACGTCGAGCCTTGCCAGCAGCTCTTGAAGGAGGTGTTGTGGGATGAATATGTCCACTGCCGGACTGGACCAGCATGCGACTAGCTTCGTAACGAGACATCTATATTCCAGTCTTGGATGAATGGTAGCAGAGAACCGATCCGAATAGCATACGCATAGTATTCGCTATCCACTTCTTTGTTATATGATCGAATTTGTTCACACCCCTTCGAACAGTGTCGGCAAGCCACGCTCGGAAGACAGGATGTAATCAGAGAAGCCGACGGAATGAGCATCTGTATTGATAGTATTGTTCGGTTCAGCTCGACGCGTACTTCCATCCTTAAACCATGCAATGAAGCAGCGCAAACGTGAACCCGAGTCGCTAGAGAGTTAGCAACGTATTTTGCGGTCGAGCGGGGATACATAGGATAGGAGTTTGTTCTTTCGTACGCATCTCCGACCGTATCCAATGAAAGTACTGTGTGCGCGAATACGGCGAAGAGAAGTATGAGAACGCAAACATGCAAGAAGATGTGATCTCGAATGCTCACAAAATGGTCGCGGGTCAAAATCTCCGTTCAATGTAATCACGTAATCATTGTTGTTGCCAGGCATGTCATCTTACGCTATGTCCTCGCAATCAACTGTCAGTGGTCGGGACTGCAAGGTCAAGCGTTCGTACTTGAGAAAAATTCCCGTCATTGGAAATTCTAGGTAGTCAGACGTCCATTTCTGATGTCAACATGAAGATAACCGCTCTCATCAACGTAATATTTCTGGCTAGCGAGCTCTTATTTTTAGTTTCAGACCCACACTACTGCCTCGGTGGCGTTTGTCACGATATGCCCGATTCCAGTGCAGTCGCGCGCGCTGTAGTTGACCTGCGCTGACAGTGATCCTGGCATATCCTCCGAACTGATGCGCCAGGGTAGCTGCATGTATAACAGAGGTCTTGAGAGTGGTTATCCGTCGTCACTACCATGATTCCGGAAGTTGAGCGGTTAACGTGTCGTACTGAAAGCAAACTCAAAGGTTTACACGAACATCAAAGGGCGGTCGAAGCCTATACCTGTCACTGAGATGTCGACCCTGAGCGGCGTCTCCCAAGCGAATTTGTCCGGGCCATATCGTACCGCTCGCATAGTTGTCACCGGCGGCATAGCGTGCAGTCAACTCGCAGTCTGACCCCGTAGATACCTCACACGACAGGGGTGCCGCCGCCCCGCGTCTTAGCACCATTGTGTTTGCTTGTAGCGGTATATAAATGCTGAAGTCATCATCATCATCATCATCATCATCATCATCATCATCATCACCACTTGTGACCGTTGCAAGACTGCAATAGGCTGATTGATGGGCCGCTATCGTGCCAAGCGCCTGATGTAAAACGGTGCCTTGGGTTTCAGAGGATAGGCAGGCTGTGTTTCCGAGGCGTCCACGGCGAGGTTCTGATGTGAGCTATGGAGTGTTGAAGCAATGGGGGCCGTGGATTTTAGAGGTGGGAGTACATTATTGCATGAGATCCGTGTCGCAGTTCTCACCGACAGGCACACGCAGCTGTATCCGGTGATTGGATTTTCCAGGTCGATCAAAGTCGGCATGCGATCGCGTACCAGATTGCCACCGTCAGGCGCCCATATATGATACAAGAGTCCAAGACATGGTGTGCCATGCTAATCTGGCCAGAGGCCGCCGTTTCCTTACCCCTGAGCTTATCCCCCGTCATTCGTTTCGCTGCCTGAAGCGACCCTGGGTACCATGTCCAAGGAGAACCGCACAACGAGAAGGAATGTCGTGATTGTTGGCGGCGGGCATGCAGGGGCCAACCTCGCGCGGCAACTGTCTGGCAGTCTCAACCCATACAAATACAGGCTTATCCTCATCAACCAGCGGCCATTCGCGGTGCACCTGCCAGCAGCCGCGCGCATGACCGTCTCCGCCCAGGATAGACTGGAGGACCTGGCACTCATACCATATGACAAGCTATTTATCAACGGAAACGGAGAGGTCATCGTGGGAAAGGCGTTCGCGATCGAGGAGAGGGCGCCGGGGAAGGGGGGATGGGTTGTGCTCGAGAGTGAAGAGAGAGTGGAGTACGCTCTTCTCGTTCTTGCGTGCGGGTTCCTCTGGTCCGGGCCGTTGGATTTCCCGTTCGAGCGCGAAGACATGCAACACCATATCACCAACTGGCGGAAGATGTACGAGCAGGCGCAACATATAGTGCTCATCGGAGGGGGCGCTGTCGGTATTGGTGAGTACTTCTGCAATGTGTTCGTGTAAGCCAATTTAACCTGCTCGTAGAGACTGCGGGAGAAATCAGAGATATATACCCGGTAGGCTGTCCCCGCTCTAACTTTCTGAACGTGATGCTCACCTGGCACAGAATAAGAAGATTACCATTGTGCAGGCGGACAACATGCTGCTCAACGCAACATACCCCGAACGGTATCGCAGAGACATCGAGCGTCGCTCAAGAGCACGGGGAATCGAGATGGTCTTCTCGGAGCTCACAGACTACATTCCTGAGTACGGCACGGTTGGGATTACCACGCGCAGCGGCATGTCGATCCCCACAGCGGATCTCATCGTCCCGACGTTCGGCCCGCGGCCCAACACCAGTTGGATCGCGTCCCTGGGCCCTGACGTGCTTGATGAGCGCGGGCTCGTATGCGTTGAGCCCACATTCGAGGTCGTCGGGCACCCAGGCGTTTTCTCGATCGGGGACATTACCAACTGCAATGAGCAGAAGCAGGCGGAGAAGTGCCCCAAACACGTTGAAATTGTGGCGCCAAACATCCTCAGTTGCCTCGAGGGACGGCGCATGACGAGGACATACAAGGGAACCACAGAGATTATTCTGATACCTCTTGGCAGGGTGCGTACCAAACATGTGCTCAGCCTGTTCACGATGTTGACCGTCGTCACGGGGATCTTCCCAGAATCGTGGGTGTGCTTACCTCGACTACCTGTGGGGCATCATCATGGGAGATTGGTTCGTCCGCTTGTTCAAGAGTAAAGACCTCTTCGTGAACCAGACGAGGCAGGAGCGAGGGCTTTAAGTGATTTTGTCTGACCATGGTGACCGTTCGCTCATACTTGATTTATGCATGTGTCCATGATTACAAGGGAGGCCGTTCACTTTCACTTTTTTGCAGTTTGTTTTACCTGTTGGGAGTATGTATCACATTATCAATATACCATAGTAGTCTGGGTGGACCAATCTAATCTGGACGCTATATTCTTCGCTCGCTTATTTCCACACCACATTATCTCATCGCATGTTATGAATCCGCAAGCGTCTTAAACATGAATCGCCGAAAACATTTGAGTGTACCGTAATGGGTGGCACTGGCAAACAAGAGAACATCTCGTTACGAACACTCACAGATCAATGCAGGCCTGTTGATCGCGAGCTTTGCGTGCGCAGTGACTTCACTGTGGCACGCTGACTCCTCGCCGAGTTGATTAATTATGAAATGATTGGCGGACCTGACAACATCAACTCAGGCTGTGGGACCCAGAAATGAATCTGGCGGTCAACGATTGGTAGATGAAATGAGCCTGATACACGCACTCGCTGGACGTGCGGTCAATGCCCCATCCAGGAAGATTCCAGGAGGTGAACAAGGGCGCACTATCAGCTGTCTCCGAAGAGCGTTCAGCAAAATTATAACAAGTTCAGTATCTCTGCAGATCATCAATCAAAGGGGCGAGTGCATCTGAGAAGACGGCGCATCTCGGGCGGTGTATGTCATCTTATTGGCTGACACGATCTATCAGAGCCCTTGTTGTGTGCCGGACGCAGGGTCGAGCGACCGAACTGAGCACTGACGGGCGAGCTGAAGAATGTCAGACCAGCTATACAGTGTAAGTGTGTTGCGATTCGAATGTTACAATATGACAGGATTGATTCAATGACAGAAATACAATTACCACCGATATTCAGGACTCCTTCGTCAAATATGATTTCAGCTCAAGATATGTGATCTCCTAGAACATGGTCCCTTCCGGAGGCTGGGGTAACTTCCGGTTGGCAAACGATGCCATCTCTCTACATTATCCATAATGAGGAAAAATTCAAAGACAGCGTGAAGAATTAGGAGAGCCCAACGCACCTGCGGATCTCCACTAGGATGGTCTCGATGCTGCTATTTCTGTTCCAATGGGCTAATACGGGGAGCTTGGAATGGTCCACTTTGCCATCCACTTGGCTCACGAACGGAAGGTTAACCCGAGAGACGAATTGCACAGTCGGGGGCTGTTCTGGGTAGCTCTCGCCACAGGTGATCTTGAGACTGTAGATTCGGTTCTCATGCACGGTCTGCAGAGCGCCTCAGCCACTTCATCCACAAGGGCATCGTGGATCAAGTATCGCGCAGCCTAGCAGGAGCACTTACATGTCCAGGGCCAATGATCGTGCCGTTCCAGTGGGTCATCATGATATCGTCTCCATCCTCGAGACCGTACGAGCACGAGCCATCGCCAATGCCCTTCTCGCCCTTCTCCAGTTCTTCCAGGAGGCGGAAATTCCGTGGTACTGGAGGAAAGATCAGTCCGATCACATAGTGTGAAGCTCAGAGATAGTTACTCTTGGCCATTGGAAAGCGGACGACGACGAACGATGGAGATGAGCGTCGAGTCTTGACTCTTTCAGCTTTGAGCGTCCGGCAGTGAGGCGTCCCAAAACAGGCAACTGGCCGGACCTCGGCTTCCAAGTAAGGCAATGAGCGGCGGGTATGGCTGATGTCACGGCCGTAGCACCTCGCAGCACTGCTTCATTCGTGCCGCAGTCGTCGCTGTATATTTATTCGACTTCGACGCGTGCTTTCATCTTGCTTTCACCCCGCTGCGCATATAACGATGTTTAGAGGCAGCCAACCCAACACGTACGATGAGATCGTTGGTGGGTGTCCAGGGTCGTCGCATTGGCCCATCAAGGAGTATCGCTAACGCGATCTTTAGCCAAAACAACGGACGAGAATTTGACGAGCGAGAACTGGGAGCTCATACTTAATCTATGCGACAAAGTACAGGACGAGGGAGAGCAAGGGTGCGTGATAATCTCGGACGCACACTGCCAGTGCTAATAGTCTACCGAAACAGCGCGCGCAATGTCGTTGCGGCCGTCTTGAGACGACTCTCGCACCGCAATCCCAACGTCCAACTCTACACTCTAACTTTGTCCGAGTCATTGACCAAGAACTGCGGGATTGAGGTCCACCGCGAGATTGCGTCTCGCGCATTCACCCAGGGGCTGGAGAAGCTCATCGCCGATCGGGTATGATGTGTCCTTCCCATCCAAGCGTATTTGTTCAACTGATCCTCATCCCACCAGACAACACATGAGAAAGTCAGGAAGCGCGCTCTCGCGCTCGTCGCAATGTGGACCGCCGAGTTCGAGAATGACACCACGCTCGGCATCATGGAGGAGTGTTTCGAGTCGCTGAAGAGCAAAGGTGCGCAGTATTGATAATCTCGCGCATAGTATCAGTGGCCGATGCAACCACCCAGGATACAAATTCGAGACGCCTGATGAACCACCCCCGCCAGCGGTCGACGATGATGTGCGCCGTCGTGAAGAGGAGGAGCTACAGCGCGCTCTCGAGATGTCTATACAAGACAAAGGTGGACGTTCACAGTGGGAGCAGTACTCTCTTGCGTCCTCCAGCGGCGCAGGCGCATCAGGCTCCGGGTCGAGCTCCGCTCATGCCCCGACGACCTCGACCTCGCGCCAGCAGACCTACGCACAGCCGCCCAGCTATGGCGGCTACGTTCCATCCGCCAACCCCGCAGTGTCCAGTGAGCCCTCATCAACAGAGTCCAGCGTGACGGTCTCCTCGGTCACCGCGAGCTCTCCTGCGCCGAGTTTGTCAGCCCAGGAGAGCATACCAGTTGTGACCCGCGTGCGCGCGCTGCACACCTTTGAGCCAACAGAGGCGGGCGAATTAGCTTTCGAGAAGGGTGACATCATCAAGGTCGTTGATCGTGGATATAAGGATTGGTGGCGAGGCCAGTTGCGGGGGAGGACAGGTATCTTCCCGGTAAACTATGTGGTCCGTGCCTCCCCCTCCCTTCTCGTCGTTTGTTTGTTTACCTTACCTGGACGTGCAGGAACCTCTTCCTGAACCGACAGCTGCTGAGCTCACCAAAGAAGCAGAACAGGAAGCTGCAGTCTTCTCTCAGGCTGCCAGCGTCGATCGTCTGTTGACCTTGCTGCGGGGAATGGACCCTGCCAAGGATAATCTTGCGGATAACGAAGAAATACAGGTAAACGTGCACAGTCGTCATAGTAAATACAGCCCCCTAATTCTCTTCGCAGGAATTGTACAAAGACTGCATGACGCTGCGTCCCAAGATTGTCAAGCTTATTGATAAGTACTCTCAGAAGCGGGGTATGTGCATACATTGTCGCAGCAACTCTAGATGCTCACATGCTATTTACACAGCTGACCTTGTCTCCATGAATGAGACCTTTGTGAAGGCCAGGACAATCTTTGACAGGATGATGGAGGATAGTCTGGCACGCCATGCAGCGAGTACGTGATCATCGTCGGTCTGAAGTTTCTGAACTCATGGCATACGGATTAATGCAGTGTACGACAATCGTCCTATATACGCATCAACCCAGCCATATATCACCCGTCCCGACTCTCGCTCCCGTCAAGGTTACGGCGTCCCTGGTGGGCCTCAGCAATACGGCTGGAACCCTACTGTCTACGATCAACCTGGGTACAACGCATATTCGGCTCCTGCCAACGCTTACCCCGCTGGCACTCCTCAGCCCCAGCCCCAGCCCCAGCCCCAGTCTCAGCCGTACGCCCAACGACCCCAGACCACGTACGCTCAGCAAAGTTATGGCCCTCCTGCAGGCACACCTGGTCCATACGGGGTGCAACCGGAGCGGAGCTACTCTCCTCAGCCCGTCTCTCAGGGTGTCCCGCCGCAAGTGCAACCGCAGATACAACCTCAAGTACAGCCGCAACCTCAACCTCAACTGCAACCTCAACCTCAGCCGCAACCTCAGCCGCAGTCACAGGCACAAGTGCAGCCTCAAGTCCAGCAACCCTCACAGCAGGGCGGTCCGCCGTATGTATTCGATCCAAACGCAACCTACCCCGACGCCAATGCCAATGCATGGGCACAGTACTACGCGAGGGGTGGCACTGATCCAACAGGCTCGGTCTACTTCATCTCCGTCCCTGGCGTTAAGGAAGGCCCGCCCCCCGATGCAGTACGCACCACCTCACAGGATAGCGTGCAGACCAGCGCCCAGCAACCGCAGCAGCAGCAGCAGCAGACACAGCTCTCGCATCCCGGCTCTATGTACCAGCAGCAGGGTGCACCCGCTGCGGCATCACCTTACCAATACTCAGCTGATCCAGCCGCTGCCTCGCACCAATCAAATCCTGACCTGAATGTGTACGCCCCGCATTCCGTGCATCCAGGCCAGGAAGCGATTGCAGCCTCTGCTCCTGGTTCTGAATACGGCCACTCCGGGGCGGAAGTACAAGACGTGCGGCATCAGGGCGCGCCAGAAAGCCCCACTGCGAGCGTCCACTCGCAAACACAGAATTACGAGCCGTCGCCGTATGCACCTGCAGGCTACGCACCATCAGCACCCGCGGGTGCCCCGCAGAGTTCGCCGCCTGCCGGATCTGAGCCGGGATTGCAGTCGCAATACTACGGGCTGCAGAACCAATTCGCGAGGATGGAGGTGTCTGGGGAAGATGCCAGATCGCCGCACACTGGACCCCAGGGTGTCGGTGCGCAGGCATAAGGCGATGATGTACGAGACAGGTAAAACGGACGCAATTCGTTTGACGTTGATAATTATGTGCTTTCGAGTTATGGCTTGTACTCTCTACTCTGACAATTCTAGGTGTTGGATTCATACCCTATGCCAGTTCTTTCGCACCCAATGCTATGTTTTGATCATTATAATTTGCAGTAGTTCAAGGCGCAGTAACGCAATAGCAAGTACAAAAACGAAACATACCAGAGCCCTCATTGTTCCTTTGTTCCTCTCAGAAGCTCGTCTAGCCCCTCGTCATATAGCCAGAACGACTCGGACTCCGCAACATCGTCGGCAACATCGTCGGGAGTGGCTTCTCTCCTTGCTGCCTTACCGCTGGCCACGTCCGCGACGCCGAGACTCCTCAGGTACTCCTCCTTGACCACCGTCTCGACGTGCTCCGCCTCCCGCTCCTCGACGCTCCCGCGCCACAACAGCCGCTCGAGCACATGACGCACGATCACTCGCGCGATGATGTACCCGTGCGACGCCGCGAGCGCGACGAGCAGGGCGGTGAAGAGCAGCTGGCGCGCATCCGCGCCGCCCTGGGCGGTGTGCAGGTGCTTGCGCTCCAGCGTGGTGGCGAGCGGCTTGCAGTGGTCGCTCGGGCGGAAGAGGTACACAAGGGCGGAGTTGGTCAGCGCGGCGAGCCAGGCGAGGAAGGAGAGCGAGTCGAGCCAGGGCCCGATGGTGTCGGTGCGCGCAGGGATGGGCCGCCGCACGTGGTGCGCGATCTTGAACGCGTCAGAGCGCAGCTCGAACCAGTTGTTCGTGAGCGCCATCACTGCAAGAGAAACAACTTTACGTTAGCAACGTGCGAAAGCACCACATTGTGGGGCAACTTACCTGGGGCAAGCGGCCAGATCGTGGACCACAGCGCAACGTACCCGAATTGCGTGACCATCTCGCTGTAGTCCTGGAACAGCTCGTAGTCCGGGAGGTCCACCTGCCGCCAGACCTCCTCCATGAACACCCTCTCTTCCCGCCCATCTGCCGGCTTCTCCGGCTCCGAGCCCTCCGGCTGATCCTCGAACGACACGCGCTTCTTCTTCCCACTCGCCGGCGGCGCGCCATGGCCCGACAGCCCGAGCCCGCGCCCGCGCCGCAGCGAGTCGAGGCCGCGGAGGACGTACGGGAGGCCGACTTCCATGAACGCGTTCACGACCTGGTTCGTCACCGTCGACGCGAACATCTGGTCCTGCAGTCGCGTCGGGCTCAGCTTCTTGCGCGCACTCACCACGTCCTGCTCCCACATGCCCACGGTGTACTTCGCCGCGCCGGCGGCGGCCTGTGCGGTGGCCACAGACTTCACAGGCGAAAAGCGCGAGTAGAATGCCGACGCGACGGAGATGTGGCGCGAAGCGTCGCGCTCAATGAAGTTTTGCACAACAGCCATGACCTCCTCGCCGAAGGGCACGTACACGAAGGCAGATAGTGCGAGACCCACGTAATCTGCAAGGGCAGCCAGCGAGAAAGTCTTGAGCGTAAGCGATGTGTCATAAGTGGACTGGTGCGCATGGTTCTCCCAATTCGTGAGGGACACCGCGGAGCCATGGTAGATCTTGAGGAAACGGGGGAGGACCACCGAGACTATAATCGTGGGTGCGAAAGACTAATGAAATCAGCCGAGAATCAGGCGTGAATGAGCGGCAGGTACATACCACAAACCGGTGCCCAGGTCCTGTGTACAGCTCAGTTACAAACGCTTCGAAGACGAACATGCTTGTTAGCAAAGCCGCAAGCACAGCGGCGAACAGCATGAGCACTGGTAGATTGGCAATCATCCGAAGGTCTTTCTTCCACCACGCTAATGGCACATATTGTGGGCGCCGCTTCTCAACACGGAACGAACCCCTTGTTCCCCAGCGCACTGACAAGATGCGTTGACGGATCCGCCACGATTCGACAAACGCGATGGACCATAGCAGTAAGATGCACGAGTAAACCGCGTTGTATGGTTCGCCGAAGAAGTAGAAGTAGCCGCCTACTAGTGAAATGGCGATGAGGTACTTTGTGTAGTACGAGAGGAAGGCGAAGTAGAGGGCAATAGCCTCGCCGAACTGCAATATACCAATGAGAAGACGTCAGCGTGGAGATGCGCGCATCACTGACCTGATGTCTAATCTTGTCGAATGTCACAAAGCCAAGCTCACGCCTCGTCCACGAACGAATCCATTCGTCGTTGAATGCATAGTCGTGCAACATCATGATAGACTCCACACGGTCCCAGTCCGCTGAGCCAGGAGCGATTCCGAGACCACCATCGGAGATAGTGGACGTGACATAGGTGTGGACAAGTCGCAGCCGATCTGCAGGAGAAAGGGGGGATACGTCTAGGTCCAGAGTCGCGGTAGGATTGGCGGTCGGCAGACCACATACAAAATCCGAATGTCTAGAGAGAGTTGAAACCCACACAGGAGTATGCAGTTGTGGCGTCTCACCGTTCGCGATGGGCCAGTCGCACGAGCGTGTCTTGTGGGCAGGAGACGAGTACCAGCAATTGTCCGTCGTTCTCTCCACGCTTTCCGACACCGCGAAGACCACCTTTCGTCAATGCATCCAGCAGCTCGGTGTATTGTCGCTCTGCTTGACGCGCGTTTTCGCGCGCCTGAGGTCTCGAGAGGACTTTGCCAGAAGACGAGCGGAATACGAGGACGAGATCAACTAGAGGTGCCATGGAGAAGAATCAAACGCGTTGGAGTTTGCTCCAAATGCCAGGCGATCAAAAATCAAAAATGGGGGCCAATATATCCGCTGGCGACAGAAGGCTGAGTTTGGGAAGCTCTGAACGACCTCAGAGAACAAGGAACAGACGCTTAACTCAATGTGGGCGCAATGCTCCACGGCGAGATTGAGAGGGGGGTGAACGGGGGTCAGTGCTTGCCCGTCGACGAGCTGAGGGGACGACAGCGTCAAGAGGCAAGCGAGCGGTCGACATCTCCTGGCGGCTACACTCAGGACAAAAATAGACAACGGGACCGCAGTTGACGGTGACGCGCCCAATAGGTGTCCGCACGTGACCTAGAGTGGCGCTAGCTTTGACTATTCCGCCAATGTCGGGGTTGGCCGTGCCTGCACAAAGCCCTCGCTGCATGACAGTGTTTGCCTTCCGAGTAGCTCTGGTGAATCGCGATATGCGACGAGAATGTGTCCGCGAAGCCGTCAGATAATACCAGAGACGGGAAACCTTTGCTCGTTCGCGCTGGTGAGTGAGGCCTGAGTTGGGTACATGAGAGGAGGAAGGAACTCATGTCGCGGCGTGCAGAGACTGCTGTACAAGACATACGATGCTGAGGATGACAGGATACATGGAACAATATACACAAGGATTGGGCTATCGGGACGCGCCAGTATCTAGAGCCTCGAGTCGGAATCGCAAGGAAGAATGTACGTACCAATACGCATCATGCCCTGAAGCACAGATGAGAAAATGAAATACAGGGGACTCATGATCACCTTGTTCATGCGAAACATAGTCTCCTGTGAGCAGAATGTAATACACTTCCTTCAACCTACGCAGGCTTTAGCGAAACATGTCTACTTTTGAGAGAGCCGGGTTCTTCACCAGTCCGGAGTCCCGTTCTCCGTGTATACCGTGTGCATGGGGGCTGTAGGACCAAACGAATCAAGTAGTAAACGAACAGCTACACTTGCGGCGGCAGCTTGAGGTATACAGGCGCGTGGCAGCTTGGATCTGACATTTTCTGGAACTCTTGACGTGCTCACCCTGTCTACCCGAGTGATTGGGTACCTTTCAAGGTGCAAGATATACCTGCCACAGCTGTACATAGCTCTCATCGTACTGCCCAATAGCTTGCGCATGCTCGGCGGCGTCGGGCACACGACTCGATGTCCCGCACGACAACAACCATCAAGCTTCTATTGGCATACTCCCACATCAAAGCGTTGACATTGGACGACGCGCTGCGTCCCGTGTCGGGACACCAAAGGTGGAATGCATGAACCCCGTGTCTTGCTGTGAAGCTCGCGAAACTAAAGATAGACGGGTCCCCTTCCTATCCCTTTTACACCTCTGCCCAGACACCTTCGTTCGCTGAACCGCCACCGGCGAAGCAGACGTTAGTGGGTACCTCTAGAGGAACGCCGCTTCTCACTCACAAGGCTGTCCGTCGACTCTCGAAAGCTAGGCAACAAGGATCGAGAATATATGGACGCTGTACATGCTGGACACAGAATGCGGGCTGACTGACCCTAAAATATCTGGTTTTTTGGTGCTGGTCAATTCACACGAGGTGATCCGTATACATATCCCAAGAAATATGAAAAAAAGAACACAATGCATCTGAAGTCGCCGATTTCATGCGCACAAGTGTTCCCCACCCTCCAATCGCACTATGAGCTACGTAGTGTATTGCTATACAGAGTCAGATACTTGTCACGACTATAGTAATACATTCACTCACTTTTTCAATAGTCATCAGAGTCGCTGTCATAAACTCCGGCACGTTTCAAAAACGTAGCTGTATCCACGATGTCGACGTAGCGATCCCATAATAGAGTGTCCACGAGTTGTTTGCAGAGACGAACATCCTTACGGTCAATGTTGCGACAGGCCTGCACTGCCACTCTATCGACCTTGGCACCACGGCGGTGCCGGTCCACGAGCCAGAGGTAGAGCACGTTGCTGTCAGGGTCCAGCTGTGGACGCATAATATCGTCGTGAGGATTGTCGTACAGGTGCGTATCCCTGCACATGACGTTGTGTAGATGGAGGTCCCGAAGGGCTGGCAACGGGCTGTTATCCGGAATATCCACCTCTTCTGGAATGGAAGCCCTGAGGAACATCTCCCCTACGCTGCCACAGACTTTCATGGATGTCAGATGGTCCATTTGAACAGCAATCGTGTTCCACTCTGTTGCTGCCGTCGTGGACAGCCTACCGGATATTTCTAGAGAGCGGATGTCGGTAAGTGGCAGTTGTCGACAGATGACTGCCATCGTATTCCAAGCCGTCCACGTCTCTTCAAATTCGATCTCTAGCTGAGCTCCGGCGAGGGTACTGGAGTAGTCGGCGTGAATGGATTCGTCGCAGACGTGGGGAGGTAGTATATCCATGTTATATAGTAGCATTCGGGCATGAAAACAAAGGGGGCCTTCGTCACGCATCACGAGGCCGCATATGGGCTTTGCGTCAGATACTTTTGCAGTGATGGCCAAGGCTAGGACATCTGAGTGTTGGTTGACATCTTCGTCAGTGCTGACAGAGACAGAGACTACCACGTCCACAGGGAGGTGGAGATGATTGAGTATGTTCGCATTATCGATCATCCTACCCGCAAGCCGTAAATAGCGAAGGCGAGGGAGCTTGACAGTCTGCCGTTTGACAGGGGGCTCTTCCGAGCTTTCCGGGAGGGGATGGACCACATGTTCCATGCGTAGTGTCTCCAAAGTAGACAATACACTGAGTCGTTCCAACAATTCTGGAATTGATGGTTTTGACGTAGATTCCGGGGCACAAATGAGCTGCAAGTGTCGGAGAGAAAGGAACGAGACGGCATCGCCCCAACAATACGGAAATTCCGTGAGCTCCAGCCGGCGTAGGGCGCGCGCGCGCTCGTTCGCGAGTAGTTTTGACAAGGAATGCTTCAACGCCTCCTGGTCGACCAATCCCCCGACGTTGGCTAATTCCAGCCTTTCCATCTTAGTTGGCCCTCCATCTACCGCGGCTAGAGAACTCTCCAGAACATCTCCTGCTGCATGTATGCGTAACTCCCTGATACGTGGGAGCTCTCTTAGCACGAGTCGCAGAGAAGCAAGCCAAGCGGAATGTCGGTTTAACGTGGGAGTGGGGTCTAGAGGGAAATCTGCCGTCACAGAAAGTGCGATTCGGCCTGAACGTCTCAGCAGCTCAAGCATCCAGTTAGTACTTGCTGTGACACAAATGTGATTCCATAACACTGGGGAAGTTATGGCAATCGTACGCCACAACGAGCAGACGTGCGTTATCTGGATCCACCCATAGTGAGAGTGCCCTCCGCCGGCGTGCATTGCAACATGACAGGCAAAGATCTGAATCAGGAGCTCAGGTGGAAGTCGAGAGACGGGAAGGAGAGCATTCATTTGCTCTCTCAGCCTTGCAAGAGCTCGTAGATGGGGTAACATCTGGGCTTGTATGCTCTGCCGTGCTTCATCAGCTAGCAAAAGCTGAAGGTGATTATTTGCGGCAGTAGATGGGTCATTGGAAGGCCTGGTATCCAATTTGTCAGGCGCACTTTGTCTGTTTGAAGCGGATGTTCACAATCTACCGGCGCATGACATATGCATGAGCCTACTGGACTTACTCTGCTAATGGTGAAGTCTGCCTCATGCCTTCTTCCGAGAGTGGAGGATATAGTAGCAGCCAGCAACTTCTACTGAGCTCAGTGAAACTAGTAGAGCCGGGCTGTGAGACTTCTACTGAGATCGAGGCGAAAAGAGTAGAAATCGATGCGGCGCTTAGCAGCCGCCTTCTTGCGACGCTTGTAGCTCATCTCACCATCGTGCATTGGTCGCCATTCGTGTATTTTCCCTGGATTGCATTTCAGATGTCCGGCAGATTTGGACATCATGTAAACCGAACTCGAAATTTGACACTTTATACACTGATATATATATGTACAGATGTACAAAGCCGTAAGTCGCCGCTCACCGCCGCTATACTATATTTGGTCCATATATAAAGCATACATTGTTTCATTGCTTGTCAACGATGATCATATCCACAACCTTCTTAAGCATGTCGAGGACACAATGGTCCAAGCCCGCCCAATTCGGTAGCTGCAACTCACGGATCCCAACATTATTTTGTCGCCGTTGAGCAAGGATGCTCGCGAGGGCGCTACCGTCAAGTTTCGATCCTTCCCTGGTAGCGTACATGTCGTCCTGCGAGAGCTTCATGATCCGGAGTCTTCTCAGGTGAGGAAAGAGATACTGCGAGCCGGATCCCGGGGCAGGCCGCTGGAGCGATGCCTCTACCGTGGCTGTATATGTTCCTAAGGGCCGTATTGCGAGAGCCTTCACGTCATCCATCTTCGCGAATGCTTTGGTCCACTGCCATGGTGAGTCGAAACATTTTCCCCGGACGTACAGTGAATGTACGCTGTCGAGATGTAAGCCGCCGCAAAAGGAGGCCAAATTGTCTGGGGTAAAGGTCCGTGCTCTAAACGTGATGTGGAATACGCTCCAAGGGAACGTCATGTCTCCAAAAACATTCCGGCTTTGGCGAGCATATCTGAATGTGAATGGATGGACGCCGCCCACAACGTGAACGGCTCCTGAAAACGACTTTCGAACTATAAGCAGCCATTTGTCTGAGTATGCTACCTTGCTCGTGAGCATTGAACAAAGATCGTTCACAGCAAAGTCTGAATCAGTGACGACAAGTGCTATGTGGGTGCTGAGAGGAAATGAGACATATTTGAGAACGTGGACACACTCGGCTGCCTCGGCGACGACCCGAAGGCGCAGAAGACGCGAAAGTGTGATGGGTTGTAGACCGGGCTCTGGCTTGTCAAAGCAATGACCAGTGTTGTCCAATTCAAGAATTTCCAATTGCGGCAAGGAGGACAACCATATGAGCATGCATCTTGTCAGGGGGCCCCAATTCCCGATTTTGATTGATTTTAGTCCCGACAGTGGCATTAAGGAGCGCCATATTTTTTCCCAGCCCCGAAGTTCTATGTGTTGCAGCGATCGAGTCGGAGACATCTCTTCACGGGATATTGTGACATCTTGAGACTGTTGTACTCGTACAGAGATATCGAGTGGCACCGCTGAGAACTTCTGGCCTCGAGGACGCTCAAGAATACGGCGCACAATGACGCTGTTTGATGTTGCGCGCAACTCAACGACGCGAGGAAGTTGCTCCATGATGAGCCTCAGAGAGGCACTCTTGGCGCCCGAAAGAGGTAGATGTGTGTCCACAATAGTGAGAGGGCAATCTCCGGCGCGTTTCAATAACTCGGCGGTCCATTGTAAGCTTGGCGGGACAACGATATGGCTCCAAAGTGTCGCAGATTGTAGCGCGATAGCACGCCAGCGGAAGCAAAATTGTGTGGCCTTGATCCATTTGTAGAACGACGTGGAGTCCTCCCACATGCATGCGTCGAGAAGCGTGAATATGTGGGCCACGATCTCAGGCGGTAGTCCATGAATGGGCCTTAAAGAATTAAGCTTCCGCTTCCGTATCGCCAGTGCGTCGGTAAGTTTGTGTATCTTCGCCTCGAATAGTGCGATCTCCGCCTCCAGTGCTGCTTGCTGAGTGCGCTCAGATTCGTCGGTGGCGCCACCTGCGTTGCTCAACTTGCTCCCATCTTTGGTATCAGAAGAAACTCCGGATGCGTCCCTGTACTAGAACGTCACCATCGCATTTCCTATGAAAGAAATAAGACTGACATGTTATCGAAGGCAGCGGCGCCACATATAGAGTCTGGATGTCTGTTCTGGTTGCAATCGCTTGCTTGAATATCAGACAAGTTCAGCATATTTCACCCGTGTTAGGGATTGTTACTGCTACGTACCCAAATAATTCAACAAGACGTTCTTTGTTGACAAGTTGGAGCCACCCGGTATCTGTGGCGCTGTCTCTATCGAGCCTCGACGAGCACGGTCAATGATGCAGCGATGGTACGAGCTTGTTGATGTGTAGATATGCACGAAGAAGTTGAAGCCAGTATGAGTGGTATGAAGAGAGAAAACGACAGAGTTGATGTCCTTCGAGATGGTGGTCGTGGTTCAAATGGCGGCCAAAGCTGTGGCGACAATTGGACATCCCAAAGAAGGAAGCCTATTGATCCCCCGCCACCCGATCGACCGGGCCGTTCGCGCAAGCGCCGATAAGTAGTGGCACATCTCACAATGACAGGAAAAAGCAAGGGGGGACGGTATGTCCTGCTGCACAACGCCGACGGATGTCATTGTCCGCAAGTCCAGCATATCGAGCCATACGACAGCAACATAACGCGCGATAGCAACAAAGGAGTATTTATGTGAGTGGGTATATAGTGAGTCAAATACACAAGCTTGGAAAGCCCGACAGTAGGTACAGGTTTCCGCATATACAAGGCTAGCGTAACGATATTAAAGCCGCGACGCTCCGTACTCGAGAAGCGCCGCGGCGACAACGCTCGGTGAGAGTGTGACATGCACGTTCCGTAAAAGAATGTAAGGTCCTGCCAGAATCATGTACATCAAAAGTCTTCTTCGTAGTGCGAGAGGCGCATTTGCTCCGACAACAGCCCCGATTCGCTCAGATGCAGGGTCCCGCCTGCCCGCGCGCTCCGCTCCAGCAGCGCCTCCCACTTGTCCGCCTTTTCTTGCTCCGTCCACGCTTGTCGGGGTGACTCTATCTCGCGGAACGTGAGAGGAGACTTGTTGGGTGAGGAAATAGACGACGAAGGCGACGTGAGGGAAGAGGTGGGAGACGTAACTAACACGGGCTTCATCTGACCGTGGGCAGCGGCGCTTGGAGATATGCGGTAGGTGTCTACCGACACCTGCGGGTGGGGGCGAGGCGTGCGAGGTGTCGCAGGCAGCTGTGAATGGATGGGGGTGGAGGAAGGGCCGGGCAGCTCAATGCTTGCAGGCTTCCGTCGTGAACTGCGTGCCGGTCGGGGAGGGATTTGCCCGAACTCCGGTAACGGTAGCGCCGGTGACGCGAAATGGTTCACAACACCATCGGTGCTGAACGATGGCAATGTAGGAGACGGTGACCGCTCGTGTGGACCACGTTCCCGGCGCCGCGGGGGTGCCGGCAAAGGGATGCACTCGTCTGGGGAGTCCGCAGACCGTCCATGATCAACAGGTTCAGAGTGCGACCGGCTAGGCTTGCGTGACTTGGGTGCCGCTGCCGCCGCCGCTTGCGTGTCCTTGGCACGGTCCGAATCGAACCTACGTAGCTCGTTGGGACCTAATATGTGTTGTCCGACCCCTGGTCTCACCGAGTTCGGCATAGGAGGGACTTCCTCGCCATACGATGACGACGACGAGCGTGTCGAATGCGTACGGTGAAAAAAGCCTGAGGACGCCATATCGGACGAGATGGGCGACGATGACCTCGTTGTCGTGCTGGGTCTATGAGCGGAGGCGCTAGTGGACGCCTTCCCTCCGGTGGATGGCCGTGAAGTAGTATGCCGGGAGGGGGTCTTAGGGGATGGTACTGTAGACGGGCGAACGCCCGATAACGACGCCCGAGACTGCATAAAACGCAGGATGGCACCACCATCCCCTGGGCCCTCACGGATGGGCGAATGGGTACCCGGGATCGTCACCACAGCAGCCTTCTGGAGATCGAGCGGGAGTGGAGGCACAGGCGGCGGTGTGGCCTCTCGCGACTGCCGGTACTTGTCACGCAAGCCGCCTGTGCTAATACGCTTCACGAGTTTCCACCACTTTCCTCCCGCTTGCGCATCCTCTTCGTCGTCCCTCTCCCTTGCTTTCTCCGACCTAGACAGATGCGAGTTGGGTGAATCTTCGCCTACCTCTTCGCGTATCGAGCGCTCCTTCTCATGGCCTGCTCGCGTCGTCCGTATAGATCGGTGTGTAGATCCCTGTGTCGCAGTGTCATCCGTGGACATACGCATAGGACTTCTGGGGATCGAGGTGCGTCCGTCATATGGACGCCAGCTATCGGTCCTAGAATGACCGTCGGATGGCTCTCTCTCCCTTCGGACTATATCTGCCACCTTCTTGAACCGGCCTGATACCCTGCGTGACAGGCTCCGTGGCGGCTTCTTAGCGTAAGCTTCACTCACAACATAGCTACCCAGCTGTTGCGTGAAATCTAGAGGCCCACCCGCCGCGACAACATGGCCTGAGCTGCTGCCGAAAACGGTGTAGTACGGGACACTCCCCGTACCCTCTTCGTCTTCCACGGCGTCCAAATTCAGGCTGTGCATACTAGCATGTTCATTGGACTCGGTTGTTTCAGCAAGTTCCTCTCGACGCTGCTCCTGCTGCTTGTACGCAAGAGCAACCTGGCCGGCCGGCGTCAGACTCCTCGCCACAGCTGCGACTTTCTGGGAAGTAGTAGCGGCTGGCGACGTGTCAGGGCGGGAGGACACATGAAGTGCCCCAATGGACCGCATCCTACGTTTAGGCGTGAGGGCGTGTGGGGCCGGTTCGTGGGCCGACCAGTCCGGGTTAGTGGAAGGGCGGCTCGTTCGGCGTCTCAGTACGTTGCGCGGCTTCGCTACTTGCTCCTGTTCCACAATGCGGGATGACGAGGATGTATCTCTGGATCCTGATCGCTGGGTTTGAGGGCTCGCTGTCAGATCCGTTCGGTACCCGACCATGTCATGCAGACTGTGCTGAGAGCTACTTGCCACTTTTTGAAGGTTGGCCAAGCTGCGGGTTGTCGTGGATATCTCTGAGTCAGAAGGGAGCGAGATGGCGGAAGAGCCGGAGGGCGTGTGTTTTGCCGGCTTACTCAGTAGTCGCTTGAGGTCAAGATGCCCGCTGGCGCCGCGATCTGTGCTATTTCCTGACGGCTTGCGAGGATCAGGGACGACCCGCCGCGTAGTAGGTATGACTCTGGACTCCAGCTGAGTAGAAAACATCGAGCTAGAACCTAGACTCTGGCCGAAGTCTATGGGCGGTAGCGAGATCGAGTCTGAAAAAGAGTCGCGGTGCAAAGGGGATGCGACCGGTTGCGAAGAGCTGACCTTCCTTGGTACGTCAACATGAGCGGCTTGGAGGGCGGAGATATGAGAAACAGAGCCGGAGTGCGTAGGGAGCGTCTGGGACCTTGTTGCAGGGAGCGATGACTTCGAAACCGCTTCAAAAGTATGGTATCTGGTGGGCTTGCGCGGTCCAGCAGGGCCGGTGCGGGTAGCGGTATGCTGCATGGGCTTTTCTGACGTAGATAGGGCCATCAATATTGCTATGAGCTGTCAATGAGCCATGATCAAAATCCATATAGGACAACGCACACTCTTCACAAAATCCGAGACGTGGCGTGAACTGAGGACGTGAAGTGTATATGCTGCACTAGCAGAGCCTGCACGCCCAGAGGGAGCGTGTCAGCCTTGGTGGTGCAACGAGAAAAGGGACACTCACATTTTCCAATCAAAGACTTTTGAGAAAGGGCCGTCGAAGGATCTGGGCCGAACAGGTTGGGGCAAGTCGCGTGTGGTATGTCGTGAAATATAATCAGCACGTGTGGAGACTACCGGGTAGGTATGGAGACGAGGAGCCAATGCGCTAGTCCGAGTGACAATGACGTATGTTTGAAAACGGCTCAGAAGTGGCAGGAAGAGAGAGTAGAGACAGGCAAGAAAACGAGAGTGAGCGGCGTGCAGAGATTCAGACGACGACAGCAAAACAGTACTCGAGAGAAAATGAAGACCACCACGTGCGGGACCTGAGTTTCATATCCCCCGTCACCGCATTGCCGGTAGCGCTGGGTAATCCGGGCTGCGTGATCCGGTTCGAGGCGATCCTACCCGCGCACTTAATACGTTTGTCGTGATTGCAACGTTGTGGTTGGCGGTACTCGACGGCCCCCGGCCAATCTTGTTTTATTAATTAGTACAACAGATTCCAATGACGTAGCGACTAGACGCACCCTGTGCTCTTGCCAGGCTTCACACGCAGAATGTCGTGGAAATAACACAAGACGAGCTCGTGTTGCGGAAACTACAGACTGGAGGTCGGAGAGAGGGAGGGGATCAATAAGCCAGTACCAAGCCCTGGTATTTAACGGTCAACTGTTGACATGACGCGCGGGATGGCAGAAGGACCGTTCGATCGAGCATGAAATTGTTTCCCTGGACGACCCAAAAGGAAGAACGCCTACCTCTAGTGGACTGAGGATCGCCGAGCTTGAGGTCAAGGCACGGTTAGCGCATACCAGAATTGGACTCGCAAGCCTACATCCCGGACATATAACATTCAGGGACGGAATGCCATTTCACTGGCCACCACCGTCTATTCATCGTTGCTTAACATTCGCAACCAAAGTCCGGTGAGGTGTGTATCAGCCCACGCTGTCCTGACCAGAGCACATTTCTGCGGGATGGGAAAACGGCATATCGGATCTATTGCTGGAGGATGAGTGAATGGAGAATGTAAGTACACTCCGAGTCTGGACATTCTAACGTCCGTTCAGGCTTCGTGTTGGCTGTGTCGCCCCCCACATGCATGACAGGACTGAGGCTATTAATCCATCACCGAAAGTCTGGGACAAGAACTCCAAGCACAAGCTACTACTAAGGTAAGTGTAAGTTGCAAGTCAAGCTCGATCGTGCCATTATGGTAAGAATGAATCTGTATGAATCGCCACAGAGCAGATATATCACGCCGCTCAATGGGTAGAGTCGTCGCCGGCCTATTACATCAAACCAATAACGACAGACCTGCCTTCGCAGATAAGAGCCCGGGGCGAAGGTGGGCATAAGCTATAGCAAGACATGGCAGCGGCGCATGATCACGTCTAGCTCTGGCAGCGACTTTGTCGCTCCGTCGCATAGCGCACAAACGCTCGATTCGCCTCGCTGCATGTCAGCCTAGGCGTGAATTTCTGCAGGGATGTCCATCTTTAGTGGGATTACTGTGACAGCCGTTGTGATCCATTAAGTGGCTGGCTGACCCATTGGTATATATCTGGTAAATGCTCCTCTCCGATGACAGCTGCCGGGCAGCCATCTATTACGGCCCCCATGAAGTGAGCATCCTAGGGTTCCAGTTCAAGCGTATACCGCTGAAACTTGGGAAGTTGAGTTGTCCGTGTCACTTCTGCATTCGATCATCGGGACGGAGGATCCATCGTGCTGAGAGGCTTCAGCCGGGTGGCCCTGCAAAGCATGTTACCTGTACAACACAATTGATTCAGAATAGACAAAGGCGAAGAATCGTAGACAGATTCGAGCGTGGCTATGAAACTGCGTCTGCCATTGGTCAAAGCCGAGTCAACGGCATCAACCTCGCGAAGGCATAAGTAGTGCAGCAGCCCTCCTCGTTACAAATACTCGCCCAATGCATACTCACCCATAATGCATAGTCTGGTCTCAATACAGACCCAAAGTACTTGAGAATACAATGGCGAAATGAGGTCACCGATGGCATGCATTATTATGTATGACTCTGAGATCCTGCCACTGGAGGTCTTGAGGCGCTTATCTGGGGTCCTCGCGTGGGAACGGTCTACCGATATGCGAAAAGTTCCGCCGCGTCGCTTGATCACAGCCTTTGGTCTCCTCGCTCCCTCAGTCCAGTGCACAAGATGTCGAGTCGCCCCGCAATGCGCCCACGCAACGGTACCATAACACAGAATGAAACTCACCAGAGAGAGAATGTCAAGCTGGATAGCACGAAGGGGAAAGGGAAGCCTAGGCCGCATATCGCAAGCAAGGTCTTCTGCGTTTGTCGCAAACCGGACGACGGGACACCCATGATTCGTTGCGAGCAATGTCGTGAATGGTTCGTGTTCTCTGCCACTGGGTTGGGTGCAATTCGACTGAACTGTGTCAGGTATCATTTTCGTTGTGTTGGCTTATCGGAGCGGGACGCGGAGGACATCCGTGAGTCTGAAGATCAGCGCGCTTCATTTGGACGCATTCTGACCATCTTCCATGCTGCAGAAACGTATATTTGTGAACGCTGCCATCAAAAGACTGGCCTGCGTACGATCAGTGAGTATCGCTGGTACCGTCATGTTCACTCATTCTACGTCCTGGGCTGTCCCCTTTGTTTGATTACGCATGTACACCGACAATATGATGTATTGTCCGATTTGTGTTGTCTCGCGACTGGTTGTATTAGCCTGTATATAGAATCTGCCAGAGATCCCTCAGTGCTACAGCAACTCTCGCTGGTGCCTTTGCTCGACTCATGCTTGAGGGCTACGAAGGAGCGCTTGGCACTGCCATCGAGTAGTCCGATCATGAAAGATGAGCGAGTGCTTGCTTGAGGGTCGGACGGCATACTTCATCCCATTCATGAAGACCTTCACGGTGTGAGGTGAAGGCACTGCGGCGTGTTGCTGCAATTCCTCCTTTCCTTCGTCCCCAATTCTTTTGCATGCATTCATCTGTATTTCCTTGTGCCGACCAGGTTACTGATTGCTTTTCTATGTGTTACAGTGGAATGGGAAGGCGTAGACGGGCTGGAGGTCGTCAACCCGCCCGACGTACGATCACCGACGCTGGGATCAGAGGATCAGGGGGGTGAAGCGGGGGAGCATGAGTCTCAATCAGAAGACGAGAGCGCGGACGATTATGTCGCTGGAGCAGGGAGGTTGCCCGCAGGCAAGGTGCGCCACTTGTTGTTCTCTTGGCTGCATTCCTTGCTCATGTATCGTGAACCGCTCCTTCAGCGTCGATCTCGGCGCGTGTCCACGTCGTCGGACTCGGACAGTGACTCTGGACGGTCAGCGAAGGGGCCAAACCTGACGAAGAGGATCCGTCGTGATGTCCCTGTCGGCGCAAACGCACCACCACCTGCGAATGGCACCAAGCGGAAGCAGCCTGACGCAGCTCAGCCTGCGATCAAACGGTCGCGCACCGAGTCCGGCGAGGACCCTGCGCGGAAGTATTGTCTGACGAAGCTGTTGGAGGTGTTCACACGTATCTTCACGCAGTATCCATTTCTGAACGACGGGCGCCAAGATCGGGATGCTGGCGTTGGGAGGGATTTCACACCAGACAAGGCCCCGGAGGAGCTGACTGACGAGGAAAAGGAAAAGCTGGAGGCGACAGCGAGGCAGTTCACTGCAGATCTCGAACAGTGTATGTTCGCCATATATTCTGAACCCGATAAGACCGGAAAACCTCACGCCGCGGGCAAATACAAGTACGTGATTGTGTCATATATCGTCAAAACGCCAGTGACAAACCCTATTGCGTATAGGGAGCGTTTTCGGATGCTTACTTTTAATTTGAGCAAACCTGATCGTGTTCTTCTGCACAAGCGCATCGCGTCTTCGCAGATCCCGCCGAGAGAGTTGTCTACAATGTCATCCACTGACCTGGCCGACGAAGAAACAAAGCAGTCCATCAAGCACGCCGAGCAGGAGGCTCTGGCTCACTCCATTCTGAAGAAGCAGACGCTTCCTCGCGCAAAGATTACCCACAAGGGCATTGAAAACATCGAGGACATGTATGGTGCGGAACAGCGCGACATGGAACGCGTGCGTGAGGAAGAGGAGGAGGCGCGAATTGAGAGAGAACGATTGGCACGGCTGAAATTGCAGGCCGAGCGTGCACGGTCGGCGAGTTCCCTTGGTCAGGGTTCTGTGCCGCCCGAATCGCCTGTCGTTTCGCAGTCATCATCCTGGGGCGCGCCCCATTCGCTGCAGTCAGATAGTAATGCCGCGCATTCAATGGAGGGCTTGGCTAGACCAGCCCCGAACACTATGTTCGTGTCCTCTGTATCTGACTATGTTGGATTGGTGGAGCCTGAGCTCAATCTTGCGGACCTGATCAATATCGACGAGGATCTCCCTCCCGATGTTGCTGCTGTCGAGTCTCCCCCTTCGTCTACCGCGCCTCATCTTGCTTCGTCTGATGCGAGATCTTCGTTCTCTCAGGCAAGTCCGACATCGGAGAGCACACCTCCGGTACCATCTACTACAGGCATTTCTCCATTTGCCGCCAAATCCGACATCACCTCGCGTTCATCATTCGATCTCAGTTCTCTGTGGACTGCGAACGGCGCTGAGCAGACGTCCGAACAGCCAATCATTGTTGATGCTCCCGAGTCGGAACGCCAGGAGGACCCCAAGGCGTCTGCTGTCGATGTAGACATTCTTGGGGAGGAAGCCGACGATCAGGACTTTGACATGTTCCTTGAAAAAGACGAAGAAGACAAGCCAACTGTGCCTGTGGATGACAACAGTCCGGAGGCCCGACGAGCTGCGTTCGAGGCATTGCCTAAAGTATGGACGGGCACTGTAAGCATTTCTTTCGACTTAACAAGGCTGACCTGGCTGATTGTGTGCATCGTTGTAGCTGAGCATGCCCCTCGATGCAACAATGGCGCAAGAGGTCTCGCTATCCGCCTGTCAAGTTGGTGGTAGAGACATCAATCACGAACCACTGCTATGGCAAACGTTGTTTCCTGCAAAAGCGCTTCGCATTGACGGTCGAGTTCCGGTTGAGAAATCGGCTCAGTATTTGACACAAATGCGCTTGAATCCGACTAAAGAGCTCATCGCGGTAGCGTTCTCTCCCGATACTGGAACAGGCGCCGAGTTCATTGGTTTCAAAGCCCTCGTTGATCATCTAGTGGCGAAAGGGTGCGTGATTAATCTGTACAATGCGTCATGACATACTTATCCGTTTGCTTTTATCTCATAGGCGTCATGGTCTCGTCTTTCCCTGGGGCAACAGGCCCAAGGAGTGGGCTCCAGGGCGTGAACTTTACATTGTTCCCCTCCTCACGACAGAGGCTATACCCGAGTTTTTGGAATTGCTCGACAACCTTCGCTTACCCAAACTCAGAGACCACGACTTCCTCATTGGCGTCTGGGTACTTGGCAAAAATCGACTAGCACCACCACCTCCTGGCGCGATGCCGGCTCCAGCGCCCATCAACATCGCCCCCAGCGCTCTGTATCATCAAGCTTTGCACTCGCCATTGGGGACACAATTCCTACCACAAGGCCAGCCGACAGCCTCTACATCAACTCTGGGACAGCCTGCGCCCACAGATGCGGTGCTGGCAGCGGAAGTCGCGCAGCTTACGCCAGAGCAAATACAACAGATGCTTCGGACACTGACATCTTCTGCGCTACTCAACACCCAGACGTCCGCTGTGCTACCACCACCACCACCACCCCAGCCAGTCATCCCCCTGCCAACTTCACAGCTCCTTATGTCACAACAACAGACGATTCCGATCCAGCCTTGGTTAAACCAGCCGGTCACTTTCCAGCCTCACGTGCAGCCTCCTGCTCTTGCTCCAATACCTGGTAACCATCCGATAATGCCACCTGGCCTAGGGCCGTACCCCGATCCTCAGTATGATCGTCGCTACGATCAGGATCGACAGTATCCTCCCGGTCAGCGGCATGATGCAGGTGGCAATAGAGAGTATCGCGGAAGGGGTGCGCCTCGGGGCAGAGGTCGAGGCCGAGAACATGGGGATAGACCTCGGGATTCTGGTTGGCGAGGACGAGGTAGAGGGTCCAGCCCGCCGCGCGGTAGGGGGTGGTCCGACCGCGGACGATGGGATTAATAGCCGTTTCGTCTACATTCGCTCTACTCTATTTACGATTTTGTTATTCAGTGTATCTATAGGCGATGCTACTTCGATTTTGTCTTTGCGTACGTGTATTGTAGGCAGTGTGCGTTCTGATGTAGATAACTCGTCGGTGAACTCAGTGCCGAACGTCTGCCCCTGTTAAGAAAGGGCTCGTACACTTCCATCAGGTGTTACGTAAGGATTTGTGATGAAAAGCGTGACAAAACATGTATAAATCAATAGACAATTCAGATACCACAGAAGTAGAAAATCAGAAACTAAGGAGTCTATCTTCCAGAAATACCTGACATTTACTTGGTTCTCGATTGCCTCCATCGAGCCCACAGACGGAAGAGATAGTTTGACAATGTTTTGTGTTGACACACATACAAGATATCTTCCAAATGCGGTCATATCGTGATCTGGCTTTATGACTGGACTTCCGGTGCCACATCACGGTCACACCTGATGGAAGTGTACGAGCCCTATCTTAGTACTGCCAATACTTAATCGCCTTCTTTGAAAATACGGCTAAAATATGCGTGGGGTGTTTTGACAAGCACGACGGCCATTTGCTGCACTGTGTTCATCACGGTGCGGGTTGGCGATATCTGTTTTGCTGGACATAATACGTGAAGTGGTACAAATGTATTCAGATAGCTATAATATCATACAATGCTCTCATCAGGTGCGAACATCTGGAAATTACGGTTGTATGTCCCGGAAGCAAGATACTTCCCATCGTTGGACAAATCTACGGACATGACCTTCCCTCCATCCGTGGGTAATGTGCGTAGTAGCTGCCAATCGTCCGCACTCCAGAGCTTGACCAGGCCATCGTAACCTGCACTTGCCAGGTAGAGTCCGGGGCGATAGGTGCGTTCCTCCATGTCGTGCGTACTATCCGTGGACGACAAATTGTTTGTATCGCCCATCTCGACGTCTGAGGTTGGCGATAGGCCATATGGCAGGTCAGTCCCGTGGAAGAAACGGACATCAGCCACATTGGAGAGGTGTGCAGGAATAGTATAGAGGGCTTTGAGCGAACGCATGTCCCATATACGGATGGTATCGTCACCCGAGCCAGTAGCAATCTGGTAGCTATTCATAAAGCATCAACATGGTGGCACGGTGAATGAGCTCAGCACGACCAACCCATTTGGCGAGAAGGCGATTGAGAAGATGGCCTGGACGTGTCCGTCCAACACCATCGCCGTTCGACCTGTTCGTAAATCCCATACTCTGCCTATTGCGTCGAGTCCGCTGTGATACCCTCGTTAGTGTGTGTAAAGATGTCTATACGAAGTCCGTACCCAGAGGCAGCAAGGGCACCATCTTCTTGAAACTCGACTGCATACACCTCTTTTGAGTGTCCCTCTTGAAGCAAGAGTTCTTTTGATGTCGCGACATCCCATAGCCTCCATGACGTATCAAAGCTAGCACTAGCAACGTAGTCACCGCTGGGGTGGAATGCTACTCGGCAAATTCTGTCTTGGTGCCCTTTCATAACAGATAATGGCGTATCGCTGTGCCACGCAATATGAGCTAGAATTATGCATTGTTGAGTGGTGTTGCCTACCTGTTCAGCGACCAGAGGTGAACGTTCATATCTCCTGCACCACTGACCAGGTTGGCCGAATCTGGACTTTGGCTAATGGTTGCTTGTGGATGCCATGCAACCCCTCCTACCCGATCACTGTGGCCTAAGACAAGCCTATCAGCCATGCTAAACTTAATGAATGGATAAACTTACCGCCCAGCGTCCGTATTGGTGTACAATTGGGCACGTTCCACAGCTTCACATTCCCCGACCAGCTACCTGTTGCCAACATTTTACTGTCAGGAGAGAATCGAACTTGGGATATTGGTCGGTCGTCTCCAATCTGGGAACCCAGTTCGGCAAACCGCTAGGAAGGCGGACTGTCAAGATCTCGGGACGGCCACGCATGGACAGCGAAGCTAGTGTCACTTACCTTGACTTCAGCGAAGATTTTCTTACGTATGTCGATGATGCGACCAAGGGGTATTTTGCTGTCGATGCGCTGCTGGGCGATCCGTTTTTGAGCTCTACATGGGAACGGCGCACATAGCAAAGACATGGTAAGCACCTTCACGCGCCTGCCCATCGGTAGCGGAAATCCAACCTGGGTAATGAGTACTCCGCCAGCCGTTTACGGCCTTCTAGGAGCTCGAGAGAACCTGGAGTGTAGAACTCCTCCTCCTGTGGTTAAGCGAAACCTTGTGAGGAGTGGGGAACAGTAAGGATGTGCTCTCCTGACCTCGTCTTCGCTTTCTTCACTAGACTCCTCATCCACTTGCATTGCATCGTCTCCTCGTGCAGCATTGATTTGAGACAGTACATAGATGAGACGGTCTCGACGATCTGCAGCCTAGTGCTGAGAGGTCGACATCTGACCGCGTGAGGACGTAGGATCAAACACACCCGTTCACCGAACAGAGTAATGGGTTCCCCAATTTCCCGCAGCCTAGCCTTGACGCGGTTGTCATCCGTCGGAACAGCAAGACTGCGTGCCTTCTTCTTTCGTTCCAGTTCGTCCAGGAGGACTTTGTTTTCGAGACGCGCACGCTCCGAGCTCAGGTAGTTTCCATCGTCAATAAGCGTGTCCAGGGTGAGTTCCGACATGATGAGCGAGCGCGAATTGCGAACAGGACAGGCCTAGCGCGAATAATAGTAGGAGCTGCTACCGAAATACTTACATTGATGTAAGTAATAGAGTATGGAGTGTGTGTTTGCGGTTATTTGGCGACGGCCTTAGATCTAGAATTGAGATTCAACAACAGTGTGCAGTGCATCTAGCTCCCCTCTACTCGCCAGCTCGTCTCATCCCTCCCCATGTCGGTGTCGGGTAGGACATCACCGAACCCTCTGCGGCAGAGGCGCACACCTGCCTCGCGCTCGTCTGGCTACAGTGAAATCGACCAAGATGAAGACCAGGTTGAATTCACGAATCCAGTACGCATGACACGTCTTCGGCGCGACGCGCCTGGTGGCTCATACATTGCATGTGCAGCGGAATCGCAGCACAGTCGAGCGATTCTTGGAAACAGAACGCGCAAGTATGGCCATGCTTGCGTTGCTCACTTTCTTCGCATTTGCCCTCCGGTTCTACAAGATCAACCACCCAGATCAAGTAGTGTACGTCACCTGAGCTCTGTCCGTGAAGAACGTGACGCGAACTCTTGCATAGATTTGACGAGGTTCACTTTGGAAAATTCGCGTCGTATTACATCAAGCGACAGTATTACTTCGATGTGCATCCACCACTTGCGAAGATGCTGTTCGGCCTCGCCGGGTGGTTCGTTGGCTACGATGGTCATTTCCTCTTCGACAACATAGGAGACAGCTACACCGAGAATCACGTTCCATATGTTGGAATGCGTGCTCTCCCTGCGTTCTTGTCGAGTATGACGGTGCCAATTGTCTATTCCATCATGAAAGAGTGTGGATATTCCACCATCGTGGCTGCATTCTCTGCCTGCATTGTTCTTTTCGGTGCGCCAATCCATTCTCAGAGATATTTGCCTACTTCTGAACTGGTCAAGCAGACAGTGCTCACATTGCGCAGGGGCGCCTGATTCTGCTTGATGCTATCCTCATATTCTTCATGTCGCTCACTCTGTATTCATATATCCGTTTCCGGAAATTGCGATATCTGTACGTTTGCTTCTCTGCTAATCCATCCATGCACTAACAAGATGTTAGTGAGTTCTCACCGGAGTGGTGGGGCTGGCTGCTTGCTACAGGGACGTTTATGGCCTGTACATGGGCATCGAAAGTTAACGGTATCCTCACCGTCATTGCCATTGGTATCCCAGTCATGGTTGATCTGTGGGATATTCTGGACATAAAGAAGGGCCACAGCATGGTATGTTTCGATGTTCTATGCTTGAGCGGATGTTTACTACACCCCCAAAGGAATACTTCACGAAACATTTTCTTGCAAGAGCTGTGGGATTGATTGTGCTTCCTCTCTTCTTGTATCTTATGGTGTTCTACGTCCACCTGTCAATCTTGACGAACACTGGCCCCGGGGATACATTCATGAGCCCCGCATTCCAGGAAACCCTTAGAGGCAACGAGATGCTCTTGAATAGCCAAGGTACGTCTTGCCATTGCTTGGCTAAGTGTGCGGTGTACTTGAAGGTTTCCGCACAGAGTTACGATACTACGACACCGTCTCGATCAGACACAAAGATACGAGGGTGTATCTTCACTCGCATCCAGAGCTTTATCCTCTGAAATATGAAGACGGACGCATCAGTAGCCAAGGTTGGTGTAAAACTCACATTGTAATCGTCGTAGGCTGATTCTCGGACAGGTCAACAGGTAACAGGATACGGGCATGAAGATTCCAACAATCACTGGCAAATTATCCCCACTAAGGCACTCCCCGACACTGGGCGGGGGCGCATCGTGCGACACGACGACGTTATCCAGCTGCTGCACGTGAATACGCAGACTTACCTCCTCACGCACGACGTAGCTTCGCCCCTGATGCCTACGAATGAAGAATTCACGACTTGGCCTAAGGACGATTATTCGCGTCATAACGACACCCTCTTTGCATTGCGCCTCGTCGATGGACAGGAGGGCGAAGCATGGAAGAGCAAGTCGGGTCACTTCAGGCTGATTCATTTAGCGACCAAGGTCGCCATGTGGACGCACACAAAGCAGTTGCCCGAGTGGGCCTTCAGTCAGCAGGAGATTAATGGTATTAAGACGACTAACGACAAGTCCACCATTTGGTTTGTTGACACTATCGTCGATGAAGAAAGTGGGTGCTTTTGAGTCTATTTCTCTGCGATTTAACTCATGTGGATATGTTGGACACAGCTGGTGAAGATGCCTTGCAGCGCACCAACATCGCGCCGAAGGAGCCTAAGAAGAGGAGCTTCTTCAAAAAGTTTGCTGAACTGCAGCTCCTGATGCTGCAGCACAATGCTGGCCTCACGGCGTCTCACCCATATGCCAGCAACCCCATCAACTGGCCGTTCCTTATCAGCGGTATTAGCTTCTGGACGGACGGTGACAACCAGAAGCAGATCTACCTCATCGGCAACATCGTGGGCTGGTGGGCATGTGTGATAGCTCTCTCGACTTATGCAGGTATCATTGGCGCCGACCTCATTGCGCGTCGTCGTGGTATCGAGCCAATCTCAGATCGTAAGTGACTGTTTTTGCAGCATGGATGCTTTGCAGTCTAACTGGCACGGACAGAGGTCCGCAACCGACTCTGGAACTCAACTGGCTTTTTCCTCGTCGTATGGGCCGTGCATTACTTCCCTTTTTATCTCATGAGCCGACAACTCTTCATCCATCATTACCTTCCCTCTCATCTTGCGTCGGCGCTGGTTGCCGGCTCTGTACTGAGCTTTGTGCTCTCCGAGACCATCAATTATCCTATATCCGCACGCGGCCCGTCGATGATACACCCAAAACCACGCACCTATGCTGACCTGGGTCTCAAAGGCCCCATCGTTGTCGGGGTGTTTGCCCTAGCCATGTTCTTGATGTTCCTCTTCCTCGCACCATTGACATATGGAACGCCAGGGTGTGTTCAGTTCTGTGTCTTCGCGCAAGCAATAATGATGCTGACGTGCTTCTGCAGGCTGGATGGTGACCAGGTCAACAGCCGAAGACTGCTTTCTTCCTGGACCCTCCATTTTGCTGCAAAACCGACCGGAGAGTTCTAGGAATGCCCATAAGGTCGTAATTCTAAGCTTTCGGATCCATCTCTGTACTTGCTGCATCGTTATGTCCGCGTACTATTGTAACCTACCAGTTTTCTATACCATATACATGCTTTCGCCGCTCAATTGTCGTCGCGATGGCTGCTAGACATCACACTTGAGACAAAGATAGATATCGGATTTCTCGAACACACAATCAAAATCACAGTGGATAGCGAACAACGAGAGCACAGCGAATATTAAGCATCCGAATATGATACGTTGTTGAACGAGTAAAGCATAATGTAGAGGCAGCATCGGAGCCCTTCGATGACACTGTGTCATGCGGCACCGTTTTTGACCTTCAGAACATGTCATTCAGTAGGCCTCGACCTCGCAATAATGACAGTCAGACCTTCTGCATGAACCCTGAAACACGCCCGATATCAATTATCTGTGACTCACTCTCGACAGCGATGACCAGATTCTCGAGCATCTAGATAGACTTCAGTCATCGTGAACACAAACGTCCAAAGTAGCAATGCTCGCCTCCTCGATTTTGTCAATGGCGACTCCGGTGCAAAGCGCCACAATCTTCTTACACTGAAACTCCTTCTCGGCACTGGCATCTCGCAACAACGCCAGACGAGCATCCATCAGTCGCTCCGTGCGCTCATGCCACATCTTCAGTCGTCGCAGCCTGATTAAGCTCGCCACTGACTCCGATGTCGGTATTGCGGGTTCAGTGTCCAGGTTGAACGACAAGTCGACAGCACCGTTCAGTCCTGACATGGTGGACGCCGGCCCGCGCACGCGGAAGGCAGGCCCTGCGGTATTCATTGCATCCGAGCCGTTCAGCTCAGTTCTCCCTGTCCAATCGAAGCATTCCTCGTCATCCAGAGCTTTCTGCAGATTGCGGATCCGCTGGTCGGCTTGGTCCATCTCGCCGCAGCGCGCAGTCCAGGATTGTATTTGTTTCCGTTGCTCTGACAACTCGCGCGTCGCTGCGCGCAGATGTGCCTGTGTTACATCTAGCGCGTCTTGCTTCGTCTTGATCTCGGCGGCAAAGTCGTTGCTGAGATTCTGTATCATTGTAGTCATGTCTGCACACTCATAAGGCGGTTGAACCGATGAAAACCTTTGTCAAGCTCACCAGCTAAAACATCTTGACTCTTAAGAACTGGTGCGGAAGGTCCTGACCGTAGTGATGATAGAAGATCCTCTGCACGGGGTCCACCTCCCAATTCCTGCGCAAAGTGACATTTCCTACACGAGTAGGCAGTGCTGTTTAAGCTTACCTCGGTTTCCACTCCGAAGTCACCAGGTCGCAGGCCGAGCTTGTTCGGTGTGATACGATTGGCACCCACGTCCAACAATGTCCTCACCAAACTTCTATTGCCGACCCGCGCCGCAATGTTCAGCGCGGTATCACCATGCTCATCCTGCAGGTCGACCAGTGACCGGAAGTCCGCACCCTGATGCTGTGCAATCCAGACCAGGATCTGATCGAGGTAGTACCGTGCGGCCACAGCCCGTCCTTTGACGCCCGCAGCCGCCACAATATGATGCAGGATAGACTTGCGCGACGAGTCTAGTGTGCGGATAGATGGGTGCAGTACCGTGACAAGGAAGTGGAATGTCTGCTGGTCTGCGTTATGCGTGGCTAAACACGCCCGCACGAGCGCGGTCTCGCCATTATAATTCCCGCGATGCACATCCGCACCGTTCGCGATCAGCGCGTCAACGATCGCGTGCTGCGCCATGCTCGCCGCGAGGTGCAGCGCAGTATGCCCCTGGTCATCCAGCACTAGATCAATATCCACATGCAGCGCGGGGTTGTCTGGCGCGATATCACGTAGTTGGTCGACGATTGGCAGTGGGTCGTCGCCCCTGCAGATAGCGGCGACAATGGCTGCACGCCGTGTGTCCCTCAACGGTGCCGCGGCGTCAGTAGTTCGGGGGATATATGGCTTCGAGGCGAATCTGATCTCGAGCACATTGCTGTCCACTTGCTCGGGGGGCATGTGGCCGTTAGGTACCATGGGATGTGCGCTTGCGGGGCGCGACCCACCATTCATAACTGCAGCTGGCGTGGGTGCCCGATGGTCGGCCTCGGTGAGCAGGTCTCCATTATGTAGCGCGCTGTCAGACATCACGGAATCTAATCGCGGTCGCTTTGCGGGCGAAGGACCACCATTTGCCTCTAATTGTGATGGGGCAGAGGGAGGACGCGATTGGTCAGCCATCTGTATGTCAGGGGACGGTTCGAGTGTAGGTGGCGCAGATTGACTGTTAGGATCGCGAGGGGAGCCCAACAAGTCCATCTCGTCGGACCGCGTGCGCTTCAGTGAGGCTGGCGGTGGCGTTGGCGAGACGGCGGGGACGTGAAAGGGGGACTGCGCGTACGCTCCTGGAGATGCATCTTTGATAAGAAGCGAGTTCTAGAAAGGAAAAAGTACATACCCGATGTTGAAGGCGTGAAGAGGCCTTGTGCACGACCTTGATTCAGGAGACGAAGGGCGGAACCCGGCATGATGGGGGGTGGTGCGAGCCCAGCGGGCACAAAATTACCTAACACAGTATAGTGAGTGTAATGGTATACGGAGTGACGAATGGTGAACCTGAAGTAATGTTCGGCAGTCCAGCCGGGAGTCCTCCCAGTGGGTTGGCATTTGGAACGAAGTCGAAGAGAGGCGCGAGAAGGGGGGCAACGCCATACTGCAAGGCTATGTCGCGGCCGCGCTCGAGAGGTATCCTGCAGAGATGTCAGCAGGAGGGCGACACACGCTGACGAACACGCACCATGTCCCCTGGTACTTGCCGTATCCGCCTTGTACAATTTCGTGCTTTCCCGGAAGGATTTCCTTTTCGAGAATCTTTGTGCGCCGCCCCTTGTCCACTCCGGCAACTTTGAGTATCTGCGTTGCGTTCACGTACGAGTCTGTCCGCCGGCGCATGACTGCGATTCCGCGGACCATGCATTCGTATACCTGACGCGGTGCGCGTAAGGCGTGTCGTCACAAAACGACCTGCGTATACGTACCTGCACGGACGAATAGACAGCATTGTAGATCTTGACAGGCTGCTGCGGGCCTGGTGCACGCGGCGCTGCCTGCATGCTCGTCGTGGGGCGTTGAGGAAGGCGGGTAAGAGTGCGGGCGCTCTCACGTCGCGCCCCGAGACGCGCCTCTGGCGAGCGTGTCGTCGGAGATCCAATACAGCCACCGTCCACGTGCACCGTCCTCTTCTGCCACCGTCGCGACAAGCGGCCATAGCTAGCATGAAATTGCACCAAAGTACTGTTCTCTGTTTGCAGCACACATGCGGATCCTGAGAGATGAGCATGGACGTTCGCAGCTGCCTATGGCGCTGGTACGCAGACCTCAGCGCCTTTAGATAGCGCGCGCCGCGGAGACGCCATCAATATCAGTCACGAGATCGCTACTACCGCTCGGCGCTTGCCAGTGCCAGTCCAGTCCTTTCGGCGTCGCGCTCAGCGACGCTCTCCAACCTCATCTTACCATGTTCAATGCACCTCGCCCGTCGCAGCCGTATACGACATCCCCTTCTAATGGATTTGGAGGCAGTTTTGTCCATGAGAACCCTCTCATCAGCTCCATATACGATGACGGACTTGATCCATGGAGCAGTGCACCCAGTCCTGCCCCTCCTGCTATCCCCTCATTTCCTTCTACTTCTGTTGGCTTCAGTTCGGTGATAGGTACGCGACTGTATTGAAATATGTACTTCTGTGATGCAGACTCCTATGTAGGCGAAGCTACTTTGCCAGCTATTTACAATCAGGCATTCGCTGCGGTTGACACCGCCAACAGTGGCGAGACGTCCGTCAGTGCTCTGTCGAGGGTCCTTGGAACATCTTCTCTTTCAGCTTCCACGATTGATAAGGTATACCCAGCACAATTGCTGTTCGTTTGGTTCTGATCTTCTGTAGATTGTCAGCTTGGTCAGTTCTCGCCCGCGAGTGTCAAGATTGGAGTTCTTTGTGGCCCTTGCACTAGCTGCCCTCGCACAATCCGGCAAAGGTATGGCCGTTGGGTAACGGTCAATGCTGTCGTTGATAAACAATACAGACATCAGTATCGAAAGGGTTGCTGCATTAGCGCAGGAGAATGCCCTGCCCATACCCAACCTTGACCTGGATTCGCTGGCTCCTGCAACATCTGGATTTGGCCAGTATACATCTTCACCACGCGGCCTGCCGTCGCGGGCCTTCTCTACGGATGATCCTTGGAGCGTTCCGAAGTTCCCTTCCGCCACTGTAGCATCTCCGCCCGCCGACGGTAATGCTGGCAGTGTGCTCAATGGTGCACCATCCAGTATATCTGGAACAGGACTACCAAAAGAGTGGTGGAAGAAACTAGAGACGGTATATGTGAACGTACTTGGACAACAGGGCTTCCTTCTGAACAGGTACCTTGTGTACGAGGTCTCCACTGATGTGAGCCCTGCGTTCAGACTAATTTCCACCGAGTAGGCTCACCAAATTACTGTTTTTGGTTAGCGAGGACCGCCGGTACCAAGACGGTACTCAGAATTTGTCTTCTTGTGGGATTATCTGGTCAAACGATATCCGTTCCGCCTATTGACAGCATTGCCACCGAAACGAATAGGACGTTAGTTCATTCGGCCTTCTACCGATTTGCAACCTTGATCTCACAGGCTTTACGTTAGCTGATGAGGGTTTCTTGGAGCAGCGAAGGTGTGCATCGCGCTCCACCTTCTCATTCCATCATTGATTCGTCCAACAGAAAGGGACTGGCGCGGTTCCTCAATTTCGTCATGTAGGCATCACGTTTTTCGCTCGTCACCGATAAGTTGATAGATGGGTGCATTGTACTAGCAATCACCCTGTGATCAAAGATGATGGGGTGCTCGCCGTGTTCTTGACTGAACCTTCACTTGAAGCCTGGCGAAAACACACCCCCATCTCCTACGAGGAAGAGTCGGCCAGCAAGCGCGTGGATAGAGTAGAAGAGATGAGCATCCCCAGCGATCTGGATGAGAAATTGGCGTCAGTGGTCCGTAGTAGACCACTACTTTTAACTGACAATATCTTTTGGACAGTGTTGTGCGACACAAGGTGGGATTCCTTGTTGAGCACTGGCAGAGGATCTGCATGCTTGCCGAGCGCATCGTCCGACGGCGCGAGGCCGAAGCGGTACGGATCCCTCCTCTCGTCCGCCGCACATATCTCCCGGCTCACTTCGCGTTGCCTCCATCGTTGTCCCCGATCGTGTCTTCTACATCTTCCGACGCGGACTCAATGACGTCGTCGATCCTGTCTGGATTGCGTCCGCGGGCTTCGCATGGTCAACTATCGGATGGTCAGGCGGATCTGGCAAGGCTCACGAACACGATGAAGAGTCTGGTAGAAGTGAATGAGCGCTGTTGGAGGGGGGATGGCTGCGAGCTGTGTGGTGGCGTCAAGCAAGGGCTCTCACACGTTGCCGTACACACGCAGAAGTATTCCGACCTCCTGGAACATCGCGTTAGTCAATTATTCTCATTCAGGCTGCACATACTCACAGGGCCGATTGCAGTCAAGGACGTTACTCTATTCTACTTTGGAGTCATTGAAGGTGAGTCATTTGTAGCAATCTATGACTACCGACTCACGAAAATTTGTAGGCGCAACGGGACCTGTACATCGCGTTGAGAGACCTCTTCATCCGACAGGATAGGCTGTCAGTAGATCAAGTGGACCGCCTGAAAAAGCGTGAGGAGAGCAACAAGTTGAAGCTGGAAGCCATCAAGCAAGCACAGAAAGATGGCTGGAAGCAAGAGGCTGATAAGTTGACGGTCCTCATCGAAAAGGACCAGGCATCGGTAGCAGCGCTACTTAATAGGAGAGTCTTCATCCGTTCATGGTAAGCTAACCGCAGGTCCACTTGTACTATGACGCCGTGATTGACTCTTCCCCAGCATGTGGCATGAACTTCGTGTTGTGCTGCACAACCGCGAGAATACGTTGCTCACGCAGACCATTCAAGTACTCGCAAAAGAGGAGCGAGATTTCGCGGAGACATTGCTTTCTAATTGGACTTCCCTTGCGGATGCAGTGGAGGGCATGCCTTTCGAATAGACTGTGATAGTGTTATATCTTGCACGCAATATACCCCTACGCTAGGATTGGAACAGGGAACAGATACTCAGTAATCAAGGACCTGCTTCCTGACATCCCTTGTGATGCGACTATGCCTAGCGCAAGTCGGATTTGAATATGATGCCTATTAGCATACGCTATGCCCAAATGAACGCTTTGAAGGCTAGTCACCCGCAGGCTGGGCAGAATGCAAACCCTGGCCCTCAATGTCATATTCTCCTTGTCATTTAGTGTCCCCTTCGGGGTGATATACGAAAAAATTGGAACGATACAGAGAAGATTAGCATGGCCCCTGCACAAGGATGACACGCTTTCCCGGAGTGGTAGACCTACGGGTCTCAATATTTATTCCCATTTTTGCCGCACATTTTCTTTTGCTTGCGTCTTGATCCGTTAGATAGCCTTCGCATGTTTGTGTCGATTCCTTCTCATACGTGTACAACAAATAACATAGTGTTTCCATATCGTTGAATATACCATACAACCCGGAATCGTATCGTGGCTTAAGTCCAGGGCTATTCCGCCTATTACAAGACATTGCTGCAGGACTCGAAGATCACGTACAGTAGGATGTTACGCATCGGGGCTTTGGTCCGTGGGTAAGAAGGAGGGGTGCGTCGTGGCGTCACTGATACGTGTTTCGGCGTATTCTATAGCTTCATCCAGTTCTGCCACCGAGGAAAACATGAGATACTTAGACGACAAGGCCAACGGGCTGACCGTCTTGCATGGCTCCACATCACCGTTGATGAGTTCTTCATAAACGTCCAACGATACCGGAATGGGGAAGTACTGCCCGCACGGTGTACAAGAGCTGCCAACGGGTACGAATAGCCCACGGATCGAGGGCAAGGAGCTTGTGGCTCTTGACGAGCGCCCACGAGTTGCAATACCTCGTGGCCTATTCAACGTCAATCCTTTAGCATCGCCATTGGGATGTGACTGGTTAGCTTCCGAGTGCACCGCTACGGGAAGGAAAAAATGTTGCTCGCGAGGGCCAGGGGGAGGCCATAGATCACGCAGATGAGACATTGAGGCCCCTTTAGGTGGACGTCCACGGGCTCTGGTACTTTTGCCTGGGGCCCCACCCCTAATGCCACTTTGTGACCTAAGCCGCTTTGTGCTATTTTTTGCAGCAGTTTCATTGTCGGTATCGCTACCGGCGGAAGGATGCGAGTGCTCATCAGGGTGTGGCTCATCCTCTATAGTGCTGCGTTTCCCTAGAAATGAGGCAGAAGCGGTGTTTGCACTATTCTGCCCATCAATACGGCCCGCCAAGCTGTGTCCAATGTTGTCGTTGAGCGACTCGTTCTGTAGTCCGTTGGGCGAGGTGCGCTGGTCCATAGGTGCACAGACGAGTACTTTGGAGGGAGTTGTGTGTTTGTTGAGTAGGCAAGTAAGACGTCTGTCGAGCGAGGTTCGTTGCAATTGGAGTTATTATATATACAATGAGATTCAATTCCGCTTTGATGTGGCGACAACAGCGCTAACAAGTGGCACACAACGCACGGACGCACCCGCCACAAATATACATTGCAAACGACCATTGCCTTGCTCTTCACATCCGAACGGTCAAGGCTGTGGAAGTGTACTGACCCGCCACCCCATTTGAAATTAGCTGAAGCTTAGGAACAAGGGTGGAGCGTGGACAGAAATGCTGGGTGATGCTTGGCGACGCATGATTGTGCTTGCGTTGGCCTGCGAAACCAGCTCGTGAACATCATTATGTAGGCGTCGTCTTTCTACATAATGCTAGAAGGCTTCTTAGTAAGGGGTTGACTACCACAGGAAGTGATACAACCTACCCTTCGCTTTTCATTATCCCGATTTCAGGGTGACGGTTGAGTCTTGCCGAGGGCCAAGATCATGACTCGGAAGGGCGTGAGCAACGCGACGTAACTGACATCGCACCTGTTAGTATACGCAAATTCTTGGCAGAGGACTTGAAACCGGGAGGCGCCACATACGCATTTGACCGACATTACTACCACACCAGTCGAACGAACATAGCCATTTGCAATATATACACCATGCCGAAACACATCGCTCCAGAGACTTTATCTGACGCTCCCCTTATCCTCCTCTGGTTACTTCTAAACCAGCGCAAGGATATTGCCTGAGGCACAAGCACTACTGGTGGTTGGGTGGTCAAGAGACCATACATGAGTCAAGGGGAGAATATCTCAGATGCTTACGGAGACCCCAACACACGACGCACATGCAGTGAGCCATGTATATGTGCAGTGTTCACTTGTGCGACCAGTTGACTTGATGCTACTCCTATTGCACGTTTGACTGCACTGGCCACAGCATACCGGGCAGAAACTGAAGAAGACATAGTGCCCCAAGTCTTTGCAAAGCGTCCGACGAGCCGACACAGGTTTGCGCTCTACGACAGCTGTCGGCGGAATATGATCTCTTACGTACTACCAGACCGTCTTCGCCGTAATTGAGCTCCAGTAAGATCCAGGCAACGTCGTCGTCTGCTAAGAAACATCGAGAGCGAGCTTGAGTTACTGGCATAGTTGTCGCCAATAGTCTCTTCATGGCGCTAGGTCCAAGCAATGAAGACTAGACTCCGGTGAAGGGCCAGGGACTTGCTAGGCTCGAAGGCCAGCTGCTTTCAGACCAACACAGCCGGTATGAGAGCTCTGGAGCCTTGCTCTTGGCAGTCTCTGAAATCTGTTTCAACCTGACACCTGTTGATCATATTGTAGCTCGTATGTCCATCGCCCGCCAGGCGTGAAATATTGCAGCATCGAATACTAGACGTAGTCGCTCAAAGCGGTGAAGCTTTCGCTGATTGGAATGAAGAAGCCACAGCAATGGGCCGAAGCGGGACACTCAGCCCGATGTTCATGGAGTGCGCCACTACGAATCCGCAGGCCCACTGGGTCGCTTTTAAATCAGCGCAGCACGCCGCGCTAGCGCCATGTCGCCGTGCGTGCGAAGCTATATAAGTGAGAGACGAAGCGTCTGGGCGTCGAATAATGCTCACCATGCGCACTCTGTCTGCAATCGTGGCCGTCTCTCTTCCCCTTCTGCTTCAAGCGGAAGGTCTGCTGATACGTCGTCAGGAAGACACATCGGAACATGGATTCATCTCAAGTCCCACAGCAGGCACGGAGATTGCGCCAGGCGCTAGCTTTGCCTTCGACTACGCCACCAGCGACTGGTGCCACCAGGGCTATAGCATCTTCACCGTCTGGCTCACGCCGGGGCCCGACGCACCAACGTTCTCGGACGTGACCAGCACGACTGGGAACACGCGCGGAAGCGTCGGAGAGCTTATTAATGGCACATACCTCTACAGCTGGGGCGAGTTCACGGTCCCCAACTTCGGTGAGCTACACTTGCTTCTAAGCACCATAAAGCATGGCTCATTGGGAAAGCAGGGCTCCCGCCGCTTGGGACTCCACCACCTCCCACGCTGACCATGCCTAACCTGCTGGAGCTCAATGGCACATCGTACACCAACGCGGACTTCTATCTCACCGTTGTAGATTCTTTTTGGGATTGCCCAGTGAGTCTTGTTGTGATGACTGAAGCTCCCGTCAAGTTGACGACGTGCTGGATGCATAGCCTGACATCCCTATTGAACTGGGGTTGGATTACGTGGAGATCATTTACAACGCTACATCAGCCGCCTGATAACGTATTATTAGCATATAGGGAAGTTGAGGGTACTGTTCGACAAACCTGTCAGGATGTCACTGGCCTGTCATCAATACACATGAACCCCTCTGAAATGCAGACATGTGATGATTCCAGATCGCATACACTCCCCAATGGCTATTAAATGCACGTATACAATCACAACAGTTCAAACAACACGTTCACCTGCCACATGATACAACAATTGAAGAGCCCAGACCGTCATTCATCATCGCCGATGACATGGGCAGGTTCCGCGTCGACGTCCGCAACAGGGACGCGAGCGTACCATTTCGAGGCGGGAGCCATCTCGATGCCGTTGTCTGCTGCAGCCGCAATAGCATTTCTACCACTCGTGGCGTATAGGTTGATGAGGGTGACGATCAGCGTGTATAGTAGGAATGCCACGCTATTTTACAGAAATCAGTCAACAAAGTCAGGATAAATGCCCGCCGCAAGTCTCATACCTAAACATTATGAGAACATAGGTGACGTGGTCCATGTCGAGATCATGGACGAAGTCTAGCTCTTCGTCTGTTGCTGACATGAAAAGCAATCTGAATAATAGTGAGCGAGCCATCTTAGTCATTTGCGACGCAAAGACATACCCGGCAGCTACGAGTAACTACGTATCCCGAGAGCATTAAGATGCACTTATGCGGACAAAAGCAAAGACCCACTTACGAACGAGGGCAGATGTCTGAACGCACGCCCGGCAGCACCGAAACCGGTGGACATTTCTTCTCTACCTGTATCCGTGAGGGTGTGATCACTGTGGCTATCTCCGTCGGAAACTTCCAGAGGCGCATATTTAGGCGCGATAAAAGAGACTTCAACGATCCGCGTAAGACCAGCAAGCATCAGAGTGTGTCCGAACATTGCATGAACCTGCGGCCGGCATATTATTACGATGATGCATTCAAATCCACGGACACATACCTTAGTAGAGAGCATCAGAGCTTGCGCATGCTCGGACATCGCCCAGCCGGTCAGGATGATGCTGAATCTGGCTGTGAGATATGCACTTGATAGCCATTTATGGTATTACTCACATCAATGACGGAACGACAGATCGCTACGAGCGTGACCAGTAAGGAAGCGGTCACGGCGACAGCATCAGTCAACTGACCTGATTGTTGCGCGATAAGAAGACACCCAATGCACCTCCAGTCCACCCTGTATAACATCTGTATAAGAATAAAAACGACATGCGTTAAGGCATTCACATACAGAGCACGCCGAGAATGCTAATTCGATTGAACGTCGATCAAAAGTCGCAATTGTATGATAATGCACTCACGTATGCTGCATGTCTTTGACGGACCATACGGCGCCCCGGTGTTCGGTGAAGGTGTTGACTATGAGAGTATCAGGTCAAGACCTCAGCGAGATGAAATAATCGGTACAAACCGATGCCCTGCATGTACAGTATCAGCATGGCCTCTCGAGCAAAATTGAAGTAGTGAACGCACCCACAGCATGATAACCCACGAGTCCCACCATTCTGGACTACGGCCGCTTCGCCTAATCCACGCCTCGCCGACGAGAAGAAGTATGGCCATTATGGTGCCATATGCGATGAAGCCACTTCCCTGTTATACAGCTCAATTAGCAAACGTGTTGCCGGTATTACGTGGCGCGAACCTACCATTATATAGTGAGCTAGGCATTGGCCGAGGTTGTCACCTCGACAGTAGCCTCTAACTGTGATGGCGCCGAAGAGCATCTGCGTCCATCCGAGTATGGGGTAGGCCTTGCCCACTACACCGTGCAGACGAACAGCCCAAGGACGCAGGCTCCGCTCATGTATGTGTAGTTTGAGGTAGATACCGAGGGTGAGTTGAAGGGCGATTGGGATGAACATGACGTTGGCCATCGTGCCGTGAATGCCTGCAAGGAATGCTCTGCCTTTGTGGGAATGCCCTAGCACATAGCCCGCAGCAGTAAGAGCAAAGCCTACGCTCTGATCCAATAATAATGGAACGTTGCACTCGACTCAGTTCTGACTATCCGAGGTAGTAGAAATTTAGCGAACCTGCAAGGGAACATGCCAACGACTTCGAGACAGTCCCAGAACCATTCCGGTCGGAAACAACACACCCCATACGGCGGTTTGCACAAATATATGGAGCCACAGAATGGTGTCTATAGGAGCTGCTGCTTGTTCCTCCGAAAGCTCATTATGATGTTCATGAGCAGAAGCCGGGATGGCTAAGGCAAGCAGAAGCAGAGGCATACAGGCTACAGAAGTATGCCGAGACATAGCTGGGACGGCCTGAAGACAGACGATGGGCTTTGGCAAGCAGGCGTAGACGCCGCTTTCGACGAGTAGAAAACTCTAGGGCACAGTGACACTCGGAACGACGACCGACGACCAGTGCGCCGACTCGGACGAATGACATAATGGTGGCAGTGTCACGCAGTTACTATGACCGTGACCAATTGTCACTTGCGCGGTTTATTCTTGGTGTGTGACCCAAACGTGCTGTGGGACAGGGGACCCTCTGTATGCAGCGAAGGGAAAAAGGCGGGTCACGAACACAGACTCGGAGTACGCATGGCCCAGTGAATATTGACCGACGCCTGAACGCATCATCTCTTACTTAAATAGCCTTGCATAGACGGTGTTATGACGCTGGCACGCTGCGCTGGTCGTGCCTCATAGCAGGGGGCTGTATTTAACATCTCAGGGCAATTCTCGAACGCTGGCCTCGCAATTAGTGTCCCCCTGGGTTCATTGCTGTACACACCGCATGCAGTATTCGATTTTCCGATTTTCTGGTACAAGAAATAAAATACAAATTGAAATAAAAGTGAATTCACTAATCAGTATTCTGGCGCCTGATATGGAAGTAGATAGAAGAAAAATAGATTATGTAATCCATTTTCCATTGCTTCTTTCAATTTGTCTTCAAATTTCGTTCGGTTTCCATTCGATTTCTACCCAAGTGATATACGCTTTTGATTCAATTTTAGTTCAATCTCTTGTACAAGAACTTTGATTCCTGCATGCAGTGCATTCAATGACGCCAGAATTTCATACCATTGATAGGCACGTGTGGTACGTGGCGTGGTTCCCTATGAGTACTAGTGTACTGTTGAAACAAGTTTCAATGCCACATCTTCAAGCTGCCTTGGCGCCGGTCAGAACTCCGAGCTCTGCAGCTTTTTCCAGCAAAACCAATAACGATAGACTTCCCTCGCCAAAGTTACAGATATGGGGTTGGCACCTCGAGGCGATGTGCCCTCATCCCTCCGAACAGGTTGTTCGCAGCAGCCATATGTAGTAATCCAAGCCAATGTCCCAATATCCGTCCGGTCGTCGAAATTTACCCCGTCGCTCTTTGCTTCCGTGAGAAACGGCAGACAGCGACGAATTGAGCAACCCATGACGCGATGTTAGTGACTCCTTCAATCTGGTCATTGGTGACGGAGTCAGGCATGTAAAAACCGAATTCCCTCTGAGCAGGATGGATATATCGTCGATGACCGACCATGACGGCGAGGGGGCGAGGGGATTACAGCAATTATCCACCTCATGATCCTATCTCTGACCAGTCGTTGCTGACCCTGCATTGCCACAAGGTACAATCTGCGAGGGGAGGTGTATCGTGATTGGATTTGCTGTCAAAGTATGGTGTGTATCACTCGGCCCTGGTGCGATGAAGAATCCACTGGCAGGGTATACGTCAGCTGCATTGATCCTGCTACGTTCTATCTAGCTCAATGTGGGTGGGCGCGAGACGCCACGAATAGATTCAAACCTTGTCTCAAAAATTTACTGGACCCTAGACGAATGACTCAGGTTGACGATGTTCTCGATGTTTCTAGTGCGACACCTTCCCCCTGACGGTCTCCAGTAGTCGTACATGCAGAGGGAAAACACACTGGGGGTGAGTAATGGCATATTGTGGACAGCTATTACTACCTACTAGTATCATGGAACGTGCCATGCCCAGAATAACGTCGAGGCATGTGTTCTTTTCGCGCTGCCTCTCAAATAGTGCTAGGACCATCAAATTACGACAGAAATAGTGTTTGACTAGCTGAATGCTGCATATCTAAGCTCCCGTACACGGAAATCTTTCGTAGCGTGGTGTTCACAGGTATATAACTCCCTCGTCGGCTTGTATCTGGCATACTGATCACCCGCAATCCTCACGCTCAACAATGCCTGTAGCACCAGTCGACGATAAAGAGACCCAGCTTTACTATGAGGATTCTGGGGCACCTCCAGGGTCGGAACCATACATAACGCTTGTGCTGGTTCATGGATTGATCTTTCACGGAGGTAAGCTGCACCCTTCTCAATTGCCTCACGCTGTCATCATTTCAGAAAGGTTGTTGTGTTGCGAATCAAGTATGGGATCATTGACGCACATCTCTGCTTACAGGTATCTTCAAACCCATGTTCCAGTATGCCCCCGAACATAATATGCGCCTGGTCGCGATAAACTTGCGTGACTATCCAGGCTCCACGCCCTTCTCACCATCAGAACTCGATGCATTGCGCTCTGACAAAGCAGACCAAGCAACATTCATCAGTGACCGAGGGATGGAATTGGCCAGGTTCCTGGAATGGTTCATTCTGGAGCATGATCTACCTCCCAAGGCTTTGTCGCACAAGTCCGAGGCGGCTGGGGGTTTATCGATACTCGGGTGGTCGTTGGGGAACTGCCCCATCATGTCTATGCTTGCATCCGCTCATGCGCTTCCGGAAGCGACCCGGAAACTGCTAGACATGCATCTGCGATCCTTCATTGTCTACGGTGAGTCTACTACGACATCTTCCCACAAGAGTCTACATTGAAGCTGCATGCAGATCCGCCGCTGTACACGTTTGGAATCTCTGATGTGTACGACGATTTGTATATTCCAACCCGTGATAAGTCTATTCCCCCGGAAGGTGCAGCGGAAGCATTCTCCTTCTGGGTGTCTGGCTATTACCGCCACACCCCCACCGTGCTGTCTTCGTTCAATTCCCTCACCCGCGAGGAAATTCTCGCCGGTATCAACAATTCACCGATAGACGATTCGCCCAAGTACCAACCTACGCTAAAGACCATGTCTCCCGTTGAGATCGCTGCCGTTACAGACTGGGCAGGTGCCCAACGGTCTCACGTAGCGATGCTGGATGTCGACAGTACCGTATACCAGGAGAACGCACAGCGTGCTCTACTCGACAAAACTGTTTGGCCTGGGCTACGCGTCGTGCTTGTCTGGTGTACGATGTCCGTGGGCGCGACAGTTTACGGTTCATGGGATCTGGCGAGGAGGGTTCGTCATGCATGGCCCCCTGGCGCTCGTGAGGTCGATGTGAAGAGGCTAGATGGTGTGAACCACTTCGTGCGTCATGATCTTCATTTGTTTGCACGTTTCGCTGATATGCCAACTTAGGCACATTGCGATCAACCATCCGAGACCCTGCGGTGCTTCGCTTCCGTTGTCTAGTGACTCTCCTCCAATCTGGAGCAATTTTGCGCCCCATACACGGGCTGTCGAAATGTATACTATTATAGAATAAGGCACACTCACTCGGCACGCTATCAATTTCGTCTGCGATAGGATCCAGCCTGTCGACCGGCTATGGTAACATTATGCAGTGTTATGACACGCCTTGTGTGATAAGTTCAAACAAAAGAATACAAGGTCATAACAGTTATGTTGGTTCAGAAACGGGCGTAAGCTGCTGAGCTTCTGATCAATCATGTAAATATTCGAGGTGGATTCTTTACCGTGGCAGTTGTGTGTCATTGATAGAAGCAGAAAAGCGGCTGTGTTCGGCATACGGCGACTTGACTATATCAATACATACATAAGCAAACAGCTCAGAGTTTTCAACATACATACCATCAGCACACTACAATACCTTAAGAGCCCTAATCACATCCCAGACGATAGGACGGCTCGTGTGCTCGAGAAATGCGAAGTGCCGCTCCAGGAACAGAGGAGGCGTAGTGACAAACCTTCGTCGTATCGTGTGCTTGAGAAGACCAAGATCGGTGTCTTGCTGCCACAATACAGCTAATAGGTCAGGCGCAGTCGGTCACCGTTCTCAGCAAGAAGGGAGTGCCTATGTAACTTGGAGAATAGAGATGTCTCAAAAAACCACGGCTATATCCAGCGGATATAAGATCAGAATTATAGTATTAAGGGAAGCCGTGGCTATAGAATACCTGCAAGTCGTATGGTTCGTCAGTCTTCTAAGAGTCAGCAAAATTCGCCTTCTCCGCTGTCGGCCTTTCATGACACACAAAGCCCGCAAAGAACGTACTGTTACTTATTATATGGCGACCGTTATTCAAGATACGCGCGATCTGCTTTCCCAGGATAGCAAACCCAGCCCACAGCGCCATAAGGGTCTAGAGACGAATTCCTCCTGCTTGCCTTCCGATCCGTGTAGCCTTTCAAGGCGTGGTGCAGTCAGATAGAAACAGACGTAAGTCCGAAGCTCTGATATGGGGATATTGTTTTTGAGCATGAAGAGCGGTTCATTTGGTAGCACATCGAATTGACTGCTTGGAGAAGTCGAGGATCAAGAACGAGCGGAGACGAGACTGTGGCAGCTCGCTCCGAGCTGAAGTATGTAACCACTTCCCACGTAAGCCGTGACGCGATCCATATACCCAAGGAAGCCAATCCGTGAATTATCACCAGTACTTAGGCAACTAAGCAGCATCGCTAAAGTCTGGTAGGGTGTTCAACGGACGTCAAAGAATACCTCTACGAATGGAACGACGACGCACATCCTACATGCCCGTCGGTTCATGCGCAAGGTTCATGCGTCGCTGCAAAGCCTGCTGTGCCTCCTTCCCCGGATCACACTTCGCCAGCTTATTATAATCGTACCACACCAGCACCGAATCGCACTCGGTTACGATCCGCCCCTGCGCATACGAGTATACCGCGCCCATCACGTGGAAGTGCGTCCTCGGCAGCTTCCTGCTCGTCACGTCGGGACTGTGAACGTCAGAACTCGACCTCAGCGGCCCCGCGTGTGGCTTGTGGGCGACCAGCAGGGTGTCTGGATACACCACCGGTCGCTTGTAGTCCACGGAGATGGACTTGAGGATCAAGGAGACCCCGCGACCGGCGAGCATGTCCTCAGCCCGAGAGGCTCCACCTATCTCTTCCCCGAGAGATACCATCCACTCAATGCGAGAGGATTCGAAGAAGCGTACTGAGACATCATCAACGGACGGCCTGCGAGCTTCAAGGCCAGACTCACTGTAGCGCACATTGTTCACATGCCTGCGTCAAGAATTAGCGGAACCGAAAAGAACAGGTAAGACGCGCACTGACTGGAAGGCATCGTGGTCTCCCCACGCTACTTTCTGCTCCCAGAAACTGGTTGGGTCGTATCCCAGTTTGGTGAGGGTGGCGCGAGCATGCTCGGCAGGTGAGACTTCTGCTGCTGCCGCCGCCGTATGCAGATGCTCTGCAGGAGGATCAGGCGACTCGGGGCCCTGCGTTCCCGGGGCGAGATGGAACGGCGACGAAGGGTCGCGAAACGCATCTTGCAAAGCCTACTGAGCAGGGCCGAACGGGCAGTAATCAGAATCGAGGTTTCCTATTGCATGACGCAATATACACTGACGCGGATAGTAGACTGATGCCGCTGTAGAACGATACAACTGCAATCGCCTCGTCTGCCCAAAAGCCGTGTGACAGGTAGCAGCTTCCTCGGGTGGAAGATCTGCATGCTTAATAGCGGACTTGAAGTGCGGACGGAATGGCTGAGGAGGATCCGCATCGCAGCGACATTCCACCGGCGCTTGGTCCGAGATGTTGGCGCCTAGATGGATCTCTGGCAGACATTAGCGCATCAAGAGACAGCGGTATGTGATCTCGGTCCAGAAATCGCGATGGCCATTGGGTGGCGTCGACTCCGAAATGCAAGTTCATAACCGGCACCGCGGATATCAGATTCGAAGGCATGGACGTACAGATCGACCCCTTCCGGTATAGATAAGAGGAGCTACAACAAACGAGTGGCGCTCACAGATACAACACAATGTCGTACAGCAAGACAAATACAGAAATAGTAACGTGTGTAGGGTCTAGCACCCCATCTCGACGCCCCCGTAGGGCCCGTCGTGGTCCGATTCATCCCCGTCCCAAACCTCCGGGACATCACCCACGATGCACTGCGTGCTCGGGTTGTCCTGGCCGGGGCACGCCGCCCACTCGCCCGAGTCCTCAATGTGCACCTCGCCCGACGGGTGGACAAAGCCGAGGAACATCCCGGGGCAGATGGGAATCGGGTCTTCCTCGTTGTTGATGTGCGTCACGGACGTCGGCTGCGCATCGACGTAGTTCGCGAACGCTTGGTTCCCGACCTGTGAACGACCTTGTAAGGGGATCTGCAGAATGTGCTAGCAATGGCCAATGGGTACATACGCGGGGCAGCCCGTATCCAATGAATGTGAACGTCGCGTCAGAGATGTGCAAAGGCAGATATATTGCGTCGAGCAGTGCGATCGCAGCACCTAAGGGTTGGACCGACCAGTTCAGATTAAGTAACGCCAGAGCACGGCGTCCCAATGTGACTTACCGAGAGAGTGACCCACGACTGTCACTTGAGTCGCGCCATACTGAGATATCGCGGTCTGTACAGCCGCAAGCACATCTGTGGCAGTCCTGTGGATTGTTGTTAATACAAAGGAGACCTAGAGCGATGGTACGCGCTCACGCTGACTGGGCATCCGCGAAGCCTTTGTGAACCTCGATATCGGTGCTTAAGCCGGGGAACAGACTAGAATCCAAATTCGTCTTCACAATGTCCGCGTCCGTGACGAGGGGGAGACTGCGTGCAGAGCCATGTCAAGGGTGCGGAACACGGAAGAGGTTTGAAATAGTGCCACTGACATCTCTTCAGGATCCGTGCCCTGGTGTGACACGATCACTGTTTCGAGCGTCGGATCGTATCCCACATACCCTGATGTGGAGCGCTCTCGGAAGCTGTTCACCACGGCGTATACACCAACATAGACTCACAGTACTGGGTACTGTCGCCGTTCCCTCCGGACGCCACGGGCTCGAATGTAGGGTTCGCCTCACAGTTAGCTCCGCAGCTCCATGTCACCGTTTCGCTTGCCGCGCAGTATCCCGCGCTGGCATAGTAGGTGTACGGCTGGAATGCAGATATCTGAGACGTCCCCAGCGCGGTGATAGCCTGCCTTGCCCTCAGACCTGGGGCAGCCTGAACGGCAGAGGCAGCAGCCAGGAGGGCACCGAGGGTGAAGGAGAACATCCCGCGGCTGTCGGTCTACAGTGGACTGGTTGAAAGACGACAATAATAGGCCTGCCGGCCTTTTATGTGGGCCTTTGGAGGGAATGCATTAGCCAGTGTGAACGCGCGGTGGTTCGATCGACAGATTTAGACCCTGAAGAGAAGCCATATGCGTGATAACTGATGGAAAGCCAGGGGAGAACGAACGTTGTGACACAGACAACGGAACAGATGCTTGGCCATAAGCGCAGTCCCAAGCTTCATGTGCCTTGTATCGTCGACCTCGACCGAGGTTATCACACACGTTCTATCTCGGTTGTTGGACAGCCATGTTGCCTGATCCAGTCGTTGCGCGCTGGTTGCACTGGCTAGCCTAGGAGATGCTCTGTCTCAACGCCTGGGGGGCACATGGGGCATTTCCCCCGAATATGGTTTGGTATCTTTGCCGGTGCATAAGCGCAAAGACATGCGAGTCAACTGGCATGTGCCGATCGGCGATCGGGGCCCGGTTATTGTATCTCGATTCTCGACTCGAACCAAGATCTTCACATCTGCGCTGCGCATTAATCGTTCCTCGGTTCGCCTCCTAACATTGCGACATGCTGCCTTTCCTGGTGACTGGAGGACGACCTCTCCGCCTTTGACACGAAACAAAGTGGTGTATCGACCTTTCAAACACTGAAGTGGTTTCCATGTCCCGTCGCCGATTGGGGGCTGGAACAGATCGCTATACATAGCACGTCCTTCATGTGCATGATCAGTCACTTGTCTGTAAGAACGTATCGCTTCTGCACTGTGTACGGAGACGATCTCCCACGAGAACTCGCAGGCACTCAGTAGCCGAGCGACCTTATGCTTCACTGACAGCATTTCCGAAAGATTTCACGAAATCGTAGACACTACTCAACGAGAATAAACCGACACAGGGCTGGCGGCGGTCATAACATACTTGCCGATGCCGGGCAGAATGCCTAACAAGTCCAGATGTGACCCGTTCCACGATGTGTCCCGCCGATGATAGGCCTTGACCGCTGCATCTTACTTAAACACCAACACACGTCGAAAGGAATCAAGTTCGTAAGATGGGCCCCTCCCGAGCTTCTCTGCCAAATCACTGTGACAGCCGCCATAAACACAACGCATGACACAGGCCGCATGCATATACGCGCCGAAAGCGTGCATAAGTTGGCCTTATGCATGTCGCCGCCGTTATCCATATATCACTCACCCTGCGGCCGCCCTGCCACAGCGCACGACTCCCACGTATCTCTCAAGGGAAATATCAGACCACATGTGTCCGGGAGGAACGACGTTCCGCATAGGAAGCTCAGGTGGAAGCGGGCTCATCAACCACGTATGCCAGTGGGTATGTGGTTTTGGCACGAAATGGATTTACGTCACCCACCCTGGACCCAATGTAGCAAGGTTTGTCATGCTCGAGCTATGGTGATCGCCCCATATGGTGTGTAGCGTTCACAAAAGGCCTTCATGATCAAAAAGAATTAGTAAGGAGTGAAAGCAGCCCCTGCCAAATCAGGAATCAGGTACTATAGTCACACTGACAGGCCCACCTCTGCATGCGAGACTTCTAGAAGCAGCACGCCGACATTCAATACCCAACCAATCAAGTGGTGTGATTCAGAACGTGCCATCGTCATCTAAATCTAACACATAGCCCGCTCGAGAGGATTGCGTATTGTGCTGCGCACGAGCGAGCCCGAGTAGAACGGAGGGACCAAATGAGCACTCGATCGATTTGCATGAGCGTAATAAGGTCGGAAGCATGATCCTATAATAGATCGGGCGGCAGCCTGGAATCAACGATATTAACAACGTCGAGCACATGAAGGGGGGCGCTACTCAATAACACACGGCACATGCGTCGTTTGCTCTCACATGCTCCTCTCCTATATCAATCATCACCGGCGGCTTCTCTCCATGTGCTCACACCCGCCTTCCGGTCTGTCCTCAGCCGCTTTGGGCTTCTTATTCTTCCATGCCATGGGCGAACCCGCTCTACTGCCTCATCCTTCGAGCAGCCTTATATTTAGCCAGTCTCGCACGATTATGTGCTGCCTGGCTTACGCTCGCACACCCTTCAGTCCCCTGTTGCAATGCGCCTCGTTGCGCTCGGCGTTGCGCTGCTCACTGCGGCCCCGGTCGTACAGGCCATCCCTGCGTCACGCTTGAGGGCAAGGCAGGCCATAACTGCACTGGGGCAGTCACAGATCACGGCATTCACCCCATACACATACTACGCGAGCGCTGGTTACTGCCCCGCGTCGGAGACGCTGACCTGGACTTGTGGCACGAACTGCGAGGCAAACCCGGGATTCGAGCCGGTAGCGTCAGGGGGTGATGGAGATGGAACGCAGTATTGCAAGTGGCCTGATAGCTCATGGCCGAACTGTTTACTCACTCGCCACAAGGGTTCGTCGGGTATGATCCCACACTGGAAACCGTCATCGTATCACATCAAGGAACAGACCCTGAGGAGATGTGGGTGAACAGGACGTTGGTGGAATGCTTAGGCAGATTGCTGACTCGAATGCTAGTTTACCTCTGGTCACTGATGGGGACATAACCCTGGTGAACTTGGACTCGACATTGTTCCCCGGATTGAGCTCCGACATCGAAGTGCACGAAGGCTTTGCAGATGCTCAAGCAGAGTACGTGCATCTAGTGGAACAGACCAGGCGGTAGCTGAAACGTGATGCAGGACCGCAACAGACGTGTTATCGGCTGTGCAGTCGACCATGTCGACGTATGGTGCTAGCAAAATCACGATTGTTGGTCATTCATTGGGTATGTGATATCTCCACGAAGCAACCGCAACGGCACGGCAGACTCACTTTCACCAGGCGCGGCGATTTCACTGCTTGACTCCGTATATCTGCCGCTTCACATCTCGGATGCGACCTTCACGTTCGTGGGCTATGGCTTGCCACGGGTGCGTTTTTCCCGTCCCCCTCCCGCGCACCACTGATCACGGTGATATCCCAGGTCGGCAACCAAGCGTTTGCGAACTACGTCGACGCGCAGCCGACGTCCGTGACGCACATTAACAACGAGGAGGATCCAATCCCTATCTGCCCAGGCATGTTCCTCGGCTTCGTCCACCCATCGGGTGAGGTCCACATCCAAGACTCGGGCGAGTGGGCGGCGTGCCCGGGCCAGGACAATCCGAGCACGCAGTGCATCGTCGGAGACGTACCCACTGTTCTTGATGGTGATGAGTCGGACCACGATGGACCGTATAATGGGATCGAAATGGGCTGTTAAGGCAAGCTGGCCATGTATGTATTCGGAAGCAGACCGAGGGCACGAGCAGAATTGTAGGATTTCACAGTGGCTATACCCCGAGCTTGGTCAATTATATATGCTCTCCCGTTATAGGAGTAGCGTCTCCTCTGTACGATCTATCGAGCACAGTTTCTGCCAGAATATTGCGGGCTAAGGTGCGGATTCGAGTCTGCTGCAGAGTCCAGCAGAGTGCTGCACATCCCCTATACGCTACAAGGAATAGTTGATTTATACCTCCATGCATTTAGATCAGGTAGCGGCTGTGCCGGTCGTGGCTTTGCGTCCGACCCATTCAATACGCTCACGCAACTCGATCGAGTGTCCTTCCATTCTACTCGGGTTCGCTCATGTGCAGCATAATTCGCAATTCCTTTCGAACGGGCTATGTGTAAGAGGTCGATGGCATGTTCTGAAGCACACCACTTAATTAATGGGGTACTGAAAGCCGGCGTGCTGCTTCTAGGATTCTCGCATGCAGAAGTGGGCCTGTCCGAAGTGTGATCCCTGACTCCGCGTGGGCTGCCCGCGCTCCGTACTGGTTGAATGGCTTTTCGTGAAAGCTGCACATCAGATAAAGCGATCGCTATGATTCGCCGAGCATGACCATCCTGCTACAATGGATCCAGCGTGGTCGGCGTGAGCGCGGTTTGTGCTGAATGCCACATACCATATGTGGTGTACAGAGCCCGCTTCCATTCTGAACTCCTATGCGGAACATCGCTCCTCCCGGACCCTTGCGATCTGATTTCTCCCTTGATAGATACGTGGGAGTCGTGCGCTGTGGCAGGACGGCCCCAGGGTGAATGATAGATCGGTAACAGCAGCGACATGTATCGGTGTCCTAGCACCAGTACCTGACACCCTCATACATGATATAGGCTAACCAGCGGACAACCGTAATACATTGAACGGCTAATGAGCAATCCAAATGCGTCCCAGGTGCGTCATATATTATGAGACTCTTTTGAGCTCGTTCCTGACACATGCCCATTCAGTGCGTCCAGTGTTATATATGACTGCCCGGTATTCAGTGTGGCCGCGCTATCATATATGACGCTGGCGCGCCCTGTATTCAGCGCGGCCGCACCATCATATGTACCCGCTGCTACCACATGCCCATCCCGTGGTTCCTCTTACAGGGTCGTCCACAGGTCGGGAACCAAGCCTTTGCGAACTACGTCGATCAACAACCGACGTCGGTCACTCACATCAACCACGAAGGAGACCCGATATCCATATGTCCTGGGATGTTCCTCGGCTTTGTCCACCCGTCGGGCGAGGTGCACATTGAGGACTCGGGCGAGTGGGCGGCGTGCCCTGGCCAGGACAACCCGAGCACGCAGTGCATCGTGGGTGATGTCCCCGAGATTTGGAACGGGAATTTAACGGACCACGATGGGCCCTATAGGGTTGTCGAGATGGGAATGGGGTGCTAGACCCTGCGCAGGTTACTGTTGCTATTATTGTATTTCTACTACTGCAAGACAGTGTGTTTGACGTCTTGTGCTGTATCTGTTAGCGCCACGAGTCGTTTGTTGTAGTTCCAGCAGACTTGATACTGATTCCCGTAAGAGGGCTATCAGTGACGCCCGCAAGATACCACGAATAGGATGGAAAAAATTGAGTGCTTCACATGTTTATTTGAGCGCCTCTTTAGTACGATTCAAAGAGCACAGCTATACCAGAATATTGCAATTAGCATCCAGATCCGAGTCTGCAGCACATGTCGTGACGATCACCGTCAAGGGCGACCGATGAGATGCATGACTGTGAGTTTATTTGTGCAATTTGTTGTATGCGTATACTTCACCAGAACGCACGTCCCATACAGCTCAATCTCTTATTCAAACTGATCAGACCATATGAATTGGCTGCGGACATCCCAGGGCGACTCTCTGCTTCCTATATGAAATGTCAACAGATCGCAGCATTTGTTGAATTCACATGTATGCGTACGGTAAATCGAGTATCTGCTCAGTAATCTGTCACATAAGTCCACTTGTGTGATGCTGATTCCTTGTACTTGTAACATTCGTGTTAGGTGTAAAATCTTTAGTCCCGTAGGAAGCGTGTTCGGTTCTACTTTGCACAGGAGACTAGCACTCGTGGCCATGGGTTACAGTGTTCTATCACGCTACATTTCCTTGATGTCCTAGTACCGTGCTTTGACATGAGTTCCGGAATGGCGTCCTGTCCTGCGATAGTTTCGGGAAGACATTCTCCGAACGTCAAACGTTGGGGACAGCAGATACACACGGCCCGAGCACGAAATTCAAGGGGCAGTGTCGACTACGAAACGAATATGACTGCGCCCATGAAACGGTGAATCGCAATTCCAATGGTCATTCACAAGATACGGAATCATTTCCAGACTCGGACATACTATTGGTACATTGAGAGCGAAACCTTGACTGCGACTTTCAACACAAGCGTGGCATGAGGGAGATGCTCAAGCCTGGTGGAAGATCCACCTCTGCTTCTCATTCCCAGTGCCAGCAGTGATCGTCACCTGCAACACCAGTCAGCATCTAGTGTCTCGTCCCGAACACGAGCACGGAAAATCAGAATTACGTTTGCATTGTCAACGGCGTCAGCGACTCCCCAGTACACCGTCTGCTTGCCGTCCTGAATGCTGTCCAGCCACGGCGTAAGTACTGATACAGAGACGATACTATGAAATCGACCTACGTGTATCCAGAATCAGTGCTCTTGATCACCCATACGTAGGCACCCGCAGGGAGGACCGTTACGCCCTGGTCTCCCCACGCAGCCTGCAGATTGGCGTTGCTCTCGGGAGAAATCGTCTGGGTGTTGCTGTTGTAGTCTTTGATGATCCACTGAAGGCGACGAGGAAGCCATGAGTGAGAAATAAAGAGCGGCGAGAAAGCGGCACGACG